AGAACACAGAGCTACATCGAGAGTTGAAATATGACAAAACATGAAATGGTTTGAAAACAAGATTTCTCTCATTGAATTTTTGTTGCAACCCTTCGCCGCTCCACCCAGCTCAGCCCAGATTGGCACCGAGTCGGGCTTTGTCCAGGGATGCCCTTGGACCTTAGGCATGCGGTGCGCGCTGCTGTTGCCAACACATCTTTGAGGAGCCAACATGCACTGAACTGGTCAGTTAATTGATTGAAGAAAACGGAAAGCGAGTTCAGGCAATGTATGGACACGCGTGCAGGAGAGGGAGCCGTTTGCATGGAGATGTCGCTCCACAGAAAAGAGGAAGGTTGGGAATCCCTGTAGTTGTATGACATATAAATATTATGTAATCACTGGACCACTGGATTGAGAAGTTCAATCATCATCAATATGCTTTCAGACAAGTATAATCTATAATATACCCACATAGCTTTGATTCCAGGCGTGGGAAAGCCATCAAGACTGTCATGAAGGCCAATCTCAAAGAGAAGAAGGCTTCTTCGAGGCCGAGACTGAGTTGAATTTTTCTGGGCTCCTTTACTACCAGGTAAACACAGCTAACAGATTTCAAATCGTTTCGGCATACAACTCGTACAACCCTATTTTTGATCTTGCTACCAGACTTGCCAGGCGCAAGCGTTGTCCGAAAGCTACCATCCTAGGGGCATCAGAGCAGCACCCAGTTGGGTTTGAAACCTTGGATGCTGCATTTCAGTGGCCAAAGATCTTCTTTCAACGTGTGGCGACCCGTTTTGGAACATCATGGTTGTGTAAGAGGCTGAAGGCTTGGCGGTGGACCTTTGCCAGCGCTTTTTCTGGCATCGGAGCACCGGAATCTGTCCCTATCCTAGTTGTAGCGCGTTGTAACATGTTGCAGCGCTCAATCGATTCTTCATTACCTACACACCAAAAGTTTCACAGCATCACAACTTAGTTTTTGAATGTTGAGGCTGCCATGAGCTTGGAGAAGGCTGCTGGCCAGTTTCTTCAGTCAGCTGGGCACAAGAAACCAAAGCACGCCAAAGTTCTCTTTGAGTTCACATGTGAGTTGGATGGTCACTGTAGGAAGGTGCTACAGCAGACTTACAATGCACCATGCAATTTCCCAGACATCGTAGCTTTGGACACAAAGAAAAAGTTTCAGTGGTGCAGCACACACAAGCGGATGTGCCAAGTACAAAAACATCGTCGAGGAAACCGAATCTCGATTTCAAGATTTCAGTCTCAAGTTGTACTAATACTCACTCCCATTTTGGATTATGTCAGAACGACTTTCCCATTGTGTTTTTGATCCGGGTCCCAAACCACTCCAACCGCGCCAAGGATTGAGGGTGAACGGAGCTGGTGCATTCCTCAGCCAAGGGCCAATGCAGTCTAACCAAAAGATTGAACAGTGAATCAAACAAAAAAGCTCGTCATTTCAAATTCCTTCGAGGCCCAATTTGCCAGCCCTTCAGCAAGATGGGCAACCAGAACGGAATCAATGATGAGAGATATGTAACCCACAAAAAGTATTACCGGGAAACCAAACGAGTTTCTGACATACTTGTCATTGAGAATGTCCCAGAGTATCAAAGTGCTACAGCTTCTGCTGAACTAGGGCCCCACTGGTCTTTGGAATCGGTGGTATTGGATCCGAGACTCTTCGGAGTTCCAGCATCTCGTCCACGGAGATTCATCCTTGCCTTCGACAAGAGGAAGGTGAGGCGTGTCGAGGGTGTGTCTTTGGGTAGCACTGGCCACTTTGTGAAACACGATCACTTAATTTTATTCCAATATCATTGGAACGCAAACATTTTAAAATTGCACCCAAGGACATTAGCCGATATCCTGGAGGCCTTGATTGCCCAGAATGTTTCTTCTGCCGACATGTTCCTATGGATGAAATGCCTTCCCAGTATGCTTTCTCCAGCCCAGGTATCCTGACACCAAAATAGAAATTAATCCAATAATTCTCAAATGATGTCAGCTGTTCAGAATTTGAATCAGAGCTTCAATACCTTCAATCTTTCATGCGCTTAGGAAAGGATTCTGGGGGACTATGATGAGCACATGCCCGACTTGCGCTTCCCAGACTTTTCCCAGTACCCTAGGAATGGCAGGGGTAGAGGGGAATGCTCCGACAAGAGTCTTTGTACCATCACCACGTCGACAAAACTTTTTTCCAAGGACAGTTAGTGGCTTGGGATCTTGGGATCAAAGGGTCTCGTTTTGAAACAGTTTGACACAAATCTCACTTCACATAAATCAGTTCCTAGGTAGATACAAGTGACCTTCATTTTACCCACTAGGACTTGTCAACCTTCTCCGGCCTCAGGATGCCAAACGATTTCTGGAGCCCGAGGAACTGCTGTCGTCTCACATCCTGCCAGTGACCGCTGAACAGGGTCGCTTGTGTGGCGCACCGCCTTTATGTTTGCAAGGGATCCCAAAAACCCAACGTGCCAGAATGGCCGGAAACAGCATGAATGCTACTTGCATAGGAGCTATGTTATTGGCTGCATGCCTCACCTTGGAGGCAATCTGAGAAACCGGTCAGCCTAATTCGTGTTTATGATGGTTTAAATGTCCAATGCTCACCCAAGAATGTTTTTGGGATAATCCAAGAACCAAAAAATACACATGTTTGATCATTTTTGTCACATCTATGTTCGAGCTTGGGCTTTGCAATTCAGAACAATGTTCACTTGGCGCCTGAGACAAAGATCGCTTAGCTAGGCTTCCAACTGACACTTCACCACAGAGAATGCTTATTATGCTTATAATATATATGTCATATGTATAGAATATCTCTCTTATTTATTTTATATAAAGATAATATATAATATTTATATATTATGTTATATATATATATTATATAAATATAATATATATTATATATATATATTAAAATAGTATATTAATATATATAATATATATTATATTATATATAATATATATATATTTAATATGTATATATATATATATATATTATAATATATAGTTAGTGAGCCAGCCCTTGACCATCCAGTTCACAGGGCCTTGTCCGCAGGTTTCGGCTTTCAGGCGTTGTGCATTCCTGCAAGGGGCAGGTCTCGCGCGATGCCCAAACGTGCGGGGGCTGGCAATGGGCCTGCCACCAAAAGTGCGAAGACAAATGTGGTTGCAGTGTGGGCTTCCAAGACTTTTGACCAAGCCAAGCCACTCAGTATTTACTCAGTTGTGGACCTTTTGAACATAACTAGAATCAGCTGTGAGTTGTTGATCTTTTATTTGAAGAAAGTAACCAACGATCAGCTATTGTTGGGGCTATCCAAATTCTCTTAGGACTTTCGATGTTGAGGGAGGCGAACATCCTGTTCAGATGCTGGTGGATGATTTGACACCACAGCTCTACCTACCCATCCAAGAGTGGCTCGAGCATCTTATCCCTGGTTTTCCTGATCCTAGACAGTTCCAGATGCCAGCCCACTGTCATATTTGATGCTAAATTTTATATTGGACCCCAAAACCACATGAACATTTCGTTCAACATTGTTTTGTCAGTCTATTCCTCGCTTCAACCACTATAGGAGAAGACGGACGATTTGGTGGATATTCCTCTCTTGGCCATCTATTTTCTACCCCCGGCAGATGGTCTTCCTCTCTTTCATGCGTGGCTAGTCACTGCAAAGGATGTGTGGCACCGTGGCTATGAAGGCCATCGTGAAATTCTTGAGATTCGGTTGAATGACCGGGTGGACCTGGTGGACCATGGATTCCGTTCCTTTATTCCCACGAAAGGTCTGGGGCGTGTCTCCTGCATCTTGTGGGCAGTTCTTTGGAGCTATTTCAACAGGGATTCCATGGATGGAGATGCCAAGTCGGATTTCATCAGGCCTGGCTTGGTGTCTTTAAAAAATTGAAGCCCCAGGCCCATCATAGTTATTGTCTTCCCAAGATAGGTCTAAAAATTGTTCAAAACAGTTCCCAAAATAGTTAAATGACAACTCCCAACATAGTTCAATAAAGTTCCCATCATAGGTCAATATGGCTCTTAAGTAGTTACCAAGACATAGCTCCCAAATATAGTTAAATAGTAGACAAACTGTTCCCAAAATAGTGGCCAAAATAGTACCCAAAATAATCCCCAAAATAGTTCCCAAAATAGTTCCAAAATAGTCCCCAGAATAGTCCCCAAAATAGTTCCCAAAATAATCCCCAAAATAGTTCCCAAAATAGTTCCAAAATAGTCCCCAGAATAGTCCCCAAAATAGTTCCTAAAATAATCCCCAAAATAGTTCCCAAAATAGCTTGAAGGGATGAAAGGGTCACTTTGGATCACAGCACAAATCCAATTTTCTTACGTGATGGTCCGGGTGGGACCGTCGTCTTGGACCAGGTCCCTGGACATGGTTATTACTATTTTGGGAGTGCTCCCAACTATTTTGGGCATACTTTAGCTATTTTGCGGCTGTCTAATCTATATTTTGGGGGTGCCCATTCATGTTCCGAGCTATTTTGGGAGCTGGGTCTAGGGTTCCCCAGGGCCAAGCTTACGTGATGGTCCGGGTGGGACCGTCGTCTTAGGATCTTGCTTCTTTCCCATTTTGGTAAGTGATCCTTTTATGCATTGGGGGGTCTAGTGGCTTCCACATCAATCCTGCCAAACCCGGCCAAATTCTTGCCAGGTGGCTCCACTCTGTGAAGTCCCTCAAGTGCAAGGTCCAGTCTGCAGGGGTCGCGGAGCTGAGGTGGCGCAGGATCCAGGTGCATGAACAACAAAGTGAAAGGCAACGGAAGAACATCCTACAGAAGGTATTGACTTTTGCGGCCAGAGCCCGGGAACTCCAATGTGAGGATATGGGCTCGAAATTTGAAACATTTTCAAGATAATTTCACACGGTTCCGTGGTTCCATCTTCTATCAGACAATTATCAAAATTCAAAACCATGAGGACACCGTCAAGTACCCGGAGTCAAAGTACAAGGATGCGTTCTTTGCTGCGATGGAAGAGTACAACCAGTATGGCATTGCTGAGGTCAGCTCCCGCTACCGACTGGACAAAACTGCCATGGATGAACTTTATGGGTTCAAGGTAGCTTGGTGTTAAGAAAAATTGGACCAAGTAACTTGTGTCACCAAACAAACATTCCAAAGTCTATTCTGCAACCACCCCCCAAACAAACAAAAAAAGGGTGCCGAAACCTTAGAAAGTGAGCCTGAACTTATGAGTTCTGGGCCCTGCCCTATTTGAGACAACCCCATTTCAAACCCATCCGCCAAACATTTTGGGGCAACTTGATCCATCAACTCCATAGTGCAATCAAAGATAAAGTTATTGCGGATGATTTCCGTTACCCCTTCTCGCACCCCTCCACCCTGAGTTGCTCAGGTTGGTGTCTGCGAGAAAGCATTTGAGCTCCTCCAGAAGCACTTGCACTGCTTCAAGTTTGAAGCGTCAGGCTGGTGGAATTACGAACCGGGTTTATCTAAAAAACACTTAAAAGAATGTAGTATGTAATGGTTATTTACCCGATTTTTCTTGTCCCAAATAATTCAATTTCACAACAGAACGGCGTAGCGGGGCTAGGGAGAATCATGCTTTCTTCGAGTGATCCCCACCAAAATGCATTCTTCTGGCATATATTCTGACCCCCTGCAGCCTTCAGCAACGTCTTGCTTTTAGATGATCGATGGCTGCTTGGTGGGCAGCCCCGTGATGCTGGAGCCAGAACTTGCCACATATGGTGCCAAGTGCTGACGGTGGACTTCCTCAAACAAGAACTGTTTGTCAAACGCATCTTGTTTCTACATGATGTGGCATGCAGGCGGGCCGGCAAGGCATGTTCCGTCCGTTTGCCCTTGACCGAATGGCTCACTGAGTGCGATCGGATGTGTTTCGTTTCCCACGTCTTGGCGTTGATGGCTTATTGGAAGGATGAGCACGGCACCTATGTGTTTGACAATGGTGTCATTGAGAATCTTCTCAAGCGTGCTGTGGAGGGGAATCTTGTTTTATGTGGTAGTTTCAGGGTAGGGTGGTCCAACTAAAATTTGATGCTCACTGGTCTAAATTCGTTTTTCCAAAGAGATTTAAAACAAGTAAGGGACTTCACGACAGAGGCCGACACATTCGTAAAGACTTTGGACCCTCAGTTCAAGATTGAGGAGACCATCATGTTCACAGAAGTCGCACCGAAAAAGATCGACACGACCAAGGAGAAAGTGGAGCAGGCGGACCAGAAGCTCCAAGCTTTGTCTGCTGAATCCCGCAAAGCACAATTCCAAGCCGATTCTCTTGCACTGGCCAGGGATTTGGCACAAGTGGGGAATGTTTATCGTGATGTGGTCAAGTCTGAGAATTCGATTCGTCAGGAACGCATCATGCACCTTCGGGGTCAAAATTGTATCGGTGCAGCCTTGGTGGCTGATTACATGTCCTTGAACATGGCTGTCCATGCTGGGTCCCTCAAGGAACAGATCTCCCTCGCTGACCGGGCTGGGGATTATCAAATACAAGTCAGTCAACGTGTTGACTTGTTGAACAACGTTGGAAAATTGAGATGTCTTATTCAGTTTCTTTTGGACTACTTTTGACTTATCATGATGTTCAATCCCAAAAAAGAAACTCCGTTGCTCTCCCCTGCAGTTCTTGACTCGATTTCCTCAATACCCTTGTGTGGTTTGGTGCGACTTGATGAAGTGCGGCCGCTTGACGCAGCAAGAAGTCAACGACTACTGTGACCTGATGCATTCAATCTTCAAAAAGAGTCCTATGTCAGTGGCAGTGCTGGTCGCACCTTACTTGGTCTCCGAGAAAGTAGCTGGCTACAGGGGAGAATTGAGGACCTTTGGGATGTTAGTATCCGCACATTTCAGGCTACTGGTTATTTCCATTTTGTTCTGAATCTATTTTTTCCCTGTTGATGTTCCCCTATTATTTTCATAATATAGTTGGCCCCTTAAGGTGTCAGTATGTGCCACCGTCAACGGCCCAGCTCCTGCAAGTTCCAGCATCTCACTTCCTGCGAGGAGATGGGAGGACAAAATGGACGCCCGAGGATTCAAGCAGCACAGCATCGCCATTCGCTGCCAGCCACCGAATGGAAGACGCAAAGTTCCCCTCCATTTTGATGGGTGGGTTGTGATGATGGATCTTACAGCTGGAGACAATGTGTGGTCCCCATCCCAATTGATCCAAGACAGGCCATAGCGTGCCCGGGTAGATGGATTGAAAATTATCTGGTTCACTCTTACCTGGTTGGCACTATATTAAAATTTGAATGAAGTTCATGGTTTCCCGTTCAACACGCCCAGCACTGGTTGAAGTCCTGAAGCGGCCACTGGCAGGTCGAACAGAAATGAAATTCCTTGGACGCCGGAAGGTCAATACGTTGTACCGGTGGCCCAGAAAGACAACTTGCCCCATGCCTCCGAGGGAATGAGGCTTCAGGGTTGGAACCGGGTGCCTTTTAGTTCGCCAAAAAATTATCTTAACCTGGGCCTCACAGGTTTTACTCTGGGGGTGTTTACCCAAATTGCCCACAAATTAGTCGGAAACGGTTCATGTGTTATTTTGACAGGGCCATCAGGTACCTATCCAATCTTGGTGGTTGTGGTCTTGATGTTGATTAATCTGATGTGATCGTGATTTATGATCAAAGTGAATAGATGGGAACATATATATTTTCCATTTCTTCGCGATATAATACCCAGCTGATTGAACTATATGTTTGAAACGGCATCACAACAGAATATTCTATATGTTGCACGCATGATATGAACTAGGGTTTGGTTCCATCATGGGTTCGATACAGGTTCTGAAGGTGGTTCTGATGCGACCATGATTATGAGGATGATGGTGGTGATGATGGTGATGATGATATTGATCATCATGATTGTGATGGATGATCGTGATGATGGCTATGGTGGTGATGGTGATGTAGATGAAGATGGTGATGGTGGTGACACTGATGTAGATGATGGTGGTGAGGATGAATATTTTGATGATGATGAAAATGATGGTGATGATGATGATGATGAAGAAAATGATGATGATGATGATGAGGATGGTGTAGACTATGGTTGTGATTATGACAGTGGTCATGATACCTGTGATAGTGATGATAGCGATGATGACGATCAATGTTCATGATGCTGATGATGACGATGATGATGATGATGATGATGACGATTGATGATGATTGCGATCATGATGATCATGGTGATGATGATGACGATGACGATGAGGATGACGATGGTGATGATGATGATGATGATGATGACGATGACGATGACGATGATGATGATGATGACGACAATGACGATGATGATGATGATGATGATGAGGATGATGATGATGATGATGATGATGGTGGTGATGGTGATGATGATGATGATGATGATGATCATGAGCATGAACATGAGTCCCCTCGGCTGCCACACTGCTGACAGGTCTTTGTCGGATGTCCAGGAATGTGCACAATTCCTGGCGGGTGAGGCTCTCCCGTGTGGCCTACTTTCGGCATTGTTGGGGCGGACGGAGGTTCCCAAACAGACAGACACCTGTGTCCTGATCAATTTGACAGCCTATGACAGTTGGGTGGAACGCGCATGCAAAAGATTCTCTGATCAAACCACCATTCCCATCAAGTTCAAGACCCTGTCCATGTCCAAGACCATCTCTACCGCTGAGTATGTGGAAAAGACATTGGCCTGTGAGTTGTTGGAGGACTCTTAGTTATCTTCATAGGGAAAGGGTTTTGTAATAATAAATTTGTTTTCGTCACCGTCATGTATCGTTACACGGTCCAAGCAGCAAACAGGCTAGCACCCATCCCATGTTTGTTTGTTGGAAATCCCTCCAGGCCCAATCACCAGTCCTATACCGCCAGGAGTGGAAGCGAGGCAATCACAAGCACCTTGGGCAGGTGCGTGCATACGAGCCCAAGCCACCGGCATCGTCAGCCACGGATGTGGACCCAAACCAATATCCTTTGAAGCTGATCAAGCTTGATTATGATCCAAATCCTTCATTGAAAGGGTGGAACAAGTTTCGGATCAGCATTCCCCCAGCAGTGCGGGCTCGATACATCGATGACCAAGTATTTGGGGAGGATTGGTCAAACATCTTGAAGGATTTTGATCAAAAGCCATTTGACTGAATCATTCATTTCCTTGTGTGTTATCTTTTAAAAATTCAACCAATTTTGTGATCATCAGTCCAATGGGACGAGAGACGTGTTTCCAACATTGGGTTCTGGATTTCCTTATCCCTTGTTCTTACTCGGGTTATTTTCTTACATGGGGCCCGCCCCCTGTATTTCCCCCAAAAATGTGGCATCTCAATTTCATCTTTACGATTATATACTACTGGTATATGTTTTACACATATTATATATATACAATTATGTACATATAATATATCACCTTATTTTTACCTGCACCTTCTAAGGTACAGTCCAAAGTCCAATGCTGATGCCACGGCTGCCCTTGCCCTGGTTAAAAAGGAGGAGGAAGATGCAACCAAGGTCATTGAACCTTGGACCAATGAACCTGAAACTCTTGAAGAATTGATGGACAAGTACATCGTTGAGGCCAAATTCCCGGGGAGGAATCATGGGAGTACCATGTTCCTGGTCCAGAGCAAAGCCCGTGATGGAAGCTCCCATCAAATCATTCAGGGTCAGAAGTACAAACTTTTTGTGGCAACAAGGCTGGTATATCATTCCTTTGGATGCTCGCCCCATAAAATGTTTTCATATCAGTGTTGATAAAAATATGATAATTAATATATAATGGGATGATTAAAGGGCTGTTCGTCCACTATAACTACTGATAAAGGGGCAGTTTTTCCACTATAACAAGGTATCGCACGTGGCGGCGGTCTTTTCGAAGATGGAATTTGTTGTGGCACATGGTTCTTCAAAGTTCCTCAAGCCCGAGCGAGTCGCAGCCTTGAAGAGACAAGACAAAAACGGTACTTCTGGCTTGTTTCAGTATTCAGGGATTCCCACCATTAACGGGGAATTCACTATTTCCAGAATTGTTCTGCTGCATTTTGCAACATGGCTAGGTGAAAACATTGAAACAACAACATCGTGTGTATTGCTGAAATCTCGGCTCTGGCTTGCTAAACTTAAAGAAGTCCCACAACTTTGGGATTGTAGGGCCATAGGAAGGGCGACTTGTGGTGGCCACCATGAGTTCTGGCGCTTTACAATCCTTACTAGCTGCCCATGGCTTTGACCAGGACCGATACTTCTAAAAAAAGAAATGATTCAAATGTCAATTTATTTCCCACCTAACCCTTATTGTCAGACAAAAGCTTCTTGGCGTGAGGATCTTAGCAGGGTAGCTCACGAAAGCCCTGGGGCATTGACGACTCCAATGCGACAGTGTGTAGGGATCCCAGATCGTGTTTTTCAATATTATGTCACAGCCAGCTGTGGGAAGCCTAAACATAAACCACCCCCACATGTAGCATACTAGCTTATCTGGGCTGATTGGAAATACATAAGCCTCCAATTTTCTTTTGCTTGGGGTGGGTTACTAATGGGTTGACCCTACGTCATCTATTTGCAATACGTCCGCCCGCTCCACTCCTTGGACAAGCCACTCCAAGGGATCGAATGGGCTGCCTCCAGCAGATTCACAGCAGTCTGCCCAAGCTGCCCAGGCCTGGCGGCGTGTTCTCCAAACATAGCTTGCTAAATTATGTAACTACCAATTTTAGCTGTCAGTCAGCGTGTATTTTTTTTACTGACATTTCTGCTGGTTTGATAGGCAGAAAAGCTGTCACGTGAGAAAGAACCAAGAAAGTCACGTGTTCCAGCTCAAGATGTTGGGGCCAGTTCCGCTTCCAAAGATCCCTTAAGGATCAAATTGGACTTTGGGTCAGCAGTTGGGGGGTCAGAAGAAGCAGTTCGGGTAGCTACCGGAGAAAAACCCAAAGATGTGCCTGCTGAAACACCAGCTGAACCAAAGACAGAGAAACCGACTGTGCCCATGACAGTCAGCTCTTGCACTCGCAGCACTGACCCTCCAATGTCAAAGGAGAAAATGGAAGAACTCGCGCAGGCAATCAAAGATGTAAAAACAGGGCAGAAGGCAGAGAGGAAAACGGAAAAGCAAAACAAAGAAAAGGCAGCACCAAAAATGGCAGCAAAGAAGGCGAAAGCTAAGGCGAAGGCCAATTCAGGAAAGAAAAGTCAAAAGAATGATTCCGAAGAAGAGTCCGACACATTGGACTCGGAAGAGCCTCTTTCAAGCCAAGGTTTGCCAGCGGAATCTGAGGATGATGAGGCCCCCCTGCCCTGTGCGTGTCATGTACCTCACTTTTCCTCAGGTAATGTATGAGAAATGTTCCACTTGTTTCCACCAGTTTCTAAGGGAAACCGACTTGGATCTCCGTTCAAGATTTTAGAGAGCAAAAGTATGACTATCAAAAAGATTTCAAATGAGCCATTGTATACTCTCCCTGCCAGTTTCACGTCTCACATGCCATCCCTTCCACTCCAGGACCAGCCTCCAGCGAAGGGCAACAGAACCGAAAAGCCAGAATCTCCTGAGAAGAACACCCAAAAGACCAAAAAGCCAAAGGCAAAGAAAACGACGAGGCAAACCAAGAAAAGTGAAACTGCAGAACTTTCCGCAGAAGAAAAGCGAAAGATCGCAGTTGCTAAGGCCTTGGGGTCAGCAGGGGCTTGTGACACCAGTAGCACCACAAAGGCAAAGGGTAAGACTGAGAAGGAGGTGAAGATCAAGAAGGGCGACAAGAACCAGACAAATGCAGAAGAGCTAGCAAAGCCCACAAAGAAGAACCCCAAGGAGGAAGGAGAGAAAGCCGATGAGAAGGGCGAGAAAAACAGGAGAGCAGCAAAGGAAAAGACCCAGGAGAACGAGAAGGATGACCAGGTTGATGAGAAGAACTCTACAAAGTTTGATGCTGGAAAGACTAAGAAGATCCGTGCGGAAAAGGAGAAGCCAGAGAAAGATCAGCCGGAGAAGAAGACAGGCAGAAAGAAAGGAGATTCCGACGAAGGCGAAGCTGAGGAGAAGAAAGTCAAGAAGGTCAGAAAGGAGGTCTATGAGGAGAAGGGCAGCCACAAGAAAAAGGCAAAGACTTTGCAGACCGACGAGAAGGACAAGGAGAGCAAAGATGAGAAGAGTGCAGGTGAAGATGCGATGAACCAGGAGGTCAACGAGAATGGATCGTACTCACAGGGGACAGAGATCACAGATCCTGGGTGTAGCCAGGACCCTGACAAACACCAGACGGATGAAAAGAAGAAGAAGACCAAAGACAAGAAGGAAAAGGACAAGCCAGAGAAAGATCAGCCGCAGAAGGAGACAGACAGACAAAGGCAGCAAGAAAGGAGATTCCGACGAAGGCGAAGCTGAGGAGAAGAAAGTAAAGAAGATCAGAAAGGAGGTCTATGAGGAGAAGGGCAGCCACAAGAAAAAGGCAAAGACTTTGCAGACCGACGAGAAGGACAAGGAGAGCAAAGATGAGAAGAGTGCAGATGAGATGGATCAGGAAGAGGAGGACGCCGAAGAGCCCAGACGTCCATCAACGAAGATGCAGAAATACCTGAAGAACAAGAAGAACCAGAGAAAGCAGGAGGATGATAAGAAGAAAGGTGATGACAAAGGCGATGATTCGGATGATGAGGATGATGCAGGGAACAGAAAGAAGCCCAGACGACCCAGAGCAAAGCGAAACACACGCAAGGCAGAGACAGGGGCAGACAAGGCAGGGTGACACTCACTATCCAAAACTTTGATCAAGAACCAGAATCTCCAGCTTGACCATTGATCAGTTTACAAATTTGACATATCTCCTTTAACACCTTTGGGGGTTCAAATGAATCCTTAGCATTTCAATCTGGAACTGCCTGAATCAATCCCTTTATGTGTGTTTGGGAGGCAAAGCCCGGAACCAGTGGCCGAGTTGGCTTGCGGGACGACTACTGGAACCACATCACAAGCGCTAAGCAGCGTTTGAGTCAGGAGCACCCTGACTGGACCAAGACCGAAGTGCTGAAAGCGGCACGTGCTGAGTGCAGCCCCAAGTGATAAGTGTTCATCAATTTTACAAACAACTGTTTTTCTCAGTTCGCAACTTCTCTCCAACACTTACTTTAAAACTTTTTGTACTCTTAATAAGATCAATTCCGGCCCAGGTGGAAAGTCCATCCTACAAGGGTGAACTCCATGAAGAACATGACCCACAGCGAGCTGAGCCGTCGAAGGTTGACCAAGCCCCTTCGACCCTCTGTCGGATCCCATGGAGAACCCCATGATGCCGAGCCCGATGATGCCGAACCCCATGATGCCGAAAGCAATGATGCCGAGCCCCATGATGCCGAACCCCATGATGCAGAAAGCGATGATGCCGAGCCCCATGATGCCGAACCCCATGCCGATGCCGAATCCCAGCCCTCCAGTCCTGACCAGGAAGAGCAGGAGGATGCTGGTGCCCCAGAAGCTGATGATCTCTCCTCCGCAGATGGCCGCGAAGATGGCCATGACAATGAGTCGGATGAGTGAACAGCTCCAATCTATAGGATGTTGAGGGACCGAATGGATCATTTTGATCTTATTTTGGTTAAGAACTTGCCAAGAAACAGCTTGGCCAATCCATACTATGCTGAAACTGGATTTAGACATATCCAGATGGCTTTTGAGACTAGCTTTGCACGACATCAGGGGAAAGGTGTCTTGTGCTCCATGGACAAACCGCGATCTTGGGAAAAATACATGTGTGCCAGGATGATTTTCTTGGCATGTTCATCGGTGCTTGATACATATTTGATTGGCAAGTTTCATCAGCACCTGGTGGTTTACAAGGGGAATATACCAAATTATGTGGTCTGGGTATTTGGTATCCACTAAACTTTTATAATGATATGGGTATGGTTCAGAATTGTTGAGCTAACACCACCAAAAAATAATGATTTACCGGTCTTGGATCAAATTCTGGGTCCCAATATCTTCTTTTTCACCCATACTCAAAACACAGTAATACACATCCCAATTTTATCTCTCATTCCTTGGCTGCCATCATGCCAGATGAAGTCTCCCGAGTGATGACCTGCCAGTGGACCAGTGAAAACCAGAGCGTCGTCCTGGAGGTTCCTGACGATGAGAATTCCAAGTCGACCTCGGACAGCGAGAGGTGCACTTGGGCAGAGTTGCTGGCCGAGATGGAGGAAAACAAGGTGACAGATCCAACCATCAATTTGCACGAGCTGCACGCTCCAGTCATGGATGATGCAGGTATCCAACTAAGTTCCCCCATCGTAATGGAAATTCAAATGTATGCACCAACCATTTTTTGATATTTCCGATCCCCGCTCCATATCAATGGTACCTAGGTCAGACTGGTTCGCAGCGCTACTTGATCAAACCAAAGGCCACACCAATCTATTTCCAATACTCTGCAGTAGCTGGTGGGAACTACAAGTACACCAACATTGCTTCGGCTTTCACTGGTGAAGACACTTAGCTCCTGTTTACACCCCACCAAAAAATCAGAAAGATAGCACCAAGATTTTCTCAAGACCATTGGGTACCATTATGTAATCACAAACACTTGGCCCAAGGAATTGGATGCGAGCCGACTGCTTGTGAAAGTTTGGCGAGTCATGTACGACAAGCCCAGCAATGCCCCTTGGCATTATCATCGTACCATACTTGACATAGGTTACACATGTCCCTGGTCCCTGATTAAAGGCTGAGACCCTGGCTGGCTGGCTGGCACGCTAAGGAGATTTCCCCGCGACGCTTGTCGACACTAGCTGGTGTTGGCTAAACTTGAACTGTTTTGAGTTTTGGGGGCATGCATCATGCCTCATGATATATGCACCTTCAAAAAAAAGGATTTGAATTTTCCACCCAGCATGACATGAGAACCTAAGGTAAGCCGTTGTATTTTCCGGCCACTGACATCGAGATGCCGGAGGGTGGGGTGGTGCGACTGCTTTGAAAGAGCATGCGTCTAGCATCACCTACAATGATTGGGTGATCTTCACTGGGCATAGAATGGCAATGACCTGGTGTTGAAACCCGATCACTCAAAAGTCACTAACTTTAAAATAACCATTCAATCGTTTTGCTTTGGGGGCCAATCAGGGCCACAGCCCAGCTGGAGGCGGTATGAACAAACATGGCAACAGGTGCGAGCAAGATGGAAAAAATGTGACACCTTTGGCTGTGCAGTGATAATTAAGTGCCCCAACTATGGTTGCCCAGGTTAACACATTGGGTTCAAACCTGATTGCAATGAAATCTACCCTGATTGCAATGAAATGGCCTTTATAGTTATATATCTAGAAAGGTTGGAGATAGTTGGAGGCCATTTCAGTGGTCAATGGCCATGCAAAAGGAACCGATTGATTGGAGGTACCTACCATATATAAGGCCTATGTTTCAGGGCTAAATTTTAGGGAATATCCCCAGAAAATATGGCCTGATATTATATGATATGGCTACGTTTACGTTACCTCCATCAATTGGATCCTGGAGATCTCCCATTCACCGAAGCTTGCACATGTTTGCACAATGTGGTACCCCCCCAGTTATAAGTTAGTTTATAACCCCCATCAACTATAGATATATCTACCATAAGTCCCACTTATTGTAGTTATAAACCAACTTAGCTATCTATGGGGCACCACTATGCACAATTTGGTGGAGCCAACAGAGTTGGTCAGAGAAACCATTCATGGAATCCTGGCAACGCTCCGGCATTTTTGACCTTTGGATTCTGTGCACAAGGGGGATCAAGGGGGATCATGTCACATCTGGATACTTTAATGGTGATTAATGGTGATTAATCGTGATTGATACTGATTTTTTAGTGATGAATGGTGATTAGTGGTGATTAACAGTGATTGATAGTGATCAATGGTGATTATTGAGGATTAATGGTAACTAATGATTAATGGTGATTAATGGAAATGATCTACAAATCTAGGTCAACCGACTGGATGGATACAAACTAATCCGCTGAATCGTCTTTTGGTATTAATGGGAATATCTACGTTCACCGTTCACCAGCAAAGAATGTGTCATTTTCTGCAGGGTATCTAAGATTGGCCATGTTAGGATAAACTGTTCCTTCAACAGCACTGACTGCCACCCCCTCTGAAGAATACGATGCACTGTCAATTTATCCCCAACTGTTGTTTCTATGCAACCAAATGTGTCACCCCCTGTAAAGATTAGGGAACACGTTGCTTTGTCAGATATGGAGCACCGTCAGGGTTGCAGCTAAGATGGGTTCCGCAGTTACCCCCCAAGATGGTGAAACTGTTGCTATGACAAAGTTGGTACTCGGTATTCCCCCCGATGTGTTAACACTGTGTGGTTTTTGCATCCACATATCATCCACATATCATTTGGCTAAATTATACCAACCTCATACAACCTCTCTCCGACATCACTAGAATGTTGGTTAGTTAGGATAACTATCCCTAAATGGTCTTATTTCCGGTTTGTGAATGAACCTTAATTTAGTAATTTATATGAATGTATCCAGATATCAGTATCGATCAACCGTTGAATCACCATGGCCCTGGCCGCACCTTTGATGCTTAAATCCAGCATCATTTTGGCCGAGGCTCTTTCGGGAAGCGAAGGGCAAGCCTGGACAGCAGGTGGAACATTCAGCGGATATGGTTGGATACAAGGTGAGTCCCTTCAGGTGTAAGTTGATCTATAAACTCACTAACTATATTAGTACATGTGTATATGTGTATTATATATATCCATATATTGTAACCTAATATTGACTATGAACATTTAACTATGTATATTAACTATGCGCATATATATATATATATACACATACACACACACATATATATATACATATTTGTGTGTGTGTAAACCTAAGCTAATTAAATTAAAACAGACTTATCTAGGGGCCTTAGCTGTTCCCAACATAACCATCCAAGGGTTGCGGTTCGGAGCCAATCTTTTGCAGGATGGATATTATATTTATGGATATTTATTGGTGGATATCATGGATATATGGATCGAAAAGTCCTGTTTTGATGTGACTTGTCCTTTTTTTCCCGGGGGAATATTGGAAGGTAGTAATTTGTTTATGGATTCTCTGGAGAACTATGTGGAGCTAAGGAGCCCACCTGGTGCCTCAAGAATCTGAGGATAGTTCTTTGCCATAGGTGAAGATGTGACCATATCCAACAAATATCCATTGGATACACTGTCCAGCACATCCATAATGTACCCAGAAAATGAAGATTCCGTGCACCAAATATGCGACAACCTATCAGCATCGAAAATCAAATGATGATGCAGTAAGCACAAAAAATGCATATAAAACCATATACCCTCTGGTAAACTAACAGTTTGCCATTCAAAAAGGCCCAGTCGAAATAGTTGTTTTTCCCAGCTATAAAATGGTGGATCTTTCCAGTTCGTTTTTTTGTATGTTTACCAGTGATTCACCACTACTAACCATCATTATCAATCATTAACTACTACTGCTAACCATCATTATTACCCTCCGGTAAACTAACATAACTATGGAAAATCACAATTTTCAATGGGAAAATCCACTACAAATGGTCATTTTCAATAGCTACGTTAAATTACCAGAGGGTAACCACCAAGATTTCATCTCCATGTTTTTTTTACTTTTTCTGTTTTGACGGGGATTTGGAATCCTGGATTCCGAGGGAATCAGCATTTCCCCGATCCGACAGTCCGACATGGGAAATCCACTGGACATGTGCATTGAATATGATTGAAATGGGAAAAACATGCGTAGTGGAACATTTCTAGAGGGTATGGCATGTCTGGAAATTCATGTGTTAAAATGGGAAAATCAAGCATAGTTAGTTGAACTTGTTGATCTTCGAGCAAGCCATATGTGATTACTAGAGGGCAAATCACCATTGAATCAGGCGATATACCACATTGTAGTAACCCAAAAAAAATGATAGAGAAGTAAGTCATCACTGTTTTACTCGAGTTCTAGTTTTTTGAATCTCGGGAATGACTATAAGCTACGACAAGTCCCAATAGATCCATGCGATGTCGTCGCAGGATGCGGTGCGACTGCTGTGTAGCGTGGAGCGACAGAAACAGGGCCCCGATTTTTCCATCGACAAGATCCAGGCTGAGCTACGTAGCTGTCGCGACAGCGAGGCAGGGCGACCAATGTCCGGCTACCTTTTGGTAATTTATCGATTGAAACTCACCGTGCTTAATAGGTATACAGCTATGAATTGCCATTTTTAATAGCTTTTTTGTATCTTTACCAGAGGGTATGTTTGATGATGTTTATACCCAAGTAGTTCGATATATCATGATATATATATATATATATACATATCATCTAAATCCGATGTTTGTGGTTCAAAACCAACTTAGCAATCATAAACCTCTATGAACATATCTTGCTTAAATCTCTATGGTTACCCTCTGGTAAACTAACATTTTGCTATGGAAAATCACCATGTTTAATGGGAAAATCCACTATAAATGGCCATTTTCAATAGCTACCTTAAATCTCCATGGTTGGTGAAAAAAAAAACGCCAACACGACGGACAGCAAAACCGGAGGACAAGCGAGGCCAGGGTGCTATGCTTCTGGCCTTAGCCGAAGCTCAATTGGCCAAGGCCTTGGCCGGTGAGGCTTTAAGCAACTTGGAACTTGTTACCCTCTGGTAAATAAACATAGACCCTGAAAATCACCAATGTTTAATGGAAACTAGTCTTCCAACCCCTATCTGCCAGGGTCTATGTTAATTTGCCAGGGTGTATGTCTTATGTGGCAGTGTGTCAAAACCAATAGTACCCCTGTAGTTCACATCAAAAATAGCTGGGATTTATGGATGTTCATCCCCCATCATCCCCCTAAAAATGGTATTAATAGGTATTGATCCATGCCCATGTCACGGTGGGTCACCTGGCTATGGATTTTTTTTACAGCATTGATTGCTGGAGGTCTATGCTTCAATAGGGTATATGAACTGATAATGCATTTTGACTACTCATCAAAAATATCAATGGGTTGGTTTAAGGGAAAATCGAAACCGAAAACAATGTTTTTCCCCACCAAATCAATGAGGTTTTCCTGTAGATTTTCCCTTTTCCCCAATCCAATGAAAATAGGGTAGGGACTACATAGACCACCAAAAAAAATTGGCTATTTGCTGGCGAAGCCAACGGGCAACATCTGCCAGACCAAAGGTAGGGATGCAGGGGATGCACGACCAGAAAAAATCTGGTCGTGCAGCCACCCTGTGGCCAATCAAAAATCATTGACATGAGGTTGAAGTAAGTGTCATAAGGCCTATGGTATACCACTTAGGTTGGGAGTTTAACCAGTTATAACCAGTTGCTACATGTCAGTCAGGGATGCCCAGACTGCTGCGCTGGTCAAGTTTGCCTGGATGGATTGTTGTCATAGGGGTGAAGTTGGGGTGATTTCAATGGGTATGGTATTAGCTGTAATTCTAACTGGTTGGTGGTTTGAAACATGACTTTCATGACTTTCCATATATTGGGAAGTTCATCATCCCAACTGACGAACTCCATCATTTTTCAGAGGGGTAGGGTTCAACCACCAACCAGATAACCATGGGCTTTTGACTCCCACAGGTTGGCGAATTCCTATTGGCAAAGAGAAATGGCCGGCTCTGTTTGGAGGATGTGGTTTCATCACTAAAATTAGGATGATGATCCCAATTAACCTTTTTTTTTTTCCCTGGTAGAGTGGTTATTATAGGGGATTATGCTACAAGGTGGTGCCCCATAGTTAGCTAAGTTGGTTTATAACTCCAATAACTATGGTTTATGGTAGATAACTTATAACTGGGGGGGGCACAACTTTGTAGGGGATTATGCTACCTGGTTAAATGATGATTATGATAACCCATAGTAGGGAAACCTATTTGGCAACCAGTTTTTATTGAGATGGGATACGGGAATGTTTAATCGCTCAATGTAGGTTAGACACCAACCAGCTATCATTGATAGCCGGTTGGCTCAGTCTCCCCATATCTCCATCTGTTTGTTAGCTATGCCCGAAGATACCCCTTAGTCTCACCATTTGGTAGTTTTGTGTCACTCAGCTGCCTAGCAGCATGAAATTTGATGAAATCCCATTTTTAAGTTGATGTATATTTCCTACAACCCCTATGTGTGTGCTTATATATCCAGTTGAACTGGAACAGCATCCCAAAGTGCCCGTAGATCTTCGACATTTTTGGTGATGGGTTTATAAACACCACATATCCCACAAGAAGTGGCAATTTTTAGAAGTTTTCAAGACATCATACGAACGTTGATCTCAAAGGCCCACAACAATCCACTGGCCATTGATCTGGCAAGTCGGCCTCAAAAATAAGCGATACTCTCTGGTAAACTAACATAGCTATTGAAAATGGCCATTGAAATAGTTGATTTACCCAGCTATAAAATTGTGATTTTCCATAGCTATGTAAACGTTTACCAGAGGGTACTGGGGTGGCAATTAGATGCATTGGGACCCTGTTGGGACCCTGTTGGGACCCTGTCATCCCAAGGCAACATCGAAGAAGCTCTCCCCTTGCTTAGAGCTGCCGGAGACAAGAGGCAGCTGCATCTGCATCCCGCTGGACTCCATCTTACCTACCACAGAATTAAGAATAGTGTGCGTCCTGTATGCCAAATGTTCTGTGTACCCTCTGGTAAACTAACATAGCTATTGGAAATGGCCATTTATAGTGGATTTTACCATTAAAAATGGTGATTTTCCATAGTTATGTTAGTTACCAGAGGGTAATTAGGTTTTCCCATCGAATATTACGGTGTTTCTATGGGATCTATGGGATCTATGTGCAATTGGCTGACGAAATCCGCGCATTTTTTAACCAGAGATCCTTTTTTTTGTGAAGCAGATGAAAGAGAAGACAGCTGTACAAATGTGTTCATGTTTTTATCATATGGAAAAAAACGAGTGTTTTAATATTATCATATTGTTACTGTAACCAGTATTGTTGTTAAACATTATTCAACATTATTCAACATTATTCAACATTATTGAACATTATTAAGCATTATTCAACATTCTTAAACATTATTAAACATGCTTGAACGTTATTAAACATTACTAAACATTATTAAACATTATTTTAAAAAAAAATGTTAAACATTATTAACCATAATTGATTACTCATGTTCATATCGTCAGCTTGCTGTGATGATATACTTCTGCTCTTAAAATGCCCGCACAATTCATGGCCCTTGGCAAGACGATCTCAAGCCACATGCATTGCGTATGCGTTTTTCTGCGGGGCAGGGCAGGGATCCGTATGGTAAATGGTAAATGGAAATTGGTGGTTAAAAGGAACTCATACAATGGTTCGGATTATTAACCTTCAACCATTCTGATCAGTATCATTAGATGATTCCCAAGTGCTTACCATAATTAACCATGACCATGTGTAAATGGTTGCCAAATGGTCACTATTAACAACCATTATTAACCATTAGATACCAATAGTTAGTAACCATTAGAGTATAATATAGAAACCCAGGCCCATACCTTGATAATACTGGTGATCTATTTACATTTGTAGAATTATTAATACCATTATCCATTCATACCATTAACCATTCATATTATATTACTAAAACCATTCACCATGGCTAATGTCATTAGTAATCATTAATGTTATATAACCATTAACCATGACCATTACACCATTAACCATTAACCATGATCAATAATTAAATAGATCATTGGTTATTGACCAGGATAAATAATAATTAATGGCATTGACCAGGATTAACCATTAACCATTATTAATAATAACCATCAATAGTTACTAACAATTAATATTCATATTAATGGTAACAATTTATGGTAACCATCGACCATAACTATAGCCATGTTGATAGCATTGACCATTCATCATGGGAACCACTACTAATGGTTAATGTTGAGCCATTAACCATTAACCTAATGTCATTACCAACCATCTAACCATAACAATTGATAGTACGGTAACATCAATATTATTATACCATCAATTAACCATACCATTATTAATACCATAATTTATATATACCATTATTTCTGATAACCATTTAGCAATTATTAATACCATTAGCCATTCATACCATTAACCATTCATATTATATTACTAACCATCTAACCCATTACCAACCATTAACCATTGCTTATATCATACTAATATTGACCATTTGTTATTAGCCATTCTAGTTAACCATAACCATTAGACCATTAACCATGATGCTACTAACCATTTGATAGCTGTTACGGTTTATCAATACTAACCACTATTAATTCTAATAACCATTCGTTTTATAATACTAATATTAACCACTAACCCTAACCATAACCATATCATTGCTATACCATTAAGCATTCATATTAAGATATATTACATTCAATACTAGCCGTTAACCTTTTTTTATAATGACCATTAATGGTTACTAAAAATTAATTAATGGTTAACCATAACTATTAATACCACTGTTAACCATCAACTAACCATACCGTTGTTGATACAGTTGATACCATATACTAACCATATCCTAACCATTGCTATCAATACCATAATACAATTATTGAGAGATATTAGGTTGTTAATATCAATATACCATGGTTAAATGGTGATGGTTAGATGGAATACCATATTTCTTTCAATACCATTTACTATTAATACCATCTAACCATCAGCCTTAATACTAATAATAGTAGCAACCACAATATCAGCCATTATTAACACTAACATATTCTAACCATTAATTAACCATGGCTAATGTCATTAATAACCATATTATTAACCAGTGGTTATTATACTAACCATTGTTGACCATCATTTAAAATCATTAATACAGCCAGTATACTAAATGATGATTAGTATATGGTCATGATTCACCATACCATACCATACCATTATATAACTGGTCATAATAACCACTTGTTAGTATTATAATAACCATTATTGACCATCACTAATTAAATACTAGATTAGTAATGGTATACTAACCATTATATACTAAGCATTATGATTAACTAAAAACATTAACCCCATATATTGGGTGGTTTGGAACATTTTTTATTTTCCACAATATATGGGAGTAATAATCCCAACTGACTAATATTTTTCAAGATTGTCAAAAGCACCAACCAGACCATCATTTAAAATCATTCACCAGGAAAATCGCCCATAGAAATAGATGATTTTCCCATTAATACCTCCATTTATAAGGGATTTTCCATGGCTATGTTAGTCATAACCAGATGGTTAGTCATAACCATTAATGGTATATTAACCATTAATGGTATATTAACCATTAATGGTATATTACTAACCATTATCCTTAACCATTATGATTAACTAAGCCTTAGTAATGGTATATTAACCATTAACCAGATGGTATAATAATTCATAACTGAATGTTAGTATGGTGATTAACTAAACATTAATTATAATCATGAACTAAAAATCATTAACCATACTAAACATTAATAATAATCCCAACTGACGTTCATATTTTTCAAGATGGTTAAAACCACCAGCCAGACCATTTAAAATCATTCACCAGGAAAATGGCCCATTTATAGATGATTTTCCCATCAACATTATTAAGCATCATATATATGGGATAATCCTTCCCATTGACACTAACCATTATATACTAACCATTATGATTAACTAAGCATTAGTAATGGTATATTAACCATTAGTAATGGTATATTATGCCATATATTAACCACCATTAATGTTTTAACCATCATTAACCATACTAACCATTATGATTAATCATTAACAGATGGTATAATAACCACTAACAGATACCATACTAACAGATGTTATTAGTAGCCATTCTAACCATTAATTATAATCATTAACTAAAAACCATTCACCATACATTCACCATACCGCCAGGCTGGAAGCCTTCGGCAACGTCCTGGCAGCCCAGGCGCAGCTGCGCCGCGCCAGCGCCAAGGACGCGGCGCTCTCGGCGGAGGCGGCCGTGGCGCTGTACAAAGACGCCGGAGATCGGCCCGGGGAAGGACGGTTTCTGGGGGAAAAAAAAGGCCACAAGGCTGGGAAAAAACCTGAAAAAATGGGTGATTTATGGATTTTATGGGAAAAAAACTTGAAAAAATTTGTGATTTATGGGATTTTATGGGAAAAAAACCTGAAAAAATGGGTGATTTATGGGATTTTATGGGTATTTAAGCATGAACAATGATGATTTATTGGGATTTTCTGGTGATTTGAGCATGAAACATGAATAAGAATTGTGAATTAGAGTGATTTAACAGTGAATTTGATGGGGATTTAGTGGTGGTTAAGAGAAAATGCGGCTAAACATCATGAATATGGTGATTTAACCGAACAAAGATGGTGAAACATGGTTAAATTTGGACTTGGCAATGAAGATGTTGGGAAGAAGAATGATCCATTGGGATTTGATGCTGGTTCAATATGAGTTCACAGTGGTTTATCGCTGATTTACTAGGGATTTTAAAAATGCTATGTTAAATTATAACGACCTCACTGCGACCTCACTGGGAATCATGGTTAGTAAGGAAAATCATCCCCAAATGGCCTTAATTCAGGTTAGTGAATTATTATAATTTACCATGAATGATCTACTGCATGCAGTTAATATGAGATACCCTCTGGTAAACGTTTACATAGCTATGGAAAATTACCATCTTTACTGGGTAAATCAACTATTTCAATGGCCATTTTCAATAGCTACGATAAATTACCAGAGGGTAACTGATGATCACAATGGATTTACCAACAGAAGTTAGCTGCGATAAAATGCGGGGAGGTGGGTATGCATGGTCTTAAGGGAGAAAGTTTGGATGGGGATAGGGCCTGATGGTCTCTGTGGTTCCCGTATTTCACGATGATGGGGATCTGGTTGAGGAACCCTCTGGCAACAGTTTGCCATGGAAAATTGCCATCTGTAATAGGTGAATCATCCAACTAAATGCTGCACTGTTTGAATTGCACAACGTTTTTAATGTCAGAGTGTGGCGGATATTTCTGGACCTCATGGATTTGTTTTCATCATTTTCATGTTATGTTTTGTGTTTGTCACGAGGTTATGTTATGTCATTTCATGTTAGATTCCGCTCTCAAACATGGGAGAGAGCGAGGAAACACATCTTGGGGCAGATGGACGATAGTTGACGATAGGGATCAATTGATCATGAAAAAATGGGCTGAATGGGTTCAAAACCACATTTGGTATTTTGGGTAATTATATACATATACGATTATAAATATATACAATGTGGGGCCCCCTAGTTAGTTATAAGCTGGTTTATAAGCCCCAATAACTATAGTTAGTTATAAGTACCATAAACCATAGTTATTGGAGTTATAAACCAACTTAGCTATCTAGGGGGCCCCACTTTGTATATATATATATACACGCATATGTGTGTATATACATCCAATATCATTCATATCCATTGGTTCTAATTATACCCCATGAATATACATCATTATATCATTACAAACCCTGGTAGCATCTCCCACCTTTTCCGCCCAACCATCTCATGAATCCGATGTTTTTTGACGTTTTTATTCCGGCATTTCAACGTACCCGTGGCAATTGAACATCCACCAATTATATATAGGTGATTTTCCCATTAACACCTGCATTGATGCGGAATTTTACATTGCCATCTTTGATTGCCAGAGGGTGTTTCACTTGAATATAACCTCCCGATATTTAATAGGTACATCATGATAAATCGTGATAAACCATCTACAAACGAACCATGGCTTCCAGCTTGCAAACTGTTCAATGACCAGAGGGTTTGTCCTCACCGGAACACCCACTGCTTCATCATGAATCTCCATGAATCCCTATGAATTCCTATCGTGGCTTTTGGCTTTGGTTTATACTTTACAACAATAGTGTATGATACCCTCTGGTAAACTAACATAGCTGTAAAAAATCACCATTTATTAATAGCTGGGTAAATCAACTATTTCTATGGCCATGTTCAATAATTAGCTATGTTAAATTACCAGAGGGTACTTCGAAAAAAATATGCAGATGGGGTCCCATAAACCAACAAACATTTCACTGGGGACCATCCTGTATCATTTGATGGCCTTTTTTTCACCACAACCTCCCAGCAGCGACTTTGGCCAGGAAAGTCCTACAACTGCCTCTCCCTGGCCCAGATGGACTTGGGTCGCGCTTCCGAAGCCCTCAGCGCAGCACATGCAGCGCTGGAAATCGCCAATGAACTGGAAAGTCAACGCCTGCAGGCCAATGCCTTGCAACTGATTTCCACAGTACCTTGCTTACCTTGGTTGGATTTTGGTGGATTTTACTCTCTGGTAAATAAACATAGACCCTGAAAATCACCAATTTTTAATGGAAACTAGTCTTCCAACCCCTATCTGCCAGGGTCTATGTTAATTTACCAGAGGGTAGTAGATTTTGGTGGATGTTGACGGATTTTGCTGGATTTTCATCGATTTTGGTGGGATGACTTGGATTTTGGTGTATAACTTGGATGGTTTGGATGATTTGGACATGGGATTGATGCCCATTCCAGGTAAACTGGAGGCACTGTACCAGAAAAAAAAAACACATTTTGCTGGCAGATCCCCTTGCACAGCCCTTATGTAAGCCTTATATATGGTAGGCACATCCAATTTAGGTTCCTGAAATGGCCAGTGATTTTAGATGGAGTTGCAGAAAATTATCCATGAAAAATGGTGAACGTTGATAATGCCATCATCAGAAATGGTGTATCTCAAAATGAGATTCTGCCCACGTCCAATTCCAGTCGGTGCAGAATCAAGCCCTGTGGGCCAAAGAGATTCGCATCTGAACTATAACTGGTACTATAACTATTAATTATTATAACTATAACTCTAGTAACTAATGATAGTTAATAGTGGTAATTTGATATAGAACTATAACTAAACTATAACCATGATGGTTACTTAACTATTATAACTATAACTCTAGTAACTAATGATAGTAGATTCATAATGATTAACTGATGATTTATAGCAACTAATGATAGTTAATGAGCTATAACTATAGCTATAACTATAACTGGTACTATAACTCTTGATTATAACTATAACTATAGTAACTAATGATATATAACTATAGTAACTATAACAATAGTTCATAATGGCTAATTGCCTACAATGTGAGGCCCCCAAGATAGCTAAGTTGGTTTATAACTCCAATAACTATAGTTTATGGTTCTTATAGCTATAGTTGCTGGGGCTTATAATCCAACAAACATCACTGGGGGGCCTCACATTGTATCTTCCAGTGCGACTGAATCACTGGTGGAGGGTTTCAACTCACCGAAGTAGCCCACTGGTAAACTAACATAGCTATGGAAAATCACCATTTTTGATGGGTAAATCCACTATTTCTATGGCCATTTTCAATAGCTATTTTGACATAACCAGAGGGTACCTATGGGTTTTCCTCTGGTAAATAAACATAGACCCTGAAAATCACTAATGTTTAATGGAAACTAGTCTTCCAAGTCCTATTTGCCAGGGTCTATGTTATGGTTATAGTAACTAATCATAGTAACTAATGATAGTGAGAGTAACTAATCATAGTCACCAATGATAGTTAATGCCATGTTAATTACCTATGGTTTTCCCCTGGCCCCCTCCCCAGGTGCACCTCTTCAAGGAGAAGAGTCGCCCGGCGGTGCAGTACGCCGAGCGCGCCCTGGCGGTCTGCCGACGCGGCGCCTCGTCGAAGGCCGAAGGTGCGGCGTTGCGACTCCTGGTGACGCTTGGCGGCACGAAAAAGGGTGGATGACGGCGAGGACGGCCATGAAAAATGGTGTTGTTATGGGATTTTATGCGATATTCATGGGATTTGATGGGATTTTATGGAATTTTATGGGATTTTATGGGATTTATGCGAATTTTCTAGGGTTTTGATGGAGTTTTATGTGAATTTTATAGGGATTAAGGTGGTGTTTTAGCCCTGAATTTTATGGGGAATCATCAACGATTAGCTTTGAAAGATGAGGATATAATGGAATTTCCCAACCCTGATGTTGTTCAACCATCCAAAATATAGTCGATTTAAGACTGATTTAGGACTCAAGGCTGGTGAAACGTGATGAAAAATGGTGGGACTACAAGGATTAAACTGTTTTTTTGTGGATTTCGATTTTCAAAGAAGGATGGTGAACGTGTTAACACTTGGCAAAAAATGATTGATGTGGGCCAAATGGGGATGTAACCATGAAGCACTTGCAGTTTGACCATACAAGGAGGTCACCATGTATGATGGTTGATAGGCAGGACCAGCAGACACATCAGCAGCATATGCTGAAATCATGCAGCAGTTTGAAGGTGAGGTAAATACCATGCTTGCCCACAAAGATAAAAAGCCACTCAATAAGCAACAACTTGGGAGGGGACAGACACGTGAGGTTCATTTAGTTGTAGAGTTCTCTGCACCACCTAAGAAAGGGCGACCAGGAGATCTTGAAACTGGATATCACGGCATAGACCCAGGTCATAGCAAGTGGTTAAGACAAGCACGAAGGTTGGTAAACTTGGCTCGTTTAACCAAGGTTTCTGAACCAACTCCAACACATCAGAGACACAAAAACCGTTTGTGGCAGAGCATTCTCCAGGCCAGCGGATTCACACCATCGTTTGCTGCCTGGTGGAATCAACATTTGGGTGCTCATGCAGCTATAGGAGAAGAATGCCCAGGACCCAATGCATCCCAAATTATTTCTGAGTGCTTTAACGAGCGGTTGAGAGCCTTTGAAAAGATGTTAGGTAAACAAAGAGTTGGAGAAGCCAAGTTGCGCAGAAACCAAAACCCCAACCTGATTTTCCGCGACCTTCAACCTGAAGGACAGATCCCATGTCAGTCCTTGCTGCTGCAAGCAAAAGCACAAGTGGTTGATGTCTCCCAGGAAGACTGTTCCATCGAAGTTCAACCGGAAGCTGACTGGAACCCAGAGGCCATGTTGATAACAAAGCATGGCCCGGTAAACATCATCCATGCAGAGGCTGACAAGTTGTGGCTTGACAAAATCCCAGGTGATCTTGTAGATAGCCCGGTCAGTCAAGACCGACATATAGGGGAACTAAATGAGATGTTTGATGAATTCCGTAAAGAATGGACCCTGCGGTGGGACAAGCATCTCCACACCCCAGATGAGTTTTGGGACCCGCTGGTTCCTTTCACCGAACAGGCATTTCCCAAACAAAAAGCCATGAAATACGAACCTATAACCTACCAAGTATGGCGCAGAACCTTGAAACAGAAATCCAAGAGAGCGGCAACAGGACCAGACGGTCTCTCACGGGATGACCTCCTGCATATGCCCAAGTCGCTTACCATGAAACTTCTGGCATTATTGGAAGCGATTGAGAAGGATGGAAAACAATGGCCAGAACAGATGGTGCAAGCCTTTGTCATTGCCCTTGCTAAACATAGTGAAGCGGCGTGTGTAAATGATTATAGGCCGATCTCCATTTTCCCAGTAGCTTACCGAACATGGTCAAGTATCCGTGCCCGACAGGTCATTGCACATCTTTCCTCGTTGGTGCCAAGCACTTGTGCAGGAAGCGTCCCCCATAAATCAGCACATGACGTTTGGTTTTCAATTTTGAATGAAATTGAAATGGCCCACCATCAAGGAACTGAAGTTGCGGGTGGGGCAATTGACTTGGTAAAATGTTTTAACCTTCTCCCAAGGGTTCCTGTTTTGAAAATCATGCATCATTTGCAGGTAGCACCCGAAATCTTGCGGGGATGGAGTGCGGCGTTGGTAGCAATGAGACGCAGATTCAAACTACGGAATTGTGTGGGGCCTCCAGTCCCATCTACCACGGGTTTTGCTGAGGGCTGCGGCCTGAGCGTTACCGCCATGCTGACAGTAAATATAGTAGCCCATAGATGGATGCGATTCAAACACCCACTGACCCAGTTGTGGTCCTTCGTAGATAATCTCGAGGTCACTAGTCCCAATGCCACCCAGGCAAAAGTAGCCCTAGATGCCCTTTTGGACTTCATGAAAGTCTTAGATGTCCAAGTTGACTTGTCAAAAACTTATGTATGGAGTTCCACCAGGTCCGGCCGAAGGGAAATGAGACATGATGAAGATCAACCCTTTCAAATCATGTTCCAAGCAAGGGACCTTGGGGGCCATATGGGTTACACCCTCCAACACACCAACCGAACCCTGACATCAAGGTTGGAAAAAATGCCGGAGTTATGGAACCTGCTTGCCAGATCATTGGCCCCATATCACCAAAAACTTCGGGCTTTGACAGCCAAGGCTTGGCCGCTTGCACTCCATGGAATTCAAGGCGTTTCTTTAGGTGAACATCATTACACATCTTTGCGCACCGGAGCGACAAGAGGACTGAAGGTCCACAAAAGTGGAATGAACCCGATGGTTCACCTTGGTTTGGTTGAGCACCCGAGGTTCGATCCGCAATTTCATGCCATACTCCAGACAGCCATGTTGATCAGATCACATGGTCCGAGCATTGAGCAGTTTGAGTTCATTCTTCAGGAACTACATGTACCATGGAAACGTAAACAACCCCCGCCGGGGCCATGCCATGTCTTACTAGCCCGAATACACCAACTAGGATGGGCATGGAGGTTCAATGATGTTTTCGTAGATCACCAGGGACTGCCAATCAAGCTGTTGAGATGTCCAATCCAGGAGCTCAAGACCAGATTGAGAGATGGGTGGCAGAAGAGGGTTTTAGGGATAATTCAAGCTAGGCCCACGTTTGAAGGAGCCCCGTACATGTCCCCTCAAATAACCACCGCCTCAATGAATAAGTTTCCCCCTGAGCAGCAAGCCTTGCTGCGGACGTCCCTTAATGGTAGTTTCTTTACAGCAGATCATGCACCACACCAGGACCCAAATGCAAGCGATCTGTGTAAGTTTTGTCAGAGACCAGACAGTCAGAAGCATAGACACTGGGAATGCCCATACTTCTCAGATTGCCGTCAAGGGTTGACCACAGTACAAATAGATGCCATTCAACAGATGCCACCTGTAACCCATGTCCATGGATGGGTTCCACAACCGCCCACCCAAAGGGAGTTTCAAGAGATGCTGCTGGGAATCCCAGATGAATCAACCAATTTTCTTTCTCCTCCAGTAAGATCAGATCATGTTCATGCATTCACTGATGGATCATGCCTGGATCCGACCAGTGATCTCACACGATTGGCAAGTTGGGGAGTGACCATTGGAAGTCCGCAGGATGAACAGTTTTGGCCACTTGCCAATGGCCTCCTACCAGGGTATTGGCAATCCACTCTGCGAGCTGAAACCACTGCAGCCATTGCAGCTTGTGAGTTTGCGCTGTCTTGTAACATCTCCATCACCCTCTGGGTGGATAATGACCAAGTTTACAAGAAGGTAAAGAGATTTCAACAGGGGGGGGGTAGGATTACCAGTAATCAGCGTGACTCCGACCTGTGGAGTCGACTACAAATCTTGGTTCAGAGACTTGGCCAGCGATTGTACTATGTAGGAAAGATAGTCAGTCATCAAAATCCAGATGGTTTAGCTGATGAAGGTGATAGATGGTTGTGTGCTGGTAATGCAGCGGCTGACGCTCTAGCCGCCAATGCCTTTCGCCGGTTCCCCAGCCAGATGGAAATCCACCAAAGATTCAAGCAAGATTTATCAGATGTGTACCTGTTTCGAAACAAGATCCACCAGGTTTTTGTTAAAGTAGGTCTCAAAGCCGTTACCGCGACGACACCCAAGCAGGATGCGGTTCCAGTCCAACCGACTGAAGTGTTGTTGCAACTGGAATATATTCCTCAAAAGATCGACTTGACCAAATTACCTAGGAGATATGACTTCCCCGATAATGATAAGGTGTTGCAGTGGTTCCATGATATCCTTGATGAACAGGCCCCACTAACCATGGTAAGCTGGTTTCAACTTGCGATCCTCTATGAGCGCCAAACACAAACACTAGGAATCACGTATAAGCCTTCCTCTAAGCGATACTTTCGTGCTACCCAGCAGAATCGACCATCGTTTGTAAAGAGAGCCAACCACCTTTCCAGATGGCTACAGGGGGTATGCGGTCCCACCTTAAAAATTAGCCATGCCAAACCAAATAGTTTTGCATTGCGTTTCTGGACAATGTGCATTACAGTGAGAATCCGGGAAGACTTTCTTGAACAGGCGGAAAGATATCTCGCTGAAGCCCAGTCGGCGTATGGACGTGTTTCTGATCTTCAAGGACTTTGACCACCAAGGGCGCCCTCGCTTCGTCCGCTGATGCCGACGCTGCCAGACAGTTCAAAAAGGTGTGTCAAAAAGGTGATGGTTGATAGGGGGAATCATACCCTCTGGTAAACTAACATAGCTATGGAAAATCACTATCATTAATGGGACAACTCACTATAAATGACCATTTTCAATAGCTATTTTGACATAACCAGAGGGTACAAGACTTGTTTGTCGATAATTTCCACTTTGGGAATGTATTGTTTTTCCAAATCCCGGCCAACAACCATCATCAGTGTTTCCATTCAATGCTTTCAATTTAAATGTCTTAGAAACCATGACTGGTTGGTGGTTTGGAACATGAATTTTATGACTTTCCATATGTTGGGAATGTCATCATCCCAACTGCCGAACTCCATCATTTTCCAGTTTCCCCCATGTTTTTAACCCCTATTGTTTACTGCCATGATTTTCCTGGTAGACCCATCACCACCCCCGGTCCCCAGGAAGTCCCTCATTTATCGGGGCGACCTGCAACGGGCCTTGAAGGAGGCCGAAGGCGCCCTGGAAGACTACGCCGCCGCCGGCATCGCCACGGCCGAGGCCGCCGCGCATGGAGCGCTGGCGTCGGTGAGGCAGGCGAGGAACGAGGTGGAGCTGGCCATCAGTGAGTCACTTGGAGCACCGGATTTTCCAGATTTCCATGGTTTAAAAAGGTTGATAATGGTTAATAATGGTCGGTGGTTTGGAACATGAATTTTTACGACTTTCCATATATTGGGAATGTCATCATCCCAACTGACGAACTCATATTTATCAGAGGGGTTGAAACCACCAACCAGTTAATAACGGTTTAATCATGGCTTATAATGGTTAATACTGGTTAATCATTGTCAATAATGGTGATTGCTATAATTTGACCGTTTTTCCATAGAAATTTGTGATTTTACCCATTACAAATGGGAATTTTCCGTAGTAAAATGTTAGTTTACCAGAGGGTACCCTGCAGTAAATGAACATAGACCCTGGCAACTACGAATAATTAGGTAATTTTTCAGGGTTTGGTGTGAATTTTTCAGATGGTAATATAATCTAATGTTTTTTTGATGATTCTTTTAGATGCGTAAGATTATAATTCACCATCCATGTTGAGTTAGTTTTGAGATGACTTGGCAATGTGTCAAAATTGGGTACACCTAAGTGGATGGTTCATACTCAAAATGCAGACAAGTCAATCTGAGGTTTGGCAGGTCTGAAAATAAAATGACCCATGCCCACTAGTCGTCACTTAGAGCACTGGAATTTCCAGATGTCATTGGATGTGTGAGGATGTTTGATGAACAATTGTGAATGTTGAATCTTAATTAACCACCCATGTTTAGTTAACCAATGTTAACCATCAATTGGTTTTCAGTGAGACACAGTGAGTCGCTGGGTCTAGATTCATGTTGAATGTGTTAGGAATTGAAGCATCAATTTTTTCAGGGTGTCGAATGGGAAAACCAGCAATTCTTGGAAATTGGTGGATTTATGCTGGGTTGAAATAACCTGCAGAATTTACTTGGAGCTGTTTGTTACTTAATATTCTTGTTTGAGGAGTGGGATTCACACTCCAGGAAGATTGGGGATTTTGACGCAAAAGTTGAATTCTTTTAACACGGAAGGATTTTTGCACCTGGAAAAACATATAAAAAGTGCGGCTTCAAGAAACTTGTACAAAAACCAAGACTTTTTTTTTGCAGAATTGGGTTTCAGCGGCCAACATGCAGACTTGACCAACCAGAATTTCCGAGTGCCAACGGAACTGCTGGTAGCTGAATGGGGTTGACTTGGGGATGGTTTATGGCAGTGTGTTAACCACATGACCTGCCAAGGCAAAGGCCATTTCAGGTTCCTAAATTGGAGATACCTACCATATATGGTCTATTTTTCAGGCTTATGTAAGGGAATATCCCTAGAAAATATGGCCAAACATATGGTACGTTTACGTACCTCCATCAATTGGATCCTGAAGATCTCCCATTGACCTAAGGCAAAATCAAGAATTGGACATCTTAAAGGAGCTTGGTGACCGCTGCTCGGCAGATGAACCCTCAAAAGGGGATCTCATGACTGAAATATGCGGATGAATCTCTTAAGGTTCATCTACTTTCAGCATATGTATGCGCAACCTTTAAAAAGATATAAAGCTAATCTGACTAATCTATCACCATTTTAGAGGAATGTTACTGTTCTACCTTTTTGGGGCTTACTATAACTCAACATAATTCAACATGTTTTATTTGAGGGGCTTGAAGTCTGGTTCCCCTAAAGATATCTGAAGATGGCAAAAGGCAATATCATCCATCTCCAAAAATCTCTTGGCCCATTTTTTTTGCAACATTTTGCGCGCAGCCCCTATGTTTTTCTTCTATGTCCATATGTTGGTTTATTGAAAATAACAAGTTGGATCTACTTTTCATCGCTGTTTAAATCTCATGTTTGGTGGAGTTTTCCCTTCAATTCCTATGATTTCCCACCGGTTTTTTCCTCTAAAAGCAGCCGTTGAAACAACGTGGTCTCAGGTCCCGGGCAGTTGGACGGTTTGCTGCTGCTGTCGCAGCTGCACGTGCAAAAGAAGCAAGCAGGGCTGGCGAAAGAACGGGCAGAGGAAGCCAAACAGCTGGCAGATGACCTGCAGGACCCCGTTGGTGGGTTTTTAATGGTTATTCACGGGAAATATATGCAATAAACATCTATAAATGGGATATGTCTTTATGGTGATTAATTGTTCTTACGGCGGTTATTAATGGTTATTGATTGTTATTAATGGTTATTGATGGATATTGATTATTAGTGGTGATTGATGGTTATTATTAGTGGTTATTTATGGCTAGTGGTTATTGGTGGAATTGGGTCTGGTAGACCGAAGAATCCCATCAGAGAGCGTGGGCGATTTTGGGGCCCCGAGAAAGATGAATAGATGCAGCACTAAATCATGGTTTCTGGCAAGTTTACCAGAAATACGTGGGGATTTTGAGGGTGTAGATAGGTGGATAGATTGATTTTTCGCTGATTTGTTGATTGATGGAGTCACTGGAAAGCAAAGATCAAAAGGAATGTCGTCTTCCAATGCTACAATAATAATAAATCATCCATAAATGGGAATGGTTTGAATCCCACCCATAAAAATTGTGATGACTGGGGAATGGTTTTAATTTTTGTCCTATCCACATTACCATTAATCATTAATCCTCAATAATCACCATTGATCACTATCAAACACCATTAATCACCATTAATCACCATTAATCACTATTAATCACCTTTAATCACCATTAATCACTATTATGTATGATACTTATAATGATATTTTCCAATGGGGTTATGTTAACCAACTTACAGGGGGGAAAAAACCATCCTGCATGAACCATTGGGTCCATTTTTATAAGGCATGTAACGTATGTCATCATTCGACAAATTACCCTCTGGTTATGTCAAAATAGCTATCAGCTATTGGAAATGGCCATTGAAATAGTGGATTTACCCATTGATAGCATGGTGATTTCCCATGGTTATGTTAGTTTACCAGGGGGTATGGGAAAGATGATACAAGGTTGATGACATACATGCCTTTTAATGGACAAAAATTGAATACAGGATGGTGCCCCCAGTTATGATTGTTGGTTTATAACCCCATCTAAATGTCATTGTAAGTATCATACACTAGTGTTATAAAATGTTATGTTCACCAACTTAGCTAACGAAGTGGGGCCCCATCCTGTAGATGTTACTTGTCCTGCAAACGTTTACATAGATGTGGAATGTGGAAGCATCACCATTTATATATCATGTTCCTAGGGGAACTCAAGAGTTTTCCACACTGTTTGTAAACGATTACCCCAAGGTAACCATTAATAACCATAAATAACCATCAATAACCACTAATTAATATTATTAACCATAAATAACCATTACAGTAATAAGCGTCACTAATCACATCAATAACCACTAATAACAACTAACGACCATCAATCACCATCCCATGGATAGCATATACCATCTGGTTATTTAACATAGCCATGGAAAATCACCATTTTTAATAGGTGAACCATCTATAAATGGACCATTTTCCATGGCTATGTTAAATAACCCGATGGTACCCATTCAAGGCACCATCAAGCGGGCCGGAATCGGAGAATCGGCCAGGACAAGAAGGCCGAAGTCTTAGCGACGGTCGCCTTGGTGCCTTGGTGGTAATATGCGTGGCTCGTCGTGGAGGATTTGATATGGATAAAAAGGATATGTTTTGATTAATCAATGGGATTGATAGTGATTAATAGTGATGAATTAATATTGATGGTACAGTACCTCCATTTTAGGATCCTGGAATTCCCATTGAATTAATGGTTATATGAACATTGTTCTCAGTGGAGTGGTTATTGGGTTATTTATGGATATTTATGGTGATTAATGGTGATTTATTGATGGTTTTTTTAGTAGGAAATGTATATAGATGGATTTTATGGTTATTTATTATGGTCATATTGATGGTTATGCTGATGGTTATTAATGGGAAATGTATGCTATACATATTACAATTGGGATATGTTTGTGATATTTTTTTGATTATCGATGAGAAATATAGATGGTTTTTTTAATGGATCTTGATGGATTTATGGCTGGATTATGGATTCATCTTATTCTATGGCATGGTGCTATTGATGGTTACCCTCTGGTGAACAAACATAGCTATTGAAAATGGTGATTTATAGTGGATTTTCCCGTTAAAAATTGCGATTTTCCATAGTTATGTTAGTTTACCAGAGGGTACTCATGGTTCTCAAGCGACTGATTCACCATGAATCATTGAAAGGGAATATGGATCATTCCTATGGTTTTAAGAAGGATAACAATTGGATATTCATAGTGAAATTAATAGGATTTAATGAACCATTATATTATTTCATGTCAAAATATATCATATCATATTGCATCAAATCATGTTTATGATATATTCTATATTCATGCGGAAGCACATGCATTGATACGCATCTGAATCTTCTTCCATACTCTTCCTATTGCAATGCTGTTCATGAACTTGTGCATCCCCCATGACCACTTTCCAAGTTCATTCACCCGGCCCTTGAATTCCCAGAACTGGCGGCAATCTACAGGAAAAACATGGAAGAGCCTTATTTGAATGTTAAAAAACACATCATTTACCGGTAGATTATTGATTATAAACACTAGATGTTGTTGGGATGTATTGACTATTTTAATTCTAATACCTAGTCATTTTTGGTGTCATCATGTCTAGAATTGCTAGACAAGTATAGCTATTACTATACGACTATATATCACGTACGATATTCTTTAAGATGGGGTTTGGAGTCTACTATTGGTGAACTATAAGTATATATCACTACACCGCTTTAATACGTTACTGGTAATTTGTTATGAACTATAAGTATTAATTATTATGACTATAGCTATAGTAACTAATGATAGTTAATAATGGTAATTTGATATAGACCTATACCTGCAACTATAACTGCAACTATAACTGCAACTGTTGCAACTATAACTGGTGGTTGAGTATAAATATACCAACTACTGTACATGGACAGCGGCGCCTAGCCGTGTCGTTTTGTTATACTCAATATGTCAATGTGTTTTGTCACTGAGTGAAGTGCGCTGTTACAATGTATGGAGCATCATGGAGCCAAATTTCGGTGTTTTGAAAGCGGCTGTGACAGGCAGAGGTTGCAAAATATGTAGTTTTACCACAACAAGGACTTGTTTTTGAAGGTTTTAGGATTTGACGCAACTACTTTTGATCAGCATCATGTTCACACGATTTTTGGTCACAGCAATTCTTTGTCTTCAAGACCTCATGTAGTGTGCACCTTTGTGGTGACAGCGTGGCCGTAGAACACGCGGCCACAAACACGTGATGTTATTGCCCCACCCCACCCAACCCCACAAACACGTTAAAAAAGCGAGTAAAAACCAAACAATGATATAAAACCAGGCGGCCGTCTATGCGCCGCTGGCCAACTACTATTCAACGATAGTAGTTAATCAGATTGGTTAGAAACCAACTTGAGTTGTTATTAAGTACACTGAGTTTCTATGTTTAACTATTAGTAACTTAGTGATATAGCTAGTAGTGACTATATATATATATAACTAAGAAATCATAGCAATTGGAAGGTATGCACTTTTGTTATAAATCAATTGTGATTGGTTACTATACGTTACTATTAGTTTCTACAACTATAAATCAACTATACACTCTTATCGGTTATTATTAGCAATTATTTATTACTATAACTTTAAATCAATGTACAGAAACTACCAGTAGTTACGATAAACCAACTATTAGTTGCAATTAAATAACAGATCGTAGCGATTAGTAGGTATCTACTATTCTAAGTCAACTATTATCGGTGTCTCTTAGTTTCTATAAACCACTATTAGTTGCTGTAGATGGCTATTATTAGTAAGTTACAATCATTGAAATAGTTATTAGGTAGTCTTACATATATATATATATGGCTATCATGATTAGTAAGTCTATTAATTACTATAAACCACTATATGTCAACTAGAACTAAATAGTATTTTACATATATGTTTACACATACCAACCATTTTTAACAACCAAATATATATGTATATGAATATTAAGAGCTAATTATTGATTATATTAAGTGTATACATATATACATATATGCATATATTAAGAGTTACATATTTTTAATAACCATATATATATATCAACTAGTACTATATTGATTATTACAACTATTAAACTATTATTAATTACTATATCCCTGTTATTTGCAGCCTAATATGTCTATCTATCTATCTATCTGTCTATCTATCTATCTATTTGTTTGTCTGTCTGTCTATCTATCTAGCTAGCTATCTTATCGATCTATCTATCTATCTATTTATCTATCTATAGATCTATAGCCGTATATATGTATATGTATATGTATGAAGAACTAATTCGGAAGTTTCTATGAGTAAGTTTCTATTAGTTACCAAAAACTATGAAACCATCAACTTGAAAACTAACACTTATAGAAACTGACTATAGTTAATAATGACTGTTGGTTAACAATAGTTTCTATAGACTAATAACTAATATAAACTAACATTTATAGAAACTACCACTTACCATAAACTATTGGTTGGGAATCATAGTTACTAATAGTTAATAACAGTTAAACCAGTATTAACCAATATGAAGGTATAGTTAATAATAACTTGGTTAATAACTATATTAACCAATATTAAGTTATATTAACCAATATTAACCAATATTAAACCAATATTAAGTTATAGTTATGGTTAATAACTTAATAACTAAAGTTGGTTTCAAAGCAAACCAAACCGCCGAGGTCCACGCCCAGCTGGTGGACGCCAAACACGAGGACGCCCTGAACACGGCGCAGGAGGCGCTCCGCGCAGCGCAGGAGACCGAAGACAGGCGCGGGTCCCGTCGGGTCGAACGTCGGTTTTTCAGCGCCGGGAACCGATGGAACCGGGCAAAACTCGTGGAAAATGTGGGTTTTTTATGGTTTTTTAACCGAAAAATTGGGAAAACACGGATTTGTTAACCGAAAAATTGGGAAAACACGGATTTGTTTGCCGAAAAATTGGGAATTCACATAGTTTAACCATAGGAAAACCATAGGAAAACCATACAGGATGGTGCCCCCCCCAGGCAGATGTTTGTTGGTAACCCCATCTGAATATGATTGTGAGGTATTATTTGCGTATCATACACTATTGTTATTATAGCTATATAAACTTAGCTAACGAACTGAGGCCCCATCCTGCATGAAAAATGAGGAATTCACATGGTTTAACCAATGAAAACTGGATTTAACAAGCAAGATCGCCCCCAAAAAAAACAAAAATGGCTGAAACTAGTGGGAAAATGATGGTTGAACCAAGAAAAATAGGGGTTGCATATCATTAAACTATCATACAATAGGGAAACATAGTGGAAAAATCGAATTGACTAAAAAAGAGGGATTAGCCCCAGAAAACCTGGGATTCCGCTATCAAATTCGACCACAACTTGATGCGTTTGTGTAATCGACATAAATTCGGACTGACCCATCAACCATCAAAATTTAGCGATTACAGTGGTATAATGGTCGTATAATGGTGGTATAATGGTGGTATAATAACCATATAATTGGTGACACACTATCCACCAGTCGAAAGTTTGGTTGAAATCATTCGACCAAATGGTAAATAATGTTGGTGGTTTCCTTTCTGATTGGGGAATGATAGAACTTCGGCCAGGTTTCGGAAGTCAGTTGTCCGACCATATCTATAACATCCTTTACCCTCTGGCAATTCAACATAGCTCTTGAAAATTTCCATTTATAGTTTATTTACCTATTAAAATGATGATTTCCATAGCTATGTCAGTGTACCAGATGGTAGCTAGACAAAATCGTTATGTTATTTGGAGCGCTATTTTTTGGAATTACTTGTTTTTCCGTTTTGGGCATGTTTTTTGGATTTATGTTTCTCTGCATTTTTGCTTTCCTGTGTTTCTGCTTCTCTTCTGCTTTTCCCTGCTTTTCCGCTTCTCAAACCCAAACCAACCCTAAATAAACCCCAAAACAACCGTAAACCAACCCTAAATGAACCCTAGTCGCAAAATACCATACAATATGAAAAGTTTGAGCACCAAACTGTTGCAAATCCAATGGAACATGAGAGGTTCGAACTCCAAAATGTTGCAAATACAGTTGAAATGACAGCTTCCAGCTCCAAAATACTACAAATAGCAAGGAAAACAGGCAGAAAAGCAGATTTGAATCAACAAACGCAAATCAATTCCGGACCCTTTTCCATAGCTATGTCAGTTTACCAGATGGCACACAAAATTAGGGGCATCACTTTGGGCCCCTTGAAACCTTGATTGCCGCGGTGGCCAAACCCAAAGATAGTTATTTCATCAGCATAGTTGGGATACAACCAAGAAATGATTTGTTATAATTTGTATATATAGATACATATCCATATATGTCCATGTATATTATACTATATATAAATACATTATACTATATAATCATATATTATGATATATTGTGGTATATATATATATACACATGTATACATGTGTGTGTACATTATATATATATTAGATGGGTCACAAGTCCAAAGAAGCGCAACGTTCACATGTTGCCGCTTAAGGCACCTGGAAGTGGCTGCCCTGACAGCCATCAGCAAAGCCTCAGGCGCTAAGGGCGAACATGCCAATGGCATCAGCAACCTGGATGATTCCATAGGAAACCATGAAAAAACATAGGCAAAATGGTGCGAAACCCTTGAGAACAAGTTCCAAAAAAGGCTAACCCACTAGCCTACCTAGCCCTCAAATTCAGGGAGATGATAAAAATGCTGGCAAAATGGTGATTTAACATTCACTGGATTGGTTTAAGGGAAGACTTAAGGGAAAATGATCTACAAATGGTGATGCGGAACCACATCTATGTCAACGTTTGCAGGATAATGAACATCTACAGGATGGGGCCCAGTTCGTTAGCTAAGTTGGTGAACATAGCTATGTTATAACAATAGTGTATGATATGCAACTAATTATATTTAGATGGGGCTATAAACCCAACAAACATAATTGGGGCGCACCATCCTGTAGGCAAAATGGTGATTTATGCAACATCAATGGCAGAAACAATTGGAAGAAAATGTGATGGGGGATATATTTGGGTGACTTATAACCACCTCACGTGGCGACGTCACTGGAATGATAGTTTTAAAGGAAAACCCATGCCCCTTGCAAGGTTGTACCCCTCCAGTTATGTTTGTTGGTTTGTAAACCATGGTAAGTAGTTCGATATATCTACCATAAACCATGGTGAAGTTGGAGTTGTGTGACCCCCAACTGAACTAACGAACTGGGGTACCACCTTGTGTTGGCCAAAAAAAAATCAGGCTGGTGATGGCTTACCCAGCCGATGGGATGTAGCAAACGTTCTGATGTGTGGGTTCAACCACCGGGAGTCATGGGATCAGATGGGATGCATCAGGAGATCCAGCATAATCCCCAGGGCATGTGTGCTGAAACTTGATCAATTTATCAGCACACATTGGGTTATAATGAATTTACCCCAAAAAATATGATCAAGAAAATATAAAAGAATGGGGATATCATCGGGAATATAAAGAGAATATTATGTATACAGTAGTATACAGTATACAGATGTATTTTTGGTAAGGCATAACCCGAACAACCTCAGCTTGGTTGTTGGATTTAATCAATCAAATTTGCATCAACATTTTTTGGGTGCAGGAAGTTGCTGAGGGGCACGGAGTGGATTTTAGATATTGAAACAAGATGAATGCTCCCAAGTTGGGCTAAGCTCACCCAGCTTGACCTCAAGCTGAGCACTTGCGTGACAAGGTAGGAGGGTCTGAAAAGGAAAGATTGAGAAGAGGGCAGAATGGGAAAGAGTTGGAATACCCCATGTGTCACAAGGTCGGGGGAGTAGTGGGGGGCGGTAAGTAAGTTTTTTTTTTGCGCGTTCCAGGGGCTCTATTCCCTGGAGGGCAAGGCTATACAGGAGGGTGGGTAGATGCAAAAAAACAAGGATTGTGGCACTAAGGTCAATAAAAAGGTGTCCAGGTGAACAAAAAAAGATGGAATGAGGCCCCCAAGAATTGCCGTATTTTTTCTTTGGCCCCTTGAATCAGCAATCTCAGGTAAACTCATGGAGGCCAAGGCTCTCTTAATGGAGGCGCGGGTTTTTGCGGCAACGGATTCTGTAGTGTTCCGGATTTTGGTGGCATGTGTCCATATTTTCCCATGAAACATTGGGGCTAAACCACTACATGATGTGTGTTTCATGGGTCTTTTTGCGGGGGTCAGTATGTTTTCCCATTCAGAAACGACCACGCATAGTGAGACTTGCGATGAACTTGGGTCAAGATCTGGGGTGGAGCGTACCAAGCCTGGGTTTCAGGGTAAGAAGATTATGATGTGGTTGATGGATGTTGATGGTTCATGAGAAACACCAGTTGAAGACACTGTTTTGATCATGTTTGATGCTATCTCGACAAATTAGAAAAAACTAGAATCTTTGATCGAGATCATTTTGACCATGTATTACCCTCTGCTAAACGTTTACATAACGAACTGGAAAATCACCATGTCTTAGCTGGGTAAATCCACTATTTCAATGGCCATGGCTTCAATAGCTATTTTGACATAACCAGAAATGCCCATTTTCAATAGCTTTTTGTATGTTTACCAGAGGGTAAATCACCATTCTTCACCTATTTTTAATGGGAAAACTCACCTGTTTTCAATGGGCCATGGTTTCACAGAACTCAAGAGGATGATCCAGAAAATCTTGGGCACAACATTCAAAGAAGCCTTTGTTTAAACAGGTTTCCGAAGCCAAAATTGTTTCCATTTCTTTGTTCCAAAATTGTAGGTATCTAGGTTTTATATGTTTTATATTGTTTTATATGTGTTGGTTTCGGGGAAAAAAACTTCTGAACTTGGCCAGTCGCGTCTTCATTGTTATTGTGCAATCCCTTCTAACATGATTTATCCCCTAGCAACTCTGGTGGAATGTATGATGTCTATGCAAATTGTCGGAACCCATCCAACATGTAATTATGAACACAAACATGAACATGTACTGTGTATGTACAGTACAACATGCACATGTGTATGTAAATTAATTTGTGTAAGCGTAGAACTAGATCAATAGCTTTAAACGACAACATCGAACAACCTGCTGCATGTTTTCATGTTTTCACTTTCACTCATTACAATTCATTACATACAGAATATATCATATATATAATGAACCATCTTGAATTCAAATATGAATCATTAGGAACAAATAGATAGGTCGATTGAGATCAGAACATTTAAAACGGATAAGACATGTCCATCACAATGTTTACATAACTACGGAAAATCCCCATTTTTAATGAGTAAATCAACTATATATTTCTATGGCCATTTTCAATAGCTATGTTATTTTACCAGAGGGTAAATCGCCATTCTTCACCTGTTTTTTTGGTAAGTTCGTAGGATCCCCAACATCTCTCCCGAGGCAGGCGACAAGCGCGGTGCCGCCGCGGCAGCGCTGACCTTGGCAGAGGCCCAGCTGTTGAATCAACAGCCGGACGACGCCATGAGCAGCGCGGAGGAAGCGCGAAGCCTCTGATGCTCGGCACGAAGTCATGGGGAGAAGAGGGGTAGGAAGTTGAAATGGAGAGTTGTGGATATTGGATGCTATACATATTATCATACATATACATATTATGTGTATATTATATATATATTAGACTTTTAACCCAACTCATTGAACACACGTATAATATATATATATATATTATTGAACTAGCACGCACAGTATGTGCGCGTGTGGGTGTGTGTGATTTGATACTATAGTCATACATGTGGAAAAATGATATATTTGTATATATGTATACACATATATACATATATACATATATAATAAATATGTTTTGTGCATGTACCCACATCGTTGGGCAGCCTAAAGATAGCAATCACAAATGCACCACCTTTATGGGGATGTGTTTGATTATTTATCCACCAGAAACGGACAATTTAAGCAACAACCAGAGAGAGGTTTGCTACCCTCTGGTATATAAACGTTTACATAGCAAACTGGAAAATCACCATTTATAATATATAGCTAGATCAACTATAAATGGGCCAATTTCCATAGTTATGTTAGTCCGTTAGTTTACCAGAGGGTATCATTTAGTAATAGTGGCCCACTTCATGATGGTATTTTATTCAACGTCAGGCGATGGCGCGGGAGTAAAACATAGGATAAGCCATGATCATGGTGTCAATAGATTGGTTTAAGGGAAAATCTACAGGAAAAAACCATATTTACTGGGAAAATCTATGGTTTCCTGTAGATTTTCCCTTAAACCAATCCATTGATGGTGGACTAACATTGATCAACAACCAGTCGAATTGGGGATGTAACCCCTGCGATTTTGACTGACAGTTCGCTCTTGAGAATCATCATGTTTCATAGGTATGTAGGCCATTGATACCCTCTGGTAAACTAACGTAACTATGGAAAATCACCATTTTTAAATTACCAGAGGGTATATAGGAACTGATGATGATTTTCATGGGAATTCATGTTGACCACTGGGAATTCATGATGATTTTCATGGGATTTCCCGAAATTGGCATGAACAAAAACCCTTCGCGAACTGGAAAATCACCATGTATCACAGTACATCTCGAACTCAATGGGCCACGTTTTCAGAGAATCAGAGGGTTACGCTCTGGTAATTGAACAGTTAGCTATTGAAGCCATAGCCCATTGAAATAGTGAGTTTTCCCATTAAAAACAGGTGAAGAATGGTGATTTACCCTCTGGTAAACATACAATAAGCTATTGAACATGGCCCATTTATAGTGGATTTACCTATAAAAAATGGTGATTTTCCATAGTTCCCCACCTGCCAGGTGAGGGTTGTTTGATTTTTCCAGTTGGACCAGTTCGATGGCCAGCTCCAGCGCAAGCAGGACCGACCTATGGCGGGCCATTCAGCAGGCGTGACTCCTTGCAGTACGAGCCAACATTCGAGGTCGGGATCCTGACTGCGCCAACGAGGGATACGCCTTTACTCACTCTGGGGGAACCTGACGTGGATGATCAAGGAGTGTACTGCAGCCCGAGCTTCGTGGCGCATGAACCTTCGGGGCCATTTACGGGAGCTTTGTTCTCCCCAATCATCGACATGGAGCAGTATGCGCAGACGGTGGGCTACCGAGGCACAGTCGCTGTTGTGCCAGCAATGTCACTTTGCACGGGGAAGGGGCTGTACCAATGGTCGAAGTACAGTGAGAACCAGAAAGCACGAATGGGGCTTGAAGGGGGCTTGAAGGGAGCTTGAAGGAGGCACGAAGGGGGCTTTGAAGCTCCTTGAATCCTCTCCTAAGCCCCCCTCCTTGAAGCCCCCTGCTATCCTTGAAGGGTAATGTCAAATTTAGTCTTCGAATCCTTCCTCAAAATAAAATTGCAAGAAGCACTGCTGCAGGAACTCGTGACGTGATCTCTCTGTTTGGCATTGTGCTGCATACACCAGTCAGAGCTGTTGTCCTCCTCCTCGTCCTCCTCCTCCTCCGCCTCCTCCTCCAGTTTCTCCAGTGTGCACTGCTGGACCTCAACCTGGGACCTTCCCAGCTCAGTGAGCACCGCTGGACCTCAACCTGGGACCTTCCCAGCTCAGTGTGCGCCGCTGGACCTCAACCTGGGACCTGCCCAGCTCAGTGTGCACCGCTGGACCTCAACCTGGGACCTTCCCAGCTCAGTGTGCACCGCTGGACCTCAACCCGGGACCTGCCCAGCTCAGTGTGCACCGCTGGACCTCAACGGCCAGATAGAATGCCAGAAGATATGCCAGATAGAATGTCAGATAGAATGCCAGAAGATATGCCAGATAAAATGCCATGAGATATGCCAGATAGAATGCCAGAAGGTATTACGGTATGCCAGATAAAATGTTAGAAGATATGCCAGATAGAATGCCAGAAGGTATGCCAGATAAGATGTCAGATAGAATGCCAGAAGATATGCCAGATAGAATGCCAGAAGATGTGCCAGATAAAATGCCAGAAGATATGCCAGATTGAATGCCAGAAGATATGCCACATAGATTGGCAGAGAGTGTGCCAGAAGATATGCAGGATATAATGCCAGAAAGAAGATTTGCCAGTCAAATGGACTAGAACATAGGGACAAAGAATGCCAGAAGATAAGCCAGATAGAATACAAGATCATTTGTGTAGAATTTGAGTGGATCGCTCGCTTTGCTGGGTCCTGGGTCAAGCAAGCTCAAGCCAAAGCAAGTTGTCTCGTGGAACGGATGATGCGTTTGAGTAGCCATGCATCATGTGTATGTTAGCAGTTTGTATTTGTAAGCAACAGCTTGCGCAGGCTTTGACTTGCAGCGCTTGCATGACAGCAGTTGCATCACAGCAGTTGCATGACAACACTTGTAACTGACATGTGGTTCAGCAGGCATGCATGAGGTGGATGTTCGAAGTCTGTATGGGTTAGTAACAGCTTGCTTAGCTTGTACATGACAGCACTGTTATGACAGCGGTTGCATGATAGTGCTTCCTAGTGACACTGTCGTACTTCGGTTGTGCTCTTGATCCTTGCTGGAGGCTGGGCACTGTTGATGCCTGTAGTGCATATGCATTGCTTGCATGTTTCTTCTGTGGCAGGTTGTCTGCTTTTGCACAGTTGCGGCAATGGTGCAGGCTTGTGCTCTGGGGTCTGCTTGGAAACACATGCAAATCCAAGAAACATGGTGACTTGGTGGTTTTGTGAGACAGAATAGAACATTTCGCGCCTCTGGTTCGAATCCAGAGGTGTTGGCTGCTTGCGATCAAAACATGCAGAAACCTTTGTATGTTAGACTGAATAGAACATTACCATTCAAATGCAAATCCAGGAGTGTTGGCTGTTTGTGCATCATAACATGCAGAAATCATTGTATATCAATGTCATTGCTCAAAACATTTATAATATATCTTTATGTAACTGGTGTAGATCCACTGTCTGTGCTTTGCAGCTATGGCGAAAAATTCGTGGCCGACTGGAGTGACCAGTTGGGCCGACACGGTCAAATTCGCGCAGCTACTGTTTGGTAGGGATGTTCAATTTGAAAATTATAGCAAACCGGTTGCCACACAACAGCAATGAAAGCTTTTTGCTGTTTGCAAAGGGAGCATGTAAAGAACCACGTCCCTTTAGTTGCATTCAGCAGCTGATTGCGGAGCAGTTCGAGGAGATCAAGGAGTATGAAATTGTCCGACATAACAATGTGTCCAATCCGGAAAAATCCCTGCAGATGAGAGGTCGCACGAGCAAAAAGGTGTATTATTATAGTTGCCAAGTCAGCAAAGAACCTTGCACTTGCCGATCGACGTTCGGGGCAGATGTGCATCACTCTGTGATTCCGACCTGTTCTGCTTTGTGGACTAGTGGCAATGAATTCAAACAGCTTCGTATTGGAAGTACTGTTTCGTGTTCTTGGTCAGTGTCCGGGACTTGAAGATTTGCAGAACGTATGGAAAGCGCTGCGGCTGGCCTTGTTATTCCAAGATCCAGGGGCTGCTGCGGTTGTGCCAGTATTGCTACCGCTTCTTTGGCCCTATTTCACTGCCACTCTTGAACATGATACTCGAAACAGTTATGTGACCTTCAGAGCCTTTCCGAATAGACTTAGACAGAGACTTTTTGATGGCTTGCACGGATGTTTCATGCTACTGCAACAGTTGGATCCTGTGGAGCACTTGCATGTATCGCCACACTTGGCAGAAGCAATGCTTGTGGTGGAAGATATACGAGCTGTTGTCATGACTCGTGATCCTGCTCCTGTGTGATGATTGGTGATCACGGGTGCACTGCTTGTAGGCTTTGTAAGGGTAAGGGTAAGGTGGCGTATGAGAATGAGAGTTTTCATGAGAGTTCATCATGTCAGAATCAATTTGATCTTGTTTTGTGATAGTGGGAAAGCTGTGTCGGTTTCGAGAGCAGCACAGTGTACATCAGAAGTTCGGTCTTGAATCACGTGGTGGTTCAGTACGTCTTGGCATTCCATCAGGTGACATTCCATGACTGATTCAGATGGTTTCCCACAGTGTCCTGGCATGTTTGTTTTCCAAGCTGCACTGCAGGCGACATGACATGAGTGATGCAGGTGAACTCCAACATGTCTTGGCATGTTTGTTTTGCAGCCTGATCTGCAAGCGGTGACGCAATGTGACATTCGGGAGTGAAGCAGCAGACCGGCTAACAGACCAAAAAAAACGCAATGGCTTGCTTGCAAAGGGAGTGGCTAGTATCTATGTGACAGCAGATTTGTCAGTGACCAGGTAGAATGCCAGAAGATATGCCAGATAGAATGCCAGAAAATTCGCCAGTAACAAATCGATAAATGTCATGGTGGGGATCACTCGAAGTAAAGTAATTGTTTGCTCACGTTTACCAGAGGGTTAGCCGGCGAAAATGGTGAGAAGGCCCACTATTTCAAGGTTAATACCCAGCATTTCGGCAAGGATAATAGGGGATTCACCAATAACGACATTGCTGGACATATTTACCTGCACACTTGGGGAGTTTATGTTATGTGAAAAAAACCGTTTTTCATCGATTAAATTGGGATCGATGAAACTTTGGGGAGGGAATTAAGGCGTTTTGAGTAATTCGTCTGGGCTCGCACGCAAATACTGATTGCAATGCTTACTTCGGATAGATTCTCTCCAAATAAAACCAATGAACGCTTTCTCCAGAACTGATGGTGAATGTGCAGGGGAATCATCACCATACGGCCTTAGCAGTTATTTTCAGGTCGTTGAATTTTATTTTTGTGACTAGTATTTTCTAATATAATGGACCAAGAATGACTATTACTACTAGTATTATTGTTATTGTTACCATAACTATTATTGTTACTATTATTGGTACTATTATTATTGATACTATTATTGATAAGCATTATTGTTACCATAACTATTTTAATTATGTTCATTATTGTTACTACTATTCTTCAGGCAGATATGATGGACCTTTCCCCCTTCCCTACTATCCAAAACCAGGCAGCCGAGGGTTGGAACTACGGTTCTTCTGCATCCTGTGGGCCGTGACTACCCTCTGGTAAATGTTGACATAGCTATTGAAAATGGCCATTTATAGTGAGTTTTCCCATGAAAAATTGTGATTTCCCATAGTTATGTTAGTTTACCAGAGGGTAACAGTTAGTAAAATTACGGTAGAATTACTACTCTCTGGTAAACTAACAGTTAGCTATTGAAAATGACCATAGAAATAGTTGATCTACCCATCAAACATGGCGATTTCCCCAAATGGAACAATTTTCATGGGTAGTTTCTCAACCATCAATCCATATGGCTGTTTTATGGCTTTACTAAGATGAACCCTCATTTACCCTCTGGTAAACTAAACTATTGAAAATGGCCATAGAAATGGTTGATTTACCATTAAAAATGGTGATGTCGCATAGTTATGTTAGTTTACCAGAGGGTAAGCGGGTAATTACCATACTAGTTCATAGTATTTGTTGTTTTTATGGCAAACCATACATGATATTACTAAGTGGCTATAATAAAATCTACAAGACATTATTACTAAGTGAGTAATTGAGCCCTACTAAGTTTATTTGTTTCCAATTGTATGGTTTCTTAATCACAAGTCCCGGGACCCCAAACAGTGATGATTGATGATGATCGGAACCACTCAAGGCAAAGAAATCGACTTCAAGAAAGGCCTAGCGGATGCACTGCAGAAGCTGGCAGCAGCGCATTTGGCCAAAGGTCACTTGGATATCTTGGATTTCGAAGCTGGGTAATTTTTGTTGCCACCCTGACAGGATTGAAGTCCATGGGAGTCCATGGTGTTACTCACCCAAGGTGATGAGCAAGAGGCCATCAAACAAGCGCTGATTGCCAAGAAGTACTGCAAGGCCATTGAGGACCCCACTGCCGCAGCTGCGCGTTTTTCACATGTTTAGGCCAAGACCTGCCAGATATGGCGGCTGGCTGTTCCACTGTGAGAGATTATTGGGATATTGACAGTGACACAGACATATCAGAATAATCCTACGGTAACTCGCTGTTCAAATCATAATATCTGGCAAAATTGCAATACCTTCAACAAATCCTAGCTTGTTCTGCAGCCCTAGTAGTTTCCAGACATGGGGATAATCCCTAGCCCTATCCTCTCCGACCCCCGAATTCATAGGTAGTTATATACTAGCCCGCCGGGATCTGTTCTGTATTGCTCTGTAAATCAACGATCAAACCGATGAAAAATGAGATTCATCCTGTATCCATTCTTCAAACCCTAAAATGGATAGACCATCCAGGGTTCGCATTGAAAGATCACTGGTAACATTCTGGAAAAAGACGTTTCTCTGTTTTTGGGACCCTCTATAGGGAAATTGAGATTAGGGGCATGGGGGTCATATCCACGTGCATTGTGTCATTAAAAGGGTTTGCACGTTTCTTTGCAGGTCATGTTTATATATATATATATATTTATATAATTATGTATGTATATATATATATATACATGTTGGTTTCCACAATTGGAAACATGCATGTATTGTATTCCGTACCTCCCTCCCCTCTCTCTCCCTATACATATATATATATATACACATATCTAAATCTCAATACAGAAGTACCTATCTATGCGTCCTTCTATGTCCCTCTATCTATCTTTCCATCCAGTCTACCTACATATTGACATGATATAATATGTGCATACACAAGTCTATGTATAGCAACCTAAAAATAGATCAGAAACCTGAAAATGATGGAAAACCATCATCGAACTACCATCCTGGAAATGTTCGGCATGTTTTTGAGGAACACTCTACATAATATTGGTATATGTATACATATATATATATATATGTGTGTGTGTGTATCTCTCCCCTTAAATCCTACCAATATCCCCTTAAATCCCTATTTGTTTCCTTCAGAAAATTGACACGACCATCATGGTATGAAATTCCCAATTCTCATTTCCCAAAGCGTAGTCCTACCCCCATCCGACATCTTTTCCATCTGTTTCCATCCGGACATCCATCTGCTTCAGCACGACAGGGCCGTTCCATACTTGGATGTGCAGTTCGACTTAAGTGGCCAACCCAACATAACAATGAGGATTCTCCCATTTCGATCCATTTAGTTCGAGGATTTTCCCAGCTATGAACCTTGATTTTTCGTGGGATTTCCCGATATTTTCTCATGTTTTCCAAAAGGATGGGACCTCATAGCTAGCTAAGTTAGTTTATAAACTAGTGTACTATTGTTATTATATACTATTGTTAGTGTACTTAGAATATAATAACAATAGTGTACTTAGAATAACAATAGTGTACTATAATACCAATAATGTACTATAATAACAACAGTGTACTTAGAATTATATCTAGATGGCCCCATAAACCAACAAACATCACTTTTGGGGGGCACCATCCTCTATGGTTTTCCTGTATGGTTTTCCTATATGGTTTCCTATGGTTTATCCAGGTTAAACCATGTGAAATGCCCATTTTTCATGTAATCTCCATTTCCTATGGATTTATCATTGAAACCTATGGTTTTCCTATATGGTTTCCTATGGATTTCCCCATTGAAATCACTTCCATTTCGGCCTCCCCAGCACCGGGCACCAGGACGTCCGCGGCGAAACGGCGCTGCTCCACTTCCTGGCCTCGACCTCCCTGCAGCGCGGCGACAGAAAGGGCCAGGAGGCGCAACAGTTCCAGGCGCGGTTGCGCCCAAAAAAAGGGCTGGGAAATGACGGTTCAATGAAGGTTACCCTCTGGTAAACTAACATACCTATGGAAAATCACCATTTATAGTGGATTTTCCCATGAAAAATTGTGATTTTCCATAGTTATTTAGCATAGCTACGGAAAATGACCCATGTATAGATGATGTATCTATTAAGAGTGATGATTTTCCATGGCTATGTTAAATAACCAAAGGGTAATAGTTTGTAAAATAGTGTGTTTATAACCAATACCCTCTAAACGTTCACAGCTTGCGAACTTGAAAATAGCCATAGAAATAGTTGATTTACCCATTAAAACATGGTGATGTTCCAGTTCGTTATGTAGACGTTTACTGGAGGGTTAATCTGAGTAAAGCAATTTTAAAAAAATATGGATTGGTTGAAACCACCCATGAAAATTGTGAATTTTGGGATGGTTTACTATGGTTTTACTAACATTTACTAACATTAACTGGTTGGTGGTTTGGAACATGCCTTTTATGACTTTCCATATATTGGGAATTTCATAATCCCAACTGACGAACTCATATTTTTCAGAGGGGTAGGTATGCCACCAACCAGATTAATGTGGATTTGATTAAGGTTAATATCGTTCAATATCCGTAGCCATGAGTTGGAAGAAAAAAATCCATATCATATATACCCTGCGGGCCTCCGGGAATGAAACCTGCTGGGAATTTCCAGCTATACATGGGGTATAGCTGGGAAAATCATGTGCAAATGTTTATAAATGGGGAATTGGCCATTGCTATGGTTGATTGCCGAGGTTAATGTCATCCTGGATGGAACTGGCCAGTAGATGTAATGTCAACAAAAATATGCTTGAATCAATGGGAATTTCAGGATCCTAAAATGGAGGTATCTACCATATATAAGGCCTATTGCTCAGGCCTATGTAAGTGAATATCACCACGAAATATGGCCTGAAAAATGGTACTAACGTACCTCCATTTTAGGATCCTGAAAATCCCATTGATTGAAGTGTATAGCAGTGTAGCTTACCCTCTGGTAATTTAACATAACTATGGAAAATCACAATTTTTTATGGGAAAACTCACTATAAATGGCCATTTTCAATAGCTATGTTAGTTTCCCAGATGGTAATCTAGTGCTCTCCAATGTTTGGGAGCAATTTGGAGCTATGGGTCTCTATCTTCCCGAAAAGGTGGCTCGCCGGGGGAGCGTTTCGCAAGAGTTTCCCAGCCACTTGCTATTGGTCAAAATGCGGTTTTAATGGGATAGAAAACCATCGCGATGTAACAGCAAAGAAGTGAATTGGACATGGACTACACCAAGAAGAATTTGCCATTAATAGGCACCCATTTCGGGGTATAAGTACCCTATTTTCAGACAAAGCCAATTGAAAATTAGAAAAACAAAATCAAGTCAGAATGGCCTACCAAGGCAGACCCAGCAGACGTGAGTTTTCCCATGTTTTCCCTCAAAGGACGGTCCCATTCCACTAACATTCTAGTAGGTTTTTAGACTCAATTTCTGGTGAAGTCCTGTTGTGTCTCCAATCCCTCCTGTTTTTTCTTTGTTTGTACCCTCTGGTAAACAGACAAAAAATGATGGAAGTTCACCAAATGTTAATGGTAAATCGGCGGTTTGTATGGCCATGTTCAATAGCATAATCGCAAACTGTAAACGTTTACCAGAGGGTAAATGAGGCTTCATCTTAGTGCAATAAAACAGCCATATGGATTGGTTGAGAAACTACCCGTGAAAATTCTGCCGGTACCAGGCCAAGAAGCAACAAGACAGCGCGCAAGGCATCGAAGCCAACAGACTCTTGGCACTCGGACGGTTGGATGATGGGGTTTGAAATACCAGCATTCTTTGGCCAGAAATTATGGAACTATACCGGGATAGGTGTATATATATATGTATATATTTCATATCATAGTATCGCTTGGTTATTTTTACCCATTCAAAGTCCATGTGAGTGGTTGAATACTCTGGCAAACCCAGTCATAAGCAATTCACGATTCTATCCGGAATTGATGGTAGAAAGTACAAACCAGTGCGCATATAACGGGCAACCAATTGGATATAGCTGGGTAGGCCGACAGGCAAAGAGTACCGGAGAGTAACCAAAAAAGCCGATTGTGGATTGAAAATCCTGCTGGAAGGCTAAACATCTAGCTGGCAGAGGTACCCAGTGGAACTGGCCAGTGGGTAGGGACATAGTTGCAATGCACACACATCCTGAAATGCTGGCAGATTCATCAAAACCCAAAGTTGACCAGGGTATTGAAATAAAAATGTCCCGAAAGGTCAAGAGTTGGGTCATTGATCCAACCATGTACCCATGTACCCTCGCGATATGGCTGGGCTTCTCCGGGTTCTCCGATTCCAAGAGCCTTCGGATAGCTGATCGGATGACCATAAGAGGCCATTTTCAATTGCAAACTGTTAAATTACCAGAGGGTATACCTCCCAGCAGGATGAACCACTGAGGACGGCACCGGAACTCAGCGCATGAGGCGGTGAAGCGCGCGCGGGAGGCCATGGCATATGCCAAGCGCAATGCCGATGTCTACGCCGAAGCATCGGCCATGGTACCTGGGTTCTTCTCAAGCGATTTGCTGGAAAAATTCACACCGGAAACCCCTATATCATGGGACACCCTCTGGTAAACGTGTACAGTTTGCTATTGAAAATGGCCATAGAAATTGTTGATTTACCCATTAAAAATATCTAAAAATTGTGATTTTCCATTGTTTTTTTGTAAACGTTTACCAGAGGGTGACCCATGGTTTCTAAAGATCTTCCCGCAGAAACCAATCCGTTGACTTTCAAGACAGGGCCTTGGGGCCCGACGCACCCATTGCAACCAGCATAAACACCATAACTGGGGGTCCTTTCAATCATCACAAATGGGGATATATATATATATACCATTATATACCCAATAAATCAATAATAAACCTCTAATGGGGGTAGTTTATATTGGTACCATTGGCTTTACCATATTGTGATTATAACAGCGGTAAACCAAACATAGCTTGACCATCTCAGCGGCATGGCGACCAAGTGTTCCACTGAAGGTTGGAAAGCTGTTCCTGAGTTTTGTTGGGATTTCTACGGGCTTGGCCCCTAACATTACCCTCTGGTAAACGTTGACAAAAAGCTATTGAAAATGCCCATTTATAGTGGATTTACCCCTTGAAAATGGTGGATCTTTCCATAGTTTTTTGTATGTTTACCAGAGGGTTAGCCAGTGGTCAAGGGCACCCTGAACAGCACGACATGCACAATCTGACATCCCACGAGGCGATAGGTTGCTACTGCTGGACGCGATTTTCCCAATTGTTGCTGCATTGTCCTACAAATAACTATTCATAGAATATATACACATATATACACACATATATATATATATACTGGTGGCTTAAGTTTAGTTAAACCATCAACAATAGGGACTTAATATGGGTTAATGGGACTTAATATATCTTAATAGGGACACATATAGTTACCCCAATATAACTCATATGGACTTAATAGATCTATAATGGGTACCCCAACTTAATATGGGTTAATGGGACTTAATATATCCTAATATGGACTTAATAGATCTATATACTGGTTGGTGGTTTGGAACATGAATTTTACGACTTTCCAGATATTGGGAATTTCATAGCCCCAACGGACAAACTCCATCATTTTTCAGAGGGGTAGGTCAACCACCAACCAGTATATATACATTTATATATATATACTTGGTGGCTCATCCCACTTAGTAAGTGGGTTATAGCCCTAGTTATAAATGGGATAAGTAGGGTTAATCCACTTATAATTGGGGTGAACTAAGCCACTTACGATTCGTGGGATGAGCCACCAAGTATATATATATATATGAATATCAGACCCAGCTGCAAATGAACTGCTTTTTGCTCATCCCATCCCGCGAGATCAGGCGCATTTGGCGCACGCGCTGGCAATTTTGAATCGCGGTCAGGAGGGGCTCGGCACCTGTCGTCGTGCGGAGGATTTGTTTCGGGAAGTGGGGGCGGTCAGTGAACAAGCCTCGGCCGTGTGCCTGTCGGCGGAGATTGCCAACTTGATGGGCCACTTGGGCCAGAAACGAGGGTTTGGATAAAGATAGTTACCCTGGAGAAGATAGAATATGGACATGTCATAAATGTCAAGAATCATGATCATCATGTGTCGTGATAAATTTGCAATTTTCGGCCACGCGTTAGTTTTGGACAAACTCTTGTCAATTGTTCACTGTGTTAAAGTCCCTCTATTTTTGATGCTTAAACCTAGATGAAATTGCTTGGTTAACTTAATTAGATTTAACCAACCAACCAACCAACCAACCAACCAACCAACCAACCAATGTCAATTAGATTCAAGCATCGAAATTTCGATTCAGCATGATAAAATAGTTAACAGTTATAACTTCTATGTTTTCATGCTGACTTGCGAAATCCGCCCAGAATTTCACTGGTGAAATTGTCCCAAGTGTTTGGATCGGATCGGTTTTCTTCGCATCGTTCACCATGTTTCCAAAAGCGGAAAAAGGTGAACGTGACATTCAAAGGCCCCAGTTGGTTGATGATTATAGGGTCAATATATTGGCTTATTGGTGGTTTGGAACATGTTTGGAACATGAATTTTATGTTCCATTTCATATATGGGACAATCCTTGCCATTGACGAACTAATATTTTTCAAGATAGTGAAATTGCACCACCAACCAGCATTCAGGTTTGGCAGGTAGGGTGATGAAACATGATTTGCACTGAGTATCCGCATGGTTCATGGAATTTCATGGCTAAATCACGCTAAATCCCTGGTTTCTTCACCCATTTCACTCGTTAAATCATGTCAATGGGAATCTCAGGATCCTCAAAATGTCGGAAATGGCCATTGATCATGCAGGATGGGGCCCCTCAGTTATAAGTTGGTTTATAAACCAATATAACCTCCATGAACTAGTTCGTTATATCTACCAGAAACCATCGTTTTTCAGCCACTTTTTTCAGGCAACTGAACCCTATCGACTGGGGGCCCCATCCTGTGTGAAATCCAGCATTTTTGTGCCAAAAAAAACGCCCGGCGCCCAGCCCAGGCAACAAACCCAAGGTTTTGGAGCTGGCGAACCGCGCCTTGGAGCTGGCCCGCCGTGCGGAGGATGGCAACGTGGAGAGCAGAGTGCTGGGCGTCATGGAGCTCATCAAAGGCGCCTTGGTGATCCCACAGGTCCGATGGATCTACAAAGTGGGGCCCCCTAGATAGCTAAGTTGGTTTATAACTCCAATAACTATGGTTTATGGTACTTGTAACTATAGTTATTGGGGTTTATATATACCATTATCTGGGTAAATTATAACGACCTCACTACGACCTCACTGGAATCATGGTTAGTAAGGGCCTTAATTCAGGTTAGTGAAATATTATAATTTACCCAGATGAATGCTGAAAAATGGTCGGATATTAAACCATCAACAATAGATATTAAACCACCAACGTTGTAGAAACTTAATATGGGTCTGGTTGGGATAATATTTCTTAATAGGGACTTTTATTTTTGTTCTGGTTGGTGGTTTGGAACATGAATTTTATTTTCCATTTCATATAATATGGGATGTCATCCTTCCCATTGACGAACTCCATCATTTTTCAAGACGGTTACCACCACCAACCAGTTCAAAATGTAAAAGTTCTGACATTTACTTAAGATTAATCCATATTAAACTTGATTATCTGATTGCTGTTACAAATAAAAACTGGTGGAATTCATCCCCAACCAAAAAGGGAAAGTTTAATCCTTTAGTTTTCTGTGCCATACTACAATGTGGGGCCCCCTAGTTATAAGTTGGTTTATAAGCCCCAATAACTATAGTTATAAGTACCATAAACCGTAGTTATTGGAGTTATAAACCAACTTAGCTATCTAGGGGGCCCCACTTTGTTTTATAAAATACACACTAGTGAATGGAAAATACTAGTCCAAAAGCTGATGTTTTCTTTGTCTACCAAAGATTGACCATTTTTTTGAAGCATCCCAAAATGTAAAAGTTCTGGGTTGTGGGCTTGATTTAAAGTCACCCAAGTGGATCTGACCAACGAAATTCGGCAGACTGGGGTTATATTTCACGGTTTTTACATGGTGTTTTTAATCGTCAAAAAATCAACATTGGAATACCCCCTGGTAAATTAACATAGACCCTGAAAATCACCCATTTTTAATGGAAACTAGTCTTCCAACCCCGACAACTGCCAGGGTCTATGTTAATTTACCAGGGGGTAATGAAAAATGATGGATTTACCTGATTTAACCATCAAACCTGTGGGTTGAACCCCGGTGATTTGGTGATGCGGTGGCTTAGCTTGGAGAATTCACATTGGTTTGACCATCAGACGTTGGATGGAAAGCCCCTGGCAAACTAACATAGCAATGGAAAGACATGGAAAGACGCTATTTTGATAGGTAAATCATTGAACTAAATGAATGGTCCGTTTTCCATAGCTATGTTAGTTTACTGGAGGGTGTGCAACAACGATTAACCAACCAAAAGAATGAGTTTACCTAGGAAATACAACCATGCGGTGATTGGCCATCCAAAAATCTGGGTGACCTCACTACGACCGGAATCATGGTTAGTAAGGGGAATCATCCCCAAATGGCCTTATTTCAGGTTAGTGAAATATTACAATTTACTCAGGAAAAATATATTTGAAAATATTGGGATTGGACATCAAGAATGGCTAGCTGGCTGGCGGTTTGAGATATTGTGGTAAAGCTAATGGTCATGGCTTTAACAACAAAAAATAAGGATAGACCACAAAAAACAAAAAACACCGATTAAAAATAATGCCCAATGCCCACCCTAAGGGATGTTCTTTCCTTGCAAGTGAATATATATATATGTGTGTGTGTATGTGGCTTTGATTCATAGCCTTCAAACTTGCAATGTCGGTGGGAAAATGTTGGGAAACAATACAATGAAACTTTGTTGTATTCTTGCAATGAAATTTTGGTGTTGTATTCTTGCAAAATCTGGCGAACTGGGAAACAAAAGAAAATCAGGGACTCAACCCACAGTTTTCTTCGTAGTGATCCCAACTTATTCATGGCTATGGCAACCACCAATCAGTACGCATGGCTGTGGCAACCCAAGCAACCAGTTTCTTGGTCTTTTTCCGTAGCATTTGTGCCAATTTGAAGTGTGTTTTTGTGCTTCCGGCGGTGATGCTTTGAAATCAGCTACATGGCTCAGTGTTTTTGCATGATGGGTTATAAACCTTCTAAACCGTTGGATGATAGCTACTTCGCCCATCAAAGTGGCGCATGGTGCTGCAGAAACGGATGCGGATGGTTGATGATGGGTGGTGATGTACCCTCTAACAGTTTGCAATTGAACATGGCCATAGAAATAGTTGATTGTCCCATTAATAATTGTGATTTTCCATAGCTATGTTAGTTTACCAGAGGGTAATTAAGATGGAATCGAGAAAATGGTGCCTTGTTCTTTCCCAAATTGGGCTTCGAATCTTGAAAGAGTTTCCGCACCGACTTGAGTGAATGAATTGAATAGCGCTGACAGTGAACAGGGGTTGGTAACTGTCCCATTTTGGGAATATTGGACATCACCTTATAGTAGCCATTATAGACCATATACCTAATGGTTGGGTGATGTGTTCAATGGGGACATTTAATGACCCATGGAAGTTTTTTCACACTGTGTTTTCCGAAGCTTTTGCTTGGCGCAAAGTTGCAACTGTGGCGTGCCAAAGCCAGATGAATTGATGGTGTTTCTGATGATCCCGGCACATCCCGGGACAGCAGGTGGAACACCCAAGGGGATGGGATGGGCCTCTCACTGCACTCTGATGTCAGTTGGCTGAGAGCCATTTTCTCATCAAAAATGACTTCGTTTCCAGCCTTATTTTCAGTGCACTACTGAACTTGTTGGTTATTTGATGCACGTGGCCGCCTTCTATTCAGGGTAAACATCAAATCAGTCATTTCTTCTGGCAGTGCGGCCGTGGGGTCCAGGCAGAAGTTAGTTCTTTTTCAGTTCCACGGCCAAAGATGAGAACTTGGATTTAAAAATGAATTTAAATGAATTTAATATGATTCATTTAGATTTGCTATCATTGATGTACTCGTAGGGCACAGACAGCTGACATCTCAAATTGGTTGCCCAGCCATGCTCTCTCGTGCTGCCCGTGGTGTCACCACCTTCGCCTACGACCTGCATAGATCAGTTCCGGCTGATCGATGGTGTGTCACGCATCGAGATTTGATTTTCCTGTGCCAAGAGGTCTGCTCTGCCCTTCGCTGTGGCCAGATTCTGCCTGGGCCGGAGGATGATGCGTCAGAGGCCTATGGGCCCAGCATCTACACGGTGAATGAGCAGTATATCAAGCCAGTGACGCAACAGGCGGGTAAGATGAGTTGGGCATTGATGCGACATCCAGATGGCTTGGACTGCGAGCTGTTCATCAGCCATGCTTGGCAGGAAGGTGTCTTCGAGTTTCTGGCCAAAGTGAGGCACAGTTGGCCAAGGAGTATGCAAACTGCTTGGTGCTGCATGCTGGCTAACCCGCAGAACTTAGACATCTCATCCTTTCCGCAGTCACCCAAGACTTCGCCCTTTGCAGTTGCATTGGAGGCTTCCAAACTGATGCTGGTGGTACCGAACCGACACCAGAGTGTGTACACAAGGCTCTGGTGCTCTTATGAAGCTTATCTTGCTCAAGAAGATGGCAAGACGATTCTCATTGCGAATTCCTCCAACTTTTCTCAGATATTGGGTGCTTTGGTGTGGCTGCTTGTCTTTGGTTTCAAAAATGTGTGTTTGCGTCCATACCATACGCCCATATCTGTCTTGTCTTTTCATCCTCCCAAAAAAGTGGTTGATCACCAATCCCTAATATTTGTGCCAGCAGCTGTATAATCACACCACCAGGCTGGCTTTAGCTGCTATCTTTGGCATCGCTCTTGGTATTTTGGCCACGATTCTGGAAGCCAGCCGCACTTTTGCAGTTCCGGCGCTCACCATTGTGGTGTGCGGCTTCAGCCTCGTGATATCCAATGACTTGTTGCGAAGGGTTTCGCATTTTGTTGGTGTGATGCTGTGCTGGACCTGTGTGATGTACAATTTTGGTGGTGTTTTCGGTGAGTTTAAAGAAGAATTCTATAAGGACGAAGGCATCCCTCGCTCTGTGATTCGCCTGGTGCATCGGTTCTACTGGCTGCTGACTTCGGTGGCTTTCTGCGTCATGGAGGTGGACCGCATCAATGGAAGATCCACGGTCTCGGAAGCAGAAGAGCTTCGACAGGGGCACCTCCATAGAGATTTCACACATGGTTTACATATGTTTACATCCCCAGAACGGGGATGGTCATCCCCATCAACAGTGGATTTCCGTACCTGTCAGGTGAGGGTCTTTAGATTTTATCAGGGGTACTTTCTCCTTCCCTCTTCCTGCCTTCCTGCCTTCCTTCCTTCCTTCCTTCCTTCCTGCCTTCCTGCCTTCCTGCCTTCCTGCCTTCCTGCCTTCCTGCCTTCCTGCCTTCCTGCCTTCCTGCCTTCCTGCCTTCCTTCCTTCCTTCCTTCCTGCCTTCCTGCCTTCCTGCCTTTCCTGCCTTTTCCTGCCTTTCCTGCCCTTTCCTGCCTTTCCTGCCTTCCCTGCCTTCCCTGCCTTCCTGCCTTCCTGCTTCCTTTCCTGCATTCCTGCCTTCCTGCCTTCCTGCCTTCCTGCCTCCTGCCTGCCTTCCTCCTTCCCCTTCCTCCCTTCCTCCCTTCCTCCCTTCCTCCCTTCCTCCCTTCCTTTCCTTCCTGCCTTCCTGCCTTCCTGCCTTCCTGCCTTCCTGCCTTCCTGCCTTCCTTCCTTCCTTCCTTCCTTCCTTCCTTCTCTTACCCTTCCTCCCTTTCCTCCCTTCCTCCCTTCCTCCCTTCCTCCCTTCCTCCCTTCCTTCCTTTCCTGCCTCCTTCCTTCCTGCCTTCCTGCCTTCCTGCCTTCCTGCCTTCCTGCCTTCCTGCCTTCCTGCCTTCCTGCCTTCCTGCCTTCCTGCCTTCCTGCCTTCCTGCCTTCCTGCCTTCCTGCCTTCCTGCCTTCCTGCCTTCCTGCCTTCCTGCCTTCCTGCCTTCCTGCCTTCCTTCCTTCCTGCCTTCCTTCCTTCCTCCCTTCCTTCCTTCCTTCCTTCCTTTCTTCCTTCCTTCTTCTACTTTCTTCTTCCTTCTTATTCTTCTTCTTCTTTCTTCTTCTTCCTTCTTCTTCTTCTTTTTTCTTCTCCTCCGGCAGCCTCGGATCGCAACTGCGTGTTCCGGATCGCAGTGGGCACTGCCAGACCTCAACCGCGAGCTCCAGATCTCAGTGGGCATTGCCGGGCCTCAACCGCGAGCTCCAGATCTCAGCCGGACCTCAACCGCGAGCTCCAGATCTCAGTGGGCATGCCGGAGAGAATGCCAGGATAGATGCCAGAATAGCATGCCAGATAGAATGCCAGAAAGAATGCCAGAATGAATGCCAGATAGAATGGCAGAATAGCATGTCAGAATACAACGCTAGAATAGAATGTCAGAAAATATGTGCCATATATACTTCCAGGTGAGATGCCATATATACTTCACGGCGGGGACCACTCGAAGGAAATTAATTTTGAATGGTGTGATGACCATGCTCCACCATGTTTTGACCACGGCACAGATGTTGAATTTTCAGCCTTAAAAAGATGATGAGCCCAAGTGAACTCAAAGTTTGGGTTACTTGATTTGAAAAACACATCAAAGTTCAGATTTGGCTGTTCAGATTTGAGCCATGTACATGTGTATCTCACGCAACAAACGGAATGACAGGCATAGACATGGGAACATAGCCCACAATGATTGGGTTGTGGTGGTTGCAACTATGCTTGATCTTCAACCCAAATACAGCATGTCATGATGTAACATGGCCTGGGACAATTTTTCCTTACTGATGTTCATATTTTCGTGACGGGCGGTTCAAGCACAAACCAGGTATGAAGGGTCCATTCTGCATGCCAAATGTTCAGAAGCAGCAGATGCTGTTAGCATTCGCAGAGAAATCGGTGACAAGGTGGATGAAGTGGACCATGCTATTCATGTCCTGATGGCGGCTGGAATGTCATCACCAGCACTCAGGGACATAGCTCGTTCAGTTGATATCGAACATGCCGCATTTCCAGAAATCATAGGAGCACTTTTCTTGCTCGGCCCTTTTGCCACCGACTCCCTTTCTCTGACTGTAGTTTGTCTCTTCTATTACGGAGATGTTTGGTACCGGGATGCTCTCATAAGCGTGTCCGTCCTTTTGCGGCTCATTCTATTTGTTTGGCTTTGTCAAAGCGACTGGGATGAGCAACGCTTCATTCTGAAGGTCATGACCAAAATTCATTTTATGACAATGCTTTGTTGGATATGTTTAGTGGCCTCCTTTTTTTCTTTTGACCTAAGTGTCATGGCTGTATCGAATCTTTGGCTGCTCTTTGGAGACTCTTGCTTGCTGGCCATGCTCTTGTTTGCGCTCCTGGGGATTAGAGGAACTGCCAAACTTCCATTTGGCTTCAAGATCCTACAATTTGTCTTCAGCAGGGGCAGCATCAGCAACACATGGAGTGCATTGATCCTATGCGTCCGACGCAAGCACGCGGCAGCTGACAATTCCACTTCTGGCGACGAGTCTTCCGACGCAAATTCTGATTCCGGAAGTGGCTCATGAGGTGTGACCAGTTTCACCATGCGTTGAGCGAGTCAAACAAGAAGTACATGAAAAAGAGAGGACATTGTGACATTCAAAACATGTCCAACCCAAGAACTGAGCACCCAAGAAGTCCTAAGACCTCAAGAAGTACATCCTTGGGAAAAGTGGTCCTAAAAAGGGTTGTCGCCGAGGATTCATAGCGATGCCGAGGATTCCCCGGCCGAGGGTTTTATACAGTAACTTTACCAAAAATTCTACAACCGAGGGTTTGCAGCATTGATATAACTGTCCCGAAGATTCAACGGCCAAGAGTTTTATATAGTAGTGCTAGATTTTTGTTCAACATAGCACGTCCCATCCCAACTGAGGCAGCCAAGCTCAATGTTTGTGCTCATTTACTGTTTCCATTTTCTGGCCTGGACATTTACCCACAATCTCAAGCCTGTTTTTGGATGTTTTGTTTTGTTTTGGGGTGGTGAACCAACGGGATTACAAGTGAAAGACTTTTATTTCGAAATGTTGTCATCAAGAATGGGCTGCTAACGCTTGCTCACGCTTTGGGGGAAGTATCTATTTTGATGAGGAAACCCATAAGCAAACCATGCCACACTTTTCCACACTTTTTTGTTCCAAACCAGGTGCACCTAAGGCACACCGCTTTCAGGCTGACAGCCCCAACTATGCTGAACATGTTCCTTTTGGTGCCACTTACTACGAGATCTCATAGGACCTCAAAAAGTTGTCCGTAGATTTGCTGGGGCATATAACTGCATGATATTGCATGATATTGCATGTGCGTGGTCATGATACCGAAACGTTGCTGATGCTGGCAGAAGTTTCCCAGGGTTCTGAAACTTATTTTCAGTTTAACAACTTCCATTGATTCGTTGTTCAATTTGCCAAGCATAGTCATGGAGAAAAAGGCAGCATCAAGACGCATGGAACGACCCAGTGAATTCCACACCCTTTAGCCTCGGAATCATCGGCTGGAAATCCACAAAGGACCTGGTGGCGCCCTTTTTTTCTTGGCCACCATTTCCCAAGGACCTTACTAGGGCCCAACCATTCCTATCTACGGGAGGTTCCCTAAACAGTGGATCCTTTTACAATGGAAAATCTTATTGACATGGGTGATTTAGGTGACCGGATACCCATATCTTAGGAACCTGGATGTAGACGTTGTAATGTATTGGTTACAGTTAGATGGGTGTACCTATCTGTTTTTTTAATGCTAGACTATACATCTAGTTACCCGTGCAGATCCTCATTTGACGGTGTGATGCACGTGGTCCTTCTGGGCCATAGCAGACTTTGTTTGTTGTCAGATTCCGGACGTGCCTTCGATTCAGTTTTTTCGTCGTGGCACACGATGTTAGTTCTGTTAAGGTTTACAACCAAAGATTTAAAGGCATGTTTTCTTGATGCGTTTTTCCTCAAACAGGGCGCGCCCAAATCCGGCTTACCATCGCTCCCCCAAAGTTTTTGTGCCATAGAATTAAGGTGGATGCTGGCACTCCCATGGGCTCCCATGTACCAGAATTAACTTTGGATGGTAAATTGTAAATGGCCGCTTTTTTTTCGCAATGTTTTCTGGGTGATTCTACATTGCTCATCATTTTTTGGCCTGACTATTAGTAAACCCCAATTTTCTGGTGCCCAACGCCCTTGGTGGTGCACACCCCAATACTTTTGCGCCATGCTTGGCTCCTCTTCTTCACATCGTGGAATGACGTTCTTGGCTTACGACCTGCATCGAAGAGTTCCAGCGGATCGATGGTGCGTCACGTACCTCTACGATGGGTTTGGCAGAACCCGATTGAAATTCCATGTGCAGAATTGCAAAAAAATTGAGGTACCCACCACATATGGGCCAATCCATTGCGGAATCTATATGGGGGAATATGTTTTATTGCTGGAGCTGGAAAGCTCCTAAAACAAATCCAAGGTATCGAGACTTGGCTTTCCTGTGCCAAGAGGTCTGCTCTGCCCTTCGCTGTGGCCAGATTCGGCCCGGGCCGGAGGATGATGCGTCAGAGGTGTATGGGCCCAGCATCTACACAGTGAATGAGCAGTATATCAAGCCAGTGACGCAACAGGCGGGTAAGATGAGTTGGGCATTGATGCGACATCCAGATGGCTTGGACTGCGAGCTGTTCATCAGCCATGCTTGGCAAGAAGGTGTCTTCGAGTTTCTAGCCAAAGTGAGGCACAGTTGGCCAAGGGGTGTGCAAACTGCTTGGTGCTGCATGCTGGCTAACCCTCAGAACTTAGACATCTCATCCTTTTTGCAGTCACCCAAGACTTCGCCCTTTGCAGTTGCATTGGAGGCTTCCAAAGTGATGCTGGTGGTACCGAACCGACACCAGAGTGTTTACACAAGGCTCTGGTGTTCTTATGAAGCTTATCTTGCTCAAGAAGATGGCAAGACGATTCTCATTGCGAATTCCTCCAACTTTTCTCAGATATTGAGTGCTTTGGTGTGGCTGGTTTTAGCTGCTATCTTTGGCATGGCTCTTGGGATTTTGGCCACGTTTCTGGAGGCCGGTGAGAGCTTCACAGTTCCGGCGCTCGCGATCCTGGTTTGTGGCTTTAGCCTCGTGATCTACAACAACCTGCTACGAAGGGTTTTGCATTTTGTTGGTGTGATGCTGTGCTGGATCTGTGTGATGCACAATTTTGGTGGTGTTTTTGGCGGCTGGCCGGTGGTTTCAAGTGCTTGTTTCACTTTTCATGCTGGGATGATTATACCCAGAGAACTTCGCATTTTTTTCGCGGGGGATTGTCCACTGCCAGCTAGGCGAGTATGCTGAGAATTACTATAGGGGTGAAGGTGTTCCTCACAAAGTTCTTCGCCTAGTGCGGCGCTGCTATTGGCTGCTGACTTCGGTAGCTTTCTGCGTCTTCGAGGTGGATCGGATCAATGGAAGATCCACGGTCTCCGAAGCAGAAGAGCTTCGACAGGGGTATCTTGGTGCAAAATGTCATGAAAATGTCATGCACTGCCCCGCCAAGTCTGGTCATCACCGCGTTTTTGAATTGCGACCAACCTTGGACCCTTGAGTATCAACACGTGTTAGGTGGGAAACAGCTGCATGTTGCCCCTGTTGGCTGTCCATGTTGCATCCTTTCGCGCTCGCCCGACATGGAAGATCAATTCTCTGTTGGTGATATTATTCTTCATGACTCATTTTTTCCAGGTGCTTCGCTTTCTAGAATGGTAGTTTTAAGCTCGTTGGATCTTCAACCCAAAGACTGAAGAGGTTCCACAAAGTTCCCAAGTGACTTTCATATGTTTGGAACGGGTGGGGTAACCACAAGTCAGGTATGAAGGTTCCATTCAGCATGCCAAATGCTCGCAAGAAGCGGACGCTGCCAGCATTCGGACAGAAATCGGTGACAAGGTGGAACAAGTCGACCACGCCATTCATGTGCTGATGGCAGCTGGAATGTCAACACCAGCACTCAGGGACATAGCCCGCTCAGTGGATATCGAACATGCAGCATTTGCAGAGATAATAGGAGCAATGTTTCTGCTTGGCCCGTTTGCCACGAGTGCCCTCACCATGACTGTTGTCTTTTTTGCCTACAAGCAGCCTCTATGGTACTGTTCGGTTCTCGCGACCGCGTCCGTCCTCTCGAGGCTCATTCTGTTTTTTTTGCTGTGTCAAAGCGACTGGGATGAGCAACGCTTCATCCTGAAGGTCATGAACAAATTCCTTTTTATGGCAATGCTTTGTTGGATATGTTTAGTGGCCTCCTTTTTTTCTTTTGACATGAGTCTCACGGCTGTGTCGAACATTTGGCTGCTCATTGGAGACTCTTGCTTGCTGGCCATGCTCTTGTTTGCGCTCCTGGGGATTAGAGGAACTGCCAAACTTCCATTTGGCTTCAAGATCCTACAATTTGTCTTCAGCAGGGGCAGCATCAGCAACACATGGAGTGCATTGATCCTATGCGTCCGACGCAAGCACACGGCAGCTGGCCTTTCCACTTCTGGCGACGAGTCTTCCGACGCAGATTCTGATTCCGGAAGTGGCTCATGAGGTGTGACCAGTTTCACCATGCGCGTGGTCATGATACCAAAACGTTGCTGATGCTGGCAGAAGTTCCCCTGCAACTTATGCTCAGCTTAATCACATGAACACCACCTTCCATTGCCCAAGGCCATTTCCCCAGCATACCTTGTTAGGGCCACTCATCATTCATATCATATGGGGGTTCACCAAAATGGTTGGTCTATAATGGACTCAATCCCAAATAGAAATGGATTATTTATGGATAACCATATCTTAGGAAGCCTCTATATAGACCTACATTAATGTATTAGGTGCAGGCAGGCGGGTGTGCATGCATCTATCTGTCTATTTCTTTTTGCATCTATCTGGACTATACATCTGGCTACCCGTGCAGATCTTCATTTGATTCAGATTCCAGATGTGCATTCAAGTCAATCTCTCCCCACCTGCCAGGTGAAGATCCCTAGATTTTAATAGTATGAGGTCTTTCCTCCTTCCCTTCCTCTTCCTCCTTCGCGCGAGCTCCAAACCTCAGTGGGCACCGCCAGACATGCGATCTCCACATCTCAGTGGGCGCTGCTAGACCTCAACCGCGAGCTCCAGATCTCAGTGGGCACTGCTGGACCTCAACACATGCCAGAGAGAATGTCAGAACAGATGCCAGATAGAATTCCAGAATGAATGCCAGATAGAATGCCTGAGAAAATTTCAGAATAGGTGCCAGAAAGGATGCCAGAGAGAATGTCAGAATAGATGCCAAATACAATGCCAGAAAAGATTGCCAGAAACGATTGCCAGAATACAATGTCAGAATAGATGCTAGATAGAACGCCAGAAAAGAATGCCAGATAGGATGCCAGAATATGCCAGAAAGAATGTCAGAACAGATGCCAGATAGAATGCCTGAGAAAATCTCAGAATAGGTGCCAGATAGAATGCCAGAATACAATTTCAGAAAGGATACCAGATAGAACGCCAGAAAAGAATGCCAGAATATGCCAGAAGGTCAGAACAGATGCCAGATAGAATGCCTGAGAAAACTTCAGAATCTGTGCCAGAAGGATGCCAGAGAGAATGTCAGAATAGATGCCAAATACAATGCCAGAAAAGATTGCCAGAATACAATGTCAGAATAGATGCCAGACAGAACGCCAGAAAAGAATGCCAGATAGAATGCCAGAAAGAATGTCAGAACAGATGCCAGATAGAATGCCTGAGAAAATCTCAGAATAGGTGCCAGATAGAATGCCAGAATACAATTTCAGAAAGGATACCAGATAGAACGCCAGAAAAGAATGCCAGATAGAATGCCAGAACATGCCAGAAAGAATGTCAGAACAGATGCCAGATAGAATGCCTGAGAAAACTTCAGAATAGGTGCCAGAAAGGATGCCAGAGAGAATGTCAGAATAGATGCCAAATACAATGCCAGAAAAGATTGCCAGAATACAATGTCAGAATAGATGCCAGACAGAACGCCAGAAAAGAATGCCAGATAGAATGCCAGAAAGAATGTCAGAACAGATGCCAGATAGAATGCCTGACAAAATTTCAGAATAGGTGCCAGAAAGGATGCCAGAGAGAATGTCAGAATAGATGCCAAATAGAATGCCAGAAAAGATTGCCAGAATAGAATGTCAGAGAGAATTGCAGATAGAATGCCAGAAGGAATGTCAGAAGATATAGATACCACATTTATTTCCGGATAATATGTCAGAAATTTTGACAAAATAGTTTATCACGGTGGGGATGACTCGAAGTAGAGTAATTTTCGTCGCGGTGCGGCACACCATGTTGATTTTGGTAAGGTTCGGAGCCAAAGATGTAAAGCCATGTTTTCTTGGTGCGGCTTTTCCTCAAACAGGGCGCGCCCAAACCCTATGATTTATCATCGCTCGCCAAAAAAAGTGCCATGGGCCATAGAATGGTGAATGCATACCATCCTTTTGGGCAAGCCCATGTAGCAGAATCAGACCACGCTTATGGTAAATAGTTGCGTTTAGCCCCAATGTTTGATGAGTGATTCCACTTTGCTCATTTTTTTCGGCCTGAATATTATGAATCTCATTTTTTTTCGGTGCCAAACCCCCTTGGTGGTGCACATATACCAATACTTTGAAGCGCCATGCGTGGCTCCTCTCCTTCACATCGTGGAATGACGATCTTGGCCTACGACCTGCATCAAAAGGGTTCCAGCAGATCGATGGTGCGTCACGTACCCAGGAACTCCTTCAGGATGTGTTTTTGCAAAATTGTGGAAGTCTACGATAAGTTCAGAACCAATCCACGGAAATTCTATTTCTCGGGTTGGAATTTCGAGAATCACCGCGTATGGGCAAACCCATCGCGGAATCTATATTTGGGATTATAAAGGAATATTTCCCCAAACAGTGTGTCCATACTGAGGGGTTCTTACGGTAGGTGAAAGGCCGAGGTTAGATCAGGGTTCGTGCTCTGGCCTCCGGCGTTGTTTTTTCCTGCAAATTCTCGCATAAAATGGCTCTTGCGCATAAAAATGGCTCTTGTGACATATCCATGTGCGTTTTGACTGTGCAGGCTCGCACAAAACGCGTGTCCCGATCTTGGGGGCGCGGCATTGTTCTTGTAAATTCTCGTATAAAATGGCTCTAGTGACATACATGTCCTATGCGTTTTGTTTTTCGGCGAACTTCTCGCATAAAAATGGCTCTTGTGATATGTCCTGCGCAGGCTCGCACAGCGTCTGCGCCGCGGAGTTCTCAAGCACTGGGTCCTGCTACATTTCTGTCTAAGAGGTCCTTCCATGATCCTGCACACGTCCTCAACAGACGATCTTGTGGAGATCCTGGTGGGATCCTCTCCAAGAGGTCCTTGCATGCGGAGCTTGCAGATGCCATGTCTTAGAGGTGCTTGTATGAAAGCTCTTGTGGGAGGTTAGGTTATTGTATCAAGATCTTGTAAGATCCGCTCCAGCAGCGGCAGGTCCTTTTATGACGATCTTGTGAGATCCTCTTACGGTCCTGGCATGAAGATCTTGCTCAGGGTCTTTTACAAGTCCTTGTGCGAAGATCTTGTGGAGATCCTACCAATTCTGTCAGAGACTTTTGCATGATCTTGTACAGGTCCTTGTGGGAAGCTGTTGAAAAGGTCCTGGTAAGATCCCTTCGGTGTCCTTGCATGATCTGGTAGAGGTCCTTGTGAGAAGCTCTTGTGGGGATCCTGTTGAAAACTTTCTCTTGCACTAAGATCTTGAAGATCCTCTGCATTGGTGCTTGTATGAAAGTCTTTCTGGGATGCTCACAGGACTTGTATGAAGTTCTTGTGAGCTCCCCTTCATAGATCTATAAAGAAGGTCCTGCTGCTGCAGTTGCCATCATGTCTTACCTCATCTATTACTGTTCCATAGCTTCTGTTGCTTGTATCTGGTACATTGACTTCCTATCCCGCCCACGCTGTTTAGGGTCTCTTGCCGGCGTAATCTTTTTTTGGAAAGCTCCTGAGACAAATCCAAGGTATCAAGACTTGGCTTTCTTGCGCCGAGAGGTTTGCTCTGCCCTTCGCTGTGGATGATGCGTCAGAGGCCTATCGGCCCAGCATCTACACGGTGAATGAGCAGTATATCAAGCCGGTGACGCAACAGGCAGGTAAGATGAGTTGGGCATAGATCCGACATCCAGATGGCTTGGAATGCGAGCTGTTCATCAGCCATGCTTGGCAGGAAGGTGTCTTCGAGTTTCTGGCCAAAGTGAGGCACAGTTGGCCAAGGAGTGTGCAAACTGCTTGGTGCTGCATGCCGGCTAACCCTCAGAACTTAGACATCTCATCCTTTCTGCAGTCACCCAAGACTTCGCCCTTTGCAGTTGCATCGGAGGCTTCCAAAGTGATGCTGGTGGTACCGAACCGACACCAGAGTGTTTACACAAGGCTCTGGTGCTCTTATGAAGCTTATCTTGCTCAAGAAGATGGCAAGACTATTCTGACAGCACATTCTTCCAATTTTTTTTCAGGTCTTGTGGGCTTTGATGTGGTTGGTTTTAGCTGCTATGTTTGGCGCGGCTATTGGGATTATGGCTACGTTTCTGGAGTTCAGGCAGACCTTCATAGCTCCCGCGCTCACCATTGTGGTGTGTGGCTTCAGGCTCGTGATATCCAATGACCTGCTGCGAAGGGTTTTGCATTTTGTTGGTGTGATACTGTGTTGGACATGCGTGATGCACAATTTTGGTGGTGTTTTCGGTGAGTTTGTAGGAAATTACTATAAGGACGAAGGCGTCCCTCTTGCAGTGATTCGCACGGTGCATCGGTTCTACTGGCTGCTGACTTCGTTGGCTTTCTGGGTCATGGAGGTGGATCGTATCAATGGAAGATCCATGGTCTCGGACCCGGACAGAGGAGCTGCGACAGGGGCATCTTCACGGTGATTTCACATATGTTTAATTTTCAACCAGAAAATAGATAGTGGGCCCAACTGACTTCTATAGTTTGACTTTAAACCCAAAACCATCACAGCCCAGACTTATCCCTTTCAAATGTTTATCCTACCCCTGAAAGATTAAAATAAAAGTGCATATACGTGGGATTAAAATCCACAAAGATTACATTGGTTGCTTTGCATATGTTTGATCAAACAAACACATCAAAGTTTAGATTTGACCGTTCAGATTTACACATGCGCATTTCATGCAAAAAATCGAATGACAGGCATAGACATGGGAACATAGCCCACAATGATTCGATTGGGGTGGTTGCAACTATGTTTGATCTTCAACCCAAATACAGCATGCCATGATGTAAGATGGGATGGTATGATTTTTCCTGACCGATTTTCATATTTTCGTGACGCACGATTCAAGCACAAACCAGGTATGAAGGGTCCATTCTGCATGCCACATGTTCAGAAGCAGCAGATGCTTTAGCATTCGCAGAGAAATCGGAGACAAGGTGGATGAAGTGGACCATGCTATTCTTGTCCTGATGGCGGCTGGAATGTCATCACCGGCACTCAGGGACATAGCTCGTTCAGTGGATATCAAACATGCTGCATGTCCAGAAACCATAGGACCACTTTTCTTGCTCGGCCCTTTTGCCACTGACTCCCTTTCCCTGACCGTAGTTTGTCTATTCTATTATGGAGATGTTTGGTACCGCGGTGCTCTCACAAGCGTGTCCATCCTGCTGCGGCTCATTCTATTTGTTTGGCTTTGTCAAAGCGACTGGGATGAGCAACGCTTCATTCTGAAGGTCATGACCAAAATTCATTTTATGACAATGCTTTGTTGGATATCTTTAGTGGCTTCCTTTTTTTCTTTGACCTAAGTGTCGTGGCTGTATCAAATACCTGGCTTCTCATGGGAACTTCTTGCTTGCTGTGCATGCTCTCGTTCGCGCTCCTGGGGATTAGAGGAGCTGCCAGACTTCCATATGGCCTCTAGATCCTTCAGTTTTTCTTCAGTAGAGGCAGCAATACATGCCATTGCCACGACTGACAACCAGCCTTCGGACACTGACCCTGGCAGTTCCGGAAATGATTCATGAGCTGTGACCCGTGTCACCATGCGGGGGTGGATCGCAAAATCTATGAGACAAGAGATGGCGTTCGAAACGAAGGATGGAATTTAGGGATATTGCGGCAATATTGCGGTGAAGAGCTGTATATACAGTAATTAATGGTTTTGAGGTTTTGATACTGGTTTTGAGTTCCCGTGGATTGTGAAATTATTGTTCAGTGTAGATTCACCATGCGGCAAAAAAAACAGCGTGAAAGTCACCTTCCACTGCCTCGTTGTTGATGTTTTCTCTTGTGAAATTCTTAGGGCATATTCAAGGAGGAACAGCAAGTATTATCAATCATGCATGTCCATGGAACGACCCGTTGAATCCACACTGGAACCTCTAGCTCATTTTGGTCCAGCTTCAAGGTTGCATGTTAGTTTTTCTCTGAGTGGGCAAAATCCACATTTTTTCACAAAGTCAATCCACATTGCTGATGTTTCTTTGTGTCAAAGAAACCCTCAAGTTTTCGGTCGTCTAGCGGTGCGCACCCACTACTTTCGCGCCATGCGCGGCTCCTCTCCTTCACATCGTGGAATGACGATCTTGGCCTACGACCTGCATCAAAGGGTTCCAGCAGATCGATGGTGCGTCACGTACCCAGGATCTCCTTCAGAGGATGTATCCGAATTGCGAGAATTTGAGGTACCCACTGTCTATGGACGAACCCATTGCAAAACCTATCTAGGTGAATATGTTTCTTGTTCCAAAGCTCCTGAGACAAATCCAAGGTATCAAGACTTGGCTTTCTTGTGCCGAGAGGTTTGCTCTGCCCTTCGCTGTGGCCAGATTCTGCCCGGGGCGGAGGATGATGCGTCAGAGGCCTATGGGCCCAGCATCTACACGGTGAATGAGCAGTATATCAAGCCGGTGACGCAACAGGCAGGTAAGATGAGTTGGGCATTGATGCGACATCCAGATGGCTTGGAATGCGAGCTGTTCATCAGCCATGCTTGGCAGGAAGGTGTCTTCGAGTTTCTGGCCAAAGTGAGGCACAGTTGGCCAAGGAGTGTGCAAACTGCTTGGTGCTGCATGCTGGCTAACCCTCAGAACTTAGACATCTCATCCTTTCTGCAGTCACCCAAGACTTCGCCCTTTGCAGTTGCATTGGAGGCTTCCAAAGTGATGCTGGTGGTACCAAACCGACACCAGAGTGTGTACACAAGGCTCTGGTGCTCTTATGAAGCCTATCTTGCTCAAGAAGATGGCAAGACTATTCTGATAGCACATTCTTCCAATTTTTTGTCAGGTCTTATGGGCTTTGATGTGGTTGGTTTTAGCTGCTATGTTTGGCGCGGCTAGTGGTATTATGTCCGCATTTCTGAAGGTCCGTGAGACCTTCATAGTTCCGGCGCTCACGATCCTGGCTTGTGGCCTCAGCCTCGTGATCTACAACGACCTGCTGCGAAGGGTTTTGCATTTTGTTGGTGTCATGCTGTGTTGGACCTGCGTGATGCACAATTTTGGTGGTGTTTTTGGCGGCTGGCCAGTGGTTTCAAATGTTTTTTCTCCATGCTGTGGTGATGATAGCTCAAGGATTTGACATTTTTTGACTCGGGATTGTCAACTGCCAGCCAGGTGAGCATGCTGAGAATTACTACAAGGGTGAAGGTGTTCCGCACGAAGCTCTTCGCCTAGTGCGGCGCTGCTATTGGCTGCTGACTTCGGTGGCTTTCTGTGTCATGGAGGTGGACCGCATCAATGGAAGGTCCACTATCTCTGAAGCAGAGGAGCTTCGACAAGGGTACCTGGATTAGTAACACGTGTTAGCTGGGAAAAAGCTGCATGTTGGCCCTGTTGGCTGTCCATGTTGCATCCGTTTGCCTTGTCTGTTGGTGATGTTGCTGTTCATGTTTTGCTATGTTTTGCTTTATTTATTTTATGGGCCAAAGCGTTGTCTGTTGGTGGGCGTTAGTTATGTACCGTTTCTTGTGGAATGCAAGCCGACAATGTCTGACCCATACCGGGTATAGCCTGATGCTTTGCTGATGATCCCCGAATGGTGGGTTGGTTGGTGGCAATTTCTTCAACCAGAATGATGGCAGAATCGATACGTAAACATGGCACGTAACTTCAGATCTGGTGATAGGACCACACAGGAGCCGATACAGCCAACAATAATTGAAATGGCGGTTTCAAGCTTGTTGGATCTTCGACCCAAAAGATTGAATGGCGTTCCAAGAGTTCCCAAGTTGCCACAAGTCAGGTATGAAGGTTCCATTCAGCACGCCAAATGCTCGCAAGAAGCGGACGCTGCCAGCATCCGGAGAGAAATCGGTGACAAGGTGGAACAAGTCGACCATGCCATTCATGTCCTGATGGCAGCTGGAATGTCAACACCAGCACTCAGGGACATAGCCCGCTCAGTGGATATCGAATATGCAGCATTTGCAGAGATGACAGGGGCAATGTTCTTGCTCGGCCCGTTTGCCACGAATGCCATCGCCATGAACGTTGTCTGTTTTTTCTACAACCTGCATCTGTGGTATTCCTCGGTTCTTGGTAGCGCGTCCGTCCTTGCACGGCTCATTCTGTTCTATTTGCTCTGTCAAAGCGACTGGGACGAACAACGCTTCATTCTGAAGGTCATGAACAAATTTCTTTTTGTGGCAATGCTGTGCTGGATATGTTTAGGGGCTTCTTTTTGGTCTTTTGACATGAGTGTCACGGCTGTATCGAATATTCCGGATCTTTGGCTTCTCATTGGAGACTCCTGTTTGCTGGCCATGCTCTTGTTTGCACTCCTGGGGATTAGAGGAACTGCCAAACTTCCATTTGGCTTCAAGATCCTTCAGTTTTTCTTCAGTAGGGGAAGCAACAAATGGAGTGCATTGAACCTATGCGTCCGACGCAAGCACGCGGCATTTGACCTTTCCACTTCTGGCGACGAGTCTTCCGACACAAATTCTGACACCTCCGGAAGTGGCTCATGAGGTGTGGCCAGTTTCACCATGTGTTGAGCGGGCGACAAGGCATAGAACGTGCACGAAAGAAAGTCTGTTCAAATCAACCCCTAACAATTCATGCCAACTTCGCTTCCTGAGAGTTGACCGGATATTGTTGTTGAACCTTCTTCCCTTTGTGAAAGTTCAGTTCATCCCCCTCGGGCCCTCCGTCAGGAATGCCCGAAATAGTCACAGTCATGGAGATTAATCAACCATGACATGGAATGAGGTATACGGATGTGATTTTCGGCCACGGGCATGTTTGCTGATTCACTGGTTCATGTGGCCCCACTTCTTGATGCTGGGTCATTTCCTGATTCCTCTGCACACTGATTCCCACTGGATTTTGTAGGTCAGCAATGCGTAACACCGAGGTGTCCAGAAGCAGGTCCAGCAGGAAATCCCTGACCAGATGTTCGCTGCTCCTGATGCTGGCGGCACCGCGGGTGCCGCCTCAGCTGCGCCGGCCGTGCCGAAGGGATTGGATCCTGTCATGGTGCAGCAGAAATTGATGCACGTGGTGGAGCAGGCCGGGTTAATCCTGAGCTTGCCTGAAGTGAAATGAAGCGATCCATTCGAAAATCTGGATGGAATATTTATTTTGCGGTTGTTTCTTCCTGTGCGTGTTTTTTCTATTCCCTTGTCAGGTGACAGTCATGATTTTTCTATATGTTCCATTTTTGTTCCAAATTGAAATTCCTGCGTCAATGGAGCATCCGTGGTCTCACCCATTTTGGACCCCGCGTAACACGTGTTGCAGGTGTCCGGTGGGGGCGACGAGGTGCATTTGGACACACCTTTGATGGAATCTGGCACCTTGGCCTTTTTAAATGGGTTGAAGGCAGGGTTCCCTCAAATTTGATGGTTTTTCAACATCTTCGTCTTCAACCTAAACTTATCTGATATAATCGAATCTCAGATACATCTAGTTTAGTTAATTTAAATCAAAACCAAGTTGATCTAGTAGTATCTTTTCCAAGCTGATCAGATCTCATCCAGACCTAACCACAGTTAGTCCATCCTAAATCGAATATACCATCTATTTGTTGGATCTAGCCAGTTTCAGACGCACCCATATGGCGCCATAAGATTGATGGATTAGAGATGGCTAGAGCGGTTTCCACGTTTTCAGACAACGCCACATCATTTTGTTGGTTATACTCCCATGATATCACCATAAAGTCTAGTTTTGGCTAGCTTTGGATTTATATCCCTATACTTCGATCCTCGAAGTCATATGTATTCCCCTTTTGTGGCTATGTACTCCGATCATAATCGTTCTATTCCCCTACTCTGGGGACATACCCCCATAACTATCCACAACTGGCTCATGGTGTAAGGGAATAAACCACTTATGAACCAAGGTTGGTTGATGTTTATATTGGGATAAATCCATGTAAAGCATTGCTTTCCATGGTATATAGCAAAGATGTTTGGGTTTTTTAACCACTAAACATCAATGAGGTATGTTCCAAGATTCAAGTATTCATAGCTGGCTTCTGGCCTATCAGACTACCACTTATTCCCCGTTATATCCCCATAACATGGTTAGTTTAAAACCCAGTATATACCTCATTTTGGTTCATAATGATTCATACATGATGGTTGGTTATGATTCTAGTATATTCCAAGTTTGCTGATCATCATGATCATGATGTCATAATATTTCTATGATGGGGGTTCTCGAGCTCCAGGGGATCCCAATTAACCAGCACAAAGCAACTATGACTATTCATTATGGGTTTATTGATCGCTAAACATTGTTTACTGACAGTCATGATCATTATTGTCATTGATACTGGTTAGTAATCTCCTATGGTGTTTCTTATAGTTGCTAATAACCACCCATGAACCAAGGTTGGTTGATGATTGTGGGATAAATCCATAAGGGTTGTTTAATAATCATCAAACATGCAGGATGGTGCCCCCCCAGTTATAAGTTAGTTTGTAGCCCATCTAAAATCTAAATATAGACTTTTATCTATAGGATAGTTATGTTCAGCAATTTAGCTAGCGAACTGGGGCCCCATCCTGATTAACTAATCACCATGATAATCCATTACATATCCCATTATCCGTTTTAAGCATCCCATTATCACCATTATAATCCATTAAATATCCCATTGTCCATTTTAAACATCCCATTTTCCATTTTAAACATCCCATTTTCCATTTTAAACATGCCATTTTCCACTTTAAACATCCCATTTTCCATTTTAAACATCCCATTTTCCATTTTAAACATCCCATTTTCCATTTTAAACATCCCATTTTCCATTTTAAACATCCCATTTTTCATTGTAAACATCCCATGTTCCATTTTAAACATGCCATGTTCCATTTTAAACATCCCATTTTCCATTTTAAACATCCCATTTTCCATTTTAAACATCCCATTTTCCATTCTAAACATCCCATTCTCCATGATAAACATCCCATTCTCCATGAAAAACATCCCATTTTCCATTATAAACATCCCATTTTCCATTTTAGACATCCCATTTTCCATTTTAAACATCCTTTTATCACCATTATAAACATCCCATTTTCCATTTTAAACATCCCATTGTCACCATTATAAACAGTCCATTTTCCATTTTAAACATCCCATTTTCCATTTTAAACATCCCATTTTCCATTTTAAACATCCCATTATCACCATTATAAACATCCCATTTTCCATTTTAAACATCCCATTGTCACCATTATAAACAGTCCATTTTCCATTTTAAACATCCCATTCTCCAGTTTAAAAATCCCATTTTCCATTTTAAACATCCCATGTTCCATTATAAACATCCCATTTTCCATTTTAAACATCCCATTTTCCATTTTAAACATTTCATTTTCCATTTTAAACATCCCAGTATCACCATTATAAACATCCCATTTTCCATTTTAAACACACCATTTTCCATTATAAACATCCCATTTTCCATTTTAAACATCCCATTTTCCATTTTAAACATCCCATTTTCCATTATAAACATTCCATTTTCCATTTTAAACATCCCATTTTCCATTTTAAACATGCCATTTTCCATTTTAAACATCCCATTTTCCATTTTAAACATCCCATTTTCCATGTTAAACATCCCATTTTCCATTTTAAACATCCCATTTTCCATTTTAAACATCCCAGTTTCCATTTTAAACATCCCATTTTCCATTTTAAAAATCCCATTTTCCATTTTAAACATCCCATTTTCCATTTTAAACATTCCATTTTCCATTTTAAACATCCCATGTTCCATTTTAAACATCCCATTTTCCATTATAAACATCCCATTTTCCATTTTAAACATCCCATTATCACCATTATAAACATCCCATTTTCCATTTTAAACATCCCATTGTCACCATTATAAACATCCCATTTTCCATTTTAAACATCCCATTATCACCACTATAAACATCCCATTTTCCATTATAAACATCCCATTTTCCATTTTAAACATCCCATGTTCCATTTTAAACACACCATGTTCCATTATAAACATCCCATTTTCCATTTTAAACATCCCATTTTCCATTTTAAACATCCCATTTTCCATTATAAATTATAAACATCCCATGTTCCATTTTAAACATCCCATGTTCCATTTTAAACATCCCATTTTCCATTTTAAACATCCCATTTTCCATTTTAAACATCCAATTTTCCATGATAAACATTCCATTTTCCATTTTAAACATCCCATTTTCCATTATAAACATCCCATTTTCCATTTTAAACATCTCATTTTCCATTTTAAACATCCCATTTTCCATTTTAAACATCTCATTTTCCATTTTAAACATTTCATTTTCCATGTTAAACATCCAATTTTCCATTTTAAACATCCCATTTTCCATTTTAAACATCCCATTTTCCATTTTAAACATCCCATTCTCCATTTTAAAAATCCCATTTTCCATTATAAACATCCCATTTTCCATTTTAAACATCCCATTTTCCATTATAAACATCCCATTTTCCATTTTAAACATCCCATTGTCACCATTATAAACAGTCCATTTTCATTTAAACATCCCATGTTCCATTTTAAAATCCATTTCCATTTTAAACATCCCATTTTCCATTTTAAACATCCCATTTTCCATTTTAAACATCCCATTTTCCATTATAATGACATCCCATTTCCATGAAAAACATCCCATTTTCCATTATAAACATCCCATTTTCCATTTTAGACATCCTATTTTCCATTTTAAACATCCCATGTTCCATTTTAAACATCCCATTTTCCATTTTAAACATCCCATTTTCCATTTTAAACATCCCATTTTCCATTATAAACATTCCATTTTCCATTTTTAACATCCCAGTATCACCATTATAATCCTGATTAGCTGATCCCCATCCTGGGGCCAGGCCTGGATTCCCTCTCCGCGGTGGCCTTCCGCAACGAGCTCTCGCGGCAGTTCGAGGGCGTCGGCACGCTGCCGGCGGCGCTGATGTTCGACTACCCCAGCGCCCGCGCCATCGCCGAACACCTGGTGGACCGGAGCAAAGGGCTCGCGTGATCTTTCCAAAACACCGGGAAAATACGAAAAAACACAGCATTTTCTGGGACAATCATGGTGAAACATGATGAAATATTGGAAAAAATGGTGAAAATGATGGGTGTATATATCACTGTGATTTGTATTCTGTGGTATGGTATTTCGAATGGACGTTTTTTCCAGTATCACGTGAAATCAAGTCAAGAGGATGAAGCAAGATTCAAATCACATTCTGGTTGACATTTGGTTTTTTTCTTGATGATGTTGATGAAGTAAAGCTACTCACACTTGTTGTCCTGGAGAAGAATACACCCTTGGGTCGTGCAGAATCTGCAGCTGTCCATAAAAAGGTCTCTTCCAACGGCGTCATTTGCGCCAAATGGGGAAAAAGGTGAACTCTGAGTCCAAAGCATGGGTTCGTGATGGCTGGTGTTTTTCTTGGGGACTCAACTTAAAGTTTGTTCTAGGATTAACTGATAGGTTAAGACAAACAATACCATACAGTAATCTACAATATTTTCTTAACTACATTGATGACTTGAATTTTCAGGTTCCATAATGAATGGTCAGGTTCCATGTGTTGTTTCCGGAAAGGTGTTGCATCCTGCATCCCCTTTTAAAAAGTGAGAATTTCCGGTCGGGTTTTTCAAGGGAAGAGCGCCACACTTTCCGCCATGATGACCCAAATGCCACTCACAACCAGTTTCTTTGGGGTTCAAAATTCCAGGGGCCCCGTAGAAGGTAGAAAACAATTCCCTACTAGTTGCAGGGGCTCACATGTTTTTTCTTCTGAGAGGGGGCCTCTAGCTGGGTGTGTCTCAATGTGGGGGATGACCATTTTAAATTTGGACATTGAAGGCTTAAACCATAGGATGGCATGGAAGGGGCCCCTCTTTTGTTGACACACCCCGCATGATTGCAGTGAAACCACATGACCGAGTCGATGGCATCCTGATCCGACAGTGCTTGGCCTTCAGGATTGGCTGAATTTGCCAACCCTCACCATGCTTAGGCCACGGGCTTTGCCCAAACATAAGGTACATTGAATCAAAAGCAGAAAACGTGTTTTCGTTTCCCTCATTGCATGTCCGATTTCTGGACAAATCCATGTAGCATATCTCCTTATTGATGGTTCACCATTTTAGATAGCTAATCCACATTTTGGATGGTCAGTTAAATCCCAAGTCTCACCATTGAAAAGATCACGGTTGCGAATCGCAGGGGTGACGTGTTTGGTCTTCGTTCCTGCAGCTCACGGACAGCCTCCATGCTTGTTGGAGGGGGGTCCAAGATGGGTAGGTCTGGGTCAATCTGTGCGCAGGCTATCTAAGTTTGGCCGGTTAGCCACAACGTCACCAAGAAAAATGGCTCTCAAGAACCTATAGGTTTCAGCCGTTTCGAACCAGACTCAGTCCTTATTCCTGTTCATTGATGTTGAGTGTTGCTTGATGTATTCCTGTTGATCGATGCTGATGCTTCAAGCACCGCCCCCATGTGTTTGGAAAACAAAGCAAGTCTCCTTACTGTATCAGGCTCAAAGCCTTCAAAACCTTACGCATTGGAGAGCAAAGGATGTTTAAAAAACACATTTGAATACATTTGGGCGGAATCCATGACTTGTGGCTTCTCTCTGGTGGGTTTGCTTTGTGAGAATCCTCAGCACCACGAGACCGGGTGTTCATGTTTCAGGCCATATAGGTATGGCTAGGGAACCAAGGGGCTAGGGAGCCGAAGGTGCAGTAACCCCACAAGATCAACGGTAACGGTAAAAGCGTTTCAACATGTTCGACTAATCCATTGGGATTGGGGGGATCCTATTTTCAGACAAATCCAGATTTTGTTACTTCTGATTTGGAAATTGTAATCATGTGTAAACCGATGATTCGGTTTAAAAGGGGTAAAATGAGGTACCTCTCCCCTTTTGTTACGGTAGTTTGTAACCCCATGTTTTTGAGCTGCTGCTTCCCCCAACTTCAAAGGAAATTATCATCGAATCGCCGAAGGAATCCAAACCGTCTGCCTATTGGTGACCGTCTGTTAATCTAACATAGCTATGGAAAATTGTCATTTTTGTGGTAAATTGTCATTATCAATGGCCATTTTCAATAGCTATATATAAGCAGATGATAGCATATGTTTTGTTTCGTCCCCTATTGCCGTCTCCGTACATGTCTTGTTTCTTCATGAATGACATCCAAAAAAGTTGAAAACACCATGATGCCAATACCTCCGTCTTTTGTATTCACTTTTTTGCCGAGGGATACATCCCATGTTTTGCAGACAAAAATTGTGGTTTCGGTTCAACCAATGTCATTCCGTTGAAGAACACCATCCTATTGGTTTCATCCCTAGATTCGGCTATGTGTTTATGTCATTTTATGTCCCCAGAATTAAAAACACATCAGTCACAAGCTGGCAGATTCCCAGCACTATCATCCACCAGAGATGACCCATTTTTGTTTCGTAACCCCTCAAAACAAACCAGAAAAGGCTGCATTTTTTTAAGTGGATAACCAGTTATTGCTATTTTGGTGCGAATGTATCATGATATTCCCACAAAATAACTTGAGGATTTTCCTTGATTTTCTCTTATTTTGTGAATTTGAATGTGATATGTCGTTTGTTTATTGCATTGTTATTTTGGGGGTTGCCACCCAATAATCAAACATAGCGATTTTTTCCCATTGGAACCTCCATTTATAGGCGATTTTCCAGCTGACCCTGTTTGCTTACTAGAGGGTATCCATCAATTGCAAAAAAAAACATAGTGCTTTTTTCCCATGGTTTAACTTCAACCATGATATCCACTGGCATGCAACTGGTAGTTTACCAGCCATAGTGAATGGGGAATTCACACATCGCATATAACCATTATATATATATATATATACATATGGAGATGTTAACTGGAGATTAAATGATTAACTGATGTTTTCCTGATTGAAATATATATATATATGCATGGATTTGTTTATATTACTTACCTGTGTTTTGTGCATACATACATAATATATGTATGTATGTATGTATGTATGTATGTATGTGTGTGTGTATGTGTGTATGTGTATGTGTGTATGTGTGTATGTCTGTCTGTCTGTATGTATGTATGTATGTGTATGTGTATGTATATGTATATGTATATATATATAGATATCACATATATTTATATAGACATATGGCGCTTAGTAGGGGGAATGATCCCCCAGATATTTGGTAGGTGAACACCTCAGACTCTTCAGCGTCAATCATCGATTGCACCTATGGACCTCCCGCGGGCGTTTCTTGGCACGCTGGAAAGCAGGGTGGACTAACGATTTTTCACGATGAAATAGGCATGTGGGATGTTCCATAAATGGGGGTTTATACCCCCAAATGGACGGTGGAAAGATGCATCTAGAAATTCATGATTCGGGGGTAACCCTATTTCAGGAAATCTCCATGTGAAGTCTGTTCACCATATTTAACAAAGAAAAAATGGAGATATCCAGAAATGATGGCCGGTTGATGATTCTAACTTCAGTAGCATGGAGCGTTTAGTACTTGAATCTTCTTCTGACAAATGGTATCAAATGTGCAATGATCAAAAGACGCTATGAAAGGCTTCAATTACGATCCGCCATCACTACTCAAAACATGTAATTTACTGTGTGTAGCGATAGGGGGCCTTGTGTAGCGATACCTCTTTTTAGACTTTGTTTATGATTGAACCTTCCTGTTGGGCGCATGACTTTCCAATCTTTTGATGTCAGAGTGCGACGCTGGAGCAGTCGCAGTGGGCTGGTCTTCCTGGGTAGTTGCAAGATGGCCTGTCGTCAAGTATATATGAGATAGTTACATTAAACAATGTTGATATATTGGGGTATGTTGATCTATAAGGTACGCAAGAAACTAATTCATAACGCATCATGAGCTTGATGATGGTGATGATGCTGATGATGATGGTGATGGTGATGATGTTGATTCAGATAGTGACCGTGCTGAGATATGTTGAAAAAGCATCCTTGCGCGGTCACGGACGCTTCTCCAAAGCCACTGTCCAGGAGTAGAATTGCAACATGGAGCTTGTCAGAATTTCGTGTCACTTGAAACATACCCCTGAGATCACACATTTTCTGGTCCCCGTAGCGATGCCCGAAGCGATACCCTTCGATACCCAGAGCGATACCTCAAATCCATGAAATTAGGGAGTACCCCACATGGTCACTTGAAACTTTACAACTTGTGCTATAGGTGGAAAAATATGGGAAGTATGAACAAGGGTACCCTCAAGTTCTAAATGGGTCGGTCTCGGACCACTTTTGGAAGTTGAGATGTCAAAAAAGTGCACGCCGTTGTGGCGCGAAGCACATTTCCAAGTCAAAATGTCCAAAACACTAGGGGTTCGGACCATTTTTGGAGGTTCAGATGTTGAAAAAGTGAGATAGAGAGATAGATAGAAAGAAAGAAAGAAAGATAGATAGATAGATACATCGATAGATGCATAGATCGATACATGGAGAGATAGATAGATACATAGAGATAGATCGATAGATAGACGGAGAGATAGATAGAGAGATAGATAGATAGATCGATCGATAGATAGATAGATAGATAGATCCATAGATAGACAGATAGATAGACACATAGATAGGTCGATACATGGATAGACACATAGATAGATACATAGATAGATGGACAGACAGACAGATAGATACATAGATAGATGGCTGGATAGACAGAAAGATGGAGAGTTTAATAGTTAGGTGAAGAAACACATCGAACGATAGCTACATGAATAGACAGGTAGATAGGTAGATGGCTAGAAAGGTAACTCTGTAGATAGATGCCGAAAGAGAGAGACAGAGAGAAAGAGAAAGAAAAAGACAGAAAGGCAGAAACACTCAACCACCTTTCAATCCATCAGTGGGTTCGCTCTGCCATTTTTGCGCCACAGCAACTCACCTCTCCTATAGGTTTCCTATTTTTGAAACTTCCGCCACCGCCTTGTGCGGTACTACTGGTATATAAGAGATAGAGAACTCAGCAGTCTCCCCCGCAAAGAAAATACGTTTTCTTGCTAAGTATCTAGTGATGGTTATGTAACCAATTGTTTTCAAACTCTCATTTTGACGGTATTCATATGGTCCAATGAAGTTCCTTGTTTTTAGATGCTTTTAGCAGTCAACCAATTCGGATTTTGGATTAACTAGGAGTCAAGTTGGCCCCTAACATTGAAGAAATCCAGCCCAGCAACTGCCATTTTCGCTGATGGTTCTACCTGGATGTGGAGTGATCTACCCACAAGGTTGTGCCCCCCCAGTTATGTTTGTTGGTTTATAAACCATAGTTATTGGAGTTATAAACCAAGGTAGCTAACTATGGGGCACCACCTTGCAGCAGTTTTGTGGTTTCAAAGAATTGTTTCCAAGAAGGTGACAGTCATTCAATCCCCATCACTGGTGATTGAAACCGCCAGGCAACATGACCGGCTTCCCTTACATTCCCATAGGTTCTTTAAAGCGCCACTGAGATACCATGGTTTTTGCCGAGAATATCAGTAGCGAAAAACGGCACCAAAAAAACGCAACGACCTTGCCATTTTCTCAACGTCTACGACCATAAAAAAGGATAAAAAATCAAGTTTCGCGAAATTCATTCGAAAAAATAAGCCCACAGAGGTCACAAAGTGCTCGAATCGGTTTTTACTTTTCTATGTGTCTGGGGGATGGTACCCTCTGGTAAACTAACATAGCTATTGAAAATGGTGATTTATAGTGAGTTTTCCCATTAAAAATTGTGATTTTCCATAGTTATGTTAGTTTACCAGAGGGTATATGTTGTTACCTAATGATAACTACCATATTCCTTGGACCAGAATTATTGTAAGCATCAGATGGATATATGAATGGGTAGCTATTGATGATGAAAACTTATCGCTTCAGCATGTGGCCATAAAACTATCCTGAATGTGGATAACGGTTAACGGGTACTTGTTCATGGATTCACTACTGGATAACTACTCTTGATGGCTGCCCTTCTGCAATCAAACACGCGTGGTTGCTGGAAAATTTTGATTTAGTTCGATGCGTTTCCCATTAATAATTTCCATTCAGTTCGGGCATTTCCCAACCAACCATATTTGATTGCCGAAGGGTACCCTGGGATAAACTAACATAACCTACCAGTTGACATAGTTAACATAGATGTGGAAAATCCACCATTTGTAGCTCATTTTCCTACAACGACCAACATCTCAGGTCTTGACCAACTTGGCAGTGAGACATCGCTGGGGGTCTCAGACGGACACGCTCCCAGCGTGTTGCGCGGAAGTTTTGAGGAAGTCTAGCGGGGAAATCACCCAAAAATGGAGGTTATAGCTGGGATATTCTCAAAAATTGGAGCTTTATGGCTGGGAACATCATCGAACCCACTGTTTTTACCAGGCAACATACGGATTGAAGCATCAAGAAATGCGAGATCTCTGGTGAACAAGGCGGTGAACTTGTTTTCCCAACCAGTGAAAACTGATGTGTTTCACTTGGTTGAATTGGTACATGGTAGATATAAACTGGAGGCGCCCACAACTCTACCCTTGATATGGCGTGATTTTTCCGCATGTCTACGATGAATAGTGGGTTCCCCAATGCCGGCCAGCTGGTAATTATTAGTCTCGTACAACCTTTTTCATCGACTGGATGTTTATGTGCAATGTACTGGAATGGATGGGTGAGCACGGGTCAAAGCCAAGTGCCCTGAAAATGAATTGTGTCGTAACGTCCAAATAGTACGAACAAATTGAGCAAAATCAATGACATGGGACTAATTGTGCCCAAATCAATAAAGATCTTCTGTCCAATAGTGGGTTATGATAATCCCCAGTCGTTTTTATCATTGCTCAAATGAGAAAAAAGGGCATTCTGTGGTGGTTGAGCTGCTTGAAGCGCACTTGGTCTGTTGTTTCCCGCTTAGGTGGTTTACATTCCTCTTGGCTTCAGGAATCTCAGGGGTTGGCTAATCTCCCATTGTGGGGTTCACTGGGATCCCAATGCCCGAAGGTGTGAGAGTGGCGCATGCTTTGCTGCCTCTGAAGTGCTGCTACTCACCGTAACCCCGGCAAATCGAGAGGGATAGCGGGCGGGTGGTTTAGGGATTCGATTTTCCCAATCAAGGGACCGGTGGTGTAAAGACCATGGGTTTGCAGGATTTTTCCGTAGAGTACTTCCCGTTCTCTTCATATTAGAAGAAAACATCTGGGTCCTAAAATGAATAGATCCAACCAATGCTGAACCAGGGCTTCCATGATGGTGTTTAATTTGATGTGGGAGGGGATCACAATTGACTTCAAATCCCTTTTTTTGCCGGAAATCCAAGACCAATGATGGCAGATGCGGTACCACTTCCTGAAGAAACTTCCAAAGATTTTCATGAAGTTGTGCAAAAGTTCCAGGACCTGTGAGAAGAACACCATTTGGAATTATCAAAGCCAGCTGTTTTTTGGATTCTCACCAGCAGTGCCACAAAATCCGAATTAGTAGAGTTGGGGGCTAGAGTATCTACTTATTTGGTTGGTGGTTTGGAACATTTCTATTTTTCCATATATTGGGAAGAATAATCCCAACTGACGAACTCATATTTTTCAGAGGGGTAGGTCAACCACCAACCAGTTATGGATTTGTTCAACCGCCAATGAAATCCGTGAAACCCATAGAACCCAAGCGACGCCTGTGGCAGGTCCAATCAGGGATTCCTCATTTCTGCCTCAGAGGATAAGGATGCCAAGACCTCAAATGACGAAAGATCATCGATCATGGTTTCTCTTGGGGAAAGGTGCAAAAGTTGCCAAAAAACAGATGACCAGAGGGAATTCATCAGCATAGTTTTTGGAACCGCTATAGGACGATAGGAGAAACAATCAATGTCAATGCGCCTTTGATGCTGCGGCTGGAGACATAGTCATGGCTTCGGTGGGCAAACAGAGCTTGAATGTGTGTCTCTCATGAGCCAGCTGTACCATGAAACAACAGCTTCTTGCTTAGCCACTATGCTGTCAAGTGGTACACCCAATAACAGTTGGGGCATGGTTTTTACCATCCACTTCTGGCAAATTCTGGGATTGCTCATTCTTCATGTCACCACAGTATAATGCGCTCAGTATGCGTCTTTATCAAGTCACGAATGCAGGTCTATATCTTTTCGCTCGCGAAGGGAGCCAACTACAAGATGAGTTGGCTGAAACATCACCAGGCGCTTGCGACGGAGGGCTATATATTTATTGGGAATGTCATCATCCCAACTGACTTTCACTCCATCATTTTTCAGAGGGGTAGGTCAACCACCAACCAGAAAACGCTGGTGAGTCACATGATGGCCGTATGAGAACAGCTATTTTCAGGTCAGTGAATGGAAAAAAAACGGCCAGATCTGATGATCAACCAACATTCGAGGTGAAGGTGTCTAGCTAAGTTCTTTTTTCACCAGGTTAACTATGGTTTATGTGGGCCTGCCTGCAAGATGGAATATACCACCCAAATGGTCACCTAAGTAGGGAAAATGATGAGCTATCACTTTGAAGGTACCATATTTTTAGATAAACCCATTTTTTCTTATATTTTTCAGTTTCCTAGGTCATAGGGCCTTAGCGCTGCCCCCAGTTCTCATGCATTCTAGATTGAGATTTTCCATGAGATAAACCATCCAGCGAGCTTGGGGTACCCCCAGTGGAAACTGTCCACCATCGCATCAGGTGCCGGTAGTGGCAGTGGCGACCAACCACCAGGAGCGAACTGTTTCCTAAGTCATGGAGGGTAGCCCCAAATTACCCTCTGGTTAAATATGATGGTGAATGGTTAATAATGGTTTTATAATGATGGTTAATGATGGTTAAACAAAATGATGGTTAATGATGGTTATATTGGGATATCCTCTGGTAAATTGTTACAGTTTGCTATTGAAAATGGCCATAGAAATAGTTGAATTACCCAGCTATAAAATGGCAATTCCATCCATAGTTTTTTGTGAACGTTTACCAGAGGGTATCCAGACGACTGAGTATTGAAACAGACTGGGTAACTTGGGGATCCCTCATTTTCGAAACCTCCAATCTTGCTAGCCGAAAAGGGATTGACACTTTTATGGTAAGGGTTGGAATGATCCTGTTTCATTTCATAGCAGTCAACCAGTGGGGCTGACGGAGTGGTTTTCCTTGGATTATTGCAAGGACGCGAAAACATCAATGTTTTGACATCAGTCTGGGTAAATTATAACGACCTCACTGCGACCTCACTGGAAATCATGGTCAGTAAGGGAAACCATCCCCAAATGGCCTTAATTCGGGACCGCAAGAAGTTGGTGGCCTTAATTCAGGTTGGTGAAATATTATAATTTACCCAGATCAATGAATCAATCAATCAAGTTCAAAATGCAGCTCACATTCTCACATTTGCTCATTGGAATATTCGGGATCCTATCGGAACACATGTGGGTACATATGGATATTCATGACCACGCGAGACTGTTCAAAAGGTGTCGAGTATCAACACCAAGATTGTCCATACCAGTTATTGTCCAGTTTTTTTGGGATTCCCGAAATCCAATGCCCAAAATGCCAACGCCTAATCATGTTCTGACACATGTCACAAACATATATATTCCTTAATAGGTATATGCGGCATACTCCATGAGGAACCATTTTTAAGATAGGTGTTTCCTTATTGAGAGAGGGAGAGAGATGTTCCCTGACGATGAAACAACTCTCCATTGATAAACCAAGTTTATCAGTTCAGGAAATGTTGCACCCCTAATATACAATTATATATATATATCAAAAATTCTCCATCACAGAAAACTGCTTGAAAACGAACCCATCAAAGATCATTGAAAATCGAAATCCAAGTCAAATATAACAACAGAAAGACCTAAATTCATGTCAAAGATTGCTTTGAAAATCCCATGAAACCCCCCCCAAAAAAAAAAAAAAACATGAAAATCCTCATGGAAAACTCGAAATCCGAAAACAGGACACTCTCTTGGCCAGCGCCGATTCCCTGGGTCGCGTGGTGCTATGGAGAAGGCACAGTGTTATACATAAACAAGGTGGTGCCCCAGTTCGGAATTGCTCAGTTGGTGAACATAATTCCAATAACGGCTTATGGTAGATATATCTATACTTTTCTATCCTTACGTTTTTTGTAAACCAACTTATAACTGGGGGGCACAATGTTGCAAATATGGGGGTTTCCCAAAATGGAGATAGCCCCAAATCAACCATTTTAGATTAGGATTTTCCATGAAATAAACCATCCAGCTATTGTGGTACCCCCATTTTTTGGAAACCTCCATACATACATATGTATACCACCTGGACGCCCCCCCCGGCAATATCAATATATATATATATACATATTTACATATACACATTTATAGTGTGTATATATATATATAGTATATATTATACATTGTACATTATGTATTGTATATTTACATACTATATGAGATATACATAGTTTTATTAAAAATAACATGTATATATATATATACATTATGTGCGTGTATGTGTGGGGTGAGGTGCATGGCCATACAGATGCATCTGTATGCATGTATACAAATGCGGACAAGTGCGACTTCAGTAACACAGCTTGGCGAAAAATGCATGGGTTTAGCAGCCTAGAATGTTGATTCGACAAGCGAGAAATGAGAACGCTTGTTATTTTCGTATCCTCAATTTGGATTTTACGTCCAAAAGATGGGAGAACCCAACGAGAAATTAAAAAATTGATGGGGAAACTCAAGGAAAGCTACAATTTTGTTCATGTCCATGTTCGGTTTGATTTTTCAACCATGGCCTTATGGATAGAGGCTCCCTGAAAACACAAAACAGTTCGTGCTGATAAAAAGACCCTGTTGAGCAGTGTGCCGGTCAGACTTGGCGGATGCCGCGATGCCTATGAAATTGAAGCTCCACTGGAGCAGAGCTATACCCGGCCTGGTCATTTTTAATGGGAAAATCACCTACAAATGGTGATTTAATGGTACGTAATGGGATTTAACCTCTGGTTCTATAATGGTTAATGATGATGATGAATGGTTGATAATGGTTAAACATAATGATGGTTAATGATGGTTATATTGGGATACCCTCTGGTAATGACTAACAGTTTGCGACATTGAAAATGGCCCAGTCGAAATAGTTGATTTACCCAGCTATAAAATGGTGATGTTTAGTGGATTTACCTATTGAAAATAGTGATTTATAGTTGATTTACCCAGCTATAAAATGGTGATTTTCCATAGTTGTTTGTTAACGTTTACCAGAGGGTACCAAGATCTGGTGCAGGATGGATTTCTCCCATCTCCCCGACTGATTGCGCAGCTAGCTCAGAGTCAGCGCAAGTGCGTTGTGTGCGTTTTGTGTGTTGCTGAAAGCATCCCTGGTTGGTAGTTTCAAACATGTCTTATTTTCCATAATATATGGGATAATCCTTCCCATTGACACATTGACTAATATTTTTCAAGATGGTTACCCTCTGGTAATTTAACATAGCTATGGAAAATCACAATTTTTAATGGGAAAATCCACTATTAATGGTCATTTTGAATAGCTATGTAACAACCAGAGGGTAAAACCACCAACCAGATCCAATGGTTGCATTTGCTTGCCAGCTTTTTCAGGGAGCCACTCAGAGGTGACTTCGTGTTCGCCACGCCGCCAAACTGAGCTCGCAAAATATGGTTCAAGCAGAACATGGCAGATGCGAAATACGATGAAAATAGATAGCTAAGTTGGTTTATAACTCCAATAACTATGGTTTATGGTACTTATAACTATAGTTATTGGGGCTTATAAACCAACTTATAACTAGGGGGCCCCACTTTGGAGTGATCTAGAACCTTTTCTTGTCCTGTCTTTTTTTGTGAAATTCTTGGGTTATGATTTGAACATGGCCCATTTATAGTTGATTTACCCATTGAAAAATGGTGATTTTCCCATTAGAAATGGTGATTTTCCCATTAAAAATGGTGATTTACCCAACGTCGTGACGCCATTAGTCCGAGTCTGTCCGGGACTCGAGTGACCCGCCAAAAAGCGATGTTCGCCACCAATGGCTTCATCAAGGCGGGTCTTGGGTTGGTTGGGCTTCGTCCTCCTCATCACCATTATCATCATCACTAACCATTCTCATCATGATGATACTAAGTATAAAAGTAATAATATGTAATAATACTGATAACTGATACAGGAATCAGCATTTATAGTCATTTAAAAAGTGATAAGCATAATAGTGATAATAAGCATCATCATCATCATCAACATCATCATCATCATCACCATCATCATCATCGTCTTCGTCATCATCATCATCATCGTCATCGTCATCGTCATAATCATCATCATCATCATCGTCCTCGTCCTCGTCCTCGTCCTCGTCGTCCTCGTCCTCGTCGTCCTCGTCCTCGTCGTCCTCGTCGTCGTCGTCGTCGTCGTCGTCGTCCACGTCGACGTCGTCCCCGTCGACGTCGTCCCCGTCGTCGTCGTCCCCGTCGTCGTCGTCCCCGTCGTCGTCGTCCCCGTCGTCGTCCACGTCGTCGTCCACGTCGTCGTCCACGTCGTCGTCCACGTCGTCGTCCACGTCGTCGTCCACGTCGTCGTCCACGTCGTCGTCCACGTCGTCGTCAACGTCGTCGTCAACGTCGTCGTCAACGTCGTCGTCAACGTCGTCGTCAACGTCGTCGTCAACGTCGTCGTCAACGTCGTCGTCAACGTCGTCGTCGTCGTCGTCGTCCTTATCATCCACATCTTCGCGCAAGGTTTTAAAAAGGGGAAGGAGAAAAAAATGCCCGGCAGGAAACTCTTCCACAATTAGTGGCCAGCCACGTTGTATGACCTCTACCACGGATGAAAACCACTGGTTCTTGTCGAATGTTGAACAAGTCTCATGACTTAGACAAGCTACAAAAAGACTTTGAATTCCGCTTGAATCCCTCACTTTGGTTGGTTCGAACTTAATTTTGCTTTGAATGGTACATCATGAGGATTGTGATCATCATCAGTATACGCAACAACCGTTATCATCATTTAACCATCACCACCACTTCACATCATCGGTTCATTGAAATTCCGCCACCAAAGAGATTCATGAATTATTCTAGAGTGATGATGTTGGCTAATCCAACCATAGGACGATATCCATTGAGATTTGACAATTACAAGGCCTACCCTCCGGCAATCAAACAGGGGTTGCTGGAAAATCCCTCACTTACAGATGATATTCGCACTAAAACCTCAGTTCAGTGATGCTGCATATGCTGTTGCAACAGCATCTTATCTTCAGAATCTAGCAGCTGCTCCTTTCAAGGTTCAAACATTTAGGTGCCCCAAGGTTTTTTTTGTGTGGGTAAAACAATGCCATTTTTACCACCCATGACTGGGAATGGTAACCATACCACCTGTATAAAAAGTGATGACTGGGGCCCAGGTCTCAGACCGCCGTGCGGACGCCACACGCAAAAGGGCCGCCGACCTCGGGGGCTTGCGACAGCGGCATGGCAGCGAAGCCAGCGAAGCTGGGAAATCCACCGGAAATGAATGGCCGTATAATGGACCATGGTCTACTATAGTATAAAATGGAGGTACGTTAGTACCATATTTCTGGCGGGGTATATCCCCTGAAATTTAGCCCTGAAAAATAGGCCTTTTTTAATGGTAGCTCCAACCCCTGTCTGCCAGGGTCTATTCGATGGGAATTATACTATATACTGATCATTCGAACCCCGATAGTATACGGCCATTAGTATCCACTGACAAAAACTATAGCGTACTATATCACAATTTAGTTTTTAGATAGTGATACTATAACTATATGTTGTATGTCATTCTATATCATCAACAGTAATGGGGATATTATGTTGTTATTACTTTGTATATATATATGTGTATATATATAGTAACAATGGTTTATTATAGGTTGAATTATCATAATGATGTTCTTTTCAGCAGCAGGCATGGCTGGGAAATTAGATAAACAACTTACGAATGGTAAATATGATGATGATATGCAAACTAACTGATGGTAAACTGAATCATGGCTCAAACTTTATTTACATGTATATACTGTATATACATAAATTTGGATGAATTATAATGACCTCACGTCGTGACGTCATTTGAACGATGGGTCAGTAAGAGGAATTATAGTAAGAGGAATTATCCCCATGGCCTTATTTTAGCTAGTTTCATGTTGGTGAATTATTGCAATTCAGCCAGATAAGTTTTTGCAGCGTTCAAAAACCCCAGTTGGTTGATGATTATAGGGTCAATATATTGGGGATGATCATGACCCAGTAAGGAAATCCCACAAATGCAAATTTACTGAGTTTTCACTCGCCAATCATTGGGCATTTTGGTGCGGAAACAAACGTGGCACCGAATATCCTAAATGGATCTGAACTGGCATTGAAAGTGGAAAGTATCCTCTGGTAAAGTAACATTTTGCTATGGAAAATTACCATTTTTAATGGGTAAATCCACTATTTCTATGGCCGTTTTCAATAGCAAACTGTTAGTTTACCAGAGGGTATCATGGCATAGTCATAGCATAGGATTATCTTGATTGCATGGTGTCAACCACTAGTGATGTGAACAATGTGGTAAACCCATAGGGCCTTTTTGGGCTTTCTGGCATTGGTTATGCCCCTCTTTGGGATGGTGGAGATGGGCATTTCAATAGGAAACCATCATGTTACCCTCCAAATTAACATGAGGACCCTGGCAGACAGGGGTTGAAAGACTCGTGAAACCACGAAAAATTGGGTGTTTTCAGGGTCAACCAGTTAATTTGCCAGAGGCTACTGAGGGTAGTTGTCTGGGGGAATCGTTTTCGACTGAGAACAAAAAATCTGGGGAAACCTTGAGAAAACGCGATTTGTTGGAGCTTTCGTTTTCGACTGTGAGAACCAACAAATCTGGGGAAACCTTGTTCCCATCGATTCAAATACTGACGTTTTCGTAAATGGGCATTTCAACGCGATTTTATCATCGAACGAATTGAAGGAGCTTTTTCGGACATGGAACTGATGACCAGAGGGGAATCCAATGACTAACCCCCTGTCATTAAGTACCCAAGCGAAACTCGGGGTGTCGTATTGGATCTAGTTATATACTTATTTATTCATGTAAGGGTGGCCATATCGGTGGGGTGTTTTAGATTCAGGCGGAGGGGATTGCTAGTTAGAATAGCTGGGCATTAATTACATCCCTTGAACTATTTATTGGTTATTCCTGCTATTGACTCGGGTACAAGCAACCATGGTGATGAGTGATGATCAACAATGGTGGTTATCCCCATCATGTGGCAAATCCAGTCACAAACCTACCATAATGTGGAAGACTTAGATTTGGTTGATTACCCTTGCTCCAATTGGCATAGATCCTGTGATGTAGGGGGTTGGAAGACTACTTTCGTCTCAAAGTTGGTGATTCTCAAGATTTGGGTTAGTTGGAGGGAACGTAATTAATGATTTTTAGTGGATTTTGATGTGATGCGTTTCATTTGTTGGGGAAACTTATGGTTGAGAGTAGTGAAACAATCAGGATTTGACCGGATTTTCAAAATGTTTCACAGCAGGTGGGTTTCTAGCATGTCCCACCAAAGGTTAAACTCTCAGCAGGGGATCAACGAATCACCAAGGAAGGAAATGTGGCTTTGATCAAACAACAGGGATTTCAGTATGAAAAAATTGGATTGAATTTCATCAAACAAATTCACCAACACAAAAAATAGAGATATGGGTATGGGTCAAAATTAGGTACCCCAAAATTATGGATGGTTAATACTAAACTAGACTAACATCTGTGGTCCCCTAGGTCTTCCATTTTGACCCACATCCATATATATGCTACTCAACCCATCTTAGCAACCCAGATTGTTTCATCCATTCTTCATGTGACCGACCGGTCGCTGCGGTCGCCGCCCCAGGGTTCGATCTGATCCCGTCTTGCCGCGAATTGAGTCCTCCAAGGCTGATGGATTCACCGAATTTGGTCATGGAAAATGGAACATCTCATAATTTAGCCATGAAATTTTGTGAAAAACTTAAGTGATTTTTCACTGTGAAATTCCAGTGTTTTCATGATGAATGTTGATGGTTTTGTGAAAAATCTGATGGTTGAAACCATCAAACATGGTGATTCATGAGGATTCAATGGTGAACATTGCTGATATGACACTGATATGACTGATTTAATCATGAAAACTAGAGATTCAACGAATAAATCACGGTATTTGCGCATTTGGGTCTGTTAACTGACAGCATATGGGGGCTAGAGTGGTTTCACTATCAAAATTCAGGATTTAGCTGATTTAGTCAGCACTGATTTTGCCCAGACAGTGACGCTCATCATTTTCGTAGTGGGAAACTGAGCTCCGGTATCATCCGTGACTTCGAAATCTATCATACAGATATATTCGTTAATTTTGGGGTGGACTGAAACAAAATCAGGCACATGTCAAGGAAGCTGCGGAGTAGAGCGAGTAGCCCCCTGCTCCCTTTAGCAATGGGGAAGAAATTCGGCCTGGGAGGCGGCGATGTAAGAACCATAATTAACAAATAAATACAAATAACCATTTAGTGACTCCAAGTTTTTGTCAGGATTACTAAATGTTCACCGGAAACCTAGCTTAGTATTGGATTGTTGTTTGGATCTATCATTTTTTGGGCCCATGAAAACGGGGAAATTTGATATCAGGGGCAAGGGAATAGTTGTCAGTCCAGTAAAGCTGTTGGCGTTGCAAAATCGTAAGAGCTTTAATCACAAAAGAATGGGGATAATGTAAGCGGATATGAGGATGGGTACAGACCGATGCCTTCGCCATGTTTCTCCACATGAATTAGCGGATGAATATCCAGAACTCATGGCTGCCCTGAAGAAGGGCTTGGGAGCTTCATCAAAGGTGGAACTTAAAATAGCAGTTTTGGTATTACATGTAGCTTCAAAACTGGTTCGGTGTCCAAATCTTTGGTCACGAATTCAAGCCAGTGAATTGATGAGTTCACAGGTAAATGCATTTGGATCCTACCCAGCTCCGGGCTGACTTTGGGTAGTGACTACGGGTATATCACAGCTGTGGTCTGGCCATCAAGGGCGCGTTGAATCGTTACAAAAAAATGATCGAGAAAAAAGGACCCAGAGGACGATGACGGCCTTTACTAAAGGTGGGGGTCACCTTTAAGGTGGATTCTTCCACTATATAAATTAGATCCCTTCGCATCCCATGTATTATATGCATTATCATATTAATTACTGGTTGGTGGTTTCAATCATTTTTTATTTTCCATTTCATATATGGGATAATCCTTCCCATTGACTTTCATATTTTTCAAGATGGTTAAAACCACCAACCAGATTATATATATATATGATTATATTTGTATTATATCCTTAGTCTATCTTATGACATCTCATTGCGTCCCAGTTTTTGACACATTTTATCAATCAATATACTGTACAAACTGCAAAATTAATTGCATGCCCGTGAAACCTGTATGGAAAGGCTGAATCATGCTTTACATCATAGAATTGGATGGGAAATGTTCACCGGAAACCCAATTGATGGTAAAAACCCATGGGTTTCCGGTTGCGATTTTCCCTCAAACCAATCCAATGATTACATCCAGCCGAATTCTCACGACCCTCTGGAGATGACATCCGCATCGCCCGCGCCAGCTTCACATGGTGGACATCGCGGACGAGAGCGGCGCCTTGACGTCTCGACGTTTTCCGGGCAACCGACACCTCGGTGAAGCCTTCACGGCATCCCCAAGTCATCACCATTTTTATGGGTACACCATTAGACCATCAAAAATGGGGCTGGTTTATGATCCATTGTTAATTAACCACATGAAACTAGTCGTCACGGTCATCCATGACGACTGGATGAGGGGTACGCCCATGACAATCCCTCAGCCATAGTTCGATGATTTTCCCAGCTGCTTTTTGGGTCCGCGAATCCATTCAGCTTCTGCAACCGCGGTCACCATCTTAAGTTGTTCAGCTTAAATCCCAGCTAAAACGAAATGATTCGCAACTTCAACCAACAAATTATTGACCACCTAATGACTTATCTGGTTGGTGGTTTGGAACATGAATTTCATGTTTCCATTCAGTTGGGAATAATCATCCCACCTGACTAATATTTTTCAGAGGGGTTGAAACCACCAACCAGTTATTCAGTACCAAAAAAATTCCATTTTAGCGTGGCCCAATTGGTACTCCATAAACCTCCATTTTACGACTCAAGTTTTCTGATGGAAACCTATGATAAACCCTCGGTATGTATATGGGGTACTCAAAAAATGAGTTTTGTCATGAGTTGTGAAAATTTCTTGGTCAAGCTTGGATTGTTTAGTACTTGAGATGTCCAGGTGCAATTTCCATCGGGACAAAATAATGAGGCGCAGCGCGCCACGTCATGTTGGTTGCTCATTTCCTCATGATATCTCCACAAAATGGATCAAAATGGTGGATTTTATATTGGGGGGTTCTCCTCATGATATCTCCACAAAATGGTTGGTTCTATAATTATGATTATATGGGGGGATTCCATATAAATAGTGGTACCCCAATAGCTGGATGCTACCCCGATACCCGATGAAAATGGATGATTTAGGGGTACCCCTATTTTAGGAAACCTCCATATCTCGGTAATCCCAATTTCATTCCTCAGGTGCCGTTCATCGACGGCATCGTGCTGACAGCAAACTAGTGCCTTTGGAGCCGTCGAGCGCCGTTGAGAATGGGGGGTGAGGAATCGAAAGGGGAGATCCAACCAATCTAATCATCAACGGTAGGGATTCCAGTAATAAATACTGGTAGGAAATGAGTCTGCCCCAAAATGCTGGACGTTTTCCATTTTGTGGCTATCTTGGGGGTAATGGTTGCCCCATGACCAAGATACCACCAAGAAAAACATCTCAACTGCATGAACAGACAGGATGGATGATGGGGTCCAAAATGTGCTATATGCCAATGTTCATCCAAATCTGGCAAGACAACTTGATCAAAATTGATGAACAAGCTGGTTCGCCAGATTGGGCCAGGTGGGAGGAAAATATGTTGTCACTAGCTAAGGGGGAACAACACCAAAGATGAACATCCTAGCTTCCGGTTGAACTTGCAACCAGTTTAGGGGAGCGAACTCGGGGAAAAAACTCGTTATCACTGGGTAAAGCGTTTTTGTTGAGTGGGGGAGTTGGTGATGTTGCTTTCTGTGAAGTCCAGCGGGATTGGGTAAGAAACCATAAGAAACCAGAGTGATATATTTTTTTCAGCCTTGAATCCCCATTTCATTCCATCTGGGTAAATTTGATCACGACCAAACCCTGTTCTCCCTCTCTGGAAGGAAATCATCCCCAAATGGCCTTGTTTCATCTTATTGCAGGTTAGTGAAATATTGTAATTTACCGGGATATATATATACCCTCTGGTAATTTGCTACATAGCTATGGAAGCCATGGCCCATAGAAGCAGATGATTTTCCCAGCTATAAATGTTGATGCTGAGAAATCCCCTGTTTTGATGTTGAAAATTTCAGCACCTGTTGATGGTTAAATCTCCATGTTTCACAGATCTTGGGTACCATGAATTCCTATGCCTATAACTCTGCCAAACATGTATTAGCCATGTATTAACCGTTTTTAAACCATTATTATAGTATTAAACTGGTTGGTGGTTCGGAACATTTTTCCCATATCTTGGGAATTTCATAATCCTAACTGACTTTCACTCCATCATTTTTCAGAGGGGTAGGTATACCACCAACCAGTAAAACATTATGAACCACTATTAACCATATATTAACCATCATCATTAACCATATATTTGTGAGTTTTCCCCCAGAAAAATTGTGATTTTCCATAGAAATAGTGGATTTTCCCATTGAAAATGGTGATTAAGCAGAGATTCGCCGAATTTCGATGCCGGTTCCTCCAGATTTCTACTGGATCTTCCCGAGGTGTCAGCCTTGATGCCGGCGGGGCGCCTCGAAGAGGCTGATGATATCTACGCATGTTTTCTCTAGATGCTCTACATATATAATATATGAAAATACATGTGTTTGTTTATTTATTTATTTATTTGTTTATTTATTATTTAGCATCTTATATATATATATACAGTATACTGTTTTATACTGTTATATGCTCTAGTTTATATTTCCTTTTTAGGTATTCACATGCCCCCCCTTTAGAAAGACTCGAGCAACGCCTTGGTCGAAACGGCAGGTGACGGGTGAAGTGTTGGCGTCCATCGAAGGCATCCGATCCTCCATGGAACACTTCCAGGGCCGCCGCGAAGCCGCTGAGGTGGGGGTCAGCGTCGCCAAAAATATGGGCAGCATGAAGCAAAAAACTGTACATCATAGTCATATATATATATATTGGTTGTTGGTTTGGAACATGAATTTCATTTTTCCATTCAGTTGGGAATAATCATCCCAACTGACTTTCATAGTTTTCAGAGCGGTTAAAACCACCAACCAGTATATATTTTTTTTTTATTTATTTATGTGGGTGTGTGAGTGCGTGTTTATATATATATATATGTGTGTGTGTGCGTGTATGTATATATTATTGTTACACTAGGAAAATAATTTTATTTTTTACTGGTGTCATCATGTTTTCATTGTCATTATCATTATTATGTTTTAATTGTTGGTATTGCTACTATTGCCATTACTGTAGTTATTATTCTTATTATTATATATGGACTGAACTTATTCGGTATGGATATCTCTTCATAGGCAGGGTGGTAGAATTCGTAATGGATGATACTTATATGATCTTATATGTACTTATGACATAGGCACTACCTAAGCCATTTTATGCCTTTTGGGAAGATTTGGGGTATCTGCAACTGTCAAGAACGGGGTATTTGCGGCCCAGGACGTGTATCGAGAGCAAGATCCGGATGCATTGGAAGACCTGCAGCAGCGGTTGGCCTGTTACCGTTCCGCGATGTTTATTCAGCTCTTACAGATTTTTAATTTGCTCCTTTAAAGTCTTTTTTGGCCGTGATTTTTTTGAATGTTGAGACCCCCAATTATCATCATTATCTATCATTGTCTATCTCTATCACTATCTATCATTCTCTATCATTATCTCTCATTACCTATCATTATCTATCACTATCTATCATTATCTATCATTATCTATCATTATCTATCATTATCTATCACTATCTATCACTATCTTTCATTATCTATCATTATCCATCATTATCTATCATTATCTATCATCACCATCTATCATCATCATCATCATCACCATCACAATCATCATCATAATCATCATCATCATTACCATCACCATCATCATCATCATCATATTTCACTTTCATTTATCAATACCACCTATCATTATCATCTATCATCATCATCATCGTCATCATCTATCATCATCATCTATCATTATCATCTATCATAATCATCTATCATTACCATCTATAATTACCATCTATCATTATCATCTATCATTATCATCTTTCATTATCACCTATCATTATCATCTATCATTATCATCTATCATTATCATATATCATTATCTTCTATCATTGTCATCTTTCATTATCATCTTTCATTATCATCTATCATCATCATCTTTCATTATCATCTATAATTATCATCTATCGTTATCATCTATCATTACCATCTATCATTATCATCTATCATAATCATCAATCATTACCATCTATCATTACCATCTATCATTATCATCTATCATTATCATCTATCATTATCATCTTTCAGTATCATCGATCATGATCATCTACCATTATCATCTATCATTAGAATCTTTCATTATCATTTTTCTTTCATTATCATCTTTCATTATCATCTATAATTATCATCTATCGTTATCATCTATCATCATAATCTTTCATTATCATCTATCATTATCATCTTTCATTACCATGTATCATTTTCATCTATCATTATCACCTATCATTACCATCTATCATTATCATCTATCATTATCATCTATTATTATCATCTATCATTATCATCTATCATTACCATCATATCATTATCATCTATCATTAGTTTCTATCATTATCATCTATCATTATCACCTATCATTATCATCTATCATTATCACCTATCATTATCATTATCATCTATCATTATCATTACCATCTATCATTATCATCCATATCCATTCACCATCTATCATTATCATCTATCACCATCATCTATCATTATCACCTATTATTATCATCTATCATTATCACCTATCATTATCATCTATCATTACCATCAATCATCATCATCTATCATTTTCATCTTTCATTATCATCTATAATTATCATCTATCATTATCATCTATCATTACCAACTATCATTATTTTCTATCATTGTCATCTACCGTTATAATCTATCATTACCATCTATCATTATCATCTATCATTATCACCTACCATTACCATCTATCATTATCGCCTATCATTATCATCTATCGTTATCATCTAACATTATCTTCTACCATTATCATCTATCATTATCACCTATCATTATCATCTATCATTATCACCTATCATTACCATCTATCATTATCATCTATCACCATCATCTATCATTACCACCTATCATTATCATCTATCATTGTCATTTTTCATTACCATCTATCATTGTCATCTATCATTACCATCTATCATCATCATCTATCATTACCACCTATCATTACCATCTATCATTACCATCTATCATTATCATCTATCATTATCATCTATCATTACCATCTATCATCATTATCTATCATTATCATCTATCATTACCATCTATCATTACCATCTATCATTACCATCTATCATTATCATCTATCATTAGTTTCTATCATTATCATCTATCATTATCACCTATCATTATCATCTATCATTATCACCTACCATTATCATCTATCATTATCATCTTTCATTATCATCTATCATTATCATCTATCATTATCATCTATCATTATCACCTATCATTATCATCTATCATTATCACCTATCATTATCACCTATCATTACCATCTATCATTATCATCTATCACCATCATCTATCATTGACACCTATCATTATCATCTACCATTATCATCTACTATTAGAATCTTTCATTATCATCTTTCATTATCATCTATCATTATCACCTACCATTATCATCTATCATTATCATCTTTCATTATCATCTATCATCATCATCTATCATTATCATCTATCATTATCACCTATCATTATCATCTATCATTATCACCTATCATTATCACCTATCATTACCATCTATCATTATCATCTATCACCATCATCTATCATTACCACCTATCATTATCATCTATCATTATCATATATCATTATCATCTATCATTATCATCTATCATTACCATCTATCATTACCATCTATCATTATCATCTATCATTATCACCTATCATTATCATCTATCATTACCATCAATCATCATCATCTATCATTATCATCTTTCATTATCATCTATAATTATCATCTATCATTATCATCTATCATTACCAACTATCATTATTTTCTATCATTGTCATCTACCATTATAATCTATCATTACCATCTATCATTATCATCTATCATTATCACCTACCATTACCATCTATCATTATCGCCTATCATTATCATCTATCGTTATCATCTATCATTATCTTCTACCATTATCATCTATCATTATCACCTATCATTACCATCTATCATTATCACCTATCATTACCATCTATCATTATCATCTATCACCATCATCTATCATTACCACCTATCATTATCATCTATCATTGTCATTTTTCATTACCACCTATCATTATCATCTATCATTACCATCTATCATCATCATCTATCATTATCATCTATCATTACCATCTATCATTACCATCTATCATTATCATCTATCATAATCATCTATCATTACCATCTATCATTACCATCTATCATTATCATCTATCATTATCATCTATCATTATCATCTTTCAGTATCATCGATCATGATCATCTACCATTATCATCTATCATTAGAATCTTTCATTATCATCTTTCTTTCATTATCATCTATAATTATCATCTATCGTTATCATCTATCATCATCATCTATCATTATCATCTATCATTATCATCTATCATTACCATGTATCATTATCATCTATCATTATCACCTATCATTACCATCTATCATTATCATCTATCATTATCATCTATCATTATCATCTATCATTATCATCTATCATTACCAACTATCATTATTTTCTATCATTGTCATCTATCATTATCATCTATCAGTACCATCTATCATTTTTTCTATCATTATCATCTATCATTAGTTTCTATCATTATCATCTATCATTATCACCTATCATTATCATCTATCATTATCACCTACCATTATCATCTATCATTATCATCTTTCATTATCATCTATCATTATCATCTATCATTATCATCTATCATTATCACCTATCATTATCATCTATCATTATCACCTATCATTATCACCTATCATTACCATCTATCATTATCATCTATCACCATCATCTATCATTACCACCTATCATTATCATCTATCATTATCATATATCATTATCATCTATCATTATCATCTATCATTACCATCTATCATTACCATCTATCATTATCATCTATCATTATCACCTATCATTACCATCTATCATTATCTTAGCAGCCCCCCGTCATCTACTTACTTTGGCTCTTGAAACTCTGGACGTTCGAGGCTACGCACGGCGTATTGAGCCCCCAGCACCGCCGCTGGCGATGGATCCGTTGCCGCTCAGCCGATCTAGTGATGGGGCTCCTTATGCCATTAATAGTTCTAGTTAATCCATAGTGGATTTACCCATTGAAATAGTGGATTTACCCATTGAAATGGTGATTTTCCATAGTTTTTTGTATGTTTACCAGAGGGTAACCCATGAATCTATATATCGGGGTAAATTATAACGACCTCACTGTTCTCCCTCACTGGGAATCATGGTGAATGTATAGGGAATCATCCCAAAATGGCCTTATTTCAGGTGTGTGAATTATTATAATTTGCCCAGATATATGATTAATGATGATGGTTAATGTATGGTTAATGATGGTTAAATGATGGTTAATATACTGTTAATATATGGTTAATAATGGTTAATGATTATGAATTATCTAATGGTTATTAATGATTACCAGAGGGCATACGGTTTTATATGATTGTTAGTGGTTATGATTGTTATTGATGGTAAATCACTTATGAACATTAGTAATCAATTATGGATTATGGTTAATAGTGGTTAGTAACTCTCAATGGTTAGTGATAATGGTTAATACCCAGTCGATAGCCTCTGGTAAACTCACATTTTACTATGGAAAATCACCATTGTATAGCTGGGTAAATCAACCATAAATGGGCCATGTTCAATAGCAAACTGTTAAATTACCAGAGGGTAGCTTTCAGGTGCCTTGGAAAAGTGGCTGAATTCTATGGTTTATGGTAGATATAACGAACTAGCTCATGGATGTTAATAGGGTTAATAGACCAACAAACACGGGGGGGCACCATCCTGTGGCTCAATGGTTGTTCCATTCAAACCTGCAGCCACATTTGATCACCGAAGGGTGCATTTTATGAAGCTTGGTTTTTTTCCGGGCAAATCAATCATTGCTGTTCTTGAACGATTTTCACAAACGGCATGAATCAGCCGTTCATGCAATGCTACCTCTCAAGTTCTAATGTCAGGGATCAGCTTAGGAGTCTCCCATGGGGCTTGCTGTGCCGTAGGTCTCCTGATTGGGTGCTGGTTGAATAGTGGGCCCAGGGAAACCAAGTGCCCCGATTGTGTGGTTACCCTGAGTTGTCCACCAGTAAGCTGCACTACTGGAAGTATTGAGATTTCAGCCACTGCGGTCTTCTTTTCCATCGTTTTCTCTGTCATTGTCTACCTGACCTACTGGTTCTATCGTTTGCGATTTGGCCAGAGTCCATCTGTTGGCATCGGCAAAGGTGTGAGTGTGAATGGCCGCAAGGGGCCCCTTGGTGCCTCCTCCAGTTGGAGACCCATTACAGGGTAGATACCTGCTTGTGAAATACGACGTGCCGGAGCAGGTATGGCACGCCAGACTCGCTCTGGCCCATGTGCATCTCGCAGAATGGATCATATTAACTCCCGATGGAGATATATATTCCGAGGTGTATTCCCAGGACAACATGGACCTGAGTTCTTGGAGAGCTTACGATCCAGACACAGGAATGCCTTTTGGAATAGACCCTTCCCATGTCCACGATTTCAATCCTCGTCCAAATGCAGCTGCTGTCACGAACTTGATTGCAGAGGGACAGGTCCATGCTTCAGCCGAAAGGCTGCGAAGAGGCATTCCTGCTCCTGTTCCAGTGGCGCCTCAAAGTCAAGCAGTTGGGGCTGTGCCTCCTTTGGCTGGTCCAAGTCCTGCGCCCATCGCAGCAGGAGCTGGCGGAGGAGCGGTGGCTGCCGCTGCGAATCCCCCACCTCTTCTTGCAGACGGGGGCGATCCTTTAGCCAATTTGGGAGGAGGTGGATTGTTAGGACTTGGCGGAGGGGATCCAGATCACGGAGACGATGCTCGAACCCTCAGCATCACCCGAGATGGAGATGGGATTCGGTTCAAAGATTATCGGGTTGCTGTCCAAGAAAGCAAGGCTGTGGATTTTGCCGATTGGCCAATCCATGGACCGAGGACTGTGAAGCATGTGATCACTCAGATTCTCAATCATGGGGGGTCACCGATTGCTCATCATCAGGCCTGGAGAGTTGCTTGCAAACTGCAGCCAAGCGATGGACCATCCATGGAACACGAAGCATGGAGCCGCGTGTTGGAAACCATGATGGTTTACGATCAGTTGGACACAACAAATTTGGCATCAGCCGAATTGGTGGTGAGAGCATTGCAGCGGATCGAGGAGAAGCACAAGCACAAAATAGCAGCCTCAGAGGATGCCGGGGAGAGCTCATTGTTCATGGGAGCTTCTGGGGGGTCCAGGACTGGCCTGATCATCAGCCCAAAGCTGACGGAGTGGATCGGGTCGGAGATGCAGAAAGAGGCTCTTGTGGCAAAGGAGCGCCGCAAGGCAAGAGAAGAACGGGCACTAGCCCGCAAAGGCGAGAAGAAGGAGGAGGCTGGAAAGTAGCGAATTTTAGCTGTCTTGGTCATCTCCTTGGTGGTGGCTGGCTGCAATTCATGATCCTGGCATCAGTTTTTTCAGCATGCGTTCAACCTGTTCATGGGGGAGTTGCTGATGATTTTCGACAGCGTAACATCTTCCCTTTGCCTGGGTTGGCTCCTGAAGGAGGCGAGGGGTCTTCGCAATGTTTTTGGAGGGACCTCGCCAATCAGGGGATTAGAACCCTTAATGAGATTACTGAGGGTTTGAATTCACATTTTGACCACAAAAAGAAATCCACTCGTGCTCAGCGCCGAGTGCAATCTCAGATTTTGGCTGCCTATCATGATGCTTATCCCGGACCTAGTTGTTTTGAGGATGCAGGTGGCCTTGAAGGTCTTTGTACCTCTTTTCGTCTGTATGGAGCTGTCCGTACTGACATCAAGTCCTATGCCAGAGATAACATTTCTTGGCCACAGGCCAGCACCGCTCCGGTTCCTCTGGAGAGATGTCTGGCGCCGGCCGACCGCGAATGGCTGGGCACTTGGCAATCGCATATGCTTCGATCTGAGGATGGGGATGCTGACAGCAAAGTTGTTCCTTACATCGATCCCATTCTTAAGAATGATCCGGGTGAGTATTGCAATTTTTTACAAGAGCTGCAGAAGAGACAGATGGTTTCATTTAGGGTCGCTAAGGGTGAGAAGGGCAAATTGGGCGTGTTTTTCGTTGCCAAGAAGAGTGGGCAATTGCGCTTGATTTTTGACACCCGACTCCTCAATCAATCTTTTCATGACCCCCCATCAACTGATTTACCCAGTGCCGATTCATTCACTAGACTCGAGATGCCTCCTGATCAACAATTTTTTCTGGGTTCTGGTGACCTGTCGAATGCCTTCTACACCCTTTCGGTGCCACCTGAGCTGGGGAAGATGTTCACTCTCCCTTGCGTCAAGGCTGGACCTTTGGGGATTTCTTCACTTGAGGGCGTCAGCATTAAGCCGGACACCCAGTTGCTGCCTTACCTGACCGTTCTGCCGATGGGATGGTCTTGGGCTTTGCATCTGTGTCAGATGGTGTTGATGAATGGCATTAGAGAGTCTGGAATTCCTGAGACTGCGATCATTGGGGACAAGAGGATGCCTGTGATAGTCAAAGGGTTTTCAGACATTGCTGTTGCTGGTTATGTCGACAACTTCGGAGTTTTTGGATGTGACAAGACTGCGGTCAACTCAGGCCTGGCGGCCATATCCAAGACTCTGAGAGACTGGGGGCTGAGCGTTCATGAAGAGGAGGAGGCATCAACTAGTGGCTCTTTTGTTGGGTTGCATTTCAACGGCATTTCTGGTTTCATGTCCATTAAGCCTTCAAGAATTGTTAAAATCAAATCTGGTATAGATGATCTTCTCCGGCGTCAGTTTTGCACAGGGCGAGTTCTCCAATTAGTTTTGGGTCACTGCACTTGGGCTATGATGACTAGGCGAGAAGGGCTGTCCTTGATTCACCATTCCTACCAGTTCTGTCACAAACACCTTGATGAGAGCGTGCGTTTATGGCCCTCTGTCAGAAAAGAGCTGGCGTGGATATCTTCACTGCTCCCACTTTTTCGAATGCGTTTGAATTGTGGTTGGGGTACAGATGTCATGGCGTCAGACTCTTCTCCTTGGGGTGTTGGTGTTTGCTCTCGCAAGATGGATGTTGATGAAATCAGAAAATATGGTGGGATGAGTGAGCGATGGAGATACAGATTTGAGGATGCAGCTCAAGCTCGAAAACGAGCACTAGCTCCAGTTTCAACTCCTGGGCCCGAGCAGCAGTGTGAAGGTTTGGCTGACAATCTGCAGCATGGGTTTAATTACAATAGCGAGCATCTACAACAGAGTCTTCCGAAGAGCCCCCTCAAAGATTCCTTCAGTGCTTTTATTCTCAATAGAGGCTTCAATGAGATCCCTGGAGAGGTCATGAAGCGGGAGGCATGGTCAGTTGTATGGTCGCGCCCATGGAAGTTCCAGGCCAACATATTGAATACTGAGGCTCGAGGGTTAGCTTGGTCCATTGAACACCTTCTCAGAGCTAACAGGAATATCAACAAAAGACTTCTTTGTTTCAGCGACAATCTTCCTTTGGTTCTTGGATGTGTCAAGGGTAGAGCAAAATCTGGTCACCTTTTGAAACCTCTTCGAAAGATTGCTGGTCTTTGCTTAGCCACGGGTTCCCGCATATCAGTCCGATGGGTTGCCTCCGAACTCAACGTTGCCGACCAGCCGTCCCGCGCCATAGCAGCGTGGAAAGCCAGTGGTTGGGAACGTTGGTGGGATGACTTTATCAAAGAGCCTGAAGCGTACCAAAGTAGACGCGGCTGTCAGCTTGCTAGCCCCGGCAAAGCAGAAGAACCAGTTGAGAAGATTGCGAACCAAAGATTTGACCCATGTTCCCCAAAACATGACTTATTTGGAAGCCCGAAGTGTGAGAAGTCCAACTATCAAGGATTGCCAGAAACGGTTTCAGAGATTCACCACTTGGATGAGCTCACTGGGGTTGACAATACAATCAGAGCAGCAGCTCGATCACATGCTGGTAGAGTTCATGAACGAGATGTTCGAGAAAGGGGAGGGCATAGACACTGGAATCAAAACACATGCAGCGATCCGGTTCTTCCTTCCTCAGCTCGGCCGGCCATCGTCAGGATCCCTGCCGAGAAGTGTCAGAGCTTTGAAAGGTTGGGCTGCAGCAGCCCCGCCTTTACAACGTTTGCCTCTGCCAGTAGAAGTTTTGGGAGCAGTGATGGGGAGACTGATTGCAGAAGGAATGAGCCAGATGGCGCTCAGACTTTTCATACAGTTTCTCACATACATGCGGCCAGGGGAATGTTCAAACCTAAAGGTGAAGCAACTCATTCCTCCACAGACTGGAATGGGAGAAAAATTTCCAACTTGGGCGATTCTTCTGCATCCTCACGAGGACATGATAGCTGGGAAAACAGGCATGTTCGATGCCACAGTCCTCCTGGACTCAGACCCCTGGCTGACACCGATTCTTCACGAGGTGATAGACGGAAGACACCCCAACGAACCGCTTTGGGAGCACAAGCACGAGACCGTGGTCGCCAAGTTCAGGGAAATCATGGAAACACTGGGGTTAACTCACCTGGGAAGCTGTTTGTACACCCTCCGTCATGGGGGTGCCACGCACGATATCCTGGCGAGAAGACGGACTATGCTGGAGGTGAAGCAGCGTGGAAGATGGGGAAGCGATGCCTCGCTCAGAAGGTATGTCAAGCTCGCGCGGCTTCAGTTGGAGCAGTCCAAAGTTCGGGCAGCGATCATGCAACAAGGGCTGCATGTGCTTCAGAATCTTCCCATTTTGCTGAAATCCAAAATTTTAAGTCCAAACATCCCAGATGGAATTCCCAAATCACCCAAAAGATGCAAAAGAAAAACAAGGCTCTCGCGAAGTTAAACGCTGCTGTATCCAAAGGATCGGCCATGTCTGGGCGCCAGGTTCTCAAACAACTTTTCAAACGGTCTCTGCGTGGTGCTAAACATCGTAAAAGACAAGTGTTCCTTGATTTATTCTCTGGTGATGGTGGTATTAGCAAAGTCATTCGTCGTTCTGGTTTTGCTGTTGTTTCGGTTGACATTTCTGCTGACCCACGTCTTGACCTCTGCAACCCAGACATCCAACAATTGATTTTGAGCTGGATCCGTAGCGGTTGTGTTTTGGGTGTGTGGTTGGCTACCCCTGGTACTACTTGGAGTGCACATCATGAACCTGTCGGAACCTCTTGGGGCCCTTTCAGGGATAGCAATCATATTTTTGGGATTCCTGGTGTCCCCCCTAAAGACTTCGACAAGGTTCGTTTGGGTAATGCCACCGCAAAATTCACCTGCAGGGTCATCTCCTGCTGCGTCAAATTTCACATACCATGTCTCTTCGAAAACCCATCTAGCTCTATGATTTGGAAAATTCCTTCTATCATTCGGTTGTCTTCTTTGCCGTGTTCTCGTTGTTTTATTTGCGATTTTTGCCAATATGGAGCTAGATGGCGCAAGCGTACACGAATTCAAGGATGGTTCATTCCTGATTCACCAAGCTTGTGTAAGCTTTGCACCGGCCATGGGGGGGTTTGCAGCCGTAGTCAACAATACCACATCATCCTGAAAGGGAATGACCCGAAATCCGGGCAGCTGTGGATGCACCTTGCTCAACCCTACCCTGCCAAGTTGGCACACACGGGAGCATATACTCTGATGCAAGCTGTTGATAACATGTGGACTTTCAATCTGCGTTTGCGTTTTGGTAACTAAGCTGCTCCTGTGTTCTCTTCAGTTTCTTTATAACGGCTTCACCAGTACTTGATTATGAGACAACCAAGGCTCATGGAATGCATGGCATTGATGTTCCGAGCTCTTTGAAATTCTCGGACGTCCTTTTCCTTTCAAGATCATGCCTGCACATGCCATGTCTCAGACAAAAAGTGCTGGCTGATGGAGAAGCTGTTGTGATTGTTGTTCTTGAACGGTTTTCACAAACGGCATGAATCAGCCGTTCATGCAATGCTACCTCTCAAGTTCTCCCCCCCTTGCTTTCTGGCCCTAATTACCCTCTTTCGAGGTGCCTTGGTCGGAATGCATGGCATTGATGTTCCGAGCTCTTTGAAATTCTCGGACGTCCTTTTCCTTTCAAGATCATGCCTGCACATGCCATGTCTCAGACAAAAAGTGCTGGCTGATGGAGAAGCTGTTGTGATGAATTTGATGGTGTTTAATAAGATAGAACCCACCAATCATTGGAGATTTTCTTTGGTGTAATCCCCAAATCACCTGGTTTTGCGCCGGTGTTCATCCACCTCTGGGAAATCTGGTTTTGATGTTTCTTTTTGGATGGGCCGGATGGGGATTGAAGATGGCTAGCCACGGAGTTTGAACAATGAATATTTTTTTAATGGTGCGAAGCAACCACTACAGCAACTATTTACTGGGTAACCTTGAAGACGGCTATTTCTCACAGCTTAATGGAATATGTTGTTGGGCTCTCATTGGCGATAGGTTTTAACTACTTCTTTTGCGGATCACCGAAAAACGCCAAGCAACATGCAGATCACGAGGAGGATGTCCATGGCCAAAAGTCGAGATTGTTTTTCTGCGACTTCCTGACTGTTCATTCCAAAAAGGTACCCTCTAGTAATTTAACAGTTTGCGACATAGAAAATGGCCTAGTCGAAATAGTTGATTTTCCCAACTATAAAATGGTGTGATTTTCCAGTTCGCAAAATGTAAACGTTTACCGGAGGGTAAATCCAATACTTCAAAAAAAAATGGTTAAATCAACTATAACTGGCCATTTTCAATAGCAAACTGTAAACGTTTACCAGAGGGTAATATCCCATTATTATTCCATTATTCATATGAGATATTGATGACCCATCCCGATATCATCCACTGGATTGTCCCTATATTCCCATATATTATGGAAAATAAACGTTTACCAGAGGCTTATCTTGAGAATTCCCCTCCGATGTCAGTTCGCTGGATTTTCTCTCACTCCATGGAGCTTGGACGCTGGGAGTCATGGGATAGCAGAAAAATGTCCTATGGTTACTCCCCAGAAACATAAATAAAGGAAATAAAACCAAGCTCCATATATTATAGATTATTATATGTTGATATATATATATATATTGCAATATGTATTAAAGTACTAAACATATAATTATACTATCCTCCGGGTTTTCTCAACTGAGTTGTGCTCGGCTCATCTTATTCTCAGGTTCGAGCCGGCTCCACCACGAGCCTTTTCGCAGCTGGCGATTCCCAGGCCATCGGCAAGTCATTTGGAGAGTTTCTTGGTGCAGCAGGTTTTTTGGTGGTCTCGACTGGTCTGGGTACCCTCTGGTGAACTAACAGTTTGCTATTGAAAATTGCCATTTATAGTGGAATTTCCCATTAAAAATGGTGATTTTCCATAGCAAAATGTTAGTTCACCAGAGGGTACATGGAAATTTTCAAGAAGTCAATTTCAGGAAGTCATCAAGTTTCATCACGACGTCGCGACCGAAGCCATGATGGTAATTGGATTAGGGTCACTATCTCAAAGCCTTACTCTTCAGGTCAGTGAATTAGTATCATTTAGCCAGACTTGTGGTAACTGGTCATTGATCTGCTGAATCACTTAGTTCTGGTTGTCAATGCCGATAGCTACCAATTATCAATAAGTGATAAATTACCAATTATACCATATAGTTACCAATAACATTTACTATGGGTCATTTACACAGACTACTGGTGAATCAAAATGCTAATTAGTCACCGCCAAGACGACCATTTACCAGCTGATGGAGAATGCTAAATATTCTAAAGTGATAAGTGGTCATTGACGGGTTAAAGCAGCAGATGAATGCAGATCACATGTCGCTAGGGCGAATGGTATGGTCATCCGGCCTAATCTGGTTGATTGCTATCATCTTTAATGGGTTTTGTAAAGTTTGCTTGTGGTTGATGAGCCGACTTTAAACCAAAGAAGGGATGCAACCTATTCCTCAAAAAAAAGATTCAAAAGAGAAGCACCATCCAACACTATCTGATTTCTGAAAAAGATCGGGTAAACGGAGTTGTCGAATCAGTTAGAAGTGAGAAGCATTCCACAACAATCCATAAGATCCGACATTTGCATTGCGGCTCTGCATGATGATTGTGCAAAATATGAATGCCGCATAATTAAGAAAGCAAATCACTGATCAATCGTGCATGGACATGAGACAAGGTCACCAAAACTAATTGATCCTGGCGATGGATCGCATTGAAAAGTTCGCTCAACATTGGACCAGTTTCTATGTGTGTCCGATTTGACGATGAAGGTATCCGACGACCGGGGTGCAAATGGGGGCACCTGCAATGTTGTACGGTTTTCAAGTCCCTATTACTGTTCTGATTCCGGAAGCGCCTAGGTTTGTGCGCATTGTGATTTCAGTCCGATTCCATACCACTGCCCCATTGCTACTGCTCATGTCCAACTTTCTCAGTTGTGTCCAAGTAATTTTATGATGACGTTCATCGACATCACATGGCATCCTGCGATTTTGCAGTTTTGTCCCCTGTTTTTTGAACACATGCCATGCCTTGCGGTGACATCTCCATCCTTCAGTTGGTGGTTCACCACCAGTTCAGTCAGTGAAGTGATCGTTTCGGTCAGTTTTCATGGGGTTCAGCCAACCCCCCATGTCAGTGACCCCCCATGTCAGAGGGTTAAGATTCGGCCCTGTAAATGTTGTTGTTGGCGTGGAGCTACCTGACTTGGGCTGGTTGAACTCCCAATATTCTATTTTGTTGTTCCCTTACCTATCCAACGTTTCTCCTGTTGGTGACATCCCCACAGTAATTTATTGCTTAAACGCTGTTCAAACAGCCGATTTATTCCATCTTATTCCCAGGTGTCGCCCGGTACCATTTTATGTCTGGTTGGTGGTTTGGAACAGTTTTTATTTTCCATAATATATGGGATAATCCTTCCCATTGACTTTCATATTTTTCAAGATGGTTATTGCACCACCAAATAGATGTGGTAAACCTGCCATGAAGCATCCCGAAGTCACCATAAATGCTCTCAACCATCCCCAGTCATGGTGGCTTTTTCCCCAGGTTTCCTCCCTCAGCGGCGGAGGGTGAAGCTAGCAGAACAGGCGGAGACGAGGTGCTTAGCACTGAATCCCAGTGCTGTTGGAAAGTTAAGAGAAACCATAGTTCAACCACCTATTTATGGTGATTTGGAGTATGGTTTATGATTGTTTTACCCACATTAATCATCATTTTTATGGGTGGTATAAACCATCAAGAATGGGGTAAAACAATAGCAAGTTACAACCTATCCACAGGAAAACCACGAGGAAATAGTGGGAAATACTGGAAGTATCATGGAAATCATGTGGGTAAAACAATGTCATAAACCACCCATGACTGGAAATGGTAACCATACCACCTATTTATAGGGTTTTTTGGTGTTTTTTATTACATCAGCCTAAGGATATCATCAATCAAATAGTATTAATTCAGGATAGGTAAACCCCCAGTAGCAGATAGGGGTGATGCTCGTACCGGGTGATACTCGCACCAATTTTGATTTTCGCATGTTTTCACAAAATTTTGTGGGCAACCGGCCTAATCAATAGTCGGGGTTTATTACTGTAAATTATATACCCTCTGGTAAACTAACAGAACTATGGGAAATCACCATTTTTAATGGGAAAACCACTAAATCACAATTTTCAATAGCTATTTTGACATAACCAGAGGGTAATTTGAAGTTGATGCACTTGAAATAGAGAAAACATCATGCAGAGTGATCCTCTGATTCCCAGTTCAGGGAACAATCAAAGTGATATCGAGTTGGGTTGTAATCCTTCCCCCAAAAAACTAAACACCCCCCAGAAACCATGGTTCAGTAGGGCATGAAACAACATCTTTGGGACCAGAGAATGATAGAATGGTGGTGTTTAAAATTAGCAGGATGGAGTTATTGTCTTCATGGAACAAAAATGGTGTTTGAACGCGCGAACATGAGGACGTCAACAAAAATGGTGGAATTTAACATAGTTTAACCCTTAGATGTACGGCACCCGGGAACTCTTAGTGATTCATGGAAACAATTATCTTTTATACAAAGTGGGGCCCCCTAGATAGCTAAGTTGGTTTATAACTCCAATAACTATGGTTTATGGTACTTATAACTATAGTTATTGGGGCTTAAAAACCAACTTATAACTAGGGGGCCCCACATTGTAGGTAATTCATCTACAAACGGACCATTTTCCATCAGGGCAACTGTACCAGATATGTCTGGCTGGAGAACTACCCAGCCATCAGCGATCATGGAAATTGCTTGCCACTGACATGTGCACCGAAGACGTGGCGAACATCAGAAGAAAAACTTCGTAACCGCCAAGAAGTAGGCGTTGCTCAAGAGAAGGCACTTTTTTCCGACTGCAAAACATACGTATAGTATAGATTAGTATAGTGTATATCAATATAATGTGGTTAAAACAATGCCATAAATCATTGAACCATCCCCCAGTCATCACCATAAATAGGTGGTATGGTTACCATTCCCAGTCATGGGTGGTTTACGACCAGTTTACGACATTGTTTTAACCGCATGATTTCCATTGTTTTAACCCCAGTTTTGATGGTTTATACCACCCATAAAAATGGTGATTTTGGGATGGTGCAAATGGCATTGTTTGAACCACATTACCCTCTGGTAAACGTTTACATAACAATGGAAAGATCCACCATTTTTCCTGGGAAAATCCACTATTTCGACTGGGCCATGTTCAAGTTCGCAAACTGTTAGTCATTACCAGGGGGTATCCCAATATAACCATCATTAACCATCATTATGTTTAACCATTATCAACCATTCATCATCATCATTAACCATTATATAACCAGAGGTATATGCATGGTCTTGGGGACCCCTCCACCATCCCCCTTGTCCCAGGAGGTTGCGACTGGAGGCTGCCAAAGTCAAGCGGCAAATCACCTTGCAGGACGTGGTTGTTTTTGGTCGTTCGCCTCTGTTAAACTATGCACAAAATGATGGAAAATCACCATTCAATGATGCGTAATTCAACTATTTAACTTATGTTAACTTGAGTAAAATGGATCAAACATTAGCCTCCGGTAAACTAACGTTTTGCTATGGAAAATGGCCCATTTATAGATGGTTTACCTATTAAAAATAGGGATTTTCTATAGCAACCTGTGAAATTACCAGAGGTTAACCATGGAAAATCACCATTTTCAACTATTTAACTATGGCCATGTTCAAGTTCGCAAACTGTAAACGTTTACCAGAGGGTACCGTTAGTAATTTTGAAAAAGATTGATATGATAATAGTACAACAATAGTATCATAGTATATAATAGTAAGTTGCCTTTATGTTCTATCAGATTTTACAGAAAACCACATACGGAATGGGTGTTCCTACCCGGGTCCGGATTTGTGCGTTGGGACGATCAGATCAATAAAAATCACGGTGACGCTGGTGCTTTAGTGAGCGATGAATCTCGCGTTCAGCGGGGCCACATAACTCCAAGAACTCACGATGGTTTATGGTAGATATATTGAACTACCCTCTGGTTATGTCAAAATAGCTATTGAAAATGGCCATAGAAATAGTGGATGTTCCCATTGATAATGGTGGTTTTCCATAGTTATGTAAACGTTTACCAGAGGGTACTATTCCTATGGTTAATAAACCAACTTAACTTATATAACTATGGTTATGGTAGGTAGATACACCTATACTTACTAGGGTTTGGAAACCAACGTTCACATCTGCCTGGGGGGGCACAACCTTGTCGGTTTCAGAGTTGAAGCATCATATCTACAGTTGACTGGTTTTTGATGAGATGAGTGTAGTCTGTAATCTACTGCCGTTTTTGGTACTCAAGTGTTCTAGGTTGTTGCTTGTGTTTTCATGGAAATCAATTGGGCATTCGCGTTCGGTGGTTTCGTTGCCGGTTGGGCGCTCAGAGATTGGGGTGTCCGAGCGCCGGAGATTCCGGTGTGCAAGTGCGAGTGCAACCTGACTGGGCTTCCTGGCAACGAAGGGACTGGCTTCTCGGGCGGAAATTTGGTCATCTATTTACTGGTGATTGCTGGATTGGGGGTGGCCTTTAGCAATACCGCCTTGGCACTGAAAGTTTCTTTGTGGGATCCCAGCACTGGCAAAGATAGCTCAATTTCGGTAGACGTGGTGAAGGGACGGTCAAAAGGTGTGGTTGGTGCCTCAAGGGGCCTGTCAATAGCCAACTAGTATGGCTCTGGCACCGGGCTCTGTTACATACATGGATTATGGGCAAAGGCGCCCCAGGGTAACTCACACGCGCTTGGCACTGGCTTTGGTTGAACAGGATGACTGGGTCATCCTGACTCCGGACTATGACATGTATGTTGAGACTCTTAGTGCTGGCAATCCTGACTTGCAAAATTTCTGGGTAGGTCCGGCGGATGGTACTCTCCCAGCGGGAGTGCCAGCAGGGTCAGTGTATGGGTTTCAGCCGTTGACTGCTGGAGAAATCGCTCGTTACATGGGCGAAGGCCGGGCCGAGGCTGATCTGGAAAGGGGTCGTCGTGGCATTGCTCCAGTTGTGGTTGGAGCGGCTCCAGCGGCAGTTGCTGCTCCAGTGGCACCAGCCCCAGGTGTCGGCGCAAATGCCCCAGCTATGGTTTGGGTTTTGGCTGAAGGGATAGCTGGTCGTAAGATTGGTGAGCGTGTTGTCCCTCCTGCTGGTCATCCAACTCTCAATGGTTGGGGGTTGATGGAGTTGACGGATACTGACCATGTCACCCGGCCCTGTTTGATTAGACAGATTGCAGAGCAGGAGGTCCCTGGGTTTTGTGATGAAAGAGTGCAACTTGCGCGATCTACCGAGAGTTGTGAAGGTGAAGACAGGGCAGTCAGTGACGACGTTAGGACTCTGTCGGTCACTTACGGCATGAATGGAGAGCGACAAAGAGGATTCAGAGAGAGTGTCAAAGAGCTTACCATGACAGAGTTCGAAGATTTTCCTCTCCAGCCTCGCACAACCCTGGAGTATGCCAGAGCAGTGGCTTCGGTGGCAGAAAGTTGTACTGCCCAACACCATGTTTGGGTAGGTAGCAGTCGCATCCCTGAGAATGACCGCAGCGTGTTCGAGGACGAGGTCTTGGCGCGTGTCCTGGATGCCGCGGTGACATATGATTGCCTGAACATCAGCAATTTGGCATCCATGGAGCTAGTTGTGCGGCGCAGGCAGTTGCTGGCAGACGCCCACAGCTCCTCCCCAGGAGCCCCTTCGTACTTGGGAGCCGAGCACTATATGGGGCAGACCTATAAGGCTGGTGGGGGCATCGTTGTGCCAACGCTCACAGATCACGTGAGCAAACAGTTACAAGCACAATCGCAGATCATGAAGGAGAAGAGGAAAATGGAAGAAGCGAAGGGCAAGAATCGACATCCAAAGGCAGCCCCCAAATCCCCGCCAAAGGGGGGAGGGGGCGCGACTGCCTAGTCCTCGGCTTGGTGGGTGGCATTTGCAACCAGTGCCACCCCTCCTCTTCTTCACAAGATGGTTGCGTTTCAGCGGAGCAAGTGGTCTAGCCCTGTTTTTCATGGTCCTTGCCCTGATGGCAGGCAGCGTGATGTTTTCCCTCTCCCAACTCTGGCCAGACCGGCGTTGTGTGGCAAGATCGTGTGCAGGACGGTGTATCGTCGCTTGCTTCGTCGTGAGCATGTGGTGGATCGAGTGAACAATGCCATCCGTGCTTTGAATTCACTTTTTTCGGGGAGGGATTTCCTGGCTGATGTGGGGGTGGTGTCCGACCTCAGTGAGTACTCGCAGTTTCAGAAGCTTGCTGTGCTGGATATCATTGCTGCTGTAAAGAAGCTTGGTGCCCTTCCCAATGCGTGTGGCTCGGAAGCTCTCCAGACGCTTCGGGTGGCCAGCTCTGGATATGGAGATTCAGATCCTGGCGTAGGTGAAGTGGTGCCTCTGTCTTGCGATGACCTCTCTCTGCCTCCATCCGGGGTAGCAGGGGTCTGCTTGCTGGATGCACTTGAGCCTCCACTTAGGGAGGTGGTGGACAATTTCAAGGACACAATGCTGCAAGATGATGATGTGTGGACTTCGATTTCTTCTAACACTGGCCATTTGCACCCTTATAGTGACCCCAGCCTGAATGATAAGAACAAGTTCCTTTCTTTCGCAAAGTTGCTTTATGATAGGGGAATTTTGGGATTCACTTCTCAGGTGCGTAGTTGTGTTGGTGCTTTTGCCGTTTCCAAGAAGTCTAAAATCATTGATGGCAAGGTCAAACAAAGGCAGAGACTGGTGTTGGACTGTAGGATGACTAATCAAATGTTTAGGCCGTCACCTTACACACAGCTTGGCAGTCTGTCATCCCTCACAGAGTTACAGTTGCAGCCTGGGCAGCAGCTATTTGTGAGTGGTGCGGACATACAGGACTGCTTTTATGCGGTGCACATTCCGGAATGCCTTCAAGAGTACTTCTGCTTAGAGTGCCCCCTGACCGCTGAGGAGGTGCGCCATATTTCTGGTGGTAGTGTTGATGCTGGTTTTGGTGGCTTGGTCAATGCATGTTTTACAGTATTACCCATGGGGTTTTCTTGGTCGTTCTTTTTGGTACAACATATACATCAGTCAGCCGTTTGTCGAAGTTTGGGTATTCGCGAAGATGAACTGGTGCGTGATGGCTTCCCTGCTCCTCTCCTTGACGAAGAGAAAGTCCTTAGCATGCCTTATTGTGACAATATCCATTCCATCTCTCTCCAAGAACGCTCCTGTAACGAAGGTAAGTCTAAGATTGTCGATGAGCTCTCTCACATGGGATTCATCATACATGAGGATGAAGAAGCGTCATTGTTATTCAACACATTGGGTGGGGTGATCGATGGAGACAAGGGAGAAGTTAGGATGACTGAGCAGCGAGCTTGGAACCTGATTCAGGCCTTCGAGCATGTGGCTGAGCATCCGACCTCTCCGGATACAATTCAGAGGCTGTTGGGACATGCAATGTTCTTCTCCACTCTCAATCGCAATGGCATGTCGGTTTTTCGTAGCCTTTATGACTTTGTTGACAAAGGTGGGAGTACACGGTATTTGACTAGGAGGGAATCAAGGGAGTGTCGCATTTTTGCTGGTTTGGTACCTTTATTATTTGCCAATATTCGGAATTCTTGGTCTGAGACGGTGTATTGCAGTGATGCAAGTCCAGATGGTCATGGCCTTTGTGCTCGTGACTTGCCTGAGCATGAAGTTGCGGCCATCGGCAGGTGGAATGAGCGATGGAGATACCGTCGCTTGGAGCCTCACGATTGGGCACCGCGACAACGTGCCCTCGGGAGGGACCCGCTGGTGGATGTGAGCACAGTTTTGGGACTGCGGGGTGAGTGGGATGACTGTCATGATGTGGCTGTTAACGATGACTTTCCCGAAGTTCCCAAACATGTTTGCAATAAGGATCACTGGAGAACTGTTCTCATGGGCAAGTGGGACAACACATCCGAGCACATCACACTCAAAGAGGGTCGGGCATTGGTATTGTGTTTGAAGAGGTTGTGCCGTAGTTCTTCCAATCGTCATAAACGACATCTAGTTCTGGTTGATAATTTGGCTTTGGCAATGGCAGCAAACAAAGGCCGTGCAAAAAATTTTAGTATGCTACGTATTACTCAGCAATTGTCGGCTCTTGCTTTGGTGGGATCGTTTTCATGTAGGGTTCGTTGGGTGCCGTCGGAATACAACCCATCGGATGGTCCATCGCGGGGCCAAGTCGATCCGGGTCCTTTCCTCGGGCTGCCCTTTGGTCAGCAAGAAGGGGAAGAGCCAGAAGCGGACCTTAGCGCCGACAGTGGCGACTGGGCCAGCCAAGACTGCAACACGATCCTTGCGGGGAGTTCACCCGCTGCCTTCTCAGCCAATGAAGTGCCAAAGGGTTGTGAAGAACCCGGTTTCAAGCAAGAAAGAGGTGACCCTTCCGAGGAGAGTAGTGACGCGTCTGCCGGTGGACCAGGAGCCCCTAGTAGGCAAAAGGGCTCAAGCAAACATGCTCACAGCTTTGGAGATGAGGTCAGTTTCAGTGGAAGTTCAGAGTCAATACAAGATGTACTTGGACAAGTTCGTGAATTTCTGCCGGGCCAACGGGTCAGCCTGGCCCCTAGGTGCGGTAGAATGCGATGCTTTGATGGCAGATTACCTGGACCTGATGTTCGTGGAAGGCAAGTCAGCCTCGGTAGGCGAAAAGACCGTGGCGGCAGCAGAGTACATGAGCATTGGGCTGAAAGGAAGGTTAGTCAGAAGCAAACGTGCGCTCAAGGGTTGGCACAAGGAGCGTCCAGCATGCTCTCGTCTCCCATTGCCAAGGCTCTTGGCAGCAGGAATGGCCATGAAGCTTGTCGCATCCGGGAGGAAGCTGATGGGGCTCAAGCTGATGATCGATCACGATTGCTACCTGCGTCCTGGAGAATCCATCGGCATCGCCAAGAAGGACGTGGTGAAGCCCGTGAAGGACGGGGGGGCCTCAGTACCAATGGTACTCAGTGGTCATTCGGGACCAAGAAGATGGCCGGGCAGACAAGGTGGGAATCTTCGACAACACGATCCCCTTCAACAGTCCGGCTCGCCAATATCTGGGCGAATTGTTGAGTCACCGAGCAGACTGCCTGAACTCGAGCCTGGACAAGGTCTTCCCCTTCACTGCCGACGAGTACCGCAAAAGGTTCGCCGAGTCTGGGGCACAGTTGGGAGTCACAGGGCTCCATCCATATCAGTGTCGCCACGGTGGGGCCTCAGAAGATCTGAACTCAAAAGAAAGAGAGCCATTGGCCGTCAAGGCCCGTGGAAGATGGGCAACAGATCAAAGTGTCCGGAGGTACGGCAAAGTGGGCAAGTTACAGAAACTTCTGTGCCAGTTATCACCAAGCAATCTGGGATACTGTCAGTGGTCACTCAGAAACATGGAAGCCGTACTCCGGGGCACGATGAGTGCCCGCAGTCGTTAGCGGGATTTGGCTGGTCAGACGTTTTTGCAATGCCTCCTCCTCGATTTTTCTGCCTTGAGATTTTCGCTGGTACAGCAAGGATCACTTCCAAACTGATTGATCAGGGAGTAGCAGCTTTTCCGATTGACATTTGCCTGTTTCCGTCTCACAATGTACTCGATATTCATGTGGAACATCAGATTTTGCACTGGATGAATGCTGGTCGTATTGGGTTCATTTGGTTGGGCATGCCTTGCACAAGTTTTTCTCGCGCACGTAAGTGGGACAATCTGGGACCAGGGCCACTCAGGGACATTGACAATCTGTGGGGTTTTCCTTGGTTGAGTTCACTGGATCGTCACAAAGTGGTGCAAGGGAACAATTTGTTGCGTTTTACACTTCGTATTATTGCTTGCTGTGAACATCTTCATATTCCATATGCACTCGAGAATCCCCTTTCTAGCTACGCATGGAGTATGCCACCTATGCAGAAATTTGTTCGTAAGTTTTCTCCTCTGGAAGCTGTGTTAGATTTCTGTCAATACGGTGAAGCATGGCAAAAACCTACCCGTATCCTTGGAAAATTTTGGCCTGTTTCCGAACTCCATCGTCGTTGCAATTCACAAGGGGGAGTATGTTCACGCACCCTTCTGCCACATGTGCGCCTGACAGGTACAGATGCCCATGGGATGTTCCTCACGCTCAAGGCGCAACCGTACCCTGAGCAACTGGCATCCTTGGTCGCACAGAAAGTGGCCAGCACCCTTCCACGTTCACTGCGTTCAACATAGTGGCTATGGGATATGGGAGTGTGTGGTGAGCTTTTGCAGCTCATGGTGAGCCGTCCTTAGGACGTTGCACCTACTAGTCACGCCTTGAGGGCTGTGACATGTCAAACAACCGTGCCGCTGGCAGTGCAAAAGAAGATTGCACGATTCGGAATCATATCTACAGTTGACTGGTTTTTGATGAGATGAGTGTAGTCTGTAATCTACTGCCGTTTTTGGTACTCAAGTGTTCTAGGTTGTCCACCGCCACCTCCTCCTCCACCTTTTTCCTGGGAGTGTGTGGTGAGCTTTTGCAGCTCATGGTGAGCCGTCCTTAGGACGTTGCACCTACTAGTCACGCCTTGGGGGCTGTGACATGTCAAACAACCGTGCCGCTGGCAGTGCAAAAGAAGATTGCACGATTCGGAATCAAGAATATGCGAGGTCCCTTTAGGTCATGGGATTGGTTCACGAGATGCAACCAGGAAACCTATGGAAACCTCAAAAAAAAACATATCTGGTTGGTGGTTTGGAACATGTTTTTCCCATATATTGGGAAGAATAATCCCAACTGACGAACTCATATGTTTCAGGGGGGTAGCCGTCAACCACCAACGAGATATGCAAAAAAACACCATTGTTTCCGATTAAGAGATGTTGTTCCAATCCGATGGTTAGATTCCCTGAGCTTTCCTGGCTTTTTCCCAAGACATCCCATAAAGATCCCATGAAATCTCCATTCAATCCGAACGAAATCTCCATAAAATCCCATGAAATCCCCATGAATCTCATAAAATCCCCCAATTTTCTACCCTCTGGTAATTTGTTACATAGCTATTGAACATGGCCCAGTCGAAATAGTGAGTTTTCCCATTAAGAATGCTGGATCTTTCCAGTTCGTCGTTTGTGAACGTTTACCAGGCCGGGTATCCGAAAACATCCCATGATTTCCATCGAATTTCCTCCAGGAACACAACGAGAAGAGTTCCAAAGAAGTCGATCGCTACCTGCAACGCATGGATCGCTTCGAGAACTACAAACGCGCCCTGCGCCCAGCAGCTTCTGGAGCTTCTGGAGGCTCCGGAGGCGAGGGAAATCGTGGTGAAATCGTGGTAAAGCCCATGATGAACCAGTCCAAATGGAGGTTTAATGGGGATTTAATGGAATTTAATGGGAATTTAATGAGGATTTAATTGTGATTTAATGGAATTTAATGGGAATTTAATGGTGATTTAATGGTGATTTAATGGAATTTAATGGGAATTTAATGGTGATTTAATGATGATTTAATGGAATTTAATGGGGATTTAAAGGGGGTTAACCATTTTTAAGCACCGTTAAGTATAGTCATAAGTCCGTCAACAAACAAGTTATTGGAGTTATAAATCCACTTAGCTAACTATGAGACTAGGTCAATCTTACATGGATACTTTAATCCTTTAGTCTTTTGGTATTAATGGGAATATCTACGTTCACCAGCAAAGAATTTATTTTTTGCAGGGTATCTAAGATTGGCAATGTAATGGTGATTTAATGGGGATTTTAATGAGATTAATTATGGAGACTTTCATGAGATTAATTGTAGTATTTAATGAGGTTGTGAATTGGATATTCCAAAATAGAGGTCTAATGTAGATTTAATGGAGGTTTTAGAAGATCAATGTTGGATTTGATGGAATCCATGCTGATTTTAATGAGGATTTACATAATGAGATTGGTGGTGATTTGATGTGGGATTTAATGTGATTTATATTGATGGGATGTATAACAATCTTCATGGAGCATAAGAATATAACAATCAATGGGCTATATTAACATATAAATTCCATTATAATTTCAAAGGCTATTAATGGCAATTAATGGTGTTTATTGGGATATTAATGGGGTGAATGTAGGGTGCCCTCTGGCAATTTAGGTGATGGCACAGATGGGCAGGTGATTCACCATCAAACATTGAATTTCATAGGGTAGAAGCCACCACGACTCTTGGGTATTTTGGTGACCCAAAATTGGCCTGGGTTTGCTGTTCCGGTGGTGTTTCCTTCCGCAATCGGAAATCCAGCATGTGGCGGGCTCGTGAAGCAAATCCTAGCGGAATGAAGAATGTGAACCCTGGATCAATGAACCCTAGTTTTTGGGAAAACCCATTGGACCCTTGTAGATGTTTCCATTAATCCAGTGAGTTTAAGCTAATTCTTGTTTGGCTGGTGGTTTCAAAGGTTTCAACGTTTCTGCGCTCAAGCCCCTTTGTGAGAAGCTTCAAAAAGGAGAAAAAAATGGTTAATTATCCACCAGCAGATATGATATCGAACATGAGGGCATATAATATATTATACCACCAGTCAATATTATACTTGTACAACTATGATGCTACAATTGTAGAATTATAGTTGTGATACATTCCAGATAATGTTTCAGCATATACTGCAACGTCACCAACATGAATTATGTAGCAGCTGAAAAGTTGCAGATCCTTAGGATCGATAGATTGGTTTTTTTCCTGGAAAATTGAAGCCGGAAACCCCCATATGTCATAGGAAAAACCCTGGTCTGCGCTTTGGATTTTCCCCTAAACAAGTCCTTGACGACTTGAGAGTCTCAGGAGGTCGGGGTTCTGAAGGTTGGGCTATGCCTCGGCCGTGAAGCCAAGGTGGTGACGACTGTGGTGCTCTAGCATTGCTCGTGCCAAAACCCTCATGGAGAAGTTTGGGCTTCCAAAGTCTGGAGAGAAGAGGTCATGGCATGTCAAGGAAGGCATTGTCACATTCTGTGACACATTCTGTGCCGGTAGGCATGTCAGTGCAATAACTTCCTTGGACAAGAGCCAGAACACTTCTAGCCTGATTGAGTTCTCGGTTCGCTGCTGTGGGGGTGCAAAGAGTCAAAGCTAAGCAGGAGCGCCAAGAAGGCATGAAGCTGGACATTGCCAAGATGGTTTCAGGTCAAAAAGCCATTGAGGCAGTGAATGGCGTCACAAGAGACCCAAGTCCAAAATAAAATGTCAACAGATGGAATGCAACTATCAGTCATACTTAAACTGTATATCAATGTAACATCATATGACAACATGTACAGACGGCCCCCAAAATCTAACACGGATCCCCCAATATTTTGGGTCTCAAAAAAATGACGTTGTGAGGTGTATGGTCATTGAAAGGGGTTCCATGAGAGATTTGGTGAGCATAACATTATCTGGGTAAATTATAACGACCTCACTGCGACCTCACTATAATCATAGTTAGCAAGGGGAAACATCCCCAAGATAGCCGAACTTTTCAGGTTAGTGAATTATTCTAATTTACCCAGCATTATTTTTCAGATGTAGGGTTGTTTATATAAAATATCCCGTGATTGTAGTTGTAACCGACAGTATTGATCATTAATATCAATGGCCATTCCAGGATCCTCAATTGGAGGTACCTACCATATATAAGGCCTATTTTTCAGGCCTAAATTTCAGGGAATATCCCCACAATTCATATGGCCAAAAATATGGTACGTTTACGTACCTCCATCAATTTAGGATCCTGGAGATCTCCCATTGATAGAATATAGAAAATTATAGAAATATCATTAACCACATAATAGCCATCATCATTAACCATATAACAACCATCATCATTAACCATTATCATTAACCATTGAACCCATGGCTCCTGAAATAGTTGGTCATCGATCCCATGATATCCCAATCACACCCTGAAAAAAACACCTTTTTTTTTTGCATCAGGATGGGACCCCCGTTTGCTAAGTTGGTGAACATAAGTACCATCAAAATCATCTGTAATATCAATGGGAGATCTCCAGGATCCAATTGATGGAGGTACGTTAGTACCATATTTTTGGCCATATTTTCTGGGGATATTCTCTTACATAGGCCTGAAAAATAGGCCTTATATATGGTAGGTACCTCCAATTTAGGTTCCTGAGATGGTCAGTGATAATACGTCTAATTCTATTTAGATGGGATTATAAACCAACAAACATACTGGTTGGTGGTTTGATCCATTTTTTATTTTCCATTTCATATATGGGATAATCCTTCCAATTGACGAACTCATATTTTTCAGAGGGGTAGGTATACCACCAACCAGATTAGAATATTGGGATATTATGGGATATTAACCATTGTTAATTATGAATGGTCTATAATGAAATCATGTTGGTTTAATGACCTATTTAAATGGTCTATAATGAAATCATAACCATATATAATCACTATTATTGCTATTATAACCACTATTATAGATTATATATATATACTATTATGAATCTATTTAGATCATAACTTTAAGGGCGCCCTTCCTGTAGCAACCCTTAACATCGCGGCCAGGAGTTCAGCGCCGCACATCGTTGCTTTCTTTCAGCTTGGGACAGCAACTGGAGGAGAGCGAAGGCGTTACCACCAAGAATTACCCTCTGGTAATTTGTTACATAGCTATTGAAAATGACCATGTATAGTGGATTTTCCCATGAAACATGGTGATTTTCCATAGTTATGTTAGTTTACCAGAGGGTAATTGTCAAAAATGGTGGATTGAAATGAGCGATTTTATGGTCTATAAAATGGTTCATAAAATAGTTCATAAAATAATGGTCTATTAATGGATTTCATGGATTTAATGAATCCACCATATTTCATGAACTATCCACCATGATTTATCTATAATGGATTTAATGAACTATTTTATGGTCTATAATAAATGGTGATTTAATAAATGGTGATTTAATTAACACATTAACTATCAATCATGAATGGAATATATTTGAATGTAATTGATGATGGAATTAATTGACTATCAATCTGGCTGCTGGCTGAATGATCATATTTAACGAAGTTGAAAATAGATGAAAATAGGTGAAATAGGCCATTTGGATGATTCCCACTATCATTCATGAATTGATGAAAATCGAATATCATTGATTTTTCATGGTGATCTATTCCCTTCCAGCCCACCCACCCCATCGCCATCTGTTGCCCCAGCTGGGGTTCCGGAGACCCCCACCCAGGGTTCCTTCCATGAACTGATACTCATCACCATTAGTATATCAACTATACACCACAGAACCAGCATCAATCGATATCAATCGCCAGAATTCACCATCACCAGGCCCCATGCTACCCCATGCTACATATCTCCATTTTTAATGCCCTTTTTTAGCGACCCGCGATCGCAGGAGAGGCGGAAGCAGTTCCTTCAGATCTGTGCCGTCGCAGCTTTCTGCCATCGCGCCACCAATCTCCTGGATGGTTTCAGTTCCCTCAGCCAGGCGCTGCAGCATCTGGGTGTGTCTGAAAATGTCGTGTACCCCTTTTTACCCAATGGTTTTGCTGATCATTATCCCGTTTTTAAATGGCTATTTCATTGGGAAGATTAACCCTATTTTCAGACAAACCCATCTGAGTGATCCCAAAAAATCCATGATGAAGAAGGGTACCCCCATTTTTTTCCTAAACCTCCATATGTGTTGAAAAACAGTTTGGAAGTGAAAGAAAAAATGGTAGAAAATTGGGATCGATGGAAATGACTCAATGACAATCATACTATTTCTATTTATGTGTCTAATGTGGGCAACCCGGTGTGCCATAAACAACCCGTCGGGAGAAAACCGCAAAACGCGCTTGTGAGCGTTTTGAAAAAAATGTTGTTTTTGCCATGGCGAGACTATTGATCTACTGAAGAAAAAGTGACTAAAATCCCAGCGAATTTTCATTGATTTTTTGATCAACTCCTGCAATTTACAGGAAATTTGCTTTGCCAAACTCGCGCGATGTTTTCCTCCTTTCACATGGCCATTCGCTTCTGCAAAGAGCGACCAGTGATCTCCAAAAAGTTGTTTGCTTTGGAGTTCATCCAGCGCCATTGCCAGACCCTGATGCTTCGCATCAGCTTTGGGTTCACTTGGCTGTCGGCTCTGGTCGGAAGACTACATGGAATTTGACAGCCGCCACATTGCATCGACTCCACCTGTGTGTATTAGAACTGTCTTATTTCTAATTCCTTTCTTGATACAAAACGCCCCTTTCCAGGAATGAATGGACGTGCCGTCTGCTTCGATCTCTCCTGGGCACTGGCAGAAAAACATAACATAACATAACATAACATATATATATAATATGTATAATATACATAGCAGATTTTTTCATGTATACACATATATTTTAGAAGATAACATATATATATATATACAACACATTGCAACATAACCTTACATGATATATATATATACATATTTCAAAGATCACATATATATAGTACATAACATATCGTTATATAAAGCATACCATATCTAAAAGAGAATTTCTTATGCATATATAAATATATACATATATCACAAAAAGCAACAACAAATAACATAAACTCAACATATGAAACATTAGATATGTAACAATATGTATATATATATAGATAACATACATAACATTTACATCATATAAACAAAAATATATGTGGGCGGCAAGCTGACATGAACATTAACAGACTCCCCCCCACCCCAAACCCTGGCGTGACGTAGCATGTGCGTGGGCGGCAAGTTGACATGAAGGTTACTGTAACACCCCCCACCCCAAACCCTGGCGTATCCTGGCGTGACGTAGCATGTGCGTGTTTCACAAAACGTGCACGACTACTGGCGCGGTTTTCTCCCCCGCTGGCATAAACAACTAGCATGACCTGGGATATTTGGGATTTCCCACCAAGCATGCTACTTGGGGATTGTTAATTTGATCGGCTGAATCTCACACGTTGCCCCTTTTTCGTGTCGCGTTGCCAAGGAAGAACTGGGGGTACACACGTGAAAAAACCGAGCGGCCAGGTGTGTTTGACCAGGTTCAACAGCATCGTGCTGCAGGAGAAAGGCATCCAGGCCATTGCAAATTTCGCTTCAAATCCTTCAAACATCTGGAATTTCATTGGAGTTGAGTAGGGACTTCATGGTGATTTCATGGGGATATCATGGGAATAAAGTTTGAATACAGTTTTTTTTCGGCTGGTAGTTTTCATGCAGTTTTTTCAGCGCCGGAGGCCAAACCCTTCGCCAAAGCAGCTGCTCTGATGATCTGGCGTGACTCAGCTGAGCCAAATCGAAAGACCAAGTCCTACAATAAGATCATCTAAGCCATTGCCATCAATACTCCATGAGGATGGTTATAAATTCCATTTCTATGTATATTTTTTTAATATATATAGACGAATCCCATTAAATCAACATTAAATCACCATTGTATCACCACTATATGTCCATCAATCATCAGTTATATCAGTTATCACCTGCAACGGTTACACCAGGCGCACCCATTCAGCATCGCTGCTTTCTAGGCTGCTGCTATGCCCGTGTCATGCGCGAGCGGCTGCGAGACCTGCGGGACGCGACTGGACGACCGGGATGGGAAATGGGAACTTTAGCAGGGATGGGTTGACATTGGTTTAATGTGGGTAAAACAATACTAAACCACCCATTTGGGAATGGTTTATACCACCTATTTATGATGATGACTGGGGGATGGTTTATTATTGAGTTTTACCCACATGAATGTAATTCAATGGGGATTAATGGTGATTTACCCTCTGGTAATTTAACATAGCTATTGAAAATGGCCGTTAATAGTGGATTTTCCCATTGAACATGGTGATTTTCCATAGTTATGTTAAATTACCAGAGGGTAATGGGGATTTCATGGAATATCAATGGTGAAAGTGGTCCATTGGGAGTGTTGTCATGGTGAATGTGGAAAAACCATGGGGATTCCCATTGGAATTTCTGAACGGTAAAAAAGTGACATGAAAAGCCGACGCCGTGTGATGGGTTGAATCCCATAAAGCCGTGCTGATGACTTGGGGATGGTTTATCATTGGCTTTTATTTTCCATAATATATGGGAATATATGGGACAATCCAGTGGATGATATCGGGATGGGTCATCAATATCTCATATGAATAATGGAATAATAATGGGATATCACCCTCTGGTAAACGTTTACAGTTTGCGACATAGAAAATGGCCCATAGAAACTGTTGATTTACCCAGCTATAAAATTGTGATTTTCCATAGTTATGGAAACGTTTGCCAGAGGGTACGTCAAAAATAAGATGGTTGACACATGTTGACAACTAGCCTCCTGCAATCAAACCTGGCAGTCCCATTGCCGTGTTACCGGAGGGTATCATGAATAGATTGGTAAACTGGCTCGCTTTTTTTTAAAGCCACATCCAGTTTTTCGTTTTGCGGGAGGATCCAAATGGGCTCACGCTTCACCGTGTTCGACTTGGTACCGATGATTTGTGCCCAAGAATCAATGTAAATGCCATTGAAAATTGAGAATATGTAATTTCATTGGGGAGAAATGGTTGGCAGAGGCTACTAAAAGCAATTCAACCCAAAATTTGAAAATATCGTACCCTCAAATTTCATGGTTTACCCGTAAATTAACATTAGACCCTGCCAAATAGTTGGAAGATTAGGTTTCTCAAAATTGCTGATTTCACATGATTTAACCATGTTCAGTGTCTATGTGAATGTACCAAATGGTCATTTTCTCAATGGCCATTTCAGGAACCTAAATTGGAGGTACCTACCACATATAAGGCCTATTTTTTAGGCCTATGTAAGGGGATATACCCCCAAAATATGGCCTTACATGATACAGTACCTCCATTTTAGGATCCTGGAATTCCCATTGATTTTCCCTGAAATTGCCGGGTTCCTATGGTCTGAAGGCATCGCCTGTGAGTCCTCGATCTCCGAAGAGTCCTTCGAGTCAGAGCTCGCCGTCGTTTTTTCGACAGTTGCTGGGGCAGCGGAGAAGTTCTGGGGGAAAAATCCTCATGAAGAAACGGTTGGTTCCTCGCACCGGAGTTTGGGCAGGGGAAAATCGTAACCGCATGATTTCTGCAGGCAGCCTCACTAGCGAAGCCCAGGATCATGCAACAAGCCCCTTTAATGGAGGGGTTCACTCACAACATCCGAGAACTCGTGCCACTCGAATTTACCCTCTGGTAAACTAACATAACTATGGAAAATCACAATTTTTAATGGGGAAATCAACTATAAATGGGCCATTTTCCATAGCTATGTTTGTTTACCAGAGGGTAACCATTAGTTGATGGCGGCATTCAACTCCAACTCTACCAGCTATTTCATCGTGTAAAAAGTTGACCATACTTCAAGGATCTTCAAGGCTTGTGAACCCAGTATGGAAGTGAGCTGTGAACTGTTGCCTTTTCCACCAAAAATATGGGGATGGGTCAAAACCCTGGTACCTAGTGAACCCCAAAATAGCTGGGATTTATGGATGTTCATCCCACTAAAAATGTATCTATAGGTATTGATCCATACCCATATGAGTTGGGTTAGTTGGGTTAGTTGGGTTAGTTGGGTATGGTTCCTCATGACCCCCAAAAAAACCAGGCCTTGGTGATTGTCACCACCTATCGGAGACTTAGGACGCAGGAGGCCCATGGATTCAATGGACCCTTGCTCCGTTCCATGCCATTGCTGGAGAAGAAGGACGTGCTGCAGTTCTTGCGACGGATCACCTTCATTGAGGGCGTGTGCGCCAGACTTTGAGTGGGAAAACTCTATGGAAAAATCATGAAAAACCCTCTGCTAAACTAACATAACCATGGAAAGTCACCATGTCTAATGGGTAAATCAACTATACATGGCCATTTTCAATAGCTATGTTAAATTACCAGAGGGTAAAGTGAATAAATGCTGGACGTTGCATTGCCATGTTTGATTACCAGAGGGTAAAGAATGTATATTAATATATATATATTAATTATTTTTGTGGGATATTAACCCATCAGCAAATGGGACACAAGCCAATAATAGATGCGGATTGACGGTGTGTACCGTAAACAAGAATGGCGGGTAGATGGGAAGATAAGGGAATGAGTGGAATATACCAACCATTTTTTCGAGATGTAACAAGGAAATACTGGTATATCGAGCCACCAACATGATCCGGTGTGTTTGAAGATGGTTTAAAGAAAGAAACAAAGCGTGGCAATGTTAATTAGTAGGGAAAATACTGATTAACGGACGTTTCATGTATCGTATGGCCATATGTTGTGCAGAGATTCCAGTGCAGTGACATGACAAAGATTTGAAGCAATGAATTCAGTCTCTGGGAATGGGCATGCCGCAATGCCCAATTCATAGATTATTTTCTCATTAAAAGTTCTATTTATATACAAGATTATAAGGGAGTTCCCATTCCCACATTTAACTACCAGAGCGTAGACAAGAGTGAGTATGGCCTTGCAGTGAGCCTGCTTTCCTATTGGATCTATTCTTGAATTTCGGGTTCCATTTAAGGTATTGAATATGATATTGGCTATATTATAATATTAAACCCATTTAAAACCCTATTTCAGGATGCTTTGTCATCATGTTCAACCCCCTGTCTTTGATGGTTTAATCTTTACTAAACAACATCTTTGATGATTAAATCATCAACGTTCACAAGATTTCATATATGTCATTGCTAAATATCATGAAATTTCACCATGGTTTGATGGTCAAATTCCCATGAAAAAACCGCCTTTCTTTTTTTTCGAGTGGATGCTTTGGAACCCTGGCCGCCACCAAACCCAGCACCAAAATCGTGACGGGTCCCGGAATAGGTTGGAGGTGCGGCTGCGAGTGCGTCGCAAGCGTGCGCAGGCCAAGTGTATTCATTTGATGCTGCAGCAACTCAGCTTCAAGTGAGCAGTGGCTGCGATCTACCCTGGTAGGTTGATGATTCATGATCATTAAGGCATTGGTGCTAACAACAAGTACTTGGGGCTGCACTTGAGGTGTCTAATTGGTATTTCGATTTCAACCCCAAGCTGGGGTATAACCTTCAGTCCATAACCATGGTTATCTAACCACCGAGAAATGGAACTGCAGCCCCAAGTTGGGATCCCGAAACCAAAGATCAACCTCCGGTGTCCTAACATGGCAGCTGGACATGTCTAAATGGAGGTGTGGGAAAATTCAACTGTAAATTGCTGATTTTCCATTGCCACCTGTGATTACTGGAGGGTAGGTATCCAACTCCACGTAGGGCTGAGCTGGAACTTGATCCGATTTTTACCTCAAAATATTGAGACCCAAATGTGGAACCACCGAGTGTTCAAGTTGTTGACTGTCTTCTTTAACTGGTTGGTGGTTTGGAACCCAATCATACGATCACAGGACACTCAAAACCAAAGATGTTCTGGACAAACCAAAGCGATTCAAGTACAGTGTCTGGTTGGTGGTTTGGAACATGAATTTTATGACTTTCCATTCAGTTGGGAATGGAAAATCATCCCAACTGACGAACTCACCCCATCATTTTGCAGAGGGGTAGGGTAGGTATACCACCAACCAGATATATTATTAACCATCATTAACCATATATTAACCATATATTAACCATATATTATATAAATGTTAACCATTATTAACCATATATTAACCATAAAGTGATTTTCAGATGCCTCTGATGCCAGCTGCAGGAAATGGTATCCCTTTGCCATTCAAAGAATGCTGCGACATGTCTATGCCACCAGGATGCAGCCGATCAAAAGTTGGGAGGGCCATGGAGGGCCACCCCTTTTTTGTTAAGGGGATGAGCTGAAACCGGATGTGGTCCGTAAAAATTCTCTCAAAAAAAAAGTTGGTGGAGGTTTAGTAATAAACTTTGAAAAACCCCTTTGTGGCTGTTTTGCGCTTGTAATTTGAAGGCACGTCATTGAGCACACGGAGTATAGTTGATGGCACTGGGTTCGCTAAATCAGAATCATATCCCATTCATTCATCTTCACCGTGTCGTCACGTTTCACTCCTTGTTGTCTGGATAAATTATACAAAGTGGGGCCTAGATAGCTAAGTTGGTTTATAACTCCAATAACTATGGTTTATGGTACTTATAACTACAGTTATTGGGGCTTATAAACCAACTTATAACTAGGGGGCCCACATTGTAACGAACTCACTGTTCTCCCTCACTGGAATCATGGTCAGGAAGGGGGATCATCCCCAGATAGCCGAACTTTTCAGGTCAGTGAAATATTATGGCCTTTATCCGGATATATATATATATAGTTATATATATATATATATAGTTATATATATAATTATATATATATATTCCATAAGTAACTGATATATCATATTGTTATTACCATGTTACTACTCCGTTGTTATGGTTAAACGACCAACTTTTGGGTTTCCTCAGCATGGGATCGACAGACCAGCATTTTTTTTATCGCATGATATCCGCCAAGGAATATCCCCCATGAAATGCTTTTTTTAATGCTATGGCAACTATGGTTTCCGTATTTCTTGATCCTATTATACTTCCAATTACATTTCCATTTTGTCCCATTCTACTCCCACTATATCCCCATGTGTTTCCCCGATTTTGAGCTCGAAAAGCCTGGAAAAGAATCTCTGGAATCCCCATCTGTTCTCTCCAGATTTTGATTTCCCCAGATGTTTGGCCAATTTTCAATTCCAAAAAGTCTGCAAAAGCCGGATGTCCCAAATTCCCATTGGTTGGTTGATTAATAGAGGGGCTTCTTCAGAAACCCCTTGAAAACGACAGGTAAATGATAATACACTCTGGTAATTTAACATAACTATTGAAAATGGCCATTTATAGTGAATTTTCCCATTAAAAATGGTGATTTTCCATAGTTATGTTAGTTTACCAGAGGGTATACCAGCTCCCGGCCCCTCTAGTTTTACCATTTTAGGACATTGGCAAAAGCCTTGGCTGCGCCTCCCGAGGGCTGCGTGAAGCGCTTGCAACATTTCCTACGCCGCGCCCTGCTACGGCTGAAAGCCATCAGAGTCGCTGTGAAGGCGATGGCTGGGAAAATCGACCTACGCGACCGATTTCGACTGCGTAATGGGAACATGATGGAAAAGCATATATATATAGTAGAATATATTAGTAATAATGATATATATATATATTAGATAATATATAGTATCTAGCATTAATATATTAGTAATAAGATATTTATCCTATAGGTTATCTAATGATTATCTGATATAATATATGGTAGAATATATCCTACTATAGGATTATAATAATATATATATACTATGTAATGGAATAATGATGTAATGTTGATGGAATATGAATGGTATGAATGGAATGAATGGGATATCAATGGGACATGAATGGGATATGAACTATCGAGTGGTGAATGTCCTTGGGCGAGCTGAGCGATACAAGGTGAGGCCCCCCAGTTATGTAGCCCATGAACTATAGTTACTGGTTGGTTCAATGGGAATTTCAGGATCCTAAAATGGAGGTACCTACCATATGTAAGGCCTATGTTTTAGCGCCTATGTAAGGGGATATACCTCCAAAATATGGCCTTATATGGTACAGTACCTCCATCTTAGGATCCTGGAATTCCCATTGGTTGGTGGTTTGGAACATGAATTTTATGACTTTCCATTCAGTTGGGAATGTCATCATCCCAACTGACGAACTCACGCAACATCATTTTTCAGAGGGGTAGGTCAACCACCAACCAGGTTATATCGCCATAAAGCCTAGTTGAGCAAGTTACCCTCTGGTAAACGTTTACAAAAAAACGAACTATCCACCATGTTATAGCTGAGTAAATCAACTATTTCCAATGGGCCATTTTCAATGTCGCAAACTGTTAAATTGCCAGAGGCTAAATCCCATTACATCCCATTACATCCCATTAAATCACCATAGAAATAGTTGATTTTCCCATTAAAAATGATGGTTTTCCCAGTAACCAGGTTACCAGGCCGGGTATTCTGTGTGTACACACCGCGAAGTCGTTTGGGAACCTCACCACTTGGAGCTACGAGTTCTCCTGGCGACCCGGGGGAATCGTCCGGTACCAATGACAACTAGGGGATATAACATCTGGGTAAATTACAACGACCTCACTGCGACCTCACTGGAATCATGGTTAATAAGGGGAATCATCCCCAAATGGGCCTTAATTCAGGTTGGTGAAATATTATAATTTACCCAGATAACATGATATAACTACAACATATGACAACCAACCATTTGGGGGAAACCTTGGATGTATAAATTGCAGTTTTCCATGGGACAGTCATCATTTTCTAAAGGTTTTCCAAGCATATTTGATTACTAGAGGGTAAAAAAAAGGCTGAAATCATGGGTTAATGATCCACGTAAACCTGCAGGAAGCTTGTGGTGAATCGTGGGTATTTAAGGGTATTAAGGATCAAACTTTTCGTTTACCCTCCGGTAAACTAACAGTTTGCTATTGAAAATGGCCCATTTATAGATGATTTACCAATTAAAAATGGTAATGTTCCATAGCTATGTTAGTTTACCAGCGGGTAATGATGGTTAATCATGACTGGTTAGTGGTGAAAATGACGTTTATTTCGTGGTATTCTGGTGAGTGCTGAACATCTTTGGTCATGAAGCATCAACCACTGGTATCCTAATCCAATGGTTAATCTAAGGCCCGATGATTGATATATATATATAGGTGTTTAATGGGTTAATAAGGGTTAATTAATCTGTTGGTTGGTGGTTGATGGTTTGTCTTTGTTACTGATGCTTCATCCACATTAAACCTGACATGATTGTCAACAATGGTTAACTGATGTTAACTGTCAAAAAAGGGCAGCGCCAAAAAATAGTGGTTCGTTAGGGTATTCTCATCAAAGCCGTGTCCCTAGTATAGGGCCATCAACCGGGTTGAATGACGTATAAAGTTAAACCAAAAATCAGTGGATTTACTGGGGAAACCTTGGGCGGGCAGGTGAATGGAGTGTTTTTGTTGGATATATTCAGGCATAGGAAAGAGAATGGATGATGCCCTGGCTTTGTTACAATTGAAGGATGTGGCCTATCATACACAAGGAATGGCGAGAATCACAGTTCTTCTGGAAGTTTGGGCAGACATTTGAGGCATTTCTTTAGTGGCACGTGTCATCTGACATTGGTCAAGGACCTGGATATGGGAAGTAATAAAAACGGGGTCGCACGATGGATGAACAGTCAACTTCCATCACGAATCGGTCATCTACAAGCTGTATAATATCAACGGCCATTTCAGGAACCTAAATTGGAGGTACCTACCCATATATAAGGCCTATGTTTCAAGGCTAAATTTCAGGGAATATCCCCAGTACCTCCATCAATTGGATCCTGGATTTCCCAGTGTTTGATTACCGCAAATCCCCGGAAACATGATGCATAGGTTGAGGTTTCCCATGGTTTCCCCCATTCAACCAACAAGAGGTACCCTCTGGTAAACGTTAACGAAAAACTATGGAAAATCACCATTTTTAATGGGTGAATCCACGAACTAAATGGCCATTTTCAATAGCAAACTGTTAGTTTACCAGATGGTAGATCATAACAACCAGTGTACCGAACTGGCGCCTCTATTGTTCCTTAGTATGGCACCCAGTAACTGTGGATGGGCCGTTGCGAAATCCGTTCATCACCAGTTGAAAACGGCGTTTTCTCCCATTATTTATAGGGTTTCAATATGTTTCAACCATCCTTTTGGTGGTGCAGGATTTCTCCAGCCATGTCCATGGCTCCAGGCTCAAATGCTGCAGATTGAGCGGGAACAGGTGGAAAAGGAGCATGGAAATTGTTGAAAAAACGGTAGAAACGACCAGATGGGTAGGTTGATTTTTAGGTTTGAAGGAAAGCATTTGAAGTTTTTCAAGTTATGAGTCTTTGTAGTTATTGTAGCTATCTTTATATTTATTCTATTTCATGTGTGTAATTGTTTTTTGGGGGGATAGGTGATAGTTTGTATAATAAGGATCCACGACTGTGCTTTTGTGTGGGTGAATAGTGTCGGCCACCACACTGATCTGTCTGAAGATTGGGTTCCCAAAAATCCGCCGGTTACCCTCTGGTTATGTCAAAATAGCTATTGAAAATTGCCATTTATAGTGAGTTTTCCCATTAAAAATGGTGATTTTCCATGGCTATGTTAGTTTACCAGAGGGTAATCATAATTTTTGGATATTGAAATTGCATGAAATTGCAATTTGGTGGTGCCACCCATTTTCAGACACTCCCTAATATGTTGTAGATCGAATCAAACATGTTCATATGGAAGATACTGCAAGCGTTCATTCGAAATGATTGATTTGGCAACCCCCACGATGTTGCGCATAGTTTTACATCATTTCCGTGGTAAGACCCCAAAATGAATCAAAAAAACTCTGCAGTTTGATGTGCATTGCCAGCATTTAGGAATCGCCATGTTGGCATGTTGATTGGCGCAACCCCCTTTAACCTGGGTTTGCTCAAGAATAATATGGGTGTTCTGATTTTTTCTCAGGGCCCCTTGAGAAAATCCAAGATAAACTACCCCACGTAGGGTTTGAAAATATGGTACCCAAAAAAATGTGACAGTTTTGCATCATTTTTCCGGCTAGAATTGTCATTTGGGTGGTATATCTGTAGTATACCCTGTTTAAGACCCAAAATCCCAATTATAGATGGTTGAATCGCTGTGTTTCACCATGTTTGATGCTGAAATCACATTAAATCACTCTGTTTTAATGGTTCAATCACCAAAATATAAATTAAATCAGATTTTTCATGCTTAAATCATGAAATCACCATTACATCACCATGTCTTGCACACTGCCCAACATTGGACTCAGCATGTTCAGGAGCTCTTGGAAGAGGAGGCTCACCACGATGTCAAGCGGAAGGGTGGTCCAAAGGGCGTCACTCCGGAGCAGGCGCGAATGACTCGCCCCAGTGAGTCCTCCAATGTCAAGTGACCAGTGGCTGCGATCTAGCCCTGACAAGTGACAATATCAATTTTAAATTTCATTCAAATGTAAATTTAAATCTCCAATTTGAATATTAAAAATAATTCAACTGGAAATATAGGAAATAACTGGAGGCAGGGTTGATGATGAGTTCGGGGATAAAAAACGACCCTTTTAAAATATGGGGGGTTTCTAATAATCCAACAATAGAAATGATCCCTTTAAAAGCAACCAGGATTAAAAGGAATGATGGGATTTGTTTCACACTGCTCAAGTATTGTCATTCACTTATGTCTTATTGAACCACCAATTTTGGTTGTTTGAATCCACTGAAATGAAGAGATTTGCATGATGGTGCCCCGCAGTGAAATGGTTCTTGCTTTATGGGGCCACATCGAAACTTAATGTTGGTTTATAACTATAATAACAATAGTGTATCTAAATCTAAACCAACTTTGGTTATGATAACCAATTTGCGTATCATACACTATTGTTATAACATAGTTATGTTCACCAACTTAGCAAACTGTGCCTGGTGGCCCATCCTGTGCCGGGCGCTGCTTCCAGCTGAGTGAAACCACTAAATCGCTTATTCTCAGGGTCGAAGTGTTAAATTTACCAGAGGGTAATTTAACATAGCTATTGAAAATGGCCATTTATAGTGGATTTTCCCATTAAAAATGGTGATTTTCCATAGTTACGTTAGTTTACCAGAGGGTACCAGAGGGTAATGGTGATGAATGGTGGTGATAATAGATGATACTTGTGAATAAGAATGGTAATAGTACATGATAATAAAGTGCTGATTAATGATAATGGTGGTTAATGCGGATTAATGGATTTGCTGAAGATGATTTTTGTGATGTTCCCGATGGAAAATCCACTAGGACTGGGGAATCGATTAAGTGGAATACCTTCCCATTAACCAGCCATGACTGCGGGTAATTTTACATCATACATCATCTCATTACTAGGGGCATGCCCAAATGCAGCAAACGCCAAGTGGGGATGGTTTGTGGCTTTGGGTTTCATTAGCCATTTAGCAGCCAGCATCCTGCAGAACATTTGGGTGGGTCATCCATCACGGATGTCCAATATGTTTGATGCAATAATCTGCTGTGAAAGATGACCCTTTGGTAAACAAACAATTTGCTCCGGGAACTCCATTTTGCATAGCAAACTGTTCGTTTACTGGCGGGTACTATCCCAAGTGGCCTTTATATGTTTGCGATGTTCTTCTGGATTCGCAGGTGAATCGGGCCCTCTTGCCTGAAAGCTGGCGGAACCAAATCCTGAAGTATCTTGCCAGAAGATGAGTATGGATCAAAATGCCTACCCTCCGGTAAACAAACATAGCTATTGAAAATAGCCATTTATAGTGGATTTTCCCATTAAAAATGGTAATTGTCCATAGTTATGTTAGTTTACCAGAGGGTAAGGCAAGGGTACCACAAATCTTCGTTGTTTTTGAGAACTTATCATCCAGACTTTAAAGGCACCCTATTTCGACACAGCCAAATGATCAAGCAAAGCTTAGTAGATTATACAGAAGGGGAAAATATAAAATGGAAATGATATGCATTGCATCGGTGGATCTCTATGCACATCGCTTGCATAGCCCGAGGCCGGGTGAGTTGAAATTTTGTTTGGTTCCACTCAAACCTGGGGTACGGTTAGATATATAGCAACCATTACAGTGAACCATTAGCAACCTCTAAAAAGATAGCAATATTTCCAGGATGCTATGGATTATAGATGATGTTTGCCCTGTAATTGTTACAGCTTTCCCACTTTCTATCTTGGCGGGGGCGAGGCTATACTTGATTAACTCTTTGGTAATCAAACGTGGATTGCTGGAAAATCCATCATTTATAGATGATTCTCCCAAACCTCCCTGGTTGGTGGTTTGGAACATGGCTTTTATTTTTTCATATATTGGGAATAATCATCCCAACTGACGAAGTCATATTTTTCAGAGGGGTAGGTATACCACCAACCAGCCATTTGTAGTAGATTTTCCAGCCATGTTTGACGCTGGAGGGTAATCTTTTGATAAGGGTGACATTGTTTTGTCCAGCGGTGATTTCTCACCGCCCCAGTCCATTTGGGTGAGTCATGCTGACTTTCCCAGCTAGCTGGTGCCATCTGTGACAAAGCCTATTGGACTTAGAGATAGCCTCAAAAAACGCAAGTAATGATTACTTGGATACAAAAAAAAATGCTATTGATTTTCTTGGCATGCCTTCACTTCTGGAAAAGTTTGCTATGTTCAAATGCTAGGAATGTTCAAAAATGATTCATGAAATCATGAAATGTCATGGATCAAAACACCAGCATTTCCCCTTGGTCCCCCATCCCCCGCGGGCCCCAGTTCCTTGCTGCGGCAGCGACGCCGGCAGCAGCTGAACCTCTTGCAAGAATGGCGGGTAGATATGAGCACCTACCATTGGGAGGCTGCTAGGGGATGCCACATTTTTGGATGATATAATATGAACCCCAATTTGCTTGCTGTCTTTATCAGCTTCAGCATCCTGGTGATGAGAAAATCTCACCTATCAAGACTCGAAGAGTTCGATCGGAAAAGCTTAGCTAAATGGGAATGGAACCAGAAACATCAGCAACCTGACTTGATGCTTTCCATGAATTACCCCTCTGGTAAATTCACAGTTCGACCCTGAAAATCCCCCATGTTGTTAGTGGCCACAAATCTTCCAACCGGCAGGGTCTGCCGGGGTCTCCGGGAGGTGTTCGAGTGGCGCAAGTCCAATCACCAAATACCATGCCCGGTGATGCCGGCCTATCCCACCCATGTGCCATCCCAGAAGGCCCGGCTGGGTCGAGAAAATCATCGAAAATGATGGGAAGTTCGGAGAATCGTTTCGTTCTTGATGGCTTATTGATGCAAAAATTGTGGGCTTTACAAAGTGTTATCATCTGCCGCTGATGATTTCTCCAGGCTTAGTGCGGAATCAATGAGCCGCTGATGCATATATATCCATTGGTGATATAGTGGGACCCTGGCCCCAAGGGTGGGAAGCAATCTCACCTGGCAGTTCTTCTTCATCAGTCATCAGTCATCAGTCATCATCACTGCCATTGTCGCCCTGTCACACCATGGATAGCAATGGTACCATTCTACACCCAGAGGTCCTGACCAAGCTCATTGAGGATGCACGAAAGCTGCGCAGCCCAGCTGCAATCTGAGCGGCAAAACCAGGAGAAACCAGCGTACATTGGAATACCAAAAAAGGGGCTTGAAATCTGGAAGATTCTAGAAGTGACAGGATACCAAAGTGACGTGGCTTGATATGTTGTTACCAGTCACACTTATTTTAGAGCTTTTTTACGATGTACTGGTCAGCTAGTTCCGGTCTCAAGGGCAAATCTGTCCCGGAGTAGAAAAAGGTAGTCAAGACATTGAAGTTATTGAAGCTAAAGGACTTGTTTTCTATTTAGTGCTTCAGGATGGCTAGGTGCATGATATGTCGATGCATATGTACTGGATGTATAAATATGTTACGTACACACGCATGCACACACACAGGCATGTATGTATATATATATACATATTATACATACACATGTGTATGCGCGAACCTGAGCCTGTACGCATGTGTCTATAATATATATATATATACACACATACATGCCTCAACTCCTAGATATACACGACATTAGCAGTGTCAAAAGCCCAGGTGAGCCAGTGTTCTGTGACGAATATCCGGATCCATATGGAAATGAATGTATTGGTTGTCAAATCTCTATTGTTGATTGGTATAATCCAATCTGTTGTTTTTAAATGCTTGTTGTTGGGTAGATGATCAAAAAATGTAGTCTATGGCGGTCGTCAAGTACGTATATAATTACAGATTGCCGTATATCTATATACTCTCCGTAACATTATTTTGTTGTAACTTTTGGGTGGTCAACTCCCAATACGTTTGGTGAGACATGCCTGTGATATGGATACAGGAAGTGATATACCTATAGTGAAATCAAGCAAATATTTGAAACTAGTGCCATTCATTGTAAAACACATTTGCCGATTAGATCATCCTGAACTCAATTCCCCATATTTCTTGGTGAAATAGGGGTTACCTACCTGCAATTACTACTAACCCTTAACTAACCTACCCCCGTTTCACAACCTTCATTTATCTGCAGACTGGCTGGAGGGGATAACACTACCTACCACCCGCAAACTGGGATATGGAAAATGCACCATTTGCAAATCATGTTCCTTGGAAAAGGGTTGGTTCTCCATATGGATCTATTTAAAGATTTGGTACCTCCCAAAGACCTCATTATTTGAAATGCGCCCTCCTCCCAATCAAGATAAGCATTTTCGGGCATACAGCATACCCCATTTCTGGCCAAAAAAATTATCCCAGCAAGAGACCCCAAACAGTGTGCTTCAAGGAATCAACGGAAAATTTGGCGGATGAGAAACAGAAGAGTAGACCCTGCGCAGGCGACATGCACATGGACATTTCACAAGAGCCATTTTGTATGGAAACTTACAGGGAAAGTGCCAAACGCTAATCCGCGACACCCCGTTTCGTGCGAGCCTGCGCAGTCGAAATGCACATTGGACATGTCACAAGAGCCATTTTGCATGGAAATTTACAGGTAATTGGCCGAACACGGATGATACCACCTCGATTGAACACCCGGCCTTAACTGTTACCGTAAGAACCCCTCAGTGTGGCCACACTGTTTGGGGAACATTAAGTTATTGGTTTTATAGTCCCTATGTTTGATGAAATCCCCATTCTTCACCATATTTCTATGGGTGGATTGTCCAAGTTTGGTACCATTTTTCAGCTTATAACCCCCATGGTTTTTCCACCATTTCCACCGTTTTTGCACCAGTCTAGGTCAATCTAGATGGGCACTTTAATCCTTTAGTCTTTTGGTATCAATGAGATCATCTACTAACCAGCTAAGATTTTTTTCCTGCATGTATCTAAGATTGGCCATTCATGGCTGAAGTCCATCAGGCAGTCGTCGCCCTTCATATCTCCCTGACCTGGCTCTGCTACATCTGGCGCCGGCCGGGCCCGAAACCTGGGGCGAGGAAGGATGGCACCGGCGAAAGGCCGCGACTTGGCCCGGAAAACGGCTGGAGTCATCTGAGTGAACTAATGTGAACCATGCCCAAAAAAAAAATGTTGGAAAATGCTGGACAGTAGGTGTTGCACTTTAGACTCATGAAAATGTTGGACAAATCATGGGTTTAGCTACGAAAAATGGTGAAAAGTGATGGATTAACCGTGAAACAGTCTTTGAAACATTGCGATTTATCTATCAAAATCGTCTAAAACATGTTGGATTCCGCTATGGAGAATGGAATGTTGGTTTGCATGAAGATGGGGAATATCCTCAAAATATTGCAATTTTTACGAGGCAACTGATGATCCAACATTAGGTTTTGGGGGGCCCTGCTTTTGCGAAGCCAGATGATGGGCACCATAGTTTGCCCAGAACTGGATGAGTGCTAAAGATGACCAGCAATTTGTGGGCCAACTGAGGCTACATTTTTTGAGAAATCCACAAGTGGGTGCCGTTCAACACCTGAAGTTGCGATGGCTTGGTGGCCCCAAGAAAGACCAACTCAGCTGCGAAATCCCCGAACTAAATAGAGTCATAGAGGGTCTAATCGGAAAATCCGTCATAAATGGTGGATTTTCCAGTGCCATGTTTGCCGGAGACTGGCTGAATCCTCTTGGTGATTTTGCGCTCGGTTCCCAGGACGCAGCGGACAGTGCTGGGCAAACAGATGCCTTTAGTTACAAGGTGTGCGGCGAACATTTCACCAAAATGCTGGCCACGGAAAGGGGAAACATCCCGAAATAGTTTTACCCTCTGAGAATCTCAGAATTTGCTATGGACTCATGTTTTTTTATGTCAAATACCAACCGTTTTGGTGTGTGACACCCAAATGTGCCTTCATCCAATTCTGGGAGTGAGGACCAAGAACCAAGAGCCATCGAACATTTGGTCAATTGCAGGTCATACCCTCTGGTAATTTAACATAGCTATTGAAAATTGCCATTTATAGTGGATTTACCCATTAAAAATGGTGATTTTCAATAGCTACGTTAAATTACCAGAGGGTAATTCCAAAATAGGGTTGAACATGACAATTATTGACAAATCCACCAAAAACCCAAGGCGCAAGGAGCAACGTGATTGAAACCTAAGTCAGAGTTCACTCGTTTTCATCCACACTCAAGCCAGGGTTTCATTGATCGCTTTGGCGGTTTGTTACCCAGTGAACCAAAGATTGGATCCCATGGACCGTAGAAAAAACTCCCCAGCGATTCTAAGGCGGTTGAGATGAAAATGCCGGCGCTGGGACTTGAGATGCCATCCAGCGTGTTTCTGCGGTGAGGGAAAGTAACACCCAGAAAAACTCGGAGAAATGAAGATTTTGGATGATTTTGGATGATCTTGGATGATCTTAGATGATTTTGGATGATTTGGGATATTTCGATAGGATTCGTTCACTTCATTCCTGATCTGTTTTTGGCGCTGTTTGACTTGTACAGTTCTCGGTGAATTTGAGAAAATGACCTCGTCCGTCGAGTCAATGGGATGATTCGGATGATCTCCAAATTGTCAACGATCTCACTGGAATAGCTCACTATAATCATGGTTAGCAAGGGGAAACATCCCCAAGATAGCTGAACTTTTCAGGTTAGTGAATTATGATAATTTATCCATCATTTTATCACATGTTGCTGATGATTGTTGTGGTTATTGTAAGTTATCATTATTTTAAAATTGATCTGGTTGATGCTCATTGTCATCATTATTGGTTTTATCATTCATATGATTATTGCGACTATGGTTGGGTTATTGAAATTATTATCATGTTTGTTGTTACATATGAATATATATATATGACAATTATCGTTATTATCTTTGTTACCATCATATTATATAGATGTATATAATATATGTTCTGTATGTTTGCTACCAAGATCCCTGCAAGCTACTTGAGCTCTCACAGTAGGGGCCTCAGTAGGGCCAGTCCATGTGTACATAGACATCTCGGAAAAACTCTGAGACTTCGAAGTGTCATGGGAATCATGGTTGGTTCCACCAAGAAGATGTTGATGGTCATGGTGAATGGAGGGTCAACCATGAACTCTGTAAGCGTATTTTCAACAGAAACTGTGCAACTGTACCATGAAAAAAACTGAAAAAATGTGAAAAATGGCGGGTTCATGATGATCAACAGCTGAAATAGGTTTTCTGCTGGGTTTTTGATGGATTGTTCATGGGTTTATGATGGCTACACCCCTCAAACTCAATGGCAAGTTCCGATTAATCCACTCCTGGGCTTGGGTTGTTTAATTAAGGGTACCACTTTAGTAGCAGGTGAGAAGTATGTGAGGGTAACCACCGAATTATATAATCAACCAGGGGTCTATCGATATCCAGGGTTGACAGTCTGGAAGCAGGTGGCACTGTCGAGTCCCATGTGATTTTTTGGAATGATACGGGCGTGTAACGGCGATGACAGGTGACGTCTTCTTAGGATATCCCACCTATCTCTGGAGTTGACTACCCGGATTCCCATGAGGGAACCTTGCACTGGTTTAGCCAGCAAGGCACATCCTGACTTTGCATCCTGACTAGGATGACACAGATTTGAGTGTGGATTGAAATTGGGGACCAGCAAACACCACCAAAATCATCCAAAATCGTTGCTACATAGCAAGCTAAGCACATGAGAGATGAGGTCCCCAATTTCTGGAGCTTCCCGTGTTTGAAGGCACGAGTTCGCAAGGATCAGTGGCACCCCTGGTCTGATACCACACTTTTACAGGTGACAATGGCGTTACCCATCGCCAACATGTTTGAAGCTCAGCCACCAACTTGTAAACCACCATGGAAAATCCCAACTTTCATTGAGATCTATGCCAATTCTGGGTAATGGGTACCCCAGAGAAATAAGGCCTAGATGCGTTCTCAAACCCATCTTCTCCGACCAACATGGAGCCGCCCAAAAAGGGCGAGATGACCAAATCGCCAACGAATCGCCAAGCCGAAAAAGCGGGAAGCAGGGCCGAGCAGCTGGTAAATCGAGGTAATACCCATCCCATCTCCCCTGCGTAGCTTTGAGTGGCAATATGTGGAATCGTGACATCAATCGTTGAATGTGTCAGTAAACTGCAACTGTTATACCCTCTGGTAAACTAACATAGCTATGGAAAATCACCATTTTCAATGGGAAAATCAACTATAAATGGCCATTTTCAATAGCTATGTTAAATTACCAGAGGGTATAACAGTTTCAGGTGACTGAAAAATGGGAACTCACTCCATCAAAAGCCTGTCCTTTTAGGTGCAACTGGAAAGCACAGGAGCGGTTGGAGCGGTTGGGGCGGACCCGGCGTGCAACAAAAATCTCCAAATTTGGAGTACCCTCTGGTAATTTAACAGTTTGCTATTGAAAATGGCCATTTATAGTAGATTTACCCATTAAAAATGGTGATTTTCCATAGTTATGTTAGTTTACCAGAGGGTACATTCCAAGAAACCATCCCGTTGTGTTTAACGGCATGAAACTGGAAAAGTACATAAAATAAGCCATTGAAACCTGGTTGGTGGTTTGGAACATTGTTTATTTTCCCATATATTGAGAATAATCATCCCAACTGACTAATATTTTTCAGAGGGGTTGAAACCACCAACCAGAAACTGATGATATGGCTGGCTGGTGGTTTCAAAGATGTTTTAGATTGGCGCACTTCTGGAAAAGGAAGGATGCCAGAGGGCCCCCCGCTTTCTAACTATCTAACCCCTTTGTCATCTGTAAGATACCCAGGTGGCTAAGTAAAAATTGTGGTTTTACGGCTAGTCATGTTTGATTGCCCAATCTCCTGCCAGTAATTTAACATAGCTATGGAACATCACCATATGTTATAGGTGAATCCATGTAAATTATCTATACATAGGCCTTTTTCCATAGCTATGTTGAATTGCCGGAGGATATTCTTGGTATCCTTTTTCCATAGCGTTTGCCCCGCCACACTTGCTACACTTTCACAGGGCACAGGACAAGAACAGAACGGAACAGAATGGTTTGTCACCCCATAGCAGCCATAGCAACCACTACTGGCCAAAAAGAAGTTACCCTCTGGTCATCAAACATTGCAATTGAAAATCTTATGGTACGGGAATATCATCGAACTGACGGATTGTCTGGCAAGCGAGCTGGCTGACGCTAAATCACCATCAAATCACCATTAAATCATCAATTGTACTTGGTGGTTCATCCCACTTAGTAAGTAGGTTATAACGCTAGCTATAAATGGGCTAAGTAGGGTTAGTCCACGTATAACCGGGCGGAAAAAAGCCACTTACTGGGATGAACCAACCCTTTGACCCAGCCTCCAGTTCCAACTTCCGATGTCCTGCCGTGAGGACAGAGCAAACTGCAGCGGCTCTCAATCGATTGATGTACCATCGGGACCTTACCCCAAAGTTCTTGGCTGTAGAGTTCATGGAAAAATGTGGATATATATATATATATATATATTATATATATATTAATGTATAATATATATATATATATATTTTAATGTATATATACACGCCATTGGCTGGTTTCTTCATTGAAATGATCAGCAAAACACGCTAACACGCTTTTTGTGTTTCCAAACGATGCCGGCTACGCGGCTGCGCTTTGAACGTCTGTGTAGTTCGGCCGCTTCAGCGGGATGCTGCAGACGGCCCAAGATGGGTGTCCTCGTACAACGAACCACGAGCAGACGGGAAGTTCGCAGCGTTTGCAGCGTTAGTGCCCGCATGGAACTTGACGCAGCGACAAGCTGCTGTCGAGTTGGACAGGGCGATGCAACTTTTCCTTGCAGACGCTGAAGTCAGTCATGGTTAAGAAAGTACTTGAGAACAAAATAGGCAAAATAAAGCAGGTGAAACATGGTGAAACTGTGAAACACCCTTTATTTACCATTTTTTACCAAAGCTGTGCGAACGAAAAACTAACTGTTGGCTTGAAGACAAGACCCACAGCTTTCAGCAAAGGTGGCTGCTAGCGATTGCAATTTGCTAAATGAAAGTAATTTAGGCCTGGTGCCACGGTCCAGATGGCACCCGTACCATCAGAACAGGGTCGACGCGCGTGCAAGAAACGAAAAAAACACACGTGCTTGGAGTGATTCTGCTTCCAATCGTTTCCAACAGGATGTGCCAAATCAACTCAAATCAAATCAAGTGAATTATCCTTCATTTTTTTTTTGGATGAAAACTGTGCGAGTTTAGCCATATTTGGCAAGATGCCTCTAAATTCCTGTGGCAAATCTCAGATTTTTTGAGCAGAACCACAGGTCTCGGCTCAGCCGCGCTCCGCCGCATGCCACTGGCGGCGGGCCATGTGTGGTGAGTGTCCAGCACATGATGTGATGCCAGAAGCCGCTGTGAAGGATGGGCAAGGCACGGCACGCTGTATCAGCTACCAAGAGACCAGCGGTGACCACTCTAAGACAAGACAGTGGTGATCGGATAATCCGGGACAATAAGAGACAAACTTACTGGTGCTTAGCAGGGAATCTTCGGGAATGATCCACTGGCTAACTATGAATAATCATCCCAGCAACCCCCAGCAACCCATCCATTCCCTACGTTTAACCAGTAAGCAAAACTACAGCAATGAGGGCTGCCCCAGCATGGGTCCATTTGGTCCACAAGGCTGGTGCCATGGTGCCCCCTATGGTGGTGATTGCTATGGGGTACCACCACGCGATATTTTCAGAACCATATTTATCACTTGAAATCAGTAAGGCGTTTCTTGAAGTAGACACGCGTATGCCTCTTTGAGGTCAATAATCGTAAGCCGTTGAAATGAACCCAAGGGTACCCTGCACCTATAGTATGTAGTACTACGACATAGTAACCTTCGTCAGGGTGAAATCATGGTTGCCAACTCATTTTCGGATTTTTCTTCATCAGTAGCATGTAAGATTAACTTGAAAGCTCGCCATCATTTGTTTACAATTGACATGGAGGTTTCCGCTTTCCTAAGTCATGGGGGTACCTCCAAATCATCCAGTCGTCATTAGGTCATGATCCAGGTCACGCCGGGTCATGGTGGCAGTTTTTTCGCATTTGCCACAGGTGCTCTCGAACCTACCGTTACCGAAAACCTGTCGCTTGCCCAGAATTGGGAGAGGCTTATTATGACCAGTGAACAACCGAGGATTTCAAACATGGACCTCATTGACTCACTAAAAATGCGGGTTTTCAACGAGCAAGTGAACTTGAAGCCAAAAAGACCAATGACTGTGGGGAATTGGGTCAAGTTCGAGACCAACGCAGTGTAAAACCAGAAATAACCCATGAAAACCAGGACTAGCTGACTAGCTGCCTTGATGCTTGTGAGCGCTACTAGAAACCATCCTCGGACTGCTGATCATTGGCGGGAAATTTTTAGCCGGAAAACCCCATATTTCATGATACTCTCTGGTTATGTCAAAATAGCTATTGAAAATGATCATTTATCGTTGATTTACCCATTATAAATGGTGATTTTCTATAGTTTTTTGTATGTTTACCAGAGGGTAACATGTAAAAATCCAGGGGGTTCCTCGATTTTCCCAACAATCCAACGAGCTGAGGCAAGCCCTACAGTGTCCCATTACTCGCGAGTTCATCGCTGACCCTGTGCTGGCTGGTGATGGATACACCTACGAGCGGCAGAGCATCCAGCAACACTGGGCTAATCAACTTGAAGGCCCAAAATCCATGGCATTTCCCGGGAGGCATTTTGGGGGAAATCGTGAAGACATCATGGGTTTTTTTACCATATACCCTCTGGTAAATTAACTTGTTGACCCTGAAAATGAGCAATTTATAGTGGAAACTCGTCTTCCAACCCCGACAACTGGCAGGGTCTATGTTAATATACTGTAGGCTAAAACAACTTGTATAGTAATAACATATTAGGATATACATAGATAACTATCATGTGGCTGGGAAATTCTGATTGTAGCTCTATCTTGCCATAAAAAATGCATTGCTCCTTGGCTCTCTCTCCTATCCACTGGATAGATAACGACGGTTGATGATGACAACGATGATTCTACTGATGAAGTGTTTGGTATTAAGTTGTTTCTTGATCTTGATGATGATGATGATGATGATGCTTTATGAAAATGTGTATGATCTATAAAGATTGCATTGGTGATGATGCAAAAGCGGGAGGGTAGGCTTTGGGACAAGTTTTGCAGAACCAGAATCTCAACGACACATCTCAAGGCAATAGTTCCATATGTGTTGTTACCTGGCAAGTTAATCGCTGTGTTATCCCATACTATCCCATTGTTACCCTCTGACAATTTAAGATAGCTATGGTATAGATGGCCCATGTAACAGTGTACTTCGATGACTTACCTATTCAAAATGCTGATTTTCCCTCTGGAAAATGACCAGAAGACAAAATCCTATCCAAGTATATACCAATTCTATCCCCAACAATCCCATTGTTGTTGGTGAAACCGATTAGACCTACCATTTTTCGCTCCTCCATCGACTTTCCTTCTCGACTTGGCCGTGGCGCCGTGGCGCAGGACGTCTCAGCGTCAACGATGAGGCCGACTGCGGCGCGCGGACGGAGCTCCATGTGCGGACCAGCCCCATCACTGGCGAAGAGCTGGCGGCTTGGTAACCCGTAGAATCTGTTGCATGGGCTCAGGATGTTGAAATCTGTTAAGGTTATGTTCCACATTGTTTAAGACTGTATACACTTGTAGGTTCTTTGCCACTTATCGACTACACCTTTAGCGGATCTAACTTCAAAAATTGCGTGAGTGCGTGTTACGATACCTGGGCTTGCTTGAGGCGCTCATTTTCCCAATTAGAAATTCGCCATTTGAGAAATCTATGGGATAGTGGGGGGTGATTTTTGGCAATGCTAAGAGTATCCAAGGTGTCAACCCTTGGTATCCACTGTAGAGGATTTATAACGGTGCATGTAGATGTGATAGATACAAAGACCTTATACAATATAAACCGATGCCCACACACACATGTATTTATATATATATATAATGAGAGAGTTTCTGTAGCCATTTTGGCTCAAGCATTTGATTCAAGCCTGCGACACTTAATGGCCATGGTGTTAAGGAACAGTGGACAACGTTCTCTGCCAACACCAAGAGGCGGTGGAGATCAACGTTTCGAAAGGAGTCGGAGGCGGCTGGGGCTGCGCGCCTCCTGGCCGCCAGTGATGCGGCGCAGGATGTCCGCACGAGCAGCTTGTGGTGGCTGCGCCCGGATGTCACGGCGCAGCTGGCCAAGGAGGGTTGACCCTCAACCTCGATCCTGGGAAAATCGAGGTGAAGGAGCATCACAATGCAGGAAGGACCTTTTTGTGAAGGACAACCATCCGACTGTCATTTCGGTTGCCACTGAGACGCACGTGCTCTCTGTGCGAGTGGTTGCTTCCTATCGGCACCTAGGAGTGAAGTTCGCCGTGAACCTCGACATCGACAAGGAGGTCCAAGCGAGACCTGGAGCTGCCAGACAAGCCTTCGAGCAAATGAAGAAACCCATTTTTCTGAACCGTGCCCTGCCAGTATCTGGACGAATTGCGTTTTTTCAAAGCCTTATTCTTTCCCGATTGCTTTATGGGAGCGCGATATTGTCAGAACATGTCAGAACTATCGGCAGCTTCATTCCGACAGCTCGAAACAATGGTTGTTGACTGCTACAGGAGGATTTGAAATATTGGGTATTGGTCTAAAACAAAGATGTCCGACAAGGACTTTCTATCCAGCCAAGGCCTTGTCCCATTTCGCATTTTTCTTGCTCGTCACAGACTTGGTTATCTTAAACATCTTGCCAAGCATGGCCTGACATGTCACAAGGCTTTCCCTGTAGCAGAACTGCAGACAGGTAGAGGATGGCAGACGGAGCTTCTACAAGATCTGAAGCGGGTGTCGACTTTCAAAGAATTGTCATGCGAGATGCTAAGCCATCGCGCCACGTGGATTGCTGTTTGGCAAGACCTACGTCAATGCCACTCTTGGAAGCGAACTATCCAACGAGCCCTACAGCATTGCACAGCAACGTATTGCCTATCACATTCGTTTCTCCCACCACAACATGGTATGTGAGCTAGAGCCGTTTGGAATGCGACTTTTACAATCTGGAGACACGCACAGCATTGGCAACCAGCAGTAGTACGTCTGTCATCCGTGTAATGCAGCATTTTCATCGCCACAGCAGCTCGCAGTACATTCCTTCAAGATGCATGGGAAGCGGGCAATTGAAAGCTACTACATGCAGTCGGAGGTTTGCCCCGGTTGCTCGAAGACCTTTCACACTACATTCAGGGTTGTGCAACATTTGCGCTACCGAGCCAACAAATGCTGGGAGCGCATTTGTGGAGCACGTGTCCCTGGCGAACCAGTTTGTTTTCAGCTACCTCCTCATCTCGCAGGTGTACATCAACTTCCGACTCTACGACAAAACCACGGGCCTTTAAGGCCAACTGCCCACCCCCGTGACCGTCAACGAGTTCGAACCTCTATAGCTGAGTTGCGTGAAAAGGCTGAACCAGACTATGCATGGTGGGATCCGTCTACCAATCCAGAGTTGACCTTTTCGGCAGTTTGTACACTGCCTTGAGCAATGGTGCGCTAAAGATGACCCGACTCAGGAAACCTTTCACAACCGCTTTTTCAACCTTTTCTTCAGCGCTAGAATTCTTATCCACTGGATCGAGAAGGACTTCTTATTAGGTCAGCGAGCGCTGCGCAGCTACTGATGTCTGGGGCACCTTGGAGCAGGCGCATTTTTCTTTCCTTGCGGATATACATATGTGGAACTTTCGCACACGGATGAGTCAACTGAAAAAACCGCCGTGGGAGTGCTCCGCGACCACAACTACCCAGTGGCAATGTGCGACAGGCACGATCCCACCCCATTAATTCGGACGTGGATGTCGCATGATGGTTCGTCCTCGACGAGTTCCAGCCCCTGAGCAGGGTCCTTACTATGTCGTGCACCTATATGCGGGTCAGCGGGTCGACAACGACTTTCATGCCCATATGCAGCGCCTATTGGGCTCGAGCACATTTTCGTGAGATTCATCCATTTACGTGCTGTCAGTTGACACAGCCATCGACGAGGGCTCATGAACGTGCACTCTGAGCAGCTATGGAACTTCCTCCTCACGGCTGCAAGAAGTGGGAAGATTCTTGCTATGCTCCTTGGGCCTCCTTGTGAGACTTGGTCCAGCGCCCGCTTCGAGCAGCAACTGGATGAAAATGGGAGGCCCATTAGAGGACCGCGGCCGCTTAGGGGGACAACTGGAATGCTGGGGAGTACCTGGCCTGACGCTGGTGGAACTTCGCAGCTGTCAGTTGGCAATTGTTTGCTGCTGAGGGAATTTTGGCTTTGCATCCCGGTTGCCCTTTGCGGTGGATCCGTGATTTTGGAGCACCCGGCCCTACCTTTGCAAAAAGAACGACCGTGGCAAATGATCATGTTCTGTTTAGGCGCCGCACATTGCGCCAATGGCTCTATGGTGACTCTAGGTCTAGGTGTTAAGCCTACAAACTTGCTGTATGCCAACAACCAGACCCCCCACTCTCTCGATCAATTTGCGATGCCGCAGCTGCCGAGACCTGAGGGAGCCCTGATCGGACGTGCAAGTGACAAGAACGGCCATTTCAGAACGGCACAGGCTAAGGAACACATACCCTAGCCATCTTTGTGCTTGTTTTGCGCACGCAGTGTGGCAGCGAATTCAGCAGCTTCCACAGAGGCGCGAGCTGGCTGGCTTGCTGCGAAATTGGCTGCCCTGCCTGGTTGGGTAGATCCCGCCAAAGACATGAAGCCGGACTACCAACCACGCAACTGACCGGTTGGTGAATTCAACCGCCTGCCCGCCGCGAGATCATCTCAAAAGGCCCAGCAAAAAATAAATTCAGGTGCTATCCCCAACAGCTTGAAAGCTTCGGCGTTTTTGCCATAAAAAGTGCTTATGCCATAAAGTTTAAGCGCTTATGCCATTAAAAAAAATTAAGTGCTTATGCCATGGAAAAAAAAAACGGCGGAACCCCTTGGAATTTCACAAAGCATCTGCAGCGGAAACTTCCGGAACTCACAAGGTGCACCGGAACCTTCCGGAGCCTCAGCAGGTATCTTCACCGGAACCCTCCGGAACTTCACGAGGAATCTGCAACGGAACCCTCCAGAATCTCACGAGGTATCTGCACCAGAACCCTCCGGAACCTTGTCCGGAACCTGGTGTTGAAGCTGCACCGGATCGCACCGGAGCTAATCTGGGCTAAAGACCCCATAGCGAAGTTTTGCTGTTCGGGAAAAATGATAGAGAGTGAGAGAGAAATAAAATAGATACACAGGTACGTTGGCACGTTAACTAACTAGCTGCCTGATGTTTTGATACATTGATCCCACATGCTTTTGCCCTACAGTAAAAACTGGGTGACTCCCAGGATGGAACCCTCCGTGTGAATCGATGCTTGGCGGATTGTGCATGCGAGAACCACTGAGGGCCCTGGTCCCGCAAGGGTTCGACATCAGAAGCCAACCCGAATAAATAGATGGATAGAATAAAAATCTGCAACCACTACAAATATTGTACATAAGTCCACGTTCTTCATTTCTATTTCTAGCTATGCATGTATTCATTTATTTGTGTGTGTGTTTATATACGGAAATGCTATGGGTTCGTTTGTAGATGGGGCAAATCAAGCCAAGGGTAGTACAAAGAAACCCTCAGTCACCATCTAACCGTTGAAATTGATAAGATTATCACGTTTCCGGTGCTATGTATAGAGGTGATTAGCATGTCGTGCGTTGCCCTTCTCTTTTTGCGGAGTTGCTCACTATGCTTGGAGAAAGCACATCCATAACTCCCTACCTAAAATTTACGTGTGCGCCGCCGGTACCCTGTAGGTGCCCATATATCATTGCGATGTTCAAGTGCATTTCATGCTCGGAGCTCTATCCAAAATCCATTCCCGTAAATCCCTGGTTTCCTCTAGGTGTTCATCGATTTTTCCTTCGATTTTTCCTTATCAATCCCATGGTTTCACCAGGATTGGTCCTGGATTTGATTCGATCAGCGATCCAAGAAGGGCGCCTCTCAACAGAGGCGCGAGAGGATTGGGAACGCAGGCGCGGCACGGAAGGGGCTGGGAGGAGAGTTTTCATGGCATTTTTCAGTGGGGTTCTCAAGGATTTCACGGGATTTAATGGTGATTTAATGGTGATAAATGGGGATTAAATTGTTTTTATGTCATCAATGGTGATTGAATCTTCAACCAAAGGTGAAACATGAAATTTTGGCAAGGGATTTAATCGAAGGTGATTGGGTGCTGGATTTTCTTGGTTTGGAGCTCTGAAAATCTCATGAATTTGGAGAAATGGATTTGTGCGTCACTAAACAAAAGGATTTTGATATGGGATTGAAGCTGACATCATCTACAAAGTTTTCCTAATATGCCATTGCCTCGAAGCAAATATGGCAAGACTGGTTTTTCCACGTTGTAGATTTGAATGTGCTGGGCATCTACAAAGGCTTGGCTGGGTGTGGTGTCTTGAAAAGTTCAATCCTCCTGCACCCAACCACATGCTGAAGCCAACGATGTGCCTTGTTGGTTGCACCCACCTTCTTCGCTGTTGTCTTTTCAGTTGTTGATGAAACACGTGTTTTTCTCAGTTCATCTCCCGATTTTGGGAGATGGTTGGGTGCTTAGATGGTGGCTTACCATGTTTCGCGGCGGGGGGCGTCACGTGCTTACCATGTTCCGTCCAGAAATGGCGATCCAAACATCCAAACTGATTTCATATGTTGTTGAAGGTTCCCAAAGGACTTTCAGCCAGGATCTGGATTTGTCATGTGCCCAGATTTTATTGCGTTTATTGCTGGTGATTAGAGGTTGTCCTATCTATATGGTCATATCCCACAGCAAGTGCTTCAAAATCATGGTTAGTAAGTCTCCTAAGCGGAGTTTTAAACATGATACATTATAGGTATACATGTAAATATAAGATATATTTATTTATGCGTTGTGTATTTCTACATATGTGTATATATATATAAATATATGTGTGTGTGATTGCGTATATCTAAATTATATTTATGTGTGTTTGTATTTATATATCTTTACCTATATCCATATATAAATATACCCATAGGATCCATGTCTGCTATATATGGTAACATTTACCATCCATATACCCCCAATGTTAGCATATATACCATACATGGATCCTATGGGATATATATATATATATACACATATCGCGGGTGCACTAACTATGCTCATTCGCCACGCTTCAGGCGTCGGGAGGTGGAGCTCTCACAGCGACGTGCTTCCTCGAGGCCCGAGGCGGAGGCGCATCAAAGATTGAGGGTTGGTCAAATTTATGGTTAGTCATGGTTGATACCCTCTGGTAATTTAACATAGCTATTGAACATGGCCATTTATAGTGGATTTCCCCATTAAAAAAAAAGAGATTTTCCATAGCTATGTTAAATTACCAGAGGGTAAATACTAGGTCAATCTTACATGGATACTTTAGTCCGCTATAGTCTGTTGGTATTAATGGGAATATCTACTAACCAGCAAAGACTGATATCATTAGTGCTGACATAATGGTTAATATAGTTGAATATTGTGGAGTAAACACACTTACATATACTGAGTTCTAGCCATCATAGGACTAACAATGGACTAACAATGGGGTTAATAGGTGAATCAAAGGTGAATAATGGTTAATAACCAATCTTTGGTGACCAACCATGCACCAAAGGTGAATAATTGATCCATGGTTGATATATAATGAGGTCTAGTTGATATCATTAGTGCTGACATAACATAATGGTTAATATAGCGGTTAATATAATGTAGATGGTGAATAATGGTTGATAGTTCATGGTTCGTATCATGGTAGATACAACCTAATGATGGTCTGTATCATGGTTTTAACCATCTATATGGTGGAGAAAAGAACCATGATTATTCTGTTGGTTTCTATCATTGTCAATAGAACTGTTAAATTCATGGCTAATACAACCTAATTATGGTTAATATTATTAATATCATTAATTTCACAATGGGCTAAATGGTTTACTTATTATAATGCTAATACGATGGATAACGGTGTTTTTGCCATCAAAGGTGAATACAGGTTCATGTAATGATTAATTGTACTATCTAGAATGGTTATGTTATATGTATATATTTATTTGTATATTAACCATCCATGGCTCAAAGATTGGAATATAGTAGAATAGACGACTACCTGCAGATAAAGGGTAGGATCATCATCAATAGTCATGAATCATCATCTATATTCATTTCGTATTGTTTCAGGTGAATACCCCCCTGAAGTAATCATCGAACTAGTTATCAACCAACAAGGGGGTTGAACACCTGTCAAGTATTGCTTGATAATTCACTTATGTCTTATTGAACCACCAAAAGTTTGTGTTAATCCACTAAAATTGAAGTTTTGGCTGCTCAGTAAATGTTAATTTCCCAGCTATAGCTTAGACATAGCTTCCACCGACCAAAAGTTGGCAATGATGTTTGATAGAGGACCCTTACTAGGCCATTGTCAGTGGGCAAATTTCTGTGTCCAAGGTATGGAATAGAGAAATTATGCGAAATATGGCTGGTTCATGGGTATAGCTTGGGATAGTCACGAAGCTTTGGCACCCAGCTGCAAACATGAGCCTCAGAAGTAATAAAAAAAGGGGGAGATAGTTGGCCTAGACGGCGATCAAGCAGAACATGTAGTGAGATATGTGGAGAGAACTTGCATCACTGCAAAGTCCAATATTTATTTCAGATGTTTCTCAGAAGCACTGACACAGAGCCCGAAGAAATTGTTCGTGGTACTGCGACGCATTCGGGCTGCCTCGAACCATTCGGCCTTGCCATAGGATACAATGTCTTAACAATCAGATTGCTATCCAAAGTCTGATTTGGGTGCCTGGTAGTGATGGCCACCCCAAGAATCTTCATATACTGCTTCAAAAATGTGGGCTTATACATACATTGAATACATACCAGGTACAGCCCACTCATTTCAAATGGCTGATGATATGTAGATTGGCATTCCGCTGATCTTCTTTTAACAGATGCAAAAATTGGTGTATATCTGTATACATATGTACAAGCAAATAAGCAATTATTTGAGTACTAAGTTTCCGCCCAATCACTTTTGGATGATGAAAAGGACCAAATTTGTTCACAAGATGAGGCCCCACCAGCTATCAGTTGGTTTATAGGCCCGATTAACTAGAGTTATATCCCTCATAAAACTAAATGTCAACCAAGAAATGTGCGCCAACTTAGCTATTAAATCAGTTTTAAATCCCATGGGGATCCACATTTTTCTACGGTTTAAATCGCAACCTTCCTATAGTTTTCCTTTGGCCTTCCATTTTTCCTATGGTTGAGCTGACCAGGTGCCAGCTGAAGTAGGAGAAATAGCACAGCTAAGCGCCATCGCCTCGGCCCCACCCTACGAACGACACCTGGATGACATGGAGGGTGAGTGAGCAGTGCTGGCAGTGAAATTGAGGTAATTTCTTTGGGTATAACTATGCTTATTAAGTTGGGATATAACAATATTTCACCCCTAAAACTATCGTATACAGCCCGAGAGTTGGTTAAGAATCCGAAAGCTTGAGGCCCAGGGTCCCTCAAATTCTTATTGTTTAATGCAGGCAAATTTCCATCATAACAGGTCGAGGGTCCCTCAAATTCTTAGAGCATTCTTAGTTATGTATTGCATGCATCTGCGCAATTTGGAGCGAGCTTCAACGAGGTAACGAGGTGGAGTTGGCAGATTTGACAAGAGGCATGCGAAAAAATATATTCTTAAAGCCTGACACATTGTTTTTTGCAAAGCCGGGCTTGTCTGAGTTTCATGAGAGCAGCGCGGAAAAAAAAACATTTTTTTAGAGCCTGAAAAATTGTTTTTTGCAAAGCCGGGCTTGTCTGAGCTTCATGAGAGCAGTGCGGAAAAAAATACACTAGCTGCCATAAAGGTGGGGTGGGTACGGTGGGTGGGGCGGTTGGGTCGGGTGGTTGGAGGAGGTGAACGGTTTCCGGAAGTTTCTTGGCTATTCTAGCTATTGTTGATGGCCTTGTTTTTGGCAAACCTGCCAAAGACCGCGTAGCTCAGTCGGCAGAGCGTTAGGCTAAGGTGTCGGGATCGCGGGCAGTCCAAGCATGTACGAAAAATACAATTTTTCGGTTCTTCCAGTTTTTGGGGAAAGCAATGTTTCAGGTCCCCAAGTCTATCCACATATAGATTTTGCGTGGGTTGGAAGCAGTCCAAGCGCGGAAAAAAACAATTTTTCGGAGCTTGAAAAAGTGTTTTTCTGCAAAGCTTCAGTTTTCTTCCAGTTATTGGGGAAAACAATGTTTCAGGTCCCCAAGTCTATCCACATATAGATTTTGCGTGGATTGGAAGCAGTCCAAGCATGTGCGGAAAAAAACAATTTTTCGGAGCTTGACAAATTGTTTTTCTGCAAAGCCCGAACTCATCCCATAAGACCATAAGGGGTCACACCACAAAAAAATAAACCGCAAAAGGGAATTGCAAACTTCACGTATAAGCAGTAATTTAAGAATTTGGCAATCTTATCCCAGGCCAGGGACCCACAAATTCTCAAAGTACTATGTGCTTGGTATAGCTGAAAATATGTAGCCCGCCTTGAGTTCGAGCCCCTGAAATTCTTATACAGTGAATTCTTGTACAATACTCAAGCTGTACGATATATATATATATATATTTCCACATTGCTACTGGAACCGCGCTTCCAAGTAACAAGTGTACATGTATGGTACTTGATGGTCAAGAATGCTTAGTGTGGGAACGCAATGCCTTAAACCTACCATTTGGGATGGTTTCTACCACCAATTTTTGGTGATTTGAAGCTTGGTTTATTTTTGGGTCTACCGCATTAATGATGGCCCTATGGTTGTTTTATTGATGCTGGTTTGTTACCGTTGGCGAATGTAGTGTGACGACTGACATTGACATTTAAGATATCAAAAAAAACAGTTGTTCAAGGGCTAACTACAAACCACCAACCATTCTGCTTCATTGATGGAAGATCGGAGCCTTAATCCAAGGAAGTGTGATATCAAGCCTTCACAATTTTGCACGACAAATGCCCCATTCTACTTCCAATTTCTGCTGGTTCAATGGATACAATCACCATGTTTTCCTCTCTATTTTCCATGTCAAATTTCTCCCTATATTACCCATTATAGTCAGATCTGCAAGTTTTAGTCCCAAAAAAATGTCCTTCTAATATATCCCTATGATATCCCAATAATATATCATTCTTTTACAAGTTATAATCCCTATGTCCACTATATACCCTTATAGGATACTATAAAACATAGATATGGAAAATCACTAGTTTAATAGGCAAATCAACGCACTCAATGGACAATTTTCCATTGCAAAACGCTAAATTAGACCGAAGAGTATAAAGATATATTTTGGGGACATTATGGATTATAACTTGCAGATTCCTGTAATATGTCCCAGAATATTTCCATCATACCCCTATAATAAATATATATATATGCGTGTGTATGTGTGTAATGTATGTATGTAATGTAATGTAACGCAATGCAATGCAATGTAATGTAATGTAATGTACTGTAATGTAACGTAATGTAATGTAATGTATGTATGCATGGATGCATGCATGCATGCATGTATGTATGTATGTTATGTTATGTAATGTAGTGTAATGTAATGCAATGTAATGTAATGTAACGTAATGTAATGTAACGTATGTAATGTATGTATGTCTGGCTGTCTGTATGTCTGTATGTATGTACGTATGTACGTATGTACGTCCGTACGTCCGTGCGTACATACATAAATATGTATGTATGTGTGTATGTGCATATGTATGTATGTATGTTTTGTCAAGTAATGAAATGTAGTGTAATTAATGTAATGTAATGTAATTTTATGTAATTTCATGTAATGCATGTATGTATGTAATGTATGTAATGTATGTAATGTATGTAATGTATGTAATGTGTTGTTATGTTATGTTATGTTGTGTTGTGTTGTGTTATGGTTTGTAATGTTTTATTTTGGTATGTTATGTATGTATGTATGTATGTATGGTATGTATGTATGGTATGTATGTATGGTATGTATGTATGGTATGTATGGTATGTATGTATGGTATGTATGTATGTATGTATGTTGGTATGTATGTATGTATGTATGTATGTATGTATGTATGTATGTATGTATGTATGTATGTATGTATGTATGTATGTATGTATGTATGTATGATGTATGCAATGTATGAATGTATGTAATGTATGTAATGTATGTAATGTATGTAATGTATGTAATGTATGTAATGTATGTAATGTATGTAATGTATGTAATGTATGGAATGTATGTAATGTATGTAATGTATGTAATGTATGTAATGTATGTAATGTATGTAATGTATGTAATGTATGTATTGTATGTATTGTATGTATTGTATGCATGTATGCATGTATGCATGTATGCATGTATGCATGTATGCATGTATGCATGTATGCATGTATGCATGTATGCATGTATGTAATGTATGTAATGTATGTAATGTATGTAATGTATGTAATGTATGTAATGTATGTAATGTACGTAATGTATGTGATGTATGTAATGTATGTAGTGTATGTAATGTATGTAATGTATGTAATGTATGTAATGTATGTAATGTATGTAATGTATGTAATGTATGTAATGTATGTAATGTATGTAATGTATGTAATGTATGTAATGTATGTAATGTATGTAATGTTTGTATGTATGTATGTAAGTATGTATGTAAGTAAGTAAGTAAGTCTGTATGTATGTATGTATGTATGTATGCATGGTAATGTAAGGTAATGTAATGCAATGCAATGCAATGCAATGATATGTATGTATGTATGTATGTATGCATGTATGCATGGTAATGTAATGTAATGTAATGCCATGCAATGCAAAGCAATGCAATGATATGTATGTATGTATGTATGTATGTATGTATGTATGTATGTATGTATGTATGTATGTATGTATGTGTGTAGCTGAAAGAACTCGAGGAAAACCACAGTGAATATTCCAACCATGTCGAAAGTGTTGCATGCCTGTTATGCCTTCTTATACCTTTTGGGTTGTTGAGCCATTTGGCTCCGCCCCAATGCATATGTTCCAAATGGAAATGCAGTGTTGAGGGTAATCGCAGAAGATTCGTTGAAGGTTGTCACCATCCCTTTCGATTCATGCATGTCTCAAGGGTAAAGTTCCCTTAGACCAGCCAGGGTTTCCAGCTCCGGTCCGGGTGAATAATCCGTTGATCGTTGATGTTTACTTTGGCTCAAGTCTTGCAAAAGGATCCTGCGTGATCATTGTTTTGCAGCCATAGGCTTGTGGCCACTGTTTTGCGTGGTTATCAGCCGTAGGTGGCTTTGATTTTTCTGGTCGAGTTTTTACAACAACATTCCTGCACCGGCAGGCAGTGGTATTTCTGACTGGCTTTGGGAACTTGTAGATTTCGGACGGGCGGGAAAGCGTGGACTTCAACAGAAGTGTGAGTTCATTCAGGTTGGTCTCAGGGAAGGTTTCTTGAGCAATCAATACCCGTTCGTGGTCGACGAGTCTTATCTCAACAATCACAAATCCGCAAAGGTTCGCACTTCAACTCTTGTTCGATACGAGGACGAAAATTTTTCTTCAGAACAAGTATCTAGAAGTCGCGGAGCTCCGAAAGCGAAGGTGGCACCGAGTTCATCTTCATCTCGAGTTGTGAGGGAGAATCTTGAGACGGAAAATCCGTACGTGAACTCTTCAGCTGCGAGTGCTAGCCGACCGGCGGGGGAATTTTCTTTCGAAGGGGTTACATTTACAGTTTTTGAGGCGGCGGGTGTTTCAGGAGGATCTTCAAGCTCATCGGGAGCGGTGGCGGTTCCGGAGCCAAAGGCAGCTCCGCTGAGGAGGGAACTTCAATTGACGTATCGCCCTTGTTATCCTTCGCAACATTGCTATAGACCCTTTACTGACCGAGTGGAAAGGATCGAGCAAGTTGATTTAGTTGGTATCCGGGATAAAAGCATCGTCAAAGTTCTCTTTTTAGACTGGCATCAGGTGGTGGATCGTGGACGTGACGGTAAGACCGACACGCTGGGAAAGGTACCCACCTCGAACCTCAGGACCATCAGTAACATTATTGGGAAAGCCAATCAGAACTACGTTCAGTTGTTTGTCGGAATTCTCAGTTATATCGATACTGATCGGACCCGAGACAGAACCATCAATTACATCAGAGCAACTACTGGTTTTTCTTCATTAGTATCTTTTATCGTTATCTGCAGACGAGATGCTGTGGGTTGGGAAGGTAAATCGGCTATCATTTGCGATTTTTGTGCGCAGTGCACTTTGTCGGAACAGCAGATCCTTCTTGTAGACGATAAAGTCGAGGTGCTTGAGGAAGTCCAGAATTATTCGCCAGCTGTTTCAGTGATTCACGTGAAGCTTCCGCGGAAACCCTCCTTTGGAGGCCGTGCTCCGGCGGTTTCGTTCTTTGCTGAGTCCGAGCAGTTGATTGAAGACTGGCTGTTGAGGTGAAAAGTTATCCTTTACCGTTTGGGAGACGTTTGCCTAGCCATTTTCAAATCACAATGACGTCATTTGAACCAATAGTTTCGAGTGAGGATTTGGATTCATCGGAAACCGATAGGTCCAGGTCAATCCGTGGAACAACCACGGCCATGCAAGTTCGTACCGAACTAAACCAGTCACCACAGTTGTCAGAATCGATTTCCATGTCTACTCCAGATCCAAGGGTTCATCCGATTGAGAATCAAGTAAGTCCAGAGACTTTGACACAGTTTCTTAGAACTTCGTCTCAACCAGGGTCCCCATCAGTGCCGCCGAATCCATTCCAAGGTCCAGCATCCAGTGCACAGGGTTCGACATATGTAACACATTCCCAAACAAATGTTAAGAATGAGTTGCATGTTTCGATGGATCCCTTCATTCTTGCACAGGCCAGCCAAATGGTTGAACAATCTAGGCAAGAGTTGTTGCAAGAAGCATGTCAACATGTTGAGATTGAGAGGGATGCTACCAGGGCTGAAGCTAGGCTTGCTGTTGAGCAAATCCATTCAGAAGCTTCGAGGGTCGTCCATGAGTCGCAGTCACAGGTTGCCCAAACGCAAGTTGAAGCATCTCAAGTGATTCAGATGGCCTCCAATGAAGTTGAAATGATTAGGAGACAAGCTCGTGAAGAGACAGATCGTCTTAGGCATGAAGCCCAAACCCACATCTCAAACTTGGAAGGTAGGATGAGTGAATTGATGAGGATGAATGAATCCATGAGGGTCAAGGTAGAGGAGCAAAGGAGGATCATCGAAACTTTAACCGCTAGAGTGGATGATCAGAATCGAATAATGGCCAGAATGCAATCTGAAGCTATGAGATATACGCATGATGCCAACAATGGCGCGGAATTTGTCATTAGCACTCCAGTCCATCAGCACTCGGTCAACCCAACAGACACCGGTCCAGGGGTTAGTTCCAGTGTTCAATTGCCTTTGTTCTCGTATGCCCAGGATGCCGTTCCAGAGCGAGGCGCTGAGCCATTTGGCTCCGCTTCAGGGGTGTGGAAAGGGAGCCCAAAGGTAAAGGAATCCAGTTCCAAGCACTCAAAGGGAGTTCCTTCTCATGTTGGATCACAGTTGAACCAAATCAGGGAGATGATTCAGAATATCGAGCATTCGTTTGGGAAGCCATCATCTAAGCCTTCGTCCAAGAAAAGTTCATCATCATCTGAGTCCTCAAAGAGTTCCGACAAAGGTGGTGATCCAGGAGGTTCAGATAGAGGCAGTCCTAGTGTTCCAAAGGGGTCGTCTAGTTCTTCATCATCGTGAGATGAGAATGTTGATCCATATAAGCATGAAAAGATGACCATGAGAATTAAAGGATACGATTCCATGAAGTTCCCAAGTATTCCTAAAAATGCTGCCGAATCTAGGGGATATAGGAATAGCGTGTACTCAGCCATTTGCAAATTGTCCAAAAAGGATGAAGCAGAGGTCCTTCAGTGGGTTTCAGCATGTCATTCAGCATCTTCAACAGCCGAATTGCCGCCAGGTAAGTTTCCGGTTTTAGATAGGATGATTGGACATAAATTGCTTGAGGCTGCAAGGGGGACTAGGTTTTCACTTGAGTTTCAGACTCTTCAAGAAGCTTACCAGAAGAAAGGGAAGCAACCATTGGGTCGAGCTCTATTGTGGACAGTCCTCCAAAAGTACAAATTGGACAAGGATAGGGGTGCCGCATTGTCTCAACACCATCTTTTGGCTTTGAGGATTGAGGGAACCAACATCAAGTCTCTTGTTGAATTCAAGTCCAAGTTCGATTATTGTGTCGGGTCACTAGAGCAAACCGACATGCCAGCTGACTCAGCATTGCGTTCGCTTCTTTTCGAAAACCTGAAGGGCCATCCAAAGCTTGCACTCTCCATTGATAAGTTCAGGGAGGCAAAGTCAGGTTCGTCCAAAAGAACTTGGAAATGGTTGTACCAGAAAATGGAAGAAGCAATTGAGATTGAACAGCTTGATGAAAACACGGGACATGTTGAAAAGGCATTGCAATCGACTGGAGATCACAAGGTTCCAGCGAATCCTGCAAAGAAAGATGCCAAAGAAGAGAATCCCTCAAAGAATCCGAAGAAGGAGAAACAGCCTAAGTCAGAAGATACCAAAAAGACAGAGAAGAAAGAAAAGCAGAAGTCTGAAAAACAATCGAAAGAGGTTCCTGCTGCCCCTGGCAAAGGTGTAGGTAAGGGAAAAGGCAAGAAAGGAGATGCCAAACCCTCCAATCCTGGAAACCAAGGGGGCAAGGGTTCGGCACCAACGCTTTCTCGTGAAGAGAAATCCAAGCAGCCTTGCATGTATTTCGCATTTGATGCCTGTTCGAAGGGTGACAAGTGTCCGTATTTGCATGACAAGAATAACATGTACAAGGGTTCAAAGCCTAAGCCGTTAGAGAAAACAACATCGGCTGGTTCAGCAACAGTCCATGCAGGGGCAGCAAGATTGATTTCAGGTGCAGTTGCAGCTAGTTCTGTACTTAGGGCGGAAGGTGTGTCGAGCCATTCGGCTCCTCCCACAGAGGCCAGTGTCCAGTCCTGCGTTGCAAGCTCCGTCGTCGAGGCCTGCCGTACTTGGTGGAAGAGGGGATGCAAGTTTGCAAAGACTTTTTCAGTGAAGGGTACCGTCAAGAAACCTTTGAAGAAGTTCGGCCATCACCCCATGTTGTTGGAGAAAGCTTTCAAGTGTTTTGCTGCAATGGCCATGGTTTGCAATCCAGTTGGTGCTACCCATGAGTTCCTGATTGACTCAGGAGCAGGTAGGAATCTCATTTCCCAAAAGATGATGCCTGAAGAGTGGGGACACTTTCTTTCTGATGCACCAGAAAACCTCAAGTTCTCGACAGGTGCAGGGGTGAAATCATGTAGCAAAGCCCTCAAGCTTCGTGGAGAGATAATGGGGGATGGAATTTTCTATGCACTGAAGGATTGCCCGCCCGCAATTTCGCTGGGACAGCAAGTGATTGACCTCAAAAAGCCGTGGATCTGGTTGCCGGATGAATTGCCGTATTTCATCAAACCAGACAGGGTTAAAGATGTTAAGATAGAAGTCCCTGAAGATGCGAAAGTGCATGCGACAAGGGTGGTTGAATATGTCCCGATTCTTGAAGAGTATGTTGAATGTCTTGCTATGGTTGGTAAGATTGGAGATAAGCCTATTTCATCTGAACCAAGTGGTCCTTCAAGTTCGTCTAAAGATGTTCCTCAAGATGTTCTTGCTACCGATGCAGGTGTTGAGGATGACCCCAAAACCGTTTTGGAAAAATCTAGACCCAAAGAACTTGTAGGTGATGAGGGTGGTGATGATGGATGTTCTCCAACTTCTCCTGCTGAGACCCCAAAGGATATGCAGGTTGAAGGGGGCCCACCAGAGGGCGAATCTTCAGAGGATGAGGGTGTTGATGCTGCAAATAGACTGAATCACTCTTTGACTCATTACCCAAAAAGCAAGAGCTGTGAAATTTGTATGAGAGCAAAAATGACATCAAGATATCATCGTCGTAGGGGTGATCCCGATCCCAAAGAGGAACCGCCACAGCACTTTGGTCATCGCTTGAGAGCTGATCATATCATCGTTGGCAGTGACTTGTCAAAAGGGTCGGAGGGTGAGCAAGCTTGTCTAATTTGCTTGGATGAGTTTAGTGGGGCATACCAAGCGTTTCCTCAAACCTCACGATCAATCCCCAACAACGTAGCATGTTTGCGAAAGTTTGGTGGAGCTAAAGCTCACAAGAAAGCATTGTGCTCAGTCAAATCCGATTCGGCTTTGGAGCTCACGGAAGCCGTGAAAGAGCTTGGTTGGCTCCCTGAACCTGGTCTCCCAAATGACCCTTTCCATAATGCAAAGTTGGAAAGTGGTATTCGGAGAATCAAGGAAGGGACAAGAGCCATTCACTTAGCTGCAGGGTTTCCCCATGAACTTTGGCCTAGGAGTGTTGAGTACTTTTGCATTGCTAAGAGTTTCACAACTTTCGCAACCATCCATCCAAATGATTCTGATGAAATCAAAGGGTTGAAACAGGGTCAAACATGCTATGAAATTGCAAACGACGGTGAATCATTTGAAGGTCTTAGGGTACCTCTTGGAGCTTTGGTTTACTACAAGCCACCTCATCACACAAGCAAGCCAGCGTTTGAGGCTAGGACTTTACCCGGAATTTTTGTTGGTTGGCGCATTGATGCTGCATTCAAACATAGGAAGGTTCATTTGGTCCTTGACTATGAGAGCCTCCGATTGAAATCAAAAGGATACGGTAGGCCAGTTCAAGTGCATGCATCAGAAATCGTTGTGCCAGAAAACCACATGTTTCCTTTGTTCCAAGCCGAGCAGGCCAAACTTGAAGGGAGTTCAGGTGATCTGCCGAAGATTGCTTTGCCTTTTGATGAGGAGCCGGCTCCTCCTACAGCAGCTAGGGTGAGGAAAACCTATGTAACTCTTGATCGTGCCATTCGCTTTGGAAAAACTGTTGGTTGCCGTGGATGTGACAGGATAGCCGAAGGTGTTAGACATTCCGACGTTTGCCATGAACGTTTCCGAGTGTTGTTGGAGAAAGAAAGGGTTGAATCAGAAAGGAAAGCTCTTGATTCCAAAAGGGCGGAAGGTGTGTCGAGCCATCCGGCTCCTCGCCCCGAGGCCAGTTCTCAAGCCCCAGAAGGCCATCATGCGCCGGTACATGATGGACCAAAGAGGAACCTTGAGGAAAAATCAAAAGGGGAAAAGGAGTTTGAAGAAATGATGAACCTTTTCGAAGCTGAGGAAAGTCCTCAAGTTCAGGTTCTTGAGGCATCTGAGGTCCCAGCTGGTCAGGCTCAACCGTTGAAGCCTGAGCCCTCCAACGACTTTTGGGAATTTGATCAGAGCAAGGGTGCATGGTGCAGAGTCCATGTCAAACCACGTAAGAAGTTGTTTGCACCTGTAGGCAATGATTGTCCTTTCGATGCCAAGGATGTTCTTTCGAAAAGGGAGACCCAATGGTGTTGCAAAAATAGGACTAGTTTCTATGCAGACGATTGGCAATCGAATCCTTATCAAAGAATCAGCCAGAGGAGTTGGACTGGTAGGACTTGGTTTTATCCTGTTCATGATGTTGATTCAAAAAGGGCAACCATTCAAGCAGCAGTAGCCAACGCGAGGGGGGAGCAGAGCTTGTTGAGAGGGGATGAAGCTGCAGAGCATTTCATCAGAGAATGCAGTCCAGAAACCAAGAAATCACTGCATGCCATGCTTTCGACTATAGACACTGCTAACCATTCCAAGGCTAGAAAGGAGTTGCGTACCAAGACCAAAACTATGTTTGAATTTTGTTGTTCATCCAAATCATCATTGGGAGCGGTAAATGCTGACCGAGGCATCGACCATTTCAGGTTGAGTATTGATGTGACTGACCTGACAGACCCAAAAGATGTTGAGTCGTTAAAACAGCTGGTGAAACAGTTTCCAGGTTGCACTTTGTGGGGTTCACTGCCTTGTGATCCATGGTCTCGTTGGCAGAGTGTCAATATCGCAAAGTATGGGAAACCTTTTGCCAAGAAATTGAAGAAGAAAAGGGATATGTCTAGAGTTTTGCTAAAGCATTTCATTGAAGTGTCAGAGATTGTGCTTGAGCAAGGGGGCCACATTGCATTCGAGTGGCCGAAATCCGCAGAAGGGTGGATGCTGCCTGAGCTTGTTGCATTTCTCAAACGTCACAACCTGTATGTTGCAGAGTGTCATGGATGCTTCTTTGGATTGAAGAGCTCGAAAGGCAAACCCATGTTTAAACCTTGGCATGTTGCCACGTCTTCGTTTCATTTGGCAAGCAACTTGAACAAGTGTAGGTGCCAGCATGAACATGGTTTCAAACATGACCATGCCAAAGGCAAAGAAACACCAAAGACAGCCTTTTATCCTGAAGCTATGTCTAGGTACATCAGTGAATGCCTATATCCATCAGGCACTTATGCCATGCCAGTGGTTGATCACACACATTGTCATGCTAGCCAATCAAAAGTGTTGAAAGGCCAATCGCAAGAACACGTTTTTCATCAGCCTAATCTTCCAGATCTTGAATCCGTCTACGCAGGTGTTCACCTTCTCCTTGACCGAAAGGATTGGCACAAGCATCCTGGCTACCAGGAGGCCATTGATAAAGAGGTGAATGGGATCTTGGAAAATGGGACTTGGGATTACAGTGAAGTGATTCCAAGAAGTGAATTGATGAAGCGTAAAGAGCCTATGCACGTAGGTAGACTCATGACAATTCTCTCAGTGAAGCATTGGGAGACACCCAGCCTGCGAAAGCTTAAAGCAAGGGTGGTGTTCCGTGGTGATGACATAAGAGATCAGGAAAATAATTTGGCAGTCCTTCAGGAAGCCAAAGTGAATCCAAGTGGATTGGCTGGCATAAACGCCAACCTTGCGTATGGTAGTTTGAAAGGACATTGCACAACACAGAGCGATGTGGTGCGTGCTTACACGCAATCTTTCCTGAACACCGTTGTTCCCACTTGGGTTGAACTGCCAATTGAACTGACACCACCTCAATTCCGATGGATGCAAAGGCCATGCGTACGGCTCAGAAAGAGCTTGTACGGTCACCCGGAAGCAGGCTTTCATTGGGACCAAAGGTTCAAACAGATAATGAAATCTTTGGGGGCTGTTCATCTTGCCGACACATTTCAATCATCATATTACCTGAAACAATTCCGCCTTCTTCTTACACTTTATGTTGATGACATGATCGTTAGCGGTCCTGAGGCGGAGCATGAAAAGCTGTGGAAATTGATCGAGAAAGAGATTGAAATTGAACCTCCTACCCCGGTAGATAGAGTTTTGGGGAGAAATCACCATGTCACAAGGGATTCGTCAGGGACATCCATGGAGTTTGAAATGACCGAGTTTGTGCAAAGCGCATGCCAGGCATATCAAGAACTCAGCGGCTGTGTTTTGAAACCGGCAGCCACACCGTTTGTTCCAGAGGGATCTTTGGTCGACTCGGACTTTGAGGTTCGGGGCGAAATGGCAGGTGAAGCCTCAAAAGTTTTAATGAAGATTCTTTGGGCAGCGAGACTTGCAAGGCCAGACATACAAAGAGCTATTTCCGAGCTCACTCGAAGGATTGTCACCTGGTCTCGTGCTGACGACCGTCGTTTGCATCGTCTAATGTGCTATCTTCATGGAACTTCCCATTTCGTCTTAAAAGGGTATATCAGAGATGATCCTAAGGTGCTTCGATTGAACTTGTATACTGATGCCGACCATGCAAGTAGTTCGAATGATACTAAAAGCACATCAGGAATGTTTCTGGCCCTCGAGGGTCCAAACAGTTTTTGGCCTTTGTGTTGGGGTTCAAAGAAACAGACTGCAACCGCTCGGAGTACGTGTGAAGCTGAGATGCTAAGCCTTGACTCTGGAGTCTTTGGAGAAGGGTTGCCAATGCAGGAGTTGTGGGAAACAGTTCTTGATCGACCGATGATCTTGACCTGCTATCAAGATAATGCATCCGTGATTCAAATCATCAAGGCAGGCTATTCGCCCAAGTTGAGACACATGAAGAAGGTGCACAAATTGAACTTGTCAGCCTTGTATGAAATCTTCGAATGTCCAGACGTCTTGATAATCTACATAAAGACTTCCATGCAACGTGCTGATCCGTTTACCAAGGCACTGGCACCGAACCAGTGGGATGCAGCTCTGAAACTCATGTCAATTTTTCCCCGAGCCATTTCTAAGACTTGATCACCGGTGTCGAGCCCCGTTGTGCAAGAAGGGGGAGCTGAAAGAACTCGAGGAAAACCACAGTGAATATTTCAACCATGTCGAAAGTGTTGCATGCCTGTTATGCCTTCTTATACCTTTTGGGTTGTTGAGCCATTTGGCTCCGCCCCAATGCATATGTTCCAAATGGAAATGCAGTGTTGAGGGTAATCGCAGAAGATTCGTTGAAGGTTGTCACCATCCCTTTCGATTCATGCATGTCTCAAGGGTAAAGTTCCCTTAGACCAGCCAGGGTTTCCAGCTCCGGTCCGGGTGAATAATCCGTTGATCGTTGATGTTTACTTTGGCTCAAGTCTTGCAAAAGGATCCTGCGTGATCATTGTTTTGCAGCCATAGGCTTGTGGCCACTGTTTTGCGTTGTGTTGTGTGTATTTATGTTATGTATTTATGTAATGTATGTAATGTAATGCAATGTAATGTAATGTAATGTAACGTAATGTAATGTAATGTAATGTATTGTAATGTATATATGGTTGTATGTATGTGTGTATGTGTGTATTTATGTAATGTATCCTATCCTACCCTATCCTATCTTTTCTTGTTTTAATCTATCTATTTCCCAATAAACTTATCCCTATGATATCCCTTAAGCAGGTCGTCTCCCAGCCCCAAGGCTCCGGGGAGCATGTGCGTGTCCTGGGCCACGCGGACGCGCCACGCTGGGGCTTGGCCGCCAAGGTGCGCTTGGCCAAGACGGCGCTGGCCTGCGACTTTGTGGAGGCAAAGCGCTTGGAAACAGGAGAAAAATGGGAAAAAATATGGGAAAAATATGGGAAATGGATGTGAAGAATAAATCGATATTCATCTATTTGATCTGAAATGGATGCTATTTTCATGATTTTCCATCCCGAACCTCAGTTCAACGAGTTGGGGGGTTCCGAAAATAGCGGTACCCCCAAATCATCATCTATCTTTGTTTGGTATTTTGGTGTTTTCCATGAAATAAACCATTCAGCTTAGGAAACCTCCATATGGGAAATGTTGTGATTGAACCATCAGAAACCCTTAGAAACCAGCCATTATTAACCATTATTAGTTATATAATGGGAAATGGGAAACTAAACATATAATAAAACCATTGCAAACTGGTAAGAGATGGGACCTTTCCAAAGTCGCAGATGTTTCCTTGAACCTGGAGTTTCCCGAGGTTGTTCATATGGGAAATGTGGTGATTTAACGAACTTAACCATCAGAAAGTGGAAGCATATGGAAAAACTGCAAAAGATAGTGATTTGACGATCAGAAGTTGGAAATATATTTTAAGAATGTTCGGAAAAAATGATTTTACCATTTAACCATCAGAGATTGGCAGTTTAATGTGAATATCATAGGGGGACACATTGGAAATATATGAAAAGAATATTGGGAAAATTGTGATTTATCCATCAGAATATAATGAATGATATAGGGGAAATTGGAAATATACGGAAAATATATTGGCCAAAAGTGTTGGTTTAACGATCAGACTAGAGATACAATGGGAATAGTAGGTAGGGGGAGGTGATGGCGATGATGATGATGATGATGATTTAAGCATCCAAAATGGCAGCTAGTGGGTGTTTAACCCGTCAAAAGAGAGAGAGAGAGAGAGAGAGTATTGGGAGTGTAATAGGGGCGATAAATTCTACTTACCCCGACAAAACGAAAAGGGAATAGCAAGAATTGCCATTGGCCACAAGATGAGCGATTTTACTGTGATTTGAAGACATGGTGATGGATGATGCATGGTACAGTATGGGTATATCTTTGGCAGAGGAGAACTTCAGAACTATTTTTTATGTCTCGGGCATAGCTAATGGGAGGATCATCCCACTCAATTGCTTGTTGTTTCCACAAATTACTTGCTTTAGGGTGTTCCAAAATCATTTGTTGTCCAGTTATGGACGCTACCCCCCATCTTCATGAACTGCAGTAACCATAATTGGTTATCATCAAGTTTAATGACCGAATCATACTGAAAATAGTTTTGTACAATAGAAAGTGGGATGAATTTCCAAGCACTGGGCAAGTAATAACTCATGTGGGAAAGCTACCAACAATATATAATGTGTTTATATGTTTATATGTTTCATTTTATCCAAAGTGGGGTTGTTGTAAGCCACCAATGACCAGAAATACCCTTTTGTTAATCCAGCCTGGCAATGAAAAACGCCCAGTTTTATAGATGATGTCCACATTGAAACCCCATCCATATAATTAGGATGATTACCAGAAATTGCTGGGAACAACACCAGCCATGGTGTTGACCAAGTCAAGTTCTGTTCTGACCAAATTTGACCGAATGTCTGACCCAATTCATACGTATCTCTGACCTGAAACATTTTTTGCGACCAATCGATGCAAATTTTGGTTGACCCGTTGAATTTCTTTGACCAAGTCAACCGTTGTTCCTCACTCAATTGCGGCATTTTGTTGCACTTATTCACCCAGTTTGGTAACCAGAAGACATGAGGCATGTGCAACTCGTACTGCATCAAACGGACGCCTTGTATGTACAAGCCATAAATATACACAACCCATAAACGTATACATACAATACAATACGATACAATACAATACAATACTAATACAATACAACACAACAATGCAATACAAATACAATACAATACAATGCAATACATACGGACAGACAGACATACAAACATGCAGACGTACAGTATAATTGACATATGCTTCAAAAAATCATTCCAATCTCACAATCATAGCTTAACATTGACAGGCGGACGCCTGGGCTCCAGACTTCATGTTCCAGCACTGCATGGTGCCCGCCTGCCACGTGGCCTTCGCCGTGTCCAAGCGACGGCACCACTGCCGTCGCTGCGGGCGCCTGGTGTGTAGCAGCTGCGCGCCGCACTCGGCGCTGGATTTCGAACGACTGGGAGATGCGGTGACTTGGGAAACACAAAAGAGGATGGTTTAGCCATGATGTGGGGATTATATGGTGGATTAATTGAGATGAATGGATTTTTAATGATGATTAAAAATTACCATTAATCACCATTCATCCCCATATAATCCCATTAATCAGCATTAAATAAACATTAAATACCATGGTGATTTTTAATGGTATTTAATGTTTCTTTAATGGTGATTAATGGGGATTATATGGGGATGAATGGATCCGACACGGTGGTGCCCTCCCAGATACTTTTGCCGGTTTAAAACCATTTTTAAGCACCGTTAAGTATAGTCATAAGTCCGTCAAAGAACAAGTTATTCGAGTTAAAAACCCACTTAGCTAACTATGAAACTAGGTCAATCTTAGATGGCTACTTTAATCCGCTATAGTCTTTTGGTATTAATGGGAATATCTACTAACCAGCAAAGAATGGCATTTTTTGCAGGGTATCTAAGATTGGCAATGATAATATGAGAGATCCCAGTATGTCATGGTTCCATTTGTGGGTTGTTAATTATTGGGCGTGGTTGAAATGCAGAAATCATTCGCGACCCATGTTACCAGATGATACCAGATATCCTTCCCCAAAAAATAGTTGGTGAGTCTATCTCGATTATGGTCGCTTAATTAATGTTAATTAAACCATGTGTTTTCCACATGTTTTCACCCTTGGATTCCCCATGTACGGTAAAGAAACCAGCATCAACCCACCAAAGGTTGACCGTTTTCGTGATGTGGATCTTTGTTGCTCCCCAAGTTGAGCTAACTGAAGATGTACCTTACAAATAAAAGGATCACATCCTGAAGCTTCATTGAATACAACAAACATATTGTAAAGTTGGGTCAGGTTTGCTATATATATATATGATTTGATGTTCCGGAAATAGTGGGATGATACTAGAAATCTGGTTGGGTAAACAAGCCGATCGACTGCAGGGCCATGTGAAGCTCATTAATTTATAGGTTGGGATTTGCTTTGAACGTCGGTGTGATAGAATCTCTACCCAGGTCAAAGGACGGTTTATAAAAAATGAGGCCGTTGTTGCGTGGAACCAACTGCTCTTTAACTTACCCTCTGGTGTCATCAAACATGGCTTGCTGAGAAAATCCCTCACTTATAGATTAAAACCCTCCATTTAGTTGGTGGATGTTCCAGCTAGCCATGGTTGGTTCCCGGAGGGCAAGATATTTTTGGGATGTATTCGGACGAACCTTGAGTTTAGTCTGATATGGTCTATGTTGGTTCCATAACATGAGTCACAGAATTAGAAAATGGGAAATGTTACAGGAATCCTTCACAGTTGATGGTAAAAGCAGTGGTTTCCTGTAGCATGTTTCCTCAAATCAATCCATTGACGCAGCAATTCGCCAACAGCCAGGGATCATATTCACTTGTTCAAATCCTTTTTTTGGATGGAAAGAGTGGTTACATACATATATTGTCATTATGTTGATTCTTTATGATTCTTTGTGGGTGAAATCCCCTTTCTTACATATGTCTACCACATGTTTCACTTCCCATGTTCAGTATCATGATGTTTAAATTCTTCAAAATCCCATGTTCACCATATTTCGTTTTTCTTCATGGTTAAGTTAAACCTGGTTCATCCCATCTTCGAAATCCCATGACCATTTGTGTTAAGTGTTTCTTCATGGTTAAACCTGGTTTTTCCCAGGAGACCCAGCAAGACGCTGGTCAGCGCATCTGCGGCGAATGCCTGGAGGACTTGTTGGATCGCTTGGAACGGCGTGCGTTGAACGCCACGGAGCTGCAACAGGTCATGGTGCTGGACGCACGCCTGGAGCAATGGACCGTGATGCAATGTGACCCTTGGACTGCAGTGGGTGGGGCCTCATTATATTAAAGGTGTCCTATTGTTCATGTTTCTGTGTGTTGTTTTCTGCATGTATATACACATGAGCATATGTGTATATATATATGTATATATGTGTGTGTTTGTGTACATATGTATATCTATCCATGTGTTTTGTTACAACTATTGTTGTTAAATGACCTGTTCAAATCGTGGTCAGCCAAAAATCGTGTTTAGGACCACTGTTGGGATCATTGGAAGTGGTTCATGGACTGATCCCTATAGACACGGTATTCATGTGTAATATATGGGTGCTAACTCTCTCTATGTATATATATATATATACATACGTATATTCATATAGTCATCCTGGAGTAGGTAGATTTTTATGACAATTGGTAATATCTTTGAACAAGCCTTTTTCCATCTATATACTTTGGGATGATTGTGCATGATTTATGTATACATCTCCGTTATATCATTCCCCGGACGTTGTCTTTGTCCCCATACATGTACCCGGCATATAGAAACTCCAATATACACCAACAACCTTGGAAGAACATATCCATCAAACCCAGATAGGCTATTTGACCTCCATCAGTGAAATTTCCATGTTTGATTGTTCGGTTCCCAGTGTTTAATCAGATGGTTAACTTGACATTTCGGTGGCTAGATCCCCCTATATACGTAGCTGTGGCTTCATCCCTCTCATCACTGGCGATGTATTGGGTCTCCGCATGCTACATGATGGATATAAGTTTCATATGATATATTATATACAGATATGCACACAATGTACATTATATATTAACTAGTTCCAAGAGACATGTGAAGGGCGGGGTTCTAGTCTACTAGGAGGGGGCTTTGACAGCGATGATGACGGCGATGATGACGACGATGATGACGACGATGACGACGACGATGATGACGACGCTGACGGCGACGCTGACGACACTGACGGCGACGCTGACGACGACGTGACAACGGTAGTGACAACATCGTTGACGGTGGCGACGACGATGACGACGGTGACGACGACGGTGGCAACGGCGGCGACGCCGGTGGCGACGGCGGCGACGACGGCAAAATTAGACCTATATTTCGAAAAATCGACCTTAATAAGATCTAGTTTTGGAAATAAGGTCTAGTTTTGCACGACGACGGCGGTGACGACGACGACAGTGATGACGGTGACAACGATGACGACGACCGCAGTCATTGTCGTCGTCGCCGTCGTCGCTGTCGGCTGTATCGTCGTCACTGTCGGTCGTCGTCGTCGCCGCCGTCTTCGTCGTCCGTCTTTGCCGTCGTCGCCACCGTCGTCGGGATTGTTTTGCTCGCCCGTCACACCTAGACACTACTGACTAACAGATGTCTTTTGGAACTAGATAAATTATATATGTATATATATATATATACATACATCATTACAATCATTGTATGCCCTACAAATATCACAACCCCAACATATCCCCATACCCAGGAACGGCACCGCCTCAGCGTGCGCACGGAGCTGACGGAGCGCTTCAGCCAGCAGCTGCAGCAGCAGCAGCTGCTGCAGCAGCGGGAAGAGGAAGCGCAGCGGCGCTCAACGCTGCAGATGCAACGGGCCAAGGACCGGGTGTAAAGTTTCAAGACATGCTTGGTGGTTCATCCCACTTAGTAAGTAGGCTATAACCCTAGCTATAAATGGGGTAGGGTTTGTCCACTTATGACTGGGGTTATAAGCCACTGGGATGAACCACCAAGTGTTAGCATGGTAAAATGGTGGTTTAATGAAGATTTGATGGAGATTTCCGTGAGCCCCATGAATTTCCATGTGATGATCACCTCTATGGCTGAATACAAACAATAATGGCAGGTTAATGGGGAAATTAACCGGGAAATGAATGGGATATAATGGAATCATGGTTCATGTGGCAAACCCAATGCCATAAACTTCCCCCAATAGAGCTTTATAGCATTGGGTATACCTCTACTTGGTGGTTCATCCCAGTTTGTAGGGTATAACCCTAGAGGCCCTAGCTATAAATGGGCTAGGGTTAGTCCACTTATAACTGGCGTGGAACCCACTGGGATGAACCACCAGTATGTCTGAGATCAGGGCCTAGCCATGGCAGGAACTGACCGATGAGATTGCAAGGCTCAACAGGACTGGCTGCTTCCAACTGTCGGACCTCAGAAATGCTCAGATCTTCCCACAGTAACTGTCGAAATCTCAAAATGGATCTTCCACCTATGAAAAATCCAACTATTTAGATCTATTCAGGAGAAATTCATGTCATAATTGCCGGCATGCCCAATCACTTCACCAATCATGTTTTGACTAGCGACACATACCACCCAGAAACCTTCCGAACACGGGAAAAGGGTTGCACCGGTACCACCAATACCCGCCAGGATCGACACAACTGTGATGGACGATGCCACGGTGTTGCGCCACGTGCAAAACCTCTCCAAAGCAGAAGCTGAGTTGAACGACTTGCGGCGAGACGATGTGCCGCAGGCAATGGGCATTTCTGGGTATGGTGTTGCTAGGGGAAGCTGGTAAAAGACAAAAATCTGCATCCTTGCAGCTTTTCCAGCCATTTGAGGGGCATACCCTATACCCATCTATACTTCATTTTCTGACACACTCAGAGAGATTTTGCACCGGAGGTCAAGACAAATGAAAGGATGCAACCGCTGAACCGGGGTTCAATCTCTATGCAAATTGAACCGGAAAATTATGTGGATTCAACATGGTACCATGTTCAACCACTAAACCCAGCACAGTCCCTAGGATTGAACCAGAACAAATGGGAGTTCAACCAGCAATTGATGTAAACATCCGGGTTTGGACTGCAATGGCGGGGATTAAGCCAAGAAGTGGGGGACCTTCCAAAATGGCGAAGTTCCAACCAGCAAAAAAGGTGGATGTAGTCATGTAAAAATTGATATATGTATATTGTGTTCGACCATTGCGACAAAAATGGAGGAATTGATCTTTTAATTGGAGGTGGGTTTTGCAACCAAGCCATGACAAGATAAGCAGCAAAGTATCACGTTACATATATTGTGCATTGTATGAATCATATCATTTAAATTTGATTTGATCTTTTATTACATTGTACAATTTCTAATTATATTCTATTGTATGGTATTTTCATATCGTATGTATATATATATACACCTCTCTCTCTCTTTGCATGTGTGTGTGTCTGTCTGTTTGTCTTAGGCAGTGTGTCTCGCAGCTTCCTTCATAACTGGAGGTCATCCTCCTAAACGGTACCTACCTGGAACAGAAAAATGGCTCTTCTCTGCTCCAAAATTTACAGCTGCATAGGGGTGAAGCATCATGAAAGTCCTCATTTTTGATTATCCGAACCTCTTTGAAAGCCAAGGCAATAAACACCAGGCTCCCAATCATTCCTGCATAAAAGGCACAAGTTTGGGGCAGCTCGTCACTGTCCAATGCTAAAAGGTGATGTTTAACGCCTCAAGTTCGAAATATGTCATTTACATCCCCACCACTGATTGGTTCAATCCCATCAACGCTTTATTCGTTAGATCCCCATTTGGTGAGCTCCCCCTGTTCCTTGCCACTTGAGGCGGCATTGTCAGAAGCTTCAACGGCCGAGTCGGCCGGGGGAACAGCCGTGGCAGCTACGCAGGTTGGGGGACAGCAACCGAACCCCGGAAAGCCTCACCAGAAAGAATGCTTGGGATTCGGGAATCCCCAAATAGGAGGTTTATTCCGCGTATTTCCAGTCTAGGATTGGCTAGAAGTTGCCTAGATCCCAGCCAAAAGATCGAAATCGAACAAAATGTGATGGGATGATCTCACAAATACCCAGCTCTTGTCCTCACCCATACTGTAATACTTGATGTGTGCATCTCAGCTTGTACCTTCGGGGAATCTAAACCTGGCTGGAAATTTTCCCGGAAACAGAATTAGATGATGTTGGTCTATTCATCAGAAATCAAGTTTTCCATGTTCTATTGCCAGGTTAGATGACTAGAGGGGTAGCTGGTTGTGACCATCGTTTCACCAGTATTCAGCATTACATGCATATATGATTCCCGCCGGGAAATGTGGGACTTTCTGGCCAGGATTATTCGCTCTTTTTTTTTACCCAGCTGCGATGCAGATCCAACCCCAGTCTGGGATAGATTTGCCATGATGAAATCACTCGATTGCAATGATGGTCAGCATTTAGTGTCGAAAAAGCGTTTGATGGTTTGCAGTGATGATTCATGACGATCGCAAACCTGCAGAGAACTGGAGATTTCATGTTTGACAAACCCTACAATGGTGGCAGACCTAGATCAAACATGCTTGAAACTTTGGAAACTCAGGGAGAGGCAAGTCCAGATTTGCGTCAGACCTGCAATGAAAACCCTTGGAAAACCATCGTGTGAATCATGTCAAGTTCTTTTCTGTTTTTGGGAAGCTCGCTTCTTTTCCCACATCATCCCTTGAATCCGTTTGCTTTCCACCACTTCGCTTCGGCAGTGCTCGTCGGGCACCCAGCTTTTTCGGGAATGGGAAGCCGAGACTACTGAGCAATTCCCAAGAACGTCTGGTTGATATCGAGTTAATGAAGTTGCACAAAGACATATCAAACAGAGGTTGTTGTACAGTGACACAACATGGGAAGCCTTATCAACCAACCAGTAGCAGAGGGTGTGGACATGATTCAAACGATTGAATGATGGTCATGATCCACATTGACTAGTGACTAGGGGATGGATTGAAACTGGCTATCTAGAATTTGACTTCTGAGTTTGTTTCCTGGCTTTCTTGGACTTGACACCACTGCAGCTTGCCCTCAAGACTGACGGCCACCTGCACCTCCTGCCGTAGACATGCCATCCACACAAGAAGTGCTGATGACCCCCGTGAACGCGACTCTGGGGGCTGTGGGCTTCGCGGGAGCCCTCACAGTGATCCCTTTGGTCGCATGGCCCTTACGATACTATTCAGCAAAGAAGGTGGGAGACATGACGCCCGAGGTCAAGATGTTTCTCGTTGCTGCTTTCATCAATGGTTCATTTAACTATCGGACTTCTCTCAGACAGAGGCGTCGTGCAATCTGAGGCAACATTCACGGCAAACATCCCTTTACCCAGGCCTCGCATGTATTCGCTGCCTCCAATTTAGGTACATGAAATGGCCCCTGATTCTATGTGGTGTCAGAAATGCGTCTTTCTTTTCCATCCGATTTAAGATGATGAATCCCCCGATCAATTGAATTTTTGAGGCTTTTTTGGCCACTCAGGTTTGCCCGCGTTTGTAGCCGGATGTATGACCTCAGCGATGACATTCGTGGGCACCCGGTGACCGTTGGCCCGTGGAAACTGGAAAAGAGGGTCACAAACAAAGTGGCCATATTCTCTTCGGCCAGCAAGGTCCTTCTTGCGTTTGAGGGCACGCAGTTGCGAGGTGAAAGTTGGCTAAAGGATTTGCTACGAGACCTCCAGGTGATGCTCAATCTGGAAGACATTGCTTCAGATGAAACACTGAAAAAGTGCTTCGACGCATTGGCCGAGTTTCCTGATGCAGACAACATCTACGTGACAGGACATTCCCTTGGTGGTGTGTGGGCATATTTGGTGGCCAAATATGCGGCGAAGTTCGGTGAAGCTCGGCCGATCAGAGGAGAAGTCTTCAACCCGGGGGCTGCGCCAGACCTTTGCAAGGTGGCTTTATCCAAAAAATGTGCTATAAGTTTCGCCCAAAATTGCCATGTTAATGGGAAGATGATGGAAAATGATGATTGATTACGCCCAATTTGATGTGTGTGTTCTTTGGAAAATCACAATCCACCATTTGGAACCAGTGCATCGTTGAAATTGGGCGCGCCCGATTTTTCAATCCAGGTGATCCAAAAGATGGCGCTGGGGCAGAGGCTGCTCGGCTGTAATAGGCCGACCACAGGCCAGTGTCTAGTTGTCGTGTAGCTGCGTGCGAAATATGAGACACCTTGAAATGGTTTAGCTAAACACTAATATGGATGTTGTAACTGCTAGAATGGTATACTTCGGACTACTTGGGTAGTGGTAGTTGTAGTTGTAGTAGCGTCAAACAACTGAATGCGTTCAACAATTTGGTTCGCTTGCTGGAAAAGATATTGCTAGAAATGACATTGGAAATCCACGCAGCCAACCCGCATTCACAAACTCATTGACTTTAGCAAAATGCACCCTTAAAAAATGCAATAAAGCGCGTCTAAAATGGAGGCGCTCAATCGAATATTATTAAGATGTTTTCTTAATTCGGAGTCAACATGGGTCAACATTCTCGGCGTGATCTGGGCATATTTTTGCACGACCGGTGGCACAGCAAGGTTGCAAAGCATCCGTGCCCACCACATTGCTGGTGACGGCTTGAGTTGCTGTTGGGCACACACGCCCCTGGAGCACTACCGACCAGTGCACATTCTTTACCCGCACTCCATGTCGAATTTCCTTTCTGACTGATCGCCGAGCTTCAAGCTCTAGGTGAAGACAAGTGGGCATCGATTGCTCAACTGAATGGCCCTGCCACCCGCACAGCGTCTGAGGCCACCCACTCGTCAGAAGTTTGTCACTTCCACTGCGGTGAAAAACAGTCAAAATGCGGGGGTGATGTTGCTGGCTTTCTTCCTCTGAAGAAATATAAAGAAATGCTTGTTGAAATGGTGCAGTCTTGGAGCATTGATATATGCCTTTTGGTTTGCCTTCCTGGACCGTTGATGCTCAGCGTCTGGCAGCTCTGACATTGTGTCATGTCTGAGGTTTGGAAGTCTTGGACATCTATAGCATCAGGAAGGCCCAATGACAGAATCGGCATCCAAAAACTTATATCACAAGAAAGGATTCGGACACATTTGGCAGAAATGTCTTTTTGAGGTTTCGGGCCATGATTTCACCCAGAGCTCCGAGCAAGAGATTTGCCCAAACAGAAGGAAGGAAGGAACAGAAGCCAAACGAGCCATAGGCAATGGGCAAGGGTTGTACTTACACAGTCTTTTCAAGGAGCTTAGAAGGGCTTTGAAAAATCCAACACTTCATGAATGTGCATCAAAACCCGTTACTTTAGCATCTTATTGGTACATGAGTTAAGTCAAACCCATCATTATCAAAGTTACTTGCTGGTTTGGGATTAATTCTCTTGGGGTCAACTTTTTATTTCCTTTTCCTTGACTTATATCCTTTTCCTTGAACCGTCCAAGTTCGCCTCTTATTCTGACCCATACAAAGAATCACGTGATTCTTGAATGCGTTCCTGCTCGTTTCTTGCTGGAATTTATTTCATCGGAGATTCTAGTTTCAGAATGGATTTGTGATTCTGACTCGTAAACATCACCAGCCAGACGATCTGCGGCATTTCCATTTCGAAAGCATCAGCCACACCAGCGCAATCCGAGCCAGTTTGAAGCCACAAAAAATTGGATTTAAACCACAGCAGGAGTCTTCGTTTGAACCACCGTCATACCAAAGAAAATTGGTTGGATGCATCGGTTCAAACTGCTTGCATTCAGATACTAGGTTTGAATCAACCAACGCTTGGTCTGCAAAAAACACAATTTGTTGCATCAGAGTTTAGGGCCTTGGGAACCAGGCCCTCTTTGAAACACGTGTTGCTGGTTGTATCCCAACTTGTGTTGGTCAGATCCCATCGAAAAGTTGCTATAGGATGTAGTCAGGAGAAGGGATATGGGGATGGGTCAGTTCACGTTGGAGGCAGTCCGCATCCCAAAATGAAATTGAATTCGATAGTGAATTCATTTTATAGTTGTTGTCCACTCCTTTTGGGCTGCCTTTCAAGTCTATGCTATGCTGTTTCACCCCCAATTTGTCAGCCATCTCTCATGGTTAGTATGTTCATTTTTGTGGCTGAATACCCTCATCCATGTCCCTGTCAAGCCCATCCCCTCAGGTCAAAAAGTTCGTGATAAATCCATAAGGTTCACCCTTTCAAGAACGGCCAATGGTAAAATTAGGTATGGCTTATTTCACGTACACTAGTACCAACTATACCCAACGGAAAAGAAAATACGAGTAGATATAAATATAAATACATTATAAATATCATACCCAAATGTATAGCGGTATAGTACTACTTGGGGGATCATCCCACCTAGCAACTAGTTAGTAACCATACTTCAAACCCAGTTATAAATGGAACAATCCCACTGAATGGGAGCTTTCACTTTCACTTTCATGCTGCATGTCCACAAGGGTAACTCGGCACATCTCTCTCAGTATTGCACACAGATTTAAAAAAACAGCCAGAAGGTCACAGGGGCAAGGATGGCAAACTTCAACTCAAAGTTGTTACTTCGTCAGAATCATCAGAGATCTCAATAGCAGTTGGCATGTTTCTTTGGGACTTAATCAGGGTTAGCAATCAGTAACTACTGTAAGTTAAGCCAATACAGTTGATTACTAACCAAAAAAATTAATGGGAATACCAATGGTATACTTACTGGCTGTAGCAATACAGGTTGCACCAACCAGGCCCGCAGTTCCCAACCAGCGACTCCAGGAATCCTTGGACCCAGCCCTGCTGGCCTTGCGCCAGCAATGGGAGCAACTGCTGCGGCAGGACGTGCAGCACCTGAGCAACGAAGAGGCGACTTGGCGACGTGGCGTCATGGCATTGGGTCGAAGACCAGTGGAAAACAGTGAAGAAAAACAGATTGTCTGAAAAAAAACGGCACCATCTAATCTACTGATTGATCATCATTTTCCCTAGTAGAATCGGCCTCTGTGTGATATATCATGGTATATCCCCTTGTCAGACACATCCCAAACTTTGAAGTGCGGCCGCAGGCGCTTCGACACTTCGAGCAGATCTCGCAGTTGCAGGAGCAGATCGAATCTGCTGAGACGCGAGCAGCACTGGCTTTCTCCAGTGCTGCAGCGCTGCCAGGCCCAGAATTCGAGTGCCAGTGGGGTGTAGATGAAATGAGAAAAGGTGGGGCACATCGGAAAACACAACAATAAAATATCCCCACTGTTCCTAGAAATGGGTTACTTTACAGTGGATGTTTGACTGTGGCTTTACCAGATGGCAAAAGGAAGAAGATGGAAATGTTCGACACAGCCCCCAAAAGTTGGGATGCAACAGGGGCATTCAGTTTCAGCAAAGAACTAACAGATACCCTTCGATAATCAAACGTGACTGGTTGATGGTTTGGAACATGACTTTTATGACTTTCCATATATTGGGAATAATCATCCCAACTGGCTAATATTTTTCAGAGGGGTAGGTCTACCACCAACCAGATGACATAGCATTTGAAAAATTTTGAAAATCCCCGAGCTGATGACAGGCCGCCAGGATGGCATCTTTGATGAGGGAAACGTGGCCGCTGCCGACTTTCAACGCAGCCGCTGGCCACTGCCCATGGCGTGGCTCGGTTCAGTCGACTGTTCGGTGTTTGAACGGTGAACGGTGAAGTGAAGTTTCCGAACGGTGAACGGTGAAAAATGTGGGTTTATAGTTGAAAGCGAAGTTATGATAGCAAAGTTGGGTTGTAAATCCATTCTCTATATCCCTCAAAAAAGAGGTTTATCATCAAACTAAATGATGGATTTTCCAGAGGGATTTTCCAGCAAGCCATGGAGCTGATTACCGGAAGGTAACCTACTTAGACTTGCTGCTTGGGTGATTTTTTCCCCAGTGGTAAATCCACCAGAACTGGGGGAATCTTCGAAAAATCCCAGGGACCTTTGTGCTGTACTATGTTGCAGGGTCCATGTTTGGGGGCACCATGGCTTTAAATCGCCGATTCAACCGAGAACTCATTCGATGTAAAACTGATGAATCTGAAAATGTTAGAGAGGCCAGCGAATGCTTCACGAATGTTAATGGAGCTATATATGAACTGATTAGTATATATTCCAGATATATGGGCGTATAATTCTTGGAGTTAGCAGCCATCGAATCTACTAGTTTCAAGGATTTTGCCACCAAAAAGGAGCTCAATATTTATATATATATATGTATGTATGTATGTAACATCCGAAGCTAATTCGAAGGCTGAAAAATCTGTTCCGCAACCCATTTCCGGGGCTCACGTGAACTGTCCAGAAGTATATTTTCTGGGGTTCATCAAAAGGGTTGTCATGACTCCATGATTCTATGGTCACTGCACTTAACCAATCCAGTAAACCAAATTATTCTGCGATGTCATTGGCACATGCCAAAAGGAAAGCCAAGTGGTTTACCCATCTCCAACTATTCAAATGTAGGAGGATAGTCATGCTTGCCAATAAACCAATTCAATTCTCGAAACCATCCCCAACAAGAAAAAAGATCTTGGTGGCTGCTCTGATTTGCCCACAAGTTTCTTGCGCGTATCTAATCCACCCGTGCATCTATCCATCTAGTGTAAAAACTATTGTGAACTAGTGTGAACTACTAAGTTGGCAAGATTATCAACCACCTATGGTCAGAACCTGCAGTAAATGAAGTTACTATCACTGCTAATACTGATAGTAAGATCAATAGTAACAGCTCAATCCGATATTTTTCAGCTATGAATCAGTAGTATGAAACCAACTATTGGTAACAGTAATCGCTACAACTAGTACCATCGTTACTTGAATTTGATATTTATTAAATGCTGGTGATGGTTACCCAATTGTGTTCATAATAGTCATTAGTGGTAATTACCATCCCCAGCTCCTATCTAAACGTCATGTTTCACCACTGTTGCGTTTGAATCCTCTAAAGCCCAACTGGTGATACAATATGAATCTCATATGAAATATAGAAATTGTGTTTGTTTAATAAAAAAATGAACCAGGAATATAGAATACATATTTTTGTCATACTTATGTGATAATTTGATAATGGTCATAATTACACAACTTAAATTATATTAGGTTAATTTTGCAATAGTGATTGTAATTACACAATATTTGAATCTAACATAAACCTAATATTTAACATTGTATTGTATTATGATGAATTCATGTTCCGAGTACGTAACTCATCGTGTGTATTAACACCGTTAATTACTGATAACTTTATATATATATATGTGTGTGTGGTTCTTTGACGCCCAAAGTATAATATTCATCCCATGGTTAAACCATGCGTTACCTAAGAAAATGAACCATCAATATATTAACCTAGCAATGTGGGCAACCCAATAATATAATAATAGCTACCATGATGGTTTATGCCAGCCATTTTTGGTGATTTTGGTGTTAACTAAGACTATAATGTTAATTGACCATAATATTAGTAGTGTTAACTAATGATAATTAATTAGTCATTAATTAACTAATGATCATTGCTGACTATAATGATTAACTAATGATTTGACACCTGATATTTGATGAATATCTCCGTCCCAGGTTGGAGCTGCCAACGGCCTGGCCCACACCCCGCATGCTGCGGCGCCAAGAACAGGTGCTTTTTGCGCGTAAGCGCGAGGCGCTACAGCTGCGACAGCACTTCGAAGTGAAGATGGCGGATTTGGCGCAGGCACCGGTGGATGTTTTAAAGGTGAACCATGAACTGGCAGGTGGTTTCAAACATGACTTTTATTTTCTATAATATATGGGATAATCCTTCCCATTGACTAATATTTTTCAAAATGGTTAAAACCACCAACCAGTGAAACATGGTGGAGTGCACGGTGAATTATGAGAAAAAAATGTTGTCTGATGGTGATTTAAGCACGAAAAAAATGTGATTTTATAGCATTTAAACATGAAAACTGGTGATTTTATAGGATGATTAGCGATTATTTACCCTCCGGTGTCATCAAACATGGCTGGTTGAGAAATACCCACGAACTAAATCGAGGTTTATAGTCGGGAAGATGGTCCAAAAAATCCGCATTTTCCAGAGGGTACCCTCTGGAAAACATAGAAAAAACTATGGAAAATCATGATTTTTCATGGGAAAATTCACTATTTCTATGGTGATTTTCCATAGTTTTTTGTAAACGTTTCCCAGGGGATAAGCTGGGCGTTTTAGAATGGAAAATATTTGATCAATCATGGAATTTAATCATGATCTAGGATGTATTCACGTGTTTTAGCCACCAAAATCATGAGAATTGACCGAGATTGGATCATGAAAAATAAGGGGGAAATCTGATTTACTCGTCAAACATGAGGCTTTAAGCAACCAAAATATAGGGATTGGACATGATTTAACCATGAAAGATGGGATGGAAAAGATCAGATTTTGCAAGAGGACTTGTGAGGTTGGCGATTTTGATTTATAATTGATGCGGTAAAATTGCGGAATCCATTCTGAAGACTGGCTGTCAATTTTTGGAGGCGGAGACCACATTTGGTGAGTTGATTTGCTGTTCTTTTTCCAAAGAAAATTAAAACAATAACTTATAATTTAGGGCTAAAATTTAGGGATGGGATGTATTTAATCAGACGACGGTTTGTTTTGTTGGGGGCCTCTTCATCATGACCAGCAGTCCCAGCCACCAGCTAGGCTCGACAGTTGGAAATGCAACGCCGCCGTGAATTGGAAATGCTGAGAGAACAGGCCCTCCGTTCATCGGGACTTACCCTCCCAAACTTGGAGTTTTTATGCATTTTGGCCATCCAAAATAAGGATTTGGATGGTTTAACCAACCCCAATTGGATTTGAATGTCTCTATATGCAGAACCTCTAAATGTAATCTGATAACCAATAAACACGGTCAGGAAGATGATAACCATGTTGTGTACCATCAAAATGGGTTCCATGTCTGCTTTCTGAGCCATAAGGGTCATTCACTTTTTGGAAACAATTCTTTACATGAAAAGTTCTGTTTCCAAAAAAAATCTTTGGAGAAACCAAACATGTCTTTTGGAAACATAAATCATTCACTTTTTGGAAACATTCACTTTTTGGAAACTTTTTGGGGTGCCCTAGTTTCTCCAAGACATGTTTGGTTTATTTGAAACTAGGGCACCCCAATGGTTCACCATTTCATCATCATGCGCCCTAAAAAAATAGCCCAATGGATTCTCAAACAAACCCGTTTGTCATTATTCATGGTTGAAATCCCTATTATTGATGGTTGAATCCAAGAATCACCCGTTTTCAACATGTTTAAATCAAATCCAACATGTCTTCAGTATGGTTGATTGTTCAATCACCATCTTTTCACCATGTTCGATGGTCGCATCACCATGTCTCACCATGCCTCCGCCATAGGAAGAGCTCCAGCGACAACATGCAGAACGAGTGGCCGAAGAGAGGCGCCAACGTGCGCGGGAATTAGATGACTTGGCACGACGAGCCGTTGCCCAAATGGTCCCCCGGTGAGGAACACACCAGTCACGGCTGGACCTTAGTTAATTCCCAAAAAAAAAGGATAGAAAAGTAAGTTTCTATGTCTTTGGTGGTAGGATCCTGCTTACGGACGTTTTTCTTTTGCGTTGCAACTCACTTGCCGACGTTTTTCACCAGCAAGATCCGCCAAGAAGCGGAATCTCAAAAGCACGGAGTCGGCGAATGGTGGGTTGCCCCAATTTTTAAAAAATGCCATCTGGAGATGGTTGGAAAACCACCCATTTATGAGTGATTTTGGTGATAATTTTTGGCGGTTTACCACATTTAAATATTAGATTACCTGTTGAAAATAGTGGGGTTCTTCACGAAATCCCAGAAGATCTCAGAATAACTCTGCTTTTCGAACCCAAAAATCCATAGACGTCCAATCATTTCTCCCATCCACTTCGAATCACAGCTTTGTTTGCCCCGAGAGTTGGCCCTTCGGATCCCTTCGGTCACCAGCCGCAACATGCCGCAACTATTTCTACAGGATGGTGCCCCCCAAGCAGATCTTTGTTGGTTTATAACCCCATCCAAACATCATTTTAAGTATCATACACTATTGTTACCAGTAGTACCGCACAAGGCGGTGGCGGAAGTTTCAAAAATAGGAAACCTATAGGAGAAGCTGGTTGTTGTGAATCAGGGATGGCAGAGCGAAGCCACTGATTGACCGAAAGGTGGTTGGAGTTGTGTTTGCTGGAATGGTTGCAATGGTTGCAGTGGTCACCTCACCCACAACTGCTGGATGTAGTGTGATGTACTGTAACTGTAGTTGTAGTTGTAGCGTAGAGGAGTTGTAGTTGTGGTGTAATGTAATTAGTGTAGTGTAGTTGCAGTCATATGGTTGTAGTTGTAATTAGTTGTTTTGTAGTTGTAGTTGTAGTTGTTGTAGTTGTAGTTGTTGTGTGGTTGTAGTTGTTGTGTAGTGTAGTTGTAGTTGTAGTTGTTGTAGTAGTAGTAGTGGTAGTAGTTGTTGTTGTTGTTGTTGTAGCTGTACTTGTTGTAGTTGTAGTTCTAGTTGTAGTTGTTGTGTAGTTGTAGTTGTTGTTGTTGTTGCTGTTGTTGTTGTTGCTGTTGTTGTTGTAGCTGTTGTAGTTGTACTTCGAGTTGTAGTTGTAGTTGTTGTGTAGTTGTTGTAGTTGTAGTTGTTGTTGTTGTGGTTGGTGTTGTTTTTGTTGTTGTTGTTGTAGTTGTTGTAGTTGTTGTTGTTGTTGTAGCTGTAGTAGTAGTAGTAGTAGTAGTTGTAGTTGTTGTTGTTGTTGTAGCTGTAGTTGTTGTAGTTGTTGTTGTTGCTGTTGTTGTTATTGTTGCTGTTGTTGTTGTTGTAGTAGTTTTTGTAGTTGTAGTTCTAGTTGTAGTTGTCGTGTAGTTGTTGTAGTTGTAGTTGTTGTAGTTGTTGTGGTTGGTGTTGTTGTTGTTGTGGTTGTGGTTGGTGTTGGTGTTGTTGTTGTTGTTGTTGCTGCTGTTGCTGTTGTCGTCGAAGTTAGGGTAGTTAAGTTAGTCAAGTTAGTTAAGTTAATCAGTGTCTACTTTTTCGACATCTTCACGTCAAAAAAGGCTCAAAACCCTCAGTTTTTTACACTTTTGACTTCGAAATGTGCTTCGCGCCACAACGGCGTGCACTTTTTCGACACTTTTTCGACATCTGAACCTCCAAAAGTGGTCCGAGAATGGTGTGTTTTGTACATTTTGACTTGGAAATGTGCTTCGCGCCACAACGGCGTGCACTTTTTCGACATCGGAACTTCCAAAAGTGGTCCGACATTGGTGTGTTTTGTACATTTTGACTTCAAAATGTGCTTCGCGCCACAACGGCGTACACTTTTTCAACATCTCAACTTCCAAAAGTGGTCCGAACATGGTGTGTTTTGTACATTTTGACTTGGAAATCTGCTTCGCGCCACAACGGCGTCCACTTTTTCGACATCGCAACTTCCAAAAGTGGTCCGCTCCTCTAGTGTTTTGTACATTTTCACTTGGAAATGTGCTTCGCGCCACAACGGCGTGCACTTTTTCATCTCTCATCTGGCCAGCTGGCTCCGCACCCGCCGCTTTAGCGAGCCTACTTTTCGACCCTCCGGAGCCCCAAATCATTGGAAAAACACAGTGAATCGCGACTTTCCTATCTTTTCGCGCATCTACATCTTCTTTCTTCTGATCTTTTCTCTTCTGACTCTTCTCACCTCTGCTTTTCAACTGTCCATATTGTCGGAAGTATAGCTTCTAAACTTCCTTCGATTATAGTTATAAACCAACTTAGCTAACTATGGGCCTCATCTTGCACGGGATTTTCCAGCCATGTCTGTTTACCAGAGGATAGCATCCTGATTTCTGATCGTTTTTTGGCTGATTCTTGTTGAAAGGAATGATTGTTTGGTCATGAAAAAGAACTTGGGTCAATGAACCAGTGGAAACTTTGCTAATGACGATTGACTACACTCGCTTACACATGATTGCAACCAGAAACGCGCTTTATCTAACAGTGCTGAAACCAATTTTGGTTTCAAAATGCACCTCAGCCACTGACGGGGCGCCGGACAATAAGGTTGGCCCCGAACGACGTGCACGCATGTGTGGCAGATGTAGGGCTGGGCCCATCATGAATGATGCTTGGAGCATCGGGAGGGGTACCCCAAAGATCGCATCAAAAGACATTGGCCTCATGATCTGGAGGTTGCCAAAAATTGGGTTACCCCAAATCATCCAGAATTAGACCTGTTTAGTATTGAAAGCCATGATTGTGGGGACCCCCATGATTTAGATAACCACCATCTGGCTGGGTGTGAAGCTTGTTTATTTCCCATCCTACCTGAGATGGTTTTAACCACCAACCAGGAATAGTTGATGCTGAGTAACAGAGGCAATCATGCCAAAAGTTGCCTTGCTCCAATTAGCCGCTCTAAGCAACTTTAACGCTTCCCCTTTGCACGGAAAAAATAGGAACCTCAGCAACAAACAGCGAGGCAGGCAACAATGGGAAATTTACCCACACATCACTGGTGAGAGATTCCAGCTGTTGCGTTGCTAGGGTTTCATTTCATGCTGTTTCCTTAGCATAAGTCCCGTGCGTGGGAAACGCTGCTGTGGATGCAGGATGCTCTTCATTGGTAGCATGTTCTATTCATGGATCATCCTCAACGTCAAAGTGCCTTATCCAACGTGCCTTATCCTGCCATGGCCACGCTCCACACTCAGGACGCGTGCAGCAATTTGGCCACCCACAACAGTGACTCCAGTCGCAGGCGTGCGAACCATTGCCCCCGCTGCAATTGGTTCGATCGCAACTGGAACAACTGGCCTGAGTGGGACGGCCACTTGGCAAATTTTGGAAGGGAAAGTTCACCTGGCGGCTAGCGGGTGGTAGTTCTGTTTATCTATAATATATACATAAATATATATGTGTGTGTGTGCGTGTGCTTATCATTGTTTATCTCTACAGTCTATGATTGCTGGCACTGTAGCCTGCGGCGGTGCTGTTGGCTGGTCGATAGTGACATGTTTTGACCTGAATCACAGCCACCTGAGGCGTTTATGGACCTCACTGAGCAATGACCAGCCGGCCGTCGTGGCTGTACAGTGTGCTGTCAACTCGTTGAAGCTGCTAGGGCTTCCAATCTGCAAAAAAAGGGACCGATGGCGGCGGAATTGCATGGTCCATCTCAGGAACTGGCTTCTACAAGATTTAGCACCCAAATGGGGTTTGTGTACACATGCACATACATGTGCATATAGATTTACAAATACATATTCTTTATAATTATTGAATTATATAATTTATTCATCGTTGATCTCTCAAGATCGCTCAGATCTTGAGCGAGGTTCCCCCACTAAGGCTATCAGTTACCCAGGGACGAACACTTCAGCCTGAAGGAATCCCAAAAACTGGGTTGTTGTGGCTCCAGCTGTTGCAAATGTTTCTAGATGCCGGAAATCTGTGCAAGCCACCAAGCAGCACAGGTTCGCCGTTAAAATGAAGAGACATTGCATTGAAAGCAGCTTGGAACCCTTGGCTCGTGGATCTTTTGTCACCCCAACAGAAGTGCCACAGCGTTGGGGTTTGTGGGGATATGGGGGTGCCAAAAAATCAAGACACGAATCTGCATGTTGGTTTGCGAACATTTCGTTGTTTGCATATGTTTGTATCCTAAGCTGTCATGCTGATCGTAAGTGACATACAGTTGGCTCAAGCGCCATCCTCCCCGCGCGCCTTGCGAGGAGACTCCCATCTACATGTGGCCCAGCCTTTTGCTCGTCCACAGGGATATCTTTAAGAGTAGGAGTACTCAGGAGTACTAAAGTATCTATCTTTAAGAGTACTAAAGTATCTAGAGTATCTAAAGTATCTAAAGTGGGCATAGTATAGTATCCCCACTTCGGCATTCGCATATTGGTGACTTCTAACATCTTTTGGTCTTTTCCCCAGGAGCCTTCGCCAGCGCAATGCCTTTGGAAGGCAATGCGGAGATGATTGTCTGGCGCCAGGCAGTGGACACAGAGCTGCGCCTGGCCAACCAGTGGGAGGACCGGAAATCAGTAGGGAAAATCCAGGTGAAAATGGGATAAAATTGGTTTTTCAAAAGCACCGATGGGAAAAAATGGTGGTTAAACGGTTAAACTATGTTAAACCCTCATGACATGGGATTAAAAAGTGACGCCATGGGATTTCACCAACAAAAAATGGTAAACAACCCGTTTTCTCGGGATATGATATGGTGATACAATGAATATATTGCCAGTTGGTGTCCCAATAGTTAGCTAGTTGTCGTTTTACAACTGAACCCTTCACCTGATGATTATAGCTATATTCCGTTGGGTTTGACAAGCCAACTTACCTTCTGGTTATTTGTTACATAGCTATGGAAAGTGGCCCCGTTTATAGATGATTTAAATGATTTACCTATCAAAAATGACGTAGGGCACCAGCCTTTCGAATACCCTGTTGGGGCTGAGGCGAGGCAAAAATGGGACATGACCTTGCGGATAACGCCCAAGTGCCCTGGAAAATCCACCATTTATGTATCGTGTTATGAAAGATGTGTCCTATGAAAAATCCTATTTAAAAACGAAACGAAATGGAGAAACGATGTATTTCTGGTTGGGGTGGGTCAAATATGTGATATTCGTCGTTGTCGACCATACTTGGGATGATTGGTTGAGATGACTAAGATTTTGGAGATGGGTTCAAACCACGAACCAGATTGTAAAGCTCATCAAGGTTTTCCATTGCTTCCATAATCTGGATGGAATGAGAATGATGATTAGTCAGGTTCCGGGTGAATAGTATCTTACCCTCTGGTAATCTAACATAACTATGGAAAATCCACCCATTTTATAGCTGGGTAAATCAACTATTTCGACTTGGCCATGTTCAAGTTCGCAAACTGTAAACGTTTACCAGGGGTATCCCAATATAACCATCATTAACCATCATTTTGTTTAACCATTATTAACCATTCATCATCATCATTAACCATCATTATTAAATTACCAGAGGCTAAATCCCATTACATCCCATGAAATCACCATAGAAAGAGTTGATTTTCCTATTATCTTACTATCCATTCTCAGCCAGAACGATCCATCGAGAATCCCAGGGGGGGCAGAGGACAGCTGGGGCTTTCTGAAAGCCGCGAAGCCACGATCCAAGGTGCCCAAAAAAAAATGCCTCGATTTTTCCTGGACATTTCACCCCAAAAAATGGAGATCACATGAGATCACTATTTTTGTAGGTGGTATGGTCACCATTCCCAAATGGCTAGTTTTATTATTGTTTTAACCACATGAATATGGGATTTTGAGGGTTTTTTTCATGGAAAAAACCCTTCGGTGTCAACAAACATTTCAGAATTGGAAGTTCACCCTGCTGGGTTTTGTCATTAAAAATGATGAGAAATCAGGCGTTGATCATCAAGATTGGAAATGGATGGAAATGGTCGATGGTTTTGGTGCCGGTTGTTGTTGATAACTTGGATAACTTTTACGCTGAGAAATATCTGCTACCAGCGGTGTCATCATTCTGGGTAAATTTAATCACGACCGAACCCTGTTCTCCCGAGCCCTGGAATCATGGCTTATATATGGGAAATCATCCCCTTTTATGGCCGAACTATTCAGGTTAGTGATATACTATGGCCTTTACCCAGATCATTCGCCATCGCTACTAACCCAACGCAGAGATCCAGATCCCCTCATAGTCAGTGACCAGCAGGCGGCCACAAAAAAATCAGCGATTTTTCAGGTTAGTGACTTGTTAAAAACAACCCTATGTTTGGTGGGTTTGAATCAAAGCTATTTATTTGGTGATTTGATGTGATTTTAGGGTGGGGGTGGAAGCTGTAAACTATGAAAGCTGGAACACATTGGAGGTAAAAGATTGGTTGAACCTGCTTCAGTGGGGGATGAAGTTGTGTGGCAATTAATCATCAAAATGGGTGATAGCCCAACAATCGCAAAAACATTTGCATGGTGGGCTCATGGGACAGTGCCGAAATCATGCTGGCGAAACTTTCACCATGGAAATCTTGGGTAATCCATTCCCCACAGGTAGGATCTTTAGGTATCAGAATACTGGTTGAAATTCGATGGTTTTTGTTCGGTTGAAAAGTCAAAAAAAAAATCCGGCGCCAAAAGTCCTCCTAAATCCTCATACAATGTGGGGCCTCCTAGTTATAAGTTGGTTTATAAGCCCCAATAACTATAGTTATAAGTACCATAAACCATAGTTATTGGAGTTATTGGCACCAACCTAGCTATCGTTTGGGGGCCCCACTTTGTAGTCCTCTTTCTTCGATTCCCACGAAACGAGTTTCGATTGAAACCGTCTCCAGGTAGCTCTCCCGAAGCTGGATGGGTGGAAACCTCAGAAACCTCCGCGTCAACGAGTCAACGGGAGGAAAATCACCCAACTCATCCAGTCGGTTTATGAACCCACTTATAACTGGGGGGTGGGCACAACCTTGTAGCAAAAATGGGGGGGTTCCCAAAATGGAGATAGCCCCAGTTCTCATCCATTTTAGATTGGGATGTTGAAATAAACCATCCAGCGATGTTGAGGGGTACCACCATGACTATGGAAACCTCCAAGTGGCGACCAGCCAACAAGCTGAAAATGTCTTTACCATGGTGCAAGTGGCCCTCTAAGGTTCTTGCCAAGAATTCAGGGGAATGATGTGGGTAAGTCTGAAAAATGGAGTCTACCCGGTCTACCTGACAAAATGCAATGTTCATTAGGGAAAATGATGATGGACCATTATACAGATTTAAACTGGCCGGTGGTTTCACACCTTTTTTATGTTCCATTTCATATATGGGATGTCATCCTTCCCATTGACGAACTCATATTTTTCAAGATGGTTGTTTAACCACCAACCAGTGAAACATGTTTAAATTCATTGACATGATTCAGCTTAAGCCTGGTGTCGTTACCTCATAAGATCTTGGATTGGCCAATCAAGGGTCAGCAAGCCATCGATAGGAAGGGAGCTGTTGGACCAGACCTGGAGAAGAAGGAGCACTGCAAAAGGGGAATCAGTGCCCACTGACATCTTTTGAAAGGGTTGGGAAGCCAGGTATCTCTTCGTATCTTATCATTCAGCTTATCATTCAGCTTATCATTCAGTTGGTTTCAGATATTGATAGAATTGAAGATGTTCAACAATTCAAGATGTTGAAGATAGAAATCAGTTGGTTTCAGTTATTGATAGATATTGTTCTTGATATAGAATTGAGTGAAGATGTTCAACATTTTCCGGTGGTTAAAACTCCGATGTCGTTTTTCGGAGTTTTCCATCCGATGATCCCCACAATTTATCAGCCAGGAGCATGCTGCGGACATCCCACAGATGACGCCGCGATTTTTGGCCGCTTTGCCCTGAACCTCGAGGGGAGCTGGGAAACAGTTTCGGGCCATGTTTCATAGGGAAAAACCATGGGGATTGGCATTGGGAATATGTCATCATATTGTGGTTAAATATCTGGAAATATCTGGAACATCTCCGCATTCTTGACTTTGCCAGGTACTTTGCTATCCATGTTGGGTGCTTGTTGTGGGCTGTTGCATATGTGACGAATAGGTCTCCCAGCATGTCGCAGATCCCAGCATTTCACCGCACCGCAGGCGACCTCACAGCAGTCGTATAAAGCGCGGGCACCCATTGAAAAGCCCTGACCTCAGCGACAAAGCCTGGGAAGACAACAGCTGTTCGAAGGCCTGGACATGATGTGTTTTACCCGGCCAGGTAAAGGTTTACAGTTTGCGAACTTGAAAATGGCCCAGTCGAAATAGTGGATTTACCCAGCTATAAAATGGTTGGATTTCCCATAGCTATGTTAGTTTACCAGAGGGTAACTAAGTGATACGTAAGTTTTTGCTGAGAACACCTATGGGAAAGCTAAATAAGAAACCGTCTTTTGCCGGAAGTTGAAGATGATTTCTGCCTAAAAAGGGTGCAGATGTCCAACTTGGCCAAGTCTACCGTATCTACTTGCGAGTTGCTCTGCGCGTCCGAGAATTGAATACCATTGATTGTTTATCAATTCTTGGTTAATCACCATCGACCCCTACTAACCACTATTTGTCAATCCATGGAATCCACTATTAACCACTACTAGCCACTATTTGTCAATCTCCATTCTTCCATTTTCGTTCCATAGACATCCCATCGAATCACCGTCCGTTGTTTCCAACCCCAGGTTGGCAATGAAGAGATGGGCTGTAAGGTCAGTGGGCCGCTCGTAAATGCCCGAACCAAATGGATAGGAAACTATAGTATATTATGCGGGTAAAACAATCACAAACCATTCCCCAGTCATCACCATTTTTATAGGTGGTATGGTCACCATTCCCAAATGGGTGGTCTATTATCTTGCCTTACCCACATTAATCGTTCGCCAAACGGGCCGCTCAACGGTGGTTTATGACATCAGCTCAGATGCGGGAAACCTGTGCTTAATTGAGACAAACCGATGGTTAGCCAACAATTTTTTGGAGGTATCCACCAGTAATGCAAATTTAGTCACTGAAAAAAAATGTATTTAGCCCATGAAGCTATTGATTTAATAGGAAATATGGGTGGTAAAACCAGGTTTACCAGCTGATAGCGGAGGTTCAGCAAAATATCGATAGTTGCCCATCAAAAATGTGTGTAAGCTGACCGCTTGAGTAGGTTAGCGGGCGAATTCCAGGCTGTAAACGACCAAGCCCAGAAAAAGGAAGGACTCCTGGTTGGTGGTTTGGAACATTTTTATTTTTCCATATATTGGGAATAATGATCCCAACTGACTAATATTTTTTCAGAGGGGTTCAAACCACCAACCAGACTCTGTTTTTTGTGGAAGACCCAAGGTTGACCATGAACTGTCCGAACTGCAAGACTACCCACAGGTATGTTGCAGTGTTTCCCTCCGTCTGGCAAAACTGGAGATGATTTTATACTGTTGGATTCCCACACGATCCATAAATGATGTTTGGATATTAGTCATTATTGGCTGTACCAGATTTACCGCAAGAATTGTTTCACAATATGTCATCATTTGTTGGTTAAATCCCATATGAGGTTGTCTTAAAATATGGTGCCCCAAAAAGTCGATGGTTCATCATGTTTCCCACTCAATGGCAATTTATGGGCATACGGGCATCTACCCCATTTTCAGACACACCTACCCTCTGGTTATTGAATGTAGCTATGGAAAATCACAATGTTTCAGAACGGTATATATAAATCATAATGTTCATCATCTGTAAATAGGCCGTAGCTTCCGTAGTCAGTGAAATAACCAGAGAATGGGTATATAATATCTATTGAGAATATCCATTGGGACTAATGTCCATTCATAATTATCCATTAATAGTTATTCATAAATAATCATAGGATCATAGGTAACACCTTTTTCAAATAAAATAGTCATTTCCATTCATTAGTAATCTCCATTAATTGCTAATCTCCTTAAATAGTTGGTAATAGGTATTCTTCCCTTTAATCAGTAATTCACAGAATTGGATGATCGGAAAATTGAACCGGAAAGCCCTATATTTAATGGTAAAAACCTATGGGTTTCCCGTTAAGATTTTCCCAACAAAACCAATCCATTGAGTAATATCCATTCACAATTATCCATTAATTATCCATTCATATTAATAGGTAACACCTTTTTAAATAGAATAGGTAGTAATATCCATTAGTATGAGTAATATCCATGAATAGCTACCGTCCTTAAACCCCTTGGCTGCACCCCAGTTGGAGAGGCACGACCCTGAGCTGTGGCCGACCATTTGCCCCAAATGAGGCGCGTTATGGAGCGCCGCCCCTGCGAAGCAGGAACGCGCTAGGGGTTGAACGAACATCGCTTCAAAAAGGCCGGAAAAGGCTGGAAAATACATTTAGAAATATGTAGTAATTACTATGATTACTATAATCACATGCAGCAATGCATGAACCGCAGTTCGAACTCGAACCGAACAGTTCAACCCCCCCCGGGGCACACTCTGAAAATACATTTAAAAATATATGTAGTACTATGATTACTATGGTGTAAACCCCCATTGATGCCACCCAGTCAATTTTAAGGTTGACACTGGCATGGTTTCACCAAGTGTAACAAGCATTGGGACCATTGTAAGATGTCTTGATTTGTTCATTTGCGTTATATGGTATGTCTATATATATATAGGAGCGCACATGCATGTTCACATACACATGCATACTGATATCCATGCACAGCGAAAAACACAGATAGCGTGAATTCATGTGTAGTGCAGCTGCCGCATCGAGACATGTACAACAACATCGTCACCAACTGACAAGACGCTTTTGATTCTCCCGTTCAACCGCTGCCACTGCGACTTGCGTCCGGCGAAGCACTTTGCACCCCCAAGGGACGTGGCTAGTCCGCGCCGGGCGATCTCTGGCTGGTGTGATGAAGATTTAGCCACCTAAACTTGGAATTTCAATTTAACAATCTAAAGTGGTGGATTAACCCATCAAACATTTGTGTATGCAAAGCACCTATGAATTGCTTTTTCGGAGAGCACCTCAGAGTCCACGATATAGAACACAATACGTATACGTCACTGATGTAGTTCGCATTTAGCTACGGGTGGGTTTTAATCATTGCGTTCTGGTGGATCATTCATTTGTTTCATGATGGTTCATGACGGTTCATGTGCCATTCCCAGTGGTTGTGTGATGAAGCGAACTCAAAAACCCGTGTTTCGGGGCTCGGATTTTGCTGGGTTGGCTGATCACCAACTAGAAGATCCATCGATTTTTGCACCCATGAAATCATGGGAACGTTTTAGCACGGGCGGTGCCAGCATCTGCCATCGGTCATTGTGTCGTAGTTTTTTTTCTGTTCCTTTCCCCCTGAAAGGGGCACACACAATTAACTGGTTGGTGGTTTGGAACATGACTTTTATTTTCCCCAATAGTTGGGATGATGATCCAATCTGACGAACTCCATCATTTTTCAGAGGTGTAGGTATACCACCAACCAGTTAAGGATGGAAACCACATGAATTCCCGAATTGAAGACGGACAGGATGTCAACTGGAGCAGCTAAGAAGCCAGGGGATGATGCAGATCGGAGAACTAAACAGCAACGTTACCCCCAAAATCACCGAGAATTGGTTTTATAGTGGCCACCCAAAGATAGAAAAGTTGGGAACCTGGAAAATATCGGGGGAGCCCATGGCATCCAGATGGTGACCCGGTCGGCACCGCCCGGTCTCCACTTAGCAGCCAGTCACAGCCAGGTCGGGCAAAGTGAATCTATGCGAATCTCGGGATCTCTCAGTAGCACTGCTAAGAGTAAGACGTGAGAGTTACTGATGTTATTGTAATAGCCATAGTAATAGTGGCAGTTGCCCACAAAGAATACAAATATTGCCATCACGACCAAAAATGGTCGTAACAGTAAGCCTAGTGCTGACAATGCGACAGCATGGATGGTGGGATGGTGGCAACAGCTGGCTGCCGAAAAAGCCCATCCATCTAATACTAACCCCCATTGATGGTTTCCAAATGTGTGTAGATCCCCTACTAAACCATGTTTGGCAAAAGGGGAAAGGATTCATGATGATCGAAAAAGAATCTGATCACCTTGATGCAGCATCTTTGGCTCATACAGCTGGTTTCCCAACACTTCCTGCACCTGAGCCAGGACCGGGCAGTGCGTAAACGGAGTGCGGTCTGGAGCCGCCAAGAGTTAAGATTTCACACCCGAAACTGATGGATTTAAAATTATGAAACATGTGAATTGAGTCATCAAGAATAAGGGTTCAACCAGCAGTGGTGAAACATGGGGAGATCAAGCAGAATGGCTATAGAATGGCTTTGTAAAGTGGAACAGATCGGGGATCAACCCAGCTTTCAACAAAGCTCTCCCTCTGAAGGATGAGCCAAGTCGCAAGGCACCTTGGGCGCAGGAAGTACGGTACTCGGACATATGGGGTGTGCTTAGGCACAAATCTCCATAGGCCATTGATAGATACAGACTCTGCTGCTTTAGAAATGTTTGAGGAAGATGTCCCAAGAAATGTTTGGGAATTCCCTTCAAAATTGAACCGCGACACCGACTAGTTGGAAACGGACTGCCTAGGTCACTGAGCCTCCAGTGTGATAGTTGATTCCGAGAAATCGTTGAATTCGGATGATTTGTCGGTTCAAAATCCCCTGGATTTGGGTGGTAAAACCCATGGGTTTCCCTTGCCGCAAGTCCCTCAAAATCAATGCAACTAATGAATCACCCAAGTTGAGCCTACGAAATCCATCGGTGACACAGTGAGGATGTGCATTGGAAAACATGGATTTGTCCCAAATTTTCTATGGTTCAAAGCCTCATTCTTCGCATTGAAAGAGCTGTAAATAAATAGGGGATATAGGGGATCAGTCATGATAAGTCCTTCATTTGTGGGCAAGCCCACATACATCCCCTGCATAGTTTCGAGGCCAGATGTGACCCCTGAGAAAATTGATGGGCCTGAACCAAGCCAATTTGTCAGATGATGGGTGGGAAGTGATCGTAGATCCCCTCTATATCTATATGATTAATATGCATTTAACTATGACGCTACATATCAGTTATAAATGTGCATATGCATATCCATATTATACACTAAACGGTATTAGCAGTAGCACAATATCATATCATATCCACTCTGACCGCATGCGTTCTTCCGTAGGTCAACGACCATCAGCAAAGAGAATGCGAGGTCCTGCCTCGAAGCAGAGACCCAGCTGAAAAGGTGGCATTCCACCATGATGGGGACCTAAGGCCACAGAATGTGTCATCATGACTACTCACTGGTGAACTAACATAGCAATGGAAAATGGTCATAGAAATAGTGGATTTTCCCATTAAACATGGTGATTTTCCATTGCTATGTTAGTTCACCAGAGGGTACTCACTGAATGTTTTTTTTGCATGATAAAATCGCATTAGAACTGGCAAGGTCACCCAGATTTGGCGATGTTCAGTGGCTAGATGAGTGTCTACAGGATGGTGCCCCTCAGTTATAAGTTGGTTTATAAACCCCATGAAAACTAGTTCGTTATATCTGCCATAAACCATAGTTATAGGAGTTATAAACCAACTTAGCTAACTATGGGGCACCACCTTGTACGTTTGTTGGTTTTCATTGTTGTTTATTCTCATCTATCGCGTGGGCGCTTCGTTTTTCCGTTCCATTATTTCAGGCAGTTAAACATCGCTTTCTGGTTTTCTGGTGCTCCAATGGTGGTCAACACTGGAAAATGATGTTGAGGGAGGGGATTTAAGGACCCATGCGTTTACTGCTTGATTTTCCAAAAGGAAGTTTGAACCATCAAAAAGACCAGAAATCTGACCTGCAAAACTCGCCGTGTTTGGCCCCTCGGAAATGAGCTTCTTCGCTAAGGCTGGAGCTGCTTATCAAGAAGATGACAAAACCTTGAGCTGTGTGGCAGACGGTTGCAAGGCGTGCAACCCTTCTTTGTGGACGAGGGAATAAAACATTCCCCTAGTGATGGGCTGGTTTAGATCAGAATCTGGGATGCCAACTGGGGGTTCAGCCAGAAATCATCGTTGGGCCCCAAGCAAATTAAATGGGGATGATTGAAGCCAAAAAAAATCTTCTGGCCAATAGAACTAGTCCATAATAAGTTCTAAGTACTTAAGTGCTAAAAAATCCTGCAAAGACATCCGATTATGCGGCAGTAATTAGGTCTCCACTATTGATAATTCCCATATTTGCGGTTAGTATCCAAGATTGGCAATGTTTTCATTTGTCTACTCACCGTTATATTGTTCAATATTAATGCTTGGCTAGTGGAATTATATACTAACAAGCTAAATGTACCTGGTGTCTAAGATTAACCACTAAATATGTATAGCCAATCAACCTTAGATACCACTGATACCACTAATCCATAAAAAAAATTGCAGCTGAGCGAGCTCACTAGTATAATATATATATATAATGTGTATATAGTATATATAGAGAGGAAGAGTATGTATATATAGAGAGAGAGAATAGAGAGAGAGAGAGAGGGAGAGTATATATATATATAACATTGTACAACCAACGTTTTTCACTGAGGTGTGCGTCACCATAGAGTCCGAGCGCATGATCATTGCCTTTCGGGGCACTGATAATCTCGAGAGCTCTGTCAGCAACGCTGAGAAAACGTGATGAGATCCCAACGATTTTATGGGAATATATCCCAGCAAAATATGGCCTCATATGGTACAATACCTCCATTTTAGGATCCTGAAATTCCCATTGATATAGTGCGATCCAATAAAATGTAATGGAATGAGATACACTGGGGTATGGTGAAAATGTATGAAAATGTGGGATCTTGTGGTATATGATGGCATAGAAGCACTTGGATCATCTTAGGGCCTTAGGGATCGTGGATCGTAGGTGTTTAACAGGGAAGGCTGGTTTCCCCAGCTGCAAATGGCATTAAACCATTTTTGCTGGGGAGTCATTTAAATAGGCTGAAAGGAACCCAAGGTGGCCCTTCACAGGTAAATCATCTCTGAATCACCATTCTAATCGGCAAATCAACTATGAATCACCATGTTCATAGGTAAACCTTCTATCAATCACCATCTTAATAGGTAAATGATAATCATCTAGAAATCTGCGATTTTTCGGCAAGCCATCTTTGATTTGCCTAGAACATTTTTTACTGTCACACTGTTATCGAACTGGAGGATTTGTTCAACAAAAGTTCCTGCTATCCACATTGCGATTCTCTAACCCTGGATGTTAATGATATTGAATTTCATGTCCACCTATATCATTCCAAATATGTGTCATCCACTACTGTCCATCACTTTTCCACATGCCCTTACCCCAGCATTGCTTGAAGCGAAGATGCAGGACAGACTCATATCCAATACAGTAGCTCCAATAGCCCTGCTGGAAGCCACCATTTATAAACAGAAACTGACCAGCGACCCGTTCGTTTCTGTGAAATCCCTTCCTGGACTCGTAAGGAATTTCTTCACAGATCTTGATATCAAGCTGATTCCCTACTTACCGGGGCAAGGCCACGTACACCAAGGCCGGCGCAGGGAGCAGGAAGATGAATGGGTTGATGGTGGATGGCGATTCGGGGATTAGCCATCAAAAAAAGTGCTATTACCCTCTGGAAATTTAACATGGCTATGGAAAATCACCATTTTTAACAGGTAAATCAACTATAAATGGCAATTCTCCATAGCTATGTAACAAATTACCAGAGGCTAATCATCAAAAAATGTCAAAAAAAAACTGCTTCAACTATCAGTGAGGGGCAGGTCCAAGGAGGCATGGCGACTTACCAGGTCCAGTGGAGCACTGAGTTTGAACCCAGGAAGGAAAAGGATGTGCCTGTGTTAAGTAAATACTTTACATGTTGAAAAGGCCTAAATACTTTCAACCTCCTTTCTCTTTACATTTGATTTTAGGAATGAAAGTAAGGTATGCCCAAAAAATCACATGTAAAGAGAAAGTGACTTCAAAACCAGTGAAAAAAAGAGAGTTAGCCACCATGAAATGGCAATGCTTGTGAGATTACAGATCCAATCAAATGCTATTGCGGCGGTATCAAATATTCCCAACAATGAGTATGTCACTTGTGAAATTGGTGAAAAATCTGCAAAGTATGGAGGTATCACCAACTATTTGGCCTGTTGCTGCATTGCAAATAGGAGAACCATCCCCGATGACTTACCCAGTGGCTTCATGTGGCTTGGTATGGTAGCTTAGTGGCTTTTAGCATTTTTTTATTTGTGACACAAGATCTGCAGTACATAAAAATATCCTGCTAAAACGATTACAGTTCTGCAGGGTTTCTATCGGTTGCCACGTATTACTGCCACAAATCGCTGTGACTGTGGTCCCTAGTTGATGCCCGGATGCCATCAACGCAACCCAGTCTTGAAGCTGGCTCCATCCTTCCGATCCAAATTTGTGGCCTGGAAAGTTGCAGAAGATCTGTGAAAATCTAAATCCCATGTCATCCATCCATTCATCCATTTATCTTCAGTATATGTACAAATGCCTTATTATGTGTATATATATATATATGTGTGTGTGTGTACATCCATCCATCCATCCATCCATCCATCCATCCACCCACCCACCCACCCATCCATCCACCAGAGAGTCTCAAGCCTCACCATCCCAGTGCTAAACCCTGGATCATTGGGAGGTTTCTTCAAGGCTTTCCAAGCCTTGCAGCCTCTCCTCGACGACGTGCTGCAGCCCGGGAAGATCCTTCTCTTCACAGGTGACGCAGCGTCCAGCGGATCAGGGACCAGGGATCTGGGCAAAAAGTTGAGGATATAATGGTTCTTGAAATGCTGGATCCCCAAGTCACCCATAGTTGTGATTCAATACTACAATGGTCTAATGACTTGGGTGATTTAGGGGTGCTCCCATTTTAGGAAGCCTCCATATTTTGACCAAAAAGGGATTTCATCACAAGAAAAATAGGGATCGAAGCTGGAAATATCTGGAGCCACTTCGTATGATGATGCTGTCCACTCAGATGTCATTCTCATGGCCATCAGGTGTGTCTCTGAAATCTTTGCAGAGCGCCCGCTGGCAAGTGGATGATTCACTTTGTCATAGCCATGTTTGCCTGGTTACCCTCTGGTAAACTAACATAACTATGGAAAATCACAATGTTTAATGGGAAAACTCACTATAAATTGCCATTTTTGATGGCTATGTTAAATTACCAGAGGGTAGATCCCTTCTTATTGACAAAATTATCTCTTTCCCTCAGTGGATGAGCATCATGCCAACTGTAACCATCACCACACCATCACCATCACCCTCATCGTCCTCTTCTTCATTTTTTCATCATCATCATCATCGTCATCGTCATCATCATCGTCATCGTCATCGTCGTCCTCATCATCATCATCATCATCATCATCATCCTCATCGTCATCATCATCATCATCATCATCACCATCACCATGATGCATTCTCTATGTGGATTTGTCTGACATACGGCGCCCCAAAAAAACATAAAAAAAAAACATGGTTTATCATCATTTTCCGTGCTAGAGCTGCAGTTTTGAGACAGGCCCAGATTAGAGTTATTCAGTGTAAAATCATGTTAAATCCCAAGTGTTGATTATAATTCACCTGGTCTCACCATGTTTGATGTTGAAATGACTTTAAATCAGAATTTTGGATGGCCATATCCCCAAAAAAGATCACCATGTGGCTTGAAAAATCCCATGAAATCACCATTTTTCATGCTTAAATCACCAGTTTCCTATGGGTTTTCCCATGTTTGTCCCAACATTTGTTTCCACACAAGGCCACAGCTTGGGAGGTGCCCTAGCGACCTTGAGCGCCCTGCACGCGGCCGCGAGCGGCAGAAGCATCCAATGCGTTACCTTTGGGTGTCCCAAAGTGGGAGATGAGGAGAAAAGACAACTATTCTGGGTAAATTATAACGACCTCACTGCGACCTCACTGGAATCATAGTTGATAAGGGAAATCATCCCCAAATGGAGAATAAACAACAATGAAAACCAACAAACGTACAAGGTGGTGCCCCATAGTTAGCTAAGTTGGATTAGAACTCCCATAACTATGGTTTATGGCAGATATAACTATAGTTAATGGGGTTTATAGACCCACTTATAAGAAGGGATCTACCCTATTGAAAATGGAAAATCACCATTTTCTGGGGGACGGTACCCTCTGGTAAACTATATGGGATAGTAATGGTTAATACTGGCTAATAATAGTTGATAATGGACCAATCACCAGCAATAATGGATGAATAATATGAATAATGGATAATTGGAATACCCTCTGGTTATGTCAAAATAGCTATTGAAAATGACCATTTATAGTGGATTTTCCCATCAAAAATGGTGATTTTCCATAGTTAGGTTAAATTACCAGAGGGTATTCCGCTGGTTGTTTGGATGGTTTTGGATGCCTGCTGTGGTTTTGCTTGTGGTTCATGGCGATTTTCATTCCGACGATTCTGGCGGTTTTTGTTGATGGTGAATGATGGTGATTGATGCTGATGAATGAATTTGTTGGATCGATGATTGTCCACCCATCATTTTTTTGGATGTCCCAACAGTGGTTGAGAGTGGTTGATAATGGCTCATGGCGATTGATGGTGATTAATGAGAAATTCCTGGGTTTGTTTACTAGGGATTTTTGGGGTCTGAAAGAAATTGTGATTTAACCATGAAAAATTGTGATATTAATGGCATTTAACCAAGCTTTCATGGCGATGGATGGTTTTTGTGGATAGTTATTGGTGATGAATGGGTGATGAATTTGCAAATCCAAGAAATGTGGAGTTTGTTTAATAGGGAAATCATGGGATAGTAATGGTGAATGTGGTAATAGATTATGGTTAATAACGGTGAATGAGTTAATGGTGATTAGTGGTGATTGATCCATGAGCCCATGAATGGGTTGCAAAAGATTCTTGTACATGTGTATGTGTATGATTTTGATTGCATCGAATAAATATATATATATACATGTCGGAAAGTGGATAGGCGGTTGCCAACAATCACCAAAATTGAGGCCCTTGAGATCCAACTGTTTTATTTAGAGTTTGAATCATTCATTATTATGTTGATGTTAGATGGCTTCAAGACTACCCCCTTTGCGCGATTGTTTTTTTTTGTATTGTTTAAAGGGTTTGTAAAAAGAAATCGATGAATTCAGATCTTTCAATTTAATTAACTAATTAGATCTTCGAGGTCAGATTCAAAACGGAAAAGAATAACCAAACAAAAAAAAGGAAAAACATCTCCCAAAAGTCGGTTGGCGTACTCTATTGTGGGGGGCCGTATGAAAATCTTTCCCGGGATTTCGCGTGCTTCGAAAGGTCGGTTTGTTTTTGAAGTCTCGAAGTCGACGTCAGGACTTTGCCCGTTTCTACATGCAGCAAGTGCCGCAGACCTGTCGCTACGTGAACAAGTTCGACCCGGTGCCGCGGCTGCTGCACAACTCAGCGCGACCCAGGGACGATGCCGACTTGTTCCACTGGATGCTCGGTTGCGGTGGTAAACCCAATTTGCTCCCAAGCCATTGATGGATTTTTTGAGATTGGGAAATGATGTTCGTTGGGCACACTTATTGGGAAGCCCAGTGATTTCAGGTGGCTGGATGTGGTCCCCAAATCGGCCAAGGATGCTCTCAAAGCTGATCAAGTCGCCACAAGCGCAGCTCGCAGGCGGAGAATATGCTCCTTGATGGAAGAGTTTGCCGTTTGTTAATCAACCGCAATGGCAGATGCATTGTCACTGCTTGGATGCATTGATCCATTGCTTAGATCATATGTTTTTGTTTCACTGAAAGATGCTGAAATTCAGATCACCAGAATGGATAGGTTGAGGAAAGTCAGCTGGGAATGGGAATGGAAATGTGATTTAGGGGGCAAAATATCTCTTGAAAGTGAGTGGAAACCATGTTTAACTAACCCGCAGGGGTCGGAATTTTACCATCACAGAATGTTCGTTGAAGATGATCCTCCCATTGATTTTGAAATTGACGGTTTCAGAGAGAGTAGGACCAGGAAAGGTGGTTGAATGGGAATAGGACCCCATCGGGGTCCGCTCTTCAATGCCACCCAATCAATCAGTTGCAGAGGTACTTGAGGCTCGAATCTATCCCAGTTAGTCGGTGAGCCAGCCACGGCTACAAGCTAATTTAATTGTGTATTATATATATAGAGAGAGAGAGAGAGACGTATCCAGCTACATCCATAGGCAGCATACTAGCATATTTTTGCACATATGCATCTTTGTACATTATATGAATACAAATACTCTTATGTGTGCACATGTTATAGAATGCACAGTAATACACATATCATGTATCTATACACACATATGTATATATATATATATGCGTGTGTGTGTGTGTATGTATGTATTTGCATATAAATATATACATATATATATATACACACACACATATATACGTCGGTGTCATATATTATACTGGCATGCACATCCATCCCCAAGCCTTTCCCAGGCGCACGTCTGCGACGCAGTGCAGTTGGACTCCGGAGCCATGTCCAGCGTCAACCACTGGCGCGCCGTCGCAGCGTGTGTCGGGTGGCTGACCGGCAGAGCTGGGGAAGATCGACGGCAAGAGGCCGTGTTGGGATGACCCTCAGGTCTGGGTTTCTATAGTCATGGTGGTGCCCCAGTTCGGAATCGCGTTCAGTTGGGGGCCACATAACTCCAATTTCACTATGCTTTATGGTAGATATGTCGAACTACTTACTATGGTTTATAAATCAAATTGGAACTGGGGGGGCACAACCTGGTAGTCATAGTGGTACCCCAATAGCTGGATGGTTTAGAATGGAAAATCTTATTTAAAATGGAGATTTAGGGGCACTATTTAATTTAGGAAAGCCTCAAATCTAATGGGAATTGTGGTTGGGAGAAATGGGACATATATCGAAAACATACTGGAAAAATGTTGATTCAAGCAATCTGAAAGGGGATATTGATCATTTCTGTGGCGTAAAAAGGATAATGAACTGATGGAATATGAATGAGATAGACGAATAATAAACCATCAAATTAAGTATTTCATGCATAGTTAGTTGAAACAATTGGGATGGCAAATCCCAGAAACAAAAAAAAAAGTGTTTGGCCTGGGTGGTTCAATCACTAACAGTTATACCCTCTGGTAAACGTTTACATAGCTAATGGCCCAGTCGAAATAGTGAGTTTTCCCATTAAACATGGTGAATTTCCATAATATTTTGTATGTTTACCAGAGGATAACCATCAATAACCCACCATTCACCACTACTAACCATCATTAGCCACTATTAACCACTATAGTCCACCAGTGGCCTCTGTGTTTGGCCGTTGGCCTCTTAGGATCCGATCGAAAAGTCGGGAGCGGTGAATGATTGTGGGGTTCTGGAGCTAAATCAACACTTCCTATGGCCACAACTGTCTGAATTTGGCAGGGGTTGGTAACTGTCCCATTTTGGGAATATTGGATATCACCTTATAGTAGCCATTATAGACCATATACCTAATGGTTGGGTGATGTTCAATGGGGACATTGAATGACCCACATTTGGCGATGATCTACACAAATATGGAGATTGGAAAGATTTGGACTGGGTCAAAGCCATGATTTTCATTGAGTTTCCATGTTTGACAGGATGAACGTTCATTTGCTGGCGACCTGATGTCTGCCAGGATGTCCAAGTTCACATGTTTCTCGATTTGTCATTGGGAAGGATGGCCTATACGAATGGAATTCTTACTGGATATATGATATATATTGGAAAAATACTGATTATAGCAACTGTTCAGGGTATTTCCCCTCATCCATGGGTGAAACTTGGTGGAGTTGACCTATTCAACTATGTCTTGAACTCATGTGGGAATGTTACCAACAATCAGAAGTTGGTTGATACTGTTGAAGACGCTTTATGATTTCCACATATTTCCACAAGGTCTGGAATGATCCGGCATATACTTGAAACCACCAGTTTCACATTCACAAACAGTTGGCCCCCGGACTTTTTCAAGGGACGCTTTATGATTTCCCCTGGCCGCAGAACCACAGGCCTGGCGTAAGGCTCTCGTTCCGCATGCTGCTTTGGCTGCAAATCGGTAGAAATCATTGTGTTTTTCTCAGGAAAATGCTTCATCGAACGGACAAGATTAGTGAAGGTGGTCTCATGGCACCAGTTGGAATCTTGGACCCCAGCTGGAGAGCTGGAAATCAAGTTGTCAAAGGTTCCTGCTTGCAAAGTCTCATCATTTTCTTGTGACAATGTTCACAATACAAGGTATACCAATGCCCCATTTCTGGGACAAACCCTGCTGGATGGTTTCTATCTTGACGCTGGCTGCAGCCAGCAGTCAGGATGTCAGCATCTACAAGCAGAACTTCGAGCAGAAGCCTTCCTTCAACTTCGACTCTATGAACATGAAGGACATCATATGACATAACAGCCCCCATGACAGCCTTTCGCAGATGTCTACTTGGGAGACTTCAATATGCCACTACTGCCACAATACACCACAGTTGGAGCACTGGCCATGGCTTGGAGGTTGAAAAATCTTCGTGTCACTGGCATTTCTGTCCTTGTCATAGCCCACACTATCCCAGGCTTCATATTGTTCGTGCTGTTCTACACCCGCTAAAGAACCTCACTTAGTAGGTCAGTATCACATTCTTCATCTATGTCCAGACTGTCCAGACTCTTTAACTTTCCCATTCAAGCGAGTGAAACATGTTGAAACCGCACCATTTTTAGGGCAGCGGCCATGTCCGGCAGAGGACCTGCAGCTTCTGCTTCAGATTGTCAGACGTTGTCCCAGTCCCATGCTGGTGGCTGCGGCCGCTGCGGCAGGCTTGGCGATCCTGATGTTGTGGAGAATGAAGGCAGGAGGATCAGTGGGTTGTTGCGCAGATACGTATCAAAATTTACGATGGTTTGGCCAAGAAAATATGGAGTCAACCATTATATCATTAATAATAGTGAAGATATTTGCTTCAACCATCAAAAATGGTTTAAGAATATTGCCTGTGTCCAACCAATATTGTGAAAAATTGCGAATCTACCGAGGTGAACAAGGAGAACTTACCTGTCAAAAATGGTGGGTTTTGACCAGCCAAAAAGGGAATTCAAGCATCAAGGCATAGGAAGTTTGCTAATGAATCCTGGATACTGGATGAATTAATTACCATACAAATACTGCAGTCCGTTTTCGTTCTTGTTGGGACTAGTTCGTTGGCTTTGCCATGTGTGACATTATAATGTTGCAAGGATTTTGCATCGAAATCCAGCAGAGAAGATGTGAAAGTGGGCCATTCACACGGTCCCGTACTGGGTAACGCAAAGGACAGGTTGATCCCTCACCTCCCATCCTGTTGGTCATATGCCTGCTGTGCTTGTGAAAATTGACTTGTTTGTTCCTGATATGCTTAAATTGTTGCTTTTACGTGTTTGCGAGTGCTTTATATGCCTACATCATTATTCACTACAAGTTTTGTTGATCGATCTTGGTTTGAGGCAAAAAAAGGCAGAGACCCCCAACAAACTTGAATGTTAAAGACTTATGGCTTTCTTACGGCTCCTTTGTCCCCCTGGCATAAGCAAACATGGCAACAAAAACTCCCACATTCATTGCTTACAGAAACTATTTGGAAATGGTACAATGTGGGGCCCCCCAGTTATAAGTTGGTTTATAAATCCCATTAACTATAGCTATAGGTACCATAGACCATAGTTATTGGAGTTATAAACCAACAGTGGTAATTTTCTATTGCAATGATTGCTTTCCGTGGAAATTCACAAAAAAACTGCGAGTGAAATCCCCATGGTTTCTTGGCTCAATCATTGCCAAAGGTGTGTTGATCGGTGCATCTAAAATTGTGGTGTTCCCTTGCCATTTCATTAAAAAATCTATAGTTGTTTTCTGGATGGATTGTAATCATACCCTTAGATTATTTGAATTTCTGACCAAAAGTTCTAAGCTGTTAGCAGGATCTACAACCAATCACCAGCTTTGTGATTGTTAAATCCCAATATTCAATGAAACCTCCTCTTGTTTGCAGAAATACCGGGTTCACTGCACATTGGTTGAACATCTCCTCCAGGCCACTGAAGCTGCCTCACCAGAGCTGCGACGTTGGGAGACGGAATTGCAGACTGCCGCGGACAGCAGGTACCTCGACGGGTGCAAAAATGGGGCTTCTTGGGCCAAAACGGGTAGTTAACTACCAAAAATAATAAGGGGTGAGTCTGTAATATATATACACACACACATATATATATATATTATATATATATATATATTTGTGTATATGTGTGTCTGTTATCTCCAGTATTCTGGACTTCACCTGAAAAATGCTAAATTTATTCGCTGACTTGCCCAAGGCAAAAAGCTTGTTTTTTACGGTCAAAAATGGGGAGTTCACAGAAATCGGGTGAAAATATTGGAGCAAAACCAGCCATTTCAAGGGCAAGAATCATCTTCAGAACCCATTTTTTGGCAGATTCACTATAAGGAGAAATGGTTGTTCTGAATTTGAATTAGTTGTTCTGAAATGTTTACGAGTTTTTTGATGTTTGAAGTTGAATTCTCCGGATTAGCTGTGAGAACTTCAAAAAAAAATATAGCCGCTAGAACCCTATTGGCAGCTCCGGCAAGAACATCTACGTGGCAGAGCTTCAGCTATATACAGATACGGTATATAGAAGAATTAGCCCACAGCGGCCATGGGCCCAAATATTGAACCTTGAAGCCATTTGTTGCGCTTTCTCGTCGCCTTGTTTTTTTGCAAAACGCTGTTGCCATCCTTGGCAACAATGAAAAAACAGCCGCTTGAGTCTTTCCATCCTTTGATATGTGCAGGACCTGCAAAAAAAAAAAATCTTTGTTTTTCTAGAAATCAACTAAACACAAGATAAATTAAGATAAGCAAATTGTTTGTTTGCCCTCATGTTTTGATTGAAAAACCTCGGCATGACCACCTTGAAGGCACCCTGACCGCCTTGACTGCCAGGTCCTGTGATGCTTCGCAAGCTCAGCTGGAGTTGGACCTTGCTGCTGACAAGGAGGTCAATGGTCAAAGTGGAGTTGACTGGGCTGACACATCCCAAAACAAAGGTTTTAGGAATATCTATTGTAATAGCGTTCAATAAGGGTGTGTTGATTGGATTCTAATGGTTGTGAATGGATTTCAATGGATATTAGTGATTTTAACCATGCCAAAATGAGAGTTAAGTGATTTGACTAGCAAGAAATAGGGGTTTGGATGCTGACGGGCATGGAATCCCCAAAATGGAGTTTGGACGATTGTCCTATCAGAAATTGCAATTGGTGTGTTTCATGATGTTTCATGTCGGCCCCCACAGGCGCATCGCACCAAACAAGCAAAAGGATATATGAGAAGAAAAGGCACAACCACAAATGAATGAAAAATACATTCTCAAAACTCTATTCAAAACAAGGGATGGAAAAGCAAAATATGGTTCAGCATTGACCGGCTGGTTCTTCGACATGACAGTTTTTCATAACAAGCAGCTATTATGGCTGCGAGCTGCCCGCAGACGAGAAGCTCATGGTAGCATCATGGGATCACCTAGTGATTCTACACCTTCGATGGCGACTGTTATACTTTATTCTACCAGAAATGGGTAGAGAGAAAAGAAAGTGACAGGTGACAGGCTATCTAGGATCGGCCATGATTTTGGCACTGCTTACTAGAAGCCTAAGCAATGCATAAATAAGTCTGCATATGTTTAACTGTGCGTTCCAAGTGCACGTGTCCAAGTTGCACTGTTGCAGATAGAAGGGTGATAGATGTACTACAAGGTGCTGTTTCTACAAGTGCGTATGGGTTCACTTGTTCTGCTCACCCACATTCTTTTTCATTCTTTTGCACCCCTGCCGCCATATGTATCCACCTGAAAACAAACATACATGCATACACACATACACATACAATCACATACACATATACATATAGATAATGCAATATGCAATTATTCGGATTCCGTTCGTAGATAGCTACATGTCTATGTTTGCTCTTCTTTACCCTCTGGTAATTTCACATGGCCATAGAAAGAGTTGATGTTCCCTATTGGATCAGTTGGATCATTGCTTTCATGCGCCTCCGGAGGATCTTTGCCAGCAGTTAGATGTCCTCTGCCGAGCAACGGCCGCAGCCATTCAGGCGGCGCCAGGACATGGGTGCAGTTACCCGTTGTAAGAAGAGTAAATGAGTTGCAATGTGGTTTCTAAGTATAAATGAGGGTTTAGCACATTACAACTCATAGTTGATCAGAGTTGCCACATTACAACTCACCCAAAAAAATGTGGGTATCTTAGTCCAGCAATGCTTGTTTCTTTTAAGTTTTTGCAGGTTATCTAAGATTTGGAAGATCTGAAAGCCCTTGGTGACCCAAAATGAATGGAAACCCAAGATTTAGATCCTGCCATGAGGGGATAACTGACCCGCAAGTTGTGGGAAATTAAGCACCAGTGAAATGGACCAATACAAAGGGAGTTTGTTTCAACAGTGATTTACTGCCATCAAACGTGGCTGGATTCCCAGTGAGTTCCTTGATTTTTTGCAAAAGCTCCATGGAGTTTCGGGAATCGCCATGGATCGCCAGAGGCTAAAGCAACAGAAACGCTCCGATGCTGTTGGGATAAGTCAGCCATGGGTACCCTCTGGTAAACTAACATTGCTATTGAAGATGGTCATTTATAGTGAGTTTTCCCATTCAAAATGGTGATTTTCCATAGCTATGTTAGTTTACCAGAGGGTACGGTATGGTAGACAAGATCCAGCCGATGGCTTCAACAAACCTGGTCGCTTCTTCTGGCCATGACAGCAGCTCTAGAAGGGGTATATCCAACCGAAAGGGGTGGCCCACGTTGTGTAATGTTTCAAGGTCGCATCCACATGGTTTGCCTGTCAAATCCTCGTTGTTTATTCAATGGGAATTCCAGGATCCTAAATTGGAGGTACTGTACCATATAAGGCCATATTTTGTGGGGATATTCCCATACATAGGCCTTATATAGGCCTTATACATGGTAGATACCTCCAATTTAGGTTCCTGAAATGGCCATTGATTTATTGTGAAATCCCATTTGTTTGAAGATGAACTCCCTATTTGTCATGGTGAAATCATCATTTTCTCATGGTAATCCCTGTTTTTTTTTGGTGAAATCCATATTTTCATTGGTGAAACCCATCGAAAAATCCCCAGGAGAGGGCGATCCCTTACACCATTTGGACCCCTGGCGTCGCCTTGCTCCTCTCATTGGCCACCTGCCAAAATTGGGGATGGCCAACCATTGGGAACATTTGATGGGTCATGTTTTCTACTTTGATATTTGACCCATGGTGAATATATGTATAGATACTCATATACATATTGTATATATATATATACATGCGTGTGTATACATGTGCATATGACGGATGGATGGATGGATGGATGGATGACTGGATGGATGGATAGATCGATAGATACATAGATGCTATATATAATATGTCGATATTATATGTTACATTATGTTACAATATAATATATATATAGACGTATACTATAGGTGTATACTGTATACCGCAACTATGTCATGGGACAACACTTGTCCAAAAAGTTGAGGAGTTGCCTTTAATCTACGGCCATCCAATAATAGGGAAGATCAAGTTTCATCATCAAACTTTCTGGTACTCGATTTTCAGACTCAGATCTAAGCAACACAACTGGAGGGCTGCCAGGCATAGGGGGACATAATCGACCACATGGACAGAAAGAAATGCTTGCAGGTCAACTATCGGGTGCTTTCACTGGTAAAAAGGTGTGTTCTGGGGGGTTATCGAATCCCCTTTTTGGATGTATATTATCTGGTTGGTGGTTTGGAATATGCCTTTTATTTTTCCATATATTGGGAATAGTAGCCCCGACTGACTTTCATATTTTTCAGAGGGGTGGCTCAACGACCAACCAGTTATAGTCCATGGAAGGATACCTATTAATCAACCACTATGGGATAGTCGGGATGTATTTTCCATGGACGGCACCGGGCCCCACTTTCCTGCAGATCGACTGTCCGGAGATGCGTTTGGCTGGTGCTAGGCCATGATATAACATATATATAATATATAATATATAATATTATATTATGTTATAAAATGTTATACTATATTATATTATATTGTGTTGTATTGTATTATATGATATTATGTTATGTAATGTTATATTGAATTGTATTATATTAATTTCTATTATACTATACTATACTAGATTTTATGTTATTTTATTAGATTTGATTTTGTTATATTATATTGATTTATATTATACTATATATATATATACTATACTAGATTTTATGTTATTTTATTATATTTGATTTTTTATATGTTATTATATTTGATTTTGTTATATTATATTTTATTTGTATTATATGTATATTATATGTATATATATATATATGTCTGTGTATGTGTATTATATTAAATATATATACACGTATATTCCAATACCATGTGGGATTTGCTTTGGTATTGTTGGCCCAATTCATAGGTTCGATTTGTTTGTTTGTTTGTTCACACCTTTCTATTTAAATCTTTTGAACCCTCCGTGTCCAGGACAGGTTTCAAGCCTGGAATGATCGCCAGCAGACAGGCTTACCATGAAACGATCTTCGCTGTTTGTCCTTAAATTTACCAGGGAATTCAGGTCCTTAGTCCTTTGAGCCCTTCTGATCTTATGACATCCATGGCCCAAAAAAAGACAGGCAGATTCCTCTGGAACTCTTCGAGCTGGCCCGGAGAATGGCTGGAGTTGCTCCCATCCATCCATCATTTCCAAGACTTGGCCTTGGACATGGAGGGGGAAGCAACGCTTGCCTGGGCGCCAGACAGTTTTGAGGCCAGGGATATGGCCAAAAATCGAACTTATTGGATTTAGGGCTTGGGATCCAGAAAAGTTAGAAGAAAATCCACCAGTTATGATTGTACCAGCGGATGGTACCCTCCAAGCAGATGTTTGTTGGTTTATGGGGCCCCATCTGAATATAATTACAAGTATCATACACTATTGTTATTAGGGTTATGTTCACCAACTTAGCTAACAGATTCTGGCAACCCCATCCTGATAGAAGTATTGGATTTAGAGGGTTGGTTTGATTTTCCAGGGACTAGCCTGTAAACTACTCAGTTCCCGTGGCAGGCGCGGGTTACTCTGGCTTTTAGCGAGAAGCTCCGCGGGAATCAGCTACCTGAAGCTGCGCGTGAGTGGTTTACCAGGCGGAAGCTGTGGTTAGGAAGGGATTGAAACAGCAAAACAGGTTGATGATGGTTGATCTTTCCAGAGAACTTATGTCATATATTGTAATGTCAACCCTCCAATAGTCATTATTTGATACTAAAAAAAGTTACCCTCCCAATTAAACAGCCGTTTGGGGTTTGTTAATCCAGGGTTGACATTATGCATATAGATATGGATATAGATATATCATATCGATATATAATATTGATATTTTGCACCTCTTCCGAAAAAGTTGAACCCCATGAACTATGCACTCTGCGTTGGTTTTTGTTCACAGACCGAGTTTTGGTGGAACTCGGGTTACACCCTGTCTTCTATGGACTGCCATGAAAATGTACCTTGAAAGAACTACGTAGCTAAAAATGCACCATCTTTTGCTGGGAATGATTGGTAATACTAAGCGAGGGACATGTGTAGAATCCTTCTGGAACAAATCAAAAGCTGGTTGGTGGTTTGGAACATTTGTGATTTTTCCATATATTGGGAATGTCATCATCCCAACTGACGAACTCATATTTTTCAGAGGGGTAGGGCTCAACCACCAACCAGACCATCATTTAAAATCATTAACCATTATTAACCATCATATATATGGGATAATCCTTCCCACCAACCAGAAAGTCTCGGGAAAACTGGTCTCGTTGAAGCTCCGCTGCAGTTACGGGCTGCTGGTCCCCGAGTTGCCGAAGTGTCTGGAAGCCTTGGATTATGACAGCCCTGAGTCCAACAGTCGACGCACCGCCGTCAAGACTATGGTGGTGCCTGGAAGCAGTTGAAATGTCGTAAATGTCCAAACTTGGATCAAGAGCCAAAATATCGCCATAAATATGCCACTGCACTGTAAATATATATATATATATGTATTATACATATATATATATGTGTATTATACATATATATATATATATGTGTGTGTGTATGTATGTATGTATATGTATATATGTATATAAATATATTTATACACTATATACAAATACGGAAGTTTCTTTGGGTTTGGGGGGTTTCAATACTAAAACCGTCATCCATGACTTGGATTCCTCGCAGCCCAGGCGTTGATGGCCGAATTCATGCACTCGTGGCCACCCGCCTTGCTGGTGGCCACCCTGCGCCGTATCAACCGCATCGCTGCCACAGATTCCAACAAGGAGGTTAGGGATTTTGCAGCAGCAGCTTGGTTTTGTTAATTGATGATCCGTTAGTAGTTGTTGTGAAAATGGTTCTTAATGGTTAATGGTTGGTTATTAATGGTTATTGATGGTTATTGATGGTTATTGATGGTTCATGGTTAATGAGTGTTAATGGTTAATGAATGTCAATGGTTAGCATTATGTCAATGGTTGATGGAAATGTTGGGGAAATGATGGTTCTTAATGTTTATGTAATAGTTTAATAGTGAGTCATAGTGGTTATTAACGGCTAATGTCGGTTAATAGTGGTTCTTACTGGTTATAAATGCTTTATAGCGGTGAATAATGGTTAGTCATGGTTAATGACTGCTAATAATGGCTGATAACTGAAAGGGTAAACCAATATAGGGTAAACTAAGCATCAAGATAATGGGTTTTATCAAGGGGGTATTTACTATTTCTGGAGGCTGAGGAGTTTCTAGATACAGCTACAATCTGTGGGGTTTAACCCGTGAAAAGAGAGACATTGACATGTGTAAAGCAACAAGAAGTAGTGGAAACCGACGTTCCACCAATGCAGCTGCGCATTTGACCCATTTTTAGAGTGAGATTGTGCAGCGAAGGCACATGGAGATGAAACTTCATCGAAGGGACATGTGGCTAGTGGATGCCATAATTGAGCCAGTACCCTCTGGTAATTTAACATAGCTATGGAAAATCACCATTGTTAATGGGAAAATCCACTATAAATGGCCATTTTCAATAGCAAACTGTTAAATTACCAGAGGGTAGGTTTCCCAAGGCTGAAAGAAAAAGAACACTTTCGAGGATGGTCTTAAAGCTCTTGACCGTTGCTTTCTCCCAGATTAATCCTGGTCTTGCAATTCATGAGTGTGTTGTGCACATGGGTATGCATCACTGGTTGGTGGTTTGGAACATTTTTTTTTCCATATATTGACAGCCCTCGCAGTTAAAACCGGCCCAAGGAGAGCTTGGCAGAGGCGAACTCATTGGTGGGTTTGAGGCCATTGCTATCCTGCAGTCAACATCAGGAGCTGTTGTCAGCTGGGCATTGCAGCCCCCACTTCTATCCCATTGTTGCCTTCTGTTCCCCTTCATGCTACGAGATGCTTCATTCATGGCCGTGATGATGCCATGCTAGGATTATTGCCCATCAAAGATGGCACTGGAAAATCCACCAGTTATAGATCATTTTTCCACTAAAAACCCGCCATTTTTCATGGGATGTTGTCCATATTTTGCTCATCTTTTCCTGGGAGTTCCATAGTGTACCAGCTATAAACCTCCATGGTTAGTCCTCCATTTCGGGCATTTCGGGCATTTCCCAGCCCACGTTGGCAGGACCCCAAGCTGCGACGCCATGCCACAAAGTTGCTGAAGGACATCTGGGAGCACAGCCTTTTAGGTCCTGGCTGGGTGATCGAGGCGGGGCCAAATCATCACTGGTTGGTGGTTTCAAACATGGCTTTTATTTTCCATTTCATATATGGGATGTCATCCTTCCCATTAATATGTTTCAAGATGGTTAAAACCACCAACCAGATGATATTTTTGGATAACGAATAGGGAATAGGCATGATGAAATATAGGGAATGTGGAGGCATCATATTTTCAATTAAACCCTTATTAGGACAATTTATGGAGAGAAAGATATGATGTGCCGTATCTATGCAAAAAATGTGGGGGTATGGACAGATGTGCATGTATGTTGGTGCAGGTGTTTCACATATGTCTTGGTGCAAATGGACACTTGTCCCCTCAGCTTTCAGGTGTTAGACTTCCCCCTCTTGCAAGGAGCTCTAGGGGGGTTTTCACCGCGGAACCCTTCCTTGTTCTATTTATTTCTGTGTGTTTCTATAACCTTCATCTTCAAAATCCAGAGGGAACCCTCTACATGACGTGACTATGGATTCCAAACTACCAAAGTCAGAGCTCCCAAATGTTTACCATCTCCGAAGCTTCAAGCTGTCGCATGTCGCCACAGGAACTGCAGCAGTTGCATTTTGACGCCCACTACAGTGACGCGGCTGAGGAAGCCTTGAGCTACCTCCGCAGCCAGTCACCAGAGCTGGTGGAGCTGCTGCACGATCCCAGCGGGCTTGGGGTGTTTGCCAGTGGAGCCTCCATGGCAGCACCCGTGGCAGTGGATTAAGGGACGATTTTGCGTCCTTGGAAGCCACGGATGATGTGGTTGAAGCGGCAATGGTGTGCCCTGCACATGGGGATCTTTACTGTGGTCATGTGTGGTATGCGCCTGGTACATCCTGAAATGATCTCTGTTACGCCCTTTTTATGGGTTGGGTGAGAGAAGGTTCTTGGGATGTGCTGTGCGGACTCCCCATGCTGAAGGACACACCAGCAGGTCATGGCAAGCCAACGATTTCAGGGTGAAACTGGAGCTGTCAGGGCTTGGTGTCGTATCATGTGTGGAAAGTTACACATGGTCTACTTGCTTGGGTTTTATTCATTTATATTTATATTCTACAGAAGAGAAGTATGGAAAATCACCATTTTGTTGTAGGTCAATAATCTACCAACGGGCCGTCTCCCATAGCTACGTTAAATTGCCAGAAGGTAAAATCGCCTTAAATCCTCATTAAACCACCATTGAAACATATATCTCTTAGAACCTTAGAAGATAAATTCCAGTGTCAAGAAATCGCTTGCCATCACACTGCGCGGTTCCCGTGCCGTTCTCTGCTGCGAGAGATGCAGCTATGGGGATGGATCAGACCTATCCCAGAATCGTTATGGACTTCGATTTTCTATAGGACCCAACAGTAACTGTAGTAACTATAGATAACTATAGACTATAGTAATGAATGAATATTAATGATTAGTAATGGTTAATTGATAGTTAACTGTTAACTGGTGGTTGGTCCCATCCCCATATTGCACATAGACGGCATCACATGCCTCAGGTGGAAGCTTCGCTTTCACAGCAGCACAATTGTTTTTGAGGGTGCCTGGTGTCGGTATTGTTTCGCTTACACTCCAGTCAACTCAAAGATGGCAACGGAAAAGCCTTTGTTGAAGTGGAAAATTGCCTATCAAGAGGAGATGATGGAGGGATGTTTGTTGCCAGATTTGATTGACGTGGGTATTTATTAACGACTCGTTGTCTTCCCCTACTCGGCCTAGTTCTGAACCGGCCGAAGGATTGGCCAAAACATGGCTACCACGAGTCGGAATGCATGCCTGACCTAGCTAAACGATGCTAAATGGTCAATTCCCCTTACATAAGTGGGTTTTTACCCCAAGTCATCTTGGCAACACTCGTTTGGAAATGCCTCAACATTGTATCCCCAAATACCATGTAGCTGACTGGTAAAATGAACAATTTTAGGATCCATTGAACCCATTGATGCCCTATGTTTGGGTCGTGGTATAAGCCCTATAAGCCCACTTCAAAGTAGAATTTGACCTCGTAGCACCGTGGAGAAACAGAAAGCCACCGACGAAAAAAGATCGCCCTCCACTTTGAGCCACGATCATGGCAAGATGAAGGGTGCAGCTTGCTGATTCACTCATTTTGGAAGAGGGGAATGCTTGTTTCGGCACAGACTTGGTGCTGCGAAGCACCTTTTCAGGGAAGTGTTGGGGTTCATCTGGAGTGGACGACCCTAGTTGAAACAAGCGAATCGCGTTGCGACATGCAAAGAAACCCGCCATTTGTAGATGTTCATTGATTTTCACAGTGAAAAATTGATTAAAAAAACTGCAATGGTCAGTTGCCAGGTAGAGCACCAATACCCGAGCAGGTCACCACAACCATAGACTCACCATGTGCGATGATCCATGGCTGCGACGGCAGATGTCGATGCTGTCCTCCAGTCAGGAAGTCCCAGATGTCGGAAGCATGGAAGCACCTCCAAAGGAGGAGTCATATGGGGGTTTCTTAAGATATGGATACCCCAAACCGTTGGTTGTCCCATTTATGCAATTTTGGATGATTTTGGGGTACCATCAAGTCAGGAAACCCCCATATGTTGAACAATTTAATTTGACCAAAGCATAAGTATAGGTTGACTCATTTAGCAACCGGTTAAACAAAATAACATGAGTGCTTCTAAAAGAAGATATGGAAATTTGATCCAAGTCCTGAAAGAAGAAATATACAAAGTGGGGCCCCCAATAGATAGCTAAGTTGGTGCCAATAACTCCAATAACTATGGTTTATGCTACTTATAACTATAGTTATTGGGGCTTATAAACCAACTTATAACTAGGGGGCCCCACATTGTATGTTGACCACCCGACAGTCATCGGGTACCCCTGCTGGGACAAGCGATGGCAGGGACTTGTGGCGAGATTGGGCTGATCCGCCCGAGGTCTGGAAAGCTCAGCTCGTTGTGACATGGGAAGCGGGCGGATTCAAACATGTTTTTTTCCATTCCAAGCTGCGACAATGAATGAACTTCAAAAGGATTACTGTTCCTTTCAGATCTTCAGGGAAGTGACTCTTTGGTTCATGTTGAAAGTCAGCAGCCACCCAGTGCCGTCGTCCCAGGTGCGCTCCTTCCAGCAGAGCGGCCGTGGATTGGTGTCTCCGCGCAAGATGGTGCGCCGGATGCAACGACATCTGGACCGGGAGCAAGTGGCAGGTTGAAGATTGATGATAGCTGGCTGGTGGTTTGGCACATGACTTTTATGTTTCCATTCAGTTGGGAATGTCATCATCCCAACTGACGAACTCATATTTTTCAGAGGGGTAGGTATACCACCAACCACTATATGGGTGTGTCTGAAAATGCAGTATACTTAGTATTACTTAGCTTCCAAAGTGTACTTCCAAATGGCTAAATGATGCTGAACATTGATTAAGCCATGGATTGAGGATGCCCTATTTCAGACAATCCCATATCTACTAGGTTACATTGAGTTACTAACCAGCTAAAACTGATAAAAATCAGATGAATTATCCAAGGTTAGCCATCAGAACAGAACATGTTTTTGTTTGATCCACTTGTGCCCATGTTTGGTACACAACCGTTCGATGATTTGTTGTCAATCAGCTAACATTGATTTTTTATATGCCCACATTTGACTGGTGACGCTGTATTGTACTTGATTAGCCCAGGTTCTAAGCGGTAGTATAGCCATGTAGACGGAGTGCCTGCCCATGTGCCATGGTGGTGATCGGAGTTTCCTGTTTTGGTTCATCATGAGGTTTACCCACTCAAAATGGTGATTTTCTACAGCTATGTTAGTTTACCAGAGGGTACTGTAGTTGTGGCCCAAGTGAAGCACGCAGGCAACTCAGCTATTAAGTTCTGCCTCCGTTTTTTCCTTGACTCGGACATCATCTTCAAATCATGAACTGAAAAAGCCACCAAAAAAATGTCTTCAAACTGCAGAACGCCATTGACCTACCCCACATTCATAGTGTATCTACCGCTACTCCTAAAGGTCCTATCCCCCAGGTCGCAAGCTGAGTCAAAGGCCTCTTGCCATCCCGTTGAAGATTTCATGATTCCTGATTCAAATCCTCATGTTGGATCTGTTGGACAACGATTCTTCATTTGCAATTGCAAAAATACCCTCTGGTAAACTAACATAACTATGGAAAATCACCATTTTTAATGGGAAAATCCACTATTAATGGCCATTTTCAATAGCAAACTGTTAAATTACCAGAGGGTATGTCACAAAATCCCTACAAAACCCCATGGAAAATCCACATCTTCATTATCTCAACTCTCAGCCAGGCGGTTGGTGCGGAGGTCTTCCGAGACACTCCATTGGTCGCTGTGGCCTAGGGGATGGCTTTAAATTTGGGATGCAAAGAGCGCCTGGGGAAAAAATTGCCCTTTTTTTGATTTGGGAAAATGACCAATAAACAAAGAGGTCGATAAATAGGTACTTAATAGGTACTTAGCTTGAGGGACTTGGTGTCCTATCTCTGCGTTTTCTGATTTTCTTGCCACCTCAAGAGGTAGCCACACAATCACTGAAGATTCCAAGTCTTAAATCCGACGACCAACAGTCCTGGCAGTTGTGCCAACGGACATGCCACACGCCTTTAGGTCGCCATACAAAACCTTTTTTCGCAGCGCTTAACACCTTGTTGCCTGGGGTCTGGGCCCAAGGATCCCAAGGTTCGGGCAGGAAATATGCCAAGTGATGGTGTCCACGTCTAGCTGCACTCCAGTCCAACATGCTGGATGTGTTGTCGCAAAAATGCAGATTGCACCTGACAGATTAGATTAGTTCCTGAGGGCATACTGTTCAACCTCTCAAAAAACAATCAATGATAGGATTGAATATATTCTGGATCCTGGATTCATTATCATAACCCGACCCTGGATGATGATGGGATGATGATGATGATGATGATGATGATGATGATGTAGATGATGATGATGTAGATGATGATGATGATGATGATGATGATGATGATGATGATGATGATGTAGATGATGATGATGATGATGTAGATGATGATGGTGATGATGATGATGGTGATGATGATGACGAGATAGATGAGATAGATGAGATAGATGAGATAGATGATGACAGATGATGACAGATGATGACAGATGATAGATGATGACAGATGATGACAGATGATAGATGATGATAGATGATGACAGATGATAGATGATGATAGATGATGACAGATGATAGATGATGATAGATGATGATAGATGATGGTAGATGATGATAGATGATGATAGATGATATGATATATATATATATGCGATATATATATATATGCGATATATATATATATATGCGATATATATATATATGATTTATGATATATGATATATGTCGATGATAATGATGATGAATGTATAAGACCAGAGGGAATCCTCCCCAAAATGGAGCCCAGGTGCATGGCACCTGTGGGCAGCTTCCGACAACTGCTGCAGCGGTCACTCGGTGATCCATGTGGCAAAGAGCAACCCCCAAAAAGATAGAAAAGATTTTGGGGTTGGAACATATTGGGGAGTAGTTTATCAGTTTATCACAGTAAATCTGAGAATTGAGGTTTACACTAGTTTATCACCAAAAAAAATGGAATCAGATTTTATGCAATTCTACTACTCTATCTTTGGATCATAAATTTCAAATCCAAAGAAGTTTTGGAGTTGCCATAAATGTCCTTTTCGGTAGCCTTGACTATCCAGTTGGCCCAGGATCCTCCGAAATGCCAGCCAGACACTGGAGTAGCAGCCCCAGGTGGCCATCTCCCCAAATTGGCGGTTTTTTTGTCAATGAAGGGAATGTGCCGAAACATAGGTGTGGTCCGAAGTAAGGACAGATGTGTGAATTAAGATTCATGTATTTAATGTGAATTACGGTATGTTTTAGTTATAGTTACACCTACTTTGCAATCCTGCAGGACGATGGCCCTGAACAGAACGGCGTATCATCACTGTCACCAGATGAAAGTGTGGAGGATTTGGTCATCAGAATAACCCTCAGAGATGCTATGATTTAGGATCTCCATCTGATTCGTATGGCGTTCACTTCAGTCTCATTTCCCTGGGAATCTCAATTCTTACCGCAAATGCAGATGATGTCACTGTCCAGTTTCTCACCAGGCTACTATAAGTAGGACTACGGTGTACTATGAGTGTTGTTGAAAAGGTTCACCAAAAAAGTCGAACGGCTTGACTACGAGTTGTCCAGAAAGTCGTGATGTTCGTCAGATCTTGGCTTTGATTCTTGGTGGTTCAGCCAAAAAAGTTGAAGGTGATGTGGCAAATCATATCCTCCCAGGTGCCCCCATCCCTTGACCTGGGACTGCAGGTCAGACTTCCCATCGGTCAACGATGAGCTGCTGAGTCGGGGCAACCAATTGCCTTTTTTCAACCTCAGTCCAAAGTAATTCCTAGGTTTGCTTACATGGGGTGAGTTTGTTCCACTAGAATCACTAGAACTGGGGAATGTATAGAGATCATCTCTTGGGGTGCCTTTGAGCAAATCAATGAGTTTGGTAGGGATGATATGATCGCCCAGAGGCTGGCTGAAGCACTTCGGATAAGTCTAAGGGCAAACACTTAAAACTCTCCTGAAACTTCTTGAGAAGCCTAAGCAAAATAAACAAAGACCAAGAATGTCATGGATGCCGGTAATTATATCGTATCAGAAATGATTTGATCGTGCTTCTGGTGACCTGCAGGTCAGCCGACGAAAAGGATCGCCTGGCCTTGCCCCACCCCAGGCATTGATGGCATGGCAGCCATTGGCAGTTTGCTTCCGGGGATTTCCCAGCGTTTGATTAGCAGGGTGCATTGGCTGCATCGAATCATCAGTATATCATTGGTTTAAGGAAAAATCTACAAGAAACCATGGTTTTTACCATTAAATATGGGGCTTTCCTGTAAATTTTCCCTTAAACCAATCCAATGAGTAAAGTGAGGTGATGTGAGGTGCGAATAGAACACTCCGTTTAAATGTGTTTAAGTGACGAAGAGAGCAGGAGAAAATGCCAAAAACTGTTGTTGAGTTCTGGATTTGGTAGCCATTCCAAACTTTTCACCAGCAGGTAGGATAGAAGTTGGGTGCTCAAGTTTGGCCTCTACAATAAAGAACCCCCCATAGATGAGGAGGAGATTTACCAAAGTGCCATTTACTGTCTCAAATTGGTGGCTACTGATTCTTCTCCAATTTGGCTGGACATTAGCATCCCGAGAGGCTGCAAGATGCTCTTTTGCAGTGAAGCCTGCAGGGTTGGGAGCTCAATGAACCATGGACCATGAACATTTATATAGTGCCCAATCTTGAGAACAATTTCAACATCTGAACTTAAAGCTGTTGAGTTAAGATGCCATCTGAACTTATCAATATTTATATAGTGCCATATTTATAGGCTTACCTCAATAATGGCACTATATATTATATGTGGAATTCGCCATCCTTGGCGAATTCTGCCATTTCTTGTGGTAAACCATCCCCAACGGCCCATCCCCAATGGCCATTTCGGTGGACCGGCCACCAAGGAACGAGAACTTCAACGTGGAGCACACCGCTTGCTCTGTGTGGAGTTAGTTGACCTTCCTCGGCTCAGGACGTTGCGACGCAACGCACCGTGGGGGCTGTTGCAGTGACTGGTTGCAACCTGTAGATGTTTGTTTTGGTGATTGGAACTTGTTTTCTGTACATTTTGGGGAGGGATTGCGTACGTAAAAAAATCGTACTCATAGTAATTTTCTTAAGATACACAGGTTTTGTACGGTTTTATGTGGTAGATTTTAGTGGCTTTCGGCGGTTTAAATCTTGGGTAGACGACGTCATCTTTGACTGAACATCTTGGGCGCACTCACTGACCAGAGGAATTCGCCATAAGGATGTTGGGATTGACTCGTTTGATCCTTTTCTAAGATTGGAAGTGTAGATTGGGCTCCGCCCCCCGCTGACTCGCAATGAGAATCCACATTGATAATTCCAGCCCCGCGCGGCAAATCCAAGATGCCCGGTTGCAGCAGGAAATGGGCACAATTCAAGGCTTTGGCGGGCTGCTCAGATTGAGAAATGGTTGCTCCAAAGCATAACCAGGGCTATCAGCATTGTTGGGGACAAGCAATGAATGTAGGGAAGTCAGTACTGTTTTTTGACTAACAATTCGTTCAAGTCGTTTACCAATCGTGAAGATCCAGGTGGTGGGTGTCATCACTTGGGGTAGCGATATGTTTTAGGCTCAAGCAGCAGGCGATTCACAGCCAGTTGCAGACTGATCAGGCTGGCACTTGAACCTGTGAATCAGATGAAACTTGCGGGGCTTAGACTGTGGCCCCATATCAGAAACATGTGAAATGTAGAGCAACAGCAAAGGAAACTGCTCTTCTGGCCCCAGAATGAAGGGATTTTTGGGGTTGCCGAACTAACTTGAGGACATATTATATATATATATATTGTCATGGGATGGTTTTGCTTGAAGGCCGTGCTTGCTTCGTCCCGCACTATTTTGTGCTTGGATTGCAGCCCACAGCACTAGACCATAGGTCCTCAGTGCCTCCACTCGGGGTCTCAAAGTTTGAAACACTTCACTGGCGTAAGGATATGGATGAGTCAAACTGCGTGTTAACATCTGTTAATGCTAGTAAAGCAATCGCAAACCATCCCGAAGTTTACCATAGACTGCTACAAACCATCAAAATATGGGTGGGTTACTGTATTATTGTTTTACTAGCATTATTCTCTTTGAAGGTTGAGGTGCCAATACATTTTCGCATCAGTGGGCTAGAACAGACCCCCACGATTTGCTCAGGGCGTGATGAAGCGGCCCTCCTTGAATCCCAAGAGGCACTGATTTCACCGTTCAGCTGGTGTGGTCCTAGCATGTCCTACCCTTCTTAGTGTCATCATTGTCGCTCTCGTGGGCAAAGCCCCTAGATTGTGTGTGTGTGTGTTTTGGCCTTTTTCACTTCGTTTTTAAGTAGCATGAGACTTAAGCTACAAGCAGCCTGTCACCCAGAGGCAGCGGCATTTGGTCGAGTCGGCGATGGCTGCTGCAGTGCGGGCGATACCCAAAGGTCAAACTTGGTCCAAGATGGAGGACGGAATCCGCTAGGGTTTGGAGGTGCAGTCGAGGTTATTTTGATGAGTATAAACATGTGCAAACTGTAAACCATTGGATTTAAAACCCCAGAAGTTGGGTTACAAGCCCATCAGTATGGTTTTACAACCATTCCGAAGTGGAGCTGCTCAAGTAGGCTGCGGGAAGATGGCTGGGAGGTTGTATCTGCCAACTGCAGGTGGATGCCCTTGTCACGTTTGCGATACATGGGTTGGCACTGTATAGACACCTTAGGTACAGTAGACAGACAAACACTCAGACAGATAGATAGATAGAAATTGATAGATGGACAGTAGTCACCTCCCACCCCTCAATAGGGATCCGCAGCACCAAGCGTATTCACTGCTTTCAGGTTTTCAGAAAAGCCCTGCAGAAACTCGGTAGAGGAGATGAAGGCATTGACACAGGCTTGGATGGCCAGATCTTCCCAGCATAGTAGGGATTGATTACCAAAATCAATTAGATTATAGTATTAGAAACCGGATTACATCCATTTTCACATCAATAGAGATTAGAATATAGATGATTATAGTATTAATGATTATAGATTTCACAGGTTATAGATCATAGATTATAGATCATAGATTAATGATTATAGATCCTAGATCACTGGCCATCTCAGGAACCTAAATTGAAGGTACCTACCATATATAGGGCCTATTTTTCAGGCCTATGTAAGGGGATATCCCCACAAAATATTGCCAAACATATGGTACTAACGTACCTCCATTTTAGGATCCTGAAATTCCCATTGACTATAGATTCCATCAACAAAAATTCCAAAGATGACCAGATGGAGATCATAGAATGATTATAGATCCTAGACTATAGATTCTAGATATCCCACTATTTAAGGGGCTGCATTTCTCCCAGGGGGCTGCAGGCGTCCGCACGCGGCTGGGCGGCGAGTTGACGCGAGTCGTGGCGCAGCGTGCCCGCAGCTGGCACCGCGTCGTGGCGTCCGATGGAAGTTTCCTGGGCGCCAGTGACAAGGTGCTCGCCGTCCCATGGAGGCAATTCTATGGATATCTATTTCTTGGCCTGTTGATCTATCTATCTATCTATCTATCTGACTAAGTGACTAACTATCTATCTATCTATCTATCTATCTATCTGTCTGTCTGTCTGTCTATCTGTCTGTCTGTCTGTCTATCTATCTATCTATCTATCTATCTATCTATCCCATGATATCCCATGATATGCCAGTAATCTCGGGATATAGGATTGTATCCGAAATAAGTGTTATAGCATATTGGATTCCATTTTTTGTTGGATTGTCAAAACTAAAGATTCTGTCCGAAAAACTGGATAGTGTATGGCCATTTATCCCGTTAGTAATGATCTTTGGAAAAGCAAAGGGAAGAATTTGTCATTTTTTGCAGGGTATCTAAGATTGGCAATGTAATGATGATTTAATGGGGATTTTAGTGAGATTAATTATGGAGATGTTCGTGAGATTAATTATAATATTTAATGGGGTGAATTGGAAATTAATGGGATATTGATGATTATTGTGGCTGACCCAATGATATTCCAAAATAGAGGTCTAATGTAGATTTAATGGAGGTTTTAGAAGATCAATGTTGGATTTGATGGAGTTCATGCTGATTTTAATGAGAATTTACATAATGAGATTGGTGGTGATTTTATGTGGGATTTAATGTGATTTATATTGATGGGATTTATAACTATTTTCATGGAGCATATGAATATAACAATCAATGGGTAATATTAACATATGAATTCCATGATGCTGGTAATTTCAATGGGTATTATTGGCAATTAATGGTGTTTATTTGTGTATTAATGGGGTGAATGTAGGGTGCCCTCAATGGTGATGGCACAGATGGGCTTTGCTGTTCCGGTGATGTTTCTTTCCGCGGAAATCCAGCATGTGGCGGGCTCGTGAAGCAAATCCTAGCGGAATGAAGAATGTTAACCCTGGATCAGTGAACCCTAGTTTTTGGGGAAACCCATTGGACCCTTGTAGATGTGTCCATTAATCCAGTGAGTTTAAGCTAATTCTTGTTTGGCTGGTGGTTTCAAAGGTTTCATGTTTCTGCGCTCAAGCCCCTTTGTGAGAAGCTTCAAAAAGGAGAAAAAATTGTTAATTATCCACCAGCAGATATGATATCAAACATGAGGGCATATAATATATTATACCAAAGTCAATGATATACTTGTACAACTATGATACTACAAGTGTAGAATTATAGTTATGATACAATCCAGATAATGTTTCAGCATATGCTGCAACGTCACCAACATGAATTATGTATATCATGGGGCATAATGTATCCAAAAAATGGGAAACACGAATGGGATACCATGGTCCAAATTACTGATAATATTTGGAAAATACTAGGGATATCATCAAACATTGGAATATCATAGGGTATAATTAACGGGATTATGTGCATTATATATATATACATGTGTGTATATACATGTATATGTATATAATCTGGAAACCCCTTAGGTGCCATTAACCTACCATGACTTGGGATGATGGGGATGGTCTATGGTATCCCAGAGCTCTCATTGGAAAATGAGGATTAAAAAGGTGCCAAACTGTTTCTTGGAGGGTCATTGTTGGTGGATGTTGGTGGCATATGGCAGCCCTCAAACTGGCCCTTTCGCACCCTGACTCGGATGATTTCAGGAGCAGCTAGCAGCACTTCAGCGTGAAGGTGCACGACCCAGGTACGAGCTGAGGGCATGGTGAGACTACCATCAAATGTTCACAGCTGTTGAATGATTGAGTTGCCAAAGGCTTGATTTTTTTTACAGATTACCCTCTGGTAATTGAACATAGCTGCAGACAATCGTCATATTTTCAATCGGAAAATCATCTCCAAACAGGCCATTTCGCATAGCAAACAGTTCGATTCATTACCAGAAATTAGATGCTCAGTACCATGGAAACCTCACCATTAATCCACATGGGGATGGATCAATACCTATTAATACCATTTTTAGGGGGATGAACATCCATTTACCAGCTATTTTGATGTTCACCAGGGGTACAAGGTTTTGACACACTGCCACATCACCATAAATCACCCAGGACAGGTGAGACGGTAACTTCCTGGGCGAAGCGATGCAAATGTCTCTACGTGGCCACCTACAAGGCCTCGCTGCAGCGCGCTTGTTTGGCGGCAACGGATCCAGGCAACGGAGGATGGATTTTTGGTGCTTGGTGGCGAACTACCCACTTAGTACAAAGTGGGGCCCCCTAGTTATAAGTTGGTTTATAAGCCCCAATAACTATAGTTATAAGTACCATAAACCATAGTTATTGGAGTTATTGGCACCAACTTAGCTATCTAGGGGGCCCCACTTTGTAAGTGGGTTAGTTCACCCCAATTATAAGTGGATTAACTCTACTTATCCCATTTATAACTGGGGTTATAACCCACTTAGGAGCCGTGGGTAGTTCGCCACCAAGTGTAGATGGATGTTTCGGGACTTTGGGGACGAAGATCAACGGCATTCCAATCACTCTGAAGAGTGGGGCTTAGCCGGTCCTTGTGCATGTTGCCACAGGTACAACCCCTGGTTACAAGGGATGGTGATTACCTGCAGGTTACTACTTTCCATGGCTGCCCAGGGTCAATTGCAATGTAAGGGCTCCTCTTGCAGAAGGATTTAAAAATTGAGGGGATTGGAGTTTGTACTCAAGGCAGTTCGGTATCAGTTCGGTGATTATCTGATTGCAGATGGCACTGAGGCGTCAACAAGTGGCCTGCATGGTCTGTTGAACCAATCCGAAGCAAAGCTGCGTTGAAGGACAGCTGCTCTCCTCAGCAGCGGACCCCTCAAGGACGATATTTAGGTTACAACCCCACTTAACCCTACGACACAACCCCAGCTTACCTCTATAGGATATTTTGACGTGTAATGATTAGTAATGCCAAACCTGGATTTACCCTCTGGTAAGCCAACATAACTATGGAAAATCAGCATTTTTAATTGGTAAATCAACTATTTCTGTGGCCATTTTCAATAGCTTTTTGTATGTTTACCAGAGGGTACAAAGCCTTGTGCTCAGGAGCGGCTCAGCCTGTCGGGCGGCAAACTCTTCCATCATCCACAGGAGCAGCGCCCGGCGGCGCCCGCCTTTGCCTCCAAGCGCGCCTGTTCCAAGTTGCTGGGACAGAACGCTGGGGGTTGAAGCATCCGAAACTGGCTTCTGAATGGGTACAACGGCTATGATAAACAAACCATCCCCTGCAATTGAAGCGGCTGACAACATGAGATTTTAACATGTTGGAACATGTTTGAAGCAACAAAATCCCAGGAAAAAATGGCAAACCGTGAAGGTTTACGACTGTCAACTGTAGGCTATAACCGTCAACTGTAGGGGTAGCAAAGTTTAATCCCTGAAAGCGGTAAATGGTGATTGTTGTGTGATTGTTGTTTGTCCATTCTATCTTCGGTATCAAATTCCTATTCCCTCCGCAAGGTCGTAAAGGTAGATGATCCCTTGGGCTTGTAGCTCCCAACTATTAATGTTCGTCACTTACCTCACCCAATGTGGGAATTCCGCACCCCCTGGGTCCCAAGCTACTCTGGTTGGAGCACATTTAGGCCTCCAAAGACCATTAAGCAAGCTTTGAAGATGGTACCGCGGATGCATCTCCAACACATGTGGGGCCGTTCCCGGGTGATTCTGATAAAAAGCGTTGTTCCTTGAGGATTGTTCTAGGAAGATCAGTCTGTGAAATTTCCTGGTGCGATCTTAGGTTGTTGGGTGACTGGGTTTATCATTTTTGGGCACTAGCTGGGTCAGCTAGGTGGTGCCGTATTGATCTTATTGGAATTTCATGTCTGCTTCCACTGCAAGAAGGACAGTGAGGAAATCCCTAGAACATACCACCCTCTAAATTCAAAGACGACACCTGAAAGTCGAAAAATTGTGGTTTGACTATCCAAATATATGTTATATATTATATATCCCATCGCGTTGGCTGCATTGTTCTAGTTGATTTTAAGTTCTATTGTTCTTATGAAAATCATTGTTTTATTTTTTCTGGTGAAAAATCTAACTTACGTGATCCATAAAGAATTCCAAGTGAGAGGTGGAAACCATTCACTTTGTTTCTTTGGTGTTTTTGACCCAAGAGTGCACTTTTTTCCCCCAAAGTCCTTCTCAAGGTACAGCCGCGGCTCCGCAAGCTGCTGACAGCAGGACGTCTGGAGGAGCTACAGAAAGGAGGCGGTCTTTAGGGGACGATGCTTTTGTCTCAGTGATCAGCACTGTTCATCTAGGCATGGATCCTACAGATTGATTATGCTTATTTTTTCTACCCAACAACCCCCCAAAAAAAAAACACACACAACAGTGTAAAACCTGAAAAAATGAAGAAATGATGTATCTATGGGAGAGTTGGTTTTCCGGTTGGTTGAAATATGTCACCTGGCTGCCTTTTCCAGTAAAAATGCCCCCCTATGACCTGGTTCCCCCAAGCAGGTGCCACAAGACTGCGGCGGGTCCTTCAGCCCAAGGACTAGACATGTTGGAAGGGATAGAGTCGTCTTGGAGTAGATGGGCAAAAATCAGAATTTAGCATAGACCCAGTTGAATTGTTGTTGCAGTTGAGGCATCCAAATTGACATTCTAAATCGTGGGCATAGGTTGCACGCAAATTTCAGAATGTCCCCAATTGACTCGTGGCCTTTGAACTTGATGTGGCACAGGGTGTGTGTCCTATGGGGCAATGGGGGCCCGATGCCAAAAAAATGTTTAGGTTCCACAAAACCTGCAGAATTGAAGGGAAGCTAGATGCAAATTATGAGAGCAAGGTTTCAGCCACCAAAATCACCAGCAGCCATGGCTCAGCGGTGCAGCTTTCGTTGGAGTGTTTGGCCAGCAGGATGTGCCAATTCATGGTGTTGGGGGCATGGGTGAGGCCACAAGCAGCACTGCAGCAGCACCGCATAAAAATGCCATGGCTGTAGGGATAGAAGTTGAAACAGCACCCAAAAAGATCTGTGGCCTCTCGAGCTATGCCCCATACGTCGTAACTTATAACTTCTTACATTTACACTCATATTTTTCAGGGGGTAGGTATACCACCAACCAGTTTACATCGTGGGTCATCCATTCTCAGCTGTAAAAAAAGCTGGCTGCGTACGTCGCCTTGCGATGAAGCGGCCCGCGGCGACGTCCCCAAGTCCCCAAGTCAGGCCGCTCCACAGCTGGAAAACTGACGTATTTTTGAGAGGGATACATGGTGGTGATGGAAAACTTGGGAGAACTTAGTGAGATGGTCCTCCCACTTGGATGTCAAAAGCGAGGTCAGAAATTGAATGAAAACCTGACATATGATTGGGTATTTCTCGTATGCATTACAGGTACAATTACTGCGTTGCACCAATGGCTATGTGAATCATGATCAGAATTCTGAGTTGCTGGTTGAATCTATCTCCAGATTTTGTTACTGAAACTGACTTTTGTGTGATGATTGGAGCTGAAATTGGAGGATGTTCCTCAGGTAAGCAGACGAGTGCGAAGCTAACGCCATCCTAGTTTTGAATGAAAATCATGGTATGATCCTTCAGTCAATCTAAAGTTGAACCTGTTTCAACACATTTGAAGGCTCTGTTTTCTTCAACAAAAGTCGGTGTTTGTGACGACACATGGATTTTGCTGCTTGCTGTGCCAGGAAACGTCCACGGCGTGTGCAGATCTATGTGTGCTCGGTGCTCAGATCACCTCACAAGCGGTTGGAGCTCAATGGGGGCACAGCGTTACAAGAAAAAGCTGCAGCGATTTCACGGATTTTTATGGAGGATCAGTGTTTGCTATCTAAAATCACTAAAATCCCTGTCGAAACCCCAACCTTCTTCATTTTTCTCCATGTTTTTTGCGTGTTTGGATGGTTCATCCCCAGTTTTTTGTGAAACCTCCAAGGGGTTTCAGCCGCTGCAGGTCGCCACGGCACCACCACTTGGAACTTGGCGAAGAAGTGGCAGGGCCAGCAGGACACGGAACTGGCGCCTGAAGGGATCCAGCAGGCAGAGGAGACCGGGAAATTGCTGGCCTCCAGGAGCTGCGACGGGAAAGTTGCCATGGATCTTTGGTTGGAGGGACTTAATATGGCTTAATGGGATTTTCACATGGGATAAACCACCTGAAACCCTATAGATAATCTGATATAGTCATTAAACCATCAACGTTGTAGGGACTTAATATGGCTTAATGGGACTTAATATATCTTAATATGGACTTAATAGATCTATATACTGGTTGGTGACTGGAACATGGCTGGATGACATGACTTTCCATGCAGTTGGGAATGGAAAATCATCCCAACTGACGAACTCCATCATTTTTCAGAGGGGTTGGTTGAAACCACCAACCAGATCTTTCATGTCGACCCCGGATTCATAAACCATTGTTTATTAGGCTGGTATTCCCCCAATAGTCATGATTTGAGACTTAAATGGTACCTTCCCAATTAAACAGCCGTTTGGTGTTTATAAATCGAGGGTTGACATTATATGGAGCCTCCCAAGTCATGGGGGTACTCCCAAATCATCCGAAATCGGACCATTTTCAGTATTGAAATCCATGGTTTTGGGGTACCACCATTGTGGGAAACCTCCGTATACATGGGAAAAGCACCCAACTACAGACTTTGAGTAAAACTGGAGGGGCCGATTTATGATCAGTATAGGTCGGTTTTCATGTGGGGAATTCATCGGCATTAATCGACCAGCCAGTGGGTTTTCAGGACTTCAGTGGGATGGGATAGTGGGATTGGGAAGAAAGAGCTGTGATGATGGTGAGTGAGGATGAGGATGAGGACTACCATCTGGTTATGACTAACATAGCCATGGAAAGATCCACCATTTTTATTACTGTAGGTAAACCATCTATAAATGGGCCATTCTCCATGGCTATGTTAAATAACCAGAGGGTATTTATTAAGAAAGGACTTATTCCTAGTTCATCGAGGGCGGAAGTTGGATGTTTTTGAGATTTGGATGGGTTCGGGATGATGGTATGCTAAAAGCTTCGTTACCCTCTGGTAAACTAACATAGCTATTGAAAATGGTGATTTATAGTGGATTTTCCCATTGAAAATTGTGATTTTCCATAGTTATGTTAAATTACCAGAGGGTATATATTGATGTTGGGAGTTTATGGAGCCGGTGGAAAGTAAATTAAGATAAGCCTTGAAAATTGCCCGTTTGTAGATGACCGTCCTGGAGGATTAGCCGCTGCAGTGGGATTTATGCCTCGGACCTGAAACGTGCTCATCACACGGCCCAGATTTATGGCAAGGCCTTAAACTGCGAGGCGCATGGCTTCCATGGATCAAGCAGCAGTTGATCCATATGAAAAACCAGGTGCTGCCCAAAAAAAACGTGGCGAAGTTGGTTTATGACTGGGTGAATTCGTCTATGGTCTATGGTAGGTATGGATAGATATGGTGTATGGTACATATAGATAACTGAGGGACGCCACCTTGTCATTGTTTGATATGTATTCCATTAAGCGTAATTACAGTGATCCAGATCCAGGTTTCGTCACAGGAATGATGTCACTGGAATGCCGGCTAGGGTGAGCTACCCCGAAATTGCCCAAGTGTTCAGTTTAATAGATTATCCAGATATCAATTTTTAGCGATTTATATATATATATACAATAAATATATTTCTAACAGCCACAAGTGGTTGATAGTTCCCCCACCCCCATCCACCATGGATCCCATCCTTGCCACAATCGACGCTTCAGGTGGTGGTGGAGCCAAGGCTTCGCGAGCCAAGCCTAGGGAAGTTTGAGGGCATGCATCGAAGTGCCGCTTGGGGAAGCGTTTTTTGCCAGTTTTTGTGTGTGGAAATCCTCAGACGCAGAAATGAAAATATCCCAAAAATAAATTGCCAGGGTGCAATCAGTGCAATCATTCAAAAAAGTGCCCAGCTTTTTTCAAGAAGGTGGCTCTGATCCTGCCCAGGGCAGGTGAAGTAGCCCAATATGGACTATCCACCAAGACCTTGGGAATCTTGATAAGACGGACTGCATTGATCAGGACATTTATGCCGAGTTTGCCGATTTGTTCAAAGAGCTGGCAAAAATGGGCCAAAGCGAACGACTTCACAAAGCCTACTTCGAGGGTTTCTGGTCGTCGCTGCCATAGTTTGTCAGCGTCTCCAAATAGCAGCTTGAAAAAATCAAATACCTCATTGATTCTAGTCTTCGAAGTTAAACTATGGTCAACTAAGATATCTAAGATTATTCTGAGGTTGTAATAATGGTTATATACTGTTCCATATTTATACGACTTTTTCTTGCGAAGCCTTGGCCCATCCCAGGTTTGGAAAGCCCCGCAGAGACCAGCGCACGCGTCGAAGCCTTGGCCCAGGATGTCCTCGACGCCGCGACGGCGGAGGAGGTGACAACGGTGCTCTTCGTGACGCATAGCAAGGTGCTGGAAGCGGTTCTGGCGAAGGTCTTTGGCAGCCTAGACGGAAAAGATGGGATGTAGAATCCACTGGTGGATTCTAAGGGTGATTGATGATGATTCATAGGTTAGTGGTGGTTAATGGTGATTATTGGGAAAAATAAGAAATACAACAAGGATCCAATGAGAAAATCATCTATAACTGATAGATTGTTGCTGGAATTTCATGGGATATCATGGATTAATGGGATATAGAACCCTGGATCTGTTTTGGGCCGGTGGATGTGTTTAAGACTTAAAGTTGGGATTCAAACCATAAAAAAGATCTGTATGTCATACAAATTGTGTGTTGCCACGTGTGTTTTTTGCACTTCAGATGGTTCAAAGCAAGTGAACACGCATGAAAATGTGGATTTAATCATCAATTCTTGGCTTGATGGTTTCGAGCCATGGATTTGTGGATGTGACACAACAGCCAATTGAATTGCAGCATTTTTTTGGTAGCATCGCGAAAGGGACAAGTTTCTTGATGCCATCCTGCAATGATCCCACTTGACTATTTGTGTCTAATTGGAGGTTACTAGCTAGCCATATCCCGAATAGAGATACTACTGATGTGGAACTTTGGTGTCGGAAATGTTGCCTTGGATCACGATCCTGTTGCTGAGGCAAGTTCTACGAGGGTGTTGCGATCTCAGAGCCATCCATTTCCACGAAGAAAAGCTGTCATTTACCAAAAAGGTCAGAGAGGACGACAGGAAAAATGACTATAAAACTTTGGGCAAATTGGTGTTTCGAAGAGTTGGGTTCCAACCTTTTTTACTGTAATTATCCCTTTTTCACCATTGGTTTCCCTTTCACAGAATGACCAATTTGTGATGATCATGGGGGTAGCCAGTTTTCAGAAAGCCCGGTAAGTAGTCTCTACCCGAGTGAATCCCAACCTTGTGACAGCTGCAGTGCCGAGACCTGCTGAGGTTCATACCTCCCCAGGTGCTTTCTTTGTGTGGACCCTTTCGGATGAGAATGAGCTCGGCGACCTGCACAAAGTCCAGTGTCACGATCATCAAGTTGAGCAATAGAAATATTGGGCGAGAAAAAAGAAGCAGCTTGGGAGCAGACAGATGTAGTCCCAGTTAGTTGAACTGGAAAGTTATTTTTTCAGGCTGGCACCCCCAACAGGATATGGCATCTGATATGCTACCTCCAAAGTTGGTGGGTTTATGGTTTTTAAAGTTTAAAACCTAATTTTCCTCATTGAAACTGCAACTTTATGAATCTTTTATGGCAAAAATGGTACAAACATGTACAAACAAAGGGAAACCATCACGTCACAGGAGTGTGCACAGCTGCTGAAGGAAGCCGCTGAAGTGGCGCCTTTCGATGAAGTCCGTCGACTGGATGGGGAGGCCAGTTCATCAACGAATGCATGTTTTCTTGGAGGGGGGCGAAGTATGCACGATATCCATGTACATACTTGCATGCCGATATAATATGCTATATACTATATTCTATGTAGTTTGAAGTGTTCACACGTGCTTATGGATAATTATATGCAACATGTTCCCTCCAAACCCCCGGTTCGCTCACACTCAAACAACACATCCAAACAATATGATATACTTATAGCCAGAGGATGAATGAAAACACTGGCTATACGTAGCGATTTTGACTTTAAGTTTTCAGGAATCAGAGTTTTAATTTAGGGTTTGGATTTTTGGGGTTTAGGGTTTTAGGGTTTTAGGGTTTGTTGTTTTGGAAAGTAAAAAACTTAAACTCTACGCAGGGATTTGAGCATGTCAAAGGATATGCGGGATTTGCCGCGGGCAAACCTAGGGTTTGCAGCGAACATGTTTAAATGATGATTTGATGCATGTCAAGCCCGTTTCAACCCTGAAGCAGCTTGTGTTGGAGGATTGCCTCAATTCTGACGCACAGTATGCTTCACCCTAACAGAATGGATCCCCCCGAGAATGGATCCCGCAAAAAATGGTGATCCATCGGCGCAGACAGAGGTGTTCCAATCCATTCATTGACAAAGTCATCCAAAATAGATCAAAATGGAATAGCTGTAATGTCAACTAAAACTATAGCTACCACCAAATAGATCATGGAATACCTAGACTGTCAACACCATCATCGCTATTTGGGAAACCCTGGCTGAACCCCAAAAATCCAGGCAGGACAGGGCGGTGCCTACCACTTCTGCAGCGGCTCGGCCTCGCCTTTGGTCGAAGCCATCCGCAGCACGATCTACGACACTCGGATGCAGTGGCGGTGATCCAAGGTGTGGTTTCCGGCATGGAAAAGATATGGAAATATGGGATCTTGCTGTTTATACTATATATATATATTTATATTTATATATATATAGGTATAATACCATCTAGTCATATCTCAATGCTCATTGACTCTTACTGGTGCAAATTGCTCCAAGATTATCTAGTTCTTGTTCCTGAGATTCATTTTTTGGGTGTTGTACCCCTTTTAATACACCAACAGCCGCATGAAAGCAGCAAAAACTCCGTCACTTGTTGAGCCCAAAGTGCTGGGAGTGTGGCACAAACGATATTGGAAAGCCGATGGTGAGGCAGTGACATGCCCACAGCTCTTGTGTTTTACATTTTCAATATCGTTGAGTACTTACTTGCTTGGTGACTCATCCCACTTAGCAAGTGGGTTATAACCCCAGTTATAAATGGGATAAGTAGGGTTAATCCACTTATAATTGGGGTTATAACCCACTTACTAAGTGGGATGAGCCACCAAGTGGGTGGTTGTTGGGGCCTTGCAACAAGGTAATGTTTACGGGACCAGAAGACTTTTTGGAATGCCACAGCTACCAGTGGCTGCGACATTTATGAAGTTGGTAGTGTCAACCTCGGATTCATAAAGCCAAAAAATGAATTCATTATTGGATGGGTTACCGTCCAAAATAGTGATAAATTAATTTCAAAGTTGGCATCCCCCCTTCATAAACTCGTGGCTTCTTGATGCATTGATTAACATTGTCACTTCAAATGCCTACTGCATGGAAGAAACTTATACCATCCGCCTAGGATCATTTGGTCAAAGCCTGGCCCGAACTCTGCAGCTACGGAAAATCCTTGGTTGACTTCGAACAACGCTGTTGTGCTGCGGGGCAGCAGCTGGGTAGCAAGGAGATCCATGGTCCCTTCCGACTGAAGGCCACAGTAATGTTGTCAGAAAGCTTGTGAGGTTCACCAGTTGCTTGGCCACATACATGAGCTGGTGCTTCCTCAAAGCGTTTGGTATTTGAATGCGGCCCTAGGGCTTATATGGGCTTAGTCGACGGAACATAGTCTTGTGTGCCGAGTTGAAGTGACCTACTTGTATATAATGTACATGTATCTTCCGGAAACATACTACATACTGATAGATTTTCGGGGGTGGCCTGCCGTTTTCGCAAGAACTTGTTCAGGAAAAGGTGTGCGACGATCTTTTTGGCCTTTGGCGAGGCGAGCTTTGTCGAAGTTGTTCAGTGGGATGGGTAGTTTAGCACAACTGAATCGAGGTGATTTTCACGGCATTTTTTCAAATAATTGGCTGCTTCGAAACAAGCTGCAGCTGCATTCCATTTCTGGAAAGATGATCCAAACCTGGCGGCCTGGCGCCTCGTCGCACCTCTAAGTAACCAGCAACTTCCGGTGCCAGGGTGGTCAAAACTTGGCACATCAGGACAGGCGATGGGGTGATGGGGCGATCTTGTGCCCTATGGCTATGCCCCAAAAAAGAAATGGACAGCTGGACAGCTTCAGGTTCCACTGGGACAACTTGAGACACCTGGATCCGGACTCAGAATCAGCCCGGCCCAGTGAGGATCCGTATGGAAGGCTCTTCTTCCCCTACCAAGCGATGTTGATGCTCAGCCGACGAGGCCCGATGGCGGCGGATCGAGATTGGAGATGATGACTTTAGCTGTGGATACAGCTGAAATATGTTGTATATCGGTGTTCTTTTTCCATGTAAGTCTTGGTGTATATATCCAATATATATATATATATATTCTAAGCTCATACTATATCCATGAATTCTATATCCATTCTTTATCCACATGCACTTTTAAAAAACATCCATAGCCGTTTTCAAATAGTGGTATATTACATATATGTATACATACATACATACATACATATATATATATAACATATTCACACATATCTATGTCACTATGTCTATCTCTTTAAAGAAAGAGAGAGAGAGAGATATATATATATGTATAAGTATATACAATTATATGCAATTATATGTAATGTGTGTGTTACAATGCTATGCTGTCCATGTTTTGAATCCATCCCCTTGGCGTCGGCTTCCAGGTACAGATTTCACAGGTGGCGAGTTCTTCGTGAAGAACATGAAGACGGGAGAGGTAGCTGCGGCACCTCTTTGTTTGGTTCATTTTATGATCACAATATATGTCTGCCTTAGGGGAAAAGAACATGTGGGAAAATGGAACACATATATTATACATATACATGTACATATTTATATGGAGACTAGTTTTACTAGTTGCGTTTGTTTATAAAACTATTACGTAACTAGCATATGTTTAACTATCATAGAACATTTATATATATATACTAGTTAAATCAGTCAAAATCAACCAAAAAAACTATATAACTAATCTACAAATGATAAAGTTACGGCCAAACCCGCCTTCTTCGTATGAGCTGAAAACATTGTAAAATTTTGTATATTTCAGCATTATGGTTAACTTGATGTTCTAGATCAGAACGCACAGCATAGGGACCTGTGCGGGTTCGTTCCACATCGTCATGGTCATCATCATCATCATCATTATCATCATCATCATCATCATCCTCGTCGTCATCATCATCATCGTCGTCGTCGTCATCGTCATCATTGTCATCATCGTCATCATCATCGGGCGGGACTTTTATATTCCCTCATACCTTTGTTGATCTTCCCAAGACAAGAAGGGTGTGGGCGACACGGGGTGTTTGCGCGTAAAGTTACTATACTTACCTGGTTGGTGGTTGATCACCCAAGACGGGTAACGTTTCCCGAGACGTTGCGCGCACAAGAAAGTGAGAAAGTGGTGGTTTGGAACATGTTATATTTTTTCCATAATATATGGGATAATCCTTCCCAACTGACTTTCATATTTTTCAGAGGGGTAGGTCAACCACCAACCAGATTAGAATATTGGGATATTATGGAATATTAACCATTGTTAATTATATCATTGTTAACCACTATTAATAATAATCCCAGCTATTAGTTTTAAGACCTCTGTCACCCTTCGACTCAGGTCTGCGAGGTCCCTGCGGACGAGGGTGATGTCACCATCTTCGCGGCCAACAGCGCAGCGGTCAAAGGACAGGATTTTAAGCACGGCGTCGCTGGGCGAAACGAATAAAACATGGTGGATACCCTGCGGTAAACGTTTACATAACTATTGAAAATGGCCATAGAAATAGTGAGTTTTCCCATTCAAAATGGTGATTTTCCATAGTTTGTTGTATGTTTACCAGAGGGTATCTATCTTTACCAGAGCATTTACCCATTTTTTTGAAGTATTGGATTTACCCTCTGGTAAACTAACATTTTCCTACGGAAAATCACCATTTTGAATGGGTAAATCCACTATTTCGACTGGGCCATTTTCAATAGCTATTTTGACATAACCAGAGGGTACACAACTGAGGACCTGGCTGGTACATCATGGTAACAGTCGTGCTGCGTGATTTCCCTGGGGTTTGATGACTGCTGAACTGCTGATACCCCTGCTGATAGGCCCATATCCACGGAGGTTTTCCCAAAGAGTGCCGGCATGTGGACAAGCTGGGGACACTGCCATGCAAGTAAGTGTGTATTGATGAATTGCAATTTGGAGGCCACATCACTCGCTGGTGCTAAGTAGGGCCAAGTAGGGAATGAGGAAATGATCCATAACTATTATTAGCAGCAGCAATCATCCCATCCCATCCCATCCCATCCCCCTATTATTAGCAATCATCCCATCCCCGTATTCCCTGTCAAGCAACACTAAGATCATTCGGTTCACGTCTCCCACTCATTCATCAAAGCCAAACGCCCCAAACGTCCAACCAAAGAATCCCCAAGTCACCAGACTGGAAACTGCGGACCACAAATCTCCGCAAATGCTTAGGCATTATCACATTTGTGTTGGTCATTGGGTTGGATATATGTATATATGTGTATACTATGATTAATATTATCAATGATCATATTATTAATTGATATTAGAAAAAAATAATATTTCATATAACTATAATAATATCACAGTGACTATTGAGGAACTATTATTATTGATATTATTCTGGTTGGTGGTTTCAAACATTTTTATTTTCCATAATATATGGGATAATCCTTCCCATTGACTTTCATATTTTTCAAGATGGTTAAAACCCACCAACCAGCATTACATTACATATCACATATTTCATATCACTATAATAATATCACAGTGATTATTGAGGAACTATGATTTTTGTTATTATTACTGTTATTGTTCCTCACTCGGTCACCCCCGTCATCCCCGGTGCCAGCGCGAACCTCAACGAGGTTCGGACGGTCAATGGCCAGCGCTTTTCGGCGCGAAGCCACAGCGAGGGGATGGGTGAAGCCATCGGAAACCAGGTCTTTTCTCGGGAAATATGGGTGGTTTATTGATGGTTGTTGCTGTGCCATTGGGTGTTTTATGGGTGTTTTATTGATGTTTTATTGGTGTTTATTTGTGAAATATGGGTGTTTTATTGATGTTTTATTGTTTTTTTTGCCACCAATCCAACGATGAGCTCAGAAAAAAATGAATTCAGCTCCGGTTGTCAGTCACCCCAGCTGGTCACGCCTCTCAGGTGGGCATTGTTTTCAACCGACGCACATGAACAGGTAGCCGGTTTTGAGGCCACTTGTCGCGCCAGTGGGCAGCAAGGATTTACGGTTGTCCTTTTAGTTGAAAGAAACAAAATAGAGATAAGTAGCCCCAATGCAGGTCGATCATGAACCCATTTTAATGGTCGTTCTTCGATAATATCATAGATCTTCAACAGGCACTTAGATCCAAAGCTGTACCCATTGGCCCACCCAATGCACAGAAAGTGTGACAGATGCTACGGTGGCACAAAGTGGCCCAGCTGTACATAGAGCCGCATAGTTGCATAGCTTTTCATGCCGCACTCCGAAGGTGGCAGACTTAAAGTGCGCTTCCCAATTTTCGCACATCTCCAGCTGATCTTTTTGCGGATGGATTGAGATGCCATTCGCTTTGATTTTCACCGTTTTTGCTGATGAATTTGGGTGGATTTAGATAGGTAAGCACCACATCTCCAGCTCAAATTTACCCATGTTGATCCGTGAGCATGGACCTAAATTTGATCTAAATGTCAGTAAACACCAATAGGGATTATTATCCGTGGTTAACCATCTTACTGCTGCTTAGCAGGGAATGAGGGAATGATTCATAATCACTAGTAATAATCATCCCATTCCAGTCCTATCCATTCCCTACTAAGCACCAGTAAGCCATTGATATCAATTATGAACACTAGTAAATCATGGCAATCGAAAACCCCCCATGTAGTTCGACGGTCTTCCCAGCAATAAACCAGCCATGTTTGATGACACCGAAAGGGAACAAACCGCCATCACCCCATTACTAATCATGATGAACCACTAATCACTAGTAACCGCTATTAGTCGCTAGTAAGATCCATTGATAATCCCTTGTTATTAGAATATAGTTTACCTCTCACAACCACTAACCACCATCCAAGCCGCTATTCATAGTATTATCCCCTAGCATGACTAACCCTCAGGCCCGACAGCATCATGAAAATCTCCTGCTGGCAGCCATGGCCTTTGCTTGGGCCATATGTCAGGCGAACAAACTGGAGCCCGTTTTGGTGATTAACATATGGTTATTTAACATGATCCAGTTCGCTATGTTAATATATGGTTAATATATGGTTAATATATGGTTAATATATGGTTAATGATGGTTCATAATGATTACCATCTGGTTATTTAACATAGCGAACTGGAAAAGCCATGAAATAAATAGAGGTTTCTAGCTGGGAAAATCATCTGTAAATGGGCCATTTTCCATAGCTATGTTAAATAGCCAGAGGGTAATGGTGGTTACCCTCTGGTTCTTTAACATAGCTATAGAAAGTCCCCCTAGTTTTTGGGTAAATCATCATAAAGCATCTATAAATAAGCCATTCTCCATAGCTATGTTCAATGACCATAGGGATATATTGATAGTGTTACTAATAGTAAGATGATGTTAATGGCTAATGCTAAAAAAATATCTCTAATACAGCCGCTTTGGTTAACTGTTAATAGCTGTTACTGATGGCGAATAGCCATAAACAGTTTCAGTGAAATAAAAGATGAAAAACAGTTTTTAATCCATTATATAATTGTTAGCAATGTGTCTGATGGTTAATAGTGGCTAATAGTAGGACAGAGAGTGGTCCACAGTAGTTAACAATATCAATAGTGATTCACACTGAATTTGGGGGTCAACCCATGGGATAGATAGTTCAGTACAATTGAATCTGTTAGACAACTTTGGATATATGTTAACCTAACCACTAAATCACTAATATTCAGGGCGTGAAAAAATCTGGCAGCGATTTCATAACTAGTAATCCCCAACATCCATCAGTAGCAGTAATCCTTTGGTTTGCCGGAGGTGGCGGTTTGCCATCATTACTTCCCGTTGACATTTGATTTTTTTGAGGAATCTCGGGTGGAGTTTTGTTGGGGGGATGGTGTGGCGGATAGTTTGCTACCATTTCGTGGTGATTCGGAGCACAATCCTTGCAAGCGCCCATGACTGATTTGAGGTGCGTTTTGCAGGTTGCAGTTGCATTACCCTGCTCATTGGTTTTCTGATTCCCATGTTAGGTTTTCCTCAAGACTGTTTCACATGGGTTTCTCTGAAAATTGCATTCCTCATTCCATTGGTTAGTCCTCACTTTCCCTATGAAAATTGCCATTTGGGGGTATACCACTGCAGACTTTTCCCACTGCAGGTGAAGTATCACCAAATGCCGCTCTGCCGCGCGCTGGTCTGAAACTTGATCGCCGTCCGTTGCCGCCCAAAGGACCGGGTTTCAGCCGCTGCCCATTCTGCAGGCCGAACTCTTGGCGTGCCAAAGTGAGCGATGGGATTCTTTGGTAGCCAGGCGCGGGGATGGCAAGAAACCCATGAAAATTGGGCATATCCCAATGTATGCTGTTCAATAGGGAAAATGATGATTGTCCCTATTTTGAGACACAGTTTATTGAAGATGAGAATGTTCCTGCTGAAAATGGTGGAATTTCCTATACCCAGCCTACCGGAGGGCGTGGAATTATTTTTTCAAAGTGGCACAAGAGCCCAATACATGTTTTAAAAGAGTGTGGCTTTGGCGTTGCAAATGGGTCGTCGGGAGTGAGAATGACATCACCACCAACACGACCACCACCACAACCACCACAACCACCACAACCACCACAACCAACATCCATCATCGTCATCATCATCATCATCACCATCACCATCATCATGCTCATTATCCTCATCGTCATCGTCCTCGCCCTCATCATCATCATCATCATCATCATCATCATCATCATCATCATCATCATCATCATCATCATCATATTCATCATATTCATCATCATCATCACCATCATCATCATCATCAATCAATCATCATCATCAATCATCAATCATCATCATCGTCATCATCATCATCATCATCATCCTGTTCATCATCATCATCATCATCATCAATCATCAATCATCAATCATCATCATCATCATCATCATCCTCATCGTCATCCTCATGGCCGTCGTCATCGTCATCATCATCCACAACGACAACAACAACAACAACATCAACAACAACAACAACATCATCCTGATGATCATTTAGTTTTTTTGCTGACCCCAAAACATCAATGAAACTCAGGGCGCCATGTTCAGTTTCTCGATTCTTGCCAGCTGAGGCAGCACGAAAAACGTCGACGAGTTCTTCAGGAGTCTTACGCGCTGTTGCAAGAGGCAGCTGGTGATAAGCCAAGATCAGTTGGCCAACCAACATCCATTAGCCACCAACAGTTTGAATACAACACATAGACAAAGTGAGCTTGAGAATGGGTACAGATAAGTCAACATGATGTTTATGACTTGACCCAAAATGGAAGCGTGAGGAACAGTTGCAGGACACACGGTAAAATCATCAGCGAGTTTACCCAGAAACAGCAAGGAATCCTCTTGAAAATCACTTTCCTGTAGCAGCCCTTGTTGGGTCTCAATCATGTAAAGGGTACAGGCACCATGATGGTGTTCCTATCCACTTCTTCTACCGATTGTATCCGGTTGTGTGATTTGCAACTCTGAACCAATTTTCATGGTGGTTTGATGCTTCTTTTTCCCTAAAGTTGAAGCCGATCCTTCTCCATGAACTTGCACACGTGCAAGCTGGGAACGGGAACCCCACAGGCACCTGATTTCACTGGTAATCTAACCTGGTTTGAAAAAAGAGCCCATCACATTCTGTTCCATTTATTCATGGGGTGTTTCTGTCTTAAAAGCAACCCCCCAAATATATATATATACATACATACAGATACAAGATGATAATAGTATATTAGATGTAATTTCCATCTTTCGCTCAGGATCTTCCACCTAGAGTTTTTTGTTGTCGCGGTAAAACCCATCGGAAAGTCATCGTGTCGCAGATCAGGTGCTCGACTGCAATGGCTTCAGTGAGGTCCAGAGGGCCTGGATCTGGTGGTCTGGTGTCTTAACAACCGTTTTAATGAGATATGTGTATATATACCCTCTGGTAAACTAACATAACTATCGAAAATCACCATAGAAATAGTGAATTGTCCATGAAAAATTGTGATTTTCCAGTTCACTATGTTAGTTTACCAGAGGGTATATATATATACAATTATATATAGGTATGAATGTTTCCTGAAATGGGGCTACCCTACATCATCCATTTGAGATTGGGATTTTCCATGAAATAAACCATCCAGCTATTCGGGATCCCCCATTTATGGAAAACCCGTATATATATATATATATATATTTTTATATATTCGTATTATTTAAATTATATTATATATATATATCCAATCAAGCCATGATTATTGATGTTTATTTTAGGTTGTGAATTGTTATGCAAAAAATTGTTTATCCTCTTGGTACTTTAATTATGAAAAATCACCACATTCAATAGGTAAATCACCGAAATAAATGGACCAAAAAAATACCATGGCTACGTTAAATTACTAGAGGGTATCCAACCAAATATTATCCAAGTCCCCAGCGGTATAACCAACAGGAATGAAATTGGGGATGTAACCAACACGTGCTGGAAGGATGGGCCCTCCCAACCCTCAAGTCCAACTTCTGGCGAGAAAAAATTGCCCCATGTTGGATGTCAAAAATCTCCTAAAACCTTTTTTCCCCATGGTCATAAGTGGTGATGAACCATGGTTATTATTGGTTCTTCACCATGATTGGCGAAAAAAAATCTGGTTGCTCCATGGCCCACCATGGCCCAAGCCCCAGGAGGTCTACGCTCGAGTGCTGGGGGAGTTTGACCTGGTGAATGTGAGTATCGAATTCGATCATCCTTTCCAGGACCTCCAAGGGAGAGATCTTGCAGCCAGAGGAAACGGTATACCCCAGAAAAAACTCCCCAATTAAAACTCCCGAAATCCTCCGTGTTGGGTCTGTTGGGTTGTTCTTGGCCGTGTTTTTTCTTGGTTTGTTGGGATTTGAAAATTGAGTTGGAGAAAGTGTTCCAAAGTAGCAATTTCAACGGCACCAGGCATCCCTGGATGAGTTGCAGTCCTTGCGACTGGCGATGCACGACTCTGGACTCATGCGGCGTTTGGTGGAGGTGCACTCGCAACGCTTGACATTGCAAGAAATTGTTCTTTTTGGGGGGATATATTGGTATGGTGTAGTTATTATGTTCATTGTGTCAATGCAAAAAAGGGGTCTCTTCTGGTCGGTGGTTTGGAACATGAATTTTATTTTCCCCAATAGTTGGGATGATGATCCAATCAGTGAGGTAGGGATTAATAACCATTATCCAACTATTAAAAATAGTGATTTTCCAGTTCGCTATGTCAACGTTTACCAGGCCGGGTATGACGACCTATTCGTTTTAAAGGACTGGTAGCATCGCACAGCATGGCATCGCAGCTGTGGCCCCATGATCCTGACGTCCCATGGCCCCTGTGTGGCCAATGGAATTCCGACCTCCGTTCGCCGTCGAAGCCTAGCCCCGCCACGTGCTGCCGCGCAAGCAGCGACATCCAGCAGGAGCGGAGCGTGTTTTGACCGGCAAACCATCTTGGAAGCAAAAGATCCAACGGTTTGTGGTGTTCAAACGGATGGATAAAAATAAAAATAAAAATCTTACCCTCCAAGCTTATTTGTTGCGGTTGATGTTAGTTTTTGATGCACGGCTGATGTCGCGCTTGCAACTTTGCAATTGAACATCACTTGACTTTGTTAACTCTACTTGGCACTCATTGTTTGGTAAACCGATAAACCACCTGAATATAATTGATGGCGCTTCTAATGCCCACTTTTTTTGTCCATGGATTGATTCTCAAGCAACAGTCTTAACCAGAAGCCACTGCATTTTTCCCCTAAAATATGCGATGTTCGTACATGTTTATATCATCCACTTCTGGGATGTGCTGAATGGGTTGACCACATCGTTGATGAGATGAAATCCCCTATTTTGATGGTGAAATAACCACACGTCATTATCCATCCACCCTAAATTAAAATCAATGTCTTTGGATTTTCACCATCAAAAAACATTGGATTTCACCATCAAAAACCTGGGAGATATCCTAAATTCTCTCCAATTTCACCATCTCAGATCCCTTTTCAGGACATCTCTGGGTGGCTCCGCCACAGCCGGCCTCGCCTTGTTCCACGCTTTGCGGCGTCGCACAAAACACCGCGCCGCCGCGCGGCTCACGCGGCGCAGCGCAGCGCAGCCCATCTTTTGCTCGGTGCTGTCGTCGCAGGGCGACTGGCGCGCGGCTGTGGCGGAGTTGGTGGCAGAAGCCACGTATCAGCTCCTGGAGGAAAATTGTTGGAAAATGATGGTGAAAATGTGGTGTTTTTTTTAATATCTTAGGGTTTCTCGACCGTGCAAAAGGGATGGTTGAGATGAGTACTATGTTTGAGATGGGTTAAAAGCCACCAAGCGGGGATGGAAACTGCAGGGGTCGATACTGAGATTTACCTGGTACAAAATGCCAATAAGATCCAGAAGCCTCGTTGATCATGATTGGAGAGAGAAATTGATCATATTTTTAGAAGTGGATATTATGTTTCTGCATCTTTTGGGGGTCGTAATGCACGATAAAAATGATGAAAAAATGTGTTTGAGGTAGCAAAATCGGAGTTGAAAGATGTTGACCGTTCTAGTTGAAGTACCCGCACCCACTTTGCCGCCAATGTTAGCTTTGTGGCATACCAATTGTGATTTTCTTGGTGGCCAAATTTTGCGCGGCTGGTGATATACGAATTGAAATTGCAAGTTCGTCAAAAAATAACTAAATTAAAACTCCGAGGACAATTGAGATTTTCTAGACAATCTCTTGTAGTTGGCAAAACAATCACTAATAAGCATTGGCATTGAATGATATCCTTTTCGGGGGGCTGCCGACAAACACACCCCCATTTCCTCTTCCCACTTGGAAGTTCCGGGCAATGCCTCCAGTGTTTATGTAACTATCAATCTATATCTCTGTGTGTGCACTGACTATACCAGACATCATTTCAAGCCCCCATATCACAATATATCATGTCTTAGAATGTATATATAATACATACAATGTGGGGCCCCCTAGTTATAAGTTGGTTTATAAGCCCCAATAACTATAGTTATAAGTACCATAAACCATAGTTATTGGAGTTATAAACCAACTTAGCTATCTAGGGGGCCCCACTTTGTAGATGATCTTTTCTGTCTCATTTCTTCCTTTATGAACATCATCAACTCACCCAGGTTGCAACGCCACAGCAGCCACCGTCCTTGGGACTTCGCCGTGGTCAACGTCAGTGGCCACGATGACGTCTCCGTGGCCGACGTCACCACCACGCTGGACCGGTCCCTGGGCACCGACGGCGCCTGCGTCGGCGCCGCGGTGAACGGCTGCAGTGGGCCGGGCACGGACCACCAACGACGCTCGGAAAATGGTCAGGATGAAAAATGGAAAAAATGGGTGAATTGATGTGAATTGATGATTAAGTGGTTAAACCATGAAATCTTCAGCATCTTGTGGGGTTGACGACTTGGTTGAGTTGGCCACGGAACAGGGTTGAGCCATTGGAAGATTGGGAGCCGAAGTTCGAGAAAGCGGGAAATGGAAAAATCCGGTCGGGTTGAAAAGATTAGCATCAGCAGGAGCTGGATTGGAGAATGACTATCGATCACAAAGCTGTGTTTTTTTAAGCCATACCCAATGTGTGACAAGTTGTGCTGAAATTCCAGTTGTTGTCTTGTTACATCTTTTTTTGCAAATCGTTTTCCAGCTGGCCCTCCTCTAAGAAACGCATTTGGTGAAGTTCTTCGTCCACTTTTACGGTTCATCGTGATACTTAGCCCTGCCTGACATGAGCCATTGAATCAAAACCGGTACTTTGACAAGGAACAATTGATCCTATCAGCAAGCCTTTCCCAATTGCCAGACGCAAACATGCAGAATTTCAAGATGTTTCTTTTTCAGCCATCTTTTTCTGCCATCTCAACACACCGAGTCGCCACCCCTTCGACCCCACCGCCGGAATGCTTGTGAGGTCACAGCCATTCCGGCAGTCCTGTGATCCAACTGGTGGCGGTGCAGTTGCCAGCGCCCAGGCACCAAGGACGTGACTGGGGCAATGAGACTTGGAACAGAAAGGACCGAAGCCGAGCAGGTTTCTGAAATGATGGTTAGATGTGGTTCGTACTCGGAATTCTCCCATAGCCGAAGTTCTCAGGTTAGTGGATTGTTGTAATTTGCCTATAGATTCCGGCAATGTGATGTGATCTATGATCCAAGTCATGTCATGCCATGTACCGAAGCAGAATGTACCATAATTTAACGAAACACTGTAACACAACTGGTGAATTGCAACGGCACCTCCATCATGGCCATCAGCCCAGGAGCTTCGGAGAGCAGCCTGCAACACGGCGAAACCGTTCTTCGTGGGACAGGCAGAGCTGCAACGAATCTCGGGCCTCGTGTGTCAACTTCAGGGACGAACACGAGTGCAGGGAGCACAGGAATCTGCACTGCCACGGGCATGGCGACAATTCTTAGGCTGGGGAAAGATGCCATGGGGAAAACTATGGAAATCTGCTCTTAATCTGCTGCTTTCGGAGTGGTTTCAAAGCTGTTCTTCTGTAGCCAGCAGGTGTGGCAGACAACGATGATCGCCCCAACGGCATCCTGTTATTCATTGATCCCCTTGCGTCGAAGTATGTCGTTCCTTGGTGTGATGTCCAATGGGAGGCATTGCCAGTTTGGTAGAGGAAGTGATGGTCAACAAGCAAATTTAGGGGTGTACAGTGGTACCCTATTTTCAGACAAACTCGACGTGTTTTGTGTGCAGGATGGAAATACACATTTTGAGGCAACCCCATGGCCCATGTTTAATTGGATGTCCTTTACATTGGTCAACGACAGTTTTGCTTGTCTTGACAGTCCTATCCCGACCCCCCTGTTACATAGCTATGTTTGATGGTCCCAAATTGGTTGATCGTTAAACCTCAATTCTTGCTCGTAAAAACACGAAATCCAAATGTGTAACAATGAAATTTCCAGTGATGATGATCTTAAACCCCAATGTTGCAACCATGATGTTATAGAAGTTGCTGCAAAAATTGCCCCCCATTCAAGGGTCAGATGTTCTTAAGAGTTGATGTCAAAGGGTCTTTGACCCCAAATTGCGCTATTTGTTCAACCAAACTTGTTCATGGTCATATCCTCGATGGCCTATGCTTAAACCCCAAGTTTTGGTAGTGCAACATAGCGCAACCCTGTTTGAAGGTTCTAGTTATAGTACCCAGGCATGCTTAAACCTGTGTTTTGGCTGGTTATGCGGTTAGTTTTCTTCAATAAAAATCCCTAAGTTTTGCCTATTTCTTGGTACCTCAACCATAATTTTGCCACAATTAAATCAATTGGTTTTTCAGGACCATAAAATGGAGCTACTGTACCATAGCTACTGTACCATATAAAGCCATAAATAGAAATTGGGGTTGCAATTCCAATTTGGGTATCTGAAACGGCCATTCATTAACCATATGGAGGTTTCCTATAGGGGTGCTCCCAGTCATCCATGAAAAAAGATTGGGATTTTCCAGTAACCATGATTTTGGGCTACCTCCATTTATGGAAACCCCCCATATGAACCCCTGATTTCCAGGTTGGCTCCGTCTTAAGTGCCTTAGACTTGGCCTTTCCCACGGCCGTGAAGTGCGGCGCTGTCTGCGCCGATCTGCTGCCCTCCCGGAAGCGTCTCAGCGTGGCAGCGCGGGAACAACAGAACGACGCGGATCCCTTGGCGGCCGGGGTAGCGGGCATCTTGCTGCCACCAGACGTGACATGGAGAAGTTAGTCTGGTGCCCGGCAGATGTTTGTTGGTTTATGGGGCCCCATGGGGCCCCATCTAAATAGATCTAAGTATAGTTACAAATATGATGCACTATTGTTATTATAGTTATTATAGTTATAAAGCAACTTAGCTAACTATGGGGCCCCATCCTGTAGGATTTTACCATGATTTTGCCTGAGTTAACCATGAAAAGAAATGGGGATTTATTAACGGAAGATTCATGGGATACGTGATGTATTGCCAACTAGAATCAACTGTAAGCATATTAATTGGGATTTAATCATACTAACAGCTGGTGGTTGTTGTTATTCCGAATATTCCCCAAAAAAGGGATGATAATTCCCATCTGCTGGTGTCAAGTCAAGTCGGTTTTTTTTGTCGACCCCTATGTGGGGGTCAAATCCCGATTGACCAAAGTGGTGGAAATCACCATCCCACATCTTACAGCGGTCATCCCCAAATATAGCTGAAACCGGAAGCCCTAGTTTGATTGCTTAGAACGCGATGAGTCATGCCGGTGAAATCTCTAGTTGCAAGGTTGCTTACATCATCTTAAACCCATAGGTTTTTTAGGTAAATCCCCATGTTTTATTCAATGGATTGGTGTAAGGGCAAATTCTAACCGGAAAACCCCATATTTACTGGGAAAATCGATGGTTTCCGGTTTCGATTTTCCAAAAAAGAAACAAGCCATTGATTTATGGTTTCCATCCATTTAACCGGCAGTTTTTCCAAGCCCAGATGTCCATCCACAGCATGGTCTCCATGGGCAGCTGTCGGGTGGGTCCTGAGCTTCGAGTGACGTCAGCTGATGGGCAAATCATCAAACAGATGCAATTCGATGATGACAAGGTGGGCAAATAATGGGTGATTATATATATATATATATTGGTTGGTGGTAGTAATATTACTGGTTGGTGGTATAATAATATATATATATATATACCTATTATTTGTGTCTATTACTATTAGTATATATATATATAATACCATATATAATTTACCCAGAATACTCTTTTGTATAGTAATACCATATATATATATGTGGTGATATACTGTATATAATATAGGATATAATAGGTGATAACCTCCATAGGATTGGTGGTGCTGCAGTTGGGCCATGGTGAATGCTTTGTGGTGAAAACAACCGTGGCCTTCGATGATGATAAGGTGCCACCAAAAAATCGTAGGTGACTTGAAGCCATGCTTGGAGCAAATTCCGGAATGTTCCATGGCAGCAAATCCAGCATCGAACCCCAAAATGGGACATGTACTGATTACTGGAAAAAAATGAGCTGTCCCAATAAAAATCAACAAGCAATTTGATGCCAGATAATGAATTTCATCAGCATGTCAAATCTTGGGGCCACTAAAATGAATAGATCCAAGACTAGTGGCCTCAATATACTTCAGCCATCTTAATCCTTATGGGAATAGGATTGCTCTCCATGCTCACTCCATCATCAGGAGGCGCACCCCGCCGTGGAAATGTTGCAAGAGGTGTCCAAGCAAGTGGCCTCCGCAAAAATGGTCCGGACTTGGGATATGTTTCAAACCTGTTGGGGATATCTTTGCGATTTTGGGGGGGATAGAATGGGGATTTAACTATCTAAAATGGGGATATAACCAAGTATAGCGGGGATTTTATGGTGATCCAAAAAAAAAACGTTCAAATTCCACTCTAAAATAGTGACGATGTACTTTGGAATTTGTTTGGGGGGTTTGCCACAATGGAGGTGTGAGTAAGTGTCTAAAATGGGGATAGAACCCAGTATAGTGGAGGATTTTATGGTGATTTAATTGGGATTCATGTGGATTTTAAGGGGTATAGAAAAAGAACCTAATGGATATCTAATCGTTGATCTGGCTGGTGGGTTCAAGTATCTGGCTCATTTTCAAACATAGAACTGGGATGATCCCCAATGGCGCTGAAAGGCATATTTTTTCAGGGGGTTGAAAGGCAGAAACCATGCTACTTTGGGGCCAGCGCACAATGGCTTGTTTGAAATAATGAAATGGAAAGCCTCTCAAACCTGTGTTGGTGATGTTCATCATATTTCATCATGATCCGCCTTAAAAGTACAATCAATTGGGGGTACCGGGGTACCCCAGTTTCGGACGCAGCCATATTTCAGTTGATGATTTGGAGAAGCAAAGTTTGAGTTGAAGACATTGCAGATATTGAACAAAAACAACCAACTGGCTGGTTTCAAGGGAGAGTTTGTCAAGCGCCCTGCTGTATCCCTGAAGCGGTGCACCTGACAAATTTCAGGATCCTCTCACCTTCTCCAGGGGCCCGCCGTTGAATTCCAATAGCCGAGTAGGAGCAAGCAATGGATTTTTCCAGAACTTGCCAGCCATTGCCATGTGAGCATTCAGTGTTCAGGACTGATAACTTGATAACTGGTTCATACTGGTTCAGGGTTCAAGATTCAGCAACCATCAAAGCTGCAATGCTAGGAATCTCAAGGGGCTTCGCAGGACTTGAAGAAACTGTCCATCGCTTTTCGCTTTTGACCCCGCGTCGCGAATCTGAGGCGACACCGTTGCAGCAACTTTTAATTGAACGGAGCGGTTTCTTGCTCGGCTTGGAGGCTCCAAAGCCCTTGGATCCTGAGAAATCCAAGGCACGGGCGACCAGTTTTTTGAGTGAAAATCTACCATGTGAGGCCCCCGTTGGATAGCTAAGTTGGTGCCAATAACTCCAATTTCACTATAGTTTGTGGTACTTATAACTATAGTTGCTGGGGCTTATAAACCAACTTATAACTGGGGGGCCGAAAAACATTGTAGGTCTTTTTTTTCGGTGAGTTGCTTGGCTTTGCGACGGCAGGTCTACGACGATGTCTGGGGATCCTCAGAGAGGGCCCCGTCCTACACGGCCTTGCGCAGACAGGCGAACTCCTGTGACTGGCTCTTGCGATCCCTGGAGCCATTACCGGGTGGATCGGTGGTGATCCGAAGACACCCGGCACCAGCTGGCACCAGCTATCCATGACCTGTGGAGGTTTCCGTTTCGTCATGGCGGGTACCCCTAAATCATCATCCATTTTTGTTTGGGATTTTCCATGAATTAGCCTCCAGCTATTGGGATGCCCTGATGGCTATGGAAAGCCCGTATGTTTGAGCGTATTGGAAATAGGCAGCTGGGTGAAATGAAGCCTATCACGAGTGTGACACCCGACCAATACCCTGCGATTCTGTGGGGTTTTTCCTACCTGGTTCGCCAAGGGTTCGCCAAGGAGACAATTTGAAAAGAGTTCCGCCCAGGGTCGGCCCAGCCTGGTTGCGGTGTCAGCTGCATGTCTTCAATGAGCGGAAAGGCAAACAAGAGCTGGAGTTACTTGGCTCTTGGCATAGGTATCACTCGTATCACGTGTATCAGTGTATCAAATTTGGGTCTGTTTCGGGATCAACCATCTCTTGTTTGTGGTTTCAACATGACTTTTATTTTCCATTTCATCTATGGGATGTCATCATTCCCATTGACTTTCATATTTTTCAAGATGGTTAAAACCACCAACCAGATCTCATTTTTGGGGGCTACCCGATTTCGACCCATACCAAATGTCTCGGACTTTTTCTACAAAAACATTCCCAGTGAAAGGTCAGGTGCAGGCAACAAATGCCAATCGATTTTCAGATTTATGTTTGGTTATCTAACCCTTCACCAGTTGATCATTTTGGCGCATACCCACAGATTTTCAACCCATTGTACCCAATATGTCTTAATTGTCATATCATACACCATCATAGCCCCATGAAACCAAAAAAAAACAAAAACACGTGAAAAAAGACATCAGATGCCGGTTTTGGCTTTTTTTGTGCCCTGGGACAGACAGACTTGGTTCAGGTTAATGCTGCAGCGTTACATGGGCGCACGCATGACCATCCCAGTCCCCGTTGGAGCGCCCTTCGGTGCTGTGGTTTTCACTTGTCACTCATGGTGCGCCAACGACGGAGAGGACCCCCGTTTTCAGGGCTGGAAGGACTTAGGATTTCGATTTCGCCAACATAAAATTGGGAAACCAACCAGTTTATTGGGTTATAATGCGAGATACAATGGGGATACAATGGGGATACCACGGAATATTCTACAAGCTGTTGCCCAATAGTTGGTTAAAACGGAGTGAGTCTATACACCAACAATGGGGATTTAGCCGCTAGCCCACCAATCACGGGGTGTGTGGAAGACTGGAATTTGTGGCTATCTCACCTGACATTTGGAAAATCTCGCTTTCTGGATGGTTGTTTCCTAAGCACGGGATCTTCCCTTGCTTTGTGTTTCTTTGCCAGAGGCTGCTTCTGTGGCATGTGGTGGCTTTTCCATCTGGGAAGTGTGATCTGGAAAATGGGCAACCTATCCCTCACGTGCATTCGATACTATAGATACTATAGATCATATGCCATGTGCATTCACCCACAAAATCCCAAATCCCATCTATTTCGTTATATGTCAATGGGTCTACGACCTCAGTAACATAACTAATCACTTTGCTCGTGGATACTGCTTCTGACAGATGGTATTTATTTCGTGTCGAAACCCCACTTGGGTGATCCTCCAAGATCCTCCTTTTTTTGCTTCCCATTCTTACCATTCATTGGATTGGTTTAAGGGAAAATTTACAGGAAACCATGGTTTTTACCATTAAATATTGGGTTTTCCTGTAAATTTTCCCCTAAACCAATCCATTGAACCATGGTTCCATGCCAGGAGGTGGGAGTGGCCGAGGTATCCAAGGCCTTTCCCCCCATCCCGGTGGTGACGGTGAACTGCTGCGGCGAGGTGGCGCAGCCGGGGATCGCACTGGGCGGCGTGGACCAGAAACGCACCACTGTGCAGGGCCACACGGCCACCTGCTGTTTCTTCAGCTATGAACGGAGGCCCAAAAAATAGGAGCATGATCTCATTCTCCTGATTGGATACGAAAAAATTATTGGATGATGAAGTCTGATTTTTAGATTATGTTTTTTTCAAGATTTGGATGATAAGATTGTTGGATGACGACATCTGATTATGAAAAATGTCGTAGAAAGACTGGTCAACCAGGATTCCCACAAGATCTTCAGGATGTTGCTGATTTGGGCCCTCCTTTGTGCATTTGGGCCCCCTCCCGGGTCAACCTTGCAGAACTTTTTTTCCGCCGTGAATCTCTGCGGCAATTCGTGCAGTTTTCCATTGCAAAAAGTGGTTGAGCCGTTGAGCCCAGTGATTCTTAGAGTTTGGTTTTCCATCTCAAGATCTCATCCGTTTGGTTGAGCTCAACCCTAGCGTTTTCAGCCAAAGATCCAGGAAATTTCAAGGATCCAAGCAGAAGGAAAGAAAGTCTGAACACAACACTGCACTTGAAATATCAGTGTTCAGTTTGAATGTTACCTGGTGTATCCTGAAAAATCAGTTTACCAGCCTCCTTGCAGTTCATCTTATGAGATAATGCTTCCTGTCATCATCCAGAAGAGAAAATTTTGAGAGCTGTTGCCCCAGCATCAGCGTCTACCACGGCCAAGAAGATCTTGGAGAAAAAGCCCCTTCGGAATGTGGCTCTTGTTGTGATTCCTGGATGGAAAAGTGGAGTAATATGGCACATCAAAAAAGAACTTGCCATTTGGGGATGGTTTTACTATGGTAAGTCATCGGGGCTCGCTGCTTGGTCCCAAAATGCCAACGGCATTGGATCGTGGTAGCATCGGCATGAACTTTTGTGGAATCTGCTAGAGAAGAAATATTAGGTTTCTTGAAATGGATCCCCAAAACATCCATGAAAACCATTGGGATTTTCCAGTATAAACCATGGATTTTCCACTACTAAAATGGTCTAATTTTGAGTTGGGGGCACCCCCCACTTGGGAAGCCGCGTCCGCCAGGTGGCCAACTGCCGTCATGAGGCCGGGGGGTCAAAACTGAGCGGTTTTGGCCAAGGGTTGCTGTGAGACTCATACAGGGCGCACCAGTTCGTTAGAGTTCGGAATCGCTAAGTTGGTGAACATAACTATAGTATGATACGCAAATAACTATATTTAGATGAGGTTTTCATACCACAAAAAACTGGGCAGCATTCTGTATAGATTGGTACTCCTGGTACCCAGCTAAATCTCAGTTGGTGGCCCAAGGGGGCCTGGCAGTCTTCCGAATGCCGCTTTGTTGACATTGGCTCCAGCCCATTTTTGGCTCGTGATCAAAGAAGAAGCTGGCACTGTCCGGGGCCCAGAGCTAAACTACAGGGGCAAAGACAAAGGTTTCCGGGTCGTGTTCCTTACATCAACCCGTTGATCTGTTGATGTATACCAATAATGTTGATCTATGTTTATTGTTAATGTTCTGCTTGTATATTTTCATCATCCTCGTCGTCGTCGTCGTCGTTGTTGTTGTTGTTATCAGTGTCATGCATGGAATTATAGCTATGCAGCTATTCCATGCTATTTATTCCGATTGATGTTTGCCAAAGATCATGTCATTCAACTCTTCTCAACTTCATTTGCTGCCGAGGCAACATGAATCAGCAGCTTGTGAACTTTGGCGCGGATGGAGACTCGGCTGGGAAAGCCTCAGTGATGGCTACTCAGCATAAACGACATGCCCTCCGGTAATTTAACAGTTTGCTATTGCAAATGGCCATTTATCGTTGATTTACCCATTAAAGATTGTGATTTTCCGTAGATATGTTAGTTTGCCAGAGGGTAAAGTGGTTGATATAAAGATAATAATCTTACAGCACTATTCCCATATCTCCTGGAACCTTGGATACTTTCATACTTCCATCTGGTGAATGGGAAAAGACCGTTGGACCAATCAAAGATCTTCAAAGATTCATAGAACTTGGCTGGCTATGGCTATGACAATGGTATCACATTAGACCAAGCAGCATTGAAGGGGATATCCCAATAAATCCCATTAAATAACCATTAAATAACCATTATCCATCTAATATCCCAATATATGATATCCCCTATCATGATTCTCCACTCATCATCCTGCAACTTGAGGAAGGGTGCAGGTGGATCGGCAGGCCTTAAAGCGTGCGGAGGCACGGCGGTTCGGGCACGACCGGATGTTTTTTTTGCATTTTGACCATCCGATAAATAGCGATTTGAATGATTTAAATTTAACGTACCAAAAATGGTGGGTTTGGATGTTATGCACGGTTTACATTAAGGAGGCTCGTGCTTCTCAGTAATCAGGCCAGGTGAAACTATGAGGTTCCCCATTTAGTGGTGCCCAGGTGTTTTTGTGGGGGAACACGCCCCACATTCCTCCAGGAAATTCAGGGCGATGTTTCCGCTCCACAACAGCCAGTTGGAAAAGTTGGAAACCTGAAAAATATGGAGAAACGAGACTTAGCTGGTGGGAAAATGATGATTGATGGTTGAACATTGGTGTTCCGCCATCAAAATTGAGAAACATAATCTGTTGAACATCCTGGAAGAACTATCCTATCTTTTTTGGGACCTCCAAAACACTCATCCTCAATGGAAAACTACCCATGGCTTGCCGCAGGCAGAGGGCAAGGTGAAATGTGCCCGTTATCTCCGGCTGCTGGGATGACAACACAGGGCAGGGGTCGCTGTGATTGGGATCCTGGGTTAGTTTAAGATGATTGGTAGTAATTGATTGATGGTGATTCATGGTGATTATAATGGTGATTCACGGTGATTCGTGGTGATTAATGGTGATTCATGATGATTAATGGATTTGCTGAAGATGATTTGTTGGTTTCCCGAATGGAACATCTACCATTTGGGGAATCCATAGGGTACCCTTAAGCAAATCCAAGTAATTTTGGACTGATTCTGGGACAATTCTGATATCATCATGGGATATTCATGGCTGTGGTACGGTTTAATGTGGGAAATGATAGGCTAATCATGATTTTCCACCATTCCCCCCAGTTGGGGTTTATGAACTTGGGTAATCACCAAGTGATGTAAAATTACCCCGGGTTGGTTGGTTGCTGGGATTGTGACCGTTTTACCGTGGCTTACCACATTCGGATGCTCGGAACACAGCTTGGTCTCATTCATTACAGTGCTGTGCCACATCATTAATGACGCGTCAAATCCTGTATTTGCTCGATGTTCAGTCACAAAAAAAAAGTCCGCAACTTCTTTATGATCTCCACCAGTTTGGTTTTCAAAGGTCTTGCAACTGCCCAAAACAGGCCACACAACCCCTCTCGCGGCATGGCATGCCTCAGGTTCGCCTTCTTCGCCCATGTGGCAGTGCTGATTTTGGTGAACATTGTGGTGTGGCTCATCTATGCGATGCTGAGGCACGTGCCAGCTACCAACAGGATATGTACAATGTCAATGGTTTTGTTTACGCCCAATGTCAGAAACCCCAACCATTTTAGGGATGGGCGTTTCCCCAAACATTTATGGTAAATAGTAAATAGATGATAATAGATGTAAATATTGGGTTTATAATGAGGTGCACCACATTAGTCCAATCCCTTCAACACCCGAAGCATGGTGGATGTGAAATCTGCGAGGTCCCGGGACCGTGGCGGCACCTACAAATGGCCACTCTGGTGTCTTGGTGCCGAAATTTTATGGTAGGAAAATCTTCCATTGACAGATGGATTCTCCCATTCAAACCTCCAATTGATAGGGAAGTCCCGGGCACCGGAGGCTCAAATCTTGATCCCAAGATCATGTGAATCCGGAGAAGCCATGGATTTGGTCGAGAAGTGAAAATCGAATAATCCCCATGCTTTTTGGGGTTTCAAAGTATAGTTAGCGGAGTTGCCACAAAAATTCATCAAATCAGTTTCGAAACATTTGGAAATCCAGAAAAGCTATGTGTTGGTGTCCAATCATTTGGTCACCAGGTTTGAAGGCCCATATCCAGTCAAAATGTTGTGTTTGACCATTGTAAACCGCAAAAAAAATGCCGCTTTGTCAGCAAAATTGATGATATGGCTGGTTTCAAATATCTTCGGTGGTTTTCCATCCGATTTGGGATCAACTCGGACAAAGCCAATCACACCACAAAAAAACGCGACTCAGGGTGACTTTTGGTTCCATCGTGCTGGTCATCGCGCAGCTTGGCCCAGAGCTAGGGGGTGCCTGGTGCATGAAAGGCTCACCGTTGGCCAATGTTCATGGGAAACACCAAACACCTCCCAAAAAAAAAAGAACGTCTTTCCAATTTCAATATTTTGGAGCCATAGACTTAAATTCTGACCCAACTGATCCGTCTCAGCCGCTTCTCAAAGCCACGGTGAAGCACCGTGGCCGAGGCACTTGCTGAGCATGCTTCCCTATGCAGTGTGCAAAGGAAGCTCCACATGCAGCTGGGATGCAAAAATCGGGGCCGCTGGTGTCCTGTGCTGTCGAATCCGAGCCAGGTCCGCGGTGGGTTTGGGTGGTCTTGTTGCATCTTGGCACCGTTTCACCGTGGGGAGGATTGGCCGGCCTGTGGGATGTTCGAAGGGGATGTTCGAAGGTGTGAAGCAAATTGACCCTTGATTTATACACTTAGAGCTAGGTTCTATCCGCATGTGGAGTGGTTGTGACTCCCATTCCAATGGGGTGCCTTGTTTGCTTGTTTTTCGCGTTAGTTGTTGGTTGCATCACTTGGTTGATTGCTGCTCCCCCTTTTTCAATTGGTGCTTAATTGTGATTTGGGTCATCATCATCCCTATAGTTTCTTGACAACATGCCCATATTACTTCAAATTGTGCACCGAAAAATTGTCACTTGGAATCCAAGTCCCCGATTCCTAAATTGTCCGATTTATATTCGGGTAAAGTTCTGACTTATACCCTCTAGTTATTTAACATAGCCATGGAAAATGGCCCGTTTATAGATGGTTTACCCATTAAAAATTGTGATTTTCCATGGCTATGCTAAATAACCAGAGGGTAATTGGATGATCCATTGCCTGACACAACCAGTTGCTTTCTCCTGGGGTGATCCTCCAGACATTTCACCGGGCAAAAAAAAAAAATAGAGCTTTAAGTCCCGTTGTTACACCCGTTAATAAGCCCAAATAGTTGCGGTTGGTTGTAAATTCCATTATATCCCATTATATATACGTGTATGTATATATATATATATATGTATATTATATATAGATAGATAGATAGATAGATAGACAGATAGATATAGATATAGATATAGATATATCCACGTTTAAATCCCTAGTGTTGATGCTTGATGTTGCTTTGACGCCTTTTCAACACCGTGTGTAGCAGAGATTTCTATGTTACCTGTTGTTTGGCTTGGTGCTATGACACGCCTTATTATTGAGCGGCGTTGAACTGCCAAGCTGTCCTTGGCGCGCCTTCAGCGCGATGCTTTATGTTCAAATCCCGCAGTTATAGCCATAAAGATTACCCGAAAACCTGCACCAAGCACTGAGGAACTTGGCCTTGGTCAACATCGTGGTTTGGTCCGTCTACGCGGCCAGCGAGTCCGAAGCCTGTCCTCCGGGTCAGAACTGCCACTGGGACTGCAGGTGAATGCACCAAATAGATATTATCTATATATATATAGATCTCTCTCTCATGAATGGTATGGTATGGTAAGGCAATATAATGTAGTGTACGGTATGTATATTATGTATGTACAAAGGTGTATTATGTGCGACTATAAATAAATAAATAAATCAATAAATAAATAGATACATCAACAAATATATATATATATATTGTGGACCTACATGTGTGTTCGCCAGATTGCGGATGCTGTGAACTCTTAGCATGTTCGACGTTTCTTGTGTAATATGATTTCCTATCATGTTGTGATCCCTGACATATTGCCTTCGTCATTTAGAAGTTGGAATGCATCAGAAACGAAGTTGGAAAGGCTATGCGGCTATATTCACCTGGAATGATACGGATGAATTATGATGAAATATTCCTGGACTAAAAATGGGATGATCCAAAACAACTGTCAGATTCGGGTGACTCAACTTCGAGCCGGAAACCTTTCAGCTAAAATCGAAAAAATTGCATGGCCCAGCAGTTTCCACCAGCTAGTTTCAATGGCCCAGTTCGTTTCCACCAAAAAATCCCATCAAACCATCCATTTCCAACCATTCAGCCAGGTTTTTCTCGGTGAATCTCTAGATTTTCCACCCAAAAAGCCCATGGGGAAACCAGCACCGGAAACCAGGTGAATACCTGTGGCCTGCTTGGGTCTCCGGATCCACAGCCTTGGTGGCCATCGTGGTGCCTCAGATAGATCTCCGGGAGGATGACATGGCATGGCCCCCAAATAGAAAAAGCTACTTGGTGGCTCATCCCACGGCTCGTAAGTGGGTTATAACCCCAGTGATTTACATGGGATAAGGAGTGGGATGAGCCACCAAGTATCGAAAATGGCCATAAAAATCGTGGGTTTACCCAGCTATGAACTGGTGGATCTTTCCAGTTCGCAAAATGTAAACGTTTGCCAGAGGGTAAATGAATTTAGTAGATGTTGTTCAATTACAACCATGTATTCATTGTATCTTGTTGTATTACCATACGGTCCCTATGTTCTGGAATGTCCGATGAAAACCCTAATGGATCCCATTTGATGGGTGTTTGGGTTTACCACCGTGCATTAGTAGACCTATCAATGCCAATTTTGAACAAATGTATCGTGGATCCAATTTCTATCATTGTTAATCATGTCAACCGCCCCACTATGAACCATATTTACTCCAAATCACTCGCAATGAAAATTATGGGATTACCATGTTCATCCCCAGCTTGACCACTATTGAACCACTATTGAACCCAACAAAAAGGAGCGGAGGCGGCCGTTCGGAAATCTCCGTCCCGTGAGGTAGCCCTTATGCCCTGCATCTGCGGCGCCCTCTTTGGCATTCACGACGATGTTGGGGACTGCCTTGATGTTGCAAGCTGGTTTTTGGAATGGATAAGGTCATTGAAACATTAAAAAAAATTGGTGAATTGTACGCATGAAAGGTGGAAATTATGAAGTCGTGATGATGGGCTGGTCAAGGTGGGATTGAAGCGTAAAAAGTGGCTGGTAGAAGCAATTTCTAGGGATATAATCCGGATGATATGCCGGGATTCGGCCCACCAAGCCCCATCCAGATTGCCCATTTGTAGGTGAGGGACTATTAGATTTTGCCCAGAATCATGCAACCCTACAAGGAAGTGAACAGCTCGGTGCTCTTGAAGACAGATCCTCCTATGTGTGATGATTGTGAGCAATCATTACCTTCCATCAATCCCAAATAGTAAACGGACGTAAAAATGGGGAAAACCATAGTCACCATCTGGAAATATGCAGCAATTTGAAACGGCAAATGGGGGAGCTCCCTTCGCACACCTTTAACAAACCGTTTTTAAAACGACCACCTCGGCTCCAGGACAGCGAACTGGAGAATGCGATCTACGAGCTTCTTGGTCTCCTGCATCTCCCCAGTACTTGATCGTGTGAAACGGGATGAAAGCTGGCAGCACCAGGCAACCTTGATGTGTGTTGACCTTGAATAAACTCTGATCATGTCTAGGGGCTCCCATTACCCTACAAAAGCTATATGAAAGTTGATACCCTCCAACTCACCCATTGACATATGAATATGACATTGTTTTTATGCACCTGTTTGGCCCAAGGGGCCTAGGGTCTTGGGCTGGGAGATAAAACCTGGCCAGATCCTGCCGAGACAAGGTCCGAAAGTGAGTGAAGATACAGTTGAGAGCTCATTATAATGGAAAAGCAGATGGGAAGCAAAGATCTTGTAGGTGTCAGCTGGCCTTTCCAGACATTAGTGGTGTCCATTCTGTGTGTTTGCGAATCGTTTGCTTCCAAAGAAATGCTGGTCTGCACAGTGTCACAGCATCGATCACCTGCAAGAGCAGGATGCATCAATCTTTTGAGATAAGGATATCAGGATGGTACTCTTTGTACATTACCAAAAATTAGAGTGGTGGAGCATGGCAGAGCCTGTGCGAGTTTCCTTGTTTGCGGCCTTGCAACATAAGAAACTGATTTTGGAGCTTCAAACAAGGGGAAAATCCAAATCGGATCAAAGTGAGTGAACGAAAAACCGTCGTGTTTTGCTTGTCGTTTCTGGGTCCTGTTGGATTTTCGCTGGTTAAAGTGGGGCGACCAAGAGGCCCCATGGCAACCAGCTCGTACACAGGATATGCAGCGATTCCCACAGCGAGAGAAACACGCAGCAAAGGAGGATCTGAATGAGTTGTACTGTGGGTAAAACAATGTCATAAACCACCCATTTGGGAATGGTAACCATACCACCTACAAAAATGGTGACGACTGGGGGCTGGTTTATGGCATTGTTTTGCCCACACTACTTGAAACTGAGGCCAAATAGCCTCTAAGTCCTAAGTTAAATCTGCTTTCTTTCAAAGCATCTTGCTCACATTTTGGGGGTGGAGTCAGAAATATTCCAGCTGCCACGACAGGCTGACAGCGTGCAAGAGGATGAATTGGAACAGGACCATTCGGGAGCAGGAAATGGATGGGGATGGTAGCCTGTTTGGGGAAACAGGGAACGTTGATCTCCAGAACTGGAAAATCTGATTGGAATTCGACTAGAGGGATCACCAATTTGAAAAGATTCCCTGATGACCAGCTTCAGACAGGCTGCCTTCCTTTAGCACGTGCTTTAAATTCCCGGTGGGGGATGTAGCCTATGTGCTATGGGCTTGGGTCTGTGAGCTTTCAAGTTTGTTCCCTATTGGATTCAGCTTGCGGCTTTTCGGGACCTCGCTTCAGTTCAGTTAGAACTTTGGCCCATTTTCAGAGGTTGCATCATCTTATCCACCCTTCAGCAAATTAGCATAAATATGAAAAGCCATGAGTTTCCTGTTTGGAAAATGATCTACATTCATGTTGGGTTGTCCGTATCTTAACTGGAGGACACCTCTTTTTTCAGTTCTTCACCCTGACATTGGAATGTTGTCCGTTGCTGATCTTCCCATGGAATACCCCCAGGATATCCCCACTATACCCCCATATGTACACAATTCTTGGGATGTCCCCATTACATAATGTGGAAGATATATGCACATCCAATAAAATAGATGTTTTGCAACAATAATATCCCCATGATGTATCCCCATTCATACATACATTACATTCTGGTTGGTGGTTTCAAACATTTTTTATTTTCCATCATATATGGGATGTCATCCTTCCCATTGACTTTCATATTTTTCAAGATGGTTAAAGCCACCAACCAGCATTACATTACATATAATTACATTACATTACATTCCATTACATAGATAGATAGATACCCTCTGGTAAACATACAACAAACTATGGAACATCACCATTTTTAATGGGTAAATCCACTATTTCTATGGCCATTTTCAATAGCAAACTGTTAAATTACCAGAGGATATCCGTGTGTGTGTGTGTTATTTTCTTGGCTTTCCCCTCCACATCCCCAGGAACTGCCCACGATCTTCGGCATCGGCTTGGCGCGCCGTGTGGCCTTGATGAACCACAGCTGCAGGCGCGGGCTTCGCGAACCGGTGTACCACCGCTGTATAAAATGGATTCATATGGATTGGAAATATCCATACATAGATCCAATATGATCCAATGGTTTCCTATGAAAAGGTACAATGTTGCTACATTCCCTTCAGTTTTTTGGGCCCAAATCTTGGTTATACGTGCGGTCGGTGTAGATGTTGATCATGGGTTCGGGATTTTATTCAGCCATGGAATGCGAATGGAATTCTCCGGAAATCAACAAGTTGGGCACATACCCGAAAATTGCTTTATGTGGAAATACCTGAGTAAATCCATAAATAGGTCGTCTTATCAGTCTTATAACTGGTTGGTGGTTTGGAACATTTTTGATTTTTCCATATATTGGGAATAATCATCCCAACTGACTAATATTTTTCAGAGGGGTTGAAACCACCAACCAGATAACAATTTGTTGGGATTGGTAAGTACCTCAGTCCGACCCCAATGAGTTGGGGCTAGGCCCAATTGTGAGATCGACTACGGCTTGCACCTCAGATTTCAAGCTGTGGGTTTCTGCGAAGAGCAGGTGATATCAGATATACCCTCTGGTAAATTAACTTGTTGACCCTGAAAATCACCAATTTTTAGTGGAAACTAACCTTTCAACCCCGACAACTGCCAGGGTCGCTATGTTAATTTACTGGAGGGTATGTCTTCAATTTTTGTGTCCCTTGAATCTAAAGAGATTTTCGAGAGTTGGTATCTCGGAGATTTCCTGTTTCTGAGATGGCAATGCCACAGCAGTGGTGAAGGCCATTCGACCCATTCATGCCGGGGAGGCTGGGAATCGGCCAAGCCACCGAGAACAGCGTCGAACATGACATGGCTCCGGCAGTACCCTCTGGTAAACATAGAAAAAGCTATTGATAATGGCCACAGAAATAGTGGATTTTCCCATTAAAAATTGTGATTTTCCACAGAAATAGTGGATTTTCCGATTAAACATGGTGATGTTCCATAGTTTTTTGTATGTTTACCAGAGGGTACCGGGTATAGGAACTCACCATTAGCTACATCGACGAGACGAAGCCGTTGCGTGTGCGTCGCAGTCGCCTTGAGAGGCCTGCGCTACATTGCACCAGAGCGGAGAACCATGTGCTGGTTAAAAAATAACGAAAACAGGGAGGCTATCCAGCAAAAAAGTGGGGATGCATCTAAGACCAGGATATGGATTGGATATGGATTGGTTAGTCTTCATATTTGTTATGTTCCCCCTATTTAGGATGATGATCCCAACTGACTAATATGTGTGGTCATATGAGTTGAAACCATCAACCAGGTAAGATATGTCCTTCCAAACGTGGAAATGTGTGACAGAGATCCCACAAGTCAAGATGTGTGACATGAAAAGAAAAATGAGTGTTCGTATACCAACTTAAAATACACATGATAAATCATGATAATAAATATGTATATGTATATGTATATAATGTATGTATATATATATATATATAAATGTGTGTATAATATCTATATATATATATATTTATTTTTAGTGGTTTGCCTTGAAGGACTACCCATGCCCCTCTCGCGACAGCCACCCCTCTAGCGGGCCAGACGTTACGGTTTCCGCTGCTTCTGCCGCCGTTGCGTGCAGGAGCTCTGCAGGCAAGATGGGAAAGTTCTGGAGATGGGAAAATCATGGGTGTAATTTTTGAAAATCATGGGATATGAATCATCTATAAATGAGACTTAAATAGGATTAATGATAGTGGAATAAAATTGGATCATTAATGATAAACAAGTTTTTGATGGGTAAAACCATGTTAATCAGCGCATAAGTTGACATATATAACCTCCAGGAAAATCATTTGCAGAATATGTGCACATGGCTAAAACATGATCATTGATAGTTGAAGTGAGTAACATGCACCGGTACATGCTGCTTATTGACACCTAACTGACCTAGGCATGGGGGAAAATTCATTGATTTTCCAACTGGACAATTTCAGTATTGAATTGCCAGATGGTTGCGGCTGGGAAGTCATGAAAAGGTGGCACCATTGTGAGGGATGTGATTCAACTTTTGTTCAGGTAAATCTTTGTGGTCGACCGTTGCTTTCTGTCGACTGTTGATGGGGTTGCTACAGGTCCCTGACACATGGTCGATTCAAACATGGCTGAGAAAGAATCATAGCTGAGAATGGCGTTTTAATCGTGGTCGATTGTTTTAAAGCGACGGATGTGGCATCATCAATGGTGGCTCTGAAGCGAGCGCACTGCATGAAGCATTGGCAGACGAAGCTTGAAACCTAGAGTTGGCCAGAGTGCCAACCAAAGGATGTAGCCAAGATACAACATCAATCTCCTGTATGATTCTATAGTCAGTTGTCAATCTATATAGTTCTTCATGCACTTCTCCATATGTATATATATATATAGTTATATAGATAGATAGATAGATAGATAGATAGATAGATAGATACCCTCTGGTAAACTAACATAACTATGGAAAATCACCATTTTTAATGGGAAAACTCACTATAAATGGCCATTTTCAATAGCTATTTTGACATAACCAGAGGGTAGATACATGTGTGCAATGCCTAACAGATTCGCTGCGATCATTCATGGGCCATCGCCTTTGCTCCATGGCATCAAGCCATGGCAGATGAAGCAGCGCAGCTGAAAGAGAAGGGCAACCAGGAAGTCAAGGCCCAAAATTTGAGGCTCGCACGGGGCGCTGTTGGGCGCCTGTTGTGATGTTGTGATGTTGATGGTTAAGGTGAAATCTGAGGGCACGAAGTAATCATAGTAGGACTTCATCAGGTTTTGGACATCATCATAGTAGGTTTTCATCGCAGTTCCCTGTTTATGAACTACTTTAGACCCGGCTGATCAAGAAATGCTAGCTTTTAACCATTCCTATTTGAACTGAAGTTTTTCCTGGATGTTCTAACCCTAATCTCCTTGGTGGTTTGGAACATTTTTTATTTTTCCACATTGGGAATAATCATCCCAACTGACTTTCATATTTTGCAGAGGGGTAGGTCAACCACCAACCAGTAATTGACCATATATGCTCAGCTTGAAGGACCATACTTTAACGGTGCCGGTCCTTTGCTGCGCCGCTCCCGGTCCGCATCGTGTTTTTTGAGGCGCGCCATGGAGCTTTACTCCGAGGCCATCGAAATCCTGGATGCAGGCCGATGGTGGAAAACAACCAATGAATCCTCAGAAATAGGGAATTTAAGGAATATCATGGGGAATATGACTGGATGAGAATGAGGATGAGAATGAGGATGATGATGATGATGATGATGATGATGGTGATGCTGGTGGTGGTGGTGATGATGGTGGTGATGATGATGATGATGATGGTGATGCTGGTGGTGGTGGTGGTGATGATGGTGATGATGATGATGATGATCCTTAGTTTCTCCAAGGCAGTCCACGGCTATTTTCACTTTGGGTCAATTGACTTGGCATCAGCTTCCAGGTCAGTCCCCTCGCCTTCTGGCCGAGCTCTTGGGGAACCGTTGCCTGTGTCAGATGCGCCTGAAGAGGTGGGCTTCGGGCATTGGGAATTTCAGGACCCACCATAGGCCATATGTTGTGGTGAACTCCCATAGCCCGTAGATTTTGCCCTCTGGTTATTTGTTACATAGCCATGGAAAATCACCATTTTTAAGAACGGTAAACCATCTATAAATGGGCCATTTCCCATGGCTATGTTAAATGACCAGAGGGTATATATGGGTACCTCCAGTTGAGCTACTTGAAATGGCGATTTTGGTGCCGCCAGGTACCAGGAGGCCCTTAGCGACGCTCAGCGGGCGGTGCAAGTGGATGCCAGCTATACAAAGGGCTTCTACCGCCTGGCAATCTGCCAAAAGGAGAGCTTCACCACCAATTTGGATGTTAATCATGCGATTTTTTTATATTGCTAATAGGAACTAATAGTAACACATGATATTTCTATAATAGGATATTAACATAATAGGGCCAATGGATGATCATAGGATATTGATGGGATACTCGATAGCCAATAGTAACAATACTGAGATGATAATGTGATATGATGGGATATTGATAGTAAGCAATGTGATGTTAGGGGTAATAGTGCTAGAAATATTAGTAATGATGGTATATGAATACCATACGAAAGCCAATAAGAATACTGGGTTATTTATTGATAACATGATATGGAGGCCTATTTTTTTTGGATTTTTTTTCTTTTACGTTTTGGGAATTTTTTTTGGGTTTCTTGTTTTATCTTGCTTTCTCCTTTTTTTTTGCTTTTTTGCTTTTGTGCTTTTTTGTTTTTTTGTGCTTTTTTGCTTTTTGCTTTTTTTGATTTTTTGCGTTTTTGCTTTTTTAGCTTTTTTGCTTGTTTGCTTTTTTGCTTTTTTGCTTGTTTGCTTTTGTGCTTTTTTGCTTTTTGCTTTTTTTGATTTTTTGTGTTTTTGCTTTTTTGCTTTTTTAGCTTTTTTGCTTGTTTGCTTTTTGTTTTTTTTGCTTTTTGTTATTTTTGCCTTTTTTGCTTTTTTGCTTTTTGCTTGTTTGCTTTTGGCTTTTGGCTTGCTTTCCATGGCTTTTGGTGGTATTTTTAGTATGTCAAACTTGCACATTTTTCAATACACTAGTTTGAATCGACTATATTCATATATATATATTTATGTTTCAATTAAAATCATAATATATATATATTTACATATATATATGTATATATATATATGCATTTATATACACACTTGTATATTTATATCTAGATATATTTATATTATTTATATTTTCTACTTATATTTATTTTTTTTATATATACATATTATTACTATTTATGTTCAAATTCAAATATATATATATATTTATATATTTACACATATATATATTTACATATATATATATTTACATATATATATACATATATATATACATATATATATTTACACATATATATACATATGTACGATGGACCTTTATGTACTATTTGAACGTTTGCATGTCGAAAGGATTTTATTGAAATTATACCTCTTTCTGGAGAATCCCTACTAGTTAATCTATATACCAAAAAGAAAGAAATGGAATTCAAAAAATTCAAAAAAAAAATGAATACATATTTTTTTTGAATTTTTTGAATTTTTTGAATTCCATTTCTTAGCTTTTGGGACTTTCATTTTTTTGAACTTTTGAATTTTTTGAAGTTCAAAAAAATAAAAAAAAAAAGGAATACATAATTTTTTTTGAATTTTTTGAATTCAAAAAAATCAAAAAATTCAAAAAAAAAGTGAATACATATTTTTTTTTGAATTTTTTGAAAAATCAAAAAATTCAAAAAAAAAATGAAAGTCCCAAAAAGAAAGAAATGGAATTCAAAAAATTCAAAAAATTCAAAAAAAAAATGAATACATATTTTTTTTGAATTTTTTGAATTTTTTGAATTCCATTTCTTTCTTTTTGGGACTTTCATTTTTTTTTTGAATTTTTTGATTTTTTTGAATTCAAAAAAATCAAAAAATTCAAAAAAAAAGTGAATACATATTTTTTTTTGAATTTTTTGAATTTTTTGAATTCAAAAAATTCAAAAAATTCAAAAAAAATTCATTTTTTTTTTGAATTTTTTGAATTCAAAAAATTCAAAAAAAAAGTGAATACATATTTTTTTTGAATTTTTTGAATTTTTTGAATTCAAAAAATTCAAAAAATTCAAAAAAATCAAAAAATTCAAAAAATTCAAAAAAAAAATGAAAGTCCCAAAAAGAAAGAAATGGAATTCAAAAAATTCAAAAAAAAATGAATACATAATTTTTTTTGAATTTTTTGAATTCCTTTTTGGGACTTTCATTTTTTTTTTGAATTTTTTGAATTTTTTGATTTTTTTTGAATTCAAAAAATTCAAAAAATTCAAAAAAAAAGTGAATACATAATTTTTTTTGAATTTTTTAAATTTTTTGAATTCAAAAAATTCAAAAAATTCAAAAAAAAAGTGAATGCATATTTTTTTTTGAATTTTTTGAATTTTTTGAATTCAAAAAATTCAAAAAATTCAAAAAAAAAAATGAAAGTCCCAAAAAGATTCAAAAAAAAAATGAATACATATTTTTTTTTGAATTTTTTGAATTCCATTTCTTTCTTTTTGGGACTTTCATTTTTTTTTGAATTTTTTGAATTCAAAAAGTTCAAAAAAATAAAAAAAAAAGTGAATACATATTTTTTTTTGATAGAGAAATAAGGAGACAAGTTGGGAACAGACAAGGAGACAAGTATGGAAACCAATGGGAGGCAAGAAGAATCCTTCGCCATCGAGCAACCACGAAGAGTCACGAAGAGTATCCTGTCCTTCGCCATCGAGCAACCACGAAGAGTCACGAAGAGTATCCTGTGCCCAGAAGCACCCAGGAAGAAGAACAGTAACAGGGAGGGACAAAAAGAAATGAAGAGAGGAGACTGCAATTATGGCCCCAAGCACCTGAAGGTCCTAAAGCCTAGACCACACAGTAAGTAGGAAAAAACTGGCTGAATAAGGACACAGATGGGAACACATGGGAGACAAGGGGAATCTTGGGTCCCAAAAGCGAGAACAACAGGAATGAGGAGAGAAGTGAAGAAAGCGCTGGGAAAGACTACAGGGACAAGGAAGGAAAGAAAGGAAAGAGGAGAAAAACTATCCTCTCCCTCCCAAATGCCGGAGACCTGGAAAGAAGCGCGGTAGTGGAGAGAGGATAAGGAGACAAGTTGGAGACAAGTAGGAAGGTAAGTAGGGTAACATGTGGTAGAGACCGAGGGTAAGGGAATGTGACCTGAACAAAGGAAGAAAAGTTAAGGAGAAACACAAGAGGCCAGGAAATCCATTCTTCTCCAAGCAGCAGCAGCAATGAGGAGGGAATTAAGGATACACGTTGGAGGGAACAAGAAAGGGCAAGTGAGGAACCGGAGAGAATCATGTGTCCAAATAAGCACCTAGAGAGAAGAACAGCAAGAGAGAGAGAGAAGTAAGGGCATGAGTTGGAGAGAACAAGGGGGACAAGCACGGAGACAGACAGAGGACTAGGAGCATACTGTGCCCCGGAAGCACCCAGAGAGAACAGCCACATATGAGAGTGAAGTAGAGAGACGAGTACGAAAACAGATGGGACTTGAGTCCTGTCCCCAAAGCCACCAGAACGAAGAACACTGAGCAATGGAGAGAGAAGTGAGGAACGGGAGACAAGCAGATTCCTTTGACCGAAAGCACCCAGAGAGAAGAATCGCAATGGAGATAGAGAAGTAAGGAGACAAGTTGGGAACAGACAAGGAGACAAGTATGGAAACAAATGGGAGGCAAGAAGAATCCTTTGCCATCGAGCACCACGAAGAGTATCCTGTGCCCAGAAGCACCCAGGAAGAAGAACAGTAACAGGGAGGGACAAAAAGAAATGAAGAGGTCCTAAAGCCTAGACAAAACAGCAAGTAGGAAAAAATTGGCTGAAGAAGGACACAGATGGGAACACATGGGAGACAAGGGGAATCTTGGGTCCCAAAAGCGAGAACAACAGGAATGAGGAGAGAAGTGAAGAAAGCGCTGGGAAAGACCACAGGGACAAGGAAGGAAAGAAAGGAAAGAGGAGAAAAACTATCCTCTCCCTCCCAAATGCCGGAGACCTGGAAAGAAGCACGGTAGTGGAGAGAGAATACGGAGACAAGTTGGAGACACGTAGGAAGGTAAGTAGGGTAACATGTGGTAGAGACCGAGGGTAAGGGAATGTGACCTGAACAAAGGAAGAAAAGTTAAGGAGAAACACAAGAGGCCAGGAAATCCGTTCTTTCCCAAGCAGCAGCAGCAATGAGGAGGGAATTAAGGATACACGTTGGAGGGAACAAGGGAGGACAAGGGAGGACAAGTGAGGAACCAGAGAGAATCATGTGTCCAAATAAGCACCTAGAGAGAAGAACAGCAAGAGAGAGAGAGAGAGAAGAGAGAGAGAGAGAGAAGTAAGGGCACGAGTTGGAGAGAACAAGGGGGACAAGCACGGAGACAGACAGAGGACAAGGAGCATACTGTGCCCCGGAAGCACCCAGAGAGAACAGCCACATGTGAGAGTGAAGTAGAGAGACGAGTACGAAAACAGATGGGACTTGAGTCCTGTCCCCAAAGCCACCAGAACGAAGAACACTGAGCAATGGAGAGAGAAGTGAGGAACGGGAGACAAGGAGATTCCTTTGACCGAAAGCACCCAGAGAGAAGAATCGCAATGGAGATAGAGAAGTAAGGAGACAAGTTGGGAACAGACAAGGAGACAAGTATGGAAACAAATGGGAGGCAAGAAGAATCCTTTGCCATCGAGCACCACGAAGAGTATCCTGTGCCCAGAAGCACCCAGGAAGAAGAACAGTAACAGTGAGGGACAAAAAGAAATGAAGAGAGGAGACTGCAAGAAGGCGGTGACGGAAGGGACACGAATGAGGGACTCGGTAATGTTTATGGCCCCCAAAACCACCTGAAGGTCCTAAAGCCTAGACCACACAGCAAGTAGGAAAAAATTGGCTGAATAAGGACACAGATGGGAACACATGGGAGACAAGGGGAATCTTGGGTCCCAAAAGCGAGAACAACAGGAATGAGGAGAGAAGCGAAGAAAGCGCTGGGAAAGACTACAGGGACAAGGAAGGAAAGAAAGGAAAGAGGAGAAAAACTATCCTCTCCCTCCCAAATGCCGGAGACCTGGAAAGAAGCGCGGTAGTGGAGAGAGAATAAGGAGACAAGTTGGAGACAAGTAGGAAGGTAAGTAGGGTAACATGTGGTAGAGACCGAGGGTAAGGGAATGTGACCTGAACAAAGGAAGAAAAGTTAAGGAGAAACACAAGAGGCCAGGAAATCCATTCTTCTCCAAGCAGCAGCAGCAATGAGGAGGGAATTAAGGATACACGTTGGAGGGAACAAGAAAGGGCAAGTGAGGAACCGGAGAGAATCATGTGTCCAAATAAGCACCTGGAGAGAAGAACAGCAAGAGAGAGAGAGAGAGAGAGAGAAAGAGAGAGAGAGAGAGAGAAGTAAGGGCACGAGTTGGAGAGAACAAGGGGGACAAGCACGGAGACAGACAGAGGACAAGGAGCATACTGTGCCCCGGAAGCACCCAGAGAGAACAGCCACATGTGAGAGTGAAGTAGAGAGACGAGTACGAAAACAGATGGGACTTGAGTCCTGTCCCCAAAGCCACCAGAACGAAGAACACTGAGCAATGGAGAGAGAAGTGAGGAACGGGAGACAAGGAGATTCCTTTGACCGAAAGCACCCAGAGAGAAGAATCGCAATGGAGATAGAGAAGTAAGGAGACAAGTTGGGAACAGACAAGGAGACAAGTATGGAAACAAATGGGAGGCAAGAAGAATCCTTTGCCATCGAGCACCACGAAGAGTATCCTGTGCCCAGAAGCACCCAGGAAGAAGAACAGTAACAGGGAGGGACAAAAAGAAATGAAGAGGTCCTAAAGCCTAGACAAAACAGCAAGTAGGAAAAAATTGGCTGAATAAGGACACAGATGGGAACACATGGGAGACAAGGGGAATCTTGGGTCCCAAAAGCGAGAACAACAGGAATGAGGAGAGAAGTGAAGAAAGCGCTGGGAAAGACTACAGGGACAAGGAAGGAAAGAAAGGAAAGAGGAGAAAAACTCTCCTCTCCGTCCCAAATGCCGGAGACCTGGAAAGAAGCACGGTAGTGGAGAGAGGATAAGGAGACAAGTTGGAGACAAGTAGGAAGGTAAGTAGGGTAACACGTGGTAGAGACTGAGGGTAAGGGAATGTGACCTGAACAAAGGAAAAAAGGCAGGGAGAAACACAAGAGGCCAGGAAATCCATTCTTCCCCCAGCAGCAGCAATGGGGAGGGGATTAAGGATACACGTTGGAGGGAACAAGAAAGGGCAAGTGAGGAACCGGAGAGAATCATGTGTCCAAATAAGCACCTAGAGAGAAGAACAGCAAGAGAGAGAGAAGTAAGGGCATGAGTTGGAGAGAACAAGGGGGACAAGCACATAGACAGACAGAGGACAAGGAGCATACTGTGCCCCGGAAGCACCCAGAGAGAACAGCCACATGTGAGAGTGAAGTAGAGAGACGAGTACGAAAACAGATGGGACTTGAGTTCTGTCCCCAAAGCCACCAGAACGAAGAACACTGAGCAATGGAGAGAGAAGTGAGGAACGGGAGACAAGGAGATTCCTTTGACCGAAAGCACCCAGAGAGAAGAATCGCAATGGAGATAGAGAAGTAAGGAGACAAGTTGGGAACAGACAAGGAGACAAGTATGGAAACAAACGGGATCAGAAAGGAGGACGGTCGCATTATACCAAAAGGTCCCTGCCACATATATATATATAGTTGATTTCTTGGGTTACACAATTATGTTGGGTGGAACTGTTGTTCTGTTGTAGCTGCTCAAAGCTGGTTCCTTTGGTTTGAACTGTTCAAACACGGACATGTGGATCCAATCCTCTGCCCTGTGGCATGTCGGGCATGTCGATGTGTCGAGCATGTCGGAATATACGTTGAAAAGAATGTATATTAATGATGTGTATGATCAATTGAAAGATGTTTTTCAGGGTACATTCTGAATCTTGTGTACGATCAATGTATGTCAATAGATTCTTGACAATTCTGAGCATTTACCTATTATACCTATTGACATGACATGGGTGAATGAAAAAACCCACGTCACCAACAAATATCAACAAATCAACCCAGAAAAACATGATGTTTTCCTGAGATGTGCTGCAACTGACCATGATGCCAGGGCCAATCGCAAAGCTTGCCATCAGATGATTGGCGTTCTATGGTGAAGAAACTGGACGAGGACCTCATGGTGCGTTGGTGGGAGCCGGTCATGCCAAAAATGGCATGTTGATCTATAACATACAGTGGATGGTTGCAAAATCCTGCACCAGTTGACTGGTGGTTTTTCCCATTATTCATAGGGTTTCAATCATCTAGGGTTTTGCAGGCAGGATTTCTTCCATCCACAGTATGAGGATTTTAGACTATGTTCTTCCAAATGAAATTGTTAACTGCAAATCTGTAACAACCTTTTTTCCCAAGCGATGTTCTATCAATATGTCCGTCACAATTCACAATTCTTAAGATTTGTAAATTATGATAATTTGCCCAGAATCACGGCTCTGGCTTGAACATCGCGGGCCGAGAGGAACCATTAATTTGACGAGAGATTCTCATCATAGTAATTAATATCATGATTCATCAGATGTTTCTTAGTGCTAGATCTATTCTCCAATTTTGTGGCTTCAAGAATTTTGTTATGACATTCCCAGACCGTATGACCTCAAATGGCCATCAATTTTGGTGGAGAAAATATAAGGTTCTAAACCCATCAACTGAACAGTGGTTTTCCCAACATGTTGAGACAAAACCAAGGAGTAGCTGCTTCGTTAGTGGGGTTGGTTATCTGGTTGGTGGTTTGGAACATGAATTTTATGACTTTCCATATAGTGGGAATGTCATGATCCCAACTGACTTTCACTCCATCATTTTTCAGAGGGGTAGGTATACCACCAACCAGTTATGTGAGTTGCCACATAAATATCTAAAAGGTTCTAAAAGCATGGCCTTTCCCGCATTTTCCCAGCATGTTCAGACCCTTTCACGGGGGCAGGAGTGGGGCTTGATCTGCTACAAGCAAGCACCTTCTGCGCCTTGGGCAGTAAAAATGAAATTTCAGCGAGAAAGGGGAAATTGATATCACAGAGAAAACATCAATTGTATCAGGTGGTATTGACATGTTGATTTCTGCCAGTTCTCCATTTTTGTTGGGATATTGTCATTTCATACAATCATGCAATATACGGGATGTGTCTAGTATCGAAATGGTAATTGACAGGGAAAGTTCTAGGATTTTACCAGCCACAAGACGTTTATGAACCCATCAGTTGGCGATGGCAGGAAAAAGGAGAAAATCGTCAGCAACAAATCAGTGATTAAGTGTCTATTTGTGTGATGAAATGACCTCAAACTTGGATGATTCAATAGGTGACGATTTTTCGGTGGCTTCTTGTCAATGGGAATTTCAGGATCCTAAAATGGATGTACCGTACCATATAAAGCCATATTTTGGATGTATATCCCCTTACATAGGCCTTATAAATGGCAGGTACCTCCAATTTAGGTACCTGAAGTTGCCATTGAATAGCCTCAGCCAATCAAACATGCCCTTGCTGGAAAATCCACCATTTATATCTATATACATGTGTATACATATATATATATATGTACACAGGTGGTTTTCCAGCCAGCCAGGTTTCATTACCTCAGAATCCATGGAATCCAGCCAGCCCAGTCATGTCTCCAGCTTCACACGGTCGGAGGCTGTAGACCCAAAGCGAGAAGGAGTTCTGCGTGAGGCCAGTCTCCACATGACTGGAAAATCAGAAAAATTGATATGATATATATGGTATATATAATGTCTGTATAGTGTATGTATGTATGTGTGTATATACATATATATATATATTATATATACATTGTATATATCATTGGTTAGAGATGTTATTAATCTAAGTATGAAATGATGCCAATAGTTTGATTCTATGCAGTTGGTTAGGTATATAGACCAGATTTAGTAGCTGATGATTTTAAACACCCTGGCCAATGAATGTTTGAAAAAACTTGACACCAACTATTCAAATCGGTAACTAACTACATATGTAAACCAGGAATGGTCTGAACTTGTTGGTGTAAGCCAACCCCAAGCCCCAAGTGGATGGTTATCCTTTACGATTTACAACATGACAGACAATTATTGGGGATGTTTAGCCAACAGTAAGAACTGATTTTGCAGCTGATTTTTTGAGGATGCAACCATCAGTTTTTGGGTCTCTGGATTCTGATGATCCACATCAGCAAGACACCAGCCTATGGTGCAAGTATAACCTGGTTCCAAGATTGAATCGCATTCCAACAAATCTTCGCGAAAAATCCCTCACCATTTGATACGTTTTGCGCTTTTTGATATGTATCTATCTACCCTCTGGTAAACGTTTACATAACTATGGAAAATCACCATTTTCAATGGGAAAACTCACTATTTCTATGGCCATTTTCAATAGCTTTTTGTATGTTTACCCGAGGGTATATACATATCCTCATATCCTCTTTTGATTGCTGCAATGCCTGTATATCACAGTTTGTGTCGAAAGACACTCCGTATTCGTGTTGCTTATCAACATGATTGCAAGGTGGGTTCCAACGCAGACAGTTCTTTCCTCCTTTCCTCCATTTTCGGTTGGAAAGCCTTTGCCCTTCGTGCAACCTGAAAGGTCCGAAAGCCAGGTTTTACACTGGACATCAGCTTGCCAAAGTTCAAAGATGGTCCACTCAACTACAGTTTTCATGAGAATTCCAATTACTGAAGTTTCAAGATGCCCAAATTCCCATTGTCCATTCAAAACTCCTATTAAAATGCCAAAATTCCATAAAAATCCCATTGATTATCACCGTTTATCACCTAAACTTCCATGAATTCCCACCTTTCACCCGCTCCAGGCAGACCTCTTGCGCTTGCTCAGATCCATTCGCCCATCAGTGGGGGAGGATGAGGCCGCAATTTCGCCACTTTTGGGATGTTCCAGCACAACAAATCATGGATATTGAGCATTTTCCAGCGAAATTTCCAGCGAAAGTTTGTGTGTTTTTGTGAAATGGGAGCTCTTGGAAAGTCACAGCTTTGAGAAGCATTTCGGAAAAATATGGAGCTTAGAATTCTAGTGGCTTTTTTGAAGACCCTTGAAGAAGAATCCAAGTTGCAGATAGTTGCTGGATGTTATGTGATACAAGCTTCGTGAAACACACAAGGAATATAACTTTGAGTACAACCTTCCTTTTGTAGAGGTTTTCTGTTTCAATTCGTGTTTCAAACGGCAACGGTGCTTGACCCAACAAAACATATCAACTGATCAGCTTCCAACCGGCGATTTCGTTGAGGGGTTTCCTCCAATTCCAGTCTCGTCATCATGGCATGAAAATAGCATCCGAAAAAGGTACTGTATATTGTCATACTTGCATCACTGTAGAACTATACCATGAATATTCACCAAACTTCTAACAATTATATACTGCCCGGGATTGTTTTGGTGAGCGTTATCAAATACAATCACCACTCTATAGAAATATCCCAGGTATACTATAGAACTATCCCAGGTATGGGTTATGATAGTAACCACTGATTACCTGGGATGTAATTAATTACATTACATTAACCACTGATGGTGGTGTCAATATTACCCTCTGGTAATTTAACATAGCTATTGAAAATGGCCATAGAAATAGTGAGTTTTTTCCCATTAAAAATGGTGATTTTCCATAGTTATGTAAACGTTTACCATTAGTGGTTGTATTACAGTATATTACAGTACATTGATATATATATATATATTACCATTAGTTGGAATTAACATGAACTAACCACTGATTACATTAATTGTTTTATTACATTACCATGATTAACCATCATTAACCATCATTAACCCATGATTAACCATCATTAACCATCATTAACCCATCATTAACCATCACTAACCATCATTAACCCATGATTAACCAATACCATTGTTACATCAGTGGTTTTCTAGAAACGACGGTTGATCGATTTCAACGGAATGAAGCCAGGAAGAGGACGACGAAGACGACGTGCAACGCGCCCTGCGTCAACTGTTGCTTGCAACGAAACGATGGAAATGGAGATGCCATGTGGAAAAGCTAAGCACATCAGATATATTATATGTTTTATAAATGTTTTATAACTGTACTTGTAGTATCTTGTAGTAGTTTGAATACTGAATACTGAATACTGAATACATCTAAATACTCGATATTTGTTCGTTTTCAACAACCCTGGAATAGTTGGGGGTTGCTCTTGGGTTTACTCCACAATTCGGCAGTAAAGCAGGGGAACTCCGCCAATTTCCACAGGAAATGATGAAGAAATTTGCTGCTAGCACGGCACCATCATGATCAGAAGGAATTTTTGCAGGTAACAACAGTTCCTTAAGAAAAGCAAAAATTGGACCATTTGTTTATCCATTCTGGTTGGTTTCAAATATGTCTCGTTCAAATATACCTGATCCAAATGGACGAGTACTTTTTGTTAATTCAAACCACCACAGAACGAAACATGAACCTCTTCACCGAGGCTCACCCGCATTGCGGGACCGTCGGCATTGGTTTGCACGAAGACAGAGGTTTGGTTCGGGTGGAACAATGGGGATGTGGGTAAATGACCAGGTAAAACACTGTTCCATTGTTCCACCATTTTTCATGGAACAATGGTAATGAGCAGGGTAATGAACTCACACATCATTTCGTTGCTGGCTAAAACCTGGTTAAAACACTGGCTACAACAGAAAAAAGAAATCATGTGTGAGTCACTTGTATCTGAATTGCTGGTAAGTCAGGTCAAAAAAAAATATGTTTGGTGGTTTGGAAAAAAAAATTTGACTTTCCATATATTGGGATTAATAATGCCAACTGACTCATATGTTTCAGAGGGGTTCAAACCACCAAGCAGTAATGCACATTTATATAGTATTATTATGTATTATTATAATTATAGTGCATTATTTGCTGGTCATTACTAGTCATCAGTGATGAGATGCACATTTTCGTGTGGGATAATGCTGCATGGAAAAGCGTGGGAACGCAGGACATGGCTAGTCGCTCAAGGTTTCTGATGACGATCTAATGTCATCACTGTCGGTGAAAGGTATACCATGGTTGATTAATGGAGTACCCCAAAATGAAAGTGATGGTGGTGGTGATGATGATGATGATGATGACCATTGATTAGTCTAATAGGCCCCCAAATAATGTGTCAAACCCCTGAATATGACATTGGTTAAAAAAAGATGTCATAGCATGATTGTTATTGTTATTATTGTTATTTTTTGATTATTACCATTGGTTAAGTGAATAAATAATCATTATAATAATATAATATACATATATTATAATAAGCCCCCAAAGCATGTGTTTTACTATATAATATTAAAAACGTTGTCATTGTTTATATCATAATAAACCCCCAAACAATGGGGTTTTACTATATATATATTGTCATTGGTTTAAAAAAAAAAGTTGTAACCCCAAGTCTGATCACCAGATGGTCCCCGCCGGTCGTATCTCAGATCCGAGAATTCCTGCGTGGACTGCACGGGGTTGTGGCCGAAGATAAGGCGGGATGGGATGCAATGGCTGGGGTGGATGATCTTTTAACCAAAGGGATTTATAGGATTGAATCCAATAATTTTCCGGAAGGGATTGTTCTTTTGGGAAAACTATTTGGAACATAGGGTTTCTAATAGGATTTCTAATAGGATTTCTAATAGGATGTGATGGGATATATAGCCAACATTATCATACATTATCCAACCATATCATTTGGGTGTGTCTGAAAATTGGGCATACCCCAAAATCAGTGGCCATTCCAGGATCCTAAATTGGAGGTACCTACCATATATAAGGCCTATTTTTCAGGCCTATGTAAGGGAATATCCCCAGAAAATATGGCCAAAAATATGGTACAGTACCTCCAATTTAGGATCCTGGAATTCCCATTGACAAAATGGACTCTCCTTTCATGGGAAATATCTCATGTCAAGCCACATGGTCAAAAGCGGTCGCCCATAGACATCCAGCTAGATCCCATCTTCCCAGCTTGGGATGATAAGAACATGCTCAGTGACTATTAATGGTGATTGCTGGTATTTTAATGGTGATGTTCCATGGGATTTATGGTGTTTTAATAGGATTTTAACATATCTATAACATATCTGAACATGTCCTCTGGTTATGTCGAAATAGCTATTGAAAAATATTGAAAATGTTGATTTATAGTGGATTTATCCATTGAAAATGGTAATGACTGTTACAGTTAGCTATTGAAAATGGCCCATTTAGTTCGTTGATTTCTCTATTAAAAATGGTGACTGTCCATTGTTTTTTGTAAACGTTTACCAGAAGGTATATCAAAATATTGCCAGATATGACCCATTCAGCCTCCTATAGAATGAATAGATGAATAATATGATCCAGAATGAAAAACTGTACCAGATGAGCTATGTAGAAAGAAAATATGGCCCGTTGTTCAAAATAGCTGGGGTGTATGGATATTTATTCCCCCAATCATTATACCTATAGTGATTTATGAACATTTCCAGTATAGTATATTATCATTTTGTATCATTGTTTATATCCTCGTGTTGCTGATTAAATGCCCCAATATGATATTCTAGGATATGATATATATATATACATATATATTCAAATACCAATATGTTTATATCCTATGTTTATATATTGAAATATCAATTCGATTCCGGTTCTTCAAAAAAAAATATATCCTCTGTTTATATCCTATGTTTATATCCTATGTGTGTATATTGATATATGATAACTCGGTTTTGACCCAAAAACATCATTCGATTCCGGTTCGGAAAGCTGAGGACTTAGCTTCCTTGCGCATCGCCGAGGAGCGGGGTACGGGGGTGGTAACGGTGTACCTGGAGGTTTGGTCCCAGTCACCCAGAAAGATAGAAAAAAAAAAAAAATATATATATATATATAATAGGATCTAGTGGTGATTTTCCATGGAATTTATTGTGGTTTAATGGAATCTAATGGGATTTACCCTCTGGTTATTTAGCATAGCCATGGAAAGATCCACCATGCTATTAAGAACGGTAAAACATCTATTTCGATTAGGGCCATCGAAAAACCATGGCGAACTGTTAAATAACCAGATGGTATAGAAAATAGTACTTGGTGGCGAACTACCCACTTAGTAAATGGGTTAGTTCACCCCAGTGATTTACATGGGATAAGGAGCGGGTTAATTCACTGAAAAGACTGGGGTGAACTAACCCACTTACGATTCGTGGGATGAGCCACCAAGTAGGATTGTTCCCCACATCTTTGTGTGGGGTTCTTGTTTTTGATTCTGTATCCCGCTCCTCCGCCTCCTGGGCCTCCTCCTCGTCCGCCGTCGCTTTGTACAACTTTGTCCCACACCATCTTTCACACACAACTTTGTCACACACAATCTTTCACACACAACTTTGTGATACACAACTTTGTTACAGACCATCTTTCACACAAAACTTTGTCACACACACAATCTTTCACGCACAGTTTTGTCATCCACCTTCACTTTGCGTGGCAGGCGTGTCACTTAGGGCAGTAAGATGCCCCCATTGCATCTGGCATGCAACGGTCGGAAGACTGAACCATTTGTATTGTTTTAGATTTGAACACGCATGAAACTTCAGATTCGAGTATTGTGTTTTATTCACCTGATCTGCCTTTGCATTGCGACCAGGTACCCTTTCCATCTTTTCCATGGGCGGAAGACGCGCTTGGTTTTCACTGATGGGCAGTGCATCCATTCGTCAACTGTATGCGGCTGGCTGTTAGCTGATGTGTAACATGATGCTCTCCGATCTTGCTGCAGCAGCCGTAGCTTTGACCCAACGTGGAAAGAAGCACTTGCATCGTTTAATTTTGGTCGCTATGCATGCGTGTGTTCCTGGGCCATGCAGAGCGACCTATGGTCGTCTGTCACCCCGTTGGCCGGTGGAAGCACTTGGATCGCTTAGTTTTACGTCCCTGTGCATGTGCTCCTGTACCAAGCAGGGCGACCTATGGTCGCCTGTCACCTCGTTGGCCGGAGATGCAGAGTGATGCGGCTCATGTGTTTGGGGCCAACGCTTGGTTCTCAACCGAGTATGACAGCAAGGGCAATGAGTTAATGCGCCTTGGGCATACGCCGTACCTTTGACGCGACTGTGCGAAGGTCGTGTCGGTGAGTGCGACGCTATGCGCGGTGTGCTCATGGTGCGCGTCGCCAATCTTGATTGCGGCGTGGTAGCTATGACCTTGCATCGTTTAGTTGCACGTCACTGCATGTCTTCCTGTACCGCGCAGACCCACGTGATGTCGTCTGTCACCTCGTTGGCCGGGGGTGCGGGATGACGCGAGTAGAAAGCAATGCGTAATGTCCTCAGGCTGCGTCAAGCGGGAGGCTAGTTGTCAACAAACTGCATGCTCGCTTTCACTTTGGGCACGTCGGCTTCGAAACTTGGTCGCACACACAACTTGGTCACACACAATCTTTCACACACATCATTTTGTCACACAACTTTATCACACGCAACTCTTCACATACAACTTGTTTAACTTGTCGATCCTCCACCACCTCCTTTGTCTTTCCTTCCTTCCCCGTCCGCTTCGACACTTGTTTCTGCTTATTGGAAGAAGTTGACTTGTGGGGTTATCCGGTCCTTTAATTATCTTTTTTAAGAGGGTCGCTATCTAAAATAGTGATGATTGATTTTTTCTAGTTTTTTTGGGGTTACTAGAATCCATGATGAACCCTGTTGATTGATGTTAATAGGGGCTTCTACCACCTAGCTTCTTGGGAATCATTACGGCGAATCATAAATCACAAGTGGGATGCAAGTAAAACCCGTGTTTCATGCGATGTGATTGTATCAAGACATGTTTTAAGCATTTGATGAACCACAATATAGTGTCCATCTCAACCAAACCCAATCCAGTCTGGATGGTTCATATATTAACTATTAACCATGGTATTCACAATCAAGTGACCTGGTTTTGTCAATACTAATCTGTGGTTGATATTCATATATTAACCATGTTGGTGTTTCCTCAAATAGGGGATCCCCCAAAGAATGGGTCAAACATACTAAGTTTTGGTCATCCACGAGTGGATGATTTAGGGTATCTGACTTAGGAAACATCCATCTATCATCTACTTCGGAAACCTCCACATTAATAATTTTGGATGATTCGGGTATCTCTATTTTTAGAAGCCTCTATAAACTAATCATCTCACTGACCACTGACCTTGCTGTAATCTGAGCCTGGCAGGACATCGTGAAGCGAAAGAGCTCCAGCACGCCCTCCATCGACGTCATCCGCAAAATCACCAGCGCCAGCAGCGTTGGCCTCTCCGCCACGTCGCTGGGGCAAAGAGGGGGGATGTGGGATTGGGGGGGATGGGGGGATGGGGGGTTGTAGCAGTAAGAAAATCGTGTAATTGAATAATGTTTGATATATAGTTTAATAATGCTTATGTATAGTTTGATATAATAAACTACAACCATGGAGTATTATGTGTGTAAGGTATGCGTGTTGACAACTAGTTCCAATATGTATTAGCATATCAATTCATAAATGGGTTTCAGTCGGGAAAAAAAATGTGAGAAAGAGAGCTTGAAATGGAGAGATGATTGCATGTGATTAGGGTAACTAAGGTGAGCAGGGCAGATGATCACAACCAGGACATGATTGGGGCTGACAGGTTCAACGGCATGGAAAATGGTTGGTAATCCTATCCCCCCTAATATGAAATGATTCCGATAGGGGACATAAAATGAATAGATCCAATGCTAAACCAGGGATTCGTTTCGGTTTCGGTCTTAATATTGGGGCAATGGAATTAGTTCTTTGCAATGTGTCCTCTATCAACCGAACGTAGGGCCCCATTTTCTTCGGCTCAGCACGCTCAGCAGTAGAGGTCCCATCGATCGACCTCCAAAAAATCCGCGGAGGCGGCGCACCCAGTCGGTTGATCAAAGACTGGGACGTCACCAATCCTAGTGGTAGCTGCCGTTCCATCATCTCATGATATCCATTTCCGGTGAAAAAATTGGTGCCGGGATTGGAGCCATCACCCCCTTCGGATCGAAAGGCCAAGATGGAAGATGGCCGCATGAGGCATCCAGCTGCCTGGCATTAAATTTGCGGGGTCCTGGTCTGGTCGGTTTGTTTTTTTACTCGCACCATTTCAAAATAATATTGATATAGATTGGTACCAATCATCCGAGCCAATTATAGATGGTACCAATTGATGTTAAATAAACTGCATTTCAACCTTGCAATTTATAGATCCCTTGGAGCATCGTGGTACCCATCGGCTTCTCGGTTCGACACCTTACTCACTTTATGGCCCAACAAATCAGGTGTGGTCTGATGGGGAAGCTGTATCAAAGACAGATGTACGTAAGGTGACTTTGTATCTTCTTAGAGATAAGTTTGATCATACCAGACGAGGATTGCAACTGAACTAATATATCAAACTAATCTCACAAGTTGGTTGCCCTGATTGTTCTTTCATCCATTCTGTAGACAAGGACGACCACAAATCTTCGTCAGCGTAGACATCAACCAATTTGCTTCCATATTGTCAAATATATATGCGTTTTTTTTGCTAAAATTTGGCGTTTGCGCGTTGAGATCCCAGTGGTTGGGTCGATGAATCCTTACTTTTGTTCGTCAAAACTCTCATTTGTGGTGGGTACTTTCAAATTTCCATGAGTTTCATCATTTTCAATCCCTACTCTTCTTTACTAAATCCCCATGTTTGGTGGTTTCTCATCCCCAAAATTTATGACTTGACTCCGCACTGAGGTCATCGAGGAGGAGGGGACACCTGCCTCCAAGGCCACGATGTCGCCGGCGAGATCGCGAGATGAGGCCGAGCATTTCATGCCATGGGGAAACCATGGCATATCATGGGAGATATCATGGGAATATTTCCTGGGAAATGTATTTCCCATTGATCTTTAGATTCTATTTCATGGCATATCATGGCATTTCCCATATCATTTTTAAAGATCATGAATCATGGCATATCATGGGTGCTGGTCGGTCATGGTCGTCCCAGGTCATCCCAGGTGACCTCAAGCGATGGGATGACCATAGTTTTTGGTAAAGCGATGGGATGACCATAGGTTTTGAGTACGCTTACCAGAGGGTAATCATTATCAACCATATATTAACCTTCATTCACCACTATAAACCACTATTAACCATGATGGGTTACTGTACCCTCTGGTAAACGTTTACATAACTATGGAAAGATCCACCATGTTTAATGGGTAAATCCACTATCAATGGCCATTTTCAATAGCAAACTGTTTGATATGTGTTTTTTTTAAATCACTGATGGGTCTTACTGGGTCTTACTGGGTTCTAGTGCTGATTAGTTGGGTTTGAATATTTGTAAAGTAAATAAGTAAGGGGTTACAGCTCAGCTACTCAGCGATGTGGGCATCCAGCAATGTTACAAGCACCTTCCAAATGTAGAGGTTGTTTCAGTTATATATATATATATTGTTGTTGGATCACATCGGAGTCAAGCGTACCTCCCAAGGGGTACCTTCCCACTCCTGGGTGTTTAATAAGCCCCTAGTGAGGGCTGATGGCGATGGATAACCCTGCATAAGGCCTTATTTGTTTTGGCGGACCTTTGGGGTATCCTTGGATTTAAGACCAACAATTTTGGGATTGTTGAGCACAAGAAAGTGGTTGATTGACAGGCAAAATGGGGCGTTTGAAGCTGCAAAATGGGGATATAGACATGGCATGGTATCGTTCACTACTCGTCACTAGCATTCTATCCTTTGGTTTCATGGGAACTCTCATAGCCCTTGATGAGAATCCCTCTCTCCCCCAACCAATCGAAAAAAATTGACTACAGGTTTCTGGCAATTCTCAACTCGAACTCTGATCAAACATGTTGAACTTAGTATTGGGCCTGGGCATCTCTCACATGATCCTTGTTCTTCTTGTGGGTCCATTTTTGTCAAACCACTGGGAAAATACGCCTGGCGCTGAGCAGCTGGAAGTTCCTGGAAGGGCTTCTTTCCCGCCCAACACAGCAGCAGAAACATTTACTACGTGGGACGAACCACCAAGATCACCAAGTACCATTGAAAACATGGAAAACAACCGAAATGGGTTCTGATATATTCTTATATGGTTTCTTGTTCAAGAAACCATCATATTTCAGGAGTACCTATGGTGTTCTACAACATCCTACAACAATTCCCTTCAACCAGAGAACGTTCGAAACTGCTAGACTAGACCCATAGAACCATTTCGAGTGATTCACTGCAAATCGAATCTTAGCATTGACTGATAGAGCCGTGGGTCAAAATGATCAATCGCCGTCAACCGCTAACTTCCCCCAAATCTCAATTTTCCAACAGAGGTTCTCATATTTAATATGTCATATTTCCAGATATTTCCGTGTAGTTTCCCTTTTCCGGGGTAAACAGCATTTTTGTCGCACTTGGGATGGCGGTTTCAACATCTTTCAACCCTCCAAAGTTGAGATCCGAAAGAGGAGGCAGGTTTCACCGCCAGGCCTTCTCCGCCTACTCCATGAGTCCCAGTTCCAGAGAGCCACGGAGCCCCATCAAGGCCAACGTACACCCCATGTCCGGAATCCGCATGATGATTGGTGGTGATTTAAGGCAATTAACAATGACATTGATCAATTTGAATCACATGATTTCTAAAATCACAATTACCACTTCCGGCAATTTTGATTTTTTGATGTCTATATGTGGAAATTGAAATCTCAGGAGATTGCGCCGTAGTTCGTCGGTTCGTCATAGATGACTTCAATTTCCCGCCATGAGGGATCGTCACCGAAAAGAAGGGAGTTATAGCTACTGGTTGTCTACCCATGTTGGCAGCATCTCCCATGTGTTGTGTTTTCAAATACCTGACTACCAAGTTTGGTTTGGTTACAGTGCTTACTTATTGACATACAGTATCCAACTGATATGATGATGGATTTTCTTTCATAACATTCAATATTCATCATTACTTCCATGATATTCCCATGACAATCCCATGATATGCTGCGAAAATATCCAAAAATATTCCCATCATTTCCCATATATTCCCATAATTTCGTATAAATTCCCATCATTAATAGCAGTATTTTCTTCTCTTTTCCCATCCGGCGCGAGGTGATCCGACGGGAGGTGCAGCACAGCGCCGCGCCGCCGGACGACACCGAGGCGACAACGGATGCGCCGCCGCCCGGGTGGCCCAATGCTTGCGACGATCACCCAGGGGGAAACATCCATAAAGGATGATGGAGGCATGAGGGAGGTGTACTAAATGGATCTAAATGGGTTAAGTCAAGATTTCTAAGATTTTCGATGGAAAGAATCTATGCTTTTCTTTATGGAAATCCATGTGTTGACCCATAGTGATGGGATTTAAGATGGGAGTCCTTCCGAAGATGTGAAGACATGATTGGATGTCACAAACCCATCAGTGGAGAAAACCCATGTGGAGCCAAAATGATGAAGGATCTCCTTTTTGAACAATAGACAGGGGAGATTAAAGTGATTTGAGAAAGTTCAGAGACGGTGAATGTTCCAGCTAAAGTTCTTCCTACAGGTGTAGTCACAGCGCTAGTTGTTAGCAGGATGCGTGTCCAGAAGATCCACCTGAACGCCAGCTACGTTTTGTCTAATCCTTTTGCTGAAGTTGGTGGTCATCCAGCTCAATGACGATGGAGGATTCAATTATCAAGCACCCAGACCGCCCAGACCCATCGTAGCCATCGTAGAGGGTAATCGAATGCAGTATAACACCCGCCATCACTGATTTCTATGACAATAGCTTCTATATACATATGGTTAAACCAAACCAGCCAATCACTGAAACACGTGACACGACTTGGCTTAGGCCAAAGATCGAGGGCGCGCCCACGGAAGAAGGAAGTCCCGTGCAGGGCCTTCAGGCCTAAGGGGTTCTGGACAGCGTCGATGAGTTTTTTGTTGTCTCGCGGGTGACAACAGCAACCATAATGTGGAGAAAAATGTTCAAGACGGTCACTATTTGCGGGGTACCCCCTACCCAACCAGGGTTGATAAAATTCCAGGGTTGACATTCATGGGGTAAAAAGCTACCATTTGATGGGGATATGACAGGGGTTTAGCCAACAAGGATTGTTGGTTTCGTCGCAATCTGATCCAAATCATGATATCCTCACTCGTGTTGATACCTAATACAACCCTCTACATTTGGGGATTCTGTTTGTCATTGTCCAGTATTGGATCCTCATCACCTATCTATTATGCTTAGGGCCAATAGGTTTTGACATTGCTCAATTGACCATATAGTATCATATAGTGTTGTTCAGAAATGAGAAATCCATACCTGATTATCAATTTCAATGGACAATGTGATGGTAAGCCATTTGATGTTGAGTTTTGGGGTACCCATGGGTACCCTATTTCTGGGATAGACCCCCATGTCGCACCAGCTGAGAATAGGAGGCCACCACTTATATTTTGCAGTTGGCCCCATCTTTACTCGAGTGAACTGGCGATATGAACAAGCCTTCCATGCTTGCATCAGGGGTACTCAGTTTTCACGTGAAACATCATCAAACCACCTGAGTATCGGCTGGTGTCAAAGGATTAAAAATTGACCTTGATGGGCCTTGATTGACCGACGTTCAGTTCGATGTGTTGCTTCACCATCTAGTTACCCTCGGGTAAACTAACATAGCTATTGAAAATGGCCATTTATAGTGGATTTACCCATTAAAAATTGTGATTTTCCATAGTTATGTTAGTTTACCAGAGGGTAGTAGTGACTTTGAATGTTAGATGTGATGTGGTAAGATGTCATTGTATTGTCTAGCATGTCGGATGACCTAGCGGAAAAGTCAGATAGAATATACGGTTATGAGTCAAAACCCTGGCACCCTGGCACTCTAGGTACCCTAAGCAATCCCTAAGCCATAGCTGATTCCCCGAATTGTGGTAATAGGTAACTTGACCCATCCCCATATGATCACGCAAAATGTGCGACGAGTCGATTTGAGCGGGTTGGGTTTGTTGCTCAATCAAAACCATAAATTGATGTAACATGGCACAATAAAGATCCACCATCTCCAATCCACCATCCGCATGGCAATGAAGTAACACGGTAAAAAAATCCATTGCTGCTATTTATGGTTGATGTTCCGCACGAAAAATCGCCATAAATTGAGGAGTAAATCTCCCATGCTCTGACCCATTTTAGGCCAGGAAGCTTTAGGCTCTGGGGAAAAAATCAAAATTGGGCTGAATGATTTCAGGGTTGGTTAGGGCTGCTATTTTACAGTAAGTAAATTCAACATATATATATATATACAATACATACATACATACATACATACATATATATATATATATACATGTGCATCCTGTATATACACCTATATACATGATATACAAATCGCTCATTTCACCAAGAAGCTGCCTTTTTGAAGCTTTGGTTCCCCCGGTTCCAGCTTTTTCCACATCAGAAGTCCCTTGACAGAGGCCTATCGTTCCACGCTGAAGCCTTTGGCGGACCTCAGTGCTCGACATATCTCGGGCTCCGTCAGGGTGCGCCCAGGGGGATGGAACCACATAGCCACATATTGGGACCACACAATGGGGATGTCTAATATGAAGGGGGATGGGATGAAGTACCTAAAATGTGATGAAATTGATGTGATTTGATGAGATTGTAGCGATGTTTGTTGCTGTTTTTACTGAAGGTCGATTAGTAGTCCATTAGTGAGGAAGCAACAGACATAGAGATTTGAAAAACAAACAAAAAAATGAAAAAGGCTGTGATTTCCTCTGTGCATCGGATACCTGAACAAACATTGCCGTTTTTCAGATTTTGAGTGTAACCTTTGGTCATCCCCACCCGGGGTAACAAATCCCCCTTTCGTATGGGTGTTCCTAGTGGAAACCAGAAGTCACCCGTTTTCCATCAACAGAAGCTTCATGATTTTGCCGAATTCGTGGCACTGCTCCGCTACACCTTCCGTTTGACCAGGTGTTTTTTATTGTCGACCCTAGTAGGTTTTGTCATGTTTTGTCTGTTCTTGGGACAGGGGAAGTATTTTTGAATAGGACGATTGTGGAATTGTCGATGGCACAATTTACTTTGGCCTGACAGCTGAAATGACTAGTCTCTGCTAAGAGTTAGTTATTATCTAGCATCGGGCACAAATGGTCCGGAGGCATGACGTGGGACACAGGTTGCGGGCCATCTGTGAAAAGGTTGAGAAGCGAACAACAATTTCTTGAAGATGTTTTTTCAATTCTTATTGGACCAGCCAGGCCATGTTAGCTGTTGCCTCCAGAATTGGGCAATGAGTTATGATGGGGCCATCTGCCATGCATGACCACCGCCTTTGCGCAGCTTTCAGGGAGCATAGGAGCTACAGGGGCGGCAGGGCGGCGCTCCGCAAAATTGGTTTCTTTTACCGTTACCAGCACTTGCCATGCGAAAAACTACGGGTTGTCCTGAGATGGGCTCTTGTGTCAGGCTTTCAGCTTGCATCATTCTCCATTTCTACGTTTTGGTTTTGGGCCGCCATGGCTAGGCCTTGTACAGAAGGCATTGAACCAATCCTTTGGCGACCTGCCTGGAAAGTTTCATATGCACAATTGAACATCAATGATGTTCATGTGAACGTCATGGCTGTTCATGTGAACGTCATGGTTCCCAAAGATGTAGGTCACAGCGTGCCGTGGGGGGAAACATGACATGTACTAGCTGGTCTGGTTTTTTAGCTGACATTTTTCTTGGGCGCGCCACTTGGCTCCATCAAAGAGCGATAGTAGAGGATTGTTTTTATTGAGTGATGATTTGTGCGCTCGACCCTCTGCCTTTATTTGTGATGCAAAACTGTCCACTGAATGACGCGGTTTTTGTCCGCACTATGCATCATCCCAGGCTTCCACCAACTTCACTATTGTTGCTTTCATGTCGGAGGGGTTTGGAGGTGTCGGGCCTTGAGTCTTGAGCCTCAGACATCCACTCGTTTAATCTCGTTTACGCCTCCCAAAAGAAAATTGCAGATCCCCTTTCCAGGATGCTTTCTGGCAGTCCATCATTTTGTTCTTCAGTCAATTTTCTGAGGGTACCGGCTGTGCTTCTTCAGTTTGGACACATCAAAATTAGAAAAATTCAGCCCGACATTTTGAAAGCAATCATAATTCTAGTCGGAACCGTTGTTTCGTCATCTTGCTGTTTACATCCCCTGTTTGAAGGATGCGTCATGGCCACGCCCATGTCCACAGTTTCTCGATGGCCTCATTGGCATCACCCACACTTGCTGTAATCGGCTGAGTGATCTGGTCAGATAGCCCTTATATTTTCTCACTAGGCAGGTCCCTTTGTACGTGCATTGCCTGTCATGTCTCGTGTAGCTAAGTGGATTTACTTCTTATGCATCACGGGATGTGCAAGCATTTACTGCAAAGCCGAACAGGAATGAACCGGATGTTGAGGCAAAGAAGCATTTAAACAAGACTGAGGAACCAGGTTTCTGCTGTTTTACTGCCAAACATGAACCCGTGTATTGTTTGACATGTTTCAAATCAAAAAAGAATCTTCATATCTCTTTCGCTTGGGAAAGATAAAATACCAGCATCTCCCAATCATCTTAAATACCACCAATGAGGGATCCTGACTCAGGTCCAAGACGGTATTCAATATGATCGAGGAACATATGTCTATGGTCATTAATTCAGCTTTGCTACCTAACAACCGGTTCCGTGGTTCCATGGTTCTGTTCCGGCCTTCAGGGTTATTCGGAATTATTGTTTCTTAGATGTGATTGTTGTTAGATAGGTGTCTTTAACACTGAGGTATACCCCCAAATAGCCATTTATGGTGCTAAAATCACGATAATGATCATTAAGCTGTGGGTTTGCGGGTTCCCTGTTTTAAGATAATCCCCTTTTTTTGGTGCCAAAATCGTGAAAAACACCGCGTGTTCGCCCTGTTCATAGGCCTCCTGCGGCGACGACGACGAGGTGCGCGACGAGGAGCTGAAGAACGTGTCGCTGCGCTCGGACGATCATCACGAGGTCATGGAGGAGCGACATGGCAGTGGTAATGGATGGTAGGTAGTAAATGGAGGTTGTTTTTCATGGATGATCCTTAAGGTTTTCTGGGGTGCAATACTAAAATCATCGAATGGTTTGGAGAATTCATCCAAAATTGTTTATTACCAGTGGAAAAACCAATGGTTTGGGTGGTGGGATGAGGAGGTGCTGGGAAGCAATAGGGAACCTATGGTTCAAGACACCATAAATGGCTCTCATGATTTTAGGAATTATGCCTATTTTGGGGGTAAATGGAGGTGTCCTAAAATGGAGGATCCCCAAGTCACCATGGGTTGCAAGACCTAAAATGTGTTTTTTTGGATGATTTGGGGCACACCTATTTTTAGGAAACTTCCAAATCAATAGTATCCATACCAGTCCATTCATTTTTCCCAAAGGACATGATAGAACAGGTGGTTGATTAGATGATGAGGTGATACCCTCCGGTAATCAAACTGGGTTGGATTGAAAATGTTCATCAAAAATTGACATTTCGACGCGAAATTCTCTATATAGGTTGTAGGTTGTCCGTTGCCATGATTGATTACCAGAGGGTGACCAACCTTCAACCAATACATGATATGATTTAAATAGGAAAATTGCGGGCAAATGAGGTGTAATGGGGATATAATGGGGATATTACATATTCCCACCCCTTGGACAATACGTTTTCCAGTTGGAGGTTCTCACATTACAAAGGGTTTCATGTAGAGTTGGGATGAGTATGACCTACGTCTATCCAATTTCAGCCCCCCTATGTTTGACCACACAACTCTCTACCTGTCTTTGGGCTACATCTCCCATGATTGACTGACGCCATTGCGCGTCGCTCTCACCAGTTCCAGCCATCGGCAACGCCCACAGGAGCGACGGCATTATGACGAAGCGCCTCGCAACAAAATGCACAAAATGGGAGTCTGGACGGTGGTTTCACATATGGGGGTTTCCTAAATAGGAGTATCGGCAAATCATCCATCCACGAATTTCCATGACTTTCCATTATAAACAATCCTTTTTCGGGTACCTCTATTTGGGGAACCCCCACATTATGGTTTTGATATGTTTGTATATATATTTGCCATCTGGGATGGTGACCCCGGTTGACACCAGAGGGGACGTTAGGTTGACCCAAACGTTGGTGGGATGACATGGTAATCAAACAAACATCCAGGCCATTGGCTGAATCGCAGTGATAGGTTGATGTCCTCATTGCATGAATAGCCCCATTGGCTGATCGAAAAACCCTATGGGGCCCCATGGGACCCCAAAACATTTCGGCCTGAAACACCCATGTTGTCTTAAAAAATGGTCGCTCCCTCGCCACCGAAGGCATGGAAACCACCAAGAATAGGGGGTTGTTGTGTGGATAGGGAATTCAGCAAAAAGTGATGCGAGATATTGATATGTGTTAGCATATTGTGGTGATGCCAGCCAAACGCTCGATTGTTTGCCATTTCCATAGCAACCCCAAAAAAACATAGAACCCGAAGTCACCACAATTTTGTTTAGATATTTTCGTCAAAACTGCCGTTTCAAACGGGGAGCTGGGAGCCCACCGTCCTTGCCACACCGTGGATCCGTTGGTTCTGAGGTGGCCGATGTGGCGAGCAAATGGTCCTTGAGCACTGGGCCCTCGGGCTGTACCCTGCACCTCGGCCTTGTCGGCCTTGTCGGCCTTGGCTTCGGTTTCTTTAAGCCATGAACATGAGACATTTATATTTATGGGTTTATGAGTTATGTTATGTTAATTTAATAATGTTAATAAACTCACTATGAGCCAACTAGTTATGTGATGTTATGTAATGTTTATAGTTTTTTCTGGTGATGTATCATAAACTCATAAACACGCTGTCTGTTTAGCAATGTTTAGTATTATAAAGCCTTATTAGTAGCAACTGTAGATGCTATATATAGTCGTATTTGTTGATGTCCAATTCTGATGTTTGTCACCAACTGGACCCGATGTTGGCGAAGTGTTTGCGGATGCTGCATCGCACGGATTGATCAAGATCCTATCGCTCCATTGAAGCCCTTCCCCCGTGGTGAGAAATGTGGTTGTTTTGTTCAAATTGGGATTTGTTGTGGGGGTTTTCATTGAGGGCGATGAGAGTGTATCCATGTGTATTTGATATTTATATGGTTGGATACCATGTTTGGGCCCAAGTGTTTTTTGGGGATGGGTTTGCTGGCCATCAATCCTCAGTTACCAAGAACCTACACTACTTATACGTAAAGCCACTCAAAGCCAATGTAGGTGTTTCAACCATGGGGAGCCCATTTCCCATGTAGAAGGAAACTTTTTTGGTATATTGTACACAATGCTTGGACAACCCGACCCTCATGTTTTTGGCTATACTTTGTTTGGTTAGGTTCCCATGATATCCCCATAATATAATATAATAAAAATATATATATCAGCATGCATACATCCATATCTTGTTAGTGAGTCATTTAGTATGTATTATCCTTACATCCAATGAATCCCCACTGAATAGCCCTTCAATAGCTACTCTTGATGATGAAATCAGTTCAATTTCTGTTATTCCAGCATATATCCATATTGTTGTTCACTTCTATCAGTCTATCCATGAATCCCCATGAAGCAGCCATTAAATAGCCTTTTTTGGAGGGTGAAATCCCCCCAATCTCCACAGTGAAAGCCCCCGTTCGCTTCACCTGCCGCCGTTTCGCCTTCTGTCGAGGCCCATAGTTCCCAGCTTGGAGAGTTTGTCGTCGCCCAAGCAGCAGCGACCCAAGGATGTCCGAAATATCCGGGAAAAGCTGGGTGAATGATGAATTTAAGAGATCTTTTAAAGGGTTTAAGATGTTTGTTTTTAAGAAAAAAACTATGATTTGGGTTTTGTTTGACTTACAGTACATTCTCTGATAATTATTTGATATACTAGCTTTGTCTTTCCAAAACACCTGTGCCTTCCTGGGGGTTTTACATTCCACATGGGAAGCCCAGACTTCCGCACAAGGATTGGTTCATCTCCGGGCAAAAATTGATCAAATTTAGCCATGTTGGAGTCCCGAAATCCAAGTGATGAGCCATGATGAGCCTCATGCATATCATGCTACAGGGCTTCCAATATCCCAGAAATTAGATCCACTGCAGATCAGAGATGAATTTGATGGATCAAAGTAACATCACAGCAATTTTCTGTATAGAAAGTGTGTAACCACGATTTTATCCACGATTTGTAGACATGGATTTGACTTCCCCATTTTATTGGTGGTTCCCAACGTTCGAACCGGTGACCAACGTCACCAGGAGTTTCGGGTTTTGGTGCCTCCCGGCAAACCGCATGGCCTGAACCTCACCACGGAGGTCGGGGGTGGGTGGTCGGTTGACTGTATAGTCATCCAGAAAGAGATAGAACATGGAAAGTTCAAAAATGCCTCAATACAATGAGAATATTATGTGTTGTTTTAAGATGCTAAAAATCCATAGTCATGCCATAGTCTATCTACTTCATGATGATGATAGATTCATGTTTTGTGGTCACAGTCAGGCATTTCAAGAAATCTTCGGCAGAAATCAGTTTTCTGAAGCTTCCATCACTTAACTATTTGGACAGTTTTATTGTTTTAGGACAACAAACTGAAGACGCTCCTCCCAGCTCCATCAACTGCGCCGGTGAGGACGGACTCATCTTGAAGATCAAAGAAGTGGGCGAGGGCCGAATCAAGGACCACTTTGCTTTTGGCGCTTTTCGGTCACGTCGGGATGGACCCCGGTGGTTTTTTGGCACCGGAAATCCACCAAGAGGTGGGCCATACTTTCCATCCTTGCCATGGGCCTCACCTGGACAGGACTGGAACCTGCAGAATCCGTCTCTGCACGAGCCCCAGTGGATCAAAATGGCCATGTCCAGAGAAAGTTGATGTATTTTTTTGCTGAGAAACCATGGTCCATGCTGGAAATGCTGGGGAAAAAGTGATGACATTTTTCTGAGATTTGATTGCGGCTGTGGTTCAACAAAAAAGGGATGAACCTGCCGATAGTAACAAAGATCCGACTAAAGTGGTGATACCAACGAAATCAGTAGCAAACCAACTGGTGACCGGTTGGTGAAGGGGGGTTAATGCTGCGCTGTCTTTGCAGAGAAAGATGTGACACCCAGCTAAAGATTGAGTTGTGTGCATCACCAGCTGTGACAAGTAACAGTCCCATTTTTCGTTGGCAAAATTCCTGTTGATGTTTAAAGCCCCATTTTTGGCTAGTTACTATATGTTAATACTAGAAAATCCTAGAAAAAAGCCCCTGGATCCTCAGGCAAGTGAAAAAGTCGGACCACATTGTCCAAGTGAATTTGGTGAACTTTGGCGCCGATGCCATGAGAGCAGAAATCTCCAAGGACGCGCCAATTGTTTGTGCGAAGAAATTTGGGATGGGAAATGATGCACAGGCGTTTCTCCATGTGTTTTTTGCTGCCTGAGATCATCTGATATCCTGATTTTGTGATGTAAAGTCTGTAAAGTTGTCAAACTGTAGACCCACTGACTGCATGCCCTTGATTGACAAAGCGCACTTTCTCCCAACTCCTGGAAACATGACAACCACTATGGGACCCATGTGACCGGTATGACCCCAGTGAAATCCATTATAATGATGATAATGATATGTCCTATTCCACCATATCATTATCATTACCCCGGTTATATATGACAATGTCCTATAATGTCCTACCATATGATAAACTAGTTGTAACCATACCCAAAATTGTAATGATGCCAGAGCATGCCAGAGCCATTATAGTGGTATATCCATGGTATATCCTACACACTAATGGTTCTGACCACACAGAAAGCATATATATATATATATTCCATTAATAAACCATATCTATATACATACATATATATATATATGTGTATATATATATGTATATATGTATTATAGATATATAGTATATAGATATTATAGATAGATAGATATATATATATGTTCTAAGCACTATGATTTGCAGATTTCATGGCACCCACTCGGATCATACGGCCTTGCCGTTGCAGGAGGAGAAGGCCTTGGACCTCACGGTGCGCAGCCGTGATCACCGGCGTCCCAGCTCCAAGGCGCGGCTGGAGGATCCAAAACCATCCCAAATTGGGATGGAAAAAATGGTTTACCCTCTGCAATTTATGAGCCCCAGTTGGTTTACCCTCTGGTAATTTAACATAGCTATTGAAAATGGTCAATGATAGTGGATTTTCCCATTGAAAATGGTGATTTTCCATAGTTATGTTAAAATACCAGAGGGTATGATTTATGGTAACCAACCAACCAGTGATTTAATGGTGATTTTCCATGGGATTTATGGTGGTTTAATGGAATCGAATGGGATTTACCCTCTGCAATGTGAGGCCCCCCAAACGTGATGTGAATGTTGGTGACTAGATTCGCCCCAGTAACTAGTTCGTTATAAGTACCATAAACCATGGTTTACCCTCTGGTTATGACTACTGTAACAATAGTCTATAGGTCACTATAGTTCTAAGGGTTAAGCACCATTAAATCATCATTTTTCTATATTTTTGTAGGGTTACCATCTGGTTATGACTAACAGTTCGCTGGCTGGAAAATCCCCAAAATAGCCATGGAGGTTTAGCAAACGCTGGGAAAATCATCTATTTCTATGGATATAGATGGGCCATCTATACCATGGCTATGTAACAAATAACCAGATGGTAATGAATAAAAGCACCATCAAAAACAATTCTTTTAAGGATAATGAAAAATTATTCCGTGGTATTTACTAGAAATTTACTAGGTCTTCAATTTCAAGGTGTTGGATCCAAAGTTTGGGGAGTTTCTGGGAAAACCCACGATTTTTCTTGCTTTGTTTTGTGGTTCTGGGGATTTTTTTCGGATCATAGTTTGTGCCATCGATTTAGTTATGCAAATGTTCGATTGTATCGCACAAAATCACGCAGTCTACCCACAAAAATTAGGTAAACGGCACACGTATCAAGAAAAATAAGTAAAATGAACTAATTACCCCACCCTTTTCGTAAGTAAATCAAGTAAATTGAGCCCGAAACAAAAGCTCGTAGCAAGTTCGTCAAGAAGTGGGGTGGGTCCCAAGAATCACCTGTAGATTCTACATGTTTTATCATTTTTTGCCATGTTCAATTCCAGTCCTCAGTCTTGGACTGGAACAGAGGCTTTTGAACTTCAACCGAAGAAGTCTGGGAACTTGCCTGTTCAGTGGACAGAATCACTCCCTTTTTTCCTTTCTCAAACACTTGTGATGAAAATTCAAAAGCTCAGCTTTGTGAAAGAACACAAAATGTGGATTTCCCAGAATAAACTATACATTATAGTATGTACGGAATGTGTTTTTTTCCAATATGAATCAAAATCTTAATATAATAGTACTCAAGATATAAGAAAGTGAATATATATATATATATACGTATATATATATATATTTGTATATATATATATATACATATATATATACATATATATATATACATATATATATATGGTTGGTGGTTCGGAACATTTTTTATTTTTCCATATATCGGGACTAATAACCCCAACTGACTTTCATATTTTTCAGAGAGGTTGAAACATGTTGAAACCACCAACCAGATATATATATATATATATGAGTAATTTGACCATATGTCGGAATTTCTTCCTATGTCCGTGAAAAACTCTGGGCCACGGTGGGCCACGATGAGCGTGGCGTAGGCATCTGCCACTCCACAAAGCATGAGCGAAGCCAGTCCTGTGGCCTTACTGGGCCGTGTTGGCAAGGCGCCGCTGGGTGTGGCATGGCGTTTCCTCATGTTTGAGTAAAGCATTGAAAAATGTTCATTCATGTATCTGACATTATATACATATATTTTTATATATATGTATATATATAAGACTATAGACATGCATGTAATTCCCAGCTAACAAGCAAGTTGTTCAAATTCGGGCACCGTCAGGAAGCAACATAGCCACATGGCGCCCCAAGTCCTCCGGTCATTCTTCTGGTCATCCCATGGATCCAGTGGGGTGATTTATTGGAGCCAAATATCTTTAGAGACAGGATAGTTACTGGCTGAAGCAAACCACAGACTGGGAGATGGACCATGGAAATATCCGATAGACCATGGAAATATATGGAAATATCCCAGGTGATCCATGGAATCAGTGGATGATCCCACTTGGATGATCCCAAAAAAGCTGGGAATCACAACTGGAGAATGGTCGGAGAGTTTGTTTCAAAAGAATTGAAGCTCCAAAATCCATCGTCCCATGGCTCAGCAGTTTGACCATCGAAATGGCGATAGCATTGGGAAGTTTGCTATTCCCCATTTTGAGACAAATCCATATCATGAAATTTGCTAAGATATCCCCATGTTTGTCGTATTAAATCACATTCCTTACCCCTGCGGAAACATTCGTTGAGTATTGGATCCGTTCATGCATTGGGGGGCCCAGTTGTGAGCATATTAGAAAATGTTCGGGGAATGGATTAATGCACCCCAATGACATACACAACTACCATGTGGGGATTTTTTATACCACCGATAAAAATGGTGATTTTTTGGGGATGGTAGATGGCATTGGGTTTACCACACTAGTGAATTGCCCCAGTTTTACAGAAGCCATCCGCGTTCTGTCCACAGGATGTTCCTGGTACCGACTCCAGTCTCATGCAGGAGACAGCATCAGGCAGCACCCGGAATGGGATCTTAAAAAAGCCTTGCCGGAGAAAAAAACACCTTGTTTTAATAGCTGGACCTAATGGAAAAAACTACTGTTACTGGTATGACAGCATGATTGTTTGGGTATAGGAATCATGCAAAAGAAAGTCGGGATAGAGGCAAGAATGATGGGACTTTAGTATAGAGCAACAGAATCAGAATGGATGTACGCCAACAAAAGATAGAACCAACAGTTAAATATCGTTGTGAAAAACAATGTTTCAGCTAGCTTCATATACCATTCCAATGTTACCAGAGATGGGGATGTCATGTTGCGTTACATTTGTATCCCAACGGATGGAAGTACTATGGTAAACCCAAAGCCACAAACCATCCTCATGTTTGAAATATTTTGAAATGGGTTTGGTTTCATATACCATTCTACCATCATCCTACTCTGTTAGAGTTTCATATTTGAATCCCGCGTTCCAAAAGGTCCAGTGCTGGTTAACTCATGCCAGTCTACTAGTTTGGCATCCACATGGTATTTCATGAAATTCTCATGATGGATCCCTTGGTTTTCCCACGGTTTGTGGCATTTTGCTCGCTTCCCTTTTTTCGTTTCCCCTTCGCCAGGTGAAAAGCTCGAGGTCGTCGTGGAGGTTCAACATCTGGAGAGTAGTTCCTCGGTTGGAACCACGGAGTCATGGGATTCGTATCGCTATGTTTGCAAAGATCGGATATTTTTTGCATTGAATAAAAGGACTATGGCACCCAATTAATATCAACATATACATATCATATAATATATATATATATCAACCATAGTTGACGAAGTTCCTGAGATGTTTCTAGAAACAACTACGAGGATTCAACATCCAGGCCTCCTCGTGGGATCCGCCGAAAACTCTCGCCACCTCGCAGGTAGAAGCATCGACACCAAGCAACCTCGCGCCTTGAGGTGAGGACTTTCCATGTGGACCTGATATGACCTGATGATATCTCAATATGGTGTCTTCTTGTCCAAAAAAATAGGGAAAACCATGGGAAAAACCACTCATTTTGGATGATTTTGGTTTATTCTCTAGCGTCAATTCAATAAATCAGTCCAATCTTGGAGTACCAATGTTTGAATATATTATATATTATATATTATATATTATATATTATATATTATATATATATACTGTAAATGGTGAGTTTTTCGAATCTCATGAAATCTCATCCCACATCCAGCGCCGCAACACGGCGACTTCGCCGCCAGGAATCGCAGTTTCGCATCGATCTACGGCAACTTGCAGCGCGTGGCGCATGAGCAGCAGCCACCCGGCTTCTGCAGGCTGGAGCTGGGAGGGAACTGGGGAAAGCTGATGGTATTTGTCGTGGTTTTTGGGGGTACCTAAGAACCAGAAAAATCATGGACATAACCAAAATCATTGAGATTTTTGCATGACAATAACCAGTTATCCATGATTTTGGGTATGATGATTCTCTAACTTTGACAAAAATCATGGATATGACCCACAAAGAGAGCAATCATCATCCAAAAGCGGCAGGCAGCTGCAAGTTTTGATGAAGCGCAGCTTTATCCAATGGTGGCGTGGTAGCTGGCAGAGAGCCGCTTGGGCGTCCAAAAAAAGTGGTCCAATTCTTAGATAAAAGCAGAGGTGATTTTGAGTTTCAAGAATTCAAGATTTGGGGTATCCAACTTACACTCTGGTAGCAAATCAACTAAGAACGGGAAAGTGTCCATGGTTGAATTACCGGAGGGTAATAGATCCGTACACATCATGGCACCGAAATGTCTATTACCTGGATGCTTCCAGCTGTAGTTAGTTCAGTCGCCAAATTGCAGCGATTCCTTGGACCAGATATGTTTTTCAATGAACTGCCCGTAGGATACCCACTGGTAAACGTTTACATAACGAACTGGAAAGATCCACCATGTTTAATGGGAAAATCCACTACAAATGGCCATTTTCAATAGCTATGTTTGTCTACCAGAGGGTACCCACTATGTAATGTCTGGATATATCCGATATTTTATGGGGTAAACAAACTATGATAACTATGGTTACGAACCAGTGATTAAACGTATGTAGTCCAATAGTGCGTTCGTCAAAAGCTCCATTTGTTGTTGATTATTTACCTATTCAATCCCAAATTGTTGATGAACCGGTATGCATGTCTACGTACAATGTGGGCCCCTCTGTAGTGCTTGTTAATCTAGTTTCACCCACTCAACTATAGATATCATAAAATATGTCCATTCTAAACCATTATAAACCCAGATATCCCCACTATAAACATTTTGAGCCGGGCCGTTTTTTTTGAGGCCATTTTCCTGGGCGTCATCACGGGGTCATCCACCATCATGGCGACCATGGATACCTTCGTAGTGAGGGAAGCCGAATGGCAGGCGGTGGGGAAGTGACGGGTGAGGTTGGTGAATGGTTGGTGAATGGTTGGAGGTTCAACATACTTTGAAATTTTGAAGCCATTTTAGAAGCATGTCTCAAATCATATCAATATTTCACTCTGGTTGGTGGTTTGGAACATGTTCTTTTCCCATGTATTGGGAATAATAACCGCAACTGACGAACTCATATTTTTCAGAGGGGTAGGGTATACCACCAACCAGTCACTATATTTTCACTGATTCTTGAGTTGTGCCAGCGGTTACCCTCTGGTAAATTAACATAGCTATGGAAAATAACCATTTATAACAGGTAAATCAACTACCTGATAGTATTAATAAATGATCATTTTCAAGTTCGCAAACTGTAACAAATTACCAGCGGTTAGCCACTTCGAACAAACCGCCCTGGCGCCATGGCATGCCATGGCGGCCATCGGCCAGGCCTTGCCCATTCTGAATCTCCACACCACCCTGGCGCTTTTGATCGCCGTCTTCTCGCTGAACCTCTTTAGCGCCTCGGGCTCTCAACGAAGAAATCGTGGAGCACGTGCGTTACCTGGGATCATCCAACGGCCATTGTTCGGAAGTGAGTGATTTAAGGCATTGGAAGTATATCAATATATTGTAACTAGTATATTGGTATATCAATGATATATCAATGTTTGAGGCATCCGTATTTATATCGCAATAGAATGTAACATCCATATATTGAAAAGGTAACATAAGGTAACTAGTAGAATCCTTGACTAGTTTCCATTGCATCTAAGGGGCCTGCACTGGTGTGTACTGCGTTTATTTGGGCGTGGCAGTAATTTTCTCCACAATGACCACATGCTGTAGACAAGATCATCTTCAGATTTGTGTTGAAAACCAGGGCGCCGGCGCATTTGATCCATTGCCAAATCACTCACGAAAATCTCACTGATATTTTTCCTCCTATTGGGCAAGCATGAAAAGTGACTTGATTTGTTTGGTCTCCCAGACATCATCAGACATCTCAACGCTCAGACAGCTTGGCCTGCTTTCAAATCAGCGAAAGGTAGCTCTACAGAGCTTGTGTGGCTAACATAGATCATGACCCCGATGAGAGTGATGGAAGGCAGCTCCGAAACCAGCCAAGATCATCGATCTTGGTGGTGATTTTCATGCGGTATAGAAATCCTGGCGAAGACACAAGCTGCAAAGACCATTTGGCCAACGTCCTCCTGAGCTTGGCGTCCAGTTGGAATTCCCTCACTGTTTGGCGGTCCGGAGCTCCCTTCTGATGGTGGTGGAAGAGTTTGAGGAGATCACAGCGAAACATGAACGGTATGCGTTTGGGGACCAAAAAGAGGACTTCTCGATCCAAGTTTCTCCAAGTGTTTGTTACGGGGTTGTTACCCCGTGATACCATCCACCGACATGTTTATCCAGACCATCAGAATCTCATCAAGTCTGATCCCCTCAATTGGTGGTGATTGATGGTCGTCCTCACATGTGTTGCGGGTTTGCTGTCAAATACCATTGGTTCCCAAACTTGGTGGAGATCTTTGGTAGTGAAAATCGCCCGGGAACTTCCATGTTTGGGTGGCAAAATCCTTTCCAGTGACGATTTTCTCAACTAAAATCCAACCCATGGATGTGTTTTTTGTCCAGTAGTTTTTTGCTTCCCCAAGCTCATCCCCCTCCCAACATCAGCTCATCAAAACCCGGTCTTGGCAAGGCACAGATCGCCCGGTCTTCTGGCGCGAGCGCGAGAGCGGGCTGAGCGTCGCCGCATTCTTCGTGGCCAAAGTGGTGGGATGCCCAAGCTGGTTGTGGGGGTGGTTGGGTGGTTGGGGATGGAAGGTTTGAGATGCGCAAGTGAGATGGTGTCAAATGTTGGATAAATAATGGTGCGAATATGGATTAATGATGGATTAATGATGATCAAATGTTTCGCTTTAGTCATTGCAGTTCGAAGAACATGAATGGTGCAACATCCCCTGTGGTTGTGGTAAGTCCTTGCGGAGAGTTGGGGAGTTTGTGATTGTCATTTGTCGAAATGGTGATCATCGGGCCCTCTGCCTACCATCCACCAGAAGGGGATGAATCAGTAGAAATGGATTTACAAAAAGAACTGGTGGGAATATGTGGGAATCTGATGATTCAGTGATTCCAGATGACTCCAGATGTCTCATCAAGACAGGTCTTTCTGAGAAGCCATTTGGCGGGCAAATGTTTTGTGGTTGGACTCCTACGTTGGTCAAAACCCACTTTTGGGATGTAGGAAGGCCAAGGTCCTGAAACAAATGGCTAAAATGATCGCCGCAGAGGTCTAGCTATGTCCAATGGACTAAACATTTGCTTGTAATCCCTTGTATGCTTCCAGTAGTCATGTTTCTTTCCAGATTATTCCAGAATGGCGATCACAATCATATCATATCGATTTTTGACCATGGAAATCAGCCATGATGCCATGTTACTTGTCATATAGATGGTTGCTCCCCCCCAAAAAAGGAAGAGAAACGAAAGTACAATCCTTCCAAAGTAGTTTTAAACTTACAATATTTATACCTGTTCTGCCATGTTTCTTGGGGGTTATAGTGAAAATACGTCATGTCCACATCGCATTTTCCCCATTCGTTGGGAGTGACGACCTGGTCGTTTTGTAAACCTCCTGAGGTCGTCAACTCCATCGATCTGGTGCTGCAGTGCTTCCTCTTGACCTCGGTGGCTCTAGCTCAGTTGACTAACAGTTCGCCATGGTTAAGCCATGGCCCATAGAAATAGATGGTTTACCGTTCTTAAAAATGGCGATTTTCCATGGCGAACTGTTAAATAGATGGTAAAATGTGCTTAGATTATTGAGTAAATCAATGTAAATCATGACCATGAGCTAATAGTTAATTTGTTTTTTAGCCGTGGCGAAAAGAAACAGCACTTCTGTGCCACTCCCAGCGCAGCTGCAGGTCTATTTCCTGATCCGTCAGCCCGTGGTCAGTTTCCTGGTCTTCTTCCCACCATTTCTGTTGGCTCGGGTGCACAGAACGAAGCGACTTCGCACAGGAGCATTTGAAGAAAGAGGATAGATAAGTTGTGGTTGTGGTTCTCAAAGCCTAATTTTTTTGGATTTTCTAGACCATCCTCGGTGAGTGAGAGAAAAACATAGTTTTTGCACAGTTTCTGGTCTAGAATATCGCTGATAGTACAATGTTATGTCACCATGCATGTTTCCATATTTCCATCTTTGATGTTATTCCCACCGCAACCTATACCGTCTGCATTTGTGCTTCAACTCCCCCCGAGCAACCTTTGTGTTTACCTTGCCATCTTCTCTGGACCCAAAAAGCTTCCAACACATTTGATGGTGTCAAGTTACAGTGGATTTTCCCATTGAACATGGTAATTTATAGTGGATTTTCCCATTAATATATTTAATATATGGAAAATGTTGATTTATGTCTGGTTGGTGGTGACTGGAACATGAATGGATTGTGACTTTCCATATATTGGGAATGTCATGACCCCAACTGACGAACTCGACTTTCGCATATTTTTCAGAGGGGTAGGTCAACCACCAACCAGATGTGTGATTGTTGGACCATCCGACTTTCATATTGTTCAGGGAGGGGGAACTCAAGCACCAACCAGTGCTCAAACTTCGAAATCTCATGAATGTTTTACACTTGTGTGATTTTGCCAGCATGTCATGTCCCAATAAATATTCCCGCTTGATCCACCACTTGGCAAATCCAGATATGGTAGGCAAACGCCGTGTCTTTATCTGATTGGTGGTTTGGAACATGTTTTATTTTCCATAATTTATGGGAAGAATAATCCCAACTGACTAATATTTTTCAGAGGGGTTGAAACCACCAACCAGTTATTCTAGATCATTGAACTACATCTACATTGGGCCTTTGGCTCCATACGCCTCAAACAATGCTTGGGGCTGTTCAGGGCTGTTCAAAATGCTTCTGAGACGGTATTTGGAGCACCAGGGATAGCTATGTCAGCCTATGTCAACCGGAGGGTAAACCCCATCAATCACCATGATTAACCCTGATTGACCATTTAACAATCATTCATCATCATTAATCACCATTAATCACCATTAACGGTGATTGATGATTAATCATTAATGGTGATTAGTGGTGATTAACGGCGATTATTAACGGCAATCATTATATTATTGTTGGTGATTAACTGGAGATTAGAGCCGATTAGAGCACCATTATATAATTCTATCATCATGAAAACCCAGTGACCTTGACCGCCTTGACTCATCAGGTCACGGCAGCCGCCAGCGGCCTGGGCTATATGATCTCCACGACCTTCCCACCGAAGCACGGGCCGTTCATCACGGTCCCTCGGCCGTTTCGAAGCCACATGGGCACTCAAGACGGGTCACAACTTTAGTGGCACAAATTGCGGATTGAACTTTTAGTGGAACCCATAAGATGTTTAAAAGAATTGGGATTGGAGCCAACAAGTCCAGAAATTGAGATTGAACCTAGAATCGAGACATTGATGGGGTTGGTTCTGCAAAACTATGACGAGTTTTGACTGCCGTCAATCTAGCCCGGAGGATTTGGAGTTGACTAAAAGCGGGTTTCAAGCCAACCATCAAGAATGGAGGATTGAACATGGTCGAAGAAGCATCAGTCCGACATGGTTACCTTTGGCATCATACTTTAGTATACTAGCTTCGCAACTCTGACCATCTAAGAACTATAAAATATTATATATCTATATATATATATATACACTAATATACATAATTATATATAATTATAAATATATATATATAAATACATGTATCCATGTACTGACCATATAAGCTTCGCCATTTTCCACCCCGAGGCCATCGTGATCTTCGTCAGCTGCGGCTTGCTGGGCCATCCGCTGCGTGTGGAGACCATGGCGGACGGCAAGACCTTGGAAGTGGCCCGGGACACCCAGCGCGGCTGCGCGGCCAGGGAGCTGTGGGGTTCAGCTGAAGACGGGACATGCAACAGGCTGAGATGATGGATGATGATGGGATAGAAGCAGTAATCTTACTGGTGCGTTTTACGCAGGGAATTTCGGGAATGATCCATTTCATCACTAGTAATAAGCATCCCAGCAACTCCCAGCAACCCATCCATTCCCTACGTTTAGCACGCACCAGTAAGGTAATTATGGGTCAACACTGAAAGGTCTAGGAAATCCACTATAAATATGGAAAATCCACTATAAATCACCATTTTCAAAGGGAAAATCACCATTTTCAATGGGAAATCCAGCACGTTTATTGATGGGTCACACAGTGTGAAGTTCCCGTGCACGAACTGGGTTCCCAATGACTCCACATGACAAAAAACCCATCGCCAAAGCCACAGAAACGATATGTCCGTTCATCATGGTCTATCCCGGCATGTGTTGATGTTCATCCCAGGAATTCTAAGTGGACAATAAACCATATATTAATATCATATTAATATTAGAATAAACTCAATAAACCATAATTCTAACTTCATATATCTTCATATTATGACCTAGTTTTATAGAATTATGGTATAACCCATATATATATATTACTATAGGGTTATAGGTCCAATATAACAAAATATCATATAACCCAGTTTTTTTGTATGTTTACCAGAGGGTAACCCAGTTTTTCACCGAGTTTTTGTATCCACTTCCTATGGCTCCCACAGCCCCACGCCGCGCGGCTCCGATGTTTTCAGGTCTTGGACACCCTCTCCATCACACGATGGAGACAACCGAGACAACCGGGGATGCCGCCACGATGAAGCCATGATTAACGATGGTTACCTGTAATGGTATACCTATAATGTATATTAGTGTATAATAAACATGTAAATCATGATTAACCTATATGTATTTATGGTTAACCCATGATTAATGTTACTTAATGTTTAACATTATAGGTAAGCCATTAATGTTAACTTTATTAATGTTAACCCATTAATCCATGTAACCCATTAATCCATGATTAAGCCATTAATTTACTATAATGATTAATGATTAACCCATGGTATACCATTATGTTACTTCATGTTAAATCATGATTAGCCTATATGTATTTATGGTTAACCATGATTAATCTATATGTATTTAGATGATGATTAATAATGGTTAACCAATGGAGTAACATGTAGTAACCATAACTATGTTACATATGTTTTTATGGTTAACCATGAGTATGGTTAACCATGATTAACCATGATTAACCAATGGATTTAGTGGATTAATCTAACCACCAAATCAGAAAAATGATATCATATATTACACTACCATAATCCTTAACCAATGGATTTAGATTATGATCATATTCTATGGTTAACGCATGATATGGTTACTACATATTATTTAACAAATGTTAGCCCATATGATTATTTGTTAGTGGAAAATGAATCAAACAGACAAACGATCATTCATCAAAAAATCATGTCATTCATCAGACCACAAGAGTAGCGTGTGTGAATTTACAAACGGAAATGAATGGTGGATGAATTCCTTAGAATGTGGACTGTGGACGTGGGTAGGCTGACAAGGTGACTGGGTAGGTGTTAATGGTTTGTTCCAGGGTTGTGTGTGGTGGTTTGTCTAAAAATGGGCTATGCCTTTTTCCCCCAAAAAAAAGATGGCCACATTTTCATAGGGGCACTGATTTAAAAAAAAAAACATTGGGTGTATATTATGTATGTATGTACATATATATATATATGTCCCCTAAATTTTGAGACAAACCCATATTGACTTGTCATGTTCAATGCTACTTAGTTACTTGCGGGTATTGCAAGATATATCGCAGTGGCATCATGCCCCCCATGGCACCACATCTGCCATGGTCAATGATTCCGGGTCAAGTCATTGAATCGCCCAAGAAAACTTGGATGGTTCAGAGATGTTCAGATGCTAAACCTTCTAAGTCCATCATTCTACCAGTTGTTTGTAGACAGACGCTATAAAGGTGGCTTTCTGGTTGAGTTTACCATTTTCCCAAAGCTAAGAAAGAAAGATTGTTACCCCAACATCCCCTCTGAAAAAATGCGATGGGAGCAGGACAGTGGGTTACTACTACCTCAACTTTTTGGCGCGAGGGCTCAGAGGACGAGTAACAGATGCGATGGGACTTTGCTTATCGTTAAATGGTGATTTACCTTGTTTTATGGGGAGAGATGGGACTTTTACCCGTTGAATCTCGTTGGGCTTCATGTGGGATCCCCAAGGACTGAGATCGCACCAAGTCCTAGTTGAAAAATGTTGGAAACCAATGTAAAAAACGGGAAAATAATGGAAAACACGGGAAAAATAGGGGGAAAAACATCATCTTCACATCTTCTTCGCATCCTGCAAAATGGTTATAATGGGCCTGTGGGAGCTGCCGAGGCGGACACTGATCTTTCCATCTTCAGTTCAGACCCGGAGGCCAAGGGATCCCGAAAACAAAAACCGCTGAAGTGGGATGCGGTTGATTACTGGGAAATACGGAAATGTGAATTGAATTATATGATGATTACTGGGAAATCCCGAATTATATACTGAATTTGATCTTGAAACCAATCAAAATTCGGGCTTTGTCAAACAGCAAAGGGGGTTGTTCCAACACAAATCGAGAGTTCATCATAAGCAAGAGGAATCAAAGCAACGGCACATATAAGGTCCAAAGGGTCACAATGATTTTTCGGCATTTCAAACGGCCAGTTACACAAAAAACACGGCGAAGTTAAGCCTTCAACTTCGATGGGAGATGGGTACGCTGAAGGCCATGGAGCTCATCGCGGGCATTGAGAACATCTACACCAGCCCTTCGTGCCTTGCGTCAAAAACGGGTGAATCTTCAGAGATAGCTCTGGCCTGGATACAATATTTATCAGTGTTCCATTTTATTCCATTGGGTCCCACAAAAAATACAGTCTTTGCAGGTATAGTTTCTTAAGATTTAAGAACTGGTTTGTAGTATTTTGTAGAAAAAAAACATGTTTCTTTAACGCAGTATTTGAAACCTCTATTGTGTTAAAATAGGTTAAAATTAAGCCAAGGATATAAATAGGGGTTTAACATGGTTTAACAGCTGGGGTTATTGTGCCCAGCATACTGTTGGGGTTATTTAACGCATCCGCAATCTCCATGTCCATGTCGCAGCTCAGTAGCTCGTTGCTAAGGCTAGTGCCCAACACGATGCTGGGTCAGCTGGACTGCAATTGGATGGGCTGACGCCGGACATCACGGCACAATAGATGGCTCCAGTTTATGGCCAAATTTCGTGGGAAAACTTGGATAATCCATTGGAATTGAAGCAAACCCAACAATGAAAACAAGATGAAAACCCAGTCGGGATGAGGTATACGTAGTAAATGGTAGTAAAAATTGACATGGCACCGAACAGCTGGCCCATGTCCTTCATTAAAATCATCGTAACCGGGACCCTGTTCAGGTTCCATGTGAAGGGGCTGTAGATGTAGAATCTGAAATTCGACTAGAAGGGCATGATCCAAAGATAAAGATGTTTCACATGTGGCGAAATGCATTTTTTTGCAGTGAAAATAACCATAAAATCCTTGGCAAAATCCACACTTTGGCTCGTGAAATCCAAATTTTTGCTGGTAAACTCCACCATTTTTTCACCGGGGAGGGCACCTGAAAGTCTCGAGGCGTCTCTGCTGCCATCATCTTCTGCATCTCGATGGGCTTGGTTTGGTGCCTTGTCAGCCATGGGTAGCAGAAACGGAGGCATATCCGATTGGTAATCATTAGTAATCATTAGTACCATCTGATGAATCTACGTATAGATCATTGATGATAATGATAATTATATGAGAATACGATACCAGATTAGTACGATTGTCTTTCTTATGACTTTCCAATTGACATGTTTTTTTTTGAAACCTCCGAGCCATGTTTTTTCTGGCTACCCTGAGCTAGACCATCTTCTCCATGCCTGTGGTGAAATCGGCAAAGCTTACACCTTACATAGACCTTGCAGATGGTACCTAGGGGCCACAAGATAGGTATGTTGGTCTATATGTACAATAACTAGGATTTGTGCTGGATCTACATTTACACCCAAAAAGATCTCCTACTTATATACCAATTTATATGCCAAATTATATGCCAATCTATCCATTCATTCCAGTTTCAACATCCCGTAAATATCAAACGTCGATGGTTGGCCAGGCATTTCGTGGCCTTCCTCCGGTTGATGTTCTCCAACCGAAACCGCGGACATCGTTTGGGAACCCAACGGCTGGTGATTAGATCACCATCTTTGTTTGTTCAAACCTCAGTTGTTTGATGTTTTTTGCTGGTTGTATATATATATATACTCTGTAACTCTGTAATATATACTCTGTGTATATTATTTACAAATTTATTCATCATGCTTCTCTCTAAGGTATTACTCTAAGGTCAGCCGTGTCCAACTTGGATAGTCTCCTTACCTTAAAGACCCCCAGGCCGCGCTGCTCCATGGAAGCAACGCCTCTATCGCATTCAAGGCGCCTCTATCGCAAGGGTTGAAGGGACGGCTGCCAGTGGAACCAATGAGCAGCGGCTACAGCAAACCCCTGTTGGTTGATGATTACCAGGGAATATAATATCCAATATACATCAATCTACTACCGCTTGATCCCTTCATTTGTCTCAAAAACCGAATATACTACACATGCTGCCCCGAAGTTTGGGGGAATTTGAGTCAAAGACCAAGACCTAGATATAGCCTGACTGGTGATGGACTTGCCTGAGATGGGAGAAAGAAGGATCAACGGACACTGCGCTTAGGATCCAATAGTCGGAACATCTAAAATATCCCTGAAAACTTTCTCGAATCAGCTTTTTACAACATATTCCCTGCTATTCTACATAACATATTGCCTTGTATGTTGTGATACAAGTCTCTTATCATCATCTTAGATTCGCTACAGCGTTCACCAGGTTGCATGGCGGATATCTCCTTTCGAGTGCTCGGAGAGGAGCGTCAGGCGGTCGGATTTCTTTCGTTGTTGGGACATGGGGCCGTGACTTCAATTATAGATTGATTATGCACTATACCCTCTGGTAAACTAACATAACTATGGAAAATCACCATTTTTAATGGAAAAACTCACTGTAAATGGCCATTTTCAATAGCTATGTTAGTTTACCAGAGGGTATGCACTATAAATCCTATAATTTGTGTAGATTTATATTCTAGATGAACAGCATGCATAGTATAAAATCACTACAGATCTATTATAGATTCTTGAAATATGCACTATAAATCACTATAAGTGACCATAATTGATATGATGATAGTGATTTATAGTGACTAAACAATATAGTGATAATAATACAGTGATAATGATATATATAGTGATAAATATGCACCATAATATAAATATCACTATATCATTATCACTATATTATTATCACTACATATATTACATATGATGATATATTTATAATAGATAATATGATTAGATATATTGATACTAATATACTAGTGATATCATCATATATAATCTATATAATCACTATATTAGTTTATTTTAGATGATATATTTATAACAAATAATATGTCTAGTATAATGATATACACTATAATAATATATGATATATATATATATGATATACACTATCATAAGATGATTAGTTTAATATGTCGAGTCATCTTCCCAGGCACGGCTCATCGGTGCGTACCATCGCTACGCCCCGTGGGAACGGCAGGCGTCCGGAGGCCCAGGATGTTCTGCGGATTCCAAGACCGATCGCTTCGTTGACAAAAAGGGGGTGCTATTGGTTAGAATACCAAGTGAACCAGATAGTACTTAGATAGTACTTAGATAGTACTTACATAGCAACCCCAAAAAGATGCAAAATCGTTTTTTTAGTTGAACCTTTCCTGCATCTGTTTGCTATGAATTCTCCAATGTTTCGGATTTCATTCGATAAATTCGATAAATGTGTGGACTTCATCGTTTTTTTCTACCGAGAATGATGATTGAACCAACAAAGGTGGGGATTTGCCCAACGGAAATGTCAACAGGAAAAACTCTGGAGAATGTGGTTGAAAGATGGGGACATGACCAGCAGCCTGTGGTCACTGATTGGTTGATTACCCGGCCTGGTAATTTGTTACATAACGAACTGGAAAGATCCACCATGTTTCATGGGAAAAGTCACTATTTCTATGGTGATTTTCCATAGTTATGTTAAATTACCAGAGGGTAGGTGAAAACGTATGAACATGGGAAGCCAACTTTTGAAGCCTCAGTGTATATTCTCGAGCGATTTTTCGAAACGGGTTGATGGTTGATGTGAGCCAATCTGTGCCATTGATATCCATTGATGACCATGAGGAATCATCTAGGACTCCAGGACCCTATTTGTTGGGGAAGCAAGTTGCCCCCTCAGTCGCTGAGAGCTGTTTGAATCCCCAAGATTCCATTCGTCATTGTCCGAGGGGATAGTGTTCCACCATGGAAAAAGATACGGAAAACCTTGAGAAGCCCGGGGAAATCATCTATGTTCTTGACCTTTCAGGTTTTTGCACCATTCACCTGGTACAAAACATCTTTGTTGCCTGAATCTGTTACAGTAAAGCTTAAGAAATGTTGGCTTAGTGTGTGATGTGTTTTTTTACCGTTCATGTCTCCGAGGTAATGACTTCGAGACATCTCGGAAACGCGATGGCACTGGATCCAACTGACGAAAAATGGCGATCTGGATCTGGTGGAATCATCAGCAAAATGGGCTGTTGATGCTTATTTCACCTTATTGAAAAAGTGTAGGGAAGTATGTTATCTCTACACTTGAAATGTCAATAAGTCTTGTATATGGCTGGGAAAAAAGTAGCTGCTTAAGACACTACCAAAAAACCAGCTGGCAATTCAGGATGGCAATGGAACAGCCTCATATCGATCATTTGATATGATACGTGTAGATAAGCATTGGCCATGTAGAATATGTACCATCACATCCATGTCCCATGAACATTTCCCAGCGGCTCCCAGCTCTAAGATTCGTAAGAGTTCCAGCAACATGTTTGAGTGGGAATCATCCTACTACTGGACTTAGTTCAAAAAAGTGTTCAGGAGGTCACCACCTGAATAATTACAGGATACCCGGCCTGGTAAACTAACATAGCTATTGAAAATGACCCATAGAAACAGTTGATTTACCCATTAAAAATGGTGAAAATGGTGATTTTCTATAGTTTTTTGTATGTTTACCAGGCCGGGTACCATGGAGTTCCAACGAAAATGCTGGCGAACTTCAGCTGGATCCCAAGACTCGCCCAAAACAAACTCGCCTCGTAGATCTGCCAGCCGAAGCCAGAGAGAGACAAGCCGCAAGTTGTCCCGCAGCCAGAAGAATGGTCGCAGGGCAACTTACAACGACCAAACTGACCAAATCCATGGAGTATCCAAATGATGGTTCATACATGAGATGAATATATTATAACATAATTATGTGTGCAACAGCTACTATGTGGCATAAGGCAGATATTTCCAAGGGAAGTACAGTACATCTTATTATCACTAGGTTACGTCATCTACAGTAAGCACTGGTCTGAGATGATGACACAATGATGGGCAATGAATCATCATCGTAACTTTTAAAGCACTAATTGCCCGTAAATGTTTGCATAAACCACCTCATATATCCTCATTCTTGTGGTTGAACTGTTGAACCTCCATATTTTCATTGCTTTACTTTCTTTTTTTCTTGCTGAAAAAATATCATGTCTTGTTGATGAAGTCCCCTAGTTCCTATGTTTTCTGGTTACCCTTCATGTAAAAAAGAACTAGATTTAAATGATAGTCCCTAGCATTTTTTTCCCGAGAGCGTCTGAGCGCAGGGTTCTTCCAATAGTGGGGGTCTGTATCTTATCTTCTCATCTTCACATCTTCTCATCTTCACATCTGTATCTCATCTTCTCATCTTCACATCTTCTCATCTTCACATCTGTTCATCTTCACATCTGCTCATCTTCACATCTGCTCATCTTCACATCTGCTCATCTTCACACCTTCTTTCACATCTTCTCATCTTCATATCATCTGCTCATCTTCACATCTGCTCATCTTCACATCTGCTCATCTTCACATCTTCTCTCACATCTGCTCATCTTCACATCCTTCTCTCACATCTTCTCATCTTCACATCTGCTCATCTTCACATCTTCTCTCACATCTCTCTCACATCTTCTCTCACATCTGCTCATCTTCACATCTTCTCTCACATCTTCTCTTACATATTCTCTCACATCTTCTCTCACATCTTCTCTCACATCTGCTCATCTTCACATCTTCTCTCACATCTGCTCATCTTCACATCTGCTCATCTTCACATCTTCTTTCACATCTGCTCATCTTCACATCTGCTCATCTTCACACCTTCTCTCACATCTGCTCATCTTCACATCTGCTCATCTTCACATCTGCTCATCTTCACATCTTCTCTCCTTTCTCTCTCCTTTTTCTCTCTCTCGCCTTCTTTATCTTTCTCTCTTTAGGCCGAGGGTGGTGCCGGCGGTCAGTCACGAAACGGCAACCTTTTCGCACGAAATGAGGGTCGATCGGCAAAAACTGAGGTAAAATTGCGATTTGACTTGTCCTGGAGCAACCCTTTCGCACGAAATGAGGGTCGATCGTCAAAAACTGAGGTAAAAGTGCGATTTTACTTGTCCCGGAGCAACCCTTTCGCACGAAATGAGGGTCGATCGTCAAAAACTGAGGTAAAAGTGCGATTTTACTTGTGCTACGGCAACCCTTTCGCACGAAACGATGGTCGATCGGCAAAAACTGAGGTAAAACTGCGATTTGACTTGTCCCGGAGCAACCCTTTCGCACGAAATGAGGGTCGATCGGCAAAAACTGAGGTAAAAGTGCGATTTTACTTGTCCCGGAGCAACCCTTTCGCACGAAATGAGGGTCGATCGGCAAAAACTGAGGTAAAACTGCAATTTGACTTGTCCCGGAGCAACCCTTTCGCACGAAATGAGGGTCGATCGGCAAAAACTGAGGTAAAAGTGCGATTTTACTTGTCCCGGAGCAACCCTTTCGCACGAAATGAGGGTCGATCGGCAAAAACTGAGGTAAATTGCGATTTTACTTGTGCCGTTCTTGTCTGTGTGTAAAAGCGCCTGTGTGTAAAAAGCGTCTGTGTGTAAAAGTCTCTGTGTGTAAAAGCGTCTGTGTGTAAAAGCGTCTGTGTGTCAAAGCGTCTGTGTGTAAAAGCGTCTGTGTGTAAAAGTGTTTGTGTGTAAAAGTGTTTGTGTAAAAGTGTTTGTGTGTAAAAGCCTCTGTGTGTAAATGTGTTTGTGTGTGAAAGCGTCTGTGTGTAAAAAGCGTCTGTGTGTAAAAAGCGTCTGTGTGTAAAAAGCGTCTGTGTGTAAAAGCGTCTGTGTGTCAAAGCATTTGTGTGTAAAAGCGTCTGTGTGTAAAAGTGTTTGTATGTAAAAGCTTCTGTGTGTAAAAGTGTTTGTGTAAAAGTGTTTGTGTAAAAGCCTCTGTGTGTAAAAGCTTTGTGTGTAAAAGCGTCTGTGTGTAAAAAGCGTCTGTTTGTAAAAGTGTTTGCGATGCAAACTATTGTCTTGCACTTCTCACTATCCTGTCTTGATACTCCTCTTCTCGACTGCCTATAACAGAGCTTTCATATATCGTTTCTAATATTACGTCTCCATACTAACAAGAGAAGACCCTGCTCCCCCCTGAACTGTCCGAGCAAACATGACTGTAAGCATTTCCAGAGCTTTTTTGTCTGTGTGTAAAAGCGTCTGTGTGTAAAAGTCTCTGCGGGTAAAAGCCTCTGTGCGTAAAAGTCTCCGTGTGTAAAAGCGCCTGTGTGTAAAAAGCGTCTGTGTGTAAAAGTCTCTGTGTGTAAAAGCGTCTGTGTGTAAAAGCGTCAGTGTGTCAAAGCGTCTGTGTGTAAAAGCGTCTGTGTGTAAAAGTGTTTGTGTGTCAAAGCGTCTGTGTGTAAAAGCGTCTGTGTGTAAAAGTGTCTGTGTGTGTAAAAGTGTGTAAAAGCGTCTGTGTGTAAAAGCGTCTATGTGTAAAAGTCTCTGCGGGTAAAAGCCTCTGTGTGTGTAAAAGTCTCTGTGTGTAAAAGAGCCTGTGTGTAAAAAGCGTCTGTGTGTAAAAGCGTCTGTGTGTAAAAGCCTCTGTGTGTAAAAGCGTCTGTGTGTAAAAGCGTCTGTGTGTAAAAGTCTCTGTGTGTAAAAGCGTCTGTGTGTGTAAAAGTCTCTGTGTGTAAAAGCGTCTGTGTGTAAAAGCCTCTGTGTGTAAAAGCGTCTGTGTGTCAAAGCGTCTGTGCGTAAAAGCGTCTGTGTGTAAAAGTGTCTGTGTGTAAAAGCGTCTGTGTGTAAAAGCGTCTGTGTGTACAAAGTTCTGTGTATGAAAAACTTTGCAAAAATACGATGCAAACTATTGTCTTGTACTAGTCATATGTTGTCTTGATACTACTCTTCTCGTCTGCCTATAATACATCTTATATAATATATTATCTTGTAATATATTATCTTGTAATATAGTGTCTCCATGCTAACAACAGAAGACTCTGCTCCTCTACGCTCTCGGGCCATCCGTCGTCTAGTTTTTTAGATAAGAAAATTGTGGTTACCCTGGCTGGTGCACCCCCCAGGGGGCTGGCTTCAAAGGACGAATTCGTTGCTGCGGCCGGGAGGTTCTCACCTGAAGACACTGTGCTGCAGTGACGGTGCACCGGAGGAGTCAGATGAACGGAGGAGCAGTGCCCATTTGATTCCTGTTGATTGATGCATAATGATGTACGGTATACATAATTATACATACATATATATACAGAGAGTTTACATATATCTATATATACTGTATAATGTATACGGTATATATATATATTCATAGCAATAAATAATAACAATAATGGTGGCAACAATAAAATATGTTATTATTGTTTTGGGTTTATTGTTATTGTTAATATGTTTACTACTATCATTATATGATGTATACGTATATGGTTATGGCCAAATGCCGGCCGATCTGGGATTTATGGATGTGCATCCCAAATATGGTCTCCGGTATTTACGAGGCAACGAGTATGAGCTATCTGATAGTATCCATATTCCATATGAAAAATGGGGAGCCCCGTGGAGCTCTGAATCGAGTTTTCCAAGCACATTATGAAAAAGACTTGCCAAGTGCAGCATGGTTGTTGTTGTATATCAACCCAACACTACTGGTGACATCCCATATCATCTCATTCTATCCCAAGAATTTCAATGACTCAAATAATTTTGGTTTTGTCAAATCATGAAAAAATATCCATGAAACCATGGGTAAAACGTCTCCAATCCCATGGTGTTTTTTCGGTGACATCTCCAGAGACTTCCCGGTGACTTCCTGACTTCCCGGTGCTGTCGGTGCTGTGACGTTTTCAAGCCATGGAGTGGGCAAGCCTTGCCAGTTCTCCTCGGGGGGTGTCGGAGGTCTCGTGCAGCAAAATGCCTATCTGTTTTTTTTTCGCAAGGGAATCATGAATCATCGATAGTGGGAATTAATAATCGATAGGGATAAATAATCATGAATCATGATAGTATGACAATAGTTTATTTATGATTCCCATTCAACGTTCATGATAGTATGATAATGATAAATAGTCATGAGTCATAAATGTTGATGAGAAATAGTGATAATCTGATAATGTCTGATAGTGGTTTTTTAATGGTTATATTGGTTGTTTCCTAAAACTTAGGGGATCCCTTTCCACCGTTGGTTCCACCGAAAGTGCCCAACAGCTTGGATGATCCCGTTTTGGGAAAGCCTCGGAATCCCAGCGGTTTTCATTGTCCCTGATATGATGGCCATTTGAATGGTACCCTCTAGTAAACGTTGACATAACTATATGGAAAATCACCATTTTTAATGGGCCAGAGGGTAAAATATGTGTTTTTTAAACCATGAGATTTTGTGGTAGCCTATTTTCAGACGAGACAAACAAATGGTGAGTGAAAGTGGTAGTCCTGTTTGGGATGCATCATAAACTTATGGGATGATGATATTTGACCCATACTCAAAAGCACCATGACTCAAAAGCACCATGTGCCATCCATGGCCAATTTCATTTCCAAGTGCTCCGAACTGTGCTTCAATTTGGGCAGGAAATCGGACAAACTCATCCGAAAGCAGAACCGGCAACGGGTTGACATCACCCTGAAATACACCTGGCAAGGCTGGCCTAATGGACGCAGGTTTGGTGAAAGAAATCTGCCTCCGCTCCACTCCTTGGCCCATTACTTTACTACAGGAGCAACATCCGGAGTCCTCTCACGGCATGCGCGAGCAGCGTGAGCTGCGTGACTGTTTGAGATCTTCGCTTGCTGCTCACCGATTGACATGGGAACGGGTTCATTTAGGGGTTGTGATGGATTGTATGACTCGAGACGACATGTGCGATAATTTACGCATGGTATCAGTACATATATATATATACACATGCTATATAAGCATTTTGGGATTCATAGGAATTTAATTCTTTCTTGACTGTTTCAAACGTTGTTTGGTTGACCATGATTTGTCCTGACAAATGTGATCGCCAATTCTATTCAAGTTATCATATCCTGAAATTTATCCCCATCATATCCCCATGTTGTTGGCTTCTAAGCAGGATATTACTGTGTGAATCTTCTCAGAAACAAAGAACATGAATGTAAGGACATGCATACGTTTTTCCCCGAAATCAGACTATTATTGAGATACCGTAAATCGTATATAATCTCTCACCAGTGTCCCCCTGACCAACATGCCCGCTATCTCCCATTGTTGATGGTTATAGATAGATACCCTAACATTTGGTGCTTAAGTACAATCGTCCCTATTAAAATTGTTATTCAATAAAATACCGGTTTTCAGACAGATCCATATTTGGTGATGATTTAACGAATATCTAACCGTATAACCAATATATTTACATACTTGGAGAGTGTAGCGGCTAAGCATCTGCAGCACTGGTTAATCCCTTTCACTGTCTCTGTTATGCGTCTATCCATCAACCCATCCATCAATCCATCTATCCATTTATCCATCTATACGTTCATCCATCTATCCATGTATCATCATGTATCCATCTATCCATTATCCATTTATCTATTTATCCATCCATCCATCCATCCATCTATCTATCTATCTATTTATCTATCTAAATGTATTAAATATGTTATTTCTAACATGTAAATATCCATTCTATAGATCCATGAGATGTCATTTCAGTAGCCATTTGAAACTGAGATTCCCAACTTTTTTGTCAGAACTCGTTGCTGCGTTACGCCGGGATCGGCGCCTGAGGCGTCCTGAAACTCACCGGTCATCAGAGCGTTCCGAGCAGCGTCTCGGGGACGCGGGTGCACAGAAATCTGGGAGCTGAGCAGCAAAAATATCGAGATTTCAGCGCGGAAAAATATGGATCCAGGGATTTAAGCAAGAAATAGGGAAACATGCAGATTTGAAGAACAAACATGTGGATTTCAGCAACCAACATAGAATTGTGAGCAGAAATGTGAACTTGAGTGGCACCAGCAGCAAAACTCCGACCGAGAGAAAGTGGGACTTGAGCAAACAATTGGTGATTCAAGTACCGAAAAGGATGATTTCCCAAAATAGAAGGTTGGCCATGAGGAATTAAAGCCATAGATGATGATATGTTGAGCACTTCAACATCGTTTTGATTGAGACGTCAAACATGAGGGCTGAGATCGATCTCAGCGCACCCGCATTTGGAAGTCTAGCCTACTGCCCGCATTTGTGCAGAGAAGAAAAGAGCGCCTCAAGGGCGATTTGTGAGTGGTTAGGAGCTGGATTAGTACTGTAGCTGCTATATATATATATGTCATATATATATATGTATAGTTGTGTGTACCTCTATGTTTGCATAAAACCCATAATATGTATGTGTATATATATATATACATATTCATGCACCGCTGCATACACATATGTTTAAATATATACATACATAACATTCTATCCTTCAACTTCTAGGTTTCGACCGTATGCAATGATTGGCCCCTACTTTCTGTGAGTGAAACCCACAACCGCGATGAAGTATAGGGAGTTTGCCCTTAGTTCAGTCCATGTGTCTTAGGTAGTGTATGATTGAAAGCAGGGAAATGATTGAGCCCTTTGAAAAGTACCCCCAAATTATGCGAAACAAAAATGAACATTGGCATTACCGTTATATCCCTGAGAAGCATGAGCCATGGCGCGTCCCTCTTCCAGTCAAAGACTTTGGCTGGTACCCAATGACAAGGGGATGTAACATGATGTAACACATCCCCAGATTCATAGGAACATATGTATATTGTTATTATATATATATAGAGCTATCATACATGCATTTGCATGTCTGCTCACCCATTTTCTTGCGTAATACGTTCAGTTTCTGACAGCCTTGTGATAGCCTCGCTGGTGCCTGCCTCCTGATATCGTAATGATATCCCATCAACATAGATTTCTACATGTAATATCTGGATTAATATGGCTTAATATGGCAACCAACAAAAACGATATCAGAATGATATTAAACCATATTAAGCCATATTAAACCATATTAAACCATATTAAACCATATTAAATCATATTAAACCATATTAAACCATATTAAACCATATTAAACCATATTAAACCATATTGATCCATATTAAACCATATTAAACCATATTAAACCATATTAAACCATATTAAACCATATTAAACCATATTAAACCATATTAAACCATATTGATCCATATTAAATCATATTAAACCATATTAAACCATATTAAACCATATTAAACCATATTAAACCATATTAAATCATATTAAACCATATTAAACCATATTAAACCATATTAAACCATATTAAACCATATTGATCCATATTAAACCATATTAAACCATATTAAACCATATTGATCCATATTAAACCATATTAAACCATATTGATCCATATTAAACCATATTAAATCATATTAAACCATATTAAACCATATTAAACCATATTGATCCATATTAAACCATATTAAACCATATTAAATCATATTAAACCATATTAAACCATATTAAACCATATTGATCCATATTAAACCATATTAAACCATATAAAACCTATTAACATATTAAACATATTGACCATATTAAACCATATTAAACCATATTAAATCCATATTAAACCATATTGAAACCATATTAAACTATTAAACCATATTAAACCATATTAAACCATATTGATCCATATTAAACCATATTAAACCATATTAAATCATATTAAACCATATTAAACCATATTAAACCATATTGATCCATATTAAACCATATTAAACCATATTAAACCATATTGATCCATATTAAACCATATTAAACCATATTAAACCATATTGATCCATATTAAACCATATTAAACCATATTGATCCATATTAAACCATATTAAACCATATTAAACCATATTAATCTCTATGTTGTAGGCCATCTCTCTATATGTTTGCTGTTGGCATTGCGCCAGCGATGTTTCGTCCGAGGTGCCGCGGCCGCCCGTCATCGTAGAGCCCCCGGAGGTCTTGAACACCTCAGTGCCGTGGCGAAAGGTGTGCCACGGTCGGTGCCGAAAAAAGGGGATGAGAAGTGGTGTATGTGAGATATCTGAGATATTGTAGGTGTATGTATGTAAGATATCGATATATAGATATAATATATAATGTATGAATATAAGATATCTAAGATGGTGTGATATATGAAATATGTGTCATCTATCTAGTATATCTCATATATCTGATATATCTAATATATCTAATATATCTATGTTTTGTATCTCAGATATTTGAGATGAGGTAGATGATAGTGTATTTATTTACAAGTGATAGAAAAAAAACCTAGATATATTGTATATATACTTGTATTGCAAGCAATTTCCAGTGACCAAAGTCCATGGGCGCGATGCTGATGTTTCCAGTAGGTATGGTTTTATGTATTTTTATGTCCTTTTGCCCCTCAACTTCAGTCTTACCCAATACCTAACTTTCGAAAATCCATCATACGGCTACATGCATAATAATTTTCCAGTAGATAGACTCTACTCTGTGTAAGATATATATATATTATACATATATATTTATTATACATATATATATATATATTATATATATATTATACATATATATATATATACTTTATCTTACCCATCCATACCCCCCATCCATGTGGCATACGAATCCAGTAAGCCTCAGTGTTGAACTTCCGAGGTCAAGACACTGGTGGCCTACGCCGCGTTGCGGCTCCGACTGGATTGACGTTGTCGACATGGGGTTACCCCCAAATAGATGATTTTGAATGGGAAATCCCAAACAAAAATGGATGATTTGGGGGTACCCCTATTTCAGGAAACCTCCATATACTTAGTTGGTGAAAAATAACTGCAGAAACTATTTGGTGCTTTGGAGGAAGCGGTTTTGTTGAGCTATGTGTATCCATGGGGAGGCAAGGTGCAACGAATTGAGGTCTAGAAGATCCTGATGGAAAGCCAGTTCCCTTGTTGCTTCGTCGCCTTGAAGCCAGGATTATGTGGTTGCCTTTGTTGCATTGCCGGCGAGTTTTAAAAACCCCAGGATCTTGTGATAAAGAAAGGCCTGCACGGACCATGTCTTGTCGCGTCTCTTGTCCTGGAGACCCATTGAAAAACCATGTGACTTGCAACGAACTTCACTGGATGTCGTGTAACCCTATGACCCTGACGTGGGTTCTGACAACAAGTGTTTGATGCTTTATCATCCCTTTCCAGTATTTACCCAAAGCGAAATCCCAATTTTGGGGTGCCCATCAAGGGACTACCACGGATCCATTGAAGCCAGGGTACCCTTGTTGGTTTGGGCCTTGATGGGCGATCTCATCCTGAGCCTTCACGGAGAGGAGGAGCCGGAAAGAGACGCGCTTGGTGATGTTGAAGAGATTGGTGGCCAAGGGTCCAAAATAGTATAGTATATAGTGTATATATATATATAGTATATATATATATAGTATATATATATAGTATATATATATAGTATATATATATATAGTGTATATATATATAGTATATATATAGTGTATATATATATATAGTATATATATAGTATATATATAGCATATATATATATACTATATATACTCTATATATATAGTATATAGTATATGTTTGGCTTATGTTGGGGCAATCCGAATATAAATCTAAATTGTCATCTACGGTTAATCGATTCAAACAGTTCTTGTGGCTTTCTCCCCAATGGAATCCATTTCTAGATTTCCCCTCCACCTGTGGCAGCAGCACTGCAGATTTTAGCAGGAGCTGAACTCACAATCTATAGCTTCCATTGGATTCAGTAGGGTTTCATAGCTATATATATATATGGTGGTGTCTCAAAATATTCAAAACATGCCACCTCTTAGATTCTCATGATTCATTTACATATATGTATATATATATATATACCTATGCATATTTATACATATATATATACCTTTACATATATATGTGTATATATATATGTGTGTGTGTGTAAAGATGTTATTTCCTCATATGCCTATCAGTGCATCCATGACTACCTCCCGGAGGCCACGAAGAAGCTGGCGGAAGGCCTTCTGCCGGGTGCCCAGAGGTGTCTTCCAGGGGTAACCATTGGGGATATAACGGGATGACTAGTGATCCTTACGTTAGGTAACATAGTTATAATATATATATATATTATATATATTATATATAATATATTATATATATTATACTATATATGTTGTGTATTATATATATATAATTTATATATATATAGTGATCCTTATATATAAATATGTATACCATTGGGGATATAACCATATTTATACAATGGTATACATAAATGACTCCTATGGAAAACATAAATTGCTCCTTACATTAGGTTGAGTCGTGTCAATGCATATGCATACATATACCATACATGACATGTACGGGTATATGCATATATACATGATTAGGGGACCATTAGTCATATATCCCCTGTTTTTATTTTAAGGCTAGTATAACAATTCTCTGTGAATTCACAGTTATTATGGCAAAATGGATTGGTAAATGAATCTGATAATTGGGGAATTTTATGGAATTATATCACAACAATTATGACAAGAGTAATTCACGACTTATTCCCATGATATCATTCCCTGCTCTGAGGCCTGCGGCTCTAATCTCGGGCGGCGTAGGGGCCTTGGATTTTCCAAGTTGATCTTGTGGATAAAACCTGAGTAAAATGCTGGTGGATGGGCTGATTTGTTGTCATCAATCTGCCTGGGTAACGTTTCCAACAATGCTTTGTCACGCTAAGATAATATGCATCATGTTTTGGGAAACACCAGGGGTCTTTCCTTGGAAACAGAAGAATACGTCCAAACAACAATTGAGACTATGGAAAGGGAGAGACGGTTCTTTTCCAATGACACCAGCTGTGGCCTTGCTTGAAATAGTCTGGCTGGTCCAGCCAGAATCAAGAGTGATTATAGGCTTTCACAACGTGGATCTGTAAAAATATAGGGCTATGGAATATTGGCACAAAGGCCATACAAGAAGTTGCGGCTGCTCACTATCGTTTAATTTCTATTTGGATGCAAAAAAATGTTCGATGTGCTAACCAAGTCTACGTGTTGCTTGTAGATTTTGATGATAAAGTTATCCTTTTTATTTGGAGCAATATAATAATAGCAGAATATTCTTGATCCTCCCAATTCTACGTACCAACGGATTGGTGGTACTTGCAATCCAGAAAACCAATCCATACTATCGATTTCAAGAGATACAAAAGTGTACATAAAGTGTACGAACTTTAGATACAGATAGATAGGTAGATAGATAGATAGATAGACAAACTATCCCTGCATAGATCTATACATATACTTATAAATATATATGTATGTGTGTATATATATAAATATATTCATAAGTACACAATCAGTTCATAACAATCTGCCATAGCTCATAGCTGCAGTGTCGAGGTTTGGGGCGATGCCGAGAAGCTCCTGCAAAATTCGTGGGCAGCTGAGATCGCTCCCTTCGGACGTCGCTCCTGCCCTTGGGACGGCCTTCATTGGGTGTCCTGGTCCGAGGCCCTGGCCCTTGCGCTGCAGCTTCTCTCTTCACTTGGTGGCCTTCGTCATCTTCTTGCGCTCCCTCTGCGGAGCAGGACGGGATCTGCAGTGCTTTTTTTCGTCGACGGTGATGGAACATCTGAAGGTTGATGGATTGTCCATAAAAACCCCTCATTTAGAGGGGATTTCCCATTGTCGTGGTTGATTAACCGAGGGTTATACATCATAAATACTATATATATAATTATATATATATAATTATATATATATGGAAACTATGTATATAGGATATTTATGTTACTAGTATCTCATATAACTTCATAATATAATATGAACTTAGTAGCCCAAAAAAGATGCCGCATCGTATCTTCAGGATGAAAACGGTCGATGATGTTTTCCATCAGAATTCTCAGGTTTCCGTTTGCGTTCTATCTTTTGGGGGATGCTGTACACATGTATACGTATATTCATCATTGAGGGTTTCTAGAATATCCAGATGATATGTAGTACAAAACACATGTTGATATATAACTATATATACACATACATATTTATTTACCTTCCCCTCAACTAACATTTCAACCCTGCCTTGCATAGATCAAGTAGGTGGTTGGCAGACAATTCTTTCCTATCGGGATGGTCGGATTTCAGGATGGTTCAATTTTTCAGGGGATGGTACAACAACCGGACATAGAAAAGTATATATATATATGGGTAAATTAGAACGACCTCACTGTTCTCCCTCACTGGGAATGATGGTTAGTAAGGGTGACTATCCCTAAATGACCTTGTTTCAGGTTAGTGAAATATTATAATTTACCCATATAACCAGGTTATATTGTTATATAATGTTATATGCACGTACATGTATGGGGATATAACCATATAATCTATCCATCCCCATTACATTTGGTTTTCGGCGCAAATCTGACAAGTGTTTGGTTGGGGCGTTCAACCCCTCTGAAGCTACAAAGGTTGTCATTGGAGAAGAACGTCATCCTCGTTACAGCTATAAATGGATCGTTAGAGGGTTTTCTCAAAATGTGTATCCTCCAAGACCCGTTGTTTAGGATCATTGTCCCCATTCAAGTGAGCCAATCTGGATCCCACATGAGACAAACCCAAATGTTATTTGGAGGAATGAAATAGGCAGGTCCCCTTCAGAACTCACCACTTTCTCGGAATAGTATTGGGAGATCAGCCATGATTCTTCATGGGTCAATCAAAAATCATGGGCCTGTAATCTGGGAAATGAGGAACCCATTAAGAATCATGATTTTCCAGACTTAATTAGGATTAACAGGACTGTTAATTTTCACAGGGACCATTAATGAGGGCCCATTAATTATGATTACCCTCTGGTAATTTAACATAGCTATTGAAAATGACCATTTATAGTGGATTTTCCCATTGAAAATGGTGATTTTCTATAGTTATGTTAGTTTACCAGAGGGTAACAGGACTTAATGGAACCCAAATCATCCATGACCAGCGCTGCCGACAGGCCGTCGCCAGCGCTGGCGCGATGAAGCCAAGGATGCGCGATGAAGCCAGTGTTTTCTTGAATTGTACAGGATGGTGCCCACTTATGTTTCTTGGTTTGGTTATGTTTGGTGGTTTAGAAACCCCATTAACATCCATATAACATCCATTAACTATAGTTATATCTACCATAAACTATAGCTAAGCCACTTATAAGGCAACTGAATAAGGCAACTGAACGCTATCTTGGGGGCCCCATCCTGTATGGTTCATTTCTATTTGATGATTATTTATAGTTGTTTATGTGAATGGATTGCCGCATTACCTTGATTTGCGAAGATTGGATGGTTTGACTTGAGGAGTTTTGCCATGTTTTGCCACACATCCTAGTAAGGTCAAACTTTTAGCCGGGGAGCAATAAACCACGACATGTGTTTCTGTGTGGAATCTGATTTCACCTCTTGGGGCAAGGCTGCAAAATGGAGCACCCAGAGAACCACAAAGTTATATAATGATAACACACAAACTTTCAAGTGATAAGGTATACAATGTTAGATCAAAACTTTCAAGTTCGAGGTCAGCACTTGTAAGAAGCAGCCAAACAACTTAAAGCATGGTCTCACGTCGTGGAGTACGAAGACCTAAACTATGATTGGCGCATCGCAGCCTGGATCCCGAGATACACAGATGTTGGTCGGTGTTAGTTTGACTTGGGCATTCCAGTAGCCGTTTTTCTTGCCTTTTGCCATTTACATTCATCCAATGTGGGCTACCAACTGTTTCGTACTACATAACAGTAGTAATCTCATTGTCTCCAAGTATGAAATGCCAACCTTCGTTTACCCCTTCACATTACCCAGTACGTTTGAAAAAGAAAGAACCATGGAGTATATATGGCCAACTCACTATGTAGCTATTTGGTTTGCAGGCCCAGCGATAAGTGGGTCAAAAGTAAAGCCTATGATCATGTTCATGATTGAACCGTCCAAGGGTAAAGTAGTTTTGGCCCATGCCAAAATGTCCTATAATCGCTTTCACAGCGGAAAGTTTACAGGGCAACCCAGTTTTAAAAGGTAGACTTCAATGTGTTCCCCTAGATTTCCCAAGAACAAAGCTGCGAGTAAATTGAAACCTTTGGTATCCCTCGATCCAAAAAAGACGGGAATTTCTTAAAAAGTTGGATGAAGCAATGAACCGAATGAACCACTTTGTTTCTTGGTACTTGGGGATCAATCCACTCAGAGGACGTAAGCCGCTATCGCAATGCCCTATGCTATGCACGGCTAAAGGGCAGTCGGGTGGAACCTGAGGTGGGCCTGATTCCAAATGGTAAACTGGTGACGCTGGTTGGGCAGTTGGTAGCTTCTTTGGCACTTCATTTGACTGGTAAATGGTCAATGAAATTACATGCCTTTGGAAGAGTCGGTATATCCGTGGATTTGAAAAATGAAGTTTTTTTACACACGCCATGTAACATTTTTTCCATCTCAAATGGCCCAATTGGTTGCTAATCTGCAGTCTTTAACCAGATTTGTGGCAGAATGACGGTTGGTTTTTTGCCGGTTTCACCTGTTTGATCTCTGGTTACATGTGGCAGGCGCCCCTGAGGGCTGCGGAGCCGCAAGCCGCGCAGGCCTCTTTGCCGGCACAGGCGGGGAGTGGAAAATATGCTGTGAGTACCAGCATTTCTATCTTGCTCGTACCTGATTATACCTGATTTAAATGGTGAGTTAATATGAGTTAATCAATTAATCAAGATGGTTTTGCTTTCGACCAGCAAAGGTTAGGATCAAACTTGATTTAAGCAAGAAAGATTGGATTTTGACTAGAAAACAATCAGGAAAAGTGCAAACATGGTGGAATCCAGCGAAGAGCTTGGAATGCAACAGATCATGGTGCTTACCGTGCTTACCCCCTGGACAACACGTGGATTTAGCTGATCTTCTTGGTTTTCACCAGAGGGAAATGGTTGAAATGGATCGAATCATATCGAATCCCCCGAATTTTCACCACTGTCCTCAATCTCTGAAAAGGACCCAACCATTCGCGAACGCGCTCCTGTTGCAAAGCTCGACGTCCCAGCTGCAGCTATGGTCCAGATGGGTAAACCGATGTTTGGGGAAGAAAATGGTTGTGGGGTGCCACACATTTAGGAAACTCAATCTTCCAATCGCGGAACGGGGATTCTATTCAAGTTTAAACGCGTAAAAAGACGACGGGCCATGTGAACCCTTGTAATCGCAGGGGGTAGAATGTTGAATGTAATATGTCTTTTTTTGTTTAGCATTTCTGTAGCATGTCAAGGTATCTACCAGCAAATGCGCAAGAGTAGACCCAACCATTCCGCACATGGGGTAAATCCATTCAACTGCATATATATATATATTCTTATACTACATATTACTACATAATATATTATATATATATATATATATATTAATTTCTATTATATATATATATATTATTTATATATCTCTATATATATATATATATATATATACGTCTAAAAGAAACGGAAAGCTACCGGGATATGGCGTTGTAAGGTGAACCCAGGGTTGCCAGAAGCCAGTGCCGTCAGGTGGCGCAAAGGCCCGGCGGCGCTGCCGGCCTCAGGCAGGGGGTCTGGTGGTGGAAAAATCGTTGAGAAATGGTGGATGAAGCAGCAAAAACTATGGCACAAACGCTGGTGAAAAAAAGGAAAACTGGGCTTTAGATGGCCATAAAAAACTGGTTATGACTAACATAGCCATGCAGCCATGGAAAATAGATGGCCCTAGTCGAAATAGATGGTTTACCGTTCTTAAAAATTGTGATTAAATATCTGAAAACTGGTTGGTGGTGACTGGAACATGAATGGATGATTTTCCATTTCATATTAATGGGATGTCATCCCAACCCCATTGACTTTCACTCCATCATTTTTCAGGATGGTGAAAACCAGCAACCAGTTATGGTCGACTCATCGACATCTGTTGGGGGGGAACTGACCTGTTGAAACGAAGGATTCTACCGATTCGACCTTCCAATATCTGGGTCCCAATGAGGTTTGAGCTTGAGCATCATTGACATGGGTATGGGTCAATACCTATAGATACATTTTTAGTGGGATGAACATCCATAAATCCCAGCTATTTTGATGTGAACTACAGGGGTACAAGGTTTTGACCCATCCCCACATGTAAGAACTCCAAAAGTCAAGTCATTGCTGACATGGCCTGACAATCCGATGGTGTCGGACAGAGAATGACCAATTGTTTCTTGTCGGTTTATGTGTACCCAGTTTTAGATCGCCACACATGTATTTTGTTCGCCGAGATCGCAAGACTGCAGTCCTTTGTTTCAATTTTTAACAACGTTTGAAGTGTTAACTGATCTGATTCAGCGATGGCCGTCTCATTTTGTTTGTAGTTGCCTGCAAGACAAAGCCGGCTTTCCCAGCTTGAAACAGACCTTCAAACTGTTTGATTCATGCTGATTCTGACCTTTGGAAACACCAACATGCAGAGCCTGTTTTATCATGTAGGCCCGCACACCAATGTCCAGCAGTGGAATGTGTGTGTGTGCCTCCTTCATCCCCCAAAAATAAAAGGCCAGGAATCCAAGAATCACTGAGACCTGTAGGAGACAATGAAGTGGTGATTGGTAAATGGCCTGCAACGAGCAGCCACTGCAGATTGGTAAATGCAATGGATCCAGGCAGCATCTCAAATTATTCCAACACCAACAGACACGTGCCACATCGTTGGTCGACTTGTGCATGCCGGCTGTGCATGCTGCTATCTGATGGCTGAAGAGGAGCCACTCAGATGGCAATGATGGGGGTGCAACCTGACAAGAATGGACCAGTTGATATCGAGGTACCATCAAGTTAGGGCTTGAGGTTCAATTGTTTTGTTTCCCTTCTTGGTAAGATGATGTAAGGTGATTAATTTGGGAAAAGGATGTTGGAGATACTCGTACATTGAACTGGCCAGGTATCTATGAATCATAGAATCCATGTCAATATCACTCATATGCTTTCGTCTTGGGTTCCTGCTGGGCAACCCCACTCCTGGCGTGTGCGGTTTTCAATCCTTTTCCACACTTCGAGTCAAAGTTTGTTGGAGGGGAGGTCAACAGATTGACTTCTGGCCATTTTCATTCAGGTAGGGCTAGCCAAAAAATATATGCTGCGTGACTAGGAAGAGCTTAAGATCTAGCCAATATCGTGATTGGCAGGAGAAGGGTGACTTTGGCTTGACATTTTTTACCATTGGGTAGCTTCACATTTGTTTACGATAAATGGTGGAATCATTCATGCACAGCTAAAATGACTACATGTTGCAGAGTCTCTACGACCACAGGATCTTTGCAAAAATTGTTCCTATGGTTAATTCTGCAATGATTAGTAGCAGAGTTTTATGGTGAATCCCAGTGAATCCAAGGTACAGATGGTGAGTTATTTGCTGCTTGAATTCCTTCATATTGCCATTGACATTGCCATTCACATGCCATAGTGATCCATATAGCGATCCATAGTGATCCATAGCAATCCATAATGATCCATGATCCATAGCAATCCATAGTGACCATAGTGACCATAGTGTTGATTGGTTCTCCCTCCCCAATTTCCAGCCCCAAGGTGCGTCAGCCAGCTGCGCAGCTGGTTGGAGTCGCAGGGCGCCCGCCTTGGGTCGCTGCGCATCGCGGCGGCCCAGGACGGTCCCACGGCGGCCGAGGCGCGGCATCAACCGGAAAACATCCGGAAACCACGGGGAAAACCACGGGGAAACCATGGATTTTCCCATTGAAATATGATGAAATATTGCGAAATATATTAAAAATATGATGAAATCTTGGGGATTTCCAAGGTGAATTTTCCCTGAAGCCAATCCATTGATCATTTTAGTAGTTTGGTTCAAGAGAGCTAGCTAAGCCCGACATCAGCTAGAAATCGATGGACACGAGGGGATGGTTGCTGGTCAAACCACCATGATTTTTTTGCAAATGTACTCCACAGTTTTTGGTGAAACATCCAAAGGTTAATCAGTGTCCTGAGAACATAGCCATGTTTCATGCTGAAATGTCCAAAGTTTTCTGATAGAACACAATTGTTGGCGGTAGAATCTCTAATGTTTCCTGATCAAAACAGATCAAAACATATCAAAACATATCAAAACATATCAAACCTCAGTTTTTGCTGCTGAAAATCCGCCCATCTCCACCCCAACTTCCTTAGGAGCGTGGCGTCTACGCCACAGAGAAGATCAAGGTGGACGAGGTCATTGCCGAGGTGGGTTTCTCCCATACCCCAATGACTTGCCATAGACTTACCATACATCATATATGTATCCTCACTGACTTGCCATATTATCCCATCAATAATATCCCATTGGTTATCATTATCCCATATGATAATATATGATAATGTTGTTTAATGATATATCAATGGTATATGATCAATGAATAACATCTATACATGATCATTATCCCATCAACAATATCCCATGAATATGATATATCGTTGTTCAATGTTGTTATTTCTGCTTGTTGATGGCAGATCCATCACATATATATAGGTCAAGTCATTGGAGACCTGAATCTTCAGGTGGTCGAAGAGGAGCCATGAGCTGTGCGGTGGAAACATGCAGCTGGTATGCCCACACCCCGAAGATTTAGACTTAGTTGTTTCAAATGCTGGATATCCTTATTGTTTATCTCGAAATATATTCAAGAACTATCAACACCTAACTCTTGCTTAGAGGTATCCCCAATATATTTTCAGTATTTACGCTTGTAGTTGTTGGGTATCCTCGTTGGCCATCGATCCATGCCAGGTTCCACAGAGCTGTGTTCTCAGCGCAGAGCGCGCACGCGAGAGTCCTGTGGGGAAAGCCTTCCTGAAGATCTTCCCAGAGGAAACCACGGACGCGTTGGTTGTCGTTGGGGTTTTGAGTTTTTGCATAGCCATTTGCATCCACATTGACCCCTCATCGTGTCACATATTTCTTGCAGAAATGCAATATTGTGTGTATCATTACAAATCAGGAAATAGTTCGAATCATCCACAAAATCATAGTCTGCGTATTGAACGAACAAACTATAGTATTTCCACATATTTCTGGACAAAATCATAGTGAATCATAGTGTGGATTGAACAACAAAGCTAGTATTTCCACTTGCTGCATGGCGAAAAATCCCGAGGACAAAGCTCGCGACAAATGGGTTTTCCTACTGGACCTGTTGGCGGCGCGTGTGGATGCAACACACCCCGCGTCCCCTGGGCGAAACTTCGGAGAGTTTCCGACAAAGGGCCTTAAGGGCTGATGAGCCAAACTTTGGGATCGTGAGATATGTCGTAAAGATATGACAAAGATCTACTGAGTTGCTAGTCAAGTGGCTATGCAAGCCGCAAGTCGTAGTTCAATCCACCCGGTTTTTTTTTGTAGAATCTTGTAGATATGTCTTCATCATATCCCCATAATTTGCTCCAATTTCGGGCTATTTCTCCCCATCAACCAGCAACTTTTGGGTTTTTCAAACCACCCAGGCACGTGTACCTTGCCGCCTTGCCACGTGAGTCTCCAACTCCTATGTCGTGGCCTGCGAACTTGCGTCACTGGGCGCAGGGCTGCGTTTCCCCAACAGGTCAGAAGGGTTCAGACTTATGGCTATGACCTGGTTAATTCTAGTTATATATTGTGGGAAATGTATGGATATGTGTGATATCCTCAGTTACCCTCTGGTAAACTAACATAACTATGGAAAATCACCATTTTTAATGGGTAAATCCACTATTTCTATGGCCATTTTCAATAGCTATGTTTGACATAACCAGAGGGTATCTATTTTTTGGGGATAGTGAAAGTTGTTATCATGTTGTTATCCACTTCCCTCATTGGGCAAATTCAAGGCGCAGCCCGTCTGGGTAGGTCCGCATCCTGCCGGGGTGCTTGTTTAATGCAAGCGTTGGGAGTTGGCAATCCAAAATTCAGATTTTTTGAGGAGTTGTGTCTCGCAGATTTTCTCAGCAACCACCTTCAGCCCTTGAGGATTGTTGTGAGTTGTAAACTGTTCGGGGTCCCAAACAGATAGAAGTGCGTTTCCAGGATGATTTTGATTGCAGCATGGTTCACGCTAATAATTTCCAGACGTCTAGACATGTCTAGACGTTCGATCGATTTTTGGAAGTTGCCAAAGAGCATGTTTCAACTTACCCTCTGGTAAACTAACATAACTATGGAAAATCACCATTTTTAATGGGAAAATTGTTAAATTACCAGAGGGTATCTCTCAGTTGTCCAATATGTTCTTCACGGTGCACGCCAAAGGCGCGATGCTTGCGGGGACCAATTTGGGTGCAGCGGTGGACGAAGAACGAGAACAGCTGCTTGGCGACCACAGCGGTGGTGTTTGCCAACGGATGATCGAAGTTGCTACAACTTTTGGCTTGTCAGAAATGTGGTATACCCCAAGTATCCCCCAAGTCAAGTCATGGCAATAAAATATCATAAAATCCTGCGGGAACTTGATGATAAACTGATAAACCATGAGATGCTTGGCTTACCCTTAATATGTGCTGGACAAAGCTGGGATCCAGGTGGACATGGGAATCATGCAAGCCATGTGACCATGTTTGTTGCTTTTTTGTCAACATTGAACAAACCTATTCTTGGGGTAAGAGCAATTTTGAACATATGTAAGCCATGCGGTATGAACTATGTATTGGTGCAATGTAGTTCTGCAGCATTAAACAAAGATTTTGCCCATGTGAGATCAAAGTGTTTCAGCCATGTGGTACCCTCTGGTAATTTGTACAAAAGGCTATGGAAAATCACCATTTTTAATGGGAAAACTCACTATTTCAATGGCCATTTTCAATAGCTATGTTAAATTACCAGAGGGTATCTGATCTATTCATAGCTTCCCAATGTTTTCCTATTTGGATCGTCCTGTTCTACTCACAGGAGAAGTCACGCAATTTGCGACCCAACTCTGGATCTGGATGTTACCATCGTTTGAACCAAAAGGAGGATAGACACACCCCAAGAGTCCATGTTTTAAAAGCTCAGTACAAGTGACCTTTTACTTACCTGTATAATCTCTTGATTTTCTTTACATCCACATCCAGTATGTCAGCCTTTCTATATTTCTTCAGGACATTCTTTCTGTGTTTGTTATGATCAGTTCCTGTTGTGCCGGCACCAACGTGTCATGACTCATGACCCAAAATCACCTGAGGCTGGAGAGCCAATTCGCTGCCATGATGCCAAAGTTGCAGGCAGCACATCCTGAGCTGTTCAGTTCCTCGGCTTCGGGGGGGGCTCCGTTGAGAATCAACGGTTGTGGATGGGGAAGGAATCGACATGAGAAAAACACGCGACATCACTGAAAAAAAAACGCTTGTATATAAGGGGAACTCTCCCAGAATGGCCTTATTAAAGGCTGTTGAACTATTGCTATTTACCCATCTGTAGTGAATTGCTTCAAGGGTCGGATATCCAATGGCACCGACAATCACCAACGGGTTGTCACCATGGCGAATCGCCGCCAGTCGTTTGAGGTGAAGACTTCACATTGGAAGCGACTGGGCTGTGAGCCCGGACTGGGTCAGTTTCCTGGGCAGCTGTTGAAACCCCAAATATCTGGGCTTTTTGAATGATAAAGGTCCAATTAAATATATAGCTATCAGGTAATAAGTCCCTTTTTTAATCACCCAAGGTTAGCTATCAGGCAAAAGTCCAAAAAAACTCTGAATATCAAGTGTGACCATGTGTGACCCCAAAAATCAAATCTTGAGCATCCAGAAAGTCAATGTAAGACTTCTCGTTCAAACACGTAGATACGCGCGTATTTAAATTTAGATACTTAGTTTCTCTGTTTTAATGTTCAATCTATCGAAGACTATCTAAGTTTGTCCGTTTGGGCATGGTTTGGGTGTGTGGCATGTGGTCTTGTTTTCCAACGATCGACCTCCAGCAGCTAAGAACTTCCTCTGGGCGCATGGCATGTGGTTTTCTCGCCGATATCCTACAGCGATGGCGTCCTTTGACAAAGACAAGGACTACAGTCCGGCAACACAGGGCCATCAGGGGCGATGCAGATGGGGTTCTCTCAAAATGGGAAGACAACTCCTGGCCATCAAATAATGACATAAGGGCCAGATGTTCAGACAACCCTAGATGGCTGTGGGTATTCTAGTCCTAGCTGTACCATGCAAAGTACCGAGCCACAGGCTGCTGGAAACCATTGAAAGCGTCACATCTTGCTGAGAAGTCCGGTTACGATGTTACTATGCAGCCTGTATAGCCTCTATAGCCTCTATAGCCTATAGCTATACCCAACGGCCTGACATCCCAAACAATCCCAACTGGTTGGCCTTCAAGGTGCTATTAAACTTATTAAACCAGATGATTCCAGGGAACGGCATGTTTTATCAATGGCTTATTTCAGAGATTTAGCGACGCGAAGAGTTTCCCATTCTTGTTCGAGGACTTGTTTCAAGTTGTTTAAGCCCAAAGTATCCCGCCATGTTGGTGGGTTTCAAAAATCACACATCCACATAGTCCTTACCTTCCCAGAACAGCTCTAGATTTCCTGATTTACAACTACCAAAGCAGACATGGTTCATTATGTTTTTATATTTGAGTAGTTTTAAAAATGTTGTAGAGATTTCTGGGATTCTTTGTGTTTCCATGTGTGTTTCCATGTGTGTTTCTATGTTTCCATGCTCTTCCCAGCTATCCCCTGGCCGAGGTTGGCAGCGCAGAGCTGAAGAAGATCTGGAGGAGGAATCGGATGGCGAAGGGGCGCTGGTGCCGCTGCTTGAAGCGAAGCCATTGGGGGGCGGATGATGGGCACCAGGTTGGGAAAAAATGAGATTTGAACCAGGGAAAAATAAGGTTGGGACCTGCAAGACTTGAGTTTTGCAAAAATATGGGAACTAAAATTGGTGAGCCAAGAAAAGCTGGAACTTGAATGAATAACGGATGGTAAAACGACTTGGGTGTTTTGGGGGTTCAAAATTTTGAGACACCACTAGATATAGCCTCAAGGTTCTGTTACACCATGGCTCCAGATGCTAAATTTCACGCTATCTACCTTTTGCAGGGCGTCTACAAAGTGGCTCCCCCAGCTAAGTTTGCTGGCTCCGCGTCACGTATTCAACTGGAGTGATGAATTTATCCACAATTCAAATCCAACAGTAGTCACTATGATAGGGTTTCTGAGGTGGTAATTGAATATCAACAAGGATTTGACCAACTGTTGATTTGAGGTAAAAATTCTCTCGTTTATTGATGTTTATTGATAACTCCAGTTCTGAGTGTAGTTATCAACTGGAACCCACCGCAACCAGTGTCAGCTTGGCCATGTTGAGGTTCATGGACTTTACGAACCACCGCAGCGGCACCAAGATCGTTGCTGGCTTCAAAATGGGACCAGAAAATCGCCGGGGCATGATAGGGGATTTAGCCATCAAATATGGATTCAACATCTTTTGACATTAATAAAAGACTGATACAATTAAAATAAATGATAGTTATAAGATGTTATCAGTTATAAGACATGAATCCACAGCAAGGTGCGTAGACAACGAGAACCATAGCATGATGCGGATTTTGGACGGTTACGCCTGAATTCTACTGATGCTTTTTGACGTGCTGGAGGAGTACCAAAAATTAGTCACAACAGAACTGATGTGTATTACCAGAGTGGAGCGTATCTATTTGTACATTACATATCATATAATGTCAACCCTGGATTAATAAACCCCTATGTTGTTTAATTGGGGGGATCCCATTTAAGTATCATAGTGTGACTATTTGGAGGGTACCCCCACAATTGATAAACCATGGTTTATTAATCCAGGGTTGACATTATAGCATAAATATGGATATCATAGCAGCGTGGAAAAGTGTCCCTTTCTTGCTGCTTAAATCATCTTAAGTCAGTTATAGAAATCGCATAATTTTTGGAATGGAAACTGCGTGTGAGAATTTCATGCATCCCTATTTATCCAATTCTCAAATGGAAATACTTCCACTTTTGCTTTGACTACTACCCAACGGGTGTAGTCCAGACTACTACCCTCCGGGTGTAGTCTAGGAATCTTGAAGAACCTGCATCTGGGCCGGACCGAAGCCCTTTAGATGTCAAGTGGCACAAAGGTGCGTCAGCTGGCAGCGAGGTGGCTGCTTGGAGTTTTGGGGAAACTTGGTTTTGTTTTTTGGGTTGAAACATTCTTTTTCCGGTTGGAGTCGAGATCTCGGTTGCTGTTCAGGGTTCCAGGACGGTTCACTTGTTGGCATTGGGAGGCTTCAGGAAACACAGGTTATGAGCCCAAGGAGCTTGTGTAAACCCCCAAAGACTTCTGACATGATGCGTAGACGTAGACCGGATGGCGGTGCTGTCGATGGATCTGGCGCTGAGCAGATGATGGCAGCTGGCGCTGAGCAGATGGCGGCAGCTGGCGCTGAGCAGATGGCAGCGGCTGGCGCAGTGCAAGCGGCGGCAGCTGGTGATCGGCAGATGGCGGCTGCGGGCGCTGAAGGCGATGCAGCACAGGCGCTTGGGGCGAGAGGAGATGCAGCTGAGAGAGGCCTGGAACTGGTTGGACAAGAACTTGTACCAGCTTCTCAAGCCTTGGCCTTGAGGACACCGGATGGGTTGGAGAAAGGGCGAGGGTCAGACGCTGCAAAGGGCTCTAGGTCACCAAGGGCAGCCACAGAACCAGTTAGCCAGGGTCAGAAGTCAAAGGAGGGTTCAGTCAGAGGCCAAAAAGGAACCCCAAAAGAAATAGAACCAGAGAAGCGTCAAGAGATGGCAACACCCAGTGGACAGCCAGTTTCACTAGGTCCCCATTCCTTTGTGACACCAGAGGGACAGGTCCAAAGTATGTTGCCACTTTTTTCACCAGAGCAGACGGTGAAACTTCATGAGATCCACCAGATGCCTTTTGCATCGCCTGCGGCTTCATGGAATGGTCCTGCGGTTGGAGAACATGGACACGGGGGAGCTGAGCGACAAGCAGTTCCAGGTTGGTTCACAGGGTTGCTTCAATCAGTAGGATCTCAGCAAGGTGAACATGAGGCGAGGCAAAGGGATTACATGTGGAGAATGCAAGTTGAGCATGGCATAGAACATCTAGGGGTTCAGTTGCGTGCGGCACAGCATGAAAACCAAAGACTTCGTCAAGAGCGTCAAGAGTTGTTGGAAGCCTTGGAAAAGAAGGGATCGTCGAGGTTTACCACACCAGATGACAAAGCAGCCAACATGTTAAAAAAGGAGGAAGGGGCAGAGTCCCGGCAAGAAAGACCTTCCAAGGAGGAAGGGGCAGGTGCCCGGCAAGGAACACCTTCTAAGGAGGAAGGGGCAGAGGCCCGGCAAGACAGATCTTCTCAGGAGGATGGGGCAGAAGCCCGGCAAGAACAGTCAGAGAGCGATTCGTCTTCTGAGGAGCCGCAAAGAGCAAGCAGGCCAAAGGAGAGCGTTGACAAGCAGTCCATGAGGATCATGCTCAAGTTGATGGAGGGCATGCAGGAGCTTCAGAAACAGATTGTGATCTCCAAGGAGGAAGGAAAAGGTGATGAGATTGAAGTGGTGCGCTATGTGGCGGATCTCCCAAAACTTGCTGAATGGAATCCGGAGACGGCGCCCATCGATTTTGGTGATTGGGTGATTTGTCTGCATCCTCATATGGCAGACTTGAGCTCAACGAGTGAGATGTGGTGGGACTTGACCCTCTCAACAGCGAGGACTTGGTATGATCACCACATGAAGCTATCGCCAATTGAGAGGTTGACGAGCACACCAAGGCCTACACCAGAGTTGCAGCAGAAGAAGTGGTCCCGGCTGGAAAGAAGGGCTTCGTCCTTGCTCTTGAATGCGTTGCCGCAGACGATGAAAGAGGAGGTGATTGCGGCGAAGTCCATCACAGCTTTGGGCATTTTGTCTCGTGCGATGCTGCAGTTTCAACCTGGAGGGCTGACAGAGAGAAGCGCTATTTTGACGGCGCTGGAAGCACCTATGGAAGCTGCAACCGTGGGTTCAGCCATCCAACAGCTGAGACGTTGGATGAGATGGAAGCGCCGGGCCCTTGAAGTTGGAGTTTCAATTCCAGACAGTTCAATTTTGATGAAGGGATTGGGACGTTTGGTGAGGAAAATTGTTTCCAGTTACCCAGATCTCAACTTCCGCTTGTCGTTGGTCAAGAGCTCATTGTTGGTGGAGACAGTTCCAACGTTGGAGACAGTGACCCAGTACAGCGAACACCTTCTTGCAGAGCTGGAGCAGATGGGACAGCAGGCAAAAAGGAAGGAAGTGATGGCAGAGAGCCAGCCAAAGGTGAAGAAGTTTGAGGAAGCCTCGGGAAGCAAGCCTGAAGAAAGGACCAGGCCGAAGGGGAAGCCTCAAGAGGAGTTTGAAGGGAGGAGGAAACCATGTAGGTTTTACCTCACAGACTCAGGTTGCCGAAGAGGTAGAGGATGTCCTTTTGGACACCAGTTGGATGGAGAAAGAAGGTGTTGGACATGTGGAGGAAAGGACCATATGGCCACAGCCTGTCCGACCACAGAGGAGTCCAAGCCGAAGGCAGCAAAGTTTGGTTCCAAGACCCCAGAGAAGGATGTGAAGTCCGCTACAACATCTCCTGAAAAGTCCGAGGAGCAGTCTGAGGCCCACGGGTAATGGAGGAGAAGAAACTATGAAGTCGTTGCTGGATGAAGCAAGTCGGATGCTCAAATCAATGAATGAAGGAGATGTCAAAGAAAAGAGACAGAAAGGGGAGGACGCACAAGAAAGGATCTTGGGCCTACAGAAGCAGCTGGATGAGCTCAAGAAGGCTTCTATGCGACCCTTTCGCATCTCCAAGTTGTGCCCAATGGTGAACAAGGGCTTACTGGACTCAGGCAGGGGTTGGTAACTGTCCCATTTTGGGTATATTGGACATCACCTTATAGTAGCCATTATAGACCATATACCTAATGGTTGGGTGATGTTCAATGGGGACATTTAATGACCCATGTCAGGGGCAACACACCCTTTGCGAGCCAAAAGAAAGGGAGAACGTCTTCACCATCTACCAAAGGTCAAGGTGACGCTGGCAGGTGACAAGGAGATCTATATGGCACTCACTCCAACGGGAGTCATTGTGGGCGAAGAAGGCACGGAGCCCATAGTGCCCATGGGATTGCTGACTGCAGTCCTTGGATGTGAAATCTCATGGAAGCCAGAAGGTCTTCAGGTGGTGCACCCAGTGCTTGGCAAGTTGGAGGTGGTGGTTGAAGCTGGATGTCCAATGGTATCACAGTCCACGGCCATGAAGCTCATCGAGGAGATTGAGGCCAAGGCCGTGAAGGTTGTGAAAAGTTTGAAAACGGGGGAGGACTCAGAAGAGGCATGGTTGAGAAGGTTGGTTGATGAACACCCAGCTCTTCAAGGAATCCCTGAGGAGGTAAAGAGAAGCTTGGTGGAGAAGCCTGCAACGGACATCCTACCGTTGGGAAACAGAAGAAGAAGGAAACTTTGGAGGGCGAAGGGTATGATGATTCATGCCTTTTCGGGAAAGAATGAAGGCTACACATTGGGAAGGGCTTTTCATGAGATTGGAGGTGATCGTCGGTTGATGTATGAGTTTGACATCACCCATGGAAAGCCTGAAGCAGATCTTTCACCTGAAGGTGAGGCCTACCCGCTCTTGTTGAGGGCAGCTTTGGATGGATTGGTGAAGGGTTGGATAGCCGGGCCACCATGCAGGACCAGATCGGTTCTCAGACATCTTGAAGTTCCAGGGGAAGCCATGCCGAGGCCTCTGAGAAGTTGGAATGGAGGGGAGTTTGGCATAGAAGGGCTTTCGAACTTTGAGAAAGAGCAGGTCACCTTGGATGACACGTTGCTCATGCGGTTTTTGGTTCTCTACATTGTGTCAGAGACGGTGCGCAGAGCAGCTGGGCTAGAGACACCCACCACTTTGATCCTGGAGCAGCCTGCCTCACCTGAACACAAGCCTGAAGTGGTGTCGCTTTGGAGAACACCTCAATGGAAGAGCTTGGCCGAGATCTATGAGCTGCAGACCCAGCGTTTTGAGCAGTCAGAGTTTGGGGCCATAGCTACAAAGCCAACGACTATAGGAGGAAATCTGCCACTTCAAGTACCACTTCAAGGAAAGAAAGGGCAACCACGTGATGTCTCTGGAATGACCAAGGCAGAGATCTGCGAATCGTCCAGGAGATTGTCACGGTGGCCACCCTTGATGATGAGGTCCATTGCTGTTGCTCTCCAAACCTGCACCATGGGCGAAGAGGTCAAGTTACGGGCAGTTTCATGGCAGGAGCACATTGCAGCAGGCCATACTCCTTTTAGAAGAGATTGCAGAGTGTGCCAAGAGGCCTGTGCGCGTGATGCTCATCATCGGCGGCAGAAATTGCCACCAAAGGCGGGTGTCCTTAGTGTGGACATCTCAGGACCTTTCAAAGAAGCACCTGATTTGCAGAAGAAGAAGGCGAAGTATCTCCTGGTAGCCAGCTTCACTTGGACAGCCAGGAACCAAGATGGAGAGGAGGAGGTTGAGGAGATACCTGAAGTTCCCCCAGATGCGCCGGAGATTGAGGATCCAGAAGCAGAGGAGGAGCTACAGCAGATTGCAGATCAGGTTGAAAACCCAGAAGAAGGCCCAAAGGAGGACACATCAGAGGAGCTTGAAGAAAGAAAGCCGGTGAGGATTGAGGTCACCAAGCTTTGCGAGCCTTTGGCATCAAGGAGCCAAGAGGATGTGTCCAGGGCGATCATCAACATGTACATGCGTCTGAGAGCAGACGGGTATCGAGTGACACAGCTGCATAGCGACAGAGGAGCTGAGTTCAGATCGAGGATTTTGGAAAAATGGTGCCTGTCACGCACCATCCTTCAGACGTTTACGCCTGGGGATCAGCCCCAAATGAATGGACGTTGTGAAGCGATTGTCCAGCACATCAAGGCAGCCATCAGGCGGACACTTCATGGAGCTGAAGCACCTTTTGATCGCTGGCCAATTGCAGCTCGCTTCATCAATGAGAAGTTGCGACAGAAGCAGGTTGACAAGGAGAAAAAGACACCGCCTTTTTTGGCGCAAGTTTTGGTCAGAAAGAGGTTTTGGAGATCACGAGAACTGGAACCAACACAGGAGAAGGTCACTTACCTATGTCCTTCTTGGGTTCATCATGGGCATTGGATTGAAAGGGCAGATGGAACTCAGGCGCTGACGAAGATGGTCATGCAGGGCTTGAGTGAACCACCAAAGTTGGAGGATTGGATTGGAGTTGAAGATGCCTTGAACCCAATCGAAGAGAGGAGAAGAATCAGACACAAAGCGTCCATATACATGCTGGAGGTTGAGGACGCCGCGGAAGCAGATGAACTTGAGAACCAAGAAGGAGATGGCAGATCACCAAGTTTTGAGGAGGAAGAAAAGGATGCATGGGCCAAGAAACAAAGGGTCCAACGTTTGATAGAGGAGGAGATGGTTGAGGCCATGGAAGATGATGAGAAAGTTGCTGGCATGGTGCTGGATTCCATCACCATGGTCAAAGAGTTGATTGGACCTGAGAAAGGAGAAGAAGTTTTGCAGACACGCATTGTGTCACAAGCTGAAGTTCGCCGTTCCATTGAGGTTTGGAGGCCATCCATCGAGAAAGAGCTGACCTCCTTGTTTGAGACGAAAGGGGCGCTGAGAAAGATCACAGAAGCTGAGGTGAAGAAGCTGCTTGACGAAGATCGAGCAGAACTTATCCCTAGCAAGCTGGTCTTCACAGTCAAGCCAGATCAGACCAACAAGGGTGGCAAGAAAAAGACACGATTGGTGGCTTGTGGGAACTTCTCAGAAAGAGAAGAAGGGCAAGATCTCTTTGCAGGCGGAGCATCAGCAGTGGCACTTCGAGCTGCATTGACGGTGGCATCACAATTTGGTTTTGAAGGGAGCGTCATGGATGTGAGGACAGCATTTTTAAATGCTCCAATGGTTTTGTCCGGGTCAAAGGATGAGAATGGGGAGAAGATGGAGCCTAGAAGAGCCATCATCCGCCCTCCTGCTCTTCTCATTTTGGCTGGATTGGCCAAGCCAGACGAATTCTACGAGGTCATCATGGCCCTCTACGGCTACAAGGAGTCACCCAAATTGTGGTCAGACTACCGTGATCAGGAGATTGCAAAGATGGAGTTACCATGCGAGGGTGGCATTTTGACCTTGCAGCAAATGATCACGGAGCCAAACATGTGGAGAATGATGCTGAAGCAACCAGGTCCCAACTTGCAGACGAATGAGGAAGAGTTTGTGGGACTACTTTTGGTCTATGTGGATGATCTTCTGGTCCTTGGTTTTCCCTCATCCATCGCTGCAGTCATTCAAGGGGTGCAGGCGAAATGGGAGACATCGGAGCCAGAGACCATCAACATGCAGAAGGAGGTGAGATTTTTGGGCGCGGAGCTATGGAGAAGAGAAGATGGAGCCTGGTTGATGACGCAGACAAACTACATCAAGGACTTGCTGAAAAGAAATCTTGGAGCAGATCCCACTACGTGGCCGACTAGAAAGATTCCTTTGGTGAAGGAGCCCGAGGTCATTGAAGGTGAGGAGAAGACTCCAATGGCAGTCAAAGAAGCCCAGCGAGTCATTGGTGAATTGGTTTGGATCACTGCCAGGTCCAGGCCTGATTTGGCTTTCACTGTCTCCAAGCTGGCGTCATTGATCACAAAGTCACCTATGCAGGTTGTGCAGTTGGTGAAATCAGTGTGGTACTATTTGGCAGCCACCATGGACCAAGGTTTGATTTTTCAGAACAACATGGGCGAGAAGCAGCTCAATGTGTACACGGATGCATCATATAGCGATATCTCATTTGGATGCCATTTGATCCTTTGGGGATCGTCGCTGTTGCTCTGGAAGGCTGGCAAGCAGCCCATTCAAGCTGCATCGACGGCCGAGGCCGAACTTGTGGAGGTTCTTGAAGGAGCATTGGCGGGAGATGCTGTCAAGGTCGTTTTGGAGGAGGCATTGGATGTTTGTGCTAGGTCATTTTCCTACACAGACAGCTCAGCGGCATTAGCCATCATTGCCGGAGATACTGGATCTTGGCGGACACGCCATTTGCGGAAAAGGGCCTTCATTTTGCGCTCAAGAGTTTTGTCTGGGGAATGGATGCTCCGGCATTTGCCTGGAGCTGAGATGCCAGCTGACCTGGGCACCAAAGTTTTATCGGTGCAGAAGTTCAACCAGCACAAAGAAACCATGGGCATGTTTTTGGAAGGTTGGAAAGTTTTGGAAAAGATAGAAGACGGAGAACAGAATGAAACCACTTTTGGGATGACACAAGAAGCACGTGAGAAAGCGTTGAAGATCATCATTTTGGTGACAAAATTGGCGCTTGCAGGAGCATCGAATGAGGAGAAAAAAGAGATTTCAAATGCTTTGGTCATTCAAGACCTCAATCCAGTTTTGCAGCAGAGAGACGGTCAGTTTTATTTCATCATGTTTGTGGCTGTGATCCTTTTTGCCGGTTTCATCATTGGAGCATGCGTCATGGGCATTTTCATGTGGCACAGAGTTGACAAGCTCACTGTTGTCAAATACAAAGGTTCATTGCTGAACGTGCCTGCGTTTTTGTGGCATGCGCCAGAAAGAGATGAGGATGAAAGAAATCAGCAGCAACGTGATCCAACTGTCAGGCCAAATTGGTTGCCTTCTACGGCTGCTGGCGCTGCGGGCGCTTCACCTACGGCTGCTGGCCGTGCTGCTGGCGCTGCGGGCGCTGGATCTGCGGCTGCTGGCGCTGCAGGCGCTTCATCTACGGCTGCTGGCCGTGCTGCTGGCGCTGCAGGCGCTTCATCTACGGCTGCTGGCCGTGCTGCTGGCGCTGCGGGCACTTCATCTACGGCTGCTGGCTGTGCTGCTGACGCTGCTGGCGATGGAAATACGGCTGCTGGCCGTGCTGCGGGCGCTGCATCCACAGCTGCTGGCAGTGCTGATGGCGCTCCAAGAAGTTATGGAGCAGCTGGCATTCCTAGCGCTGCAGCTGGCGCGGCAGATGGCGGCGCAGCGGCGCGTGAGCCGGCGAACATGTTGAGATCAAGAGGATCTCGTTCCCAAAGAGGACCAAAACCCCTTTTCACCACGCCATTTGGTGGAAGATACCACTGTGACCGTGAATGCCATGGTCTTAGACATGCCAAGGAAGTTTGTCTGACGCCACGATGTCACAGATGTGGCCCACAGTCAGACGTTCCCCAACATAGGCTGTATGCGATCTCACATGGATATGCACTTCATGTTGATTATGAGCATTGTCGTGATGCGGGATCCAATGGTCCACTTCGGGCCTTCAATCCATGTGCGATTTGCTGCACTGCAGATGATAGACTTGTTTAGAGGGCTTGAGCTGAATATGTGGTCAGTGGAACTGATCACATAGGGGGAGTGCGTGTGAGAATTTCATGCATCCCTATTTATCCAATTCTCAAATGGAAATACTTCCACTTTTGCTTTGACTACTACCCAACGGGTGTAGTCCAGACTACTACCCTCCGGGTGTAGTCTAGGAATCTTGAAGAACCTGCATCTGGGCCGGACCGAAGCCCTTTAGATGTCAAGTGGCACAAAGGTGCGTCAGCTGGCAGCGAGGTGGCTGCTTGGAGTTTGGGGGAAACTTGGTTTTGTTTTTTGGGTTGAAACATTCTTTTTCCGGTTGGAGTCGAGATCTCGGTTGCTGTTCAGGGTTCCAGGACGGTTCACTTGTTGGCATTGGGAGGCTTCAGGAAACACAGAAACTATATGAAAAGAGAACTAAGCACCCCATCCAAAATAGTAAAAAGAATGGCCCAGAAAGAACCCATTATATCCAACTAAATCTTCAACAATATCCCATTCATATTCCAATAAGATCTCCACTATTGTTTGTACTACTATTGTGTACTATTACTATTGTCATCATTCATTATCATCATTATTAATGTCTCATTAATGTCCTAGTCATCTTCATTAGAAGCCCATTAATTCCACCATGCATGGAAACTACAGTAGCTATTGAACTAACTGATGTACAACTCTTACTTGTGGAAACTCATTTCTATATAGGAACTGTTGAACTGTTAACTATAGAAGTCCAATAGAAATTAACTATTGACTATGAAGTCCAATATATTATATCGAAATTGTTTAACTATATTAATATATATATATATGTATATATTAAATTACCTGTGAACTATAATTATATATTAACTATTAACAATTATACGCAACATCTGCGAACATCTATCCATGAACATCTATCAACTGTTAGTAACATTTAGTAACTATGTTTTCTGATTGGGTTACTTATATTAACTATTGGGCACATTACTCATTTCTGATTTCAGCCCTTTCAGAGTCGCTGCAGGTCTGGCGCGCCAGCGCGGAGAAGATCACTTTCGTCTCCAGCGAAGGCGTGGAAGGCGGCGCGGAGGTCTTCAACAACTACGGCGATAAGATGCTTGGGGAAAGTGATGACCCCTGGGTGGGTGGATGTCATGGGATTTGTTCCTGGGATTTGTTCGTGGCAATGGGAATTAATGAGATTCAGAGCTAATGAGATTTTGATGGGTTTCAATGGGATTTAACCATCAGTTACATAGACTTATAGAGGGTTGATGGTGTTTTTGACTATCAAAGATGATTTTTACATGGTTTATACCCAGTTGAATTCCAAGCAGCAAATAGCGTGGCTGAGTCTATGAAGATGTGCATATATATACTATACTATATATATATATACACTATATATATATATACTGTATGTATTTTTTAGTATACAATCTAGATATGTGTTTCCCACAATCTCAAGATTTGGTGCGAATAAGAGGGCTTAAATCTAAGCAAATCTAAGCATAGCAAAAAATCCTGGGTCTTCAGAACAGGGGAATGGGTCAAATCAGGGATCTACACCGGGACAAAACAAATTGTGAATGGATGGCAGTTTTGAACAGAAGGAACCGATACCGTGGAACTGGGAAGATGAGAATCTCTCATGGAATTTCACTACTCAGTCAGGAAAAAGTCGCAATGAAAGATGACGGTTTAGCATGTGGCATTAGTAGATGCATTTGTGACATAGTCTACACCACTGTCCAAAGCTAGTCTTTTTAATTTTGGTTCTAAGAAGGGCCAAATTGAACGGCTGTTGTCGAGCCACAAAAATGAACCTCTGCTTGTTGAGTTTCCGAGCGTTAATAGGTATGTTTTCTTCAGGTCGAGCTCGTAATTTTAAAAAAAAATCCACCAGGAAATCCATCAGTTCATTTTCCAGTCATGTTCTTCAAACCAGCCTCAAGACATCATTGGTTCCATCAGTTTCTGCCGTTTCTGCGGAGGAGCAATGAGGATCTGATGTTGATCCATGGTTTCGCCCTGTTGGACAACATCCATGACACCTATGGTGCGGATGCCTAATCTCATTCGTAGTCCCCCTTTTTTTTGGGACAGCCGAAAAGCTGGGAAATCCCAGCAGTTCACTCTGATTGCAAGCCAGTGACACAACAAAGCTACCAGAATCTTCGGGTCCCACTTCCTGGTGGTTCCCCGCCCAATTTTGGTGATCAATCCCTCCAAAGGGCCCCCCCCGAGTTGTGAAACTATGCGTCCAGCATAAATCCAACGGATATTGTAGGTTTTGTAAAGTGAAAATGGTGATCAAAAACAGTTTGCCCAAGATATTGATATAGATTTTCTGTAGTGATCAACATAAATTCAACAGACATTCTGTAGCTATAAACCACCATGGCCGATCAGCTGCCCCACAACGAGGTTTGTGGCTGACGGTGCAAGTCAGCGACCAGCCGCCTGGAGGGCCCGGAGGGCGCAAGCGCCGCAGGTGGCAAGCAGACTATGCCGCTATGGGTTGAAGGACTTCACTGAATTAACTGGCCAAAATCTGGTTGGTGGTGTGGAACATGTGTTTCCCATATATTGGGAATAATAATCCCAACTGACTAAGTTTTTTTTCAGAGGGGTTGAAACCACCAACCAGAAATTGTTGTTTATCACCAATTAACCAGGAATGAATCAAAAATGATCATGTATATGAAGTTAAACTCTTCGAACCTCAACTAGTTGCGGGTCAAGATTACTGAACCCGCCCCCGTCCAAAGAGAATGAATCGATAACAAAATTGACAAGTTTCGTGAGGTCCTGTTCTACCCCAACTTTAAATCCATTCCCCTTCGTGGAGATTACAAAGAGTTTTTTCGGAGGTGAAGCAAGGCCCAATTATGGCGTTCTTTGGAAACAGGAAACCAGCCATGAAAGGCCATGGCAATGACCTGAAAAAGGAATGCCATCGTTTGACTTCGTAGTTTTCACGCAGATGGCTTTGATTCTGGCATCGAAGAGGATGCATCTCATGGCATTTGCTTTGATGCTTTCAGGTTTATGGATTTTCCAATGGGCTTACTGGCTCAAAATTGGGGTAACAAAACATAACTTAAAACCAAATGATGCTGATATTCCTTTCAAATCTCAATAGCGCCCCCATTTTGTCGGTGGAATATTTCAGCATATGAAACCCATTTGATATCCCATTGTTCGCAGTTAAATCCCAACTGATCATTGATTTTTCGCCCACCTCGCTGGCAAATCCTCCACAAAAACAGTTCGTTCAAAATCCTGCTGGCGAAAGTGCTGGTTAAATCCCATGAAATCTTCGAAATAAGCTCACATTCACAAGCCTCCCAAAAGACATGGGACCAAAAAAACACGGATCTGATGTGTCAGGGCCCTGCGTACCGAGCGCATTGGTCCCTTCCATCTGCGGCGCAAAGATGCCAAGTGGGGAGAAGAACTGCCACGGCGGATGGGGAAAACCTACCTCAATGCCATGATATCGCATGGTTGAGAAAATGATGTTCCAAGAAGAAACTAGAAACTTATGATTTTGGGTACTTGTACTCCGATTTTAGTCACACCCAGCTACGAAGCGGTGATTTATGGTGAATTGAGGAGGTTTGTGCCAGGAAACGGCTATGAAAGATGGGGATGTTCGCTTTGTGACCGCTGAAATCAAGGTCAAATTTTGAGTTTCAAGGAGATCCAATCGTTGGCCTACCGGCAAACACCTATTTTGGGGGCCCCTATAGCTACTGCTGACTTACGGCTCCATCCGGCCATTACAGCCATAGAGCTTTGTAAAGGATGGACACCCAGACTCGTTTCTGATATGAGATGACCGAACTGGTCAAATGTGACCCAAGCCCCTCTCAGTCAGCTGTCAACCATCCCCATACTGGTTGGTGGTTTGGAACATGTTTTATTTTTCCATATATTGGGAATAACAATACCAACTGACTAATATTTTTCAGACGGGTTGAAACCACCAACCAGCATAACATCTTAAATCTTAAATCACCATTCTTGTTGGTCACTTCCCAATGTTGCTGGTGAAATCCCCATTTGCTGGTTGGAATCCTAGATGTTTCCTGAAGTCCATAGGTGGAAACAGTTCCCGGAGGACTTATGGCAGGCTGGGGGCCAGGGCAGGAATGGAACTTGTCAGTTGGTTACTATAGTGGGTTATACCATGGATTGATTGGGTAAGCTCATCTCCCAGTTCATGATAAATTGCATGCGGGTCAAGACCCTACCCTCCAGTTCCCACCAAGATTGCTTGTGCTGATGGATGTTCCTCACCCAAAAATAAACTCAGGTGCTATCCCCAACAGCTTGAGAGCTTCTGCGTTTTTGCCATAAAAAGTGCTTATGCCATAAAATTAAGCGCTTATGAAAGTTAAGTGCTTGTGCCATTAAAAACTTCGGAACCCTTTGGAAATTCACAATTCTTCTCCGCCAAAACCCTCCGGAACCTCACAAGGTCTCTGCACCGGAAACTTCCGGAACATGACCAGGTACCTGCACCAAAACCCTCTAGAACCTAACATAACCTAACCAAGTATCTGCACCGCAACCCTCCGGAACCTCACCGAGCCTGCACCGGAAACTTCCGGAACCTCACAAGGTATCTGCACTCCGGAACCGCACAGAACCCTCCGGAGCCTGAGCAGGTATCTTCACCGGAACTCTCCGGAACCTCACGAGGTATCTGCACCGGAACCCTCCAGAACCTCACGAGGTATCTGCACCAGAACCCTCCGGAACCTTGTCCGCATCCTGGTCTTGAAGCTGCACCGGATCGCACCGGAGCTAAAATCTGGGCTAAAGACCCCATAGCAAAGTTTTGCTGTTGGGGAAGAATTATCTTATATGTTTGACCCATCCGCAATTGCAGATTTTCCATGGTTTATGGTCTGAAAAAGAAGTTTTGACCCATCCCCAATGAACCATGGCTTTTGGATCCAATTGTTGGGAGGCTATTTCCAAGCATCCCAGTTCTTCATAAGCCTGGCTAGGCAAAGGTCAGGCGATGAAACTAAGCAGGTTAGACATCCAATTTCTTCAGTGAATATGATTCCCCAAAAGCATTACCTAAGATTAGCTTAAAATTCAAAAACTGAACAAAGTCATGGTGTTTTTGGGTCAACCTTTGTGGCCCCCCGCGTAAATTTGTCAAACACTTGAGGCACTGGTTCCTGCGAATGCTGGCAACGAGCATTTGAAGGCACTCAGTGGCTTGCTGCGGCAGCTTTTGCAGGACGCAGTCAACCTTTGGTCGGCAATGGCTTAGCCAAAGGGGCTGCAGGCCAGGGGTAGGTAATGGGTATGACCATGGCAATCCATTGGTAATCCATCGGTCCTCAATTGAAATATCGATATTATATGGCCATGATTCTAAAATTTTATCCATAATCGGTATAGTTAGTTATTGGGACAATCCCCATAGGTTGAAATATAGTGCCCATAGTTATGATAATTATGGCACTTTATCGCAATCCCATGAAGTGGAACTGCACCTTGTAGGATCAGGCCATGCTCCGAGCTGCTTGAGGACGCAGCTGCTGAATGGTTCAAGATTTCAGGCATGTCCGTCTCAATGACAAGCTTGACTGTCTAAGGAACAACATGGAGCAAAAAGGTGATATAATGGTGATGCAATGATGATATATTTTTTATAGCTGAGCAGTGTTCAAGGCCCCATGCTGATTGATGATTGTTCAGAGGTTACACTCAGACTATTCAATATGTTGGTGATTATCAGATTATCATAATCTCTTATGGGGATCCCTATGAACCAACCAGTATGATATAACGGAATCATTAGAATTGTGACATGGAATTAAGTTGAAAGACTCTAGTGGTAGTAGGAGTTTTCTCATGTGATGCGTGTTACTGAGTACACTGTGCTGTTCCACAAGTATTTTCCATTTGTTTTCATAGATCGTCCCATGGTCTCGTCATGCAAGTTCTTCATTTCCCTGGCCATCACTATCCTTTGTCTCTACAGTGCCGGCTACCGCAAGGGTGTCCCCAAGTTGTTGGTACAAAGCTGGTCTGAAGCAGATTCGTTGCTTGCCACTGCCACGGCTTCCGCGACGAGTGTTGCTACAATTCAAGGAGTTGCCACAACAGATGCACCAGATATGGCACACCTAACCACACTTCCATATGCACCACGGTTGCCTGCAACGAACGCCCGGAAGGTAAAACGAGTCAAAGACTACGCAGTTTGCGTATCTGGCGCAGTGCGCGCCATGATGATGCAGGAGGTGATGGATTTGTGGTTCAAGAACGTGGTCAATGTCACAATGCATTCACCCAACGGGGCAGATTTTTTCTACCATTTGTTCGTCGGCACTGAACTTAGCAAAAGGGGCCAAAGTGGCCTAAGCAAAGCAGACGCACAAAATCTTTCTTCGGCATTGGAGTACGCAACGCAGTTTCAGTTGCAGTACACCGAAAACCGTTTTACTTGCGACACCATGGCCACTGGGCGATTTTTCAAATTGTCTGAATGTGCTAAGATGATCAGACGCCATCAAGAGCGTGAAAATCTGAGCTACAATTTCATCATCTTTACCCGACCTGACTTGATGTTCTACAAGCCGGCGCCAGATTTCAACCAATGTGAAAAGCCCAGCGGTGGACGTTGGTACATGGGTATGATCCCAGATCTTGAGCCAGATCTGTTCGCAATTTCCGGGGATGCCCTCGATGTTGTCGAGCATGCCGTGCAGGCAGAATCCTGGGTTGACTGATTTTTTGGAACATGTTTTTTGTTTCCAATGGGAATCCAGCATTTGGGGGCTCAGAATTTGCATATAGGTCAGGTGTTACCTCATCGAAGGAAAATCATCATCATCATCATCATCATCAATCATCATCATCATCATCTTCATCATCATCATCATCATCGCCACCGTCATCATCATCATCATCATCATCATCATTGTCGTCGTCGTCATCATCATCATCATCGTCGTCGTCTTCGTCGTCATCGTCCTCGCTCTCGCCATCGCTGTCACCGTCGCGGTCGCCGTCGCCGTCATCCTCCTCGTCCTCCTCGTCCTCCTCGTCCTCATCATCATCATCATCATCATGATGATGTCAACCCACACAGGTTGCAACAGCAGTTGGGAATCTGCTTCAGCAGGCAGGGGAACCAGTAGATCACAGTCAGAGTCAGGGAGGGTTTTTATTTGTGGATGAAAGGATGGACGTGGCGCCACGGGTCGCGCATTTCCAGCGCTGCGCGCGTGAGACCTGTAGATCTGGCGTGGCGCTTGTGCTATAAGGATTGGAGCTGTTGCTAAATGCATTGAAATGGTTACGCGAAGGAAGATTTTGGGCACAGAATCAGAAGTAGCTCAGAGAAGGAGAAGCTTTGAGAAGGGTCAGATCAAGAAGGAGGTAGCTCAGAAGAAGGCGGAGAGAAGCATACGCATTGGTCATTTATTCATTCGTTGATTCATGCGTTCATTATCATTCATTTATTCATTCACTCATTCATTCTTTCATTCGTTCATTCAGTCAGTCAGTCAGTCAGTCATTCAATCACGTGTCATTGAGTCAGTCATTCAGTCATTCATTCATCCATTCATTCACGCACTCATTCATGCATTCACTCATTCGTTAAATCCTTCTTTCGTCCATTCATTCATTTCTTTTGTTAATATCTGTTCCGTTATTCATTCCTTGTTGCATTCTTTCACGTCATCCATCTTTGGTTCAGAAGAACATTCACTTATTTATGATTTCATTCATGTCATTTGCTCCCATGTCATGCCAATGGCATCTCAACAATCAGTCGCTCATTCATTGATGCATCTCAACCCCCAATCCAGCATTGTATCCTCCAGTCCGACGACGTTCCTAGAGGCCATTGATTTCTTTTAGCCGCCGCTCTATTCTCAAATTTCGGCCCCGGCGCGGCCGGGCCAGCCGAGAAATCTTTTTCACGTGCCTATATGTTTGAACACAATTTTCAAGATATATCGGACATGTTTTGGGGCCCTCTTGCGCAAATCCAAGGAATGTTGCAACGTCACAGAGCGCATGCCAAGGGACTGTTTTCTGTCAGGACTAGCGCAGCCACGTCCAAATTTCATCCTGCAACGCTACTTTGGGAGCAAGTTGAAAGGTGCCAAGAGTTGCTGGAGCAAGAGTTTTGGTATAGCGCGAACACCGGAGTTTGTCCGAAACAACCCCCCTGATCTAAAGAAGCTGCATGGCAAGTACCGAACCAATGTGACACAACATCGCAACCCGAGCATGTCTGGGACAGTCGAGTTCACAAGGAACGCCACTCCAGAGGGTAGGACTGAGACTTTGGCCTCGCTTTTGGATCGCTTGGGCAGTGCCGCTACAGCTCAGGGAGCTGCCACAACAGCCCTTAATTCTGTCCGACTAATGCTGGATAGGAAACAATCCCAAAATTTTGGCTTAGTGTTGCGGATACCTTACAATTTTTGTTGTCACAATTCCCAAACGGGTTTTGTCTAATTAATGCTTTGTGGATCCCACACTACATTGGGGTCTTTCGAAAGAATATTTCATTGTTGGCGTTCATGTGGTCATTAACCTTTGGAGAGCGTGCTTTAGACTTTAGTGCTTTACTATTCCTGAGTTGGGGTCCCGTCCCATAGTGGTGGCATTCCATGGGATTTCCATATGATCGCGATAAGGGACCATTTGTTTCATGACGCACCTTGTTATATTCCCAAATTTCTTGGATATACAATGTGATTCATTAGACCTCAACCCTGACCTGAATGCATGTAAACGTGCCGTACGAAAGGATAGTTTGTCAAGAGTCCCTTTCGAAAAATGCAAATAAATATACCATGCGGCGCTTTTTTGCACATAAATGTAGCATTAAATCAGCATATGGTTTCAAATAATACCGCTAAAAACGCCCTCTTCCCAGCATGACGACCCAATACTTGGATGTTGGAAGGCTGAAAATGGATGATTCTCACGGTGCTGCAGATCAGTCCGCACCGGTCAGGAGTTCCAAGAGACCCAGACCCGTGACCGTCACTTCGCCGCGGGCGGCGATGCAGAGGGCGTGGGCGACAAGTTGGACCCGCGCATCAGGACCGGTGGTGGTGGCCACCGTGGCCATGGTGACGTCGGAACCCACAAAGAGATGTAGTATTTTTGGGTTGGAAAATCGGGTTTCGCGAAGGGAAAATGATTTCAACTACCCTTGTATAATGAGTGGTGGATTTAAAAAACAAAAATTGAATCAACCCCACCTTGTAATTTGGTTGTGCTCACAATTTGGCAGATTTACCCCAGTTTATTACTGTTTCATCATGACATGACGATAAACAATAAGGTTTTCGGGCATCCTGATTTAAGAAGGAGTGTAATTGCATGTTTGGACACATGGGGATTTTTGAGCAAGAATACCATGGATTTGAACAAACATGGGGAGTTTGGTGCGCCAAGAAACGATGGGATGTCAACAGCAGATGCTTGAGATCCCCAAGATGCCATCGCCGTCATTTGTTGGCGGCTGAGCGTGCCAACATGTGCGGTTTGCACTTAATGCCGAACCATGTTGCGGTCCAAAGAATTTAGGACTCCAGCTATTGAAAAAACATGACAAAACAGTAAAAAAAAGAACTGAGGTTGGGCAAACCAATCCCTCATTTTTTCCGGATAGCATGTGGTCCTCATTGTTTGAACCATATTTCCCAACTATTTTTGTTCCGAAACGTCATGGTCCTTCTACAGTGTTTTCAAAGTTGGACTGGCGATAACCTCCATAAGTTGAGCTGTTTCCTCCACAATTACAGCATATTTTGGCTACATACCCAGCTTGAACCCGAACTCCCCCAAGTCGCATTTTTTTGAGTTCGAGTTGTTCATTCATTCCACCATTTTTGTCTACCAGTAACTCTGGTTATCTCTAGCTACGTAAGCATATGATTGTTTTTGAGCGTTGCTGGCCAGCGGCCGCAGGTATATTGCCAGATATCGCGATGGCCAGCGACAGGTCTTGGAAGAGGGCTGTAAAGCTCTGGAGGAGCCACCCTTGCGCTGCTGGCTGCGGGCCGAGCAGGGTGGCCACCAGTGGATGTTGATATCCCAAACTGGGTACTTGTATGGATCAAAATTGAGTACCCAATAATCAGGTGGTTAATATTAGACACTAAATTTTGTGGCCCCATGGGGCATAAATTTTGATTCACCCCCCCCAATAATCGGATATGTATTGATGTATAGTTAGGTTCGCAACCATACATGGATGAAAACCGTATACCCCGAAATTGCAATTTGATGGGGAAAGGAGATGAAACCATCAAAATTGAAGGTACCGTATTTTCAGAGAAGCCAATGCGATTCGCATGCCCAATATCCAAAAATACGTTTTTATGGGTTTATGATGTGGGAATCATATTTTGATATATTAAGCATATTGACTGTATGTGATATTTCATCAGCATGGGTGACAGCGGAAGCAGGGTATCACCGATGTCGTCGGTTGAGAACAGGGATGCAACCAATATTGTTCACAACCGTCAATCCAATAACTCTGACCCATCCGCACGGTCAGGAGATGCTTGCAGAAACACTTCAGGCAGACGATGGTGTGTGGGTATGGGTTTGTTTCAAGAATTGTTTCCACCCATTCCAGCCCATGGTGTATCTTCATGTTTAAGCTTATATAAAGGGCCAGTTTGGGTATGGGGTGTTATTGATGGGTATAGTCAGTATAGTGCCTGCAAGAACAGGGTTCACTGTCCTTACCGCCACATTGTGGGCACAAGTCCGGAATTACATGTTCACACGGGGGAATGAAGTCACAGCCTGCATCCTTGGGTTTTGCATCCTTGGGTTGTCACTGGACAGTGGGCCTTGGCTAAATTCCTAAGGTTTGGGGCTTAGATAAAGAGAAAATGTGCTGGAAACTGCAATATATGTTGAACAGTATAGACCTATGGTTTCATCTAGGTCTTGGCTTAAGCCAACAAAATCCAACCTAATGAATTTCCATACTTCGTTCCATCCCACAATTTCTGGATGCATCTCGCAGACCCCAGCCACACCACCATGCTGCAGCGGTAGGTGGAGTCGTCTGAAGCTTCTGCAACCAGTGCTGTAGGGTGAAAAAATGTCACATCGGCCCAGGGAAGGTTTTGAGAGTGGAATCCCACATGATTTTGTCCGAATATGATGGGAAGAACTTTACAGTTATTGCTTTATAATTTTACTTTCCCTTTAAAGTGATCCTCGTTAAGTGTTTGACATTTTCACACAGACCTATATCCCTAGTAATACATGTTCATAGCACCCTTTTTGTGGGCAAATCCGAAGTCATGAATAGATTTGCTGTGTGTCTGATGGGACCAGTTGCCTACTCGTGAATCAACCAACCATGAAATTCTTACTGAAATGAATCATCCGCATATTGGCAGAATTCGGGTCCAAACCCCGAGTAGATGTCACATAAGTCCGCTGATTGAGAGGCCTGCGGCGATGGAATGATCTTCCCAAGTACATGCAGCATCAGCCCTGAGACAAACAAAAAGTTATTTGACGTTTTGCCTTAATGATGGTTGCTGAAGAGCCCCCCGTGTTTATAGTTGTTACCAATGACGGCCCCATTTGAAGGGTAATTCTTTGCTTTGAAGGGAATTCTGCGGGTAACCTGCGCGGTTGATGCTGCACGGTTGATGCCAAAACCTCCTCGTTTCCACATTCTCATTTTTTCTCATGGGGTCCATGAAAAAATGAAGAAACATGGTTCTTCTGCATGTTTTACGTGGAAAACCAATCCATTGACCATTCAATTTGGAAAGTTCATTGGATAAGACTATTGATGTTCGAACCTTCATTGGAAAAGAAACCTGGAAAACAAAACCATTGATCATTGATGTTGGTTTTTCCCCGGCTCTTTTTCCAGCTAAATCCTGCAATTCTTCGGGTGCCAGATCAACCCGCTGCAGCGGTCAAAGTTCCCGTTGCAGAGACGCAGGCGCGGTAACAACCCCCAGCACAATGGCAAAATAAGTGTTTAATTGATATGTTTTAATCATCAAATATGTTGGTTCCTGTTGTATCTTTTTTGGCATGACTATAGACCACCCCCCTTTTTTAGCAGTAAAAACTGTCCAAAACTATCCCATATTTCAGGTTTATCAATTGGGTTTACCAATCAAGTGGGTTAACTCACTCCGACTAGAACTCGTATATTATATATAAATTGCGTTGACTAGCCCCATTACAAACTTTTTGTTTGGGTGACATATTCAAATTTTACCAGATGAATCACTTAGTTGTTTTTCTGATGACCAAAGTCACGTTCCGCGCTTTGCAATGGTAATATGCCAATTCAGGTCAAGAGCATTCAGAAAACCAAAATTCAGCCAAGAATCTGTGTGAAAGCTTAGCCCCAGTACATCCCCACTATACAGCCCACTGCTCCATGTGTTTTCGCCCCGTGCTTCTTGGCGGGAAGCTGCGTGTTAGCTCGCAGGAGCAACCGAAGCTCCTCAGTCACCAGTGTTGCTCTCAGTCGACAGTTGGGTCATTGTTGCCAAGACCAGTGACGGAAGGTTACGATGCAATTTGCTGCTCATGGTTGGATTGTTTGTGTTTTTTCGCTATGGCTAAAGTCCCATGCTTTAGAAAAAACTTCAAAGTTGTCATGTTTGGCATCCCCCATTTTCAGACCAACTTAGATTTTCATGACATGTGCGGCCATTTTTTCGAACATGGCCCATGGTAGTTGATCCCTTGTGTGCTGCAAGGTTTTGGGAAATTGTCTTTCCATGAGTCAACTGGCCAAATTAAAAAGTTCAACCCCTCATCAAGTGTCTTTTTGAACATGGGTTTTCTTGAAACAACTTCGCAAATACCCGAAAAAAACAGTGTTCAATGATGATTTGCCCAGATAATCACCATTGAAATGCCTTAAAAAGTGATATTTCCTCCACGCATTCGGCTGAGGCCTGACCCCATAGGTGCCTTGCTGAAACAGCCGGATGCCTTTGAGGAGCAGCAAGCCAAACAGGTGCCAACAGTGCAGCAACAGCTTTGAACCATTGGAAAATACCCATGCATTTATCAAAAAATGGGTTTGAAGCATTGATATGATCTTTGAATGACGGTTGAAACTTGAAACTTACATGATTGGGGTGAGGATCACGTTGGGCCAACTTAAGCCTCAAATAACCATTCCAAATAATGGTGCGACTTGGGCGCAGCCTTGGTAGAACTTATAACGATCCAAGTGGTGTTCATCAGCACAGTGTAAATTTCCAGATATCACCAAGGGCAGCAAACATGGGAATCTTTAGCTGTTCAATGTGAGGGGGAATCTCCGGAAGATCTGAATTGAATGTGAATGAGATAAACACGTCGATGTTTGATTGTGTGTTTCTGAACATTTCAACGGCTACAAGTGCTGAATGATTTTTATAGCAATCGGAAAAGTTTTTGGCCAGGAAAACCACCTGCAGATCCAAAGGTTGCAGCGTTTCTCAAGGATCTGTAGCAAAAAGTCTGAAATCGCAGACACATGACCCCACAAATCTGCCAGATTCCGGATGATTTTTTACAAAAAGCGCCAGGCACCAGTCAGGACGATTTCACCCCAAATCCTCAGCCTGGCCATCACACAGAATTGTTTGTCTTGATCTGAAACCTTCATGAGCCATTCATAACTTAGGGTTGATATTTTTTCCACAGTGGTAAGTTATCAAATGCTATAGACCATCCCATCCACAAAGCCATCTTAAACCACCAAAAACCATCCACACCTATGTGCTGCTTGGTGTCACCCCACATCTCAGTCGGTGCCTTGAAGCTCGGCAGAGCGCAACACGCTGAGCGCGTCATGGCGCAGTTGTATGCCCCTTTGGCGCCGCAGCAGCAGCAGATGGGCATCAGCCCGGGGCTGGCAACTTGGTGAAGCTGGTGATATGGGTTTGTCTGAAAATTGTGTGCCCCTAAACCCAATCATGTTCCCATCTGTTCTCTATAAAATGGCTATAATTGGGGGTATACCGTATACCTTATTTCCAGACACACCCATATATCTAGCACAAAGCTGCACCCTGACAGAATCTGCCGGAGTTGTTTCCGTGTATATTTAAGAAAAGGATGAGTGCACATGGGCACATGGCCACTTGTCAATGGTATGTTTGTGGGTTTCTTCGTAGTGCATCCATGTTTGGCCAAATGTCGTCCCGAAACGGAACAGATGAACATACACATACAATCGCATACATACTGTATATTACATATAGATACACATACTATGTATATGACTATGTAGATGATGTCATCCATGTTTCATATTTCACACATACACAGACCATCCAATGCAGGGAATGACAACCACCAGCAAGGGGATTATCCTCAGCAGATTCCGCCGAGGCATTGTTGCAGCAAGTGAATGACCTGCAGGTGCCGGTAGAAGTTGGACTTGAGAGATTTTTACGGTGAGAGTTCACCAGTAAAAACTGAGATTCCGTGGGAACATGGCAATGAATGGTTCAGAAAATGACAACAAAACCTGGGATTTAATTGCAAGAGATAGGGATTTTAAGTGATGCATATGGATATTTCCGAAAGTATGGGATGGGCCCATCTTAATGCAATTTTAATATGGAAAATCTATCTGTAACCACTGGAATGCGGCACATGCGCTACCCAATATTTTCAGACAAAGCCGTAGGGATCAAGTTCCAGACCTTTGGACCTTCAGGTTTAGGGCATCAAAAGTGGAGGTAACATGCTGGTTCAGTCGAAGAAACCTGCCTGAATATGTAAAGGCCGTACATGCTGGAATGGTCTAACATATCTCATATATACATATATATGTATATATATATAGATAGATATGTATATATATATATGTATAGATATATAGATATATATATGTATGTATGTGTATATATATATATATAAATGTATGTATGTATATGTATATATGTATATGTATATATATATATACGTGCGATAAGCCTCAGGATGGCAACATGATGGCTTCATAATTAGTCATATCAAGTTTGCCAAATGGTCATCATATCAACGCAGATATCCCAGATGAATCTTTAAAAATGCTTAAACCCATTGACAGATACCCACAAATGAAAACATCGACAATAAAACTTTAACTTCAATCAAACTATTCCAAGACTTGACAAACAAATACCCATATAAACCCCGCATCAGACAGTTCACATCAAAAGGATAAAGAACAATAAAACCAAATTTCATGATGTGACAAATAGCCAGTGCCAATGATCATTAAAAAATAAGAACCTCAAAGTTCACATCAAGCCATCCTTTAAAGTTTCATAGGATTGGTTTTCGGAAAATCTCTTTTCCCGGGTTTACCATGGTTTACCCCATAGATTTAAAAAAACAACATCTAAAAACCAATGGTTTCCAGCTCGTTCCAAGTTGGCCTTTTTCTTTTCCCATCAGATCCAGCAGCGTCCGTAGGTCAAGGAGAGGGTGAGCTGGCTACAAGAGGTGACCACCTTTTTGGGTGCGGAGTTCGAGACCAGGTGGGATGGGTGTGGGGTTGCCACGGGAATTTCATTCAGAAATTCTGGGAGAAGATTTTTTTGAGATTTGGAGAAGTTGTGTGTTTTTTGGTGGTTGGTTTGATGAAAAAAAAAAGCTACGTTGCTGGATTCTTGTTTTTGTTGATGAAATTCTGAGATATCAGAAGGATTTAATGTAGGTTTGCTAATTTAGACCAAAACTGTATACACGCAGAAAATGGTGGGCGTTTTAGCAGCTACTGCAGCTACTGGGGGGCAGGGAGTGATAGAAAGAAAATGGAACTAGCGTCCTGTTTTTGTGTAAAACATAAGGTGCATGGTTGGTTGAGGGTGACTTACTTTTCTATAAACAATATATGTTTTGAAGATTGAGCTATAATGGATTGCTGTCTCTTCCAACTTGGGAAGATGATGCCTAAGCGATTGATTTGTTTCAAGGAAAGCAACAAACACACCATGTTTGAATCGCACGAACAACATTGCGGGTTGGACATAGATAGGTGTGTACAAGTGGGGACTAAACATACCAGAAAATTTAGTGAATGCGTGTACCCCACCATGTTCTATGTCCACTTGTTTTGGAGAAATATGACCTGCCCATTTCTTTGTGGTTTTTGGTATCCATTTCGTAGCGTTTTCCTGTTCTGTTTTTGACATTTGAGTCACTTCACCTAACGGGACACGAGGGCACTATTTGCTGGCTTTCACATCACAAATTAATCTGGTGTGGGGACTACCTCCATGACAAAGGGATTTTGCAGAGGCACCCCATAGAAAATCTAGATGCTGATTTCTGCAACACATTGCAGCTTCAGCCTTCGGGTTTGCATCTACTTATCGCTCTATCAACCAAGACGATCATTAGTCGGATAGATGCTCATCCCACAGTTAGAAATCAGTTTCTGGAATCTCCACTACATCTGGTTGGTGGTTTCAAACATTTTTTATTTCCATAATATATGGGATTATCCTTTCCAACTGACTAATACTTTTCAAGATGGGTAAAACCACCAACCAGGCATGAAAATTACAGCTCCAAGTTTTGAGTGTTCCCAGTTGGTTTCATGTCACCCATCAACCCATCGCTCTCGCTAGGAACAGATACTCCATCCAAGACCCCGTGGGCAACCAGCTCTTCTATGCCATCGAGAGGATCTTGGGGCCCTGCGGTAGTCTTCAGCAAACTGCTACATCCAATCGTTTAATTTCAACCGCATCCAATATTTGTAATAACAAAGTGTATCATTTGGGACCTTGGTTGTTGGGGTAAAGCTGTGTGAATGGTAGGTGAAATAGGCATATGGCCCGCTTAAGTCCTAGGCATAACTGTGGAATATACAAGTCATCCAGCGATTTTTTGTTGGGGGGCAGGCTGTCTAAGATTAACCGGTACAGTATCCAGTATATTTAGTATATTGACAAAGATGCCTTTTTTAAGTCTTCAAGTCTTTTATTAACGGTATATACGTTAGCTTTTTTTTTGTGTTCTGTTTCGGTGAGCAGCTACGCCGCTAGCCATCAGTCTGCTACCCATGATTTCCCACTGGATCTTCCAGGTCTTCCAGCATAGCACTAGCACCTGAATCAATGAAAATACCGGATCCAATGAAAAAAACATTTTATAATCATCAACCCCCATTACCAATCATTATTTATGGATATTTATGGCTAATTAATTACTATTACTAAGCAGCAATAACCACTAATCATTACGATCGCACGATCTCGCCCTGGAACCGGCTGGAACCAGGACCGATTGCTGCCGTCGCCAGCTCCAGCGCTCCTGCCTGCACGAGTGCGCCAGCTGGGAGGTCGACGTCTTGCACACGCCACCGGGGCAGTACATGCAGAGGTGGCCTGGCGGCGGCGTGGGAAGAGTCGGACTGGGGCCGCGGTGCTTTGGGGAAAAACATGGAAAAACATGAAAAAATGTACGATAAATGTATGATATTACATGATTGTAGGTATCCTGAAGTAGAGATAGAATCTGGATTGTTAAAAAGTCTTTCCATATCCTATCTATTTCCATATGGGACACTATGGATCAATGTGGGTATAATGGTGGCAAACCCCAAAAAGATAGTCTTTCCGGTGGTCATGATATACAAAAAGGACCCAAAGGCATTTTGAAGGGCCATTGACGGGAACACTTGGTTGAGAGTAGAACATAACAATCATGATCTTATGTCTATCTTAAGTCTTAAAGTTGATGTTTCATCCCTACGGCTACAACACTGTGCTGGGTCCTGCCTGCGCATTTTTGTCGCAGGGTACAGGGAAAGAAAAGTGAGTTCCAAAACTCTTCTCAGTGGACCTTGGTGGGGATTTGGGGAGATCTCAAGTGTATAAGAGGACTCGTGAATGGGTAAAAACATGTAGTGGTGACATGTTTGGCCATTCTTGTAAAGGACGTTTTTCAATCTTGAAGGAAGTTCTAGGGTCAGCCATGCCCAAATCAGACGATTTCCACAACCAGAATGGCTAAAATCACCATGGACTTGAAACAAGGTGCGACGGGACACCCATTTCGCTGAGATCCAAAAGCCAATGTCTTTCTGTCCCAAAAAACGAAGGGTCAACTGTTCAAATTCCGACCTTGAACAAATTGAAAATCTGGATTGAAATCGTTCAAAACCCTAATCCAGCTCTTGGGAGTCCATCTTGAGAATTCAAGATCAATTAAGATCATATTGTTCAGTCTGTTCAGTGTAAACCCGCAAATCTATTCAGACATCCTGGGCCTCCCACCCCATTGCGCCCAGTTTCCTCTCCATGCGACGTCCGATGCAATGCGTGTGCTGCTGCTTTTGTCGACCCACCGCGGAGGTCTCATGGCCAATGTGGGATCTCAGAGTTGGAAGGGGTGCTGCCCATATATGGGGGTTTCCATAAATGAGGACACCCCAAAATGGATGGTTTATAAAGGAATAACCTATTCAAATGATTTCAAATGGATGATTTGGAGGTACCCCCATTTCAGGAAACCTCCATATTGCCATCCGACCATCCTACCACAAATCAAGGCAACGACCATATGGTCGTCACTCGTATGTCTAAGCTCCATACTTGGCAATGTGCAGGATGTGTTCATAGTGCAAGACAGGTGTGTCCAGTTTTCAGTTTGCAAAGCAAGATCCAACGCTGTACAAGGGTTCAAGCTGGCAAAGATCTAGCTTGCAGAGAGAGCAGAGCATTGAACCGTCATCAAACATACTATAGGCAAGCGCACCTATCATTGTCACTGTGCGTTCTGGTACCACAAAACGAAGGGAAGAACGTGACAGTGGCCCCTAGACGTTTTCACTAGGTCTAAGCTACATGCCTTATATTCATTCTTATCAAGTAGCCCTGCACTGGCACTCTAGCATCCACTTGTAGAGGTGCACGTTAGAATCTTGCGAGTCTCTCCAACCATGGCAGACATCGTTTTCCGCCGACTGAAATATCAAAGGAGGCTGGACCAGGCAGGCGTCATGCCTTGTTTGCATGTTGCTTTTGTGCGGAATGGGACTGCTGGGACAGGCCCCAGATCCTTCAGCAGCGGCAGCAGCGACGAGCTCATCAGTTTTGAACATCATGCAATATTGGACCGTGACAGAAGCGAGTACATCCATGTCAGCTTCACTGATGACAATGAGGAGATGCGTGTGATACGCACAGGGAGACGAGCCGTGGAAATGAGGTCCTCCCACAGCCTCCGTGTCGTGAAGCAACCTAGAACGGTTCAAGAGGCACGCGAGATACTTCATCGCGCTCGCAACTGGGTTGACAATGGGACATGGGAATACGATGTGTTGTGGCACAATTGCGAACACTTTGTGAATGAGTGCTGGAACCCTCAAGAACCGGCACGCAGTGCCCAAGCTCAGACTGCTGTCGCCTCACTTGGCGGCAGTAGCGCAGTTGGGGCTGTTGGTGCTGGGACTACCGGCGGCATTGTAGCCGCCACAATTCAACCTATTGCCACAGTTGTGACCACCACAGCAACCAACACCAACTACCTTTTGGGTTTCATACCATGGGGAACTGTGACCACAAGTACATCGGCAACAGTCATGACTGGCTTGCCAGTGGGTGCAGTGATTGGCATAGCCGCCGCGGGCACAGTGGTTGGTGCTGGACTTCTTGGTGGCATCGCCTATGGTATCAGGGAACTGGTTTTTGACCACACAGCACGGAATGCCCAACTGGTTCCAATTGCCATTAAGAACAATTCCAGGCAGACAATTACTGCTTCTTTGCGAAACGCAGATGATACTCTATCAACCTTGTCTGATGCATTGTATTCATGGCGTGCCTTGATTGGTGTCGGCATCATGTCAGTGGACATTGAGGGCGACATAGCCGAGGAACTCAACCCGCCAACTGTGAGCGACAGTGGTTCAACAGAATTTGTGCTCACAATATCCTCCAATCATGACCTTGACCTCACATGCATGGTCTCACGTGGTGATGTTGTCACGTTTGACGGCCAGACATTGAGAAAAGAAGAAGCAGATTTAGATGACTTACTTTGTAAGATTTGCTTTGGCCGTCCTGCCAATTGTCTCGTCTTACCTTGCGAACATCATGACTTCTGTGACCAATGCGTTGGGGAGTGGAGACGTGAGAGCCCAACGTGCCCCCAGTGCCGCGGGAACATTGAAGAAGTGGACATGGCGCGCAATATATGATATGATTCAAAGGACTACTAGAGCCTGTTGCCAGCTTGAGCAGAAAACCCCTTTTCAAATAGTGTGTTTGCAAGGATGTTTGCAGGTCAAATGGCCTTACTGCAACGCCCACCCATTGATTACCAGACGGTGGATGTAAAAGAGCCTTGCGCATAGGAGTTGTCCTCAAAGATCACATTCAGTTGTGCTTCAGCCAAGTACTAGTAGAATTTAAGATGTTCAGTCAGTGCCAGGGCATGTCAGGAAAATGCGACGGTTTGGTAGTAGGTTGCTTGATACCAAATCCTTTCAGAATCTTTCAACCCTTCAAAAGTGCACACAAGGGGCAGACCTTAAGTCATGAGACTCAATCTGCACATCCGCGGATGTGGGTATACGGGTCAAATTCATAGCCCAGTCGACGGCAGATGGACTGGTCATCTCTAGTTTTCACATAAATGAATCATATATTATATATCATATATCAAATAATATATATATAATATATAATATATATACCATCCATTTTGGGGGGATGCCGCATCCCCTTCCACAGTGTTGTACGGCTTCCACAGACGTCATTCTGAGCTCCAGGTCTTCGACGAGCTGACGCGGCAGAAGATCGGAGCCTCGCACTGTGCTGGTTTTTCAAAGGGCCCCCTGGTTGTTTTTGTTGGTTGTAGTATCAATGGGAATTCCAGGATCCTAAAATGGAGGTACTGTACCATATAAGGCCATATTTTGGGTGTATATTCCCTTACATATGCCTTATATAGGCCTTATATATGGTAGGTACCTCCATTTTAGGATCCTGAAATGGCCATTGATAGTATATCAGTTTCACCCATCCAACTGCAGATGTAGTATCTCAGATGATATATCCTAGCTAGCTTGAGCATCAACCAGCGTAATCCTGTCGTTTGGGGGCCCTACGTTACAAATGATTCCACAATGAAAGATGGGGGCGAGATCCTGCACACAGACATGTGGGTCCCTGCTGTCTTGCCAAAAGAGGGTATCGGCCCTCCAAGAAGGATTGATTTCTCCCTCCAAGTAGTTAGCAGGATTGCTGCGCCAGCAAACAAGTAAACCATAATTAATAATGTTCGGGGCCGCTACCAGTGTGTTCAAGTCAGAGCCTGCATGAGATTTTGCATGGGCAATTTTCCATCTTGGTTTCCGGCTTTGCTTCTGGCATTGGTTTTTTTCATAAAGAAATTCAGTATTTGCGGCGTCTAAGGAATGTTCAATTCCGACCACTGACAAGATGTCCAACATTGACCCAAGTTTTTGCTTTCTGTGAGATGGCTAAATCTCCCGCCAAATATGATTTACCACACCCCCTTGATGGTCAAACTAATTTCATTTCGACGATTCCATGCGCCAGGTTCACATGATCAATGGTTTTGTTACAGACTTGGCAAAATCACCCACGAATACATGATATGGGTTGATATGGGGTGTTTTTGCAATATGGGGTGTGGGTTTGTGTCAAAAATATGCATGTGCCAAGGAAAGGTTTTAATGACAATGACGATGGACCATGGGAGTTTGAGATTCCAAGATGTTCAAACAACCCCAATATGTTTTTTTCTTGGAGCTAAATTCGCAACCAACCCACTCAAAAACGGTAATTCATTAACCACTTTTATCCAATCTAAAATCCGCTTCCATGGTCACTGGCCTCACATACTAGGAGGTCCATCAGTGGTATGTTTATTTGGGATGCTGGAAAAATGTTATTCTTGAAACCGAAACCGTATGTTTTTCCCAAGAGAACCATAAAGTCAAGGAGGTTCAACCGAAGATGTTCCCTTCCAATTTTGCGCTATGACCAGTCAAGGTCTGACCCACCCATCTATTTTCATCTATTTGGGTATGGATCAATACCTATTAATACCATTTTTAGTGGGATGAACATCCATTTACCAGCTATTTTGATGTTCACCAGGGGTACAAGGTTTTGACACACTGCCATTTTGACCTCCAGCGTGGCTTGTGAGGCTCCTTTCGGGACCCCTTCCGCTGCTGTAACTACAACTTTAAGCTGCGCGACGCCTATGATACCAATGCTTCTTGGCAACTTTGCGCAGGCCTGGCGGTCTAGGAAGATGATTGGTGCAAACGATTGTATTTAAGTAGCAGAACTGTGGAATTATCCCGAAAGAAACAGGAGCTCCCATCCATGCTAGAAGATGATGTTCTTCATTGTAAATGGCCAGTCTTGAGTTCCATCCTAAAGTTCCAAATATCTTTGCAGGGGGCGAAAGACTACAATTACTAGTTTAAAGATCTGCAAAGTAGTATGGAACTATCAATTGAACTAAAGACTATAGTGATATTGATGGAACTGCCAACGTTACTCCATTTCAAATGTGTAACCCCAATATTAAGAATGATGCCCTGTAGCATGTGCCCAGGTGCTGGAAGTTCACGGAGGCTGTTGCCAACCCGCCGTGTGGCACCTTGGTGTATCCCAACACATCCCGGTTATAAAGGGCTACCCTCTGGTTATGTCAGAATAGCTATTGAAAATGGCCATAGAAATAGTGGATTTTCCCATTAAAAATGGTGATTTTCCATAGCAAACTGTTAGTTTACCAGAGGGTATACTGGGTCTGTAGCCACATAATTACTAAGCAACTGTGAAAAATTTGACAACAAAATTGCTGGTAAGTATAGTAGGGTGACCCAAAATTGCTGATTGCGACAGCATCTAAGTAGCATATAGTAGCATCAAGTCGTGACCCAAAGTTTCAGGATTTTGAAAATGGTCAATCAGATGAAGGCTTCAGAAAACTTAGGACGCAGTCATCTGATTGAGGTGCCGCACTAGGCTCCCAGGCTCCGGCCTGTTCCCTCTACGATTGGCCAGAGACAAACCGTCGCTTGTTTTCAGGGGCCACTTTCCATTCCTACCTGGCATAAATTATTCACATGGCCTGCCCAGCCTATGTGGTCAGTATATGGTACATGTGTCGCTAAGGTTGGATCGTATTTTTTGGTAAGTGTTGATTTGAAAGACATATGACATACCAATTAACATCATATAATAGTGTTATTTTATCCTCATGTGTTATTGACAACCAATTATTAACATCAACCAATTATCCTCATGTGTCAACCATAGCATTTGAGGATATGAGTTGACAGCACCAATCTGTAGACTTTGCCGACGCACTGAGGTGCTCCTTGCCCTGTGGCCCGTGCTCTGAACTGCACTTTGATGTCCTGGACGCGCGGACAGGCGCCAGGGCAAGCTGCAGGGTTTCTTCCCAACCAGGAGCTATGTTCTCACCATGGATACGCAAGGTTTGTTGACTGGATGCGCACCATTACTGATGATAAGTTACCATAGAATCCAATATTGCCAGTCTTATGTACCCGACATTGTACCAACATCTGAAATAATCCTTTTCTGCAGTACCTTACCATATGGAACCCCGAAATGGAGGTAAAAAAAGACGATGCTAAATACAAAGGGGTGTGTTTGGGGTCTGTTTAACATTAGATGAAATGGAATTGCCTTGATTGCTTGTAACCACCATGTCAAACCCGTTGAGCACATCCCCAGCATGGGCGAAAGGTTACAAGGTGGCCAGCATTCGCAAGACGGTGCCCGGCATTGCTCCTTTGCAAATCTGATCCATGGGTGGTTTAAAAGAGCTCAATCCTTTAAACCATGTTGATGGAGATGTACTGAGTATGAACTTAAGCATCTAAAAGTTTACGTCGCAGAGTATCTTAGATCATCCGTTTTGGGAGTAATTGCAGTGGGTAAATTGACTGGTGAAAGGCTGGTTTAACAAGAAAGCCTGGCCATTTTGATGGTTGAATATGCATGAATATGCTATATCCTGTCACAAGTTATGTGGTTTTTGCAGAGTGTTTCAGGTTGGCTAAGTGGAACTCAACGGGTTGTTTGAAGAATGCAATGGGGCAAGGCTCAAGTTTCAACGGGATGGTTGTTGGTCAACCTCGCAAAATCGGAGGATTTGGAAGCACTAGACATGGGGGGACCACAGACAAATCATGGGATGTCGTTGGAGATAGCCAACAAGTTTCAGCTATGGATCAGAAGTTGTGAGTCAGGGCCCGCAGATGAACTGTTCGTTGTTAGTTCTAGGATGTGTGTTGGGAACCCTTTTTGTCTCTGATATCCATCCATCGCATGGATTGAAATAAGAGACGATAAGTTGAATCGTTTATTTTGACTGGAGCCATTTCTTTTTGAGACATGGCACGTGGTTTTGAAATCCTGGTTCTAAACAGAGAAATACTCCAGACTTTCTGACTGGCATCTTTTTTACTGGCCTTGGAAGGGCAGGCACACACAGCCCAGCAATGTTTGGTGCCTGAAAGGCCACGCACACACCGTCGCCCCCATGTCTGGATTCGAATTAAGCCTTCCAAACGTTTGTTGAACACCTACAGTAGAAATCCTGGTCACTGGTCTAAGAAAGTGTTTGGCTCATATTTAGGAAGATTAAACAACATTAATGCCGACCTTCACGGCCGTCACGGCCAAGATCTCGTACCTCTTCGCGTCGGACGTGGACAACTACCACATCCACTACGATCTGGTGCAGGAGCCAATCAACGGTGTTGCACAGGAAAAAGTCCCCTATTTCGATAGGTTTCTGTCGGTTTGTTTCACCAAACCAACTCCAAACTGACATTATTACCGCATTAATGGTGATTAATATTGTTTTCATAGTGTTTTTAATAGTGATTAATGGTGATTAATGTGGTTGGCCTTCCCTGTCTTTGCCATATTGCAACAACCTGTGTTTATCCTGCCACATTGCTACAATCCACAATTCCTTGTGCGCAAAACGTGCATTCACTGACTGCCAAGAAATCTTCTGACCTTATACAGCAGGATATTCCAACTGAAGTTATTACATGATTGGAATTTGGGATTACAAACCACAAAATACCCCAGCTAACCTGCTGGATCCAAGTTGCTCAGAGGACCCGGCCTGGAAGGCCCTCCTGTTGTCCTTCACCATCTACATGGATTTCCTGCGCCTCGTGGGGAAACGGGGCGAAAAGTGGGGAAAGATATGGGGAAAGCCCCTGGGAATCAAACATGGCTAGTTTGGAAATATTGTGCGAATGGATATCTCTATGAAATGGGAAAATGGTGCATAAATGAATATAAATGATGCATTTTCCATCCGGGTTTACCGTGAAAATTGGTGTTTTGCGGTCTCGTGGGTATGCCTGCTTGATTATGTTTCTTGAAAGAGTTTGATTTCATCAGGTCTTCAACAGTATTTGTTTTCAGTCAAGTGCAATCTTAGCCTTCCTCCCATATGTTCACCATCAGCTTGGGGTTTGCAATATCCAAAAGTATCATAAAGATTCCTTCAGGAAAATGTATTTTGCGCAAATTGCTTACTCCTGTGCCACTGTCCCAATTATTGAAGTTTGGGCGATGCAGTTACTAGGCCATGTTTTGCCTGGATTTGCCTGGTATATACCTGGGGTGACTGAACTCAGGCTGAACTGAGATTCCCTGCACAAGTTCATCCCGGCATTGGTAAGAATCGAATGGATTAATTCATGATAATCTTTGCATTAACCCATATGTCATAGCTGTCATGGGGTCTAGGCTAACCCCAAAGTTCATAGAGAATCCCATGAATCAATAATACCCCAACATTGGGTCATATATACTTCTTCTCCAGGGATCCCATATATCATAGGTTGTTTTGGTACTTATGAAAACATATTGAAACATATTAAAACATATTAAAATATATTAAAACATGTTAAAACCATTCACTTTACATCTTTATTATTGGGACTTCTGGTTATTCCAACCCATCCAAAACCAGTGGAAGTCGTGGCTTTTCTGCGACGGTGCCAGGTTCTTCAACGACCCGAACCCCACGCAGCAGGACGAGGCCATGGCGCTGGTGGAGACCGTGGCCGCCGAAGAGACGGGCTGCCGCGAGGATGACGAAAGGGAGCGACCGTTGGGATGTTGGGAGATGTTGGGAGGTTAGTGTGGGTTAATATATGTTAATATTACTATGTTATTATTTATGGGCTAACCCAACATCAATAAATTAATATGGGCTAAATGCTATATTTGCTGGTGACTGATATATTCTTTATTGATATAAATCATTAGTAAAGGAGTTTTAATAATGGGTTACTGATTAATCTTGACCCACATGGGTACGATGATACTATGAAACCACATCTCGTTGTCAATGATTGATATTCTCATTGAAAATGATTTTGAGGCAAGGGTGGTGTCTGGGTTAATCTTACTTTTTGAGCCTTGTGCAGTGGCAAGGCGTGAATTCGGAATGACCATTAGATATCATTAGTGATGGGTCTGATGGATAAGTAGTTGGTGAATCATCATCAATTGCTAATTGTGATCATTAATATCAGTTGGTTAGTAGAATGGTGGGGATGGGATCCAAGGGCTGGTACTGCAAGTGAATGGTTTCATAAATAGTCTGTACATGACTGGAAGCCCCAGCACTCAGGCTTCAGTGGTGGCAACTGCTGCTGTTGCTGCTGCTGAGCGGCAACTCTGAGCTATGTTTCAAAAAACAGATCTCGCCACTTATGAGGTGACATCCCCAAGATTGGCAAAAAGTGGGTCTTTCTGTTCAAGCCCAAATCAATATCTTATATGGAGTGTTAATCCCAAATCATCCCCAAATCAGTTATTCTAACTCTATTGAAACCAAGTTTGGTGATTTGGGGATGGGTCAATTCCTACATGACCATCAGAACCAGGCGATGAACATCCATTTTGCAAGCTATTTGTGTGAAAAATCCGGATGTCGGGATTTTGACCCGTCACCATAGTTGCCCTTCCAGAAGTTGCTGAGATTCACCAACAATTTGTTGGTGCCACACATTAGTTCAAGGGAATTGTTGAAATTTGAACCGATGACCCACGAAGCGTGATACGTACAGACAGCGGATTTGACAGACGGCTGATACTCCCAGCAACGACAACCCCAAGAAAGTTTATCATTGAGCGGAAGTTGATATTTCATTCTACAGCGCCCACACTGGCCATATTTTCAAGTGTTGACAAGTATCAGTCTGTACATAAAGGCCTGGAAGTGATCATCACTTCAGATCTCGTTTGATTAGCGGCAGAAAAAAGAGAACGTGCTGAAGGCGTGCCAGCGCGGCAGAATCTACATAGTTCAAGCATCATGAGGTTTTTGAACTTCCAAGTTCCAAGTGCTGGTGGATTCTATTTCTTGCTTTGGGTTTTATTGCAATTTCTTGTGGTTCCAATACATTTCCTTAACGGCGATTTGGCTCCCAATGTTTAAAGGCAAAATCGTCACATCCCAAGCTTTCCTGCATTTTGCTGGTTGTATTCATATTCCCAACGTGTTCAATCTACAGGGTTGATCCCAAAACGCCAGACACTAGGGTAAATTGGCTAAATAAAAGGTCACTTCACCTATTTTCCATGATTTTCCACTCTTGTGGGAATTATTTTGCTACAAGAGGTTGTAGCAGCCCTGATCTACTTCCCACAGAAATGCGCCAAATCCCGCGAGCTCCAAACACTTTAGCGCTTCTGCCAACCCCTCCAGGCTGCTTTGCATATGACGGAGTACGATTGGTCGGAGCAGGCACCCGGAAGCCCGGTCTCAGCAATGGTGAGGAACAAGCAAACAGATGATATGATTTAATGAAGATGATTCTACCGGGTTATATTGATTTCTTTATCAAAAGATAGGAAAGGTCGAGTTTATTACTGTTATTTTGGTTGGATTTTGGAGGGTGCTATGTTAATAATCAAAGAGGAGCCCTTATCAACAAGTAGGTTTGGGGATGACAGAGGGCGAACTGGCAGATGAATGGTGTTTCTTGGCCATCTTGACAGTGGCTTTTGGAGATGTCAACAGGAGTACTGCCAACCCCGGATTAATAAACCCTGGTTAGTTGGTCAGTTCCTTTAAAAAAATGTGAAAAGTTGCTATCTGAATGGTACCATAGCGATCAAACAGCCCAAGTGTTTTTTATGATCCGGGTTGACATTACACATCCTGCTACCCAAACCACCAACGTTTGGCCTTGGCTGAGACTTCCTGTGCCATTTCTCAGGCCACACTTTGATGATTTCTGTGTGTTTTGCAGACTACATGTTGCTTTAATGGCAGGCGTGTAAAGATTTTACCGCAGCCTCCCTGCGGCTGCGGTTGACATATGGGTTTGTCTGAAAATAGGGTTAATCTTCCCAATGAAATAGCCATTTAAAAACGGGATTTTATGATCAGCAAAACCATTGGGTAAAAAGGGGTAATTATAGCCATTTAATAGGGATAATGATCATTAACCATTGGGTTTAGGGGTACACAACATTTTCAGACACTTCAATGCTCAAAATGGGATCCCAACTGACTCCATCTTTGGGATGGCTGGCTCAACCTCCATGGCGCAGGTTCGAGGGAATGTGACCAGCACCGGCGTCCAGCGCAGTGTGACTCGGCTAGACATGGGACATGGCCCCACGATGGACCCCCACGTCAGGGCTTGTGGGGCCATGTCAACCCCGGATTTTGCTAAACCATGGTTTATGAAAATTAGGGGGGTACTCCTCCAATAGTCATAATATGATACTTAAATGGTACCCTCCCAATTCAACAATCTAGAGGTTTATTAATCCAGGGTTGACAAAAAACCTCGGCGAATGATAGATGCAACACAGCGAACTAGATATGCACATACAGAGATGCAAGATGGTTCATTGGTAATCACTATGCCGGTGTGGGTCAAAATTATCAACCCCGCAAAGCGGATAGTTTAATACTAAAGATTTGAAACGAAATTCTGTGGGTCCATTGGTGCCCCGTGTTTGACCCATGCCCATTTACGACAATGAACAATGATGATCTGGTTGGTGGTTTGGAACATCTTTTATTTTTCCATATATTGGGAGTAATCATCCCAACTGACTAATATTTTTCAGAGGGATTGAAACCACCAACCAGTGATGTTACCGGGGTATGATGTAACCTTGAGGTATAATAGATCTGATCAATGGCCCACTCGTCGGCTTGATGTACCCGTATGGACCCGGGATAGTCAGAGGGACCACAAATAGGGGTTGACATGCCCGAGACCAATAGTGTTGAATAAAGGTTTGATCAAACCATGCAGCATCGCAGCTGGGTGGTGCTTAGCTATACATACATGTTGAGTTTGTTTGGCAAAAGGTAAGCTTTTACCACGGGATCAATAGACCACTAAACTATACTAAACTTATGTTGGTGTCCATGTGGAATAATTGGTTCTATCCAGTTGAACAGTTGGCCTCGCGGATAAAGAGATGAAGGTTGTTTCTCCTTGAAATTTGGGCTAAACTCCACAAAACTGTAAACAGCTTTGCTGGGCCATTGCTTGCTGAGCCACGGTGCAACAACGTCGAACAACCATCAAAAATCTTGAAGTCTCTTGGAAATCAAATCAACTAATGTAGTGATGATTTCTGGAACTTTGCCATTTAAACAAGCACACCGAATTAAACAAAAACAAAACTATGTATGTTGCATGCCATATGAATCATCTACTCAAAATTGTGTCTTCAAACCATGTGTCCACTCCATCTATGGCACCAATTACCATCTGGTTGTTTAACATAGCCACGGAAAATCACAATTGTTTATAGGAAACCATCTATAAATGGGCCATTTTCCATGGCTATGTTAAATAACCAGAGGGTAGTCCTCTTGCCAGGTGCTTCCTGAGGGCTGGATCATGCAGAACGCTGGTAGTGCGGAGCCCTACCAACGACGAGATGATGGGTGATGACTTTGGCCATAAGAAATGGGGTGGTAAATGTGAAATTTCATGGAAAAAAACATGGTCCCCTTCGCAACTTAAAGATCACCTATTTAGAGCTATGAAAACCATGGTCTCTTGTGGATTTTCCCTTATCCATTGACACAAAGAAATAGTGCGTTCAGCACCGACATGGGGAATTTTTCATGAGCGAGGAGGATATGATTGGAGAAAAATGGCCCGACAAATAGAGATTTGGCGGCCCATGGGACCACCGTTGTTCCGTTTTTTGGGGTTTCCACTTATGGTTGGTGGTTTGGAACATGAATGGATTATGACTTTCCATATATTGGGAATGTCATCATCCCAACTGACTTTCACTCCATCATTTTTCAGAGGGTAGGTATACCACCAACCAGATATATACTGAAATTGAAAATGAGTTGGTCATGCAAACAGTCACTGAAAAAGCACCTTTGTAGACACCGATTTGTAGACCAAATCCCCATTAAAAATTGAGATGTTTCAGTGAAATGTTAGATTTCCGAATGGTAAGCAATAAAGATGGAAACAACATGAAACAACAACCCTTGTCTTTGTTAATCTTTGTTATATCCCATTCAGATTTAAAGTCAATGCATATCACTGCTGTCTACAGCTACCTCTTATCCCCCTTCAACGGCCTGAAAAATGCTGCAGGTCAGGTCTACTATGTGAACCTCTTGGATGGCAAGTCCACCTGGGAAAGGCGCCATGCTGAGCCAATGAAAAAACCTGGCTCCATAGTTCACCAGTTTATACCATCCCATCCTCTGGTAAAATAACATTGCTATGGAAAATCACCACTTGTAATGGGAAAACTCAGTATAAATGACCATTTTCAATAGCTATGTTAGATGTAGCCCTGCGCATTTCCTCTAAATTCTGGGGATGCTCCATGTTTCAGGACTGTGAGTTTCTTATGAGGGGTCTCTAACAGGCTACGAGTCGTCTTAGTAGGATCATCCACAAGTTTCCCGGTCAGACTGGAGATGTTTTTCGATGTTTTGGAGAATCTTAAATCTTTAGTAAATAGAAATCAAAGATGAACAGAATCAAACGATGTTTTGACATGGATAGTTGGGTTTGAAATGAACATAGACCAGCCGGGGCAAAAGAAGATATATATATATATATAGGCGTCTGGTTGTGGTGATTTATTTCAGTGGAAGATCATTGGGGCCTATTTTTTGATAGATGCAGCATGATTGATCATCATTGTTGTTGGTCATCATCCGGTAAAATCTATAAACAACCATATTGATATATATATATAATATTTATATATAGCCAATATTTATATATAGCCATATTTGCGGTATACCACATTTTCAGACACACCCATATACTTGTTGGTGGTTTCAAACATGTTTTTTGTTTCCATTTCACATATGGGATGTCATCCTTCCCAATCTGACTTTCATATTTTTCAAGATTGTTAAAACCACCAACTATGGAAAATCACAATGTTTAATGGGTAAATCCACTATAAATGGCCATTTTCAATAGCAAATCTTCCTCATTTGAATCTTCCTTTGTTTCAGCTGTTGAACCCGGTGAAGCGTCCGTACGTTCCACAGAGCGAGGCCAACGCAGCCCGCGATGAATGTGCTCTCCATGCAGGCAGGCTGTAAACCTCGGCTGGGTTTGCCATCAATAAAGTGATCAAATTGGTTTAATGTTAGTTGAAAAAAATGTACTATATAGTATAGAATGGGCTAACGCCCTGGTGCCGCCGACCCCCTTTTCAGGGCGATAAATAATTGTAATCATTTCTTGATGTTATTGACATATTTGGTTAACCTTACATCTAGATTTACGAGTGACCACTCGATCTCCTCTTGTTTCAAGGCTTGGTATTCCTTGGAGTTCGAAGGTCAAACACGTTTCATCCGCTCTAACGCAGGGGCAGTCCGGGGGCCCTGCATCCCCTGTGATGGATTTGGATGAACCATGATGAACCATAAAAAGTTTGGGAAAATAGACCATCGAACAGTGTGTGGGAAGCAGTTTTCTGTGCAGGATGGCGTTGTGCAGGAAAAAGCGTATGTTTACGTTTGCCCCGCTTGCAAAGGGAATGTGGCCAGTGACGTGAAGACAGGGCAAATCGACCATCGAACGCTGTGTGGGAACAAGTTTTCTGTGAAGGATGGCGTTGTGAAGGAAAAAGCGTATGTGTACGTTTGCCCCGCTTGCAAAGGGAATGTGGCCAGTGACGTGAAGACAGGGCAAATTGACCATCGAACGGTGTGTGGGAACAAGTTTTCTGTCAAGGACGGCGTTGTGAAGGAAAAAAGTCGTAAACGGCAGGCTTGAACGCCTGATGCCTGATGCCTGTTGGTTGCGAATGCCTGGCCAATGGCACGCTGGACCGCCGAAGTGGCCTTTTAGGGGTTTTAGGGTTTTAGGGGTTTTAGGGGTTTGGAGGGTTTTAGGCGTCGCAAACGGCAAGCTTGGACGCCCATAAAAAGCCATGGATGTGGGCTTTTGCCTGCACTGGAAGCCCATAAGAAGCCATTGAAGTGGCCTTTTAGGGGTTTTAGGGGTTTGGAGGGTTTGGAGCGTTTTAGGCCTGGCAAACGGCAATCTTGGACGCCCATAAAAAGCCATGGATGTGGGCGCTGGAAGCCCATAAGAAGCCATTGAAGTGGCCTTTTAGGGGTTTTACGGGTTTGGAGCGTTCTAGGCCTGGCAAACGGCAATCTTGGACGCCCATAAAAAGCCATGGATGTGGGCGCTGGAAGCCCATAAGCAGCCATTGAAGTGGCCTTTTAGGGGTTTTAGGGGTTTGGAGGGTTTGGAGCGTTTTAGGCCTGGCAAACGGCAATCTTGGACGCCCATAAAAAGCCATGGATGTGGGCTTTTGCCTGCGCTGGAAGCCCATAAGAAGCCATTGAAGTGGCCTTTTAGGGGTTTTAGGGGTTTGGAGGGTTTGGAGGGTTTTCGGCTTGGCAAACGGCAAGCTTGGACGCCCATAAAAAGCCATGGATGTGGGCGCGCTGGAAGCCTATAAGAAGCCATTGAAGTGGCCTTTTAGGGGTTTTAGGGGTTTGGAGGGTTTGGAGCGTTTGAGGCCTGGCAAACGGCAAGCTTGGACGCCCATAAAAAGCCATGGATGTGGGCTTTTGCCTGCGCTGGGAAGCCCATAAGAAGCTATTGAAGTGGCCTTTTAGGGGTTTTAGGGGTTTGGAGGGTTTGGAGGGTTTGGAGCGTTTTAGGCCTGGCAAACGGCAATCTTGGACGCCCATAAAAAGCCATGGATGTGGGCGCTGGAAGCCTATAAGAAGCCATTGAAGTGGCCTTTTAGGGGTTTTAGGGGTTTGGAGGGTTTGGAGGGTTTGGAGCGTTTTAGGCCTGGCAAACGGCAATCTTGGACGCCCATAAAAAGCCATGGATGTGGGCGCTGGAAGCCCATAAGAAGCCATTGAAGTGGCCTTTTAGGGGTTTTACGGGTTTGGAGGGTTCTAGGCCTGGCAAACGGCAAGCTTGGACGCCCATAAAAAGCCATGGATGTGGGCTTTTGCCTGCGCTGGAAGCCCATAAGAAGCCATTGAAGTGGCCTTTTAGGGGTTTTAGGGGTTTGGGGTTTGGAGGGTTTTAGGCCTGGCAAACGGCAATCTTGGACGCCCATAAAAAGCCATGGATGTGGGCGCTGGAAGCCTATAAGAAGCCATTGAAGTGGCCTTTTAGGGGTTTTAGGGGTTTGGAGGGTTTGGAGCGTTTTAGGCCTGGCAAACGGCAAGCTTGGACGCCCATAAAAAGCCATGGATGTGGGCGCTGGAAGCCCATAAGAAGCCATTGAAGTGGCCTTTTAGGGGTTTGGAGGGTTTTAGGCCTGGCAAACGGCAAGCTTGGACGCCCATAAAAAGCCATGGATGTGGGTGTTGCCTGCGCTGGAAGCCCAGAAGAAGCCATTTGAAGTGGCCTTTTAGGGGTTTTAGGGGTTTGGAGGGTTTGGAGCGTTTTAGGCCTGGCAAACGGCAATCTTGGACGCCCATAAAAAGCCATGGATGTGGGCGCTGGAAGCCTATAAGAAGCCATTGAAGTGGCCTTTTAGGGGTTTTAGGGGTTTGGAGGGTTTGGAGCGTTTTAGGCCTGGCAAACGGCAAGCTTGGACGCCCATAAAAAGCCATGGATGTGGGCGCTGGAAGCCTATAAGAAGCCATTGAAGTGGCCTTTTAGGGGTTTTAGGGGTTTGGAGGGTTTTAGGCTTGGCAAACGGCAAGCTTGGAAGCCGCTGGAAGCCCAGAAGAAGCCATTGAAGTGGCCTTCGGATGCCCGTTGGCTGCGAATGCCTGGCGAACGGCACGCTGGACCGCCCAGAAACAGCAATGGATCTGGCCTTGGGGTAGCTTTTGCCTGCGCTGGAAGCCCATAAGAAGCCATGGAAGTGGACTTGGAGGGGTTGTAGCGGTTTGGAGCGTTTTAAGGCTGGCAAACGGCAAGCTTGGACGCCCATAAAAAGCCATGGATAGGGATGGCCTGTTGCTAAGAAAGACAAGTTCCACACCTGCAGTGGTCCCAGGCGCCGCCCCTGCCTTGGCGAAGGCCGGGGTCGGCGGATATAGTTATAGAGTGATCATATAGCTATATATATATATATATAAACGTACGTACGGTTCTGTTGATTCGATAACTTGAGTCGTTCACAATAAATAGGGTAAATGGTAGCGATGCAGGGTGGAAATCCGTGATTTTCCCCAGTTTCCTTCCCTACCTGGTGTTCCGAGAAATTGGTGGTAATCATGGGTGTTAATCATCATTGATTGGATTCTTCTTTTAAATTCTTTCCAGTATCAGCTTTGATTCATAGGACATCAAGATCTGGAATAGCAGCAACCAATACTCTGTTTGAAACCATCATGGATGTGACTCTATCGGGTTTTAAAGAAAGAGGATGAAACAGGAGGTGTGGGCACATATTTTTGAAGATGCTGAGGATGGTGCAGTACATGGTCCTGGATCTAACCTCAAACGCTGACTTGTACATGAAAAGCAAAAGAGAAACCAAACATGTCTACAAATCATGATTTTTTATTGCGATTGATCTGGCAACGTTTTGTTGGTTTTTGAATTCCCAGTGTGGTGGACAAAACAAAAAAAAAAACACCAGGAGCTGCGTGATCTCTTGGGCCGAGCGGCGGACGGCATCGCGCTGCGCAAGCAGTTGGAGGTGAGTTTTGTTGGGAAATCGTGGCGGAATGCTGGGCTGGTTGGTGGTTGGTGGTGACTGGAACCATGGAACGGATTATGACTTTCCATATATTGGGAATGTCATCATATTCTTCAGAGGGGTAGGTATACCACCAACCAGCTGGGCTGTTGGGGAATTTTCCATTCAACTTGGGAGAAATGTTTATAAGATGGAGCCTCGAAATGTTTCTTCCTAATGATCTAATGGGAAGATATGGGAAGGACTGGTGCCACTTTGCTGTCGATGTCGGAATGGCATCCACACTTTGGATTGTTGGACGACCACTGCCGGAAGAAGGTGAAGACCACTATGAAAACGGTGAATTGATTTTGACTTCCTGCAGGAACACCAATGTTGCAGAACAAGGCTCCAGTCCCATTTAAGCCTGTTCTTCAAGATCCATTTTGGGGTGCCTGTTCATATTCAAGGCTCGGGTTAGAGATTCATCCTTGGATACAGTGGCACAACATTTGCTGGATCGGTCGGGTGTCACCCGACCAACTCACAGTTCATTGGACTACTCGTACAATCTACATGGGTCATTAAATGTCCCCATTGAACATCACCCAACCATTAGGTATATGGTCTATAATGGCTACTATAAGGTGATGTCCAATATACCCAAAATGGGACAGTTACCAACCCCTGATCTAACTCATTGTTTGGATTGAAGTCATGAACCACACAATCCACACACCACATGGATTTCCTTCGTGTTTCCACGCGTTTCCCTGTTGGTTCATCCTTCATTTTGAAAAACGCCCCATCAGCTGAATAGATACGATCCTCGTCCTAGCTTATGATTGACACCACTTACATCAACTCGCGGGTGTTTGGTATTCAATTATTAAAGGTCATACATATATATATATATATAATATATATATATCCATCCCCACCATCTGAAAAAATGGGAAATTTGGGTATGACTCAAAAGTCTCAGCCCTCCTCGTGGGTCCTGTACCTACCTGGAACCGCAGCTTGGCAGTGGGCTCCGTGCCGGAAACCTGCCCATGACCAGGACAAAAAATGGGTTCGAAAGATTCCCAAAGATGACCAACAGTCCAAAGGTTGAGGAATTCAAACCTCAGTAGATTCTTTAGATTATATATAGTATGATATGTATGAGTATATATATATATATGGGACGTAAGAAACAAGAATCCTAGGCCCAAACAAGATGAATCAAATAGCTTCGCGGCATTAGCAGAGAGAGGACTTGATGGGACAACAGTTTGATTGGGACAGGAGTCATACATCATTTTACTACGTACAGTATGCTTCCACCTTCCTGGGAGATCCACTGAAGACAAGTAAATTGCAAACCCCAACGCGAAAAACGGTTTCTTGTTCAATGAAGACACATGATTTGTGGATTTTTCATAGATCTTCATGGTTTCTCCATGGGTTTTCTAGGGGGGTCCCCAAGTCTCCATGTTTCTCTTCGATTTCCCCCCAAAAAGAAGACCTCAGAGACCACCACACCCGTTGACGCAGCCCCGGTTTCCGCTGGCCATGGCGCCCATCCTGGCGCCTGCGGTGGCGGCCACGGGCCGACGGCGCGACCTGTGACTTGGACGATGCCAGAAAGAAAAGGGGAAGAACCATCACCCACCCAGCAGGTTCTGGAATCAAATGTCATCAAATGTAATCAATGCGATTAATTGGAGAAAACAAAATAAAATATATAGCAATACAATAGATGTGGATGTCCATGAGATGGTTGATTGTCAAAAAGCATGGGAAATAAAGTCGGGGATTGAAACATCAAAAACCAACCGGAAAGGGGTTTGTATTATTTTGGATATATCACGGTACTGGAGAAATTTTGGTGAATGGATGTGAATGGGAGGTTCTTTTTATCATGGATGTACGGCAAGATATACAGGGGTTGATGGTGATCAACGACCTCCCCTGAATATGGTCTCAAGAAATGGGAATTGGAGTTGGTAAATATAGCGTGGTAACACCAAAAAGTATGCCTGAAGAACAATGCGGCACCAGCTTTCTTGGCCGGAACTGAGGCATCCAAAGCCAATTTTTGATGAGCCCTCCCTGCGCAGCTTCCTCACCGGCCATGGCGCCAAACCGGTGCCCAGCTCAAGGAAGTAGAGTCAAGCTATGACGGTTGGAAGGGTGGAAAATAGGGATACAACCACGATGAACATCAAAATGTTTTAAAATGTTGTTTTTTTTTTGCTACCTCGACTTTTCCAACTTTCCACGGGAGCTGCCAGGTGCACATGGGCCGGATTTGGAAGCTCCTCGACTTCAGGAGGGTGCATCACTTGGCCATTTTTAGTTCATAGCCACCTTCAACGACCGTTTTCCATACGTTTTGAGAGTTGTCCACTGTTCGTATATTTTGTGTAAATACCCACAACTAAGTTCCATATGACCGAAACTGAGAACAAAAACGAGACGCAGACGTCATGCCATAACTCAAAAAGATCCCTGCAAAGAAGGTCTTGAAACCACCATGGCGGTTGGAGAAAGGTCCAAGGTCTGCATAGGACAGCATCTCATCAACAAAAATGTTGTTTTTTTTGTGGTTTGCCAACAAATTCATGGTGATTGATTGGTGACTTCATGGTGATTTAATGGTGGGATCATATCGCTTCACAAATCCCAGCGTATCTGTTTGGTACCAGGGTGAACGAAAAACCCGGATAGCCATGTAAAAGCGTATCTGTTTGGTACCACAAAAATGATTAGTGGAAAGCTCTAAGCAAAAAGTGTACAGAATAAACTTTGAACACTAGTCAGGAAGCCCCGTATCTGTCTTGTCGTCTCAAAGTCGCAAAATATTCATCAAAAGGGTTGTTTGTTTGCGGTCCTGCGCATCGCTTGTCAAAGCAAAAACCCTGCATCATACGTTTTCACGAATATGTTGTCTGCCGGTAAACGAATGTAAATACCAGAAATTACCCTGGATCTAGGATGTTTGAGCCATCCCGCACTTGTGGATGATAGCAAGTGCCAAAATGATCCAAATGTGATTTGCCAAAGTGTTTGCCCTGTTTCTTTTTTTTACATACAGTACACATATATTGTGGACATCAAGCTCAAAAACTCAACCCCAAACATATCCCCATCCAAAAACATCCTAAAAGATGTATCCTAAAGAAAAATCTATGAAAGATGCTTTGGGATATAATCTTGGGATGTATTTGGATCTACCCTCTGGTAAACGTTTACATAACTATGGAAAATCACCATTTTCAATGGGAAAATCCACTATAAATTGTCATTTTCAATAGCTATGTTAAATTACCAGAAGGTATAGCATACTCCAAACCTTCCACATCTGATCCATTCCATCCAGCTCCAGCTCCAAGGCACGTCACGTCTCAGCTCCGCCTGGGCTGTCCCCCTTCGGACGTGTCGTTGGTGGACGTCCCCGGACTGCCCAATGGCCTGGGAGTGGCCCTGGCGGCCAACTTCACGGTGCCCGGCTGCGGAAGATCAGGGCCTGGGTGATTGCTTTGGGGATTTACCTAGGAAAAATGTGGATGAAAGATATGGGGATATAGTATGATATAGTTGGTTATGTGTAGTTCAATCAACTTGGAATGATGGTGGATTGACCATCACAACGAAATAATGAGAGTTTAAACTTGTTGGGTTATCGTTTTAACTATCAAAGATATGAGATTTTGGGCTAGTGACAAATGATGCCAGTGGCCCACGGATTCACTCCGGTCTGCAGATCTTTGAGCAGTTTTCGATGTGTTTTAAGTGTGTATATGAATCTGGGTAAATTATACGACCTCACTGCGACCTCACTGGAAATCATGGTTAGTAAGGGAAATCATCCCCAAATGGCCTTAATTCAGGTTAGTGAATTATTATAATTTACCCAGATGAATGTGTATATCTCTATATAGTATATCTCTATATAGTATCTATCTATCTATCTAATCTAATCTTATCTAATCTTATCTTATCCTATCCTATCCAATGCAATCCATCTATCTATCTATCCATCCATCCATCCATCTCTCTATCTCTCGATCTCTCTATCTCTATCTATCTGTGTGTGTGTGATATGTCTGTATTTGTGTTGCCAACACAATGGCAGACACAAAGGATCACAAAGGGGACCTCCTCCCACGCAACGCGCGACGCTCCCAGGTGTTGACCTCGCAGGTGGTGCAGCGGCACGTCTCGGAACTGGACGGCACCATGAAGCTCTTGATCCGCCTGCAGGAGCTTTCAAGAGCTGCGGTTTTGTTGGGACATGTCATGGGGATTTTCCGGATTTTACATGAGTATAGTGATAAACAAAAACGCAATGATGATGATAACATTAATGTAGTCAGTATAATGAGTATAATGATAATACAAATGATAACATTAGTGAGTAATGAGAATAACATAATGTAGTCAGTATTATGTAATGCTCATGAGTAATTAAAATAGTGATGAGCATTTTGTAACATTTTGCAGCAAGAATCATGCGTATAATCCAAGAGGAATAACATAAGCAAGACCTATAGCAATCAACATGATAATGGCACGTTTCAACTAAGAACACCAACAATACCTATAGCCAACATTTTCGATGTCAGGTACAATCAGGAACTTTGCCCCTGCAGGACGGCAGTGAGGTTGAGGCTGTAGTGATCCATCACTCTGGAGAGGCGATGGTTGGTTTGCAATAGTTGATATCCAACCAGCAAATAGGTTTCAAAAAAGGATACTGGTTAGCAATGTTTTTTTTGATGGTTTTAGTTTGAGAAAACTCATTTGCAATTAATAGTGGTTGATACTTGTTATCTGCCTGTGTTTGCTTGCGTGGTTGGTTGAATTTTGAAGTAGCATTGTCTCCGAGAAAGGGGGAGGCGGGGGCGATGCATATAATTATTCCACACATTTGACATCAACTTGTTTTGTGCAGGGTTGCCACATTCCAAACTGTGACAACAATGAGTTTCACTCGACATCAATTCAGCAATTCCTTACATTGCCAACTGTATCCCTGTAAATATTCATAAATTGATCACTTACCTCCAGTTTTTGTTGTGTGTTATTAATCCCATCTCTATCTGAATAAGTATGTCCAGGGTCTTCAAAAACCAACACAGAGATGTATTGGATCTATTCATGTCGTGGTCCATGGGTGAAGGCGGAACATCCAGAGCAGAGACAGGCGGATCGCTGTGGTGTCTCAACCGCTATCTGCGTGCTGGAAGATGATGGGCATGGGTTTCACCAAGAGAAAAATGGTGCCATCAAAAAAAAAATGGGTTTTACAGCAAAAACGATGGGCTTCACCGAGTTCAACCGTCAAATTCGTTGATTTTTGCCAGCAAAAGTTGGGGGTCCACTGTGAAAATAGCGAGCAATGTTCAAGCGAGATTCCAGTCGGTGGTGGGTTACTGTAAGTACAGTATGAATCCTTGAGATTTCATGAGCTAAACATGGGATTCGCCAAAAAAAATGAGGATTGTTAGCCAGAAATGATGGTTTCGTTTGAATTCTCTTTACCGACGGGTGGTGAAGCAACACAGGATGGGTATCTATCTGAATCTTAAGGGATGACTGAATCATGAGCGCACCTGAAAAAGGAGCTGGAAACCTACCTGAGATGGTTTTATTCAAGGGTTCTTTCTCTGAGAAAAGCCATGACACTTGTTGGCGTATTTGGTGGATGTTTATTCAAAAGTGTCTTGAACAATCAAGTGAACATAAAACCGTAGGTTGTACCGCTCAGATCTGCTCCCGAGGTGAACGAGACACATTGTGCGTCAGTTCACAGGTTGGATGTCGCTTAGGATGCCGCTTTTGCGCCACAGGCCGTAGGGAGGTGGCTCTGGGGACGGGAATGGATCAAATCATTTCATGTTGGGTCAACGAAAAGGGCAAAGTTTGGGCTAACATCAACAGAATAGGAAGATGAGCCAAGGGGTTATGGGTGGATTCGCCAAAAAGAACTACTTGTAGAGATGAATTCCACGAAACAGGGATTTTTTCCAACCCCAAACTTCTAGGAATACAAACCCCAGTGACCCATATGTTCTTCTTGGAAGCTGGAATCAACTACCAGCACTAGTTGGACTCCAAAAATGCATCCTTTTTCTATCCTTCTTGTTACCTACTTACCAATGTTTCGCAACCATGTCATGGGCTTCTTCGTTTGCCCACCTACCCACCTACTACTGCAGTTACACCATGACAATAATTGATGTAATATATAATTTAAACCAATCCAACAAAAAAATATAAACCTATTATAACCCACTATAACCCACTATAACCCATTATAATCCACTACAACCCACTATATAACCCACTATATAACCCACTAATAACCCACTTACCAATCAGTATACCATGGCCCTTTTCTCCTTCTGTACGGCTCCAGGCACCATGGGCCTGTTGGGCAACCTGTGGGCCGGCGAGATCCAGGAGCAGTTGATCCACGCGCGCACGCAGAAGGCGCCGGTGTTTGTTTTGTAGCGGGAGGAGCAGTTGATGCGTTGGGTAACCCCAAAAAAAATGTTGTTTTGGCCAAATGGGGATGGGCATGGGGTGATATGAAACATCGGGATTAATTGAAAGTGGGATACAATGAATATATGATGTTCATGGCAATGAGATATAGTGAGATATAATGTGATATAATGCGATGATGAACCTTTTGGTAGTGGCAACGTGAGAATGATCTCTTCCTCCATGTTCAAAACCTCGAAATACTACTGGTTTAGTAATGGCTCAAAACATGTTGGTGACCGATGTGAGGGAGCTTAATATTAAGGAGATGGGATTGGAGATATGTTTTTTTTCTCCCCACTGCCATGTTTGATTCACAGATCGTACAGTGAACTAAAAGGAACTCACACAAAATGATGCTCAACATCGATGGGCCGGCAAAGCGGGTTTGGGCTGGCTTAGGAATTAACGGCCACCTAGTCGAAACCATGTTCGTTTGAAATCGATTCTTTACTTGTGCTTTTTCGCTGTCTGCTGCAGTGTGTTACTTTATCTTAGCTTGCCTTGGGCATGCACAAATCTATATAAATCTGTATAAATCTATAATATATGCAATACATTATGTAGTTATATATAAATAGGTTTATTAATAATATAGTTATATGATAGTACTATGATATGCCATCAGTCTATGACTTCTTTCGAAATCAAGGGCTCAGATCACACAATCCAGGGCCACTCTGATTCTGTTTGCAACGTGGTCTTTATGGGCATGGGTCTCTTGGCAAACGTTTTCGCACAGCGCGGGGGTTCGGCCATGATACACTCATCGTTTGCAGGATTGGAGCTACATGTTTGAAGGTCACAACGAGTCACCCCCAACGGTTTGAAGGTCATTTGACGGTCAGGTAAAGCAACTGGGTCCAAGTCACTCACAAGAAATGGTACAAAAAGAATCCCATTAATCCGCAAGGCTCCATGCGCGGTTGCGCTAGCTTCTCCACGTAAGAGATGGCATTCAATACATTTGAACTTATATACATTGAACATATGGTGAACTTATACATGTGTGAATCATGGAAGTGTTTCACCAGCGAGATATTCACACTTCCATGACATGGTGATACTTACGGGTGCAGTTCCACTTAAGCGGGTCCCAATTCCTTACTGGAAATTCAGAACGGGTCGTTTAAACAATTTGATATGACAGTTTGTGGATGTTAATGGTTGAAATATCCATTGTAACTGGATAAATTAAAAAAATATCCTGATCCATTTACATTATCTCCTGGATATATCCGTTAATTGATCAAGTTAAAGGATGATTTCATTAACATAAACACTATCATGATATCCATTCATATGGATATCTCCTGGATTTATCATGATATCATATGATATCATGGAATTCAATCCTAAGATCTTATCAAGGATGATATTACAATTCATGGATGTTAATGGTTAAAATATCCATCAACATCCATTAAAAAATGATGTCAATGGTCAAGTGAATGGAAGCATGGAACCATGACTAGAAGGGATATCCCAGATTTGACGGTTACCATCATATCAACCTATAATAATCCATCATATATCATCCATTATCCTGGAGATGTTAAATCATCATGGTTGAAATATCCATGAAATATCCATTCAAGTCCATTAACTAAATTTAAACATGATTTCAATGGTCAAGTTAAAGGATAATTTCATTAACATAAACATGATCATGATATCCATTCATATGGATATCTCCTGGATTTATCATGATATCATATGATATCATGGAATTCAATCCAAAGATCTTATCATGGAATTGGATTTATAATGAAATCATATTATATTCATGAAATCATATCATGGAATAAATAAACGTCAAAAATCCACAGAGAGGATCCATATCCACCCAGGCGAGCCGCTGGAGAACTACGAAGCTGTAGCCTCGGCGATCCGCGGCCTGGTGGATCCCATGCGCTTCGGCCTGGCGCCCAGCAGCGTGTGCCTTGGATGACGGCGGTGGAAGTGGATGGTGGGTTTAAGGGGACCAAAAATGGTGGGTTGAACCATGGAAAATGGATGAAAATGGTGGATTATTAGTGGATTATTAGTGGATTATTAGTGGATTATAGTGGATTATTAGTGGATGATTGTGGATTATTAGTGGATGATTGTGGATGATTGTGGATGATTGGGTTTCTGGGTCTCAATGATCACAAACTCGGGGTTTAATCTGGTTTAACCATCCAACATGGTGATTTAAGTGACTGCACCATCCCAAAATGTGGATTTATTGTGGATGATAGTGGGTTTATGCCGCAAGAATGAGGATTTGGCGAAAAGTGGGAATGGAACTGAATTACATAACCATTAAGAATGGGGGGGGAGTTAAGAAGCAAAAACTGCAATGTGTAAACCAGCAAACATGTAGAGACATCATGGAATTTGACGATCGAAAATGGTGGATCATCCAAGAACAGATGGGGATAAGCCAATGTAACTCCTGCAAACGGGGATATTGGATAAGTGGGTTGCTTCACGTGGTTGTTACACACTTGTCAACTGGGATGCACCTTGAAGTGGGGAGTTAGCCCTGAGAAAATCGAGGTGTGGCAATGCCAAGGGAATGAGGATTTTTTGGGAGTTGGATGGGCCATGGAGTTAGCTAACCAATCAACTGAGGGTGGCAAGGATGGTTGGATGGATGGTAACTGTATAAACCAACTAGGATGGTTAGGAGTTAGTTGGAGTTGGGTTTGAGTTTTTTTTGCTGAGGATGTTTGGTGGAATTTGAGTGGAAAAAATGGAAGGTGAGTAGCCAAATGTAACAAAAACGCAAAGAGTGGGCGCACAGATCTGCAAAGCTTGAAGGTTGAATGAGTGCCGAGATTGAGAGGTAGATGTCCGAATACTTTGTTTCATGATGTGCCCCTCATGGATCGTTTGATAAGGACTGTCTCGACTGTGGGAAGTTCTCCGCACCATATGCAGCGTTTGCTGGAGGACAGCCAAGTGTTCAAAGGGAGGAACGGAAACCGAGTCTGATAAAGTCGTAGAATGGGGATATAACACCAAAGGGAATATACTTGGGATATGGCCAACAGCAGCACTTGCTGATTCGAACCCATTCTACGTTATTCAAAGACAGCACTGCAAGAAACCCAAGATGTCTTTCAGTTTTGGTGTGGTTCCATCATGTTTGGGACTATTGCTCTTGCAATAGCATTGTGGGTTGGATATGTGAAATCCCCACCAGGATGGCAGAGGAAAAAATTGGGACCTATGTATTGGAACCAATGTTTTTTGCAATAAGATGGTTGAGGCAGGTTAGGGTCACATGTTGGAAAATCATACAAAATATGTCATTGTTTGGTCAATTTATCATAATTCATCTTTATGTGGTCAATTTATCTTTATTTGGTCAACTTATCGTAGATGTATATATATATAATTATATATATACATATATACATAGACACAAGTTGGCAGTTGTTTGTCCTTATTGATCCTATTTGATCCTTTAACTACCAGTACCACTTGGGCATGTTTCGTTTCAGCAGTTTTTTGTTGGCATCGTCCGTCCTCATTTGAGGAGCTGCCAAAGATCAGACTAGCGGCACCTTGGGCACAAAAGACATGGGGATATACCCGGTATAATATATAACCATATATAACTTATCTATTTAATTTGTAAAGAAAAGCAGGGACTAATATAAAACTAGGGCCGAATATATGATACATGATATGTGATATATTTTCATATCTGGGCCCCGCATGAATGTATAATATGATGGAGGGATAGGGTTGACAAATTGGGATTGAAGATCGATGCATCAGCAGATCCGTGTCATTTTGGAAACCAGGCAAGAATTCTGGTGGGATTCCATGAATTTGAGGGTCATGATTGGATGTCTTAATATTGACCCACCATTTGCTGCGGCCGTGATTGTTGGAGAATAGACATTTAGTATATCATCACTACACCACATCCATATCCATTATGTCATTAAAGCAAGTCTTGGTTAAGACCCATTCGCTTCACAGGCTCCATCGTTTTTTTGTGAATTCCCCCAGTTCTGGCGGATGACGTGTTCGCCTTCTCCTTGCTGCATGTACAGTATCTCAAGCAAAAGTGTCTCGAGATCTTCATCTTTAATCCTGATTACATGATTCATATGATCTTCATTTTTGATGATGAAACCATATGAAACCCGTATTTTATTTTGATGACGTTTGTAGTTCCAATTCCTCATTTAACTCGAGTTTCAACCCTGTTCTTCATCCACATGTTTCCCACGCAAAGTTCCGTTGAAACAGAGGTGAGTCTTCATGCGCCGAACCAAAGTCTCAGAGAAGAGCTGGTTCCGGCGGCCAAGGTGCTTGAAATGGATGTTGTATTGGGATTTGAAGATGAACAATCCCAATACATGATACAATATCCAAGGTGTATTAGCATTTATGAACAGGATATCCCAACAATATGTTGGGGTTGGGAATTATTGGGGATATCCTGTTCATAAATTTTATAGGCTAGACCTGTTGGATTCCACCAGTTGATGTCCATTCCCAGAAGAGGCAATGATGATCCGTGGCCGGTAATCAGCTTATAGCCTCCGATAGCTGAGAGATATAGCTGGATACATCCGCCTTACTCCAATGGGCAATCATGTTTGTGGTCGCTCGACCTATATGCAGATGGAAATTCCAAATTTGCAACACACAAAAACATTACCAACATTACCCAAAAATCATGATCATCGATGACTTCGGTAGGCAATCCCCATCGACAAGCTTCTGGCCATTGTCGACGACCATGCAAAGAAGGGGGTGCCTTGACATGGCGATTTGGTGCAACTGTCGCAGACATGGTTTAAAGGATTTTTTACAGGAAGCCTCATGAAACCGCTAGATTTGGAGGTAAAGACTTCGATTTCTTCTAAATTCATTGTAAAGTAATCCATTGAAACTGCTTAGCAGTGGCTGAACCTCCGGCGGAGGATCGTTTGTTGGGGTGGCATACTACCATCTCTGTGAGATGTTTAACGAACTGAATGAGATCCACATGAATGAAGCAGCTCTCCGGAATTGGTCAGATTGATTTCGAGCACTGCTCAGTTCTCACGATGATACGTGCTCTGAATCACGGTTGTGGTGTTCCTGCTATTTTTCACTGGCATGCCTGAAGATCTTTGGTGGCTTCTCATTTGGAATGGCTGTAATTTTGGACAATGAAACCATGTCGATTCTTTGACACTTGAAACTATGCTGTCGAGTAATCCAACCTGGCAATGACCCCCCTCAGTGATAGATGATTTTCCTGCAAAACTACCAGGCAAATCCATGCCATCTTTGCTTGTCACAGGAGGCAAAACGCCTTCGAACCGTCATGGTCTCCTATGTGCTTTTGAAGGCCAAGATGGGGATGGAGATCAGATGGGCCACCTGTGATTGGAAATGAACATACCCGGCCTGGTAAACTAACTTTACATAACTATGGAAAGATCCACCAATTTTAATAATTGGTAAATCAACTATAATAACTCCCAGCCACTTTGATTTACCAGTCACCAAATGGGAAATCCTGTGCAGGGCGTCAACGATTCACTGGACCACGCACGCGAGTTGTCGGCCCTCCTGTCCGACCGTCCTGTGATTGCGGGGATGCCCAGGTAGCTGCACCCAGGGTATTGTTCAATGACATGTCGTAACATCAGAAGCTAATCATTTCCCGGTTGTTGGGAAGTCTCCCCAAGTCTCTTCCAACGGTCATGTGCTGGGAAGTCTCCCTAGCTGCCGGACGACCGAGGTGAATCTCATTCCGTACAATCCCTTCGAAGGCATCTGGTTGGTGGATGATGTTCTCCGGGTCAGTCGTCACTGGGGGGACCCAAGGAACCACGAAAGGCTGGCCATGCTTAGTCAGTTAGAAACCATCCATTGGATAACCACTATAATACCATTGGAATATAAACCAGGATTATAATACCTAATAGTTATAATACCTGATATATCCATTGGATAGATTGATCATTTTTTCAGGTATTATCTTTGCCTAATTTATCCCTGGTCGGTGGTGATGGGTTAATGAATGACAGCGTTTTTGAAGTTAACTGTATGTCAACTTTGGTGGTTATTGAGAGTTTCACCTCCAATATATGTCAAACTTGAGATGCGGACTTTCGCTTTCCTGCCATCCCAGATGTATTTTTTTTTGGGGGGGGTTGGGTTTCATTCTATCTAAACAAGTTATTTCAGCGGAGATTCACACATGCTCGATTGCCACTTGAGTGAGATGCGTGATGGATACCATACCATCCAAGGTGATGAGTGATGAGTAATCCAACCATACCCCAGGTTATAACATGTTATAACCCTCTAGTTTTCCTAGGCTAATTACTGCATCCATGTTGTATCCCCCTGAATCCCGGTGGTTGTTTTCTGGAGGCAACATCTACGGATACGAAGAGCCGTCCCCTGCCACTGTGGACGAGTTCCTGCAAGTGCTTGCAGAAAGCAACATCAGGCGGCGAAGCTGCCGTGGTGCCGTGGCGTCCACAGACCTTTGGTCCATATAGCAAAGGAGAAGACCAAACAACTGCTATGATAGTTGCTATTATCAATAGTTGTTATTATAATACCAATATTCATAGGTTATTATAATGGCTATTATTAGACCTATGTTGCCATTATTTGCTATTATCAAGACATTGCTATGATATCTGTGCTACAATCAAGTAATTGCCATATGATTTATTATTGAGCCAAACTACCATTCCATTCCCCTCAACAATCAACACTAGTCGACACCTCTCCAGAGCAAATCTACCTGAGGTTCCTCCCGGATTGGGACCAGCGATCCAGCTATCAAGAAAAACGAGGGAGTTCACCCACTGTGTTGAGAACTGAGATTGGCTAAATGATTCACATTCTTCATACACAGAAACAGATAAGCTTTTAAGGAGGTTACCAGTTGGTTTTCCAGCAGGTAATATGTTCATTTTTAGGGGTGTTAATCTTCAATCGAAATGAACCTTGTCCATAGTTGATGCCTGCATCTGAGATGTCGGAAACCCCATAAAAGGTCCCTGCTCTGAGATCTTACATGGCAGCTGGGCTTAAAAGAAAATGAGTTCCAAGCACATGTTCCAAAATGATACAAAATATACAATTATAATCAATTACCCTCTGGTAAACTAACATAACTATGGAAAATCACCATGTTCAATGGGAAAATCCACTATTAATGGCCATTTTCAATAGCTATGTTAGTTTACCAGATGGTATATCCCAGTGATCCAGCCCAAAAAAATTGGACCATTTACCCTGGAAACCTCCGCGACGGAAAAAAAAATGCCAGGGTCTTTGAGCGTCGACATCATGGTCGAGACATCGCAGCGGCCTGCCAGAGAGCTCAGTCCTGGAAGGGAAAATGAACTGTGGCAAGCCCCACATAGATCTAAAAGTTGGACATCCGGAAAGTATTGGGAAAACAGTTATATAGAATTTATATAGTTTTATGTGTATATATATAGTATTGGAAAACATGGTTTTTCACATGGAAAAACCGGGTTGGCATATTTCTTGGGGTATCTCTATAGGCCTGACTACGCTGGGTCTCTAACTGGTGCTGATATTTGTCTATGTCTTATTCATCTAACCTGGGATGGTGAGGCCAATGGCGCTGGGAACTGCAGGTGAACTTGTCCTTGTTGAGCCAATCCCAGATGCAATCCCTGCTGGGGAAGCGAAAACCCCTCAGTGAGCATATATCATACCAGTGGTTGTGATACATCCTGAAGGGGTTAGATATCATTTTAGTGGTTACAACAGTGTAGATATAATTATTATATATATAATAATAATAATAATAATAAATAATACATAATAGATAAATAATAATAATACATAATGAATAATAATAATAATATATATATAATATTATGATATATATATATATATATATTATGTATATATATATATATATTATGTATATAGATAGATAGACAGGTAGATATCTACATCTACACATATTCAATATCATATCCTATATAATCTTCCTGATATCGAAGGGGATGTTCCATCCCATCCTTCAACGGGAAGATCTCGAGGTGGGCAGCTGGCCAAGCTGGGTAGGGAAGCCCAAGGGGTGCAGTGACGAAGCACATGGAACTGATTATTTCTGGTCAGTAGCTGTTAATGTACCAAAATGATGGTTAATGATGCTTAAATGATGGTTAATGATGGTTGGAAATTGCAACATCCTGGAATTGATTAATCAATGTCAATGGTTAGTCGAGAGGAGAATCCCCTACATTTAGATGGTAAAAGCCAAGGTTTCTTGTGGGCTCTCCCTTGACCCAATCCATTGAAACCAGAAATGTGGATTTGAATTAAACAGCAACGAGGTATATCAACAATCACTTCCTGGAGAACAATTGTTTCACTGTCCATCCCATCCCAAAATATGCTCAGATGATCCCAATATCTAGGGAACTGAGCTGAGGAATCATCTCGGATTGATCGACATGGACGGTTCAAAGATGTGAGTCATCACTTCCGGATATGGAACTCGTTACATGATTTCTGCTACGTTGAGGATGCCTGGTGAAATTCCATGTTATTCCAACCTGGTGGTTTCACGTACATGTGTGTGTGTGTCGGGGGCTTTACTATTTTCCTTCGCTAGCTGATAGTTTCCGTTCGGGTTGAAATCACTAGCTACCAGCACTTTTTTTGTGGGGATGTAGCCCATAAGAATTGGGAGTTAGAGTTTTTTAGACTACTTCATACTATAATTTCTAACAGTTGGGTACTGGATTTGTATAATTTTCCCATGAATGACCATAAAAACAGGGGATTTTATAACTAATCTCTGCCTGGATGTTGAACTCAGGGACCAGTGCGACCGGCCTGGAGACGGACATCGAAAATGGCGGCTGCACTCTGAACAAGGCCCGGGCGGCCTGCAAGGCCCGCGCCTGGGGAGTGCTGAAATGATCCAACTGAGCCATGGAAAATAGCCCAAACTGTTTGTTGATCCATGGGAAACATGGGATTTTTTTGCTCAATCATTGGCAGTTCATCCAGATTTTCTGATATTTTTCACTGCTCATGAGCAAGATCTCCAGTTTGGGATATAGCTACATTGATCTACATTGCCATTTCAAGTGGTGAAATCACATCGTCACCATCTATCACCTGTATTGGCTACAGGCTACATATATGATCGCCATTGCTTTTTATTCCACTGAAATCCAACATAGGTCCCTAAAACGTTTATGTCGAATGCTTCCAGAGGAATAAGTGTGTTTCGCTAAGTCTTCTTGGAAGCAAATACCAGTCGCAATACTAGTGATCCAGTGGTTGTTGCCGAAATTGTCGGCTTAATCGGAACAAGCGTTTGTTGGTCGGTCATATCATAAGTGTTTACTTCTATTGCGCCATGGTTTGCGTCCCCATTCCTGCTACTATTCAATTCTTGATATGAATTCTTGATGGTGAAATCATGGTAAATCATTTTAAACCCCCAATTTTCATGGCTTCCATATGCTTAATCCATCATTTTTCTCGCAGAAAGCACCAAAGTTGTCACTGGACATCCCCTCTTTGTGACGAGGACCTGGTCCGCAAGAAATCGCCGAAATGGTCAGGATCATCACCGCGCGGTGAGATGTGGAGGTCACTTGGGGTCGGAATCCCACCAAATCATGATGAGTTCGCCACTTATTTGGTGTCAATCATGACCTTTCCTTTTATTTGTCAAACAGGTTCGATTCAATATGTACTGGTTTCCCCCTTTATAGGACTTAAAGTCCTTCAAAGTATGGTTTGCTCATGGATGGTAAAAGAAAAAAACACATATGAAAGCCGCATTTTTCTTGAAAATCGCGGTCACTATTCCCACAGATGATGACATACATGTATAAACTACTATAAACTTCATGTGTGAAGTATACACATGTGATTTGAGCAGCAAGATTACCATCAAATGATGTTGAAATGTCCAGCTTGTCTTCCAACTATCCAGTTACCTAGAAGCCTCAAGGTCAGTTCTGCTGCTGGGGGCCATGGGTGGTTTGGTTGCCCTGGGTGCCTTTTCATTGCGACGCTGGCGACGGTGGGGGACGCCAAGCAAATTTAGGAGGGCTTGATCTTCCAGAAGCTTATCGTAAGCAGGGGAAGATGATGATCATTATGTTGGGTTTTGAGCAGAATAAATGGGGATTGAGTCGACATGAAATGGAATTTAGCCTCCTTAGGTTTGTCCAAAAGTGGGATATGCAGTTTTTAACGTGGAAAAGGATCAACCATTGGATTTTGGGCTGCATGTTTTGGAGAAACCTGGAGAGAAAAGTTGGAGGCTCAGAAAATCATCTAATGTCGACCCTGGATTGTGGGGGTACCATTTCACCCATTAATAGACATTTGGATTAATAATCTATGATAATCTGGGTATTACCCATTTATCAGTATCCATTCAGTATGATATATCATAGATTATCATAGATTATCATAGATTATCATAGATTATCATAGATTATCATAGATTATCATAGATTATCACTATTTAAGGGGAGTAGCCTGATTAATAAGCCATAGTTTATTCATCCGGGCTTGACATTGCGTCACTTAGCGGATCTGTTTTCTATCCTTTTGGTGCAGCTCAGCGGTTGGGTTAGGACATTTCGTCAAGATAGCTGCCTAAGTAATGGCTGGATGAGGGGGGGACCATCTAGACCTGCAACATGGGTTTAGTTTCACCCATTCAATTGTAGATATATCTACCATTCATTCAAGAATGATTTTGGTTAGCAAAAAACACTGGTGGCCCACATTGTATGGTCATCCCATGTCATCCCGTAATTTAAACTCTCCTTGGCAAACTCCGACAAGCTTAACTGAAGGGGAAGCAACAAAACCTATCAACCAACAGATACCATGCTTCCAGACCCTGCTATTTTGACACAATGTCATGTTTGAATATGTGTATGTATATATATATATACATTTATTTATATTATACATATTAATGTATAGGTATATACGACAGAGAGAGAGAGAGAGGGAGACGCACACACCACTATTATTTCCCCCTTTCAACATGCGAAGCCGATCACAGGTGACGCAGTTGGCAGGTACCATGTACAGCTGCCATGGAAAAAAAAGTAGCGCGCTGATGGTGTTCAGCTGACTGGGAGAAGGTGATGTGGGGATGGATCAATAGCGACACCCAAATTGAAACCCCAGACTTGGTTCTACTGGGAAAATTGGAGGAAATACCTGTGTGGGTTATCTTGGGTGATAAAAACGGATGTTTCCTGTAAGTCTTCGCTTGATTCAATCCATGGACAGCAATTGTCGAAACGCTGCACTTCCAAAAAAACACTAAAAGTAGGTCTGTGAAAAAACTGGGGTTGGTAACTGTCCCATTTTGGGAATATTGGACATCACCTGAAAAAGTAGCCATCTAGTAGACCACATATACCGATCATGGTTGGGTGATGTGACCCATGGGGACATTTAATGTCTGTCAAAAAACTGGAGTTGTTTCTTGGATGGGGGAGATCAGTCAGTACGTGACTCACTTGGTGAATAGGGGGCTTCTGAAGGACAAGCTACACAGGGCCCAATGACTTGACCCATAGCACCGCACCTGTTTATGGCTTGCACCGGTGACATCAAACAGACGTTTTAAGCGACTTCACATCTCCATTTCTGGAGTAGTTCACCATTTTAGTGGTTAAAGCATGGTCAAAAAATCATGAAATCTATGTAAATCTATGCCCCCTGATACTTTACACCCGCCAGGAGATGCTGAGACCGCGCATCGCAGAGAGGCGCGGGATTTGTTCTGCCGGGCAAGGTGAAGCCTGTAAAAAAATTAGGATTTCACAAACCAAAACGTGGATCTTCACCAAAACGTCGACTTTGACCAGTCAAATCGGGGATTTCACCAGTGGAGTCGTTGATCAAACAACGGCATCAAGAATTTTAAATGATAAGAGACCACGCAACATGGCATGGAAGGCTCCTCATGTGAAATCATCAGAGGGTATGCAACGCTGATCATTGGGTATTGATCAAGTCTTTAGGTACTCTAAAATGGAATGATTTATGAAACAGTTTCCAAATATGTCAGGATACATCTCTATCTAATTGATCTGCTTTATTGCGAGTCTTCCATATATCAACCATTATGTATGGCGCTTGGTCATTCATTGGATCCTAGAAGACCACAGCTAGGGATCAACCAAAAGCAGGACGTTCAACCAACAATTGGGGATACACTCCACATTGTCGTTAGCAAATTCTACATTGTTGGCTTTACAAACAAAAAAAGAAAGCTTTATGAGATGCCCGGTTTCTATCGGCTTATTCCACATTCCAAGTTTTGGTTAATGCCCTATTTTTGTTGCAACCAATTAGGTTCATTCGTAATTTCCCTATTTTTGTTGGCCAATTCCTCAGGTTGGCCGCCATGGGAGATGTCGCTGCCCAGGGGCAGGTCGCTGCGGGCAGTCGTCAGGATGTTGGTTCGTACACGTACCTCCTTCACTGTTACTTTGGTGAATGTATAGGGGCAACTACTGGTATCCCAAATAAGCTTACTATGTCATACTATACATACATAGCAATATAGTATATAAGATATATAAAGATATATAAGTAAGGTGTTCTTGTATGTTATTGTTACCCCTATCCCCTATATTGTACCATGTTATAACTATACCCCTATATTTATTGTTTAAATTTGGTGAAGTGAAATCGTTCGCAGGACAGGCGCTTCCACCACGAGGCCATGCACAGAGTTTGGGGCACCCAGATGTCCGATGACGGGATGACTGGACGACTTGCAACTGGCGATTTCACCAGGGGAGATGGATATCATACCAACGATGTTATGTAAATTTATGGGGTATAATATGTGTATATAATACCAATCAAATGCTAACCATATGGGAAATTCACCAGCAAAAATCTGGATGTAAACCAGCAACAATGATAAGAAGTCTGGATTTAAAGCCATCTTGACTGTTATGAACATGGACAAAATGAGGTATAATTCCAACCTTAGCGGGGTGTAAACCCAGCCATTGTACGGGAAAGAATCGTGCAGATATAATGGAATTTGTTTGGGACAATCATTACGACTTGGCTGCACCTCGCCAGATATAAAGGTTGATAGGATTTATCATCCAAAAAAGGGTGTTTATTTGAACTGTTTTTTTAATGGGAAATATGTCAGCCATTTTACTGGAGGAACATTTGCTATACCTCTTACAATGTGCATTTGACACAACAGTAGTGACTAGTTTTTCATGGTCTCTAAGGCCAGCCATGATAAATGGTTTGAATCTGAACATTGGTTTGGAGATTGCGAAAAGACTCCAGATGTGAGCTCAAAAATATATCTTTGATGGTTTCTCACATGTACTTCTTCGATTCCTTACCCAACTAGATGTCAATCCATCATTTGGGAATCAGCCTAGTAGCTGTTGCATCCCTTCAAATTGGGATGAAGTCTGCCAGATTCCAAGGCCCCTGCGCCAGAGGAGGCAGCATCTTTGGGCTCTTGGGCCCCCAGTGTGGTGCAACGGTGTCGTCAAACATGGCTGGCTGGGAAATCCCCGAACTAAAATGGAGGTTTTAATGGATCGACCTAAATGGTTTATTTGATTACCGGAGGGTACCTACCACCCATTTGTAGTTCGTAGTTCAAAACCTCTCAGTTTCACCCTTGGGTATGCCTCAGAATCCCAGTTTCAGATGGTCAAATACCAAGAATTGTCCATTGCTATCCCATTCTTGGGTCGCCAGACGGACTACCGCCGCAGGAAAATGTGGCTCCTCCAGATAGTCTGCGCCAGGCTGCGTGGATGGAGTGCGGAGTTGGGGGATTTTGTACGCTGTGGGATCCACAACAATGACCCATTCCCAATTAAAATACATGATTGGCTGCACTTTATATATATATGTATATATTATTATATTATATTATATTATATTGTATTGTATTGTATTATATTATATTATATTGTATTGTATTGTATTGTATTATATTATATTAGATTATATTAGATTATATTAGATTATATTATATTATATTAGATTATATTAGATTATATTAGATTATATTAGATCATATTAGATAATATTATATCATATTATAATATAATTATGTATATATGATTATAGTTACAATTATATATATATATATGATGGGGCAGGGGTACCCTAAAACATACAAATCCTTTGTAAGGGTCCTCACAGATTGGGGACAGTTGATTATTGTGTCCCCGATTAGCTTGTATCTAGATATCAACAGCAGATATGAAGAACGTTTGCTGTCGCTCCCCGGCTCCGCGGTGCAAGGCTGCCCTTGTTGAAACTTCAACAGGCAGGGCATGATCCAACTGCAGTGCTGATGAAGAACTAGCAACTTTGGTGATGACCTTCATAACTTCTAGACGCGAATATAGGGGTTTACTGCAGATTTTTCACGAACCCAATCCAAGGAGAATAGCTATTCATGTCGGTGATTACCTTCACAACTGGTGAGTCAGGCGAATTTCAGGCATCCATGAGCGGAGTTGAAGGGTGGGGGCGCTTGAAACTCCGCGCAGGGCGGTGGGAAAGGAAAGAAAACCGACCGCTGAACGGGTAATTTTTGTTTTTTGATGCTTTTTGGGTGGTATATCATGGTATATCAATAGTCGTGTGGTATAAACCCAACAAATCTCATCAAAATCTTTGGGAAATGGAGATATACCCCATGGTTGAAATCCATTGGGCTACAATTTGCATCCCTGGACTGTTTTTGAATTGTAGGATGCCAATAGATTAGTCAAAAAAATACGCCTCCCTCCCCCTAGTCACATAGTAGGTTATCATTTTTTTGATTAAATTTCTATTTACCCTTTGGTAAACTAACATAACTATGGAAAATCACCATGTTTAATAGGAAAATCCACTATTTCAATGGCCATGTTCAATAGCTATGTTTGACATAACCAGAGGGTAGCAACTGGGAAAGCACATCCCGGACGTTCACCAGAGGTCGCTGCGCTTACCTCTGCGTTTCAGAGCGTTGGCCTGGGGCTTTTGCACCTTGTGGCCTCGGCATGGTTAGCGGTTAGCCGGTTGAACGAGGAGGATTTTTGCAGCAAAACTGTTGTGGATTTCAACTCTAAGAAGATTGGATCTACCCAGGATTTGAGACGATTCGAGCAGATTCCTTGATTGCTGGAACTGGAACCAGACTTGGGATTTGATGAAGATGGGGATAGCAATCGGTGAACAACCGGCAACGATGAGGGGTTAGACCATGCTCAAGGAAGAAAAATGTGCAATGTATCCAACCAGTAAACAACTGGAGGTTCCTGCAGGATCCGATGGATCGGTGCCAGGTTGGGCGCCTGCTTCCTTCGCAGCTGGCCGGTCACGGCGGTGGGACGTCCCAGGGCGATGATGAGCGATTGCGATGCAGCGATGTAGCAGGGCTGGAATGTCACGAATGTAACGAATGTATAAATGGGCCCAGTGGCCATAGTTCACAGTGATATTTCAGATGTGTAGGAATTGTATGACTTATGATGACTTATGTAGATATGCATATACTTCTACACAACTACATTGACATGGGCTTTATTTTGCGGTTAGTTCCCCAAGTTCACATTTATATACCCATCATATGGGGAAATTGGGGCTGCACAACCTTAGCCAAGTGTTGCTGAAAAGATGAGTAGCTTATCTGTTTTTTCCAATTCTTTTGCAGGAGAAGAGTATTAGAAAATTACTTGGGTGAACAAAGCTGGGAACTCAGATGGTTCCGCAAAGTAGATCCTTTTGGATAGGAAGATCATCTCTAGTTTCATCAGCTGGAGCCATTGAAGGGATGGGATACAGCTGTCACCTATCCATACCATGTCCCACCTGGTCCCCGAAATCCATCTGGGGATTTCACAGCCAGACATGGACTTGATCTGGCATTCATACAACTCCTCGCTTTCGTTGTTCAAGTCCATGGGTGTTGCCAATTAAATCATGTGAACGTTGGATTTAGACTGAACAACCATGTAAAACCACCATTTGTTACGAACATGTTGCTAGTTAAATCATCTACATTATTGCTAAATCCACTGTGTTTTTCGCGGACTAACCCACCATTTGGACTTCACCGTGGGCGGTGAGGCACTGTTGCCATGCCTAAGACCCTCGCGGTTAGAACGCGCCACGAAGTTTGCCTACAGGCATTCTGGAGTTCCTGGGATCGGTCCCTGGTTGAAAAAAACAAGCAAAATGACGACAAAAATGATATTTATGGTGGGCTTATTTTGGGCTTCATGGTTGTTTTTTTCTCAGTATCACCGTAAAATTAGTTGGTTTAATGTCTCAATGGTATGGTTTTATGAGGTATGAATTGCCAACTATGTAATGGGTTCTGATTGGGATATACTGAGACAAATGGCCAACGATGAGAGCACAAATTGCGTATAGGAAGGCACCCCCATACGACAAGTTTCAGATGGTTTCAGTTGATTTAAAGCTAGGCTGATTGTTGGATTTATGTTAGAGCAGTTTTAAAAGAATAAACTTCTAACAACGGGTCTTAACAGTTAAAGCATCTCAAAACATGGTTTTTCCATATTTTTCCACATATGAAGTAAGCTTTTATATATATATAAAGCTGGTTTTACATATATATAAAACTGGTTTATTACATATTTACCAGCTTTATTTTTCCATATATATCCCATTTATCAAATGTCCAGACCTCCCTGGCTCCAGGCTAAACGCGGCGCTGGCCTTTGCAGCAGGCCGGGGGTCCGTCCTTGGGGACAACACGGAAAGGAAAAGATGGAAAAAAGACATTGATAGATCTGATAGATGAAAAAATCTATTATGTATATAATATATATCCATATATATCCATGTTATTTCCATATTTTGATAGATGATAAATATATTATGGAAATATATTATGAAATAATCAAAGGATAGAAATAAACGATGGAAAAAGATAGATTATAAATCATTATTGATTTAATCATATTGAACAACCATCGATCATTATTGAATAAATCATTGATTCTTGTTCAATCACGGCAAATGAGATATCATTGTGAATAAGAATCAAATCTCCATAGTTGATATTTCTCCTCTTCAATCATGGCAAATGATAAATAGTCTCATAGAATTGGATGATGGGAAAATTTACAGGAAACCCCTATAGTTGATGGTAAAAACCCATGGGTTTCCTGTAGATTTTCCCTTAAACCAATCCATTGATAGTCATGTGTTTAATCATGGTTCCTCCTTGCAGCCAACCTGAACATGCCCTGTGTCCAGGTGCCCTGTATCTGCAACCCATCGCCGACTTCAGCAGCATTCCAGAGGCCGCAGCTGTGTCATGCATGGATGAACCGGGTGATCATGGGTTGTTTGATAATAGATATCATAGGAGTTGTTGTTTTTTTTGTTGTTTAATATGTTTATATACATATATATATATACATAATATATATATCACTTGGCAACAAAGATTTGTTACTATTGTTGGGTGGGTGATTTCCCCATATTCGGCTAGTGGTGACTGCCCCCTTTCTCAAATTGTTTATAATCCATCGTCAAGGCAAATGAACGTCAAGCTATTCTTATTTTTACATCATCTTCACGATTTTCCTTTTATTACCATTATATCATGTTGTATCCTAGGTAATAAAAGGAAAACATGACAAAAAAAGTTCGATTCTTGGTATATGTTTTTTATACCTTAAAGTATTTCTCAGTAAAAAGCTTCTCAAGTATTTCTCAGGAAAATATCCAAGAATTTATATTTTTATATTCTTCAAGAGGATTCTTGGATATAAAAATTGTAAAGCATCTTCCCAGGCAGTGAACGCCGACCGCCCCGACGCCGAGCTATGGGCCGAGCTGGAGGCGTCATCGGGGAGATCTTCAGATCGGCCCTGGAAAGAACGGTGTTATGTTGGAAAAGGTGGGTTTTAACCACCTGAAATGGTTACTATATACTGTTAATATTAATGGTTACTATATACTGTTAATATATGTAACCTGAACCATGATTTCTTAATGAAACTTAGATCCAGATCCCAGTTGAATGGAATGTGAAGGGGATTTGACCAGGTTTTGGACTTTAAGATGGTTTAAAACCATCTGAAAAAAGAGATTTAAGCATCTGAAAATAGGGACTTAACCATCAAAAATGGGGAGATGCATGCCGCAAGAATGGGAAGGTAGCCAGCAAAATGTGGATATAGAATGAGCAGAATTGCATGCGAGAAAAACTGCGGATATAATCATCATTTGATATGGGGATTTGAGCCACAAAAACTGCGATACAATGGGATGTTACAGGCGAAATCGTTGCCTGAAGTGGCCACAGTAACCCTGAAAAAGTTTGAAAAGTGACTTGCCACTGTTAGAGCGGAATTTTATTTTATTCTATTTGTTTGCAGGCTGCCACATGTTCAAATGAAATCAGGATTTGAGCCACAAGAACGGGATATGTATATATACATATACATATACATATATATATACTGTATATATATAATGGATAAGGGGAGATACAATCGCATCGTTTTTCCTAAACCTCCTCTTAGACCTCCATTTTGGCGTGCTTTTCAACTTCTGATCATCGCCCATTCAGATCACCCAGCCGCTGGCTATTGCTCTGGGCTGCGCATCTGCTGGGAAGCCCAATTTTCCCCCGCAGTGGCGGTGCAAGGATGGGAAGAAGAGGGAGGGAGCCAAAAATTGGGATTAAACTGATCTTAAGCAGCTGAAGTTTTGACTGGAATGTTCATGGTTACCCAACGATAAATTAGCAGTATATAACCAATTGATATTACCTACACTAGCACTGTATAGTACAGTAATAATTAATGGATGATTGCTGTTATTTTTATTGTTATTAACTTGAGAATCACCATCTTCCATAACTACTAACCATACTTAGGAGATCTTAGGAGATTGATAAAGCTGGCCAATGGATTAAAACTGCTTTATTAACCATAATGGTTGATTAACTAGATAATAGGTTTTCCAGTTACAGTAGATCAAATTGGTATCATCCACCTTCCAGTCAGCAATAATTATACCATAGTAAATATATGGACCATTGGTAATGATCATTCACCAGCAATTTTCCTTGTCAATAGCATCATCATTTATCATATCAAAAATAGGTTTAGCTGGATAGTTACAATTGTCCATGATTACTATATACAGTAATTGTATTCATGTTTATATATGTACCTATATAATTACTATATAATTACTATAACAACATTGTCTATATAATTGTATTCATCAGTATTTTTCTATCCACTGATTCACTTTCAGACAAAGCCTTTACAGCCTTCGTGACTTCGAGGTCTTGGTGGGTCGCTTCTTGGCCGCCCTCTTGCCCGTGTTCCCGGCCGTCAAGGCCAAGGACGGTCGGCGACGAGATCGACCTGGGTGGAACTTGGAACCTGGTAGGGATCCATAGATTTTTAGGATTTTTTCGGGAGGAAAAATGGATAGTTGTAGGGTATTTGTAGGGATTTGTTTGTATGTTTTTTGTGAAATAGGTGATTTTTGTTGGGCATGTCAGCATATCGGATTCAAGCTTGGGATCATTTGACATCTCGGACTGAAAGGCTTAGAATGACTCCAAAATGAACAAACACTCAAGCTATAGTTTGCAAACTTTAACATTAACACATCAGTGGGGTCAATCTACCCCCAGTCCTGATGAAAGAGGCTTACACCATCAGGTCAAGAGATAGCGCTCTTGATATATGAGAATGGAACCCCCATTTGGGGAAGTAGCTGCCAGGAATATCTAAAGTGGAAGCCCCAGTTTCGATCCCTCTCCTTTCCAGATTGAAGCAATCCACAATTTTACCGCAAGGAATTGGACAACTTTGGCGTCAACAGCTCAGAGTTATCCAAAGCGGTTTCGTTGAACCTGGCCGGGATAGTTGCTGCAGCTTTTTTTGGAGGGGCATGTGCCATGACTGAGAATGTTTACAGCCAACACTAGTGAGGGAAGTCAGCAGATTGAAAAATATATATGCAGTATATTATGCCTATGGCCATTGTAACAATCTGTGTGGGGTAGAACAATCTCGCAACGACTCTCCCTCAGAATGAAGAGCTGCAAAAATCAGTCTCTGTCACACAGAGGCCTGGACAAACGTTGGTTGATAGGGATCCTGATACTGCACTGAAAGGACCATGGCCATTCACCATAGTCCATGTAAGAAAAGTTCGCGCATGAAGGTAGTAGGCAGCCTAGGCCCCCTGAATTTTATGACCTAGACATCAATTTTCTCTTCTTTCTGGTGTGCTATGTGTATATACAAAATAAATGCATATAAATGCCTTTTTGTGAAGGAACGACGTTTCCCCAAGGCCAGAAGTAACTGGTGGAAGAGGGCCTGGATAAAGCAGCGCACCACGGTGCGGGGGTGGCAACGGCAGGGATTAGCATGGAACCTGGTGGAGTGCATGAGGGGGAAGCCCCAACAAACTGAAAATGTGGATTTCAATGATTTTGAAAAAAAGGGAAATCATTCGGTCGCAAAAAAAATCTGGCGTGTAGGGAAGCAATGGGGAATTCAACCATCAAAACTGTGGGCTGAACAAGGGATTTTAGATGTATATCTACAAGACCAATGTGGTAAACCCCAAACCAGAAACCATCCCTAGTGACTCTAGAGGTCCATGGCATCAGTTTCACCACATGAGGTCAAAAGCCTGTGTTTCTCTAAATTTGCTGGATAAAGACATGGCGGCTGGAGGTTGTTAGAAACTTAGAAGTTATGATAGCCAATTTACATATTGATAGTACGTTTTGGTAATCATTGAATGGATAGGTTTGATATGTACTATCCATATGGGTGTTGTAAGTTTCACAACCAATTTTCTGGTGAGTCATAAATGGCTTTACCGGGAGCATCGGCAAACAACCAGCAATTACATAGGCAAATCATTGCCGTTTAATATTGGTGGGATGAATAATAGTGAATAACTTTGAGCCCACATGGAATATTGATATTGTAATCACATGCTTATCAGAACACTGGGGACATTTCAGCTATGAGTCTTTGTAATTGCCCATCTTTTCGGAAACCGATTCTTATATCGATTACCATTTAAGGAACTTGACCATCTAAATAGATATACATCTAAACTTATGAATTACTATATATGAATTATTTAGTTTACTTACTCCCTCCCATTTAGATATATTAAGTGCATACGACTTTGACCCACATCTTTCAGGGGACCTCCAGGAAGGCTTCGCGTTGTTCCTGGGCATCGGTGCCGCCTTTCTGGCGGTGCTGCTGGGTGCTGTCCAACCACAGCCACGTGGGGAGCCACGGAGATCGATGACAAGTCATCGGTGAGTGGATGTTTAACGGATGTCTATTCCCCCCATATGGTAATAATATGGTACCCTCTGGTAAATTAACAGTTTGACCCTGAAAATCACCAATTTATAGTGGAAACAAACAACTTCCAACCCCGACAACTGCCAGGGTCGAATTGGTAATAGGTGGGTCCCCTTGGTCGATCCAGAATTTTTGAATGTGATCGAATCAACAAGTGTGATCAATGGGACACTGAAAAAACCAGATCGTAAAATCATGTAAAATCCTACTCAAACAGTGACAAATGAATAGAAATGATGTTTCTATCTTTCAAGATTCTGGTATTCGTGAGGATTTACCATAGGATTTACCCAAATTTTATGGTCATTTCAATGGGGCTTCGCAGGTGGAGCAGTGGCTATGGCCAGCTTTTGCTGGGCGGCCTTGATGGACTGCTTGCGGTGGGTTGGAAGGGCAGGGATTTCGGGTCTTGGGGGAAGGATTGGGTGAGTTTTGGGGGAAACTCCAGTGGTGAAACAGAAAGTTGATGAAACTTGATGAAACTTCAGAAAAATCTGGATAGCCAATGAGAATGGTTGATATACAGTAGTGGGCCTGATATTTTCCAAGTCGAATGCTGTTTCAAGATATTACTGGTAGTACTGTAGTCACCTTCCAGGCCTATGACAGCATACATAATATTTTTGTTGTTCGAAAGTGGGAAACTATGCCGTTCGAGGCTGAAGACAGTTCAAGAGATGGTCTTGCCATGCTGCAATCCAGGAGCTGATGATCCTGCCCATCCTGTCTTCTGCTCAGTCTGACAAACCGCAAATGTACATGGGCTTGTGGTAGATGCTCAGTAGCATCATTTTGTTTAAGAGACTTGGGCAAGAAACCCCTAATATGGGTATGGGTCAAAATTGGGTACCCGAAGAATTGGATGGTTGATACTAAAAATAGAACAACATCTGCGGTCCCCCAGGAAGTATCCTTCAGTCAGCATCTCCTTCTCCACTGTGGTCACTTGAGCAGTTGCCAAGCCCCCACTTGTCCATCTTGTCGGGGGTCACATCCACCAACCTCAGGTCGCGTTTTTTACCGCAAACAATCATGTGGTCTGTGGGCAAACCTTGGTAAATATTGGTAAATGCTAGGTTGATGGGCTAGTTTTATGACCATCAATGGAGGACTTGCGCCAAAAAAATGAGCGAATTTTTTGCAGCGTATCCAAGCCTGCCATGGGTCTTTGTCAAGTGGCTAAAGCCCCTTGTTTGACCTGTGGTATATCCAGCAACTGTTTTAAAAGAACATGGACAGGCTAGTCCACTATCAACCAAGCCGTAGAAGGGAACTGCGTCAATCACGGGAAGGAGGTCCCACATCTGGTGGTTTCAAAAGTCTCATGGATCATGAACAGGTTCATTGGTGCCCCAAGGACTTGACTAGTACGCTATTTCATTGTTGAGATGATGGTACATCGATGTGCATAGCCCACAAGCTAGATATGTCCAATTATACGATTTATTGAGTCATTTATATATATATATAATGTGAATGATATGAATAATCAATTCAATGGGATATGATTTATACCGTTCCTATTTCTTTCGGCTATATGACCTATGCTAAATAAATCACAAAGATTTGCTTAGCTTAAGAAATTATATATATATATATCAATGTTTTATAATCAACCCCATTTCTACAATCATACTGTCATACATCTATTGCAAATGGGATTATCAATCATATCACTAATCATTGATGGGATTTTTATACTCTAATCAATGGGATCCCTATTCAAATGACTGGACTTCTCAATCCCAGCCTTTGAGGTCCAGCTTGATGCAGGCACTCTCCATCTACTGCCAGAGCCTCAAGATGGTTCACCAACTTAGCGAAAGTTGAAGGAAAAAACAACCAAAATGGGTCCACCAAGAATCAGAAGTGGTTTTTCACAGTCTCTAACCAACTAACCAACACTAACCAACACTAACCAACACTAACCAACACTAACCAACCAATAAAGGTGATACCAAGCCGAAACTCATCATTTCAACTCGCACCGAACCAGGCGTGGCGCGGGATTGCTGCTGCGGCCCCTCCACGGCCTTCCTGGCGCGGCTGCCGGGTCTCTTGCGCTTCCCGCCCAAGGCGCGGGACCTAAAGGACCTAAAAATGCGTAATTAAAGGACCTAGTTGCTCAATGAATCTCAATTACGTAATTAGTTATCACTAGTCGAAAGATGTCGAAAGGTGTTAATTATATTTAATTATATTTAATGATCACCTCTCAATTCTTTTTTTTTTGATGTCATTTGGAATGACATATGATCATGATGTCGTAGGCGGCTTGTAAGCACTAGGAAGGACGGTGACTGTTTGTTTTTAATGGCAAAACAAAGTCATGCAAGAAATGCAAGCCAGCTGGAGATTTCCTCAAATATCAAAAGTGGCTCCACTAAGTCTGAATTGTTTAACCTACGTTATACAGAGCACTGAAGCTGCATGAAATCTCAAATATAAATGAACCCGCAAACAATGATAATATGTCAAGTTATTTGTTCTACTAACATGTCAATGATTATTATCGTTATTATCATTGTTATTAAAATGTGTATATATATATACACATATACACGTAATTCAGACCCCTTAGTTCGGGGAGATGTTCTTCAGAAATCCGTGCATTTCCAAACGTTCGCACACTTCTTGATGGTGAGACTGCGATTCTCTCTGGAAAGCCGGGATGTCGAGGACAAATGGTTTTGGTTGAAAACTAGGCTACCCCAAAATCTGATCTCATGCTTGATTATCATTAATTATAGGATATCAATGGGAATTAACTAAGATTATCATTTATCACAGAAAATGGCCATAGTTATCCATTAAATGGTCATGTTTCCCCATTTTCCCCCATGAAATCAGTGAATTTGCCCGACATCTTGCAGGGCTCGTGGACGTCAAGGGACGTGCTCTTCAAACACCTGGAGGCTTAGGGAGAAGTTATGTGGTATCCGCATATGTCAACCCCCACAAAAAGATAGAAAAGCAAAATCCTCATGTTGGAAATAGAAAAGTAAAAGACGGTTCTATCTTTGTTGCGGGATTATCCTCTGGTAATTTAACGTAGCTATGGAAAATCACCATTTTTCATGGGAAATTTCACTATAAATGGTGATTTTCCATAGTTACGTTAAATTGTTGCGGGATTACTGAATTTACCATGGATCTTTGAGGGTAGAACCCATTGGATAAATTGAGTCAGAGTTGGGTTTGATTATCATATGATGGGGAGTTGGATTTCCATTTCATGCGGATATAAGCCATACATACCCATTCTTGAGGCTCAATCAAATGTTAGTAAAATGCGTTCTTTACCCTTGAAAATGGAGACATATGATATCATATAATCCATACCTGATAAATACTCATTCTATAGATAATACCATATCATACCATTTTGATATCATACAATCTAAACCATAGATTAACAAAAATTGACATTTGATAGTCAATGGAATATATGTAATATTATGTAAATTGTCTACACCATATCTTACCACATATCTTACTGTTAAAATTAAGATATGGGAACGTATTTTCCATTTTTGGGAATAATCCATATCATAATAGTCTCCCGAACATCGCTCCTCAGCCAAAGGCTTTGAACTCTGAGACATCTCCACGTCGGCAACCTCGGAAATGCTTGAGCAGCAGGTGATCAGATCACTCCAGAAATGATGCTTTAGTCATTAAGAAAGCATCGGTTTGATGATTTTAAAATATTTTAAGTCAAGTTTCTGATCATATTTGGTGGTGTAATCTGCTGTATATGACGCTTCCATGGCATGAGTGGCTCATTTCCCGCCGATCGCTTCCATCCGTCAAGGATTTCCGCTGTTTCCATGTCGCATACCAAACAGCTTCAACTCTCAAAGTGACCCTGCGTTAAACGGGAGGCATCAAGATCATCAAGGATTCTTACAGATTTGTCAAGGTTGGAATGAAAAAAACACCAAAAATCCATGATGTTTATTGGAAAATCCAATTTATTGGTTTTTTAATGTGTTGTTTTATGTCCCTGCTTTTTCGTCGCTGTGGTGACCAACCTTGAGGTCATCAGACCAAACGATGAGGCTGCAGATTGACACGCGAGATGGGAGGATCAGCAATGGTTTGCCATGTCAAGAGGAGATCCAGCGGTGGATGGAAGAAATCCTGCACCAGTTGATAGGTGGTTTATACAATTGTTTATAGGGTTTCAACCATCCAAGGTGATGCAGGATTTCTTCCATCCACAGTAGTAGCAGTGATGATGATTTGTTATGGTTTGTCACGAATCAGTGAAGAAAAATCCTTGGTAAACTGATGTGCCAAAACGCATCTTAACTCTATCCATGTGTAATCATTTGTAGCTGAGAGCAGGGACACCTATAGATGGAGATGGCCATGATGGGATGGGGCACCGGGCATTGCAACATCCCACAGATGATCATCTGATTTTCTTCATGTTTCAGATCTGATTTTCAGGATACCAGTGTTTTCAGTGACCCTGACACATATAACATGTATTATAACATCAGGATAGGTCAAGTATAGGCATCAATAAAGACCTCATGTCCAATCAACATGGTGTGTTCTTCCTTGTCGCAGTGTGGTTGGACTCAGGAAGCTGAAGCGTTGACCCTGCAGAAGGTGTAGATACCAATCCATTAAAGTCATTAAAGGTACCCTCTGGTAAACTAACATAACTATGGAAAATCACTATGTTTAATGGGAAAACTCACTATAAATGACCATTTTAAATAGCTATTTTGACATAACCAGAGGGTAAATGATTTTGTGTTGGGAACAAACCTAGTCACTAGCTAGTCTTGGGTCTATATGTCTATGACATGCAGAAATCTTCGCAGATCGGACCCAAATACTTCGAGATCGCGAGATCGCCGAAATGCTGATCCGGTCCGAAAGCGTGATCAGAAAACGAATGGGCGTGTCCCTTGAAATTCGATGGATGAACTTCCTCCGGTTTGGGGAACTGAATGATATACATATTTTATCAAAAATGTGTGTGTGCTTTCACTGCACGCAGGATGAGTGTCTTGTACTGCAGCCATTTCCTGCATGTTTTTGACATATGTTGAGATCATTTGTTGTCTCGTCACGTGCTTGTTTCCAGCCTTGGAAAGAATTCAAAATTGGATCAATCCAGCTACCTACCTTCGCTTGAAAGCCTGGGATTTCAAAATATATATGCATAAATATCAATAATATTCAAAATTAAAAAAAATATATAATTTGGAAATTATCTTTAGAATATCTATATTATAAATTATATATAATATATATCATATATATAATATATATAATATATAATATATATAATATATAATATATATAATATATATAATATATATAATATATATAATATATATAATATATATGATATATATAATATATATAATATATATCATATATATCATATATATCATATATATCATATATATCATATATATGATATATATGATATATATGATATATATAATATATATAATATATATGATATATATGATATATATGATATATAATATATATATATAATATATAATATATATAATATATATAATATATATAATATATATAATATATATAATATATATGATATATATGATATATATAATATATAAGATATATAAGATATATAAGATATATAAGATATAAAAGATATATAAGATATATAAGATATATAAGATATATAATATATATAATATATATAATATATATAATATATATAATATATAATATATATAATATATAATATATATAATATATATAATATATATAATATATATAATATATATAATACTAGACAGTACCCGGTACAAAAAAGAAAGAAAATGGAGGTGAACTCCCGAAATACCAAATTACGGGAAAATCTCGGTTGAGTTAAAATACCGTAGCACCAATATGCCCGAAAATTTGTAAGTCTCGGAAATTCCGAAATGTTCAAATTTCCGTGAAAATTAGAGGTTTCGTCCGAAAATTCCGGTCAATTTACCTGCTTGTAACATAATTATATAATATATTGTATATTAATTCCGGCTATAAATACGTAGTTTTCGATCGGAACGCCTATTTTTTCGACAAACATCCCGTATTATATAAAATTTATTTATTCTATAAAATTTATGTATTATTAATTTAAAAAATATGTTTAAAATAAAAATATAAAAATTAAAATAATTCGAATATTATATAAACCAAAAAATATTTTAAAATATATATTAAGAAACTACGAAGGTCCCCAGTGATGCACATATATTCACTATTTTCTCGACCCAAGGAGGCTTCGGTTCAAACTTCGATCTTATTATGCTGATTATCGCCACCATTGTTGATAGCAGAACTCAAACAATTCATTACACCCCTCTTAGAAGTTTGAAACGATTTAAGAGAATACCTACCACCACGAAGAACAAACAACAACAAGGTAACAGGAGCATTTTCTTTCGTCAGGATATCGGCAAGCATGTTATTAGTTTCAATCCATGACAGTTTCATGTTGTTTTCTCTGAAGTCCCTACGAACGATTAACATGTCAATGGCTTCCCTTTTGTTTTTAACCACTATGCCATCTTCTATTTGGTAATTATAGATAGGTTTATTATCGATTAAATACACCATCCCAATTTTCTCTCTGAACCTTTTGTCTTCCTTTAGTTGATAATTAGGGTTTAGAGCCTTACCAAAGAGCGAGCGAATCCACTCTCCTTCTGCGATTCCACGAGATAGGGACATGAGTTCGGAGCCTAGCGTTGATTGGCAATGCCTCTCTAGCTTATAGTTCTTCCATCTCAAAGGTGATAATGGCACTACTTTTCCGTTTAAAAATGTTTCATCCACCAGAGCCACAAAGTAACCACCTTGACTTCTAAGATCATTACAATTTGACCACGAGGCATCCGTGGACAAGACAAAAACGCCTCTGTCCAACGGTATCGGCCTAATGGTAATCTGGATATATGCATGATCATGAATGTTCCCTACCAGTTTGTTCGCCTCAATCAAGTCCTGGACTGTAGCCCTGGTGATTCGTTGTTGCAGCAGACCAGCAGTTACCGCTATGTCAGGTCTTGTGCTTGTTATCAACCAGTTTGCAGCGCCAATAACTCCCCTGAGTTTGGTTCTTTCGTTTTCTATAATCAGGGCATGTTTTTCTTTCCTACGTTCTTTAGTGAGTTTGATAGATGACACCTGTTCAGCATATTCTTTTTGATCACATACAATAGAACCATTATCAGATTGTTTCAAAAACCGTCCCAAAAACTTCCCAGAACTATTTTTCCAATGTTTGAACGGATAACGAACACGAAGCTTGTCCAATACTTGCTCATGAAATTTCCCAGTACCACCAATAACCATATCGTCAACATGAAGTGCAATAATACCTTCCAAACCCTCATCATGATACCAATAATACACACAGGGATCAAGTTCACTTTGTTTCATCCCCAGATCCAACAGCGTACGAGTGAATGACAACCACCAAGCCCTGGGAGCATCACACAGACCATAGACACATTTCACCAATTCAACAACACTGTTCGAACCAAGTCCCAACAATTCTCTATCTTCTTTAGGAACCTCAACAAAAATCCTGCCGTTCTTTCGTTTCAATGGCTCCCCCTGAAGGAACGCCCTTTCAACATCGGAAATAACCATTGACCATCCTTTACTCGCTATGATCTGAAGAGTCATCATAAAGGCATCTAAAGACAGAGTCGGTGATTGTCTTTCCATATCCATCAGGTCAGGATCCCTAAATCCCTTGACGTACCATCTACATTTAATTTCCTGTTTTCCGGGGTTTTCAGGGTCATCCCTACGAGTCTTGACAAATCTACTTGTAAGAAATCTTTCCCCAGGATGATTCCTACGTAAGTCTTCAGCTTTACTACCGTGGAAAACCTTGATGGCATTCGTATCAACCAACTTTTTCCATTCTTTAGTTTTGCCTTTGTTAACTTCCGGCCTTTCGACTGCCGTGATGTCCTTCTCAGAGATCTCGTGCGAGTTGTTGTGAACTACATAGGCGTCATTGAGTAGAGCGTCCTCGGAAGTCTGACCAAATGGCCCTCTCGAAACCCTTGCGTACCCCTGGTCCAGGATTTCAGTGCTTCTTCTCAGAGCTCGCGTCAGACTGTCCGTCCTGATAGGTCCATAGCTGGAGCCTGCTTGTGAATCGGATCCGGTTCCCAAATTTGTTCCGGCCCCGCCGGCTTCTGTCACCATTCCGGTTGTCAGGTTGCCACCTCCGGTTTGTGCATGGGGCTCACCTGACGTTGTTTGTGTTGAATGACGTCTTCCCTCAGACATGCTCTCCTCTGTCTCCGTCGGAACCTGCGTAACGTCAAGTTCTGATTCCATTGAATTAGGTTGTTGTTCGCTCCCCAGTGCAGTGTTCATGTGCTCATCCAGTTCCTCCACTGTCGTATCTTCCTGGAAGGACACTCGGGGTCTTTTTTCGGTTGTTCATCCGCTGGTGGACGTCCTTCCGTCGAGATGTTTGTGTACACGTGTGCTCCACGTTTTGTGAAGCGTGATGGATGCTGAATCAGGTCAGGTGTTGTGAAAAGCAACGCTGCCTTCTGGTCATCCGTAAGCAGTCGAATCTGCTCTGGAGCACAGCGAAGAACCTTGTTGCCATACCCTATCCAGACTTTGGTTTTGTTTTCAAAAAATCCTATCACTCGTGCTGGACCACGCCATGATCCCTTTTGATCTTGGCCCTTTCTCCAGAAAAACACAAAATCGCCAACTTCGAAATCTCTTTGGATTTCTCTTGTTCGGTGAAGTGTGGCAGCTCTAACCCGGTCCTCATTATCTTGAGCCACTAATGCTTTTCTAGCCGCCTGTCTAATTTGTTGTGACCTTTGGTAATTTTCAACACCATGAATCACACCCGACATGTACGGAACATTCTCGCAACCCTCTTCCAAAATGGTTTGAGGAATCCGAAGATCACATCCAAAAATATGTTGATAAGGAGAGAACCCGTGTTTGCGCATCATGGAATTCTTACTTTGTGTGACTTTGTCAAAAAGTTCGTTGAACACACATCGACTCCTAGGTTGACAATCCTCGGCAACCTTATAAAAGATTGATTTCCACAACCCTCCATGTTTTTCATACAATCCGTTGGACCAAGGAGATTCAGCCGGTGTTTTGGAAACCATGGTGCCGTCTTGTTCACAACCCTCTTGAAAAACTCCATCAAACTCAGTACCACCATCAGTAAGAATCCTTTTTGGTGCCCCAGCCCATCTCAGGAAATATTTACGATAAGTAAGCCTTTCGAACACTTTGAGAATTACATCCTTTCCACAACGGAATCACCACTTGCAGGCTAGTCCCTTCAACGCAAATATTCAGGAACTTGACCTTCTTCGCCTGGGGTCCCAAAACCAGTTCAAAGGTATCCATATTGATTTGCTGATTAAAGGTTTCCGCTTTGTGAACCTTGGTGACCGCATGACTTTGAGGGGGTTTCCTAGCGATATAAACGCTACACTTCATTTCTTTGGCGGCCTTGATGGCCGCTTCACTAGCCCCAGCTGATTTGAGCATGTGCAAAAACCGCTCCCTTGAGGGATGTCCTAAGTTGACATGACAACGGTGAATACTTTCCTCAATCTTTTCATGTTTTTTCGAAAGCTTCTCAACCGCCAAAACTTCGTACCCTCTCTGATCCTTGGTTTTCTTAATAGCTTTCACCATGCCCTCAACCAATCCTTTTGGGTAAACCTGTGAGCATTGCGACCGGTTGACCCATTTCCCCCTAACTCTCACTTGACCCTCAACATGTTCATGTTTATGTCCATGATCACAGTTCTTCTCCAAGTAGTACCGAAAATTGGGGTCATTCGTATGATTTAAGTGGGTTTCCTATACAACTTGTTGGAATTAGTGTCCCGCAAACCGAACATGCATTGATCCAAACAGAAAATGATGGGTTTGTGATGATCCATGAATTGACACATGCACTCAACCCTCCAGCTGTCAGACCCTTTTGGATGTTCAAAACTGTACATACGACCCTCTTGAGCTTGCAGTTCACACACCTGAAGCGCAAAATTCAACAAGATTTCACCCTCAATTCGTTTCCTCCTTCTCTCTTCCCTCGACCCTTTTCCTTTCGATAGCCGCTGCGGTGGGTTGAAAGGGCCGCAGGGAGGACAGACATGAACGTGTTTCGGTCACTGTGCCCTGAGTTCATCAAGACACTTTTTCCTGTCACTTGCATTGAGGAAATCCCAGCCATTCCAAAGATCATAGGAACCACCAACCTTCAACCCCTTTTTACTAGCAACAGGACCAATCCTGGGAACAGAAAACAGCTCATTAACATCAACACCATCACCTCTCAAATCAACAGTGCAAACGTCGACACATTCAGAGTGTTCTTGGTCACTCACCTGCGGCAAACGATCATTTGCCTGAAGAAAGGCAACATTGCTCTGAAGTCTCTTTCGAGCCTTCCTTGATAGTACTCGCTCTGGTCCTATTCGGCCAGACCGTTCACTATCATGTTCATGCCCGAAGGATGGCGAGCCATCTTCTCGATCATGCGTTGACGTTTCATGTAGTTGTGATCCAAGGTCTTGATGGCCATCCCTTCCCATGCCTTGATCACCCACTTGTCCTTGTCCACATTCGTGCCAAGGTCGTCTGTCATCACCTCCCGGTCCGTCATCTCTGTGTTCTCCATCTTGTTCTTGACGGGAAGGCTTCTCTGTGTCGCCTTCGGCAGCATGGGACTCTGACGTTCGGCTTCCTGGTTGATGCGGTCGATCTTGGCTTCGTCCATATGGGCCACAAACACTCGGAATTTCTTCATGGTCGGATGGGAACTCTCGTTGATGTGTGTCCTCACCCATGCCACGTAAGACTTGTCCTCCATGTAGATGCTCATGTACGTCTTTTGCTCGTCCTTGTACTTGCCCTTATCCATGAGTGTGGAGGATCGGATCGGATTGCCCTCCGCATCCACCTTATGATCCGGAAAGGAGTCCACATTGCGAATGGTGGCCATCGTTTCGTCCCGTACCAGACCAGCCATCATCTGATTCACCTCGTCCGGAATCGTGTATCCCTTCTTGTCCTGGGAGCTGCTTGCGCAACCGCTCTTGGACATCTTGGGCGCCATGTTCCTGAATCGGAGGTTCCTTCAAGTTCTCAGGGTCGTGGGAATCACTTGAACCACAGTTCTCTAATTCATGAATCTTATATATAGTACATGTTTTGTTTTTGTTCTTCTTCTTGGTGTCGTTCGCAAGGCAGTCAGCAGCATCAGCACAACAGCTTTCAAAAACATCAACAACACCATGATCAAACAAGGGGATAGCATAATGACCACGTTTCGTTTCTTCGAGGGGAACACTGCAGTCAAGTCTATCAAAACGAGCACTACTATCAACCATATCCAACACACAACCAAGTTGTTTCAAAAGTTCTTTGCTCATCAACAATGGTGTGGTCTTGCCCTCTTTCGGCAAGACAGCCGCCTTAATCACAATTCTCTTTCCTCCTACGCTAGCCGGCAAAAATGCGGTCTGAGTTGATGACAGCATGCCATTGTTGCCGAACCTGAAATCATAATTGTCCTCAACCCGGTGAACCTTCAAACCCCTACGGGACAAATGGTCCTCAATACCATCCAAAACAGTTTCACCAACCAAGGTTCTTCGGCAAGCTGTGTCAGGGATTCCGCACCGTTTTAGTGCGTGATCCTCAAGGGTGTCACTGAGGGCACTCATTTCCGCTTGTGCATGGAAAACTTCAAAACTTCGCTCAAGTCTCCTCGTCGATTCGTGTGGCACCACCACGGTCTCGTCACTGATCTGCCTGTTCCCAGTGGAGTGCGTGTCCGCAAACCCTGGGTTGAGAACATGGTTTGGCAAACTGCTCTGCCAACCCCGCTCACTGTCCTCCACCTTCTCCGTGATGAAGCTCTCCCACATCTGTTTGACCTGATCGCTATTTTCCACCAGCAAAACTTCTTTCGAAGGTGTAGCTGCCGATGACGTCGATGATGCCGATGACTTCAAAGGGCATTCCTTCTTCCAGTGTCCCAGGCGCTTGCATCGATGGCACCTGGTTCTGGCCTTCAACTGATCGATCTTGCCCCGAAGTGTTCCGGAGATCTGCCATGAGCTGGATGCATTCGACTTTCCTCCTCCTTTTCCTAGGCTGGGTTTCGGAAAGTATCCCCTTCCATTCTTGCTTTCTTGGAGTTTCCTTCTGATGTCCGTGTATGTCTCGAATGTCTCCAGCACATCTTCTTCTTCCCAATCTTCTCGACCCTGCACCTCTTCTGCGACCATGTCCATCACGGCCTGCAAATCATCCTCCTCTTCGATCTCTGTCACCTCTGGGTCCACCTAAAAAACATCCTTGGAGCTAGTCTTGACACTGCTTCCCTTTCCTTCCGGAAAGATCGTGTTGGTGGCTCGAATTACCTCCTCTATCTCCAGTTTCCCACCTGAAGTGGTAAGGATCAACGACTCCTGACTCGCTTCC